TGAGCCGTTTGGATAGCACAGATTGCCTATTTCAAAAAAAGAAAAAAACTTGAAGTAATTAAGCTATTTTTGATCAGAATATGTTCGCAAATCTTTACTCAAACGTTTCGTGGAAATTCACTTCGAAAAAAACTGTTTTTTTCAGTGCTTGTTGCCTCTTTTTAACGATCGCTGCATTAAAACGGCCCCGTGAATTTTTTTGGCAAAGACGAATTTTTTTATTTTATTCTTTTTAATTGAAAGATTTTTTTCACTAATAATTGCATATAATCGTTTAAAAAACCTGCGTTCGACCGCTTTCTGTGTGATAAACGCCGCTAATTTTATTCTCTATTTTCAAGAGCATTTTGGCGTATCAAACAACTTTTTCAAGCACATATGCTGTGGGGAAAAAAATTTAAGTAAGCTCATGGTCTAAATTTTGAAAAAACAAAAACTCGATTATATTCGCTTATTAACGATATTTTGAATTATGACTTTCGGCACTCCCTAAAATTTTTGGCAAAGACGAATTTTTTATTTTATTGTTTTAAAAATTACCGTTACTTGAATCAAAAATCATTATTAAAAAAAGAAAGAGTGCGTTCGACCTGAAAAACACATGAAAAAAAGCAAAAAAATGACAAAAATTTTTTTTAGTTCCATTCACGTTTTTTTGTACGACATTCCGCGAGAACGCATCAAAAAAAGCGTGAAATATTTTTTTAAACGAAAGAGGAAGCTTTTTCTGTACATGTGTGTCAAATTTTATTAGCCAGTTCCACATATTTTGCAACTACAACAAAATGAAAGTTGAAAAACCAAAAAAAGGCCACTTTTTTTCTATCGCGAAAAAGGGGCGTGGCTTTGCGGTCCCTACTTACAGGCTCCTTTTTAGATGACTTTTTAAAAAAAACCTTTTAGAAAAAAAGAATAAGGCGAAAAGGGGTCAAAAAAGGGGATTCTGAAAATCTTTGAACACCTCTTCAGGAACTCAAAAAGGTGCTCGAGACTTCTTTTTGAGACCTTTCGGACTTTGCCCGTTATTTTATCCCAGGCTAATTGTGAGAGGAGTATAGAAACCGGAAAAAAAGCTCCATTGAGCAAGTCGATATATTTCTCTGGAATATTTTTTCTACATTTCGAAACAGTCGTTTTTCGTTTTTAATTACTAGTTTGAGGCTGTTTTGCAACACGTAGCGAGATAAATTAGAGTTAAAATTTTGATAATGACTAAATTTACTAAATTTACATAAATTAAGTCATTTTAAAACCGAAGAAAAAGTTCCGGTCATTTATTGTTGGATAAATAGTCTTGATAGTTTCTTGATCATCTTCATTTTCAACTATTTTTTGTTTTACATTTCCTAACACGTGTAATTTTTGCCCATAGAACCAAATTACAGTATATGGACGGACAAAGATCTACATATATATCCTCTGTAGGCAAGAAAATTTCTTCTGAGATGAGCCCGAAAATTTGGAAAGTAAACATAAAATTTAAATACAGCTGAAACATTGAACACGCGAATTCATTATTTTCTATTCGTAATGCCTTAAGGTAGCGACCGCAAAGCCCCGCCCCTTTTCGCGAGGGAAAAAGGCCATTTTTTTGGTATTCCGTCTTTGATTGTTTTCGTACAGCCGATAGAAACAATGAAAAATGATGAAAATTTCAGCATAAATGTAGAAAAGGTTCCTCTTTCCGTTGAAAAGGTTTTTAGGTGCTTTCCATGTGTTTCAACGGAGTGTCGTACGGAATAGTGACGCGAGTTCAAAAAATAAACTTAGTTTTGCGTTTTGATATTCATCTAGGTCGCGGACAAGGTTGATTTTTTGAAAACTACTTATAAACAGTAAATGCAATTTTTTAAGCCAAAAAAATAAAAATTCTATGATCGCCGAAAAAATTGGGAGGCGCGCAAAGTCAAAAATTGTTTTCTCAATTGCAATGCAGTATTGGAAGATGTTTATGCTTTTTTCATATTGAGAAAAACATTGCTCAAATAATACTTGTTGACAACTACAAGCAAATGTACTGTTTTGAGTGGTAAAAAAGCTGGAGAATTTTTAGCGAGTTGTTTTGAAACATTTCCCGGTCGAGGACACGCGTTTCTTCCTACTCATTTATAAGAGTTTTTAATTTTCAAACAAAAAAAGTAATAAAATCAAAAATTCAAGATCGCCGAAAAATTTTTCTTAGCAAAAAAGGTGAATAAAAGTAGGCGAAATAACATTTTTATGGGATTCAAAGAGCACAGTAGGCTGTATTTGTGCAGTCACTGAGACGAAAGTGATGGTAAAGTGGAATTACAGCTCGTAAAACCTTCTCTTTTTGGCTCCTGAAACCGTGCCGACCTTGCAAATAAGGGTGCGCGCAGATTGCATGCGAATTCGCAAAACCAAAAATTTCAGTGCAAAAAAAGTTTTGCTTTTTCGATTACTTTTTAAATATTGTTTTCTCCTCTTAATCTTAATATTTTTTTCGTTTTTCTTTTCTGTTTTCGCATACTACATGTTAAAATCATTATTTTTATAACAAAAACGAGGAGCTAGCTTAAATCGAAAAATAGGTCTGTGGTCCCTACCTTAAGGCCTTTTTGGATAATATGAGAAAAAAAATCCAGCTTTTACTATCGTACGTTGTTCCAGCTTGTATCTGAAAGATAGCTGGAACATCCAAAAAAAAGAAAAAAAAATTTTTGCATTAGATCTCCATAGGCAAAGTCAGAAAGGGTGGAAATTCATAGAAATGTTCCTTTTAGAATGAGAAAGGCTCTTTTTTTGCGCCATATTATCGGCTCTTATGCACCATTTTTGCTGTCTCTCCCCTTTTCCACCATTCTTGACCCTTTAAAATCCCAGAAAAAAAAAAATAGAAGGATCGATAAAGGGTTTCTTTTTGCTTGCTTTCTGCGGCCTTTTTTGAGCCTTTCCTTTTTTTCAATAAAAATGGAGCTTGAGAGCCGATGAAATGGCACAAAAAGGAGCCTTGGCCGCCCTAAAAGGAATATTTCTATGAAGCCTTTTTCCATCCTTCCGACTTTGTCTATGATAAAACCCTATTTCAACTTTTTTTTTGTCTTATTTCACTTTTTTTCCATTTTTCTGTCTTTAGTTGCAATGAAAATGTATTTTTGAAGAAGAGCTGTTTCGAAGATGACAGCGGCGTTCGCGCTACGAGACGCTGTCTCTATCGGGGCCTCTGTTTCCACAAAACAAGAGAAAGGTACTTTTTTTTAAATAATATACATATACAGATTTAATTCTAACGATGAAAATTGATACAAGATCAACTACTTACTTCTTGCAGAAGTAATTGGAAGCTGTCTTATATGCGGAGAACCGTCCACCGGCAAGCACTACGGAATAGTTGCCTGCCTCGGCTGCAAGACTTTTTTCCGGAGGTGAGTCAAAGATAAAAGACGGATTTGCGACGGTGGAGGTACTTCTATTGGTAGAGACCTCTTTGTAGGGCAGTTGTGCAGCGTCAAGATACGGCCTGCAAGAGAGAGAGCGCGTGCGAAGTGGACACGATGGCTCGGAAAGCGTGTCGTGCTTGTCGTTACCGCAAGTGCCTCGAGTCCGGCATGAGCAAAGAAGGTTCGACCTTCAAGTTGTCTCTCAGTGAACTGAGTTGGTACAGCTCTGCAGCCTCGTCGAGATCTCATCGGCTGCCGTCGCATCCGAAGTCGACCTAAACCTTGTGCAACGTCGCCGTCAGTCGCTCCTAGCACTTCCAGGACGCCGGTCGACGAAGAAGCCATCAACAAAGCACAGTTAGTGCAGCTCATCGAACGACTCACCACAATTGATGCTCGTCTGAGGTTCGTTTCTTTTTGTTCGTATGAAGTCGGCTCTCTTACTGGTAGTGTATGACGTAGCACCAATAATTTCTTTTTGTTTTTTTTTCACAGATTCATAGCGCTCATCAAAAAAGTTGTAATTTAGTTGTTTATTCAATTACCTTTCTCGGTTTTTAGTTTTTCAGGTCATCGAGAGTAACCTATTTTTTCATTCAGAAAAAAATTTAAAATTTCCCAGTAAATGCGGCTTCTTTCATGGTATAGTCATTTCATCCCGGCTTCTGAAGCGAGAGAGGCGGAGAAGTGTGTGGGACGCGTAGCGTGTGCGTTCGCAGTTTTCGGCACTAGTTCAATTCAAACCAAACCGACAATTTAAAAAGCTCGGTCACCGCTTTTCTTGTAGCTGTTCTACTATTTTTAATTCACACATAAAAGAGATCAATAAATAATGGAAAAAAAGAGAGAAATCTATTTTTTCAAATTATTGCCTTTTAGCGGAACTAAAAGCGGTAATCTGGAAAATAATCTAGGCTTTCTCATTATTTTTGAGCCAGGATGAGAGTAACTAAAATTTCGACCCTCTTGATCTATAATGTTTTACAGAAAAAGAAAGTTCAGTCTGGTGAATTCTTTGCAAGAAGCTGTAAACTTATCACAAACGATACAGCAAGGCAGTGGAAAAGTTTCGACCTGACAGAGCCCTTGAAAAACGGAATTTTTCAGTTGCACAACGAGAACATTCACAACAAGCTGATGATTATGCTGGGGACAGACATCGCGATCGTGACGCAGGCCGACCTGATGATGATGATCGAATGGACGCGCACCTTGCCTGTCTTCACCAGTCTGCCTGTCAGCGACCGCATCCAGATCCTCAAGGTGCAACACTCCTTCGAGATGAAAAAGCCAAGCGCACAGCTTTTCAGAGGTTCGCTGTTCAGAACTTGATCATTGAGCACGGCTATTACACGGCGTCATCTAACGTCGACGACGTCTGGATTGTTTCCAACGGCACTTGTATGCCGAGAAACGTTGAAGTTTTGCCTGAGGAGAGCAAGGTAAAATACTGGACTAAATTTATGAAATAATAATTAAACATCGTCATCGGAACCGGTGTATCACTTCGCGTATTTATATGTTATCGCTATTTTTTCGTGAAGGTTTTTTTTTACTTTCTTTGAAAATCACTCGTTATTTTCATGATTCCTTTTCAACTATGCATTTGAAACCTTTCAGGTGTCAATTTCTGCAGACCGACGATGGCGTCAGGAAAAGCTCTACAAGCAAATGACTGACACATGTATTGACGAGGTTATTCAAAAAGTTGTCAGTAGAGCAATGTTATGTTCACAGGTCGCAAGGCCGTTACGCAACTTGCAGCTCTCGTCGCAAGAACTCGTCGCCCTCAAAATCATCGTGCTTTTCAACTGCGGCTGTGCCTCTGGTAAACGATTCTGCGCGGTGTCGTCAATCGAGCGTTTTTCAGCCGAGTATTCGAACATCAGCGAGTCATCGCGTCGCGCTGTCATGGCGTTTCGCAACCGCGTCGTTTCGGCTCTTTTCGCCTACTACGAACACGTCGGCCTACCTAATTATCCTGGTGAGTCTGAGACTTTTATGATGATAATTCATTTTTATGTTCCTATTTGAATAAAACCTATTCAAGAACGCTTTGGAAACGTGATTCTGATGACGTCCGGAGTAACATCGGCCGCATCGGCTTTGCTTGAGAGCTACCAAGTTGGCGCCCCGAAACGGTCTCTAATATCTCGCGTTTCTCTAGGTGATGCGGTTGTTCAAAATTGCGCCGTTCGACCCGCTGTCGGAGGAACTTCTTTTCAACTTTTAGTACACACCGAGAACGTGAAACCCATTGCACCAGCAAAGTTCAGGTTTTTCGTCAGTAGGTCGTTTTCTTGTAAATAGCCTCTGTTTTTGACTCGCAAAGTGTCATATCCGGTCATCTTTCGAAGTCGATTCGTGCCTTACAAGATTGATAGTCATATATTTCTAGGAAATGTAAAAATAATTTTCATGTTGTCAGGAGTTGTTGCTGAGGAACTTGATCAGTCGAACGCATTTTACGATAAATGGTCATCTCCGTTTCACATTTTTCTTTTCAAACTTCTTTAGGCAGATCTCATTCACTAATAAGCATTCATCAAAGAATGCAAATTTTCCAATTTATTCTGAGTTTTGTTGTCAGCTTCCAGAAAAAAAAGCATATAAAATTAGTTAAAGAAAAAACTTTTTTTCTTCTGAAACTTTCCCTTTTTAATTTCAATTTCAATAAATATTTATTATATTAAGTGTGTGATTCCAAGTAAACAACAAAAAATAGCTGAATAATCTTTGAGAAGTGTACCCCGTGTATGGAACAGAAGACGGAATAAGATCTTTTAATAATATAGAGCTGATAGGAATAATGGGCGAAGTTCGAAAATTGGTCTTTGTGAAGAACTCCTATTTTGGCAAAGAAAAATTAGATTTTCCAGCGCTAGAAAGTTGATCAAAAAGATTGGAGAATCAATCCACAAAAACACCCTCGATGACAGGCGAGTAACAAAAGTATATTAACCATTCAGAAGTTCTCAAGCGGTTTTCGTCAAGGTTCAATCGGCGTATGCACAAGTTTTGATAATGAATAGGATAAGCGGTGAAATAGCTATCATGTAGCCGCCGAACTTTTGGAGTATAGTTAAATATTCGAAAAAAAAATCAAATGTCCCTAATAAGCTATGCAAAGTTTTCCAATTGCCAAGCATTCTAAATAAGTCGCTAAGGCAAATTTCTGCTAGCCGGTGATCAGGAGGCGGCGGCGGAAGCCTTGGCAGCGGCGGCGACGCATTCCTCGTCGCAGAAGTTGGCGGGAAGAATTCGTGGCCGTGACGCGACTGACGGCTGTCGACGACCGTTGTTCAGTCGCAGCCGCCGAATGGACTGACGCGTCGGCGGCCCATATTTGCTGAGGTCGTAGCTTGTGCTGAAAATCGAGAAAGATCACTTCGATCAAAATGTTCCGCTTTTTGAACCGAAATTTAGACTTCGAAAAAAACGAGCGCGTTGTGTGAGGAAATGAAATATAATAGAATGCGCACCAAAACTAAGAAATTACCTGAAAAGAAAGGTGTGTTTATAAAATTTAATAGAATTTAAAATGTATGCAAATAAATAAAAACTTCCTTATTAACTTTTGCACAAGCAAGGTATTTTCAGGCAAACTTTGGGATTTTCTGAGTTGAAGTTGTTCGACATTCTCGATAGAATATTTGAAGCCTGCCGAACCTAATGTTGACTGACAAACGGACCTACTTACGGTCTGACAAGTGGAAATGGTGGAGGATAGTTGTAGTCAATTTCTTCTACAAGAGGTCTCGGACGCTCATAGGCAGTTTGAGGGAAACCGATCAAGGTTGGATATCTGAATAATCTTCTGATATGAATTGTGAATCATTTGAGAGGAACAACATGTTGGTTGGTAATTGGCGGTTGTTGTACTCGCCGGCCAAGTCTACTGGTCCTCCGTACTTGCTGAACTTTCGGTAAGACTGAGAGTTACGGTAGCCTTGTGAGGCAATGAGTTGTGGAGGCAAAGTGACCAGTGGAAGCTGGAACAAAACGATACCCATTTCATGCAAAATGTTTCTTTGCGATTTCACTACGACTCAAAATAAGTAGCATAGAAGGAAAAAAAGGAGACAGACTAGTGAAAAATTGTTTTCAAAATCTCCTTTCACCATTATTTGACACGTGTGTCAAGTGTGAGAGAAAGAGAACGTTTTAGTACTTTTGACCTAAGCTACTGGTGGATAGAGAATATAAGAACCTCTGGCGTTTCAATGGAGTTGACATCGGGCAGAATGCCGCCCTTGGCCAGTCGTTCCACGTAGTCTTCCACCAGACGTTTCACGTCGTACTTGCTGGCGCCCATTTCGCTTGCACGGAAAACGGACGACTGTAATTCATCGCATTCGAAAAGAATAATTCTCATCAGGTCTTTAATTACTAACCAATAACTTTTTGTAGATATCCGTCGGCAACAACTGCGCATATATTGAGCACTCGTGGTTCTTCGATTGATATTCTTGTAGTCGTGGAACCATAGAAAGCCATTGTTCGTCGGTGACGTGGTTAAAGACGTATTGATTGACGTCTTTTAGAACCTGAATGCGCGTCTTTTCTTTCGAATAGAAGTTCGAAAAAGAGAGTATTTTACTTCCGTGAAAGAAATTAAATATATGAAAGAATTATTTATTTATGTTGATACTCCCCCTGAGGAAAAAACGTGTGGTTTATATAGCGATTATCAAAAGAAATTCGTAGTTTTATGACGCGTTACGGTCGCGAAACGCGCGTTTAGAGTTTTTACATATTTTCAGCCCTTCGTGAGAATAATTTTATACTCTAATCGGAATGGAAATGTATGCAAATTCAGATTAAACAGGTCTTCTTGGAAAAATCTCCAAACTTGATTTGAACCTGTTATTTACCTTGACCTCGAGCGATTTTCAGAAAATTTGAATGTGAAAATCGGAAGCTTCAAGAAATTTCAACCTTGAGGCAATTTTCAAGAAAAAATTCGGTACCAGCCGGCGAAAACAACGTCTGAAGTTCCACTGTAAACTGAGTCCAATCCCTGGTCAGTGTCACGAAAAACTTCAGTTTATAAAAGAAAAGTTAAGTTTGAGCCGAGTTACAGAGGTTCTAGTTACAAATCAGTTTTCTATTGGGAAGTATAGAATGTCCTTCTGAACCTTTTGATAAAATTTTCCGGATTCCGTTAACCATAATGACGTTAAAAATCAAAAAAGCACAATACACTATAGAGAAAACTTTTTTTCACACTTTTTTCTAGTTTAAACTATCCTAAATATCGTTTTTTTATCAATATCAAAACCACAAGTAACATTAAAATTTTTTTAAATAAAAATTTATTTTTTTGCCTGAAAACTCTTTTTCACAGCATATTGTCGCCCTCTGTTCCGCTGTGTTTGTAATCTCGCGCAGAATAAAAGTAAAAACTCGCCATTTTTCGCTATTCGAACTATTAGTTCTTTTTCAAGATACCGCAAGACTTTTTTAAAATTTTCTCTATATAATCTCAATGATATTTACTATGTTATATTCGATTTTCATGTTTTTCTGTCAAATTGTGCGGTAGGTAAGAAATTTAAACAAATAATTATAATTTTTAAAGGCGTGTATGATTTCGCTCTTTATTAAGAGTTCTCAGTTCATGCGGGTCCCTAACGTTCTTTTAGAGTTCTTCTCCCAAGTTCAAAAGAATATCTGCCCACTTCTTTGGCGTTGGTTCCGTCGAAAGTAGAATGGACGAGCTTTCGCAACTCGACCTTCTGTTTTTCGCTCAAATTACGCTCGAGGACGGATTTGGGGCCAATACAACCCCCAACAATAAATGCATAAGAATAACGGAGCAAAAAAAGAAAAAATAGATGGCTAGGAATCATCGTATACGAGAGCCACGAAGAAGATCTGACCAAACACTCGCACTCGCACCTGACACCTTTGCGGGAACGCCCTTCGAATGCTTCTTTAAGTGCAAACAAAAGGTGATATTCAATACCTTGAACTGAAACAACCGGTGCTAGAACCGGCAATTCAGTGTGAAGATTCCGGATAACCTTTTTGGAATTTAAAGTCAATATATTCATAGCCCTTTCACGGCTGATTTGGGACGGCAAACAGCCGGTTTAATTTGCGATGCGAAAGTAGATCATGGCGACTACCCATGCGCCTTCCATTTCATGAGTTGTTTCTCTTTCTTTCGTAATTCTTCATTCCACAGAAAATCTGAAAACCAATAAAATGGATGTAAAAAAACTATATTCAATAGAAACAGAATTATAGTCCGTTCAGAATTCGATTTTCAAGTCATCGCTCAAACTCCGCCCCTTGTGCGAAGATCAAACCAATCAGAGAGCGAGCCATCCACAGAGCGTCGTTTCTCACCAGCACTCGTCAGCACTGATGGCGCACGGTGCATTCTGCTTTTTTGCACTCTGGTGCAAAACTGGAGTCTGCACCGTGCAGTTTTGGTGCTTTTTTGGTGTCGCACTGGTGCAGCACGCTAAAAGCACTGATTTGACACCTTTGCACCAAAAAATCACCGAAAGCGGAACTTTAAAGGTTGCTCCATCTAGAAATACGGTAGACAGTTTTGCGCGCGAGCATTCGAATTTCTTGTTGCTCAAATGCTTCACGTGATTTTTCATGTTTATTTCAGTTTTATCTTTATCTGTTTTGTTCTGATTTACGGTATTTATTTTTCATTGCGATGGAATTATTTTTTTATTTTTTTACAAAATTAAATGCTCGGTTTTGACGAAATTTCCCTTTTAAAGCTGAAAAATGCTCTCAGCGACATTTTCAGTGTCTAATTAAATTTTTTATTCGAATCAATCAATCTCTTCATTTTCGCAACATCGAAATGGTATGGCGATTTTGCAAGGGGAGAAAAAATACCACTAGATGAATGAACTAAACCACACCTGTAAAGAACATTTTTGGCGATTCTGGAATTTTCCCCAGCAGGTGGACCGAGGCCCGTCGGGGACGCTTTTCTTGGATGGCGGCGGCTAGTTTCTCGAGCTGATCGGTGTAGATGGAGTCGCTGACCGTCCTGCTTTGCGGGAGCAGCTCGAAGTAAAGCATGCCCTTGGCGTCGTACCAGCAGCAGAGCATGGTCTTCAGCAAGTGCAGGTCGGCGGCTGTTCTCTGCGCGGGATCTAGACGGCACGGCGGGGTTGTAGAGGACCCAGCTCTCATTCCCAGTAACCAGGTCCTCGAGAAACTCCTTTCGATGCGGACGAATGAGGAGTACACGAACGCACGAGTTTGACCTTGGTCCATTTTTGCTTGTACTTGTAGCCTACACGAATGCGCTTTATATATCCCCAGCGCGAGTGCTCCTTTAATATGGCTGCTCTTTTTGACTCATTTTTTTTATTTTTCAGAACAAAAAAGATCAAAAATCGTCCCGCGCGACGCGAAATATATTGTATAGACGATTCACGGCTAGCTTTGGACGCAAAAAGGCGTGGCCTGTCTGCACTCTCCACCAACCAGGCACTGTCTCGTCTCTTTTCGTGGCAGGACCCTTTTCTCGATGGCTCAAACCAGCCGTGAATCAGCTATAGCCTTGGGGGTGGAGTTAGCCGCTTTACATTCAAACTCTGAACAGAACAACCGGCCGCTTCAAACAAGCGTGACTATATTTTTCATTTTTATCTCTACAGCCAACTTCTGCAAAATTTCGAGTTCACAAACTGAATCTCCCTTAACTTCTCTTATTTACAGCACAGCCAACTATAATTGTGAGTCTTTCTATAGATGACTAACCTACCAGGTGTTTTTTTTTACGTTTTATTTTTATTAGCGCAAGAGCCGGACATAACAAATACAATGTGGGAACAAAAAAAACAAAAAAAAACGATGCTTTATCAAATCTTCTCAACAACTCCAGAAACATTAAGGGTCTGCATTATGACCGTGCTTTCCTACAAACAGAATGACAATGAAACAACAGGGTGAGATGGAAGGGGTGATAAGATCAATTTTGACTTCAAACAAGCAGCCACCGAACCAAAACAAAATGAACAAAAGGTGATCATTGAAAAGAGATCGAATGGCAATAACAATAACAATACTAAGCCAAAAAGCTAGCTGGTACTATACATGCAGGACAACAAGATGTAAACGCAGACGTGTTGACAAGAGGAGCATGGTCAAGAAGAAAGAAAAAGAACGAGTTTACTTCGCACCGAGTGCCGGGAAAGCTTCGAGAGAAGAATCAAAGGTAGTCCCATAGGCACGAGAGCTGTTTCCAGCACCTCCACGCCCACGACCACTGCCTCGACCACGAGCTGGACGATCGTTACCGCGTTCGCTGCGGAAGTCGCGGTTGTCACGGCCACCACGGTTATTTTCGGCAAAAGTGATGTTGATGTCAAGAAGTTGCTTTTTCGGCTCTTTCTTGACAACGACAATTTCGTCTTCTTCCTTGTCCGGGATCAGATCCTTCTTGATAGGTACCAGTTTACCGAAGTTTTCATTATCACCTTCGCCAGCCTTGCGAGTGTTAAACTTATGAGCATCAGCCTGCAACAAAAATGTTTAAAAACATATAAAGTTCAAAAAACCTGGCTTTGGGCTCGGAATTCTTTCAACGTCTTCATCTTAGCGAACTCTTCCTTCTCCTGTTCGAACCGAATTTCTTCAGCAGTCTTCTCCCGAGGGGCTTCTGGCTCTTGATTCTCTTCCACCGAAGCCAGGTTTTCAGTCTCCGCAGCAAGCTCATCCTGATGAAACTATGTAAGTAATAAAAAAAACCATTCCGTTTTTCACTTTGAGGTATTTTCCTTCATCGTGCTATTTATACAAAGACGTATACTCATGCACGGGTGGGGGACGCACAAGGTTTCTGGCTCGTGCTTTTGAACCAGAAAAACTTTTTCGCTGCGCGCTTCAAATCAGCTTTGACCTTCTGAATGGGAAAACCTTTTCAAAATGGTTTTTTGGTACTTTTAGATTATTTATTATGCGGTGTTCAAAGTAATTTCCGCGAAATGCAAAATGGTCTCTGACCCTCCAAAATTTAGTTATCTTTCTCTTTCTCTGACGGCTATTTTGAATTTCGCGGAATCACTTTGAACACGGCATTAGTATGTATGCTCACTTTTAAAACCGGTTTCGAGCACATTTGCGCGAGTTTTTGGAGAACCATATAAAAATTGAAAAATGGATATAGCTGAGTTTTATGCATTGAATTTTACGTTTTAAAACATCACGATGAGAGGAAACAAATAAAAATGATTGAAAGCGGAATTTATAAGCTTAAATACAAAATGCAAAAAATGGGCGGAGACATCTATCGTGCTTTGAACCAGATGAACTGTTTCGCTGCGCGCGTCAAAATAGCTTTCAACGCGGCATTATATTCTCTTCTTCCGATCACCGAACACTATTTTCCGATTGAATTTATTCTTCCAAAGCAATGGTTTTCGTTTTTCAATAGTGGTTTCCGAGATTTTGGTCTTCAAATTTTTGAGCTTTGCGTCATACGTCGGCTGGAGTCCACCCCGGGGTGCGTCCTACCCCCCGAAAAGTTCGGCCCATTTCAGTACATTTGTTAATTTTTTGTTCGCGCGCAAAAGGCCGACCCAGCCGATGTATTCCACAGGCTCCTCAAAATTTGCGAGCTTGAGATTTTGTCGTACCATCCTTTTAAGTGTAAAAATCAAAGCCGAAAAATTTAAATGAAACTTTTTTTGCCGCTTTCAAAGCTAATTTGACGCGCTCAGCAAAAGTGTATTTCTGATTTAATGACTCGAGCCGAAACGCAGCGGATTTCCACGGCTGGATTCCATGGCTCCGCTGTTTTGGCAAGTATCAATATATCTAAATTTTTAAAAAAATATTTTTTTGTCCAAGGGGCGCAGCCGACGAATCACACTGTGGATGCACGAGAAGAGGTTTTTAAGTTTCGAGACGAGAAAAATTATCTCGAGACAAAAAAAATTTGGAAAAAAAAAAATCTCGAGAAGAGTTCATGCCGTGTTCAATTTGATTACGCGAAATGCAAATTACCCGTTAGAGAAAGGAAAAGATCACTAAATTTTGGAGAGTCAGAGATCATTTCGCATTTCGCGGAATCAAATTGAACACGGCATCACGCCTGTTTGAGGTAGTCAGGATAGGTTTTTCGGTAATAAAATTAGCGTGTTTACTGTTTGTAACGTACCTTATCTCGAAACCTCGAGAAATAGATCCGTAAAAAAATTTTAAAAAAGATTTTCTGGCTCCAAAACTGACGGGGCAATAATGACCGGCCACCGTAACACTGCCTCAAACATGCGTGAGTTCGAAACATTTTAAAATGAAAAAAAAATGGATATTTTGTGTAACAAACACTTGAAAACGACCAAAACTCAAAAATGTGCGATAACTTTTCTTTATTGAGAGTTTACGCAAAATCAGAAACTGCGCTATGGATTTGATGAATAACTTTATGTTACGTTATGATGCCATATTTTCATCTTCTTGGGTAGAAAAGCCTTTTTTCCTTTCAAAATTTCTCGAGACGGGCCGTATTTATTTCTGCTTTTCAAAAAGAGACGAGATCGTCCATTTTTTTTTTACCGAGGCGAGATCGTGTCTCCTGCACCCCTCGTGGGAATCCGTCTAGTTTCTCTGCGATTCAGCTGATGCTTTTTAACAACGAAAACTGTTTTGACACGCGCGTCAAATAAGCTTTGAACGCGGCATTATATTCAGAAAGTTTAAATTTGATTTTAAAATTTGAAAAGGAAAGAATTAAACGGGTGCTAATCGCCAGCATGCGAGTAATATGATTGCTAACCTTTTGATCTCCCCAGTTGCCTTTTCCATGGCCGTCTTTTTTCTCGAAACTGCGAACACCAGTGCGGTCAGAGCCGCTTTGGCGATCAAACTGCCTTCCACGTCCACCGCGACCACCACCACCGCGTCCTCCAAGAGTGAAACCTCCACGTCCACGACCGCGAGGGCGCCCTTTATATCGAACATTTTTGAAATGCACTATTACTTTGAGGCAAGTTTCCCGATTAATTGGTAAGTAGTAAGCGGAAACGGCATTCAACAGTAATTGCGCTTTACGAAAAACGATTTCGAAGTCACTTTTTTTTCTTGATAAGGCTGATTGTTGTGTAATTAAAATTAATTAATCATAAGTTTCATGAAAAAAAAAAAAAATGAATCACGAGCTACTAATGCCGCGTTCAAAGCTAATTTGACGCGCGCAGCGAAAGTTTTTCTGGTCCAAAAGTACGAGCCGAAACGCGGCGAAAAGCAGCACATTCTCACGACATGATTGGTCGGCCCTGCCGGCAAGAAAAATATTTTGAAAATAAAGTTATATTAGACATTTACCAAAAAGGCGGAGTTAACCAATCACGTCTTGGGAACCTGCCGCTTTTCGGCTCGTGCTTTTGAACCAAAAAAACTTTTTCGCTGCGCAAATTAGTTTTGAACACGTCATTAGATACTGATAACGCTTCCGCTCTATGGAACTTGACGTTTTTAAGACCCATTTTGTGACAACTGTAACCAATGAAATGTCGATCGATTATTACGAACTGTAGCGCCCGAGTTACCTTCAGTGTTTCCATCAAAGTTCTCATCATAGGATGAGTGTTCCTTGTTGGGACTTTCTTCAGAAGAAGGTGAAGTAACTGCACCTCCACGTCCGCGGCTATAACTTCGAACACAATCATGATTAAATGTTTAATAACTGACAAAGGTCTTCCTCCACGTTCACCACGTTCTCCGCCCCGGCGAGGTCCTCCACGTCCACGGGTTTCTCCAGTTCGTTCACCTCCGTGCTCGAATCCTTCTCTTGGACGACCTGCGCCTCCACGGCCGCGACCTCGACTCCCACGTCCTCTTTCACCCCCACTGGCTGGGCGATTTTCCTTGCCTACAAAACAATTTTCACATGAAGGAAATTTTTTTTCTAACTGGGTTCAAAGTAATTTCGGCTATTTTTAAATCGACGCGTTATTCGTCGTTAAAAATGTTTTCGGAAAATGGGCAGAATTTTAAGGCGTGTTTATCGGAGAAACGGAACATGCTTCAAAACAAAAAAAATTGTTCCCTTTTTGGAGCCTTCACAAAAAAAGGCCCTACGACGATATATCACAGTATACGAATTTTTACGGTGTTTTAGACGCGAGTTTTAAATTTTCGTGTTCGCCATAAGAATTTATGCCATGTTCAAGGTGATTCCGCGTATTCCAATAAGCCACCAGAGAAAGTGAAATATCACCGAGTTTTGAAGTTAGAGATGACTTTGCATTTCGCGAAAAATTACTTTGAACACGGCATTATGGCGACATTTCGTGATAGGAATCGTTTTTCTACGCCCACCGAAAATCCCAGATCTACCTATTTGCCGGAATTATTAAACGAATATATGGTTCGTTTTGAATCCGCTGAATTTACTTTGAAAACGTCACCAGCTCAACCTTGCCGATGAAATAAAAAAAAAAACGAGAAGAGGCCTGAACTGACCAGAAGAGAAAGGCTTAGGAGCTTCCTTGGTCGGCGGGGCGGGCTTCGCCGCAGGCTTGTCTTCCTTCTTCTGAGCCGCGAGTGCAGTTACCTTCTGAAGAAGCTCACGAGGGTCGTCAAACTCTGAAAAAAACTCTTAAAAACAGTTTCAAAAAGCGAAAAAAAAAACCTTCATCGTCGGATATGTTACCGTACTTGTTGGTCACATTCACTCCGTATTCGAACGCCATTTCAGAGTAAAGAAGATTGACAAGTGCAGGAAGCGTTTATCAAATTTTCGGGAAAGATGTTTCCAAGTTGATTCAATAGCCCATACTATAGGGCACCCTCTGAATGAAAAAATATTATCAATGCAACAGAAAAAAAAAAGTTGTTGAGAAAAATTAATGACCACGCAGGTAACAAGTATACATAATATATCATATAATTTGTTCGCGGAGCTTAAAATTTTTTTTATTAAAATAAATGTTCATGGTAAAAAAAAAGCAAAAAATCGCAATTTTTGCGCACGAATTTATAAGACAGCGCTATAGGCCATTCCGCGCAAGCTTGTCACTTTTTTCTTTCCGTCAAAAGGCCAGGTCAAATTTAACCAACTTTCGCTTCAAGACCTTTGTTTCTTGCCGTTATAAAAGCAGAAATTTGATCTAATTTGGTATACGGTCTTTTTGGCGGGAAGAAAAACATGACAAGCGCGGAATAGACTATACGGCGGCCGGTCACTATTGTGCCATCAGTTTTGAAGCCAGGAAAATGTTGCTTTTTACTTTTGTAATCGGTTAAGGACCTATTCCTGGAGGTTAAAAGACACGCTTTCACGTTATTACCGAAAAACTTATCTTGACTACCGTAATACGGCCAGCCGCTTTAAACAGGCGTGAAAGCAAATTCGAAAATTCTTCTGTAAATGTTGCTTCAAATTCCATTTAAACTTTCAAAGAAAAAACTTTATTTTCTGTTAAAAACAATTGGAATATTGATTTTAAAATATACTCCATCCAACGGTTGAAAAAAAAGAAAATCAAAAAAAATATTTAACGGTTTATTGACATGTTGCCTCGACTGCGTATCGAAAACGCGAGACGCTGTGCTATATAGTTGATGCGCAGTTAAAGAGAAACACCCTTCAAGCGGGAATTTAAAATTTCCTCTGCACGTTTTTTTTCGTTTTTTCTGGTTATTCCGTGTTCAAATTTTCACTCTCTGACGGCTGATTTGAAATTTGTGGAATCAATTTTAACAAAGCATCAAATTGATGTCGAAGTGAATTGAAATGGAACGTTCAAAGAAAGTTCGGCGGAATTGAGCGCCAGAGATTATGAATGAAAAAGGAAAAATAACTTCTTCTTTCTATTTCCGTGTTGATATCGGCGATTTCAAGATTGACGTGTTTTTCGCTTAAAGTGGTTCCGCGAAATACGCTTAATTGAAATTTCGGTGAAAACGATAAGGTCCTGTAACCCTTTCTAATGGATTTTCCGTTTCATATAGTGCGTTGCGCACAAGGCAGTCACGTTTTAAAATAACAGTAAAGAAAAAGCTACCGTAAATACAAAATTTTGCTCTACAAAAAAAACTGCTACAAAGACAGAAAAAAACAAAAGTCTTAAAAAGCGCCGAGAAAAATGCGAGATCGCGCCTAGAAAAAAGCGACATGTTTGCGGGTTATTTTCCTGATTATTTTTAAACTTCTCCATGGGAACACAGCACTGAAAAAATTTTTTTAGTTTTTACTTCCTAGTGCTACTGCTTACCTTTTGAAACTGTTTGGAGCACTTTTTGAAAAAAATATTATGATTTTCAAGTGAAAGTTTGGTATTAGAAATTTAAGTACATTCGAATTGTCGTATACTGGAGCAGTGCAATGAGAAAAAGAGGAACAGACCCGAAAAAAATAGCCATTTTTTTAACTTTTTCATCAGTTAAAAAAACCAAGAAGATAAAATTTTTTTTGAAAATTTTTTTGAAAAGTTTCTCGCTCGATCTCGTCTCGATTTTTTTCGAGACAGGTCTTAGGAAATGTCTCGTCTCCAACTCAAAAAGTCTCATCTCGCATAACCCTGATCCGAACTCACTTATCTTCGAAAACGAATTACTTCAATTTTCTCTCCTTTTTTTGCATTTCATTTTCATTTTTAGCTTGTGTTGTTCTCAGAATCAAATCTCCGATCGAAGCTGCGTACGAAAGCCAAATATTTTAAGCGCCGGTAATTATCACCCATTATATGTGAACACTTCGCAATAGGGCGCACTTGGTTTTACGCATATTTCGCGGAAATCCGAGCTATTTCTATCTCACCTCGCTTTTTCTGAGTTTTTCATTTGTTTTCATGATCTATAATCAAACTACAAGATGGTGAATACTTACTGCGACGAAAGGAAAGGGGCTACCGTTCGCGTGAAAAATTCCCAAAATCGAAAAAATTTTCAATGAGACCGTGTAGTCATCATCAGGGTTATACGGGAACCGACTCGGGAGCCTATCGGCCCTTGGCCATTATCTAAGCCGCGTTTGGCCTCAGAGAGGCCTCAAATAAAAAAGAACGGGCTCAAATTTTCTTCAAGTCGAATATCAAGCTTTTTTTTTACAACAGAAGTCACATTTATGCTTGTTCATTCACTCACAGTTCAACAGAAACTATAATTTAACAACATTTAACAGTGAAATTTGGAAAAATTTTCGAAGCCTGGCCTGACCCAAGCCTGCGCAAACCTTTTTCTCAAAAAAATGAGGCCCTAAGTCCGGGCGCCCGGAAGACGATATTGCTGACGCTACATTGACTAACTCGCAAAAAAAAATCACTTAAATATATAGAAGATAGTCGTCAATTTTAACGTTCAATGGGATGTTCGTTCGATTTTTTTTTTCAACCGTTTACCTAGTTTTAAACATAAAAACGGGGTCTTGCTTTTTTTTAAACTGTTATCCAGTTTACTCCAAAGTTTGTGTGAAAATTCAGTGTAATCCCTGTAAAAGTACACTGCAGTTTTCCGAGCTATTTTGAAGCTCTCTGCTCAAAACTTGTGGCAAAATTGATCTCGATCATCTACGTGCCGCAGAAATTCGTTTGCTACGACATCTTCGAGCTGTAGCACGTGCCATAAAATATTTTTTATTTCAAAGTTCATGAAGTGAATTATAAACCATAAAAACAAATGAAAAAAACTCAGAAAAAAAGCGAGGTGAGATGGAAATGATTCGGATTTCCTCGAAATATGCGTAAAGCCAAGTGCGCCCTATTGCGAAGTGTTCACATATAATGGGTGATAATTACCGGCGCTTAAATATTTTCGTCTCTCAAACTTTTTTTAAATTTTTTTCTACTGTGAATGAAAACATTTTTTTAAATTTCCCAAATCGACTCTTCTTTCTATTTTTTGCTCTTCAGCTTCTCGGATCACTTTATAATTTGGATAGCAGAGAAAAAAACTCGAACTCGAATTGGCTTATTTCAAAAAAATGTTCAGCTTTTTCAATGAAAGTAGAAATTTCATGAATAATTTTTTTCTTTAGGGCTCGGAAAAAAATTTCGTGTTAAGGCATAGGGGCAGTAGAAAAAACGGTGTTTCAGTTCAATGCAGTCATTTGTAGAGTTTTTCATTGTAACACGGCGACACCAAATCGACGCCACACCCACCATAACGGCGGAAAATAAAATGTGTTGTACGCAGTGCACGCGATGCATGAAAAGCGACGCGCAAAAAGCGAGATTGAACGTTTATAGTAAAAAAAAAATCAATTTTATGACTGGTGTTCGGGCATATCACAGTATAGCCCCCGCATATGTTGGATATGCGGGGGGCTATACTGTGATATATAGATGAACTTCATTAGTTTTTCAATCAAGTAATTGTTCTGAGGAATAGAATTTTTTTGCTTTTTTTCTTTTCATGCACATTAATTAATAAATTACTTAGGAAAATAGGCTTAGTTTTTAAGGCTTCACACGGAGGCGGAGCGCGCATAGCGCGAAGCCGACTGTGGCTCGCTTCGAAAAAAACTGAGCCACAGTGAACAATTCGTCAAATAAATAAAAATACTTGACATGGAGGGGGTCATTCTGAAATAGAGGGGGGCCATTCTGAAATGGAGGGGGCCATTCTGAAATGAGAGGGGGTCATTCTGAAATGGGAGGGGGCTTGTTCGAATGAGCTCTGGGGGGGACTATTTCAAAAGCCGTGCGGGGGGCAAATATGAAAGATTGCCTAGGCATTTCAGAATCGCCCCCTGTTTTTGTACTGTGGGGGGCCATTCTAGAATATATATTCACCCCCCGCGTTCGATTCTTCCCCCACATGAAGTCCTCTTATTTTACCCCCCGCAGATCGGAACTTGGCTTGGTGGGGGCTTGTTGGAACGCGGGGGGGCAAAAAAACAGTGTGGGGGGCGATTCTGGAATTTTTCCCCTGGTGTTCACCCAGGGATCGCCGGAAAAAAATTCCTACAACATAATTTCTAAAAAAATCCCCTCTAGAACTAAAATGAAGAGAAATAACTCCTTTTAGAGCTAATATTCTATTTCAACCTCCAAAATTTTTTTCTAACCTCCAAACACTAGTAAAAATCTCGAACTCACAATAAAAAACAAGATTCTGTCAGAAAAAGTTTTATGTCACGAGAAACCGACAGAATATGGAGAAAAAAACCTAATCATAGGATTTTTTTTCGTACCAGAAAAACTTGTTTTTTTGGGAAAACCGTGTTTAGAACTAAGTTGAAAAGCCATTGCTTTCTTATAAATGAAAAATATCCTTCACGGACAACTGAAAATTTCAAAAAAACGACGTTCGCGTAAGTGACTCAAAAACAGCTTCAAAACAGATTTTTTTCCTTGAAAGCAAAGTTTTTTTGCGACTGCGCGTTTACTATATCATACTTTATTTATTAAAAGGAACAATTTAATACCAAAATTTCATCTTTAAAAAAAAAATTTTGATTTTCGCGATTTTTTCGATCAACGCATTTTCTGAGCACCCACAACGAAAACTTTCGCATTTGATGTCAAACTGTAGCCAATAACATCGAGCACAATTCTATGGGACGAGTTTTCAAGATTCGCTCTAGCCGCTGAGAAAATTGAGTTTATGTCCCTTTTCAAGCCAAATTTGTAATCATCGTTTTCTAACAGTATACTATACTGAAAAATACATGCTCGGTAGCAATCGAAACATGAGTGAGCCCTTTAAAATTTTATGACGGGGATTTTCGGGAAACACTATATTTAAAGAAAAACCCAAAACAAAATTTTCCAAGCCAAATTAGGATCACAAAAAATTGCGAAAAACAACAAACGCGCCCCATCAGACGAGTGCGCGTGTGCGTCGCGTGGCGTTGTTTTTTTTTTTACATCAGTTGGCTTGCGTGGTGTCGCCGTGTGTAAATCGAACGGTGAACTTGGAAATTTACCAAACTTTTTAGTTTCGGAGAAACAATAATTAAAAGTTGAAGAGAGGAAAGCTTGAGTTCCCGCAAAAAAGGCGTTTTGCAGTAAAGTCGCTCTGTGGACAACACGTATCGCCATTTTCGGATTTTCGATTTTTTCTTAGTTTCTTCGTTTCAACTTTTTCTGTTGTCACCAAAGTTCTTTGCTGATGCAGATTGAAAATTTTGTTATATGAATCTGTAAAAAAAAAAACTGTTTATTGCATCTTCAATGTAAGAATAAATGTGCAATCGATTTTCAATGGTTGATCTGTGTTTAAACGGCGGCAGGAGCTGTGGCTTAGGCAGAGAAGCTGTGAATTTCGCTCGTAGAACATCAGGTACAAGAGAGGTCGTAAGAAGAAGTACGGTGCCGGCTTTCCAGAGGCCGATTGCAAAGATTGAGCCTTTTCGCTGCATGCAGCTTCCAATATTATCTACCCCGGAGGGATGAAAGGCTTGGTCGACCTCGGGGGGACTCGAACCTACGATCTTGCGGACGTTAGAAATGAGTCTTACCAGCTGCTGAGCTATGCCGCCCCCATCTAAATTATATTTTTTTTCTATTTTTTTTTTAATCATCTAAATTATTTTTTTTTCTAGTTTTTTGATGGTTTGTCGGATTTTAACAAACATTTCGCCATACGAGGTTTTTTTTTTCTAAAATTTCTGATTTCTACCCACTATTTGTTTTTCTGATGCTACGTTTTCAAGATATATAAAATTTTTCCTTTTTTCATTTGCTTCTCGAATTTTCTTCATTTCCATATTTTTCGTATTTATAATTGCTTATTCAATGGGAGCTGATTCACCTTCATAATATTTTTTTTTTTTTAATCAGTAATTTAGAGTTTTTCTCCTTTCGAAATCGTTCCTAAATGTTTTTTTAACGTAAATGAATTTTTTTCACATCATATTCCACGGCGTTTTTTTATTACGCAAGGTCAAGACTTCTCGTAAATTATGATGTTTAGGATGTAAGCACACCGAGACGCACTATCGCATACTCAAAATTGTTTTTTTCAGTTTTAGAATTTGCAATTTTAGGATAATAACTTCTGAAATGTTCGAAATCTTGTCAGTTTGAAGATTATGATGTGAAAAAAACATTCACTTGCGTTAAAAAAATTTAGGAACGACTTCGGAAGGGGAAAAACTCTAAATTACTGATTACAAAATGAAAAACAAAAAAATATTATGAAGGTGAATCAGCTCTCATTGAATAAGCAATTGTAAATACGAAAAAAATATTGAAATGAGGAAAATTCGAGGAGCAAATGAAAAAAAGAAACATTTTATATTCCTTTGAAAACCTAGCTTCAGAAAAAAACAAATAATGGATAGGAAGCAGAAATTTTTCAGAAAAAAAACCTCGTATGGCGAAATGTTTGTTTAAATCTGAAAAACCATGAAACAACTGAAAAAAATATAATTTAGATGATTCATATAACAAAAATCTTCAAACTGCATCAGTAAATTCAATTTGGCTCTAATTTACACGAAACTGGTTTCAAACTACGCCAAAGGAACTGGATAATAACTTGTACTTATAGAAAAAAACGTTAAAAGAAGTATTAATAAAGAAAAAAGCAAAAAAATGCTTTTTTTCAACTTACTCTTTCCGTAAATCTTGCGAGAGCTTTAAAGGGTGGGTATTGTAATCCAAAAACGGGTCCTGAACAGACCAAAACTACTGCTGCCGTACGATTTACGGCGCCCGCCCCTGGTATTTTTTTTTCTGCACTCAGGCACTGACGGCGCGTGTTTGTTGCCGAAAGTGCGCATGCGCGCCGCCTGCTGCGCGCACGCGCGGGGTGTCTCTTTTGTTTTTTAGCTTTTTAACTAATTGAAAAGCTATAAATTTAATATTTTTCATGTCTGTTCATCTCTTAACATTGCTCTGCACCAGTTTATAACAATTAGATTGCACAAAAATGTGAAATATCAAAGTTTCACTTGGCAACTTTTTTTCATAAATTTGTTCGAAAGTGCTCGGAACAACTTTAAAACGTGAGCAGGGGCACTGGGTAATATCACAAAAATATAAAAAATATATTTCAAAACCTTATTTCAGTGGAAAAGGCGAAAAAAGAATCAGTACCCCCGCGTGTGCGCGCACCAGTGCCTGAGCATTTTCTTTCACTGACAAGAACGCCGTGATTCTTCAAAATGACAAATTTCGAATTTTCGAGTATGCGATAGTGCGTCTCGGTGTGCTTACACCCTAAGCATCAAAATTTACGAGAAATCTTGACCTTGCGTTATAATAAAAACGCCGTGAACCGGTTATTCACTAAGAATAACTGACGAGATAAATGCGAGCTCGGTGGCGGTACATTGACTAACTCGCAAAAATGTCGCTTTTTTCTAGGCGCGATCTCGCATTTTTCTCGGCGCGACCTCGCATTTTTCTCAGCGCGACCTCGCATTTATCTTGCATTTCGGAAATTTTCAAATTGCGAGAGAAATGCGAGCTCGCGTCTAGAAAAATGCGAGCTCGCGCCCAGAAAAATGCGAGACCGGCGCGAGAAAAAAAGCGAGATGTTTGCGAGCTCGTCAATGTACCGCGAGTGTCTCGCGTTTATCTCGGCAGTTATTCTTAGTGTTTCTCCCAAAATGCGAGTCTATTGACACGGCTACTGTAAACAGTTGTCCGGCCACCGGTACCAAGCAATTTTTCGAAATTAAAGGCGCGAAAGTAAAATTGCGTTTTTCTTCAAAAGAAGTCACATCTGTAATTTATTTGAGTACACCGTTCGAATCGCAAAGAAAAACTATATTAGATACTGCACTAAGAATAACTGCCGAGATAAACGCGAGACACTGGCGGTACATTGACGAGCTCGCAAACATCTCGCTTTTTTTCTCGCGCCGGTCTCGCATTTTTCTGGGCGCGAGCTCGCATTTTTCTAGGCGCGAGCTCGCATTTCTCTCGCGATTTGAAAATTTCCGAAGTGCGAGATAAATGCGAGATGGCGCCAAGAAAAATGCGAGGTCGCGCCGAGAGAAATGCGAGATCGCGCCTTGAAAAAAGCGAGATGTTTGCGAGCTCGTCAATGTACCGCCACCGACCTCGCGTTTATCTCGTCAGTTATTCTTAGTGTGCTTTCACCTGAAAACCCGTTTTTACTGCCCCTATGCCTTTAAAAAAGAATGAGCATCTGTAGAAAAAAACGCGATTTAGAAAATCAGAAATAATCGTATGTTTAAAAAAGAAAATTTGGCCCAGCGCCAGCAAGTCTAAAAATTTTGACCGAATTTGAAAAAAATCTGAATTTTTTTGAGCATAAAATCATATTTCTTGTTTGGTTAAATCATATTCGCGTCGTGAACTGTCATGTTCAATGTAATAAAGGAAGAAAAGTTATAGTCTGTTCAGATTTTGAACGTCAAGCAGCTAACTCCACCCCCCAAGGCTACAATATTTTTCGCGTCAATGTTTTATCTACAGATGACGATGGCCCTTTAATAACGCTGCATTTTTGACTTCTTTTACTATCTTTTAGATCAAAAAATATCAAAAATTGTCCCGCGCGGTAAAACATCGACACGAAAAGGTACCGTCTCAGCAGAGGTGGAGTTAGCTGGTTGACATTCAAAATCTGAACAGACTATACCGGAAAGCTTGAATACGGAGAGGAAGAAAGTGACAAACCGAACGCCCCCATTGCCGAGATTCAGCGTGAAAAAATGTGATTTTAGCGATAGTGTGTCTCGGTGTGTTTACAGCCTGAGCACCATACTTCACGAAACGTCAGGCTGGCGTAATAAAAAATCAGCGGGAAAACGGCATGCCAGCGCGCATCTGAAAAAGGAAAACAGCAGATCTGCGCGCATGCACAAGTTTAGAAAGCACGGTAAAATTGGAGAGACCAGAGTCGTACTCTTCTCGCTCTGCACACTGTGTGCGGACCTGCTGGCATGCCAAATCCAACAAAAAACGGCAGATCAGCGCGGATGTAACCGCAGGCCAGCGCACGAGTCTGGTCTCTCCAATTTTACCGTGCTCTCTGAACTGGTGCATGCGAGCAGGTCTGCCGTTTCTTTTTTTAGATGAGCGCGGGCATGCCGTTCTCCCCCTGACCAGGGAATGGTCTCAGCTCACAGTGAGACTTCTGAATGAGACCAATTTCACTAGATGTAGTTTTTCACGCTGATTCCAAATCTGCTTTCAAAAGTTGCCCAATACGTCTGTGAAAAAAGTTATGGACCCTCAAAAGTCGAAAATTTCAGTGTCTCCGATTGAGCTCATTTTTGTAGGGTATGTAGATCTTGTCCCTTTGGTCACGAAAAACCATTGAAATTTTCTCAAAAAAATTTCGCAGCCCAGATATTATCTTTCAAAGCCCCGCCGAACATAAGAGAATGCGCGCGCGGTGTGGTATTGCTAGCCGGCGACGGTCGAAGCAACGGCAACAAGGAGCAGTGGAAAAGCGGCGGACTGGGGAGCACGAGGTCATAGGTTCGGTCCCCGTCCTCTGCAAAATTTTTTTGCAATCTTTCCTTTTTTGGATAATTCCGTCTAACTGCTCCTTTCTTGAGTTTTGAAGCGTAGAAACATGAGAAAACTTCTTTTTCAACCTTTATAAACACCTGGACTTATTTTTGTCAAAAATTTTATTCATGAAATTTTTCGTGATTTTCCATGTGTATGAGCATGGGTTGGAGTATGAAAATTTTTCGAAAAAAATTTTTTTGTTTTTTTCTGTTTCAAAAAGTTGACTGGTCCAAGTAATCATGACTACGCTGTCAAAACTCACAGAAAAAAATTTTTCCAAAAATTTTCCACTTCCAAAAAAAGATCTTTTTAGGTGGCAGTGATTTATACGCGATGATTGCCTTTTGTCGGAAAAAAATTTAGTCCCGAAAGCAAAAGAAGGACAATGCTCAAGAAAAAGTAAAGCCTTAAAAAGTTATATTTTTTTTTTTTTTTGAAATTTTACTCTCGACAAAGTCTGACTGGAAAGGAAACTTTCACTAACATCATTGTAATGAATTTATTCAGGAGATTACGGTTCTAGTTGTAAAATTTAGTCACTAGTAAAAAGTGCTTCAAAAGTTTTTCAGCAAAAAGCTTTAAAAAACTTGCATTTCTTTCATTCTCATAGAGCCGTATGTGCGCGTTGAGGTCTGAAAAAACCATGAAAAATTTTTTTCTGTGAGTTTTGACAGCGTAGTCATGATTACTTGGACCAGTCAACTTTTGAAACAGAAAAAACTTAAAAAAAATTTTTTTCGAAAATTTTCATACTCCAACCCATGCTCATACACATGGAAAATCACGAAAAAAATTTCATGAATAAAATTTTTTTGACAAAAAAATAAGTCCAGGTGTTTATAAAGGTTGAAAAAAAGTTTTTCTCATGTTTCTACGCTACAAAACTCAAGAAAGGAGCAGTTAGACGGAATTATCCAAAAAAAGGAAAGATTGCAAAAAAATTTTGCAGAGGACGGGGACCGAACCTATGACCTCGTGCTCCCCAGTCCGCCGCTTTTCCACTGCTCCTTGTTGCCGTTGCTTCGACCGTCGCCGGCTAGCAATACCACACCGCGCGCGCATTCTCTTATGTTCGGCGGGGCTTTGAAAGATCATATCTGGGCTGCGAAATTTTTTTGAGAAAATTTCAATGGTTTTTCGTGACCAAAGGGACAAGATCTACATACCCTACAAAAATGAGCTCAATCGGAGACACTGAAATTTTCGACTTTTGAGGGTCCATAACTTTTTTCACAGACGTATTGGGCAACTTTTGAAAGCAGATTTGGAATCAGCGTGAAAAACTACATCTAGTGAAATTGGTCTCATTCAGAAGTCTCACTGTGAGCTGAGACCATTCCCTGGTGAGAAAAAAAACGCCGCGAGACTTCAAGTCCTGCCAATTTAGTGTGTTGTTCTTTCCTTCTTCTGGGGATTGAATTTTTTTTTAGTCCCAAAGTCGCTTTTTTACGTTCCAACCTTTGCAATCTTTATAATAACAAACTTAAAATTGTTTGATACCTTACTCCCCTTTTTGTTAAAGATTTTCTTGACTGAAAGGACAAAGGTCATTCGAATGAAATAAAACACGATATAGAGTATTATTTTCTGTAAAAAGAGACTGAGATAGAATGAATAGTTGGGAAAGTGAGATAGCAAGAGCAATTAAAGACTTCGGCGTATAGCGGTTATCTGGCTGTATTGAAGCGAAAATTAGAAGTTGATGTATTCTCAAGGCTGGCTGTGTCGCTTCATGTGCAGATTGAGATGGTCGGAGCGCGCAAACTTCCGGCCACAGTAACTGCATCGGAAAGGTTTGTCTCCAGTATGCTTCCGCATGTGACTAAATCGATTTCAAATTTTTTGTTGTTGAAACGTCCTCAATGAATTTATTTACCGGGTCAGTTCGTCACTCCGAGCGAATTTCCAGATGCAGTTTGTCCAAGTGCAGATGTAAGGTTTCTCACCACTGTGGGTCCTCTCGTGAGCTTTCAGGTGTGAGCTTTTGGAGTATCTAAGACACGGATGTAAACCGACATACAAAAAAAATCTTCTTACACTTTGAAACAACCGGGATGAGGGCAAACATGCTCGACATTTTTCTTATGAATTCGCTTCTTGTTACAGTGGTTTCTCAGCGACGGTGGACGGTCGTTGTCTTCTGATGCCGAGCAACCCGACGATGAATCGCATTCGCCCCTTAAAATCTTTTTTGAAATAAGTCTATCTCCAAAGTTAGTAACATTTAAGTTCTAAACTCTTATTAGTACATTTGAGCTCACACCGAAAAAAGGAATTCGTAAAAATGTTGTTGATTTTGATTTTTGATTATCTACTGATTCGATGTAGTGAAAGCGCCAATGGAGTTTCCGCTGCCAGCCAGAATTGGTTGAAGAATTTTTGGCGCAAAAAACGTGATTATCACATAAGCGAAATTTTCGTCGAAGACATGTGTACTCTCTGATGGCTGGTGAAAAATCAAAAAAGGACGTATAAAAATAGTTATTCATTTTGAATCAAGCAAACAAGTTTACAAAAATGATTGCTTTCATTGAGAAGTTAGTTTATTTTCTGTGAAAAAAAATTTGTTCAAAAGAGGTATTTCGCACAGGTATTTAGCGTTCAACTTTTATTAATTTATTTGGAAAGGGAGGTCATTTTAATCAAGATGATAAAATTTTTGTCGGCCAAAAAACGTCTTGATGTATCAAATTAAGATTCTGATGGTTAACACTTGCAAATTTCCTGTTTTCGAGAATGGAAGTTCTTGAAAAATGGGAAGTTGTGCAGGTCGAAGAAGAGTGTCTAGCCAGTTCTCAGAAAATCTGCTGTTCCAAGTAGAATACGAATCGAAACCTTTACAAGTAGGCTACCGGATTGCATTCCGATAGCTATCCCACCACGTATACAGTTTATAGACTGTGTGGATACCTCGATTGATGCCGTGTTCAATGTGATTCCGCGAAATTCAAAATAGCCGTCAGAGAAAGAGAAAGATAACTAAATTTTGGAGGGTCAGAGACCATTTTGCATTTCGCGGAAATTACTTTGAACACGGCATGAAATTCAAACCTATTAACCTTGAATTTGAATCCAACCTTCGTTAATTTTGCACAATTCTAAAACTGATCCTACATCGGTTCGCCTATAAGATGAAATAAATTTATTTTAGTTTTTCGACATGTTATTGAAGTTCTGTAGCTCTTATTGTTTCGCAAAACGAAAACGAGAAAAGTGAAGGACGGCATGTGCGATGGCGTCAAATTCTGCGGAGAATACTCGGGCTACGGTAGCGTAATCATAGTAAACAACTCGTAGAGTGATCAAAAATAAGAGATCGTTCGAGAGAATGGTCGAAATACCTTCAAAATCAAATAAATGACAAGTGACTACGCAAGCCCTTGGACAGAAGATTTAAAATTCCAGAGCCTCAGGCTTTTTTTGTTATTGTTATATTCGGGTATTCCCTGCAACATAAGGACCTGGTCAGATTCTAAAGAGTTGGCGCAAAGAAATCGCGCACACGAAACTGTCCTCCGATTGACATGCAAATGGTGCAATCACTTGTCCCGAGGGCAATTCCATCGGTAGAAATGTCGCAAACGCAGCGGCGTTCTTTTTCTGCGGCGTCGCTGCGGGTGGTCTTAACAAATTGGAAACTTTCGCAGCCTGACAAGGCCTTCGGAGCTTTTTAAGTTGATGCCAATCACTGGATCGGCTGTGAACCAAATCACTCTTTCGATTTGCTTTTGGAGGTCTAGTCAAGTTTTCCCGACGAGGAAGGAGGAGACCGAAGCGGGACGCGTAGCGTGTGCGCACGCGGTTCTTGGCACGAGTTCCATTCAACCGCCAGCGACTATTTGGAGAGCTCATTTATCGATTCTTTTCATTTCTTTTTTGTTCCTTCATTGATTTTTTTCTATTTGTTCATTGCAAAATAGTAGAATACATAAAAAAAAACGATGAAGGAGCGTGTTAAATAATCGGTGGCGTTTGAATTAACCTCTTGCCAAGAAACGCGAGCGCACACGCTACGCGTCCCGTCCACTTCATCGCCTCCCTCGCCTTTCAAGTCGGCATTCATTGACTATAGAATGAATGTGACCCTTACAAGGAAAGTGTGTGAGATGAACAACGCAGATCTGGTCCAAACTTCTGTGGTAGGTATTCCTAGGTGAGGTTGCTCAAAAACAGAAAAATTTTTGTGCTAAGCGCCAAAGGGTGCTGAGAAATAGCCTGTCGAAAACGTACAAAAAAAGACTGATTTTCTTCGGTTTTTCGATTTCCAAAACGTCTACTATTCTTAGATTTATCATGAGTAACATCAAAAGAATTCGTTTTTTTTCCTGTAAGTTTTCGACAAGCTATTTTTCAGTACCCTAAGGCGCCTAGCAGATAATTCTTTTTGTTTTCGAATACTCATATCTAAGACCACCTACCACAGAAGTTTGAACCAGATCTGCGATGTTCACCTCACAAACTTTCCTCGTTAGACGAAACATGATAAAAATGCAAAAAAAAATTTCAATTGAGCTAATTATGTAAGTCCTCGTCGGTATTTATTTATACACAATATAGAGCGGGAACAGAAACAAAAAGAAATCATTGAAAAAAAAAATTCTCGCTACGCCCACGTGCCGCTATTATTTGTTTTACCTGTCTTACAGGTGAGTTTTGTGTGCGAGCCGATTTTCGAATTTCCACAAACGATTTTTCGTCTAGTAAAAAAAACATGACTAATTCGTCGGAAATTTTCTAAGCGCTTGAGCGTTTTTCCGGATTTCTGCTTTCTTCCTATTTGTTCTACGACAAGAAATATTCATTCAATATGCAGAATAGTTAAATAAATCCGAACAGGCTGAGGAGCTTTTTTGAAAAAGAGTTACAATTTTTTTGTCTCTATTTTTTTTTTTTTTCGTGCTGTTCAAAAAAACCGACTAGATAAATATAAATAAAAAAATGTCATGGTAATCAATTTTTTTGTTTTTCTTTTTTTCTTTTTTTCTTTTTTCCACTCAGATTAATTTACTAGACGGTGAACAAAAAGTTCAATAAAGAACAACCGCCTTTTGCGAACTAGAGGATGTAGTGTGTAGTTGATCAAAATGAAGGTACAATCTTATGCGACTTTACGAGCTCACTAAATAAAAAATTTTGTAGCTAAAGGCTAGTGTCCTTACTCTAGGCGGAAGCCTTGAGACTTTACACGGAATTTTTTGAATTTCGAATTCGTCTGCGTCTGTTGCTGAACAAGGAGAGAAGAAAGTCGAAGAAGAGGTTTTCCATTAAGGCGCCAAATCAATGTCAAAGTTCGGGCTTGTCCGTATTGTAATGCTTTTAACAAATTTGTTTCGGTCTCTTGCTTTGGACGCGTCGAGTTATCAAGTGATAAAAAAAAGTCTAATCAGATTACGTGGAAAGTTCGAGTATTGCCAGTTGGAAAACTGAATTTTAATAGGCTTACATAATCGTACCAAAAAAGTCTCGAAAATTGCTTATCCAACTCTGTTAAGAAAAAAGGTTGCGGCGGTGTTTGAAGAAACAAAGAAGTTATTAACTTTGAGAGTGAAAAACAATTTGCTCATTTATTATTATAAAAAAGTTAAAAAGCTGGTAAGTTTCTGATAACGGACCCTAAGGCTTGAGACCTCAATTCCAGAAAAAAACTTTTAAAGAGACTGAACTGAAAAAAGAGCTTACGTGCTAGAAGTGCGATTGGAGGGTTCTTTTTTGATAGTAGGGAGCCGGTCAGCTAAAGAGCCGATTTCCATGTAGAACGGCGGCACCTCAGGACTCGAAGGCGGCGTGGATTCGTTTTTGAGGAAAGGAGTAGAATAGACATAGGTTTCTCCAGGAGTCGTCGACGTGGCAGGATAAGACATCTCCGTCGCGTAGCTCGTCGTCGGCGTCATCCCACAAGGGTCATAAGGATACGTCAGCGGACTCAATCCCATGGCTGGAGGAGGAATATTTTGATGAGTGTGGTATGTTGGCGGCGTCGGATACGGTGAGTGGTGACGCGGCGGCGAGAACGCCGGCTGCGGAATCACTGCGGCAGGCGGTGGCAGCTGCAGGGTCGGCGGCTCGCGGAGCGGCACATTCGCATTGGCGAACCGCGATCTCGTCGATCCCAGAGAATTGAGATTCGGCGTGATCAGCGGCGAAATGGGAGCTCGGAGAGTCCTCTGCAGTCCGTGCCCGATGCCGTACTCCCGACGAGCACTTTGGCCTCGGATGTCTTCCCATATGAACTCCCGAATATCCGCAAGGACCTGAAATTACCATTTCTTGATTATTTAAGCATTTTTTCGTTGTCATTAGGTGCAATTGAAAAAAAAGCTTTATTAAAAATTTTCGCCATCATCCTACATTCGATGATTCAGCAGAAAACTTCTCTGAAGACTGAATGAAAGTTTCAAAGTTTCAAAGCCTACTTCTGATTTTGATGTCTTGCCAGCAACTATTATACCTTGTATTTCGTTTAAAATACAAGGAAAAGTTCGCAAACATAAAAGGCCGAATCGATAAAAAATGAATGAGAGCGATTTTCAGATGGATGAGTTTTTTTTTCAGAAAATTAGTTCACGAAATTTTCTTCTCGAGATGATTTTTGATGGCAGAAAGAATCTTTCTATATAAAAAATTCCTGTAGAAAATATATTATTTCATATTCTATCTTTTCTTTCCGTTTTCTGTTTTCAGCTTTCAAACCAACAGTATCGAATGCCGACGAGTTTTGTTCGATCTATATTTTCACGCTGTCAAAGATGACGGCTTCTCGGAACGCGCAAAAATAATCGATAAAACCCAGTGATAAAGAAGAAAGAAGAAACAGAGGGAGAGAGACCAAAACGGTTCTCTTTTTGGCGTATTCTCGCAACATGTCACAGTTCGACGGCCTTTGGTCAACTCCTTATTAGGCGCGTCTACAGTATCTTCAAAAGAAAGTTCGAATTGTGGAAAAGTTGAATTTCAGTTACTTTCAAAGCTGCTTCTCTCCCAAAGTTTGGTATCTCACGCCCAAAAAAAAAGTAATGCTCAATGTTAATATATTCTGAGGTGATTGTAGAGATCACAAAACCTCATCTTTCGCAACAGAAAATAGTGAGTTTAAGGCTCTTGTACGAATAAAACACAACCTTATAAATAGAGAAAGTTGATCTAAACGTAAAAAAAACCTTCTGTTAAAGTAAACATTTTGGATTTCAAATGTGTCAGGCTGTTCAAAAGTTTAGAGATACACTAAAAATCAAGAATGTTCACTTGATGAAGATGGAATACAAAAAAGAAAGTTTCATTATTTCTAGATTTGAATGACAATTCCAAAAATCTCAATAACACTTTTTTCTACCCTTCTTCTGAATGACGTTCAAACAACGATTTTCTGATACTAATCCAAAAAAGTACAGTATAATGGGAACTAAGAAGAAAACGAATGACGCAGACCACGGAAAACGAAGAACGAACCTCTTCGTCGATGCCGCAGGAATAGCCGGAATCCCTCATCGGAAGAAGTAGACGCCGTTGTTAGAAGATAATAAACAGAAGACGCGGACAAGGTCAGAGACGTGGCAAAAGTCTCGACGAGAGAAAAAGAAATCGACTGTCGGCAAGCGAGGCGCCTGTGTGCACTGGAACGCGTTTACGTCGTTGTTGACAAAACTCGAAACACGGCCGCACTTTCTTGTCTTTCCGGGGCGATTTCGAAATCAGTTAGGTAGAAGCAGGTGAGTGACTTCTGAACAGGTACGGTTAGACAGGAGTTTTTGACCGCTTCGGTTATAGAGAGGACGAGAGGCGAGTAATACCTTTGGATAAACTGAGGTGCAGTCGGAATCAGAATCGCAGATGTGTTTCCGTTGAACGAAAAGTACCTCTGCGGCGGTACTTGTCAAGTCTATTCGCGGCCTTTGCAGAAGTGGCTTGCAAAAGCTGCTCGACTTCTTGCAGGTACACCTTCTGTAGTCGCAGAGACTTGGCGCAATAAGCAGGCGTGGCTTGGAGCTCCGCCCAGGGCGAGCTTCCAATCGGCAATGCAGACTCCGCCCACTAGGTCTTCTTCTCGGCACCGTCTGAAGAAGACGTCGCTTCACCGACCAAAAATCGTTTTGTGTAATCTGCAAAAGTTGAAATAATCAGTTTGTCGAGAAAGAGCAAAAGAATGTTCAAAGGTAATTTGTAAAAAAATGTTTCAGATGGAACATTAATGTCGGTGATTTCGTTTTTAGTTGTTGGATGAAACTTTTTACAACGGCACCAGGTCAAATAGCGCAATAAGGGGAGCCGTAAGTGTTAACGACGATCAAAACGGCGACGAATTGGCTGCCTGCTTGATTTGCGGCGAAAAGGAGAGAATAAAAAGAAGGGTGGCAGAACTGGATCGTCTTCCCATATTTGGCGCCACCAAATGAGGCTGCCACAAAATTTTATCACTTGCTGTGTTGATTATGCAAATCATTGACATCAAAACAAAAGAAGTGAACACTTTTAAAATTGATACCAAATATTAAATAGATGCGAATAAGCGAAGTATAGTACAACTTAGCAAAAACGGAGAAAAATTTTATTGGAAACGGCGCGGTCTTCCAACTTTATCTGAGCTTTATAAGAAACTTTATCTATGCTGCAAACTTGAGAGTCTGATAATGAGCATGATAAAACTTTTTCATGGTATCTGTTCTTTGTACAAGCTGCGTCGATCATATGACGGCTTTCAACTTGTTGACCAAGTTGGAAGAGAAATCTTCGTACTGATAAGCTTTTCCTTTTACCGTTGTGGCGCCGGCTCACGTCAGTTTCCGGGTTTCGACTTGGACCTCTTCTATTGATACAGAAATATTTCAGAGTAGTCATTCAGTATGATTCATGAATAGCTTGGCATAGCTGGCGGTAGTTTTTGGTCGGGAAAAATTCTCCTCTTCTTCTGCGCGCGAACGAAACGGCGACTATGATTAAGGAGCTTTGTTAAAATTACCTTTAATTTAAGAAAATCTTGGAAATTTTTGGCTCTTAACTTTAAAAAAATTCAACTTCATAATTCTGTGGAGTTTGCCTAAACATAATAAAGTAGCGAAAAATGATGAGTATTTTTATGGTTTTTCGTCGTCAAAAACAATAATTTTTAACTGTATTTTTAACCAATTAAGTAAAAGGATGGAATTGACAGTTTTAAATAATGGTTTGAACAGAAAAAAAAACTTCAAACAAAATTTTTTGGAATATCAATCAAAACCGCAAAAAAATTAAACGACAAATAAAAATTCAATAAAGCGATTAAACCAGTATGGAAGACTTTTAATAGAAACAATTAAGTAAAAACAGATCAAATACTTGGTAGCATAGTATTTTTGGTTTTTATATATTTTATATCTATCATAATAGCCCTGCAACTTCGGGGCATCGGATCGAGGAGTTTTTCCAACACGCTCATTGGGAACTTCTTCCAAACTTCTTCTATGTGCTTTTTCGAAGTTTAAGGTCAAAGCAATCGTTTTAACAACAAACGTCTTTGAAATTTCAGGTCAACATTTTTTTAAACAAAGTTATGAAGGAAAAACCAGACAAAAGTACTCACTACTTTCCGCTACTGTACATTAATTTAATTTATTAAAAATATGTTGTCGGCTAAAATTACAGGAAAAAGATTATCGATGCAGATGACGTTGGTTTTGAACTTGATATAAACCTGAGGATGAGAAATGATGCACATCGAGCATTTAAATTTTGCAGATAAAAAAATTTTATCGACAGCAATAATGCACGTTATCACGTGATAGCGAGCTCTCATTTCTGCGTTGAAAGCTTGAAAATGTGAGAAAAGTTACCTCACATTTCTGAGAGCTCATGAAAATTGTAGTACTGACTTCAAAAACATGGCTTAAATATCTTCTAGACTCTAGATGTGAAAAGCTTGCTTGGGATGTTGAACTTTAATAGAAAAGGCCCGCCGTCAAAAACCCAATAGACGACCTCCTAAATCAATTTGCTTATGACATGTCAGGCAGGAGATTTATTCATAAAGTTCGAACGAGAATCATAGTGAGAGGAAAGATTAAGAGGCGGAGTTTCTCCGCTTGATTTGCTTTTCCAACGTCTGATCGCTTGTGGCAAACTGCCAGCCGGTCTTATCTTTTCTCATGTCCCCTGAATATTCAAGCCAGAAAGCTCTTTTTTTTAAATTATATTTAACAGCAGCGTATGAATCCTGAAAACAGTGCGATATTTTCAAAAATGCCAATCGGATGAGAAACTCGAAAAGATAAGTTGCTACAATCTTGAAAATATGAGATATTTTGGGAAAAACACGAGTGTTCGAAAAAAAAAGAAACTATAATGTTGCGTCCTTCTTAAAGACAAACGATGCAAAAATTAATTATTTCTATCCTTTCTGTCTACTTTAATTCAAGTTTTCAATTTCACCTGTCTACTCGAAGCTCTTAATTTGTGCCTGCCTTCATCTATTCAAAAAATATAAGTGTGACGAGTACATCCTTATACTTATACTGTATACATCCGAAAAAAAATATAAATCGAAGTTGTTTATGGAACCTAAAAAGGTTGAAAAAGCAAAAAGTGATATGTAAAAATTGCGATTTTCGTACGAAGTTGGCGACCTCTCAACGATAAAATTATCAAAAAAAAGCAGCGAGAAAAAAAACACAGAAAAACTCAATCTTCCACGCTCTAGTTTCTAATCAAAAATATGGGGGTTTGGGAAAGAAAGGCTAAATCAGACATGAAAAAAAGAAAACTTTAGAAAGTAAAAAACATTTGGCTTTTTAAAGTTAGAACCTAGATATAAGTTTTTTTTGATTTGAGAAAGTGGACGTGGGACGGCCCCGCACAGAATGAGTGCGAGAATTCGTCGATAATTGGTAGAGGAAGTCGATAGTTCTTCGACCGGTCCCACCCTGATTGGTTGATAAAAGGCTGAGTCACGTGAAGAAAAACTACCGCGAGACTGAAAAAAATAGAAAAAAACATCTCACGTCAACTTGTCACCATATTTTTCTTCTTTGAGCTACTACGCCATCTTCTTCGATTTTCGCGATCTGTCTCTGTATAAGTGCCAAACTGTAAATTTTAGACTGAAGTAAAGACGCATGCAGAAATAAGCTATACAGATCGAAGTCAATTAAGTTTCGTGCAAAATTTTTGAAAAATTGGGATTGCATCTAATTCGTTTTTATGTGGGTATTGAGAAAAGATATTTTCCGTTGCTTTTTCCGAGAATTCCTCAAGCAAACAGTAAAAATGAAGAAAAAAATTGGTCCATGGAAAATATTCAGGTACGAAAAATTGGATGAATCACGAAAGAGTGGATGATTCCTAGAAACTGAATGTCCCAGACAGGGTTCCTCGACAACAGGAATGTCGACTGGGCAACTTGAATGAGAAAGAATTCGCAACTTTTGCCGTGTTTAGAGTATAACGGTTCGTTTTCTGAGTTAGTCATCGTCTTTTCGTCTTTCCTTCTTTTCATTACAACCAAAAACGAAAAAAAGGAATTTTCTCCAAACATTTTTGGTTTAACGAGAAACTGCGTTCGATTTGATTTTTGCCTAGCAGCATCTATATATTTTATTACTTATTTTTCGTTCCAAAAAATACACTATGGATGAGAAGCTACAGGAATCTGCTGAACAGCGTTTAGAAATGGGCGAACCCGTGAAGTGCACGTAATCAATGGCTCTTATCGCACTTTGAGCACTCACTTTCACGTCAACGTCGAGGACAACTGAAGTTGAAGATAATTTCAATGGAAAACTTTTGCATCAGGGAAATGATGATGTCAGAAAATTCGAAAATTTATTATTTTTTTTTGTTGTTGTTGAAGGTTATTCATTGATGTCGCGCAATCAATGGAGGACTTGCGTTTTAAATTTTCCCTGAAATGGATTTTGAGAGTGCTCAAACAAAGGAGGTCTCTAAAACGTGTAAAAATTTCTACAGTAACCAGTGGCCAGCTGTCAGGAAATAGTTAGTATGGAAAGGTTCTGAAAAGAAAAGAGAAGGGAAGTGAGCACCTTGGGACTTCGAGAGACGTGGAAAGTCGAAACGATGTGTCACTGGAAAGGCAGGGCAACCGGTATGTGGAGAATTCAATCTGCCATCAAAGTGCTTTCTCAGACACCCTATTTCCGGGAAATGAACTTTCAACCACACAATGCGACGAGGTTAACGGACAAGTTTTGGCAAGGAAAACCGTCTCTCTTTGAAGATTACCCACGATGCTCAACCATTTACCCATTCGTACATGAAAGCGCATTTGAAGAAACGAAAATCAGTGGGAAAAAAACAAGCTCTTCAACGAATAATAATTGTTTTCAGTGTTTTGGGGAGACATTCATAAACTCTTGTATTAGATATTGAAAACGCATACAAACCTCGAAAAGCAAATTTCCATAGAAAATGAAGACTGGCAAGTTTTGATGAGGCTGAATCCTCTTTTTTTAACTGAAAAATATTTTCATTAAAGAATTTTAAGACAAAATGAGAAATATATGAAATTCCAGTTCATTATACCGAGAAATATGAACAGATAGAAAAAGATGTTTCTCAGATCCACAGTGGATCTAAAAAGGCTTCAAAAATGACCTCAAAAATCTTTAGAGCAGCTGTTTTTCTCTTTTTTCAAAGCGGTTCTAATTTTTATAGCATTTACTATTGAAAGTTTTTTTGGAGTCTCGAAAAGATAATAAAAACTTTTTTTAAGCAATGAAAACAGTATCTTAGAAAGACCTTCACTTATTTGGGTATGAATTATCCTCATTTACCAAGTTCTTTGAAAAAATTCTCAAATCCTGTTTGAATTATTGGATGGAGGTTTTAAAAATTACAACATGTATTGATCCATTTTCTCGACAGAGGTCCTCTAAAAAATCTTCTTCTCTGCTTAGTAACTCAGCAACCAGGGAACTTTGAAGGCGTCCGTTTTTCAGAAGTTATTATAGCCCGTTAAGCGCCAGCTTTTCACGTTGTTCGCTTTCGTCTGACCTACAGAACTCACACCTTCGATGTGCGCGATATTATCTCTACCTGCTCCTTTAATATAACGGAAACTTCAGGCAAAATAACTCTAATGCTGGCCATTAGCACAAGTTGGGCTAATACGTCATAATTTTGCGAAACGAGTGCTCTACGGGTGCTGCCGCCGATCGCCCGGTGTTTTTTAACGTTTCGGCTGATCGCCTGGGCCTAAAAGGGAGCTCGGCGCTTGAACTGGGCGTTTGTGTAGATCTGTTGGACTTGTACGGGGTCTATTCGCGGCTTAAAATTGCGTTTCGGGTGCTCGGCTAAGGTTAAACGGGTGATCGGCGGTGGTTTCAGAATTTTATAAAATAAAAAAAGCCCATTTACGGGTGGCTTCCAAAAAGCCCAAAAGTTTTTGCAGTTTCTTGACTTCTCGACGAACCAGTCATTTCTTTTAACTCTTGAAAGGTCTCATTTCTACGCTAAAGTTGCATTAGAGCGCTCTGGTGACGAGGAAAACGCAATCAGGCAAGGAATGGGAAAACATTTGTTATGCGACTGATGGGAACCGCGCCGTTTTTCCTTTATTCAGGAACAAATGCTACCGGCTTTTTGTTCCTGTTACTACAACACATCGCCAAGGTCCATTCAATATGCCGAAACGAAATTTTGCGGTCTGAAGTCTTTCGGACAATTTTTAAAGTTAAAATAGTTCAACTGAAACTTTAGTGCATTCACTGCTAGATTGAGGCAATATTAGCATCATAGGTAAAACGAAAAAGTTCCTTCGAAGATCCTCAAAGGGTCCTGAGAAGGAGGTAAAAAGGTTTCTCTAAAAGCCCTAAAATGATGTAAAAAAGCTTTTGAGCTCCTTTTTCATAGCCTCAGAGGATCCTTTTGAATCTTCTCAAAAATTTTTAGTTGCTTTTCAGCATCTTTTTTTGTTAAAGGATTCGAAAAAGATGCAAAAAAGAAACAAAATGATATGAAAAAGATCTGCTGGGAACCCTTTCTGGGCTTTTTTTTTTGAGGAAAGCTTTGGAGAGCTTTCTTCGAACTTATTAAGTTTAAAAAATAGGAAGAACTTAATGTACAGATATTTTTTGGACTTTCGCTCGCCTGTAATCTGAAGGTTTACGGTATTTGGGCAGGTAAGAATGTGACAAACTGGCGCGGAATAGGTATATTTCTTATGTGCGAAAAGAGTGGCAAATCATAAGCTAATTGGGAGGGATCTTTTTTTATGGCGCGTTCAAAGTGATTCTCCGAAATCCAAAATAGCCGTCATAAAGAAAGAAAAAGATAACCTAATTTTGAAGAGTCAGAGATAATTTTGCATCTTGCGGGAATAGCTTTGAACACGGCATCAGATCCTCCGTGGTTCTAAGAAGTCTACGAACCCTGGTCGATGGGGAGAAGGATCAAGGCTTTTTTTTAAATACGCTCAAGTCTTCTCGTAAATTATGATGCTTAGGGTAGAAACACACCGAGAGATGGTACGACAAAATCTCAAGTCCGCAAATCTCGAGGACCGAAATCTTGTGTACGCAGATCTAAAGTCCCATAATCTTGGAAACCAAAATCTTGGAGACCAAAATCTTGGAAACCACAATCTTGGAAAGCAAAAATCTTCCTTTTTAGTCTTCTTTATTGCACTTTATCTACTTATATTCTCTTGTTTGGATCACCGAATACAATTTCTGATAAAATCTATTCGCAAAAAGCGTTGATTTTTTTACTTTTTCAAGATTGTGGTTTCCAAGATTTTGGTCTCCAAGATTTTGGTTTCCAAGATTATGGGACTTTAGATCTGCGTACACAAGATTACGGTCCTCGAGATTTGCGGACTTGAGATTTTGTCGTACCATCAACCGAGACGCACTATCGCATACTCGAAATTTCTTTTTCCAATTTTAGAATTTGCATTTTTTGGATAATAGTTCCTGAAATGTTCGAAGTCTTGTCAGTTTGTAGAAAATGGTGTGAAAAACATTCACTTACGTTAAAAAAGCATTCAGGAACCATTTTAAGAGGGGAAAACTCTATATTACTGATTACAGAATGAAAACAAAAAATATTATGAAGGTGAATCATCTCCCGTTGAATAAGAAATATATAATTCAGATAATTCAGAAAAATTCATATAAAAAAATCTTCGAACTCCATCAGAAAAATTTAATTTGGCTCTAGTTTACACGAAACCGGTTTCAAATTACGACAAAAAGAACTGGATAATAACTTTTTTTATTATTGAAATGTCAAACGCCTATTAATAAAGTAAAAAGCCAAAAATATGATAAATATGCTTTTTTTTTCAATAAACTCAAAGGATAAAAGTAGCTACCGGCTAGTTACTTCAAAGGCGTATGCTAATTCACGTGGAAAGTTTTTCTTTTTTTTAATCGAAATATCTTTTTGGAGTACTTTCCACAAAACGTAAGTGAAATTAGTGCATGGGGTACGGTATAAGTGTGCCGGCCTTTGACAAAAAGTCGATTCGGAAGACGATGAATCACGAAGGAACAAACAGGCGGCTGAAGTTGCCTTTTGGCGGTAGATTCAATCTATTAAGACTGTTTTTTTTTTCGATCCGCAACTTTCTGCGTAGTAGAAGCGTGCCGACTTCGTTTTTTGAAGAAATTTCTGAGGTTCGGCCTCATTCACGAGTTCATGTTTAGCTTCAAAGGATAAAAAAGTCTCAATGGAGGGACTCACTGCCGAAATCAAAGTTCAAGAAAGAATTAGAATTTGTGTGAAGAGTCGGAGGAACATTGTAGTGGGAAGAAAAGCGCGATTCAAAGTTTTCCTGGAATGGCTGAACTTTTGGTCGCAAAAGAGTCATAACTAAGGAGAATGTATTACGTTTCGGCTTATCTCTTTTTCAAACGTCAACGAACCTGATAAAAAGGTAAACTGAAAAAGATATTTTCCGTATTTCTCTCCATTTTAATAAAAATATTTTTTTAATTAAAAAAAGGACCAAAAAAAGTTTATCGTGTGAAATGGCGGACGTTTGTGATTTTCTCAAGTTCGATTAGAATTTAAAATTAATAGTTGTTTTCTCCGCCAGCCTATTTCAGGCTTATCAAAGTGTCTAGATGCGACCTAATGATAGGCAAACCATCATTTGGCTCCTACGAAACTGTTTGTTGAACCTGGTTACAGTATTCATCTAGAAAAGACGTGTTAATCTTGATGAGACCTTGAAAAAAGATGGAAAGGGCACAGTCATTAACCATTTCGGACGGGTTTATCACTAGATCCAACTGTAGCGAGTATGCAGAAGGACTTATTTCGATTCGAAACTTGGCGCCCGGCAAATTAATGAGCGGAGCGTGCAATGGCTCTCTCCACTTCCAGTGCTCTCTCGCTCTTCAAACCATTTGTCAGGTCCCATGAATTCGAATTCACACTTCGGGCAATCAAACATTTGATTTGGTTGGGTTTCAGACGACTGGCAAGGCCGTCTGGATACATTGCCCCCAAGATTTCAGCGAGGGTCTTTTCTTTGAATTTCTATAAGAATTCCCAAAAACGGAAACTTCTTATTCGAGTACGACCTTACATGGTAGTTCATTTATAGCTTTTCTTTAAACTAAATAGGTTATTATTAATTACCAAAAAAACATAAGAAACAAAAACAATGAATTAGGGATTATCAACATGACCCGATTTAAAAAAACCGCTAAAATTGTTGCATGATATGTGAATTTCGTATTGCTATGAGAAGTTAAAAAAATATTTGAATAAAACTTCAAGAGCTTTCTGAAGAAGGGGGGTCAGAAGCTCTCGTCTAGAAGCTTCTCTGAGAATTTAGAGATCAGTGATAATGTATTCGTGAGAGAAATATACATTCTTCTTCATCGGCTTCGTCTTCGCTTTCGGGCCGTAGAGTCGGTTGACTGTCGACGAGATGTTGGCTTCTGAACACCTTCACATTGAAAGTTCAGAAGAATAGCCTCACCTGACGTCGTCATCATGCTCTCGCGAGATCAGCAACATGGACTCGACTGTGCTCGCGGAGTTCGGCCACTCCGAAGAGTCGCGCGAGAGCAAAGCGCACTTTCTGCAACGGCATGTACTCACATCGATTAATTTTCTTGACTTTAAGTCACTGATGTTCAAATCTTCATCCCTAAAGACTAGAACATTCAGAAAAGGACATTTAATAAAAAAAAGTTTCTACGAACTCAAAGACTCGTTCGGAATTAATGGCGCTAGGAGGAATAGCGAGGAACTCTTTGGCCACAGCAGAAAGTCCTGGGAATTGACCGGAATGGTCGTTCCACCACGAAAAAGGGCAGTCGGTGGGAGCCAAACGGTTTCCACATTCAATAAGAGCTTTGTAACTGTGCAGTTCATCCATCTGAGTGCAAATCAAAGATTTTTGAAAGTCGAATCTTTAAAGTGGCGAAAAAACCAACCGAAAAAGAACTTGTCTTCAGATTCTTCTCTGAAGCAAGTTCGAAAGCAACCGTTTCCTCATCTACCTCTATTTTCGGTTGTTTCAAAAGTTCAAAAAGGTCGTCTAAAAAGGTACAGTATCAAAAAAGAGAAAAAGATTAAAATTATTAACCTTCATTCCCATAGCGTTGTGAGAAAAGCTCGCAGACTTCAGTCCACTCTTTGGGGCTGAATAAGGTTGAAAAAGCGAACCGAGGATCGAGCAACACTGCGAACCGCAACAACGGCAGATCTTTGACCTTTTCGGTTCTAGAGTCAGTTTGCTACGTCTGAAACGGCGTCTGATCAACAACCTCTCGCAAAAGATTTGAAGGAAGTGATCAACTTCGGCGGAGAAAGGGTGAAGTTCACAGGACGTATCTTTCAGAAGACTGCTCACAGCTTGTAGGCCAAAGCGGATTTTTGAGATAGCCGGTAGGAATATACTGAGTGAAGCGTTTTCCGGAGCCACCTGTTGACAAAAGATGCTCGAAAAAGTCAAAAGAAAGCAACGCGAACATTACTAACAAGGTAAATGTTTTCAGCACGCTTTTGGAATGTTAATGAAACTTGGCTGATGTGAACTTCAGAGCCTCCTAAACTAAATTACGGAACATGTAACAATTACTTGGTAGGTTTTTCGGGGACTTTTTGCAAACTGCACAAACAATGGAACAAACTCGTTGTTTGAAGCACTTGATTCATTTAAAGTTAAGCTGGCAAGCCGCTTTTGAAGGCCCTGTGGCCGCGTCGCGGCATACGAAGCGGTCAAAATTGCGCTAATTTTTGCGCTTTTCTGTCTCTTTTTTGAATCGTGGGTCAAGAAAACAAAAACATCGTATGAAGGAAAATTTAATATCATTAAATCTTGAGGTGGTTTGGGCGCATAAAACTTCTTACAAGATATATTTAAGAATGTCTCCTCTTGTTTTATTTCTAGATGTCAACGGTTCTGAAGTACAGTTCGGCCCTTTTTCTTCTAACTAGGGAACTACTCAGGCCCAGGTACGCGTATCAAGTTGAAACTACGGCGGCTTTCAGACTTTGCTAAGAGCTTTCAGAAACGAGAGATCATCCGTTAAACCACACAGGCTTTTGAGAAAAAGCTTCTCAAATAAATCCCAGAATTTTTCTGCACGCGCCTGGACCTTCTCTCTCAACGAGATGACCTGGCGCAGTGGTTATAAGGATAGTCATATAATTAACTTTTCGAGTAGGTTCGATTCTTGTCGAGGGAAAATATTTTTTCGCATTTTTCCTAAAGACAAAACACTTCTTATGTCATAAAATTGACAAAAAAATCTGTCTTCTGATTCAATTGCATTTTTTTTCTAAAAAAATTAAAAGAGTGATTAAAAGTTATTTTCAGTTTCTTTGAAAAGCCTTTTCTCATAAGCCTATGTGGTTTACGGAAAACTTGATTCTAAGAGATCTTACCTAGAAAGCCACAAAAGTTTTCAACTCCAAACTTGTCCCTAGTAAGTTTAATCGGGAGCTGAAAACGATTCCCTTGTAAGGAGCTTCTTTTCACCTTATCCATCGCGTTCGCATAACTTTCCAAGAGTTTACAGAGGAAAGAAATCTGCAGACATTCGTGTTGCGTAAAAGATGTCAAGTTATCCCTTTCCATGCTTTTCAGGAATTTGTTCTGAAAAAAAAAACCAAACTTGACAATGTTTTTTGATCACAAAACCTACATTTGAGTTCAAAGCACGGAACAAAACAAAAACTCTTTGCCAATCGTGAGCTTCGGATTGCGGCGGCAAGTTAACAAGAACTTCATTCTGCTTAGCAAGTCTGATCAAGGTTCGAGTCTTGGACGAGGGGAACTCACGATTCCGGGAGGTCTCTTATTCGATTTGTTTGATTTAAGACAAAGAGAGTCTTCATACATTTCTCCACAAATTGATTGAAAGGAGTGAGAAGATCTGTGAATATCCTGCCCACAAATCGCTGCCAGCAAGGAATTCTGAAAGAAGTCGTTATTTAGTTTGATATTTCTAATTATCATTGAGCGTGAGGAAAATTGAGAACCTCGGAATATTGTGAGCTTTGAAGGTTTCAGGTAGAAGGAACTCATAGGTGCTGGTGATAAAGCCGATTTGAGATGAAGAGATTCCACATCTTCCGACGATTTCATTCAAAACTATTGAGCAGTTTTCAACGCTTGGTTGAACGCCGTTTGGCAGAGAAACCACCCCTAACAGCTAAAAAAAGGCCACATTAAGAAATAATAGAGTAATGGACACACCAAATTGGTCCTCTGAAATGCTTCAAGGATGAAATGAGATGTCACGGAGATCAAATTTTTCGTTCCTTGGCAGCTCTTCCAGACATCCACTGTCAAAGAAACCCAAATAACAGATTTTAGAACGTGAGCTTTGATGCGAGAATTACCCTTTGTTCTTCGGGAATGAGCGAAATCGTGTTTCTGACGTAGTGAAGATGATCATTGGCCATTTTCCGCAAAAGTTTCATCATTTCGCGTTGATTGGGCAACTTATAGCTCCCCGATGAAGCAAGGTTGAACGCCTCTTCACAAAACAAAAAATTTGAAAGTGTCCAAATGACTTTTCGAAATTCCTTTCTTTATTTCGAAAATTTACCCAGCAAGTGAACGTTTTCCAAAGCAGAGAAGTTGGATAGAGAAGTGGAGAGAAAACGAGCCAAATTTCTGGAAATCAACGTGGGTAGATCCATGATGGTTCCTCCAATTTCCTTTCTTACAAAAGTCCTGAAGTCCACTAACCTTTACTGGAAGGTCGATTCATCTTTTTCGGAGGCTCACTGACAACCTGGTCAAACTCTTGAGAGCCGAGCAAAAGCCGGTGATCTTCCGGGTGGATTTTTTTGAAATGACGGATAACCTGACTTGTGCCATCTAGGTGAACAATTCAAAAGATACTTTGAAGAGAAACTCAACGCTTCAATATAAATTTTCTTTCACAAAGAATGCAGGTTCCTTCAGCATCACCTGGGTTGAAATCCTTCAAAAGCAGACGATATGACATCTTCAAATTATTTCATAAAAGCGCGTTCGAGTTGATGAAGCTTGATTAATTCTGATAACTTCCCGAAGTAACTTTGGGAGCGCCATGAAACAACAAGTTTAAAGGCATAGGGGCAGAAAAAAACGGGGTCTCAGGTGAGAGCAGAAGCTTGTACAGTTTTGGAGTGCGAATCGAACGTTCTGCTCAAAAAACTAAAAACACAAGCTTGAGTATGTTGATGAAGATGTGATTAAAATTAAACTAATTAATCTCGACTCGGGCAAAGTCGGAATGGAGGATAATGGCCGCTAAAGGGAGAGGGTCAAAAAGGGCCGCAGAAAGGCAGCAAAAAGGCAGCAAAGAGAGTCCCTTTATCGAGCCTTCCATTTTTCTGGGATTTTAAAGGCTCGAGATATGGTGGAGAAAGAAAGAGGCAGCAAAAATGGTGCATGAGGGCTAAGAAAATGGAGCAAAAAGGCAGCAAAAAGAGAGCCTTCATCACCCTAAAAGGAACACTTCTATGGACCTTTATGGACCCTCGGAGGGTCCTTCCGACTTTGCCTATGGAGTTTCCACAAGGATTCCCAATTGAAAACCGATTTTCCTTCATTCATCCTATTTTGGCTTTTTATAAATTTCAAATAATAGAAAATTCTTTTCTTAAAAGAATTACTAAAAAAGGCAGCAAAAAAAGAAGAAAACACAATCAGTAGCAAGTTTGTGATCCTCGGGGTTGTGGCACGGTAAAGTCGTTAAAAGGAAAAACCGAATAGATGACAGAATTGAAAGACGCGTCTCGCAGTCAGAACCCGTGTCCCCTTTTTCTCTAGTGTCTCACACACGGGCAAATGTCTCTTCCCGTTTCTTGCCTTCTCGACTTTGTCTCCGCCTGGGAACGCACAAATCGATTCGATTTCTTTAAATATGGCTCTGAATTGGAATTCCACGCTGACTTATCGCTCAATGAGGATGAAATGAAAAATTATACTTTTTTCTCACAGTCCAGATGATTGCGATTCAAGTTTCTCAATCCTAAGGGTTTTGATGACCAATGTATTTTTTATTTTCTAATAATCAATTTTTCTGTTTTCTAATAAATCAACAGATAACCACTAGTGAGTTCATACTCTACCGAATTTTTGCGAAGTGCAGTGCCTATGGCGGCATTCTGCAAAAAAGCTTCATGCATTTTGCACAGAAGTATCTCGCATTTTGCACTTTTTTTCGTCTGTACAAAAGTGAGCCCAAAAAGAAATGCAAAATGCGAGGTTCTTCTGGGCAAAATGCAAAGCACTGATTTGCAAAATGCATGAAGCTTTTTTGCAGAATGCCGCCATAGGCACTGCACTTTGCAAAAATTCTGTAGAGTAGTCCATAGTGAGTTAGAGCACTTAAAATTACTGCGTTGAAAGGGCCTGAATTCATCCGAGCCTGTACTCATCGGAACTCTTTGGTTAGGGACCGCAGAGCCACGCCCACTTCGCTGTTCAAAAAACTTCGTCATTTTCGTTGCATTTTGGTTCTTTTTTATATTTTAAAACAGTTTTCTTGTACCGATTTGGGCAAAAATTGGGGGAAACATACAATCGGCTATGCTTAACAATCCTACATAAAAAGAAAATACTGAAAAAAATGAGAAATAAGAATGTACGACGACAGTTTTTTTAAAACGCATTTGTGGCCGAAAAACGGATAAAAAAATCCCGTTTTTTTCTTGAAAGTTTCTGGGCAACTTTTTTTATTCTTGAATATCATAAAGCAACTAAAAACGCATATTCTGGCAAAAAATAAAAAAATTCTATGGTTAGCCTCAAAAAATAACGCAATTTGAAAATCACGATTTTCGACAACTTTGGTTACCACTGGCATCATTCGAACCCAAAATTTCCGAGTGTTCATTCCGAATTTTTGAAAAACATGCTGCCATGCATGTTGGTTCATCATGAGCGAATCAGTGAACCGCGGAATAAAAGGGAACAAAATCGAATAATGAAAATTGAGTCAAATTTTCTGAATAATATAATTGAAATTCTCCGATGAAAGAAAATTTTTCTCTCAAAACGTTCTCTTTCAAAAATTCCGCAAATCTCTTCCGTGCAACCCTGTGAAATTCTACGCCTGCGAGAGCCTTGTGCGTCAGACCGGACCCCTTTTTTTTTTTAGAAAAAACCTGCGCGGGCTTGGTCCTGGTTAGACTTCGAAAAAAATTTTTTTATTTCATTGAAAAAAATTTTTCATCGAAAATATTCTTTTACTTGTTAAATCATAGTTTCTGTAGAAAGCTATGTGAAAAAAGAGCGAAAACATGACTTTTGTCGTAAAAAACAAAGCCTGATTTTCGACTTGAAGAAAGTTTGAGCCTTTTTGGTCCGGGCCAGCCTTTTTTGCTTGAGGCTTCACTTAGGCCGGGCTCGGAAAATTGCCGGGTCTTAGTATTGGAGTTTCCGATAGGTTGACGGGCCGGTCCTCGCTCAAGCCTGCCTGCGAGTTCCCTTTACACGGCCGTGCACGGCGACACTAAATCGACGCCATACCTACCGCAACGGCGGAAAATAAAATGCGTTGTACGCAGTGGACGCGATGCATAAAACTCTAACAAAAGTTGCGGTGCACCCCGCGTCGAACTCTCGTTACACCTCGCAGTGTAACCAGGGGTGCACCCCGTTTAGCTTTAAATGCCTATTAAGGTAATTCTTCCGTAAACGATTTCGAAGTGGTTTGTTTCCCAATATCACCATTTTGTACTGTTTCATCTTAGGTCGTTACGGTAGCTTAAAAAAACTTTTTATTTCCGACCGGTTGCCCCAGGGGTTCACCCCATTCAGGTCCAACGCGGGGTGCAGCGCAAACATCAACGAAAAGTTCACTTTTTTCGGGGTTCACGGTGTTCCGCGCAATGAAAAAAAAATGCGAAATTTTGGGTCCCAGCGGCATATTATCCGTGGCGCATTATTGCGCCCTTCTCATGGTTTCTGGTGCAAAAATTGAATTTCTTCACCTTTTTTCATTGGTTTTTTATGCCGTGTTCAAAGTAATTTCCCACGGCGTTCTTGTCAGTGAAAGAAAATGCAGAAAAAAAATACCAGGGGCGGGCGCCGTAAATCGTACGGCAGCAGTAGTTTTGATCTGTTCAGGACCCGTTTTTGGATTACAATACCCACCCTTTAAAAGCTCTCGCAAGATTTACGGAAAGAGTTAGTTGAAAAAGCATCTTTTTTTGCTTTTTTTCTTTATTAATACTTCTTTTTAACGTTTTTTTTTCTATAAGTACAAGTTATTATCCAGTTCCTTTGGCGTAGTTTGAAACCAGTTTCGTGTAAATTAGAGCCAAATTGAATTTACTGATGCAGTTTGAAGATTTTTGTTATATGAATCATCTAAATTATATTTTTTTCCAGTTGTTTCATGGTTTTTCGGATTTAAACAAACATTTCGCCATACGAGGTTTTTTCTGAAAAATTTCTGCTTTCCTATCCATTATTTGTTTTCTCTGAAGCTAGGTTTTTCGAGGTATATAAAATGTTTCTTTTTCATTTGCTCCTCGAATTTTTCCTCATTTCAATATTTTTTTCGTATTTACAATTGCTTATTAAATGAGAGCTGATTCACCTTCATAATATTTTTTTGTTTTTCATTTTGTAATCAGTAATTTAGAGTTTTTCCCCTTCCGAAATCGTTCCTAAATTTTTTTAACGCAAGTGAATGTTTTTCACATCATAATCTTCAAACTGACCAGATTTCGAACATTTTCAGAAGTTATTATCCTAAAATTGCAAATTCTAAAATTGAAAAAAACAATTTTGAGTATGCGATAGTGCGTCTCGGTGTGCTTACACCCTAAACATCATAATTTACGAGAAGTCTTGACCTTGCGTAATAAAAAAAACGCCGTGTTCCGCGAAATGCAAAATGATCTCTGACTCTCCAAAATTTAGTGATCTTTTCCTTTCTCTAACGAGTATTTTGCATTTCGCGGAAATTACTTTGAACACGGCATTACTTTTTTCTATTTCTTGCATTTATGTGATCCGCCTCTCTATGGGTACATCTTGTGGAGCTTTAAATTGCGGACTTTTCTAAACCGGTTTCAGATCTTTAACTTTTTTTCTCAAAAGAGTTGAAGATTTTTTTCTAAAAGTCCTAATTTTTTTCAAAAATTTTTGAAATCTGTTTCGCGACATGAAAAAGAGTCACTCTATTTCGGAAACTATAGTTTTTTTAATTTAATCAGTTAATAATAAAAAAAGTTATTATCTAGTTCCTTTGACGTAGTTTGAAACCGGTTTCGTGTAAATTAGAGCCAAATTGAATTTGCTGATGCAATTTAATGATTTTTGATATATGAATCATCTAAATTATATATTTTTTTCTAGTTTTTTTGATGGTTTTTCGGATTTAAACAAAAAAATTTCGCCATACGAGGTTTTTTTCTAAAATTTCTGCTTTCTATCCATTATTTGTTTTTTTCTGAAGCTAGGTTTTTCGAGGTATATAAAATGTTTTTTTCATTTGCTTCTCGAATTTTTCCTCATTTCAATATTTTTTTCGTGTTTATAAATGCTTATTCAATGGGAGCTGATTCATTTTTCATAATATTTTTTTGTTTTTTTATTTTGTAATCAGTAATTTAGAGTTTTCCCCTTTCGAAATCGTTCCTAAATGTTTTTTAACGTAAGTGAATGTTTTTTTCACATCATATTCTTCAAACTGACAAATTTCGAACTTTTCAGGAGCTATTATCCTGAAATCGCAAATTCTAAAATTGAAAAAAAACATTTTGAGTATGCGATATTGCGTCTCGGTGTGCTTACATCCTAAACATCATAATTTACGAGAAGTCTTGACCTTGCGTAATGAAAAAAACACCGTGGGTTCACTGCGGGGTAAACCCTCATTTTTTTGTTAGAGAAGATACGCGCAAAAAGCGAAATTGAATAAACGTTTAAAAAGTTTATTAAAGCTTAAAAAAATCTGAAAAAAACTATAATATTATAGTTTTTTTCAGATTTTTGAATGTCAAGTCATCGCTCAAGCTCCGCTCCTATTGGAGCGATAAACCAATCAGAGAGCGAGCCATCCACAGAGCATTTTCGAATGACGTCATTGTACTTGACGTTCAAAAACTGAACAGACTATAGTTATAGGAACGCCGTGGCGTGGACTATAGTCGTCAGCATTAAAGAGTGAGAAAGATGATTAAATTTTGGAGAGTCAAATGCTTTTGAATTCTACGAAAGTGGAAGTTAGGTTTTTGAAAAAATGGAGCAAATCTTAAAACGGAAGAGAATTTTTCGAAGAGTTTTTGTTTCATTCTTTGAGCGAAGTTAATATTTCCTTTACTATTTTTTTTTCTTGATTACTCCCTCAATGTTTTTTTTTTGTGCCGTGTTCAAAGTAATTTCCGCGAAATGCAAAATGATCTCTGACTCTCCAAAATTTAGTGATCTTTTCCTTTCTCTAACGGGTATTTTGCATTTCGCGGAAATTACTTTGAACACGGCATTGGAGCTTCAATCGGATATCTCCCTTTTTATTAATTTTTTTTTCTTTGTTAGTATGTTAGTACCAATATCTCGGGGAAGTTAACCATCAAGTCTGAATAGCCGAACTCAGAAACTGTTTCTACGATTGTGGTAGGATGGGTATTGCCGGATTGTGGCCACTGCTGGAGCCAACTTCTATTCCAACAACACTGGAAGTCCTTGAAGGCAAAAAACTTGCGGTTGGTGGGTTTTTCTCATGCGTTTTTTTTGACATTATATTAATATTTTTTTCAGACGTTTCTCTATGGATCTATCAAGCGCAAATGGGATATTCGAATGAAGTGCGTTGTCCACATTTGGCGCTCTTGGTTAATCGAATGTGCAAGCTGTTGTTTTATCGCATCCGTCCAGTTTTCGTCTTTGATGGCCCCGATGTCCCAGTTTTTAAGCACCGTGTATTAGTTAGTTTCTTTTTCAAAATTCATTTGTATTTTTTTTATCGTTTAGGATTCTCGTAGATTGAAAAAAATTGCGGACGACGTCACTCTTAATCCAACGAAGAAGAAGCACATGAAGAAAATAGCTTCAGGTGACAAGAAGTCATGGAAAGCATTTGGATTTCATATTAGGGACACAATCAAGTTCGCAGTACGAAGCGTCTATAAACAAGCTGATCAGCCCGAAAAAAGGAAGCAGAAATGACGACATGTTCCGCGTTCCAGAAGTCACATTTAACATGTTGGTGACATCGAAAATTATCATAGTAGTTTATGCCGTGTTCAAAGTAATTTCCGCGAAATGCAAAATACCCGTTAGAGAAAGGAAAAGATCACTAAATTTTGGAGAGTCAGAGATCATTTTGCATTTCGCGGAAATTACTTTGAACACGGCATTAAAAAACCGTTTCTTATTCAGTCTTCGTTAAACACCGTTTAGTCAGCGAACCGTTCAGAAAAGTTGTTAAAAAATATCTCTTGTCAGATTCGATTCTTCAGAATAGTATTTTTAGTTATTCAAATAATGCTGAAAGTTTAAATGAAAGGCTCTTCAGAAAAAAATTTAAAAAAATCTTGAAAAAAATCTTGGTTTTTTTCCAGCTCTCTTCCTTTTTTCTTTTCATAGAACAACTTTTTAGGAACTCTGTAGATAAAAGGGAAAACGAGGAAAGTACATCTGAAGAGGAAGTCTACGATGATGAGGTGGTTGTGGTCCGCGACGACTTCTTGAAGGAGGAAGCGTCGGTCTCCGACGTCAGACGCCAGGTTGAAATCCTCGTCGACGAGCGCGAGCGTCTCCGCAAAAGTCGGCTAAATCCATCTAAGGTTTTCCAAAAAAAGGGTGTAAATAAATGTAATTTTTATTTGTTTATTTCTGAACAACTTGTAACGGTTCGAGATCAACTTTTTCTGTTTCTTGCTCCTATTTTTTCGTTACTTTCTTATTCTAGAAAAAAAGTTGTTTTCATCATGTCGATTAGAGAAACTTTTCATTTCAGATTCCGACCGATTCTCAAGACTTCAGCACATTCCAACTGCGACGGCTGCTGTCGCGTGGTCGATTGAACGCAAAAATCGAGCAGGTTGTTGATTTTTGAGGCTTCTCAACGGAAAATTGTTTCAGTTGGCCAAAGGAAGTTCCGGGTCGAGCGGTATGAACTTTTCAGTGAGAGGACCTCACGGGGAGCAGCACATTCTCAAGTACGGCGAAGACGACGATGTCGTAGAGGTTTGTCATTGTGTTCAATCTTGTCAAAAGAGCCGCTTCGTTAAGATAAAAGAGCAAACCACCGAGTTTTCTCGACCACTTCCAGAAGGTTTCGATCTTTCATTGGATTATCTTCGTCCGCAAATCGCCACTTATCAGAAAAATGAGTCTCTAAAAGATAACATGGTATCAAATGCCGGAATGTCTCCCAAAACTTGTTCAGTTTCGCAGAATGTCTCGAGCGAGAGCGACTTCGGCGAAAAGGTCGACAGGTACTTGAGTAAATCTGAAATGATTGGAGAAGTTGTTCGGAGAAGAGGCGGACCTTTGGAGCGAGGTTCGGGCTGCGATCCAGTCAAAGTTTCTCATCGTTGTTTCTAGCTGCCGCGCAGAGCGACGCTTGGTCTTGCAGCGACGACGACGATTTCATCGACGTCCCAGAGGAAAAAGTAGAAGGAGAAGAAGAAGAAGGAGCGAAGACGAATGTGAATAAGAAGGAGCAGGAGAAGAAAGAATCCGTCCAGAGACCGACGACACCTGAGTGGGATCCAGCAAGAGTATTTTATTGTCTTATAAAATCATAAAAATGTTCTTTTGCAGTTCGATAAAGAGTTAGAAAGTTCTTCGGGAACTCACGATGATTGGAAGACTTTGGCTGACGTCGCCGACGATAAAACTCTCATCCGAGATCCTGGGGTCTACAAAGATCTGCAGGTTGAATACTGGCGTTTAACAATTCTTCGCTTTAAAAAGTTATAGTTATTTTCGTATAACCTAGTAGCTCGCCGATAGAAAATAGTTAAAATAGTTTTGGGTTGTGCTCAGATAATGGAAGACTATGAAAATTTAAAGTTCTGTACAGTCAATTTTTCCCGAATTGAAGCGAGATGGGTTGATTGGCAAGGGTGAACGCGGCTTGTGGCGGATGAGGTCAAATATGATGGAAATTATTGAAAAACTGTTGAAAAAGGAGAAAAAAAAATACTGAGAAAAAACCCATCATACTCCACAGTGGTTATAAATTGTTTTTCGTTTGATAAAGATGAGTCTTGCAGGATTTCCTGACGGCCTGTGGTTTTCCTTGGATCGAGGCCCCTGGTGAGGCTGAAGCTCAATGTGTGGAATTGGAACGCCTGGGGTTGGTCGAGGTTCGAACTCCTCAGGGCGTTTTTCATATTTGGATTGGAGGGAGTCGTGTCCGATGACAGCGACGTCTGGGCTTTCGGCGCTCAGAACGTTTACAGACATTTGTTCTCGAAATCCAAAAATGTTCAGCACTACAACTTTTTGAACACAAAAAAGAAACTAGGTTTAAAATCCAGTTTCTGTTGTGATATTTTGCGTGTTCGAGGTCTTGAGCAAGAAGATTACGTCGCTCTTGCGATCATTTCTGGCGGCGATTATTCTTCGGGGCTAAGGCAGGTAATAAAATATGCGAGTTTTTCGATTTTTTGAAACAATTTTTCAGATTGGAATGATCACAGCATTGGAAATCCTTGCGGAGTTTTCTGACAAGAGGAGCCATCAGGACGTGACGTCGGCTGAGAAAAGAGTGACTTCATCGATCTATTTCTTTTCTTGGCGTAGGTGTACGAGCTCTTGGTCAGAGTCGAATCCTGGGTTAGTAAGAACGAAAATCCAGTTTACACGGCCGAACTTCGGAAAGCGTTGGCCGTCATCAAAGTGAACAACGAATTGAAAGATGTCCAAAAGGTCATTATAAAAAAAATGCGATAAAAGAACCGAGAAATTTTTCAAAAATGAATTTCAGTAGTTTAATCTCTTTTATATTTCACCAACTATTTGTTTCAATTCTCTAAATGCTGAACTTATTTCAAAATTTTTCCGTTACCAAGAATATAATATTTTCCAACATGACTCAAATTGCAACATACTGTCTCAAAGTTCCGGGTTTTTTAATTGATTTAACGGAAAACCTTCGAGTTTTGATTGAAGTTGGTGAATCGTGATGTCATCAAAGCGTACTTCGAGCCGAAGGTGGACGACAGCTCGGAGACGTTGCGATGGAAGGCCGTCGACGTGAGCCGCGTCAGGCAGATGCTCTCCCAGCAGCTCGGCGTCCAAGGCAACAAGTTCGAAGAGGTCCTCCCCTTCTTTCTTTCTTCGCCTTATCAGGACTTTATGTATAAAAACAGTTTCTCTTCAATTGCTTCTCAAAAATGTGTCTCGGCTCTTTTTTCGGTAAGCAGGCAGGTTATCAATCTTCGCACGACACTTTGAAATGGTTTTTATGGATTCAGAAGGCTTTGTATTATCTGGCAATCAATCCTATCATTTCAGCAGATTTTGGTACCTCTGAACCGGTGGAACGACTTCATCGCCCGTCGATCGTCCTACCAACGTCACATCACCAGTTACGCTCACAAGATCGAGCAGTCTTCGAAAGAACAGAAGACGCAGCTCACGAAAAGATCTTGGAACGCCTTGAAGAGACTCGCGACACGCACTGGTTTATTATTATTTTTTGCGTCACTTTTTTTTCTATCTAATCGCTAATTTGTTTTTCGATGACGACGGTTCACGTTTTTTTTTCAGAAAATCCTCTCGGCGAAGAGAGCTCTCTGATCTGCCAGGCGTCTTTTGTAGACGAAGGATCTTCTCTCCCAGAACCCTCAACTTCGAAATCTACAAAACCTGCGACAACAAGGAAAAGAGGCGCTGCCGCCAAACGCGGAAAGTCAAAAACAGCGCCTGGCCGAAAGACAAATAAGAAATCAGAAGCCGTCCTTCGTCTTTCGGAGAGCTCGGATTCAGACTTTGACTAACTATTTCCTGTGAATAATAAAAACATGCACTTTTTTTTAATGTTAGGAAAACTTTATACACGAAATAGAGATATGAAATAAATACCAGTTGATTGAGATCAGGGGGGAGGTATCTTACATAGTATTGGCTATCATTATGCTGAAGAACGTAAAATAACATAGAAAGCGAAATCTGATTAGCGTTATCTCTTTTACATGTCTAGGAAACGTTTTTAGCCGCCAATGAACTTTTTTGAAACTTTGCTACGGTGTACATTAAGACCTCCTGATTCCAAAACAAAAAATAATTTCTCGCATTAGTTTTTTCTCAATTTATGAAGCTTCAAAGTTTGCAAAATACGCAAATTACATATGACAAAAAAAAACGTAGTTTCAAGCTTTTTTAGCGTCTCAACTCGAAAAATAGATCTATTGCAAGCTCTCTTTAGAGAAGTTTCATCGGAAGTTCAACAGGGCTAAAAAACGTTCTCTACTCAAGTTTTCTAATTTTTCTATAGTTAGTTCTCATCATTGAGAGTATGAGATCAATCACTTTTTGTGAATTCACGTTTGGAGTTAGTTTCAACTTGTACGAGTAACTTTTAGAAGAAAATATATAACGCATTTTTACTTGTTTTCAGAGAAAATTGACCAGGTTAAGTCTTTTTTCTGAAATTACCTCGAATCAATCTGTTATTTTACTAATTAGCGGATTCGTTTGGGAAGATACACTTGGGGACCGTTTGGATCTTCGCCAAGTTCCCGCAAATGCGCGTCGACTTTTCTTAACTCGTCGTCGATCTCGTCGTTCGTCAGACTCTCCAGTTCTTGCGCTGCGCTTCCAGGAATTTCGCACATTTGAACTGACGGCGCGCCTTTCACCTTCAGAAAAAACATTTGTCGAAAATTCAGTTGGCAAGTACTCACCTGTCTTAAATTTTCGATGATTTCGATTCTCAACTTGTCAAGATACTGAAAATTAAAAACTGGAACGGTCAAGAAACCATTAGAGGACGACATATGGGGACTATGTTGATTCGGCGCTCTGTTCATTTTCACTCACTTTATTTTGAAGTTGTTTGATTCAATTTAACCTCACGATATCGCAACTTTTCAGTTTGAAAATTGAATTTATCGAATTTCGGATGAACAAAAATGAAATTAAAAAGTTGAAAAATCGGAAGAGAAGTGCGCGTTTGAGATACTTTATGATTAAAAAAAACTTGCCTCTTCTGAATTTGCGTTGGGGAACTTTTTCGGAACGTTGGGTCGGAGAATGTAGTCTGGAGCGAAATAGTTGTAGTATTCTGAAAACGAGACGATTTGGAAGGGCGTCGGCGGCTGACCGGCAGTTTCAGGAATCGTGTTGGGGACGGTGTAGTCGAGAAGAACGCCAGTCTCGTTTGTCCAACACCGCGCGACGTTCCGAAGAGTGTAGCCGCCGCCGCCAACCACCAACATGGGGATGTTAAACTTTTTGACCCAGGCGACGCACTCGGCGTGTCCTTGGAACCTGAGTGGGCCAGAATTCCTCCAGAAAACTGAAGAAAACCAACGACAAGCTGAACGAGCCGAGACGATCGCCACAGAGCGAATCTGCACCACACTGCAGCACGATAGCTTCCGGCTGGTAGTTCTCCATTACGGCGCTGATGACCGGCTTGAAGGTGCGCAGGTAAGCTGCAAAGACCGCCGTTCAATTTTCTGAGGTAGAAGGTCCACTCACAATCGTCCTCGATGCCTTCTGCGAAGGGGACATTGACCGCAAAGTACTTCCCTTTGTCGAAGCCGAGGTCGTAAAGACTGCCTGTGCCGGGGAAGAAGTTGCCGTAGCGATGGAAAGACACCGTCATCACCTGTTTCATGGAGATGAGATATTGAGAGATTCGAAAAGGAGCGAATGACTGACTCTGTCGGTGTTATTGAAGGCCTCTTGAACGCCGTCTCCGTGGTGTATGTCGATGTCGATGTAAAGAACCCTAAGCAAGACGTTTTCCCAATTCCTTCGCGAGAACAACGTTACCGTTTGTGATACTTGAGCAACTCAAGAATGGCTAACACGATGTCGTTGACGTAACAGAAACCACTTGCCTCAGACTGCAAAGCAGAATTATTTCTTTTTATTCTAAATTTAAACAAGGTAACAGTCTGCACCAAAAGTTGATGGTGCTTCAGACTCAACACCGAATCCTTGGCAAGCGGGGTAGCTTGATGACATTGATTCAGGTGCAGCTGCTGATCGTCTCACTTTTTTGGCGTGGTGCAGGCCCCCGGCCCAGTTAATGACGATGTCGCAGAGTTTGTGGTTGAGCCGTCGCGCGCCTTCTACCGAGCCGCCTGAGTACAGCGAGCAGTAGTCGAACATTCCTTCGAATATCGGACTGAAAATGCATTTCGATCTCAATAAGTTAGTGAAACACGAAAATACACGAACCAGTCCTCGCCGATGTTGTACTTAGGCATTTCGGACTCCCAGGTCGAGAAAGTGGCCGGAGAGACCTTCTGCAAGAAGTTGACGTAGTCTTCGGAGTGGAATCGCCTGAATAACCCGAGGATCAGTAGACATCGTCGCCCGACTCACATCAACTCTTCGGCGCCAAGTCGCGGCAGTTCCACCACCTTCATTTTCTTGTGGATGTTGTAAGAGATGATGAGGTTGTTGAGAGCCTGAAGTCGTTGCGGCTTCATCGGATGGTGGCGGCCTGCACGGGAAATAACCAAAGTTTCCGAAGCGGATATTTTTCGCGATCTTTACACAAACAGATTCTCACGAAGGTGCAGAATTTTGGGTCCTGAGTGGAATTTTGTTTTCTCAATTAGGAGCCAAGCAAGTTAGTTTCTCGATTTTTGAGAATTTTTTGGTTGACTCGTTGGAAGAAAGTCTGCGAGAAGCAGTTCTCATCAAAAAAACTTGGCGTAGGGAGGAAAAAAACTCAGAACGTAATAAACTTCTTTCGAATAGGAAAAAGAGGAAATTTATTCAGCCGCACATACCATAGTGAAAGTTTCCAACCTCCGGATGAAAGTAGTAAACGACCGATTTCTTGTTTGACATCGCTTCTACTAAAAGTTCAACCGCTTATATGAATACTGCAACCGTTCGCATCATAATTCGCGATCCCAAAGTGCTAGACATCTCAAAACCCAGAATACAAGAGAATTTTCTTCATATTAGAAGTATATCCGTTGAAAGGAAAATAATTAAGTTGAGCTTTTAAATTAGGAAACCGAAAATTATCGTCACTAACTCATTTATGACTATTATCTTGCAGATCGTGAATTCTTATGCTAACAAACTTTGAAATTTTGAAAATAAACTGAAAGTGCCTTCTTTTAACACATTTTGAAAAATTCAAAGAGAATACAATTGAAAAAATTTATTTGGCAAAAACAAAAAGTCACTGACTTCTTTTTTGAATGAAATAGTATACAAACGAGAAAAAGAGAGGTGGTAGAGATGAGGAAATGGGGCAAAAATAAACGCTTTCGGCGTGCAGAAGATCATTCACACCTGCAAAGACAGTTTTAGGAAGATTGGAAAAAAAAAACCGTTGAATTAATACTTCAAAAACTCAACGTATTACGAATGAGCCACCACCATATAAACATCTGAGTGAATTGAAGTGAAAAAATATATAGATAAAACGCCGGAGAACCACGTAGAAATACAGAGAATATTATCGCTATGAACACGATATCATAAAACCCGTACAAATTAACGCCCAATTTGGGTAAAAGGAAATAGAATAGGTATCTATGGCTGCGTTCCTTGACAGTCACTGCAAAACAGCTCCTTCTTGAAAACTTCTGATTGATTATTGAAGAAAAGGTTACGCGCATGAAAAAGGAGGATCTAGAAGAATTAAAAAAAGGTGATGAGAAATCGTCACTCGTGTCAGTTACACGCCGTAATAAACGGTTATGAAGATACGAATTCCCGCAATTTAGAGTTCAATTCGGACAAATGGAGAGGTATAACAAGAAAGATTGCGATGATTTCCGATTACTGAGAGACCTTGTTTTGTAGAAATGAAATGAACAGAACTGTATGTGCAAATAAAGTGAGGAGAGTGGAGAGTTACACGTATGAGTTGGGGCTCAATGGAATTGGAGATCACCTGCCGGCGCCAGCTCGAAGGGGCGTCGGCGGCATGATTTGTGGCTGCGGCAACAGCGATTGGTGGCTTCGGAACGGCATCTGCGGAGGCGGCTACAAACGAAACAATTTTTCAGCCTTTAGGCGGAGGAAAAAAACAGCTAACCAATAGTTTCGGCTTCAGGCCTCGAAATTACTTATAAACTTACATATTTGAGATAATTCGAAAAAATATTATGTGCAAGGTATTTTTATAAAGAGGTAAGTTGTAGATGGTCATTAATATTATAGAGGATGAGACATCTTTCTTTTGTTTCCCTGCCTCTAAAGGTTTCACAAACGCATTTTGCAAACGTTTTTTTTTTAAATTTTTTGTTCGACCTTTTTGCTCTCAAAAAAAAAGTAGTGAACTGATTTATTGACACCTAAGTCTGTAGGTTCATGTAAAATCTCCATCTTCATAAATTTAGTTTACAAAAAAAGTCATTCATTTTTCAGGAAATTCGTGGTGACGCCTTGAAATTTATAAAAAAAATAAAGAACAGAAATAGAAATACTTACCATGCTGTCGTGGCTTGAAACAGAAGTAGCAGAGCTGACGAAAAGAGAACGATGAGCAGAGCTGACGGGCGGCAAAGTCGCGACGGACCGCGACGGCGTTCCCTCCAGAGAGGCGACCGGCGGCCTCTGCGGCGTCGCCAGGTACTGCGAGCTAGGATGAGAGGACAGCAACGAGTTGGACGAAGAGCACGTCGGCAACTTTTCGTCGTCAATGGCCGGCGCGTGCAGTTCGGCGAGGAGCTGAGCGAGGGCGTGGCTGCTCTCCAGCCGCGATAGCGCCAGCCAGCACAGGTGAGGCTCGTGTCTCCGCAGGAAACTGAACAACTTTGTATCTGGGGTCTTTTCAGTGAGAACTTTAAACAACAATAAATCATGTCGCTTTTCACAGAGTTAGACTTCAAAGTTTGCAAATTGGTTGCTCCAAACTTTTCTTCTTCCAGAACGGGCTGTAGAGTATAAGAGAGGAAAATATAAAAGATTGAAGAAACTAAAGAAGCACAGAAAAAAAAATTTTTTTATTAGATCAATCTCTGAACAAATTTTTTCGGAAAACTACGCTCTATCCCCTTAAAAATGATTCCCATCTTTTCTAACTAGGTAAGAATGAAAAAAAATGAAAAAAAAAGTCATAATTTTAACGGCGGAAAGAACTTGGAAATATTTAAGAAGATCTTAGAATCAGAAGAAAAAAGGAATACTCACTGTCGCCCTTCAGCAGAGTATCGTGCCAAGTTTCGAAGGATCAGACAGCTGGTCAGTCTTATACTTTTCGTAACCGGGCCTTCAGGCTCATCCTAGATCGAAATATCATATTTTGGAGAAGATTGAGGAAAGGGTACCGTGATTTCTCTGCTCAAGAAGTTGAAGGCGTGTCGGCGGATGGCGTCCATGGCGGCGTGCTTGGCGTATCCTGGGTGTGGGGGCACATCTCGCGGCAAGTCCGGCCGGAAAGGGACGGGTTTCGCCGGCGCGATTCCTTCTCTGAAACAATCTCAGCAGGTGAGCGAGGTAAAAAAGTTATTTTGGCTTACTTATTATAAAAATGGTACCTCATTACATCTTCTGTACATTCTTCAGACTCGAGACACCTCATAGTTTTTGTCCTTATTATCATTGCCAATTCCTGCTATTGAACAACTTTTGCGCTCTATTTTGAAATCGTAGAAACGTCTCATTTTACTTTTCGAAAAATATTCGAATGTTACTTAGATTAGACGTCTTTAAAAGAAAATTTCTTAACGCCCATGTTTTGCTTATTTCCGTATACAAAAAAAAAAATCATGATTCAAAAAATTGCGAAACCTCCGCCGCTGGGCTGCGAGCTTGAAATGGTGGTCCGTGCAGTGGTGATCCTGCAGGTGAGTGATCAACGACCATCTGAAACAAAAACTTTTTTTCCTGCGAGAAGTCGGGTGCAGCACTCACTTGCTGCGTTGCGTGCCGTCGCAGTTAGGCCACTTGCAGACTTGGGCCAGCTCTTCGGTCGCGTGTTCCTGTGTGAGATGCACGAGGGCGTTGGAGCTTGAGGTGAGGAACAGGCCGCAGCCGTCCCATTCGCACATAAAGTCCGTCTCCACTTCCGATGTGGTCGCCACCGGAATGCTCTTCTGAAAATGCGTCTTTCCGGTGAAAAAGGAAAACTTCGTTTTTTTTTTTTAAAATCTCAAATGTTGTGGGAGGAATCTAAATAGAAATCTCCTAAACTTCTTCGAAACCGACAAAAACTCAATGAAAATGTTATTTCATCCTTGAAAAATACTTAGATAGTTTTAGTATCAAGAGTTCTAAAATATTGGCTCAGCGACTCCATAAAAGTTCATCTGCAACAAAAAAGGTGTGCGGGAAAAAGCAATATCAGGAAATGAATATGTTTCTGGTGGAAAAGAGACAAACTTCGTCGATGTCGGTGGAAGACTCGACGTCAAGGTGAACGCCGTTTTGCTGAACCTCGTCGGCGTCGGTTTTCGATGTGGACGATGACTTTTTGTTGGAGTTTAGCGGACTGACACTCGAAGATTTGGAGCTTTTGTTTCGAGAAGAACGCCGGGTCGTCTCCGAAGTTCCGTTGGTCAGAGTACCGTTCTGCAGCTTTTCTCCCTCTCTCTCCTCATCGTGAAGCTTCGACTTCTCTTTCTTACAGTCTTCAACTTTTTCCTGAAAATTTTTACATTATGATAATAGATTTGAAGTCGCAAATACATCTGAAAATTGGTTTTAAATGTGAATATTCAAAACCGCCATCTTTCCAAAAATTCTAAACTGTAACGAAATAGTTGCCTTGTCAGTCCATTCATACGCTCTCTTCAATTACAACATCTTGAAAGAGACCCGCTCTAATTATTCCTGCTCCTAAACACTGCTTCAAATTGAATTTTACTTTTTCGAAAAAGTTTAATGCCTGATAGAAACGTTTTCTTTCAACTTATTTTTTCAACCTTTCTAGCAAACATTCAATTACAACATCTTGAAAGAGACCCATTTTCGTACCAAAATCAGCAGATAAAGACCGGAAGGAGCTGTTTGTGCAGAGCAATGAAAATATTGACTAACTATTCCGAATACTTCGCAAGTAAATGAAAAAAAGAAGCGCATGCAAGAAAACAAAGGAAGTGCCCACAATGGCGTTTTGCTCGCGACGCTCGATCCGCACCTCTTTGCCTTCGATGAAGCCGTTAGACTCGCTCAACGTCACGGGTTCTTGGCAGATCTCCAGATGGCCGTTCATATTTCGCTTCTCTCCGTCCTTCTTTTCCTCCTGTTAAACACACCACTTTCTAGATAGAAAACAGGAGCACGTGTCAGCCATTCCCAACAAAAATATGAAAAATTGAGTTTGTCTCAAAGAATTTACAGACTATGAGTAATTTTTTCATCACGAGAAACAAATTTCACGTCAAAAGTGAGATCTTTTAATATCAAATTTGATTTGAAACTTATTAGGGAAAACGATAGTTGCAAAAAGCAAAGAAACAAAAGAAATTTTTTTCGGAAAGATTTGAAAAACACATCTGAGTGAGATAAATATTCAAATATTCGAAAACGTCTCGAGTCTAGAGTGCTGATGTTAGTAACAAAAAAGGGACGAATGAACTGAAAAGGCTTTGACGAACCTCTTCGCTGGGAGATGAAGGCTTCGCTTCCATTTCAGAAGAAGTGTCCGATGGCGAGAGGCTGAAATTCGAACAACTTAATTGGGGTCCGAAAAAGAATGCAAACTTGTGGCCGTTGATACCGTTCTCCCTGACAAGGTTGTTGGATTTGGAATCCTTGGAAAGCATTTGTTTCATCAGAGGATGGGCCACAATCGTCGAATTCTCCTGCTTCTTCTCCTGTTCGGCAGACGGCGTCGCTGGATTGACCGCCGTCGCCGAAGCAGCTGGCGCCAGTCCTGAACCTCAAAGCTACAGGATTCTTTCATACAATATTTCTATGCATTCCAAAACGGGCTGTAGGTCTGTTTTGAAAATAATGTTTTGAATGAATTTTTTACACAACAGAAGACGAAATTGAGCAATGTCGGGAAAGATAGAATGGTAGATAAAAATACTTGAATAAATTGTTCGAATTTTAGCAAAATATGTTTTGATTTTTTATATTTTCTTTCTACTCATCACACTACAAGTTTCAACCAGTTGGCGAGGAAGATAATTTCAAAAAAGCAACGGAAAAAGTAAAAATATACATTAACCACGAGAGGACTTGAATTTAAAAACTCTGGTGGCTGAAAGAAATAAACATACGGTGCGGTCGAACAAGACGGATTCCCTGAGCGACAATCATGATTCCGTTCTCAGATATCCGGAAAGCGACCTCCGGATACAGATGTCTGCAAGACACTAGACTTGAGAAAAAGAACAGTCGGAAAGCCAACTTCATGACGTTGCTGAACATGGCGAGACTTCCGCTGAGGGAATGGTACTGGTTGCGCAGGTCGTCGACGTAAGCCGCGTAGAGCTCGCCTCGAGGCGTCGACATGGCCGGATCGAAGACGCAGTTCACTCGGATCCACTTTTCCGTCAGCTGCTCTACCTGAACAACCATTTTCCAAAAAACGCATTCCTTCTTTTGAAATCCAACTAAAACGTTACACTTCTATGCAGTTTACAGCAAAAATTTTATGCAAACATTTTTCTTTTACATATTCCGTATGATTTTGAACAAACTTAACCGTCTCTATCATTCCTGGACTCGGCAATTATTTTTCATAACTCCCGCTGAAAGATCGGCTGAAAGCATTTAGACTATTTTTGCAAGTTCTTCATATTTTTTCTAGGGAAAAATTATAATTTGTAGTAGGTTTATTAACAAATAGATTTTTTAAAGCCTTTCTTTACTGATCATTTGAGCCATTTGAAAGAGAACGCCTACAAAGTATAATAATCTTCTTTGTGAAGAAATTTTTTCTGCTATCATATTAATATTTCGTTCTTATTGTTCCTATTTGGTTCCGAAAAGAACTTCGTAGTTTTTGTTTCTACTATCCAAGCAAACCTGAGACTCTCCGTTGCCCGGACCATTGCTCGTCGGCGGCATAGAAACGGGGCTGGTGGGTTGCTGCTGTGCGATGGGGCGCAGTTGCGGCGAACTCATGTGCTGTTGCATGTGCGGTGGAATGGCCGAGGCTTGCTGCTGCTGCTGCTGGACGAACTGAGGCTGGTTGACGAGGCCGCTGGCGATCGCCTGCCGGACAGTCATTTGCGAGGAGGCCGACTGCGGCGGCGGAAGCTGGCTCGGGATCCTGGACGGTTGCTGCGGCTGAGACGACGGCTGCTGCGGCTGCATCGGGTGCGACTGGTTCGGATGCGTTTGCTGCATCGGCGGAGGATTCGGCATACCCTGAATCCCGAACATAAAAACGGATCATCAATTCAAAACATATATGAAAGGAGTGGCAGTAGAAAATAACTTATAACTGAATATTTGTTGAATTTTCTCTCTCGGTTTGGCTCTATCGCTTTGAAGCAGATCAAAATATTCAGGTCATTCACTAGGTTTAATACTAGATCACCTGTATTTGGAATAAGCTTTCACACTTTTTCCTCACTATCTCTCTGTCATTTTGTTGAACAGTGATGGAAACCAAATTAAAAATTTTTTTAATTTTTTTAAATGGTTTATCGTTGTTTAACATAATGGCAGAAAAGAAAAATTTTTTTCAATTTTTTTCTTAAACCAGAAATCATTTGAAAAAAACAGTTTGAAAAAAATGGATAACTACAAAGCTACTCGCAATGAACAAACAAAACCGCAAAAACTAGACAACGCTTCCGGGAAAGGGGAGACGAAAACGATTTATGTTTGAATAATGCAAAAAGCCGAGTTCAAACTCTGGATAGGTGTTGTGGATACGCTTTAAGGCTATTTCGCCCATTATAATTATATACCTCCCATTCGCCCAGATAAAGACCGACCTGAGGCTGGTACTCGACGACTTTCATGCCGGCGAGGCCCGCAGGACCAAAGCTGACCGCCTCGAGCGTCGCCATAGATACGAGTTGATTAATGGCTCGCGGGGTTTGGGCGAGGTATTGGCATGCCAAGTCGCCCATTTCGGAGATCTGCAAATCAGAACGGAATTAAGCTGGAAAGAGCCGGAAACCGACTTGGTAGAGACACTCGAGAGTGTAGACGCACATCATGATGTCCTTGACGACCACCATGTCGAGGATGTGTTCGAAAATCTCGCGGGAAAGGAATTCGCTGATCAGAGACTCGTTCCCTTCGTAGTTGCAGAGGCCGGTGAGGATCTCCAACGAGCGAATCAACTGAAAAACACAAGATTCCATTGAAGTTCTCTCATATCCATACTTTGAACTTGTCGTTGCTGAAAATACCCTCCCGAATGATCTGCAACAGACCGTGCTGCGAAAAATGCACCAAAACCGCGCTCGAAAGGTTTATCTGAAGCATTTATCAGCTGATTACTAGAGAGGAAGAAATTCCTACGTCACAGGCGAGGTTACTGAGGGCGTCTAAAGCTGCAGTGTACAGGGGAGCCCATTTCGATTTTGCGCACATGAGTAAAAACCTACAAAAAATTAATGAAACTAAAAAAATGAACAAAGTAGTCCAACTTCATAGTGGGCCACGAAGAGGCCATTGTGACTCGATTAACAGGCTCAAACGAGAGATTCCTGATAATTGTGGCAATCTGCAAAACATCACGATGAACCAAACAGAAAGGCTTCTTTTTACCTGGTTCATCCTCCATGAAACTGGATCTTTCACGTTATAATCTGTTACAACCGCCGTGAAAAAGTTTTCGTCGTCTTCGATCTGAAACTTGAAAAAATATATTAAAATTGTTTAGCGACCGTAATGAAATGAAATGTTTATTACGCTCACAGACAGATCTGTGGCGTGGAGGAAGAGAACCAAGAAAGTTATAATTGTACTAGATTGTACTGTGTGTGGATCATTGTACTGTGTAATTGAGTCAATTCTCCTACAGATTATCTGAAGGCCTCAATCAAGTTAGAATCTCACATTTCGTTTTTTAATTTTTCTTTTGACTAAACTTTGCACACTACATAGAAAAATAGAAAAAGAAAAAATTTTTTAATTTTTTTTTCATATACTTATCTGGCAAAGAGACAGTTTACAAAAAAAAAATTAATTTTGGAGCGAAACGAACTGGAACTCGGGAGACGACAGAAGAGCCCATGAACCGCAGAAGCATATCCTTGGGAATCCCTGAAGAAGCCCAGAAAGCTTCGAAGTCGTGTCCACTGGCTGTCCTCCAAGTCTCACTCATGTCTGCCAGCACCTCGTCATCTTCAAAACTTCTTTTTCCTTCTATTTAACGAAGGTTGAGAAACCGTCGTCGAAGATCCCTCCATGGGCAGCCAGAAGCGTCAGAATAGAAGGCGCATAGGCGATTCGGAGCTGTCGCGGACCCGCGTGAGACAGCAACATACATACATTCACAGCGAAGTCCACCTTGAAAGTTACATCGATTGTGATTTGAAGTCTCTGTTTCAATTTTCGACCAATCTTTCTGAATATTGCATGAAAAAAACGCTAACGGCATTTTACTCGTATATGGTTAAAATATTCAAAATGGGATACCGAAAGCAAGCCAAAAAAAAGCGGGTGCTGTCAATGGAAATCATTCGAAAAAATATCGAAAAGTGGCGGAAAAATAGAAATTCTAGCAGCCTACAGACGTCCTTTGTTTCGAAGCAAATAAACAAAAAATTTGTTTTATTTTTAATGCATATGTTGTGTGATTGCAAAGCAGAGAAAATCGAGAGAAAAATGGTCTTTAATATTGAAAACATTTCTTCGAACATTCATAAAGTTCTCTAGGTTAAAGAATGCTTCCCAGGTTTAAAAAATTGTCTAGCTTTTTTTTCGCAATTTTCTTTTGAAGGAGCATCTAGCAAAGGTTAAGAAAAATGTTTGGGCTCCTATCCAGCGACACTATTTACTGCGTGGTTGAGTCAATGAACAAGATTGAGAAAATGAAACCTCGTTGGGGAGTCCTGCGAGCAAGGACTTGACGAGGCGACCGTAGTCAGGCTCATTGTTCCCGGAGAAGCGATCGTCGCGTCGCAAGTATTCTGAAGAGAAGATGAAGTGAGTGGAGACGCAGAAGGACCAACCAGAGACGCGACTCTGGCTCACGGGGCAGTCGTTGGTCGCAAAGAAAGAAGACGTGCGGCCGCGCGACCGCGACATCTCGCTGTCCATGTAGTCGTCGACGTCGCCCATCGTCTCGACTTGTTCGAACTTCGAAAGGTACCTGTAAACTGATTTTCTTTTCTGTCATTATTTTATTAATTAACTCAGGATAAGTCCCTTGACAAGGTTCCAAAAAGCAAAAAAAGTGTGAAGCTACCTGTTAGAAACCGAGATGAATTTTTTCATCAATTCTCAATAAAATAATGATATCAAAAAAAATAATTTAGGAAATACCACTTCGAGCACAATAAATAAGTTTCATAGTTGCCAAAACTCAAAAGAAAGCTATTTTTGTGAAATGATATTTTTTCTAGTTATGTCAATGTCGAGTTTTTGTGATTTATTCGTCACTTCCCTCCTTTCAAAAAAAAAAAATAATAATAATAATACACGGAAAAATGATCTGGAATTCAAAAAAACCTCATATAAATGAGCTTTATCGCGTGGTCTCCACAAACGACGTCATCTCTAATGCCAAAAACCTCGGAAACATCGGCCCAACGGTCGTAAATCGCGACCTAAATGAGAATATGAAAAAAAAAAAAAAAAAATCAAACCTTTTGCCAGCCGCCGAATGCCATGACGGTCTCGTAAAGCCGGTGCAAATCGACTTCGGCGCCTTGAACGTATGGGACTTTCAGTGGAGCGTTCCTGTGAAGTAATTTTTTTAGTGAATTTTTTTACTTTGGTTTCAAACCATCTTTTTACGATAAAAAAATTTCTGAGGGTGTAGTAGAACTCATTTGACTTTTTAATCTTTTCTGGAGGATCCGATAGACTGTCAATGTAAGACTCGATGGCGGACTTTCTTTTTCGTCGCTCCATGGATAAAGCGCTGATTTGGTTTACGCCCTTTCTAAAATTCAAATGAAAATCAAGATTATCAATGTAAATCGCATATTGAAATTACGAAACATAATTCAGAATATGTGCAAGTTTTTTTGAACAGGGCAAATAAAGCAACATCTGGAACAAAAAATACCTGGACATGTAAAAAAAAAAAACGATTTTTTTCAAATTTCCAATTAATGGAGACGCAGGAGACTTTCTCGAGATGGTAATTTTTCGTTTAAGTGATTTCCGATTATATTGAAAAAAAAAATGATATAAGTGGTTTCAAAAATAAGTCGAAATTTATCTTTAATGAACCTTCGATTACCAATTTTTTTATGGTCAAAAAATCAATTGAGAGCTTCATAAATAAATTTTTCAGGATACTTTTCTTAAACGAACGTTACGCGCGAAAGAAGAAGAGCAAGTATAGTGTTAGTGACGCAGCGTGGGAAAAGAGATAAAATAGCTTAAATTAAGTTTTATTAGAATTGATAAAATTTTGAAGTAGCGAAATATGGATAAAAGCACGTCTAATATATAAAAAGGGATTATCAGAATAAATTGAAAAGTTAAAGAGAAATTCAAACCTCTTTTATGAAAAAATATTGTTTAATAAAATGATCAGCGGGACGAAATATACTAGAACCCCATGTTAAATAATATGAAAATCAAAATTCGATAAAAAAAAATAATAAACGTCTATTAAAAAATTTTCAACAACTGAGCTCTTTAGGGACTACCCTCAGCATCAATTGCAGGGTGCGCAATTGTGTTTCCTTTTCGAACTGATGTAATTTATCTCTTCAAATGTTCACTTCAACCATTTTCAGTATGTTTTTTTTATACCTATTTATGCCTGGAGGTCATATTATTCAGCGATAAATCGAATACGATTTCTGATCTTAGAACCTAACAGGAGAAAAACTTGAACTGAAAAAGTTCTGTTTTTTTTTTTCGAAATTTGCTTCAGAAATAGTCTCAGAACTCCAGAGTTTCAGTTGAACCCTATGAGACTCAAGCAAAGTTCTTTTCCAGCAGCTTTTACTGCTCTTCATGTACCTACATTCATGTGCTTTGACTCGAACCAAACAGGTAATTTATTGAAATCAAGTTCATTACGACTTTGAGCAGAACTTTCAAGGGTTATTTATCAAGAATCCGAGACAGTTGAGCCACTGGATGAGACAGAAAATCAAACGTTTCAAAAATAAAATTTTTTGTTCTTCTTCTTCCCGTTTTTATTTTCTGTAATGAGAAAAGTTAAACCGAATATGTCAGAAAATGAAAGGAAAATATAAGAATAACCGAAAAAATGCGCAATTAGAAAAGTATGCGAAAAGAAGAAAAGTAGAAAAAGGAAAAAGAAAAGTTATTGTGGAAAATGAGATAGCATTGGGAGAATTGCTCCTGAAAGGACGCGAGAAACGGCTGCGAGAACTTGCGAAACGCGCCAAGGTTTCAAATTGGCGCGGCATTGAGATAAGGCGCCTTGCGAGGTTCCATCCCCGAACCGAAAAGTTGGTCGAAAGCTCCACAGACCCAAACGCGCTGGCCAAGAGAGGCCTCCGTCCACTCGGTGGTACGTCGCGGCGCGGCTGCGTCGCGGTCAACGCCATGTGCACTCTCGTCTTCTCCTCTACCCCGTTTTCCATTGATTTTGGCGGCCTCTCTACGTCTCTTACAATGAGCATTAGCACAATTTCATAAATTTCAACGAAAATCTGGAGAAGTTCGGATGATGACTTAGGTAAAGGTAACGGTGACGAACGGCGACCCAAGAAGAATCCGCGCAAACATTTCCGCCGTTCCCTTCTTTACACTTCTCTGCTGCTGCCAACATTTTGGCGCGTTCGCCAATTCCCCTATAATCTCAGCAACACTAGAGAACGCGTCTTTTTCTTATAGAAGCACCTTTTTTTTAATCAAAAAAAAAATTGAAATTCCAATTTGTTTTTCTTCTTCTTCTGAAACATAATTGCCAACTATTCAACTTTTCTAAACGTCCTCTTGAATATTTAAAAACGAATAAAGGGAGTATTCACTTCAAGCCATGGGTTTTCATTTATTCACTGTTAAAAAAATGTTGAATACAAATTTTTTTCGTAAAACGCTGATCTAAAGTTGAGGTTTGGCTTTTTTTGGAGGCGCATTCCTTTTTTTCGGTTCTATTTTTCAAAAGTTTTGAAACTAAGATTAAAAAGTGACTGTCGCATATAAAATATTATCCCGTAACTCATATTCTGTTTTTTTAATTTATTTGAAAAAAATTAAACTATATTGAAAAAAAGACGGAATTTGAAACCTTCAATAAATATTTAATTCTCGAAAAAAATCGTAATTATTAAGAAGCCCGTTAAGTGTCGGATCACGAAGTAAAGTGGGATAAGCTCCATAAAAGGGCGGTTTGACTTGAGAATAGACGTTTGGAACGTATCACAGCAAGCGGATTAAAGTGGGAAGCCTGAATAGGCGGCGATGGTCTGAAAGGGTTGGAAAGCGACTTCCAGTATAATAGAATGGCTTTTGAGAGAAAGGCAGAAAATTATGGGAAAAAAGACGATTACATCCTCGGAGGTTCAATCTACCTTGGAAATTAGCGAATTATAGGAATTTTTTGGATTTCTAAAACGTCTCAACAATCATAATCACACGGTAAGAGATAGATGAAAATAATTAGTTGCATAGAACCGGTCGGGAAAATAGTTTAAAAAAAGAAAAAGTTCTCAAGGAGGAAAACTTAAGATTACTTCTTGGAGGTAACTGAGGCCTCGGTTTTGAGCAACGGCTGCTCGATTGGCTGGAGCTCGACGTCGCCGTTCTGACGGCCTCGTGACGACTTCTTCTGCGGAAGAAGCATCTCGTCGATCGCCGTGAACGGTTTCTCAAAGGCCAAGCAGAAGAAAAACGCAAGAAGGTAAGAAACGAAAATCGCTTCCAACGTGTGACGCAACTGAAACGGTAACATTCTTCACCGAACTTTTCGCGACGCACCATTTGTCCAAAAGTAGTGAAGTGGAAAGGTTGAGGACGGCTGAGGTTGTAGATTTGAAGCATTATAGGGTGCAAAAGATAGGCACAGAACGTAATCTTCGACAAGGGCACGAAGAACTTCCACGACAAAAACTTGTTGACGGGCCTGGATATCTGATTTCTGTGACTTGACGTTCAGCATCACTTTCTGACCTCCGTTTCCAGATGAACAAGCGAAAACGACCCAACCGAGAGATAGAGCGTAGGCTGGACGGCCAAAAACGATGTAGAGGATCTTGAAAAATCAGAAAAAAAGCTGATATAGTCAATTTTTCCCGATTTGAAAGGCGAGGGAGGCAGAGAAGTGGGCGGGACGCGTAGCGTGTGCGTTCGCAGTTTTTGGCACTAGTTCAATTCAAGCGCCAGCGACTATTTGGAGAGCTCATTTATCGATTCTTTTCATTTCTTTTTTATTTCTTTTTTGATTGTTTATTTGTGCATTAAGAATTAATAGAATGATGCAAAAAGAACTGTGACCGAGCTTTTTAAATAATCGATCAACGAGTTCAATTCAACCGCCATGGCGGTTGAATTGAACTCGTTTCAAGAACCGCGTACGCACACGCTACGCGTCCCGCACACTTCTCTGCCTCTCTCGCATTTCAAGTCGGGAAAAATTGACTTCACAGTGATTCAACTCTCAAAATTGCTCTGAATGTCCACTTTCAACCGAAAAAAGATTTAATTTTTGAGTTTGTCCTATTAAAAAAGAATTTCATTACTTTTTTCTTGTATTTTTTTTTTCTCGAGAACTTCATTTAGATTTACTAAAACGGTAGAATATATATGAATCGTTTGCCACGGCTAAAAAAATTCTGATCTGTCTGGGTTTTCTTCCCCCTCAATGGAGAAAGAGAAAGATATAAATAGCACGTACGTACGTACATCCGAATTTTCTGAATTTTAGCGTTTTTTTTTACAATTATAGTCAATGTTTCCCGACTTGAAAGGCGAGGTAGGCGGGGCAAGGGGCGGGACGCGTAGCGTGTGCACGGCGTTCTTAATGGGGGTGAGGGAAGGTGAGCGAGGCGTCAAAGTTTCTGAATTTACAGAAAAAATTTAGTGCGCGCTACGGATAAAATTACGTCACGTGACGTCACAATTACACTGAATATTCAACGTTAATAACTTGTTTGTTCGATCGCCTTCGGCTGAAGTACTGTAGATTTCAAATTTCGCGCCAAAATTTTTTTTGACGTTTTGCCACCCCGTTTGGGAACGCCGTGGTGTGCGTTCGCGCTTTTTGGCGTCAGTTCAATTCAATCGCCGCCGACTATCTAAAAAGCTCGGCAACCGTTCTTCTTCTGTATTTTCTACTATTTTTTGATGCACACATGAACATAATCGATAAATAATTGAAAAAGGAGTGAAAAGAGCGATAAATAAGCTCTCTGAATGTTCGCTCGCGGTTGAATTGAACTCGTGCCAAGAACCGCGTACGCGCACGCTACGCGTCCCGTCCCTTGCCCCGCCTCCCTCGCCTTTCAAGTCGGGAAACATTGACTATATATAAATATTGTATCCTAAAAAGAGTGGAAAAATCTTCAACGCGAATTAAATTTTTAGACAGAAAACTGAATTTTTCATTTTTTATTTTCTATTTTTTTTACTTTTACTTTTTTAAATTTTCGAACAGAAGGCTTCTGTTCTGTCTGAAAATTCAAAATCCTGCAATTTCCTTTTTTTCCTTAAAATTTTCAGTTTGTAAACTGATAGAAGAAATACTAGAAATACCAGAAAGGGCGGAAAACTTAAAACTTAAAAAAATTATCTTATCAAATACATTAGATAGCAGAGTTTTTCTGTCGAATCGATTTTAAAAAAAGGATTAGTCCTTTTTTATCGGCTGCATCGCCATAACATTTCGATGGTTCGAAAAATTAAGTGATTTGATTAGAGCTTGTCTTAAGTTTTCGAGAAAAGAGGGGAAAAAAGAGAAATTGAAGACGCCGTACCTTCCACCATTCGGAAATATTTCCAGTCCTTGCAAAATTGTAGAGACCGAAAACTGAGTACAAACCCAAGACCGTCGACGTCACCCAGCCAATGATGATGTGCTTCTGAATCAGATGACGTCCCTCACTCAAAAACTGGCAACGTACTCGCGACATCTTGATGTTGAGGTCCTTCTGGTCCTTTTCAGTGAGGGCGTTCAGCAAGTAGCCGACGACAACTCCCACGATGAATGGAGCGCATCTGACGTACGGCCGGACATACACATGGTTCCAGTACTCATCCAGCTGTTTCACTCTTCAAGAAAAATAAGTTCTGATCGTCCTCTGGGACGGTTCTTGCTGAATGGACTCGCACTCACATTTGTAATTTCGCGGTCAGAAGAGGTGCTGGTGGGAAACCTTTGTACTGGATGATTACCAGTTTTAGGACCGAGGATATTACAACAATTATCGTTGAAGTCGCAAAACCGGCTTTCATACCCCTCCAAAGAAAGTTTTCATAGCGTTTTCTTGATAGAAACCATTACCATTTGTAGAAAACAATGACTAGGAGTGGCATGAGAATCAGATGGAACTGGAAATCGTTAGCCAAATACCACGTCCAGCCCATACACTGAAAAGTTTCCTTTTTTTTTCCTTTTCATTTTATTAAAACTTACGCATTCTACATCCTGCAATAAAAAGTTGTTCAGGTACAGGAAGTTTGTCCACCAAGCATGTCGACAGCCTTTATGTGTAAATGGCTATTAAATTTTATTTTGAAAAAAACCTTGTTTCTCAATTGGCCTCCAAAAAGGTCCATTTGAAACGTATGTGAAAAGAGTGACATCCATGAGCATGACAACCGCATAAGTCGGCGTTATTCTGCAAGACAGCTCATGAAAAACGACAAGACAAAATATGCCTCCAGACGGGATTGAACCGTCGACCTTCTGTTTACGAGACAGACGCTCTGCCACTGAGCTATAGAGGCTGGCGAGATGGGAAGAGCGGCGAAAGACTAAAGCGGGTCTACATGCCGCGTACCTTGTGTAGCGTTTGAGATCATAGAGCAGCCAGATTCGAGGGTTGAACACTTTCAAACTACGACCGTCGCCTTTCAGAAGCTTTTTGAAGAAGAAAAAAGCTGCTAGCATGCCACTGCAAAAGAAAAATCAGTTCATGAAGATAGAAATGTTAACCTCAAAAAGAAGAACGAATCTACGGCCAGAGGAGCTTGGACAATGATCTGTGTGTAGAATTGTTGAGGAAAGTTGACGAGAGTTGGCAGAAGATTGTCTATATCAAACATTTAATTGCAAGAAAACGTGATCGTAAAAGCAAATAAAAAAAAAACTATGCGAGATGCGAAGCGTCTGAATAAAGGCTTTCATATGTTTTCATAACTCCGTCTAAGCCCGCTACGGAGTTTGCAGTTATTAGTGAAATTTTGAAAGTCTACCAATATTGTTTCGAAAAAAGAAGAAAAAAGACCTAGAGAAAACTTTCTTTCGTTTTTTGCCAGAAATGTTGTTAAGAAATCTATCTTCAATCAAAACTTGTACCTGTGGTTAAACTTGTTCCAATATAATAATAGGTGTGACCAAGGATAATCCAGCACATACTCAGAAATCGAACTCCGTGCAATGAGTTGATTTCTCCCTAAAGCTAACCAGGAGTTTTCTCAGAAAAAAGGCGAAATTGGAAGAAAACTGGAATCACCTCTCTTTTTTTCGATTGAAGAATTTGAATTCCGTTGGTATAGAGTGAGTATGCAAGAATAAACTTTATGAATGGATCTGAAAATTGGCCGAGAGTTGACGATATAACAGAAGATCGTTACGTTGGAGCTCCATAATGATAGGTTCTGTGGCGTTTTGAATGATGAAGAGGTCATAGAGCGTTCCGAATACGACGACGACGATTGTGGCGATTAGAAAATACCTTCAAGAATGAGTTATTCCAATTGAGAAGTCTGGAAAGTATGGAAAAGGAAGAGCAACTGACAAGGCAAACATGGCCAGCGAACTCTTGGTCATGGAGTTCTCCTCGTTTTCGTTGCGGCACTCGACAGAAACGCGGCACACCTTGTCCACCCCCATCATTCCTTCCGTCATTCTGATTCCTGACGAAAGTTTAGCTCGAAATCTTTGATAAGCTCCCAAAATGATGAAACTTTCTTTTTTAACCTCCGAGGAAAACATCAGTATGAAACCCCCTGGTATCTACGAAAGAACTGAAAAATTCTTTGTCTAATAAGAAACTCGACTTTGTATAAATCGAACGATTCAAGTACCAAAAGTAAGCATTCTTTTGACGTCATATTCCGTGCAGGTATCAGGAAGACAGACGCCGAAATTGAGCAGTGGGAACAGGTTGAAGCACTGCGTGTCCAAAGAAGTGTTTTTCGGTTTGGGAGGTTCGCTGCAACGATACAGATGTCCAAAAAAGTCTCTGAAAAGAACTCACAAACAGTGCTGGTCGACGGGTCCTTCGTCGCCCAGAGATTTCAACGGATTGTCCCTCTCGTAGGCGTGAACATGTGCCAGACAGTATTGTCCTTTCCAGTGCTGGCTGAGATCCAAGGAGTTTATTTTGCTGGGAAAACTCCTTCGGACCCCTGATGATTCTTTTTCACTTTGATCTTGCGACAAGTGTTCCAGGAGCCGACCCACAAGTTGTTCCCGCTCGAGACTCCCGAAGGCACTTTTCCCATCGCATCCAGAACTACAAGAAAAGTAAACTTTTTGAGTTTGAGACTATTCCGTCAGTTTAAATGATTCCAGAAGAGTAGAACTGTTTTTGCAGCTTTTTTGAATCCTCATTGATAGTTTTATATAGCTATGCAAAAATTCTTGATTTTCATAGTCTCAATCCCTGAGTTCTATTCTCTGTTCAATCTGAGAACGATAAACCGTTGAAAATCCAATGACGTTCGTTCTTCTTCTGCTGGAACAGAGGCGTGCAGTGACAGTCGGAACAGTTGCGATGTTCCTCGACGTGAGTCGCGTACTCGACGGCCGTCCACGCCAAGTGAAACATGTCTCCAACACAAGCTGCAAGATTCCATATAACAGGTACTATGACAGCAAAACACTTTTTGAAAAAACTGCGCCCAACCTGTGGAAATGTCAAACTCTTTGAGCTTGTCTACGATCTGAATCGCGTACTTGACTAGCTCTACGTTTCCTTCCTCGGCGCCTTGTCGGTATGCCTCGCCGTAGTTGAAGAAGTGTTGGAACAGGTCCAAGTCGAGTATGAGTTGGGACCTCGAATCGGCCAGGTACTTGGTGAAGAGAGAGCCCATCCTCTGGAAGAGGGAAAGCCATTCGACAACTGCTAGAGCCACTTGCCTGTTCGTCCTCCTCATCGAACTCAAGTTCTGCGCTGTCAAAGAGAGATCCCTCGTACTTGTAACTTCCTTTACTGCTAGCAAAAGCAGCTAAAAATGATCAATTGACAGAAAAAGAAGGGTAGTCACCTAGAAACAGGAAAAAAACGGCTCTTGACCACATTTTTCTCTTCAACTGTTGTCGATCATCAATTTTTCTTTTCTTTCTCAATCGACCGACTCAGACCCAAAAAATCGATATAAAAACTGCAAATGAGAAGAAAAAAAATTTAACGACCTTCGAAAAACAGATAAAAAGAAACTGAGACGACTGCTATAAAGTTCTCAACTTTGCTTGCAAGAACTAAACTACATAAGTGAGGCAAATAGAAAGAAATTCAATAAAAGGTCGAAGTCTGAAGAACGTCTGACAAGAGAAATAAGCAAGTGGCATCGATAAGAGCTTCATAGTTCCATATTTTTTGAGGGGACAGAAAAAAATAACGCAGCACTAGCGATAATAATTCTGACCGATAAAAGGACCAACCAAGGGCTGCGAATGGGTTCAAAGCTGTGCAACAATAAAAACTTTTCAAGCCAATAACTAGTTTTTGAAAAATTTTGAAATCACTAAACGCAATCCTGACCGAGAAAGAAGGACATAAACTAAAAAAAAAGACATCTGAAAGTCTTTCTGGAACGTAAAAATTCAAAAAAAGAAGGAGAAAAAAGTAAAGAAAAGAAAGAGAAAAAAGAAGAAAAGGAAAAGTTTACTGGATGAACAGGTTCGAGCCTTGGAGGGTGTCTCTACAAGGGCAACGATCTGCCAATCGGAGACGCGTCAATCATTTTGGCGGCATTCGGGTCTTCCTTATCAAGACTCCATCGTCTTTTAAGCCGGAAAGGACAATTGTACGCTTGATTTGCACAAATAGCAACACGCTTAGGCGGCTAAAAATCCATGTGACTCGTGCAGAACATTCAAACTCTACCACAAAACAATCCATTCAAAGCATTTTCCTTTAAAAGGTTCAAGTGACTTTCGCCGAAAAAACTCCTCGAGCGGACATACCCTCAATATCGATCAGCAATTGATTGGCTGACCGCCCTTGAATATTTCCGCCTCAATAGGCACTTTTTGATAGGATTTAGTCTCATGTAGATAACGAATCAGGAAAATATCGCCGTTTTTTGTCCATTAACCTTCTATCGACGTTTTATAGCATCTTAACGATCTTTATCAAAGGCAGCAAAGGGGAAAAAAGCTCTTAACAATGCGGTATACCCATTGAACTGCAAGTCGAAAATGTCGAGAATAAAACTGTCGCTTGAAACCAAATTTGTGAGATGTTCAAGTTGATTTATTTGTCTCTATTTATATCAAAACTTCTACTCCCAAGGCCTCCATTGCGATCCTGGTTTTTCCGTCTCTAGCTGAAATCTGATTTTTGAAACAGATGTTTTGCATTCAAAATAGTATGGTCGCGGGAAAGGCGCAGAGAAAATGGGAAACGTGGTCGATGAGCGGAAAAAGGTTCAGAGGGTCACGGAAGGACAATTTCTCTGCGTCTTGGCCCTGACCTGTTAACTATGCGACAGACAGGTGTTCGACAAGTATTTGAGTCCACAGTCCAGCCAGTCTACCCGCTCTCGGATCTTGATTCTGAATCAAGCGGATGAATTATAAGAAGTATAAACTATATTCAAAGAGTGCGAGCAAAAGAATAGGAATTGCTTTTTTTATTTGACAACAGGAATGATAACGACAACAACAACAAAACGCGAAAACTTTCGCAAGGTTTGAATTTAAAGGGAAAAAAATAAATTAGAATCGAATTCATGAAATATTGAATAAAACGAAATTTTTAGAGAGCCTTGAAAAGGCGAAAAATAGTATTTAAAAAAAAAAAATTTAAAAAAAGAAATTATTTTTTTCAGACCACTTACAACAAAGAAGTTATGTGAAAAAGATCATGTGAAAAAAGGTCTCGTCGAAAAAAAAAAATGAAACTTTTATAGAGAGATAGATTAGGTGAAGAGTAAGATGATAGTCGATCTACGACGGCGGAGGAGGCGGAACGGGTGGAGGTCCACCAGAAGGAGGAGGCGGAGGTCGAGATGGCGGCGGCGGTGGTGGGAACGATCCAGGCGGTCCGACAGATCCAAACCTCGGCAGAGGAGGCGGCATTCCCGGAGGATATCTACAAAAGAGAATAAAATTATCAAGTGGTCGGAAAAATAGATGGCATGAAAATTTATCGAAATCAGGTATTTTATTAAAAACTGAGTTAGATCGGTTTGAAAGAAAAGCCTTGAGGAAGCCATCAAAATCTCGCTACTACTCTTTGAACCCAGTCCAATCTTCCAAACTACCTCAGACCACCCTCGTTTTTTTCTAAATCACGGATACAATCACTACTTTTTTTATTCTAATTTAGTGTGATCGTTGATTCTTTTTAGGCTTTTTGGAAAAATGTCAAATGTTAAATTTTTAAATGCAAAGTTTGATATTTCTTGCACAGAAACAGGCCTGCTTTTTTTGAAAAAAAAAATAAAATAAAATAAAAAATAAAAAAAAACCTCTCGTGTGTGCGTTTTTTCGGTTTTTAGATTTCCATTGAATGTAGAATATCATCAGAAAATTTTGAAGACTTTTCGAAATTGAGATCATTCATAAGCTTTTATCTTCAAGTCCAAAAAAAACAGGGAGTGAGAAGCCAAAGTTAAAGTTTGAAATCGCAAGAATAAACCTCATGTGAGGAGGCATGAGGCCTGGAGGCGGTGGAGGCGGCATCCCCGGCATTCCGAAGCCACGCGACGGCGGCGGTGGCGGAGGCGTCGGATGCGGCATCATCGCGGGTGTTCTGGAAGGCGGCGGCGGCGGCATGCCCCACATTCCTCCTAAAACGTTCTCATTTCATTAAGCTCGAGGTTCTTCAGAGAAATAACTCATTTAAGATAGGACCGAGGCGAATTTACAGCTAACAAGTCTCGTAGAGCAGCTGTCTGATAGAAAATTTGACCTTAGGAGAGGAAATAGATTAATCGCTCACTCGACCGCTCTATTAAAAGCAAAAAAGGTATGCTTCATACTTTTTTTTTTCTCGTCTTTTGGACTTATTGAACTTTTTTTTTCTCTGAAAACAACGTTGACTAAAACAAACAAAACTGAGAAGTAACGTCTACACGGATTTTTGTCAATATTTTACGACTTGAAAGGCGATATGTAAAATGGGAAAGATTGGCAAGGGCGGCGTGTTGTGTACGCGATGCGGTTCTCGGCAGGAAAATTGAGTTTTAAACGAGCACCACCTTTTTTCTACAGTTTCTCGATAATTTTATCGTTTTTTGGCTTAGGAGTGTCAAATTTTCAAATTTTTTCTTTTAGGAAAAAAAGTTAGGAAAAAAAGGGATTTGAAAAACCAGAAGAAGGAGGCGGCGGAGGTCTTGGTGTCATGCCTGGCGTCGGCGGCATTGGCGGCGGTGGAGGCGGCATCGGCGTCGCCGTCGGGGGTGGAGGTGGGAACCCGCCAGTCATCATGTGCGGAATCATATGGGGCATCATGTGGGGCTGATGCTGGCCCGAAGCCGCGGCTGCGATTGCCGCATGGACTCCTGGCATGGCCAACGGCGTGTTAGCAGGTACTCCGAGCGGCGCATCCGAGAACGTCTGAAGTTCACGAAATAACACTTTCATCGATAAGAATTTCGGTGACTGGACATGGAAAGAGAAAGAGAACCCTAAGCAAAACTAAGTTTCATTTTTATTTGAATGATTCTACGAGAATTCTTGCATGCTTTAGGAAATTAACGTACCTCTAACCCCGTGGAACTAACATCTGTATTATATCTTGATTGGTACACAAAGATTGAGTTGCAATGTTTCCCGACTTGAAAGGCGAAGGAGGCGGGGCAAGGGGCGGGACGCGTAGCGTGTGCGCACGCGGTTCTTGGCACTAGTTCAATTAAATTACCGCCGATTATTTAAAAAGCTCGGCAACCGCTCTTTTTCAATGTTTTCTACTATTTTTTGATGAAAACATGAACATAATCAATAAATAATTGAAAAAAGGAATGAAAAGAACGAAAAACGGGATTTTCAAAGAGTCGATGGCGGTTGAATTGAACACGTGGCAAGGACCGCGAACGCACACGCTACGCGTCCCGCCCCGCCTCCCTTGCCTTTCAAGTCGGGAAACATTGACTATACAAGTGAGTTTTTTTATCATGCACGTTTACAAAAATATGACCGTTTATATGGATTTAGCTATTTCTAAAATTCGAAATTCTCAGCTTTATTTCTATAAGCTAATCTTCATTTGACCTGGAAGTGTAGGCTTATTAAAATCCAGTGCATCGATATATTTTCCTAAAATACAGACACCCTAAAACTTTCTCTCTGTTCTCTTGTTTCCTTCTTTTACGCTTCATTGCATATGTCAATTTATCTTCAGCAAAACTTTTGTGCTCTATCTCAAAAGCTGATGTTCAATTGAATTAATGCTGAAATAAACTCTTTAGGCCATGAATACATCAATAATCTGTGAGAAAGAATCCAAAAATTGCTTGTTTTTTTGTATCTCTCTCTAATTAGATACCTGATGAGGACGATCTCGCGGGAAAAGCGGATTTTGTGCGGCGAGCATTCTTTCGGCCGCCGTTCCATGACGTTCGCCTTTGGCGTCTCGTTTGAAAGCGTAGGAAACAGTGATAGCTCTGTACTTTCAGTTGATTCCTTCCCACAGAGAATGGTCCTACCTGTTGCACAAAAACTGGCCGTTCATCGCTTCGAGGGCCGTATCAGAAGCCTCAAAAGAAGCGAAATTAATGAACGCGAAGCCTTTGCTGCTCCCTGTATCTACATCCCGCATGATTTTCGGCACCTGTCGAAGAGAAATTGAAAAATAGCCATAAAACTAATAGGAAGACTTGTAATATGACGCCGAATGCGCTGAATGTATCATAGAGCAGCTTCTCATCAACCTTAAAAACGAAGAAAGTCATGCAAATGAAAGGAATCAACCTCCGGATCCAAATTACCAACAAAAATGTTAGCGCCCACGTCCATGTTCTTCTCGTGTGCCGAAGCCTTATTTACCTAAAAATGTTATTCGTGCCATTTATTCAAAAAGTAATTTGAAAAGAGAGAACCTACCTTGATTGGTTTTCCGTACAGCTTGATCATGTTGAGAATCTTGATAGCGTAATCGGCGTCTTCTTCGCTCATGAACTCGACGAAGCCAAATCTGAACGAAACAGATAGAGAGAATATATTCGAGTATGGAAAACCCTTGATGATTGGCCGTGACGCGGTCCTTGGGCATGTTGACGCTGACGACAGGTCCGGACTGCACCATCAGTTCCCAAAGAATCGCCTCCGTTACTTTCTCATCCAATCCTCCCACGTAGATTGTCGCGTCCTGGTTCCGCTCCACTATCGGACCGGCGGACATCTGAACTTTGGATGAAACTCTAAAAAAGATGAGAAGCGCAAAAGTACTATTGGCAAGAACCAAATTCAATGAGAGCGATATGAAGAAGAAACGAAATTTATAGCTTTGAAAAAATGACAGGTATGAAAATAACCACTACTTTATATACAGCTTCAACCGTAGAAAGAAGAACGAAAAAAAGTGAATAATACAGAACACCTTCAAAAAATCTTTGTGAATGGGTACATGATATCATGGATGGGTGGCAACTGATATATTGAAAGCTAACATAAATTTTGTATTATTTTTCCAAGAAAAGAAACAGAGATCTGCAAATTTTCAAAAAAAAAAGCTGAAAGACTTGTTAATATTTTCAACTGGTAAAGGGCGAGGAAAACTTGCTGCTTTCTTTTGCGGAAAAGGGAGTTGCAGAAAATTGACTACATCCAATTCATTGCTGGTAACTAACGACCGACAAAAATCTTTTGCCAAATAGATTGCCCTGAATCATTAAAAAAAACCCCCGAAAACTACAGGGAAGACAAGTCGGTAGGTTCAGAGATGTTGGACGTGGAAATGTCGAGGACGACGTCGGCCGCGTTTTCCCTCTCACGGAGCATGAGCTCGCGGAGCTCGTCGCTCGTGCGGAGAGTGCGGAAGAAGCGAGAGTACTCGAGAGATTCGCCGTGCTCCAGCCAATCCAAGCGCGACACCCACGGCAGCGTGTCCAGCGTCTTCTCCTCGAACAGCTCACGAGCACATCTCCAGGCGTGGGTCTCTGCGTCGGGCACGCCTTCCACTACCTTCAGGTCGTAGTCGGCGTTCAGGAACGACCGGATCTCCTTTCGTCTGAAATAATGAACCAAGTTTCGGGTTTTGCTTTCATCCACTAACAGCCTTTCTGTGAAACCAGGGAATTTACTGGATCCACCCATTACCACGACGTTCTCGGCTAATGCCGGTCGCAAGTTCTCCGGACAGCTTTGTATACTGTGGACAACAGCTTCAGCCACTCCGATCTGGTCGACCCCTATGTCTGATGGACTAAAAAGAAGTGAAACGTGAGAAAAATGGAGAACACGTACTTGAAGAGTATTTCAGGCAATGCAAACCGTTCCACATTCAACGTTATGGATTGAGAGTTCGGTTCGGCTCCCTCTGGATACTGTCAGGCTTTTTGCGTTGAATTTTTTTTCAAAGAAGTTCCAAAAGGAAATCTCATTAAATATACCTCTGATGTCGGTGACAACGCCCCGATGCCGCGTCTCGAAATCCGGCAGCACGTATCGCTTGATCAGGAAATTGTCCATTGCTTTTTTTCTTGAAATCCTTGCTGAGAAAAGTCTTACTTGAAAGAGTGATACCTAGCGAAAACCATATCCCGATCAAAGTCTTGGCTGACGAAACAAACGTCTTCCTTGCACTCGTTTATAACGTGCGTCTCTTCCATGACGTTTAGCTGACGATACGAAATCCAATCCTTGAGCTTGTTGGTTAGTGCTTTCCCGCCTACATCCAATCTGTAAAAGAAGCGTCATTTTTTGTGATGCTCACAAAAAAATTTTTGTGGAGCTACAAAAACGATCAAACTTTATTAAAATCATCGAACGAATACCTGACGACAGCTTCTTGAATGAGAAGACCATCGACGAATGGAGCGACGTGGGTGAACGAGAAGCCGCAATCGACAACCAAGACGCAGCGTTCGTTCAGTACTCGGCTAGAGTGCTCAGCCACCAAGGAAGATGCTGAACTGAGATTATAAGAAAATTATCCTCGGAGAATGAAACCGGAAGTTTTATGAACGGCATCAAATTCGAAGACCTCAAAAAGCAACTCGTTGGCGACGTCGCTCAGCGCCGGGACAAGGTAGTTGTTGTCGGTGAGAACGAGGCGTTTGTTCTGGGTCTCCAGGCTCATCGAGGCGAATGCTCGCTCCCAAATCTTCTGTTGAGTGTCCCAGTTAACTGAAAAGGAAAAAGTCTAATGCGGCCACATTCTCTGACATGCCGCCGCAACTTTATGCGCTCCATGTCAGAGTTATCCAAAAAAAGAAAAAAATTTTAGACGTTTGTTGAAAACTTCGAATCTACTCACCTACGTAACCTCGTTCAATAGGTCGGACATAAAACAAAGCTGTTTTTTCGACGCACTCCGAAAATTCGTCGGCCACAAAAACACGCTTTTTCTCATGCTTAGCTTTCACAATGCTGTTCGGAATCAACCTAAATGAAAATTAATGACATTTATGGAAATAAAAAACTGCGCTTTAATGATTCATTGAACCAAAGTTTATTTTACCAAAAAAATCGGGAAAAAAAACCTTGGATACTCGTCAGTGCTGGTCCCAATTTTTAAACTGTAAGCACCATTGTCGAGAATCAAGACGTCTACTGTAGACGTTACCATCTGAGAAAAGATACAAAAAGAAATGGGAGAGAACGAAAAATATCATAGGTTCAAACCAAAAAATAATGAATAATGAAGAAGATAACCCAGAGAAATTTATACACTGATCGAAAAGAACGAACATAAAAAGCACGTGGATCCGCTAAGCGCCCGTAGGCAAAGTGATACATCTAGAAGGCACTCTCAAGATTCCCACTTCATATAGTTTTTCAAGTATAAAAGGAATTTTTCTGATTTATATCATGGCCTTTCAAACCCTGCTGAAAAATGAGAAAAACTAAATATGAAAATTAATTAATCGTAAAAAGTCTCAAGAACCAAAAGTTAGCATTGCAGGACCGCCGCGTCGCATTAAATGCTGTATTCGCTCAACGTCTGTGTCCCTTTTCTCCACCTAAACACATTAATGTCCTTCGATTTGAAGGTACTGAAACCTCATCGATTGGGGTCCAACTTCGGTCAAACTCCAAGCGGTAAGATCCAGAGTACTGCTCAAGCTTTTCAGGTTGTCCCCACTCGTGGGGCGCGATCAGAGAGAAAAATCTTGGATGGCATTTTTTTGGAGAAAAATCCAATTCAGGAAAACCTCTGGCCATTCTTGGAGTATAGATGGTAAATCCTGCCAGGCTGCTTGGCCATATTGCACGGCACTTGGTGCAGGTCTTCGTCTCTTTGCGCATCTTGCAGTATCTCTCGCGCAGCCTCAAATCATAATTTTTAGAGACTTTTAGAGACGTTTCTGGGTCAATTTATCGGGAAAACAATCACCGAAAGCTTATCAGAAACGAAAAACCATGAATTTTCAAGCCACAAAAAGAAGACAAGGCGTTTTTTGGCGCTCCGGGAAAACATGCTGGAGTTTGTGAAACCCTTGGAAGAAACTCATCGGAATGTCTTCTCGAAAAGCATTTTTTTTAATGTTTTTTTTTGCCACTCTAGACTTATAAGACAATTTTCAAAAAGCTTGAGAGAATTCAGCCGTTCATCCTTCCCGATGAGCCTTATTTAATTTCTCAAAGCCACGAGAAAACATTTAAACTAACCATTTGAAGATGCTCCATCTGACGTGCAATATCGCGCAGGCGGTCGCAGGCTCGACCTTTGACTAAATCTCTGAAATACTCGCGGTGGAAAGAATGAACAGCGGAATCTGAGTCAACCTGGCATTGGCAAGTTGGCAGGCGAGACTTACGAGGTCGTCGGCCTCCATTCTGTCCGTTTGACGCGAAGAAACCACCAATCGGCCTTCTTCTTCGGAGCGCGGCGCCACCAACGGAACGTTGACTGCAATTTTTCATTGAATTATCCTCCAATTATTATTACAATACTTCTTCGCGCTGATGTTGGCAACGAGACAACGTGACCGAAACCTTCGTTGGAACAGGTTTCCATTGTCTCCATAGCTGTTCTGATATGCAAAAATTGAAGTTTTGAAAGCAAAAAAAGGCAGGCTGTAAACAGAAGTGGAAAAAAAACCACATGAAATACCAAAACACATATAAATTATAAATTTACTCGGTACAATTCACATAAAGCCGTCAAAAAAGGTACACATCGAGAACCAATAATAAATAAACTGTTGATCAAAAGTCAACGAAAATGTTTTGATAAAACTGATTAGAAGGTGTCTGTTTAAAACAGGAAAATAAACCAATCATTATTGCTTTCGTTTGAGCTGAAGCATTGTCTTCTCGGTTGTCAAAACGCCTGCTCGTTCATAAGCCGTCTCAATGGCCTAGAAAACATTTTTCACAATGCTAGAATAGATAAAGAACGAGAAAAGGCTGTATGTCTAAACTTTTGTAACAAACGCCGTGAAAAAAGGAGCCTTCTGTTTCAAACTTCTTTTCGAGGCTTGAAAGACATTGAAATTATAATTTTTTTTTAAATTTATGCGCGCGAAGTAGGAGCACGAGACCTGAAGTCAATATGATAATCAGGGACACTTATACATCGTCCTCTTAAGAAGGATGAAGATGAGAAAGCCAATTAAAACTAGAACAGTTTTGCAGGTTTTGAAAACGCTTTAGCCAAAAAACGTGGGATGACTACTCGTTTGCACAGGCGCAATTTAGCATCCAGCAACTAAGTGAGATACAGTTAGTTGGAAATACACGTTAATTCTTGAACAGTTTATATTTTTTAATGATCTAAAACAGGAAATATGTATAAGACCAAATTATTAAAGTTTTGAAGAAATGTGTATTTTATTTTGAAAACCTCATAAAGAAAAAGAAAAACTCTATAACCTGTTAAACGAACCTTGTCTACGAGGCCGACCAATTTGCCTTCTTTGGCCAACGCTTTCATGAGTTCCAGTATAAAGGGAAGGTAGTTATGACGCCGACGCGCGTTTTCCTTTCGATACCTTCAGAAAGAAGAATCAAAACATCGGTTCAGGTTTCCACTTACAGCTTCATTTTGTAGTCCTCGTCGGCGATCCCCCTTTTAATGTCTTCGATTTGCTCGGCGAGGCAATCATTCTCGTTTGCTTCCTCAATACGTTCTAGCATCGCTTGCAGGTTTTCTTTGCGATTCGGGATCAGAGCCATCAAGTTGAAGTGAATTTCGCCTTCATTGTATCTTAATTATTGATTTTTTTGTTCTGTTTTTGAGTATGTGCAAACGATGACACTAATTGTGTACTACCATGCTAATAAAAGTAATCAATAAATGTTTGTAGGGCGCAAGTTGTAGCATAGATACATCTGAAAGTTTGCTTAGCCTTCACCTTTCGCTAAGTGAAATTTTTCAAGTTTTTCAGTTCATTTTGAAATCTCATGACAACAAAACAAACTGTTACTTGTCCATCCTGTTTTGAATAACCGGCCGAACACATTCAAGCCATTCCTTGTTTTCCGGAATGTCAGCGACTTTGATAGGATAATCCCGAAGGCCATCTAGTTCAAAAACCTAGGAGTTTTCACAAATGTCACCCTGAAAGCAGTAAAAAACTGGAAACCTGATTTCCCACAGGGACATAACAAATGAAGTGAAAATTGTCTTCATCCCTGCCTCCTTTTACATCAATCTCGTAAAGAGTTGGGCGCGCAAAACTGTTGTGAACGGATCGAATTGATTCGGAGTTGGACAAACACAATCCACGTGTCTGAAAGTATCCTTTTGAAGAGAAATAGCTACTGTTTGGCCTACAGATGCGTCGAAATCCTTGGTGAACTCCTTGTATTCTGACAGGACACTTCCTAACTTCACGTTCGGGTCGTCAATATTCATTAACATGTTTACCAAAGCTTGTGTTGCACACGCATTTGTGATAACCTTGAAATGAACTGTTTCATTGAAGTGATAGAGGAACTAGTCGGCAGTTTTTCATGATAAGATCCAATGAGAATACCTGTTGCGCATAAAAAACGTTTGTAGCTTCTGGAGCTGGATGGCCACTAATTTCGTCTCCAGGTCGCCACTTGAAGAGAAATATGAGACCGTAAACAGGTCTAGAACAATGCAAATTATATTCTCAACAATATAGTTCTTCGAACTTTAATAAACCGGTCTCATAGTCTTGTAGAGAGTATAGCTCTTCAACTTGGACTCCGGAAACGCCAAGTCCTTGAAGCATCTCAGTAAAGACACCTGGATCACTTTCAATCAAACACCAGTTTCCTGCGTCGGCGGCCATCCTATCTGATAAAAATGTTATTGTACACATAGAAAAAGAGCGTTAAACTTCCGCGTGCTGATAGGTTTGAAAATTCATCAATGAAAACTTGACATGAACCAGTACGAAATATCAAAACGACGTTGAAATTGAATTTCGCTCAAATTGAACTTGATTTTTCATTAAATTCAAAACTTCAGGCACTAGTGGTGCGCTCAAGACGCAGTGAAGACCGGGTTGTCGGCCCTTTCAATTCTTGAATTTAATGAATTAGAAAAAAAAGAAGAAAAAAATAATAAATCACTAATTTTTTAATTTTTCATATTCTTCACTGATTATCATTCTGTTTAGGTATTTTCAAATTTGAACGCATCAAAATCAAAAATAAAACAAAGTTATTAGAAAGACGCGTTCAAGTGATTCTAAAACTTTGAAAAGTGCGCAAGGATTCTTTTTAAAAAAAGATAAAAATTGAAATTTCCCCGTATTTTTCGGATTACGTGGAGAAAAAAGAAGCCGAATTGCGTCTGTTAGCATCTTTTAAACGCGGAGTAAATTTTGAAAATGTTGAGTCTTAAAGGAGCCCCTTAAGGGATACGCGGATGTGCTGTAGAGCAAGCATTCCTATAAGCTCTTTTGAACGTTTTTTTTTGGCTTGCAAATTTCATTATAAAATTGAATTCTAAGGCTTTAAAGTCTTTTTAATTTCTTTCATTTACTTTTTTTTACGTTTATTTCACATTTAATCTTGAGTGTCGAATTTTCAAGATAGCGCTGATGACTTCATCGGGCTATCAATTTTTGCTACAACCGGAACAGAATTTTTTTTAATTGTTAAAGTCCATCTGAGGTTGCAACCAGGCTTGTGCGAGGGCCGGTCCGTCAGCTTATTGGCTTCCGACCATTTTCCTAGCCCTAGCTCGGCACGGTCCTAAAGCTCAAGTTTTTTTCAAGTCGAATATTAAGCATTTTTTTTAGAAGAAAAATAATGTTTTTGTTTATTTTTTTTACATAGAATTTAATAGAAACTATGATTCAAAAAGTAAAAAAATAATTGTTCGGTAAAAAGTTTTTCCCTAAGCCTGGCCCGTGTTCGCGCAAGCTTTTTTTCTTAAAAAAATGAGGCCCGGTCCGCCCAACCTAAATTACAAGCCTGGTAGCAACAGTGGCCTCCTCCAAAAAAATAACCTCTTGAGCACAGAAACGACTTTAAATATAACTTTTCTTTGAACTAGAAATAATGGTTTTTTTTTGATTTTTGATTTTCAAATTTTTCAGTATTGTACAAGCATAATGGATTTTTTCAAGTTAAATCTTGAAAATTTGGAAAATTCTTCGAAGGCGAATTTTAAGAAGTTTTCGCCTTTGCGTGAAAATGCAGAGCAGGTATTTCTGTATCAATCCTCTTTTTTTCAACAAATCGTTCAGAAAAGAAAAGGCCAGAGGAATTCAGAAAGTTCAACTGTTAGCTTCATATTTCCCATATTGCTTTTAATATTGATCCAGCTATGCCTATCAGTTGGAAACTACTCAGGTTGGAAGTTGTCAACTTTTTTTTTTCATTTGATACGATTTTTCAGGAAAAGGAAGACCTCCGATGTATGGTGACTACGAGGCACAACGACATTGGATGGAAATCACATATAATTTACCCATCAATCAATGGTTATTCTTTCAAGAGTAATCTTTTATTGAAAACAAGATCAGAGTTGATCACGAGTCTATAAATCTAGCTTTCAAAGTTTTAGATTCAAAAGAAACATGTGGAATTCCATTTTGAACTTTATTTAGGTACGTCAACTCTTCGGATAATGATTTACTGTACTGGGGACTGGACTATCCTCCTCTCACGGCATACCACAGCTACGTAATGGGTTGGATGTAACGCGCTCCAAGTTTCAAAGAAATGTCTTGATGTTTCAGTGCGCACAAAATCAATCCTGATTGGGTCTCTCTACTCTCGTCACGCGGTATCGAAACGACGTCTCATAAGATTTTCATGCGAATATCTTCGATTCTTCCTTTCATAACTATTTATGTCCCAATCCTGGTAGTTTTTTTCTACAGAGTTTTTCCTTCTGATAAGGTTTGTCACCCTGTTCAAATTTGCAAAGAATGTTTTCAGTCAGAAGCTCAGGAAGATTCTGAAGTGAAAAGGGAAATCGCTCTCAACTACATTTTCGGATGCATAGTTGTTTATCCGGCCATGATTTCTGTCGACAACGGACATTTCCAGTTAGTTTATGATAGAAATAGCTTCCACTGCTTTTTTTTAATCACCTAGATATAATAGTATATCCCTTGGACTTTTCCTGTGGTCTGTCTTTTGTCTGATCACTCAACGACTCTACGCTGGATCTGTTCTCTTCGTTCTAGCACTGAACTACAAACAAATGGAGCTCTACCATTCGCTCCCTGTTTTTATCTTCATTCTGTCACGGTCCATAAGAAAGCCTTTGTTTGGCAGGATATTAGAAACGTTTTTTATCTCTGTCAAATTATGAAAAAACCGAAAATTTCAGAATCTCTTCAATAGCTAAAGTGGGCGGAGTTGTTATAACTGTTTTCGGACTTCTATGGGCTCCTTTCTTTTGGACCAACACAACTCGCGATGTTCTTCTAAGAATCTTCCCGTTCAACCGAGGAATTTATGAAGTTAGTTTTTAAAATTGATTTCCGAAAGCCGCGTCCCTACCCCAACAAGTCACCCGAAACCTGTCCGAGATAGTTCGAAAATTCACTTAATTCATTAAAGTAAAAAAAAATTGATATTAATCTTTTTCTCTTTATGAGCATGTAGTTTTCTAGTTTTTTATATTACCAAAATTTTTTTCCCTGTGGAAAATTATGAATTAAATTCGAGGACAAAGTGGCGAGCGTTTGGTGTGCTTTCTCGTTTATTTTGAAGCGACTTCCGAATTCCTTCCAGCAGTGGCAGTTTTTCATGAGGTTTTCGAATTTCTTCTTCGAAAAAAAAAACTTGAATTTCAGCACGTTTTTGGTACTTCTGTTTTCTTTACCATCACTGCTGGTATTGTTTTTGCAACCGTCGCAGAAAAACTTCCGATCGTCTCTTTTCCTAACTTCTTTGTCTTTTTACCTATTCTCTTTTCAAGTACATGAAAAGACTATTCTTCTACCTGCAGTGTTTGTTTCTTGTTTCTCTTTCCGTAGATAGAAGCAGAACTGTTCTGCTCCATTAAATTCTAGATTGTTTTATGTTCATCTTTTGTAGAAGCGTTATACTTCTGGCGCTAGAGTTTCCGCTAGAGGTCTTTTGGTTTCTGAATCTTTCAAACATCAGGTTAGTGTTTTTTTTTCTTTGGAATCCTTAAGTCGATTTAAAGATACATGTTTCAATTTATCTCAATTTTAGTATCTTCCCACTCTGCGTTAAAGATGGAAACGCGAACCACATTGTGTTTTTCTTCGCATACTTCATTGCAACACAAGTCACTGGCCGGTTCTTATTAGGAAGAAGCCTCGAGAAGGTGTAAAGAAAGTTTTCGGTCTGAATAAATAGGTTGTTTCAGATTCCTCGAAGAATGGGAATTTCATACCCGACACTTCAAATAGTTTCTACACTAGTAGGGTTTTCGATTTGCTGTTTAGAACTTTGGGGCCCTGTTCCGTCTAGATTTCCTCATTTGTATCCTCAGATCAATGCAACTTACAGCTGTGTACATTTCCTACTGTTTTTAGTTACCTTCACTGCTCGAATGATTATCAGTTACCTTCCACTTAGAAGCCGTAAAATTTTCCATAAAACTGAGTGATTATTTGAAATATATTGTTCTCTGTATTTCCATGACCTACTGAATTTTGTTGTAGTTTTCAAACCATTCTCATTTCATTGTTCATCTTGGGAATTAAAAAAAAAGAATGTTCTCATCTTTTTTTTCAGGAAGTTTGTGGGTTTTAAAAGGTTCATTGATTTCAAAATTGTGTATTTTTAGTGCTCGTTCGGATATTTGGATGCCACAATGTGATGTATAAATCCGATTAGCAAATGATCCACTGATATTTTTTGTTCGGTGAAATTATCCTTACTACTTCATGTATTCACAGATTTTTCAAGGAAAAGGAAAATTAAAATCAAGAGGGGTCAACTATTCTTAAATTTATTATTTTTTTAATTTTTTTAATTGAAGAGATAGCAATAACGTGACCAAGAAAGTATTTGAGTATCGGAATTTATTTTTTTTTAAAGCTACTGATACTCCAATGTGGCGGCATTAGTTGAACTTTTTTTTTGTATCATGCATTCACCGTGACACTCCATCACATGACTTTTTCCGTCGCCCAAAAAATAATTTCGAAGTTTACGAAAAAAAAATTCTTATTTTTTATCTTCCACCTCTTCAAGTAGTGTATGCTATTCTGATTTCAAATTTCAAAGACTTTTTTTTTGAGGCGAATTAGTATGAAAAGTCGCCTTGTTGTTTTGTCTATCCGCTAAAAACGAACGAAGCTTGATAATAACCTTAAGAACAGCTGTACATAAAACTCGTAGAATTTTTACGGAGCTTTTTATTTTTTCATAAAGTAAAATTATAATTTTTGAAGGGGAAAGTTGCTAAGATATGTTTGTTTGCGTCTCTCATAAATCACGCGTTTTCATCTAGAGATCGAAACGTTTTGACAATAGGCTTCAGTTTTTTATGTTCCAGTTTCCCATCTCAAATAGATTTTTCTCAAGTAGAACGTCACGCAGCCATGACATCATTTAAGTGCTTCATTCTTTTTGTCGTCTCCAGAAAGTCTTTATGATGTATTTGGCTCCTTCCCTTTTATTTTAATCCATGTGGATCAGTAGTTTCTGCGCTTTCTGCGGGAACCCATCAATTTTTTTCCTCCGTTTTTTTAAATTTCTTCCATTGATAGAAGTAAAGAATAATATTTTTTTAGATATTTTGAGATTTGAAGCAATTATAATTTCTGAATCAGGGAATGTTTAAAAATGATGTAATTTGAAATTCATTAAAATTTGTTCTAGTTCCATAAATAATCCAAATTCTCTGTTAAAAATTTCAATTAGAAGATCTGATCCATTTACTGAAGTAAACTCGCAAATGTTCAGAGTGTTGCGTGCATGCGAATCTTACTATACTCATTCAGCCTCAAGAGTTGTTCTTATGAAATTAACATCGGTTTTAGTGTTCTCGCGTTTTATTTGATTCTCTTTTCTTAATAAATTTCCTATTTTTCGAAAGCTATGGTATTTGAAAACGGGGTGTCGCCTGGAAGTTTTTCGGCGGCAGCCGAGGGAGGAACAGCTATGAACACCGTACAGTGTGAGGCAAACGATGTGGCTCAGGAAAGTCTGTCGCCGACACCTCAGAAGCAGTTTCGCCTCAAAGGGGAAGGTTTGCCCGGTGGCGAAATGCAGGTGTGTTTCTCTTCAGACAATGCAATTTGAGAAAGGTTACCTCTGCTATAAAAAAAAATGTAAAAATCATGAAAATCATCATCGAAAAAGTTTTTTGCATATTTTTCATAAAGAATAATTATTGGCAAGTTTTTTTTTCAGTTATCGAAGAAAAGGGATGCCGCTGTTGCAGAAAACGCAGCTAGCATCCAGGCAAATACTTCGAGTTCGGGTTTTCTTTCTATTTTTATATTGTATGAACTTTTTTCAAGTTTCGGAAAGCATCGCCGCTGCGACAGCCATTGCACCGTCCGTTTCGTCCTCAATCATTAGTGGAACTTTTGAGAGCTTGTCTTCGCATCACCAAGATTCTCTTCCGGTAAACGACTTTCCTACGGACGAAAACGATCATAAATACGTTGGACTCGTCAATCAAGTGAACTTCGATTCAAAAGAAAGAATCAATGAATAAACTTTAGGCGATGACTTGCTATTTGAATAGTTTGGTGCAGTCGTTGTATATGACGCCTGAGTTTCGCAACGCAATGTACAGGTGATTTTTTTATAAATAATACTTTATTCACAAATCTGTTTGAATCTTTAGAAAGATATAAATGTAAGGAAGTTCAAAATTGACAAAGAAAAAAAAGACGCTCAAGTCTAGGAATATTAATCGAGATAAACTTTCTTGCAACCAAAAAAACAAACAGAAAAAGTATTGAAACATCTAAGAGCGAATTTCTTCGAAATTATAATGTTTGTGATGAGAGTCGTTTTTTTAGAGAAATATGTCAGGAATGTGTCTTCTGAGATAGGTTGAGTATTAATAAATTGAATTTTACTTCGAAAATGGTTCGCGCTCGAACGTAGGAAGTTTTTGAGAATGAGATAAACTTCTCAGCAAAAACTGCTGTTTGTGTATCGCCACGTGATCTTCGAACACGTGGAAGTTTTTTAAAAACTTCAGTAAGGACGCAAAGTTCGGAAATGCTGTACCATAGAGAATTCTTGGGAATCTGTTCAGTTTCGTTTCGCGTTGAAATAGTTTTTTTTTTCGATGTAAATTTCGGGTTTAGATGGGAATATAGAAGTGCGCAAGCTAGTAAACGGGGCGAATCAAGTATACCCTGCCAGCTCCAAAAGCTTTTCTTACTGCTTCAAACTTCCGACGCTGACGCTTTGGAAACCCGAGATCTCACTGCGAGTTTCGGATGGACGGCGTCTGAAGGTAATCCTTGTTTCTCACCTGATGAGATGGATTTCACTTCTTTTCTAGCATACGATCAACATGACGTACAGGAGCTTTGTCGGCTGATGTTTGACGCGCTCGAATTGAAATGGAAGGGAACGGAGCACGAAAAACTCATCCAAGACTTGTACAGGTAGCGCCTTATGCTCTGGAGAGTTTCCATCTCAAACTGTTCTTTCAGAGGAACCATGCAAGATTTCGTGAAATGTCTCAAATGTGGACGAGAAAACGTCCGTCCCGACTTTTTCCTCGATCTTCCACTGGCAGTGAAACCCTTTGGAGCGATGAATGCTTTCAAAAGTGTGGTACGACGGTCTATTCACAACTGGTTAACGAGTTCTCGTTTCCAGGAAGAGGCTCTACAAGCGTTCGTGGCACCGGAACTTCTTGATGGTTCCAATCAGTACCATTGCGAATGTTGCAAATCGAAGCAAGATGCACACAAAGTACTCTAAATTTGTTCTCGAGTAATAGTCTGGAATTTTGAGGGCCTGCGAGTCACTCACTTTCCGTACCTCTTGACCATCCAACTGAAGAGGTTCGATTTCGATTACAACACCATGCATAGGATCAAGTTGAACGACAAGTGAGAAATGTGTCTTTCGTCATCTGAAAAATGAGATTTAGAATGACTTTTCCGGATATTCTCGACCTGAACTCTTTTGTTCATCGAGCTGATGACGATTCTACAAAAGAAAAAGAAACTGATGTTCTGGAGAAGGGATCGGCTGTTCGATCTGCGGACGAGTCCATGCAAAACGAATCATTGGAGACTCCAGAAGAAGACTTTGCCATCGATTCTAGCGCTTTCGCTTACTCAACACAAAAACAAGGTTTTAGAGTTTCGCAGTTTGTTTTATCGCTCTTGTCTAAATTTGACGTTGTACGAGAGACAGATGGACTTAATTATTTTGATGATGACTATACACTTAAGTGAAAGTCGGGCAAAGGGTCGACCAAATTTGTGTGGACGAGCTGCTCAAAGGCGGCGAGTATGTCTACGAATTGTTCTCGGTAATGGTCCACTCGGGGAGTGCCGCTGGAGGCCATTACTTCGCCTATATCAAGTGAAATTTCCATTTTGGATCTCTCTGAAGGAATAATTTGAAGGAACATGGAACAGGATCGTTGGTATTGCTTCAACGACGCTCGCGTAGAGTTCGCTTCTGATGCGGATATAGAGGTTCTCGAATCGAGAAGTTTTCATTTCCAAAGGAATGTTTAGCGCAGTTTCGGAGGTCATTCTGGCGGGTGGAACAATTCCAATACCAACGCCTACATGCTCATGTACCGAAAGGTGGGAATTCTCATTTTTTAAAGAGAGAAATAAATCTTCTAATCGCGGACAGGTGGATCGAACTAGAAATTCGTCATTCATGCACACGGAGAAGCTTCCGAGGCACATAATCTCCTTGCAAGAGAAATGGCGCCAACAAGAGGTGGAAGCGGAAAAAGAACGGATCCTGCAGCAAAGCCTCCTGTCTGTGAGTCACTCAGAAGAGACATGATAAAATGTCCCATTGATCGGTTCTCACAATCGGAGTGTTTTGAGGTCCGCGTGCAACTGAATCTGCCGCTTCATTCCGTCCTCAAACGGCACGACAACACGCCGGTTCTCTACTCGCAGGTCCAACACCACATGATCAACGAGTTCTCCGAGTACATCACTGAAATCTCGCGTACACAACATATTTCCAACGTTTTCAATCAGGTTTTTGTATTTCTAAACGTCCATTATTCTCATTTCTCAGGCGTTCAACTATTTTCAAGAGCGAGCCAATTCATACGGTCTTCAGTTGAGCAGAAACAACGTCAGTTGCGGCCTTTTCTGTCTTTTGTTCTGCCTTTTTGGTATAGATTCATCCACGTTTTTCAGTGCCGCCTCATATATTGTCGGGACAGGATGACCATGGAGAAGTCATTGTGTTCGAAGGCTCAAATGGACAAGGTGATTTTCGATTTTGAAACATAATTCCTCTTGGGCTTTTGACAATGTGCGATCGAGGTCTTTGTAAGATTAGCCAAAAGAAAAGGTTTCGAAGTTTTTGAAATATGTTCATTTCAAATTGGTTCCGAATGACCTTTCAAGTTCTTGGAAAAATGAGGGGAATTTCTTTTTTCTATGCTTTATGAAAGTTTAAGCACCAGTTTGATTTGCCGCGTAGATTCCAAGTTTTTAAAAAAAAAATTCATTTAGATCTTTCATCATTTAATAACAACTCTGTGAAATTTGAAGTAGTGATTGAAACAAAACCCAACGATGTCAATCTTTTAGCGGGTCTTCGATTTTTTCGGAATTCCGATTGATTGCTGCCTTTTTTTAAAATTATACCTTCTTGCAAAAATGACAAGTTTCCAGCCAATAAAAACCCTTTTCGACTCTTTGGGTATGGATCCTCCGGCGATGTCGACAGTGTGGTTCTTTTTGGATTACAACCACAACGGCCCTTCTGGTTATCCACCATCTTTCCAGAGTTTTCATTCTTCTTGTCTTTGAAGAATCGTTTCCCATCGAGCCCTACGGCGGCCGATCAATCTTTCTGCAACGCGTAGACATTGGAATGCGGTGTCTGTTGCCGCCTTTCCGAATCTATGTTCCCCCTAACATGAAAGTCAGTTTTTTCTTAACAACGTTTCGAAGCCTTTCCGATGATTCAATTGAAAAACATACATTTTTATAGCTATTATCTTTTTGATAGTAGCTTTTTTTGTTTGCATTTTTTTGTTTGCATTTAATTAAAAAAAATTTTTTTAAATAGAGAAAAAAATATACGCCTCAATAAAATATTTTTTTAATTGGTTCAGATTGTCGAACTGAAGCATTTGGTTGGGAAGCAGTTCCGTGATGACGCTCGCAGTTCTTTGACCTCTCGGTAATAGAGATTTGTTGTTTTCTAGAACACATGTGTTTTTCTTGAAAACGTAAGGCTGGTGATGGAATGCACGAAATCCCGAAGTGAATTCCTTCTGCTGGACCCCTCCCGCAACGGAACGAGTTTCATGGACTGTGCTCAAACCTTCGTCGGAAACTCCTTCCCAACAGTCGGTTACTTTGAATTTACGTTGCCAACTTCTGTTCGCAGCTTTATTATGATGGCGGCTTCCTTTTCGGAACGAACGAAACGGCTAGATCTACACAGGAAGACAGGGAAAAGTTTGAGAACAATTTCGCCGCGTCGACCATGTTCGAACTATTAGACCGCAAGCATTTCTCCATGTTGATACGCGTTCGATTCCCTTCAGCTGGTTTCGCTTCCAAAAAAAAAAAACAATTGGAAAACGTCTTGTGTGTTTAGAAGAACTCAACAGAGCGGCTTCTTCTTGCGGCGCTTACAGCGGTCCTACTTGGGCGGAAACAATCCAGAACATTCCTGAAGCAGCCGAGGCGCCGACTCCAGATGATCCCATCTGGGGGGAACCTCAGTCTTCTGCCTGCGATAACGCTCCGGTTGGTTTTTTTCTTTGGCTGGAGAAACTTGTTTCTTTTGATCCTTTAACACTGATTAAAACACTCATTTGTTAGATATGAGTTGAACAACTTATCGTAGAGAACGTTTCTATGTTATTTTTTGGTCTACTAGGGCTTAAAGTAATTGGGTATACATTTTTGAGCAATGGAGATTATCAGCAAGAAAAAAACCGCTGTTACACGTATTCCTATTTCATTCTTTCTGCTGTCTGTTCAGTATTGAAACATTTGACGAAAGGGAGATCCCAAAAGTTTTATTTCCAATAGTTCAATTCAATTCAATTTATTCAGTCTTCAGAGTAAGATGAAGAAAATCTCTGCTGAATCATGGTATAATCGAAGAGTTAGTCGTCGGCGCGGGCAACGGTCCACAATCGTTGTCCAATACGTCCCGGCGTAACAGCTAGTGTCGGGAAATAATGTGGGCCCGTTGGTAGTACCAGCGAATAAACTGCTTCACCATGTTGGAACAGTACGGCGTCCAGCTTGTCCGGGGCTGACGGGCGTCGGAATATTATCCCATGAGAGAGCGGCAATGGGACCGACTAGTCGACGTGATGAAATGAGATAATAATAATAATAATAATAAATGATTTCCAATAGTGCATCATTTAAAAAAGATTTACGAGAGCTTGAAGGAAACCAATCGCTGGCTCACTAATTCTTGGTAAAATAGTTTTTGCGTTCTCTTTTTTCTCAGCGACAGCCTCATTTTCACTTTCGAATTTTGTTTTTTTTTTATAATCGATTTTATCGACTTGAAAGACTATTGGTATATTGGCAAAGATGACAGGTTGCGTAACAGGGCTATGCGGCAATCGAAAACGGCAATCGAGTTTGAGTCGCTAATTAAGAAAATAGATAACTAGCTAAGGCTCCGAAATTTTCTATACTTATTTAAGACGTGCTCCTCTATAACTTCCACTCATTAAAAATGTGATTTATGATTAATAAGTTTTGAAAAACCTTCACAGAAGACGAAAATTGCCGGTTTCAAATTGCCGGCAATTTCGGCAATTTGTTGCCGGCAATTTTTGGCACTCTTTGAATTTTCTATATATGGTCTCCTACAAAATTCAAAAATATTTTTACTGATACTGTAGCGAAGTTCATCTTTCATGTCTACAGAAAATTTTGGAGCCATAGCTGATTATCTATATATCCAAGCAGCGACTCAAACTCCGATTGCCGGTTTCGATTGCCGCACAGCCCTGTTGCGTAAGCAAAGTGGCTTTTAGAGCGGAACTTAAGTTCAAACGTAAGCCACCTCTTTTCATGTTTTTTCTCTTTTTTTTTTGGTAAATTGATTATTATATTATTTTTATGACTTGGAGATTCGTTTGATCTCTATTTTTTTCGCCGGAAGCCGTGTCGAGTTCGCAGCAATCACTCTTGCCAATATGCCCCCATAACACTTTCAAGTCGAGAAAAATTCACTATTTGATCTCTTCGATGAATGAACGAATGACGTAAAAAAACATTCGTGTTTTGGCGGAAGGGGTATGAATGCTTTGTTAGTGAAAATAAAAAATAGGGATAAAAATAAGCATCGTCACAGTTGCAGATTGATATGGAGGAGGATCCGTACGTCAGCGGCCGAGGATCGGCCAACTCGATGTTCAGCGTCAATGTCGACGACGTCCGTAACACCGACGTCGATTTCTGCGATCAAGACCGCGTCTCTGGAAGTTTTTGTAATAACACGCCGCAGGTGCTTCGTAGAAATCTCCTGACTCTTCAAAACCATTTCTGTCAGATGTCGCCGAGCGTTTCGGAGGGTGACGACTTTGATATGAACGAAGGGGCTCTCAGCTCGATTGAACTTCGGGTTTTCCCTCCAAAAATGTTTCAATATTTATTTTTTTTTTACAGAATCAACTCAACGCAGAGAGAACGATTTCCTATATGAGCGAACAGCTCTTCGAAGCGGCTAGTCCCTACGTCGAAGATGAACAGAATAGTGAGGGTTTTACCTGGCAATATTTTGTTTCTAGTTTCTTGAGAATCACAAAAAAAGTTGAGCCGCGTATGTTTTTTTTCGATAAATGTTGTTCACTGGTTTCTAGATTTCTATGGAGGTTCCCCCAAACATTGAATAATCATAGCCTCGCATCAGGGAGCAGCGGCCATTCACTTTCTAGTATCGAGAGCAGACTGGGCGAGCTTTATAGAGAAGATAGTTTCTGACAGGAAATCAATGTCTACTTGTTTACACTCATTAGTTCAGTTCAATCGCGAAGGCCCATTTTCAAGTCTATAGCTTTTTTTTGAAGCGTATCAAAAAAAATTTACACGTTAATATATAGAAAAGACGTTTGAGACTTCACCGACGGCTCGAGTGTCCAAAGTATGGTTTTCACTGCAGATCGTAGAAAGGTCCGCATAATATAATTGAAGATATGATTGGCCAAAAATGACGTACCAGTGTTTGGCGGACTTCATGCCATTAAAGAAATTTTTTTCCAGGTCAAAAAAATTGATTTGAAAAATATAATCTACTTATTTGTTTGGTTTTTTTCTTGAAAAAAGAAAGATTGGAGGAAATGAAATTTGCAGAGGTGCCAGTGGAGTCGTCGCTGTCGAAGGTGAGGTCACTGCGTCCGGCGTTCACGAACGAAGACAACATGTCCGAGTCGGCGGGAAGCAGCGGCCACAGCACAGTGGTCCCGACGGCCGTCGCACTGCCTCCGACTGACGCCGACTCCCTCGGAGGGAAGATCCTGCAGACCTCCGTCAACGAGAATTGTTCGTCATCCCGACAGTGGCAAGATAACTACAGAGAATATTTTGGAGAATACCACTCGATGGGAAATTTTTATCGATAATTTATAGGACTTTCGAGTTTCGGAGAATTTCCATAACATTGACATTTTTTCTCGAACCAACAACGACTTTCAAGTTATTCAATTTTTTTTTATTTCTTGTCGAACTTCCATTCATATTAAAGTACTGTATAGATCGTGTTCTGGACGTTGACAACCGCACTTCTTTCGGAGACTTCAAGTCCTGGATGGCCTCTCAAATGCAGGTGGAATGTGGACAATTCGTTATCGTCAAACACAGCTCTGTCAGTTTCTTTATTCTCGACTTCCCGTTTGACCAGTTGACGGTTTTTTATTTCGACTTGTCACATTAGTTTGTAGTCTTTTGAGAAAAAAAAAAGTGGTAATTTTTAATATTAATGGTTGATCCTTCAGCTTTTGAGTGTTTCCCGGGAGATGAATTGTTTATAAAGGATGAAATATAATAAGGATGATAAGTGCTTCGGATATCTATTATTGAAAAGAAAAACATTTTCTTCAGGAAGACGGCAATGATTCCGGTTATGAGACCACTTCCAAAGACGACGAAACCTTGTTTTCCGCCTTTTCGTCCAGTTCAATGGTTTTCGTAGATGATTTTATCTGTAATAATTATTTTTTCCAGCTTTCTGTCAAGCTCCGCCCGCCGTTGAAACATGACGAAAAACTTGTACAAATATACCAGTTTGATATGAATGATTACACCGTAAGAAATAAAAGTAAAAGAAACTTCAAATTATGGGAATGCGCTCAGAAAGAGAACTGGCGGATGCTCTTCGAGTGTCCCGCGTCTCCGCGAACACTGATCGGCGACGTTCTTCTGCAATGCATTCGCTTCTACAAAGAGATCTACGGAACTGCTCTCACACCTCAACAGTGCGTCATCTCGTTCCGTTTTCACTGATTCCTGCTGCTGTGGACATGTTTCAACCAACTTTTGACTTTCTTTCCAGAGTCCGACTGCGAGACTTGCCCAATTACGGCAGCGGCCACAATGTTCTTCGACCGAACGACGCAATGAGCAAACGTTCTTCCTGGTGCTCTAACATGTACATGCAGATTGTCTCAGGTTCTTTTTTCTTCCTTTTTTTTGAATTCGTTAGTTCAAATGTTCATGATAATCTATTTCAGATTTCCTTTTTTTTCAAAGAACTTACGTTTATTTCAGAAAATAGTTATTTTTAGTTAGTCAAAAATTAATCAACGGATAAAAGTTTGGCAACCCGACAAATAAACCTAATAATTCAGTTCTTCCTTCCTTTTTCAAGGTTCCGTCGGAATCTGACAATTATTTTTCTCTTCTATTGAGTTCTAAAAAGTCAAAAAAAAAAGTTTCATCGAATAAATAGGAAGTACATCAAACTTTTTTTATTTCTTTCTCAAAGTTTCTAATGATTTAATAAAATTTAAAATCGATAGAATGGAGTAGTAAGACGAAGAACGCTTCCTAATTTATTTTTAATGCCTTGTCGGTTTCTTATCGAAGATATTGATGTTAAGATCCTGCTGTTTTGGGAAAATGCGGAGATCCAATTTTGGTGCGGAGATTCCGCCCGTCAACGGTGGAAGTCAGTCAAACACATGAGGTATTTTGAACAAAGCAAAAAGGAAAAGGTCTCGAATTGAGGTTCTCGTTGATCCCAACGCAGAAAACCAAGTTCTTTCTTTCATGGAGGCCCTGGCGAACGCCGCTCAGATTCCTCTCGAACGAGTCGCCATCACTGATGTATTTTTTGCCGTTATTCCAATTCTATCTGTTCTTTTTTATTTCAGATAGCGTCCTCCGCTTGGGAAAAATGGCCTTATTTGAAAAATCGACTCGATATGCTTGATGGAAAGTGGGAGTTTTTTCTGATTGAGAAAAAATCCCAAAACGATTTATTCTTTTTTCAAAGAGAATAGTTTCACTTTTGATATTGATATTATTTGTGCCAGGTATTTAGTATTTAGTATTTTGAAGAACCTATTTACTTTTGAAGAACCTTTTGATTTGAAATTTCATGTTTCTTCTGGTGTCATTCGAAAGTCAAACATTTTGGAAGGATGCGATTTTTTTTTCGAATATTGTCCGTTCCTCGCGACTTGAAAGGGCGTGACTTTTCATGTTGACTTGCTAGTTTCATGTTTCTCTGATCTCGTTGGCGAGGGAACAGAGAGACGCAGACAAGACCGAAAACTTTCGCGACGACGAACGGGCTAATATAACAGTTGATATATCCTTCCACCTCTGAGATTCTTCTCTTTTTCGAAGTTTCCAGATTCTCATCTTCGCTTATACTGCAATACTAGTTCACTATCATTGCAGGGTGTGTTTTCTGAGCGAACCTCAGAAGCTGGGACTCCACCAGAAAGATTTCATCGAGAGAGTGGGCTCGAGAGTCATTTACTATAAAGATCTGCAAGAAGAGCCGAAGGTCCTCACTGAAGAAGAACGCAAACAAATCACAATAAAAGAAAACGGCCAAGTGAGTTGATTCCCAGAAATAAAATGAATAATTAAATTTTAAAAGTTAAAAAGAAAACTCATTTAGACGGCAATCGCCAATCGCCGGAAAGAACGTCCTCTACGCATCCAAATGAGCAGCGTCTGTGAACCTTAACTCTCAAATACCAACTTCTTCGCAGTTTCATTTTTTCAACTTTTACGGTTACCTTTGTCCAGTAGTTTTTTTTGGCTATTTTTTTCTTCAATTCACACGCTTTTCGAAATATATACCCTTTTTTGCTTAGAACAAACCAGACTTATTCCTAACTGGCGATTCTCTACGAGTTTCCTTCAGATTTTTATAGCTTTTTTGTTGGTCAGAAGCTTTGATTTCACATATATCGATTTTTGACGATTGACTTAATCTTCGTTCCTCTTCTGTAATCGAAACTCGAAATTATAATTCAAAACGCCTTTCCCAATTCTCGGTGTACTTCCCGGTTTCATTTGTTTCCAACTTCTCGACAGATACCGATTTCTTCGTTGATTCCCGATGAATTGCTCACTCCGTTTGAATTTTCGAGTCCTCATTGCGATTATGTCGTCGTCATAGAAATTTATCCGAGTGTTTTTTCGAAAATTTCAACAAGCTTCTTTTTCAACCTACCACTCTGTTTTCAACATTTTTTTGAACACGGGTTTCTAAAAAAATTTTATTTATATCAGTTTTTGAAGTTGTTCGAAGTACGAAATGTAAGGACGAAGAGTTGCTTTCGACCCCTTGGAAACGAATTATCAGAGGTTGTGCACATGAATTTCTCCAGCTGTCCGTTTTTTTCCTTTTCAATCGGTGATCCATCATCCCAAAAAACCTCCGGTGTTTGTTTTCATTCATGCTGACACAAGTTTGAGATGAAATTTTTCTATTAGATCCTATTATTATTTTTCTTAGGCTGGAATCCCTTTTTTGACACTTAATGGCTCCTATCTTTGTTCTATCACAGCGGCACGTGTACCGTTTCTGAGGAACGAAAAGGTTTGTACTTAAAAATTCAAAGTTTTTATCGAAGATTTATGAAAACTGTATACGTAGGACTGTTTTTCACTAATTACGGTTTTAGACATCAAAATTAATACTTTATCGAATTATGTGACCGTTACGTTGTTATATATTCGAGCTGCATATGTTGTGTTTTCATGATATGATGGAACTATTTTTTTATTTTTGTTCATTATTAATCGTCGTCTTCTTTCGTTTGCATTCGTCGATGTTTTTTTTGAAATTTGTTTCTAATAAATTGTCACCATGATCTCGATTCTGCACTCAAACGGCTCATCTCCAGCCTAAAGTTTATTTATACTATTTAAAGTCTTTTATAGAGCATTTCGATAGAGTGTTTCAAGATTTTTGACTTGTTTGAGTTAATACTTTTCTCTTCAAAGAACAAGAAAAAAAGCATATTTTTCAAGTATTTGTATCTCTTGCAGACAGTTATAAATAATTTCACAAAAAAAGAAATTATTTCATTCCTCAGCCTTTATAGTCTAAAAACTCCTCCGGATACATTCTTATAGGGTGTGGAGAACATTCTTGTCTTGATGAACCGGCAGAAAAATAGGGAAATAAGCGGTATGAGGGTACTTTCGGGATCAGCTCAGCCCACCAGTTGAAAAGTCTGCGCCAAGGCGTGGTCGCAGATCTTTAGGTGGGCTGGTGTGAAATAAAAAATAAAAATTTGAAATGCTTTTACATAATTTGAAAAAATTCAAGGCTTTTCCCCAGATAGAATTTAAACTTTCAGATGAAGCACAATAACCGACTAAATTTTCAAAAAATGAATAGTAATTATTTTCACGTGAATGCTGAATTAAAAGCATAGATTTATTGTACCTAATTGCACAATCTTGAAAAAAACACGAAGTCTTGGTATTTTTATTTACAAAACCTCTTGTTTCTCGGTGCTCAATTTGTTGCGTTTGACGAAAAAAAACAGTAAATCAAGCCAAATGCCGTCTCGCCGGAAAAACAAAAGAAACGCCGACATTAACCAAATCGAACCGATTTTGGAGCCGAAGGTGTCATTAATTTTTTGAGAATTGCTCAGGAAAACTTTTTCAGAGAAGTGGGAAAATAAAAACGTCGGAACCGAACAAAGAAGCTTTGTTGGAAGGTAGGCAATCACAGTCGTCAATTCCAACCTTTAAATTTTTTTCCAACAGTCGACCTGATTTCAAGACTGTTCAGCTGTTGATTTTCAACCGTTAGACCAATTCAATCACTCAACTGTTGAAAAATTTTTGGGTTGAAAAAAAAACCGTTCAATGTTAAATTTTGACGACTGTACAAGCAATTATTCCATAAAAAATTGAGTTTTATTTTCAGTTTTTGCTGTTCAAAAGAAGGAAAATACTTGTGTGGACGACCTGAAAGTTAAAGGTTTGTCAAATACAATTTTCGCGAGAAAAAAAAGCTTTGTGCAGTTGCAAAAGACACGAAAGGGGTACCGTCCAAAAGAAAGAAGAAAATAGGAGGCGAGGAAAACAAAATTCAGAAAGAAATGAGAGAATCCATTGGAAAGAAGGTTTCTTTTTCAAAATTTGCTTAGAGATATTCGTTTTCTTTTTTTTCAAAAATATGAATTTAACGGAAACACGTTTTCAGGTTCTCGACTCTGTCAAAAAGTCTAAAAAACTACTTGGAGTTCATGCCAGCGCTGCAGGTTCTTTTTGAAAGATTTTGTTTTACATATTACGCTAAGTTGTCAAAAACCCATTTTTCAACTCTTATATACTTTGATTACTTTTCGAGGAGGACTTGAGCAGGCGATCTTCAACGCTCGGGCAGAAGGTTGTCAATCGTTTGCCCTGTTTCTCCGCAACCAACGACGTTGGGATTCGAAGCCGCTCGAAGAAGAAGTCGTCGTCAACTGGTGGAAGGCCATCAAGGCATTTCTCAGTTGATACTCAATTTGACTCGTTTTTTTTGCCAGGAAACTCAGTTTCCCTTAGAAAGAGTTGTTCCACATGGATCTTACTTAATGAATCCAGGTTCTTACGACGAACAGACTTTGACTAAGGTTCGAGGTTTGTACTCTAACAATCTTGTTCATTTTTCTTTCAGACTCGTGTCGCCATGTTGGAAGAATGCCAGAGAGCCGAGAAGCTCGGAATAACATTGTACAATTTCCATCCTGGTTTGTAGCTTAGAGATAAAGGGCTGGGGATTTGAAAAAAAATATTTTCCGCCTGGTCATTAGTCTTTCAATATTCAGGATCTTCTGTTGGCAAATGTACTACTGAGGAATGCATAGCCAGATGTGCCGAAACAATCGACTACGTTGTCGAAAGGACAGAAAATGTGATTATGGGTTGGAATTCCTCTTTTTTGTAATATTAGGTATCGTAGAATAACACGGGCACAGAACAGTCTGGAAAACTGAGCCGCGAATGAAAAAGAACTTGAAAAATATAACAAAATCCCCCAGAAAAGTGTGCCAAAACTTTCGAGCGAGCCAAGAGTTTCTCACACTTATTAGACTGAGGTTTAGGTTTTTTCATAGTGTGGAAAGTGTCTGTTACGCCTTATTTTTATTTTACTTTTGCGGTTCTATGTATTTTTTTTTTCACAGCTAGCCTTTTTCTTCACATCTGGGGAGCTATTTTATGGTGACTAGGAACATTTCAGTTGTTGAAACGATGGCCGGACAAGGGAATACGATTGGTGGAAAGTTTGAGGAGCTAAGGGATATCATTGACAAGGTTATCGTGAAAAAAGCTTAACACTGCTTTTTTTAAATTTCTATCTAATCTAATAACGAACAAAAGGTTCAGGTCAAAAACAAAGATCGAATTGGCGTTTGTATTGATACATGTCACATTTTTGCAGCCGGTCGGACCCAAGCTTCAATATTCTAACTTTTTATCTTTTTAAGGCTACGACATAAGAAAAAAAGAATCGTATGACGATACTATGAGAAAGTTTGGCGAGATTGTCGGGTTTGAATATCTCAAAGCAATTCATCTCAATGATTCTAAAGGTTATCTCTTCATCTCAAAGTTATTTTTTTAGAAGAAGGATGTATTTCTCTGTAATGAAGTAGAAAAATTAGAAAAAAAGTTTGTCATCTAACTATAGGACCTTTTTTTGGCCCCCGGTTGAACTTTTGATGAAACTTGTCTGAAATGCCTTTTAAGATATCCTATGTCAGAAAAAGAAAAAAAAATTATCGCTCTTATTTCCGAGTTATGAAGCTTCGAAGTTTGTAAAAATACACTAATTATTACAAAAAAAGCGCTAATTTGAACTTTTTGGAACGTCTTTACTCGAAAATCAGATTTATTGCAAAAAATTTTTTTCTTGTTCTGACAATAGTCCTCAAAACACTCCAGCAAAGTTTCACCGAAGTTTCAACCGGGAGCTAAAAAACGTTCCCTAGTTAGACACAATAATTACTTGTTTAGGAGCAGAAAAAATAAATGTCAGCGTATAGGACGTTAAAAATCTTAACACGGATAATTTTCAGCGGACTTGGGTTCACACTTGGACCGGCATGAGAATATTGGGAAAGGAAAGCTCAAGGAAGAGACTTTTTCCCATTTCATGAACGACACGAGGCTAGACGGAATTCCGATGATTTTAGAAACACCCGAGGGCATGTATCCGGAGGAGATGATTCTTCTTTACGAACTTGACAATAACTGAAAAAAAATTAACAAAAAGGAAAATCAAGGCGTTCACATGTGAAATAAATATTGCAGTCTCATCACAGCTTTTGTCATATATTAGAGACACCTACTGGCGTTTAGCCTTTTAGTCGTATGAGTTCGTGATGGTACGACAAAATCTCAAGTCCGCAAATCTCGAGGACCGTAATCTTGTGTACGCAGATCTAAAGTCCCATAATCTTGGAAACCAAAATCTTGGAGACCAAAATCTTGGAAACCACAATCTTGGAAAGCAAAAATCTTCCCTTTTAGTCTTCTTTATTGCACTTTATCTACTTATATTCTCTCGTTTGGATCACCGAATACAATTTCTGATAAAATCTATTCGCAAAAGCGTTGATTTTTACTTTCCAAGATTGTGGTTTCCAAGATTTTGGTCTCCGATTTTGGTTTCCAAGATTATGGGACTTTAGATCTGCGTACACAAGATTACGGTCCTCGAGATTTGCGGACTTGAGATTTTTGTCGTACCATCGAGTTCGTATAATACTTAATTTTTCTAGTTTTTGGAATTCATTCTTACAGGAGAAGTTTCATTCAAAATTTTGTTGACTCCTGGTTTTTTTCAGTAAATATTCAAGGTCATCGTTTTGAAAAAAATTTGAAAAAGGAAAGGCCGTGTGTAGGGTTTCATTAGATATGCAAAGAAAAAAAAACTTATATGTGCTCGTAAGAACAGCTTTGACAGCTTGAAGAATTCAGACAAACTTAAACTATTAACAACAAGCTGAAGCCTTTCTGTTACCTAGTTTCATGTAGGAAAAACTGTCCGGAAAGAAAGAACGGGCACATACCGGCCGGATTTTCAAAATTTTGAGCGTCAAGTTCGTTGTTTACGAACGTGGCGCGTTAATCGACGACAGCGTTTGAATTAACCGCCGTTTAAAAAAAAAACTTCTGAATTTTTTCAAAGCTTCAGTTTTGGTGAGCGAATTTTTTTAAACTCGTGATCCATTTTATATCTCTTTGTTTCGTAAGACTTTAGATCGCCGTAGTAATTATATACTGCGATTCTGTTTTCTTGAAGAAACTTTCAAATTGTATCTCAAAAAGTTTATTTGTTTATTTGTTTTTGGGCAGCTTCGTTTTAGAAAAAAAATTTGATTTTTCCTTTTATCTATTTTGATAAAGATTCCTTTATATCTCAAAAATTATCTTTAAAGGATTTCAAAAATCTATGTTTCGAATAAGCTGTTAATATTGATGCGTAGGTTTTATTCTTTGTTTCCTTTGTTTCAAGTTTCATGTTCAAAAATTCATAGGAGTAGTTTATTAGATTTCTCTCTCTCTCTCTCTCTCTTCGTTTTTTCTAAGAGTTTTCTGAAGCTTAGACAAAACTTATTTTCTAGTAGAGAAGTTGGGATTGGCATCGAAGCGGAAAGGATGAACACAGATTTAAACTTGGTAATGTTCCCTCAGCAGGTTTTCGGTAATAAGTTTTCAGACATTTGATGCAGCGGAAAATTTTCTACCTAATAATACGTCCACACCTAACTCAAAAACCGATGACTCAACTACTGAGATTTCGCAGCTATTGAAAGCCTTTTCGAAGTTCAAGGTTTGTATTGGGATTTTTCAAAAAGTTTATTCTGTTTCTCTAGAGCCGTGTGCAAGAAAGCGAAAACGTTTTACTAAATTATATTTTTTTCAGTGATTTCATTTTTTCAAAAGTGAGCTCGATTATTTTTTCTACTGCCATCTTTGAGAAAAGAAAAGTATTTTTAAAAAAAGTATCTCCGCTTCTGGTATATAATATATAAACCTCACTGCCAAGAAATATTTGGAGGGAATTTAATTATTGTTTTATCATTTCAGGCTGAAGAAATGTCGGTCGAAGAACTGCAGTCACAAATGCTGGACATGATAAAAAAGAAGATGGGAACCGAAGAATCTCTCAGACGGCTTCTTTCCCTGGTTCGTACTTTTCAAATCAGAGGTCTTCTCGATAAATCAAACGAAATTAGTAAAGCTTATTTACCTTTCGAAAATTTCCTCACTGTGAATTAATGAGGGGTGTTTTATCGCTTCTAAGGTTTTCACTCTCAACGAAATCATTTCAAAACGTTGCATTTTCTTTCTAAGTTGTTACATGTATTTCTATAGGGAAGTAATCGGAAGGGGTTGAGATGCAAAATGTTCAAGTACATTTGAGCATTTAGGAATCGAACAGATCTGAAGGAATCGGAGCGAACGCCACCGATGTGATCATTCTGAAGCATGCAGCAAAGGAAGCGACAGACGCCCTCAAATCGTTGATGTGGTCCGGGGGTAAAAATCATAGTTTTGTTCGGAACGTCTCGGTTTATTCTTCAGAGTACACAGTCATTTCCAACCAAAAGAACAAAGTGATTTCAAAGGGACGGGTCGCCGATTGTCTTCAGAACAATTTCAATAGAAATATGATCGATAAGGACTTAGAAATGCTCACCAAGTGAGAGACTGGAAAAGCCTATGTTGATAGCCCTACTTAAAGGGAGCGCGACCAACTGCGTCTCGACGTCAACCGCCACATCGAGAACCACGCAAAAGCCTACGAAGCTTTCATGACCACGCGAAACTCTCTCAAAGAAACACACGAGGTATCTCTTTTGGTTTCTCGGGGACAAATTTTGGAATTCATTTTTGCGTGAAAATTTTCCTTGAAATATACTGTGTTCGGTCTTAGTTTCAAAGAGTTCCACGGAACGAAGAAAAAACCAAAAAACTTCTCTACAGGAAATTTCACGGTTCTTTAGCTCGATTCGAATTATTTTCCTTTAAAACGAGCGTGAATAATTTTTTTTTATATGTTTTAATCTCATTTGAATTGATAAAGAATGACAAAGTTTAATTTATAAAATTCGTTTTCTTTTCGAATTCTTCCGTTGTTTTTGAGATTCAGAAAAGCTTCCAAAAAAATGATTTGCTTTAATTTTTTTTAAACTTTTTACGTTTTTATTTTTTCGCTCTTGTTATACCAACCTCTCAAAAATGATCTTATTTTCAGGAATATGCAGAAGCTTCACGTAAGTTGAAAATGGCTGCCGCTGAAATCGAAGAGTGGGAGGCTAAGTACTACGCCGTCAAGCAGAACGCCAGCGAAGAGCTTGAAAGGTTTTTTTTTTGCTATGTCTAAGTTCTCTTCTTAAAAGACAAATACAAAAGGTGCATTTTTATGGCCATTTTTTTTCTCTCGAAAGACATCTCGCTGCATTTCCTAGTTTCAGTGTGATCTGAATACTGTTTTTCCTTCAATAAGTGCAGATAGTCAGTTTGCAGAGCCTCGCGTGAATATGATGAACTTGTGCGCGCCAATGAAGAAAACACGTTGTCGCTAAGGATAAAGGTGCGAAAGTACGACATCGACCTCAAGTCGCGTAACGACGAGATCGCCCTTTTGGTGAGTTTTTTTTTTGTTAATTGAAATTGATCTTGAGTACAGTTTTTCTTTTAACATCGAAGCTATCACCGAAAGAACAATCTTGCAGCGAAATCGAACCTCAGAACTTGCGGCGATTATTGAGCAGTTGATGGAGCAAGTCGAAGGATCTGACACGGAATCCAACCGAATGGCGTCCTCTTTCAACGAGTAGAACGTCTTTTTCTTCATTCATTTATTTATTTTCTTTGGGTTGGCGCTTGCTTGTCAGATCTCATTTTCAAGACAGCAAAACTATTTGTATTGCCATCCCTTTTCTTGTATTATATAAATTTTTCTTCCTTTAATTTCTCTTTTTTGGAAAACTTCCGTGGCTATTGATCCAGAAACGTCCTACTTCGGGGTATGAGAGTAAACGTAGTTAGTAGGCCAAATTGGCAGTTGCTATCCTCGAAAAGGCACAGAGTTACTTGGCTATGTCGACTCTCTCTCTCAATTTTTTGACCTTTATTTCTCTCTGGTCTTACACTAAGAATAACTGTCGAGATAAATGCGATGTCGCTGCTGGCAGTACATTGACGACCTCGCAAAAGTGTTGCTCTGTAGTTGTGCCGTTCTTCCTGGCGCGGTCTTTTTTGATGGGAAATTTTCAAAATAATTGTTTATGCTTCAAAAAATCTAAATTCGATGTCGCGCCTAGAAAAAATGCGAGACCCGCGCCACAGAGCGACATTTTTGCGAGTTTGTCAATGTACCGCCACGGATGGGATGATCTTGAACCTGGAATATGAAAGTTAGGTCTTCTGAGCGTTTGAAAAGCCGTGCTAGAAGTTTCAGACTATTTTTAAAGCCTAGGCAATATTTTCGGAGAATTATAGGAATTTTAAGACAATAACAAAAAAATTTTATTTCAGTTATTCAACGTCAGTTTCACATATTAAAAGAAGAAGGAGAGGTTCAAAAAGTGGTGAGTCATGATTTGCATTACCAGTTTCTCGACATTAAAAGCACTTTTGGGAGGAAAACACTAAATGATACATGTTCTTTGAAAAAATTAATTAAAAATATCTCAATCAAGAATAGTTCAAAAAGAACGAAGGCTATCACTCGTTCTGAGGCATACAAGGTAAAAAGTTGTTGGACATGGGATCCGAAGGCATCATCACGACGCCAGTGTTGTCTTTGGCGGGGCTGGCGCCTGGAGCGGAAAAAGAAGCCATGATCCGTTGGATCATCTCCTGCGCCGACTCGTCCAAGGGCTCGCCGGCCTGCTGTTGGACGACTGGCACCATTCCTTGCTCGAGCATCATCTGCATCATCTGCGGAAGCGCGTCCCCCATCGTCGGATTCACCTGTATTTCGTTATATTTATCTTCAATGACTCTCTTACCTGGTCTTGTATTTTCTTCGTCTCGTTGAGGTTTTTGACTCTTCGAAGATATGCTACGCGGTTGTCGACCTGTCGACCTAGTCGTGGGTTTGGCGGAAGACCCATGCGTTTAACCTGCAAATCTTTTTGATTAAAAAAGCATTTTTTCTCGGAGAGAAGCTGTCTCGATTTTCCAAAGAGAATCCCACCTCTTCGTCTATCTTCGCCTGTCGTTGCGCATTGCTCCAGTCTTCATGAAACGACCTGTCGACGATCTCTCGCAAAGTCCTGAAAAAGGGATTTAAATGTTTCAGAAGTTGACTGGACCTACTTGGGGAGTCCTGCATGGCTTCCGGCTTGACCGACCGGCTCTAGAGCGTGATTGTGGCCTCCTTTCTCTTCGACGATAAAGAACTCGTCCTGCTGCTTCACGCGAACCTTGTAGCGACACTTGTTCTGCAGTCTGTTGATGCACTCGTAGTAGACGTGGCCGTCGAGCTTGCGGTCGTCTTTCTCGATGACGTAGAGCGAGTAGATAAGCGCTTCGAACTCATCACGTTTTGTCGTGTTGAAGCATTCGAACCAACCGTCCTGTCGCATATTCCGGCTGCAAATATCAATTTCCAGCTATTTCTGTGTTTGATCTCAGCCAACTTGTTGTCTTTGCCAGGAGCAGTGGTCGATTCGTTGTGGTCACTGCCTGGCGTGCCTTGTCGCGACGACTCTCCCTCGTCGGATGTCGATTGTTTCTCTTCGGACCCTTGTTCTGATACGAACTGAGAATACTGTGGAGGCGGTGGCGGGGGCAAAGTCGGAGGTCCCCCAGCAGTTTCCTGATTTCAACTATTAATTATTGCGCTTCGAAGACTGTTTATTGGGGAAAGTCTAGAAGAGCTTCTATTTTCGGAAATTTTGTTTTCGAAGAATGCTCTACCTGTATCATCTGGTTATAAATGGGAAGCCCTTGCATGAGTTGCTGCAGAGCCTCGTCGAGCTGAGGCATCTTCGAAGGCGAATGCAGGTTCTGCAAAAAATTTCTTTTTTGCGTCGTAGTCTCTGTCCAAGTTTGGAATCTGAATTAAGTCTTACCGGCATTATAAACTGGCTGAGAGCTTCCAAATGATTCGGCTCGTTTGTAACTGTGGACATGGCCTTAACGGAAAATTTAGTTGGTAAATTAAGTAACATAGTGTAAAGCGAGGTATAGATGTAAAAAAAAACGGAGACAGTAGAGGTATTTTTCACGTATCTCTTTCACATCATTTTTTTCTTTGCTTCATGCCTTTTTTTGAAAAAAATAAAATTTCGAAGTTTTTTTGGTCTCGTAAAAAAAAGTAAAATTTACAAATTAGAAATCTCAGAATATTCATCACATGCGTTTTTTTAACAAATTGCTGGAAATTCTCGAGTTATATAACTTAAGAGATTATGTGTGTAAATTACTCTTCTCATGAAAAATCGACTCTACAATTAAAAAAAAACATGAATTTCAAAAACACCTTCAACGAGCTCATTTTTCTTACGAGAAAGGGAACCTAGCGGAACATTTAAAAAAATTAACTTAAAAGGTAATGATAGGATGTATTGTACAGTATTCTGTTGAGAAAATCTGTTTTTGTCTCAGAAAACTCAATTGAAGAGAAAAAGATTATCACTTTTTAGAAAAATAAGAAAATAAGGTCGACAAAGTACAATCGAAAACATCGGTAGATCAAAATGAGACGCCGTTTTCGTTGACACATTTGCGCGCCGCTTTACCAGAGGCAAATAGGATGATATAGGACTTTCTGAGATGACACGCAGAGGATGAATGGTTAAACTGCATTCTCCAAGAAGACTCTGTGATCTGGGAAGAGAAAATGGCATATCAAGCTCTGTAGAAGACTTTGGTTGGGACGTAACTGGAGATATATAGAGGTATTCAGAAGACATGAGGGCATTTTGAGAGCACAGAGAGTCTGTCAGGTTTGGTTTGTTGAACACTACAAAATTCCGCAGTCTTTATTCCTCAAAACTGGAGACATTTCATCTAAAGTACAATTTCCAACAAGTACGAGGAAAGCGGCAGTGAAAATTTTTTGGAAAAGAAAAACATACGCGTTGCTTGAAGATGAATTTCAAGTGAAGTTCAATGCAATCTAATTTGCGGCTAGAACAGATATCTATTTCGAATAATCATCTATTATTCTTAATAAACGAATGCAGCTGGAGTTCTTGAAAAATAGAAAGAAGAAAAATCGGTAGACCCGTTGAAGGAAAGTTTTTCAGCGCATAGGTAAAAGAAAGGCTCGAAGCGACGACGATGAGCAATGCAGGACGCTGGCTCACAAATGGCCGCCGCGCGAGGTACCCAGAAGAAAAACGGAGAAAAAAGAGGCGAGGAACACAAATAAAGTTGACCCAGAACCCAAATGGTTGCCTCGCCCCTTCCCTAGAAATTCCGCCTGTCGTGGTTGCGCGCTATTTTTTCGCGGCTGAAAGGTCAAATCGATGGACCATCTCCTTCAATATTCATCTTCGCCTACCCCTATTACACCGCTTAAATAAGAGAGAAACTGGAAGAACGATGGTGGAAGACGCCAAATGGCCTCTTAATAAATCAAAACTACAAATTATGGGATTAGTCTTTTGTTTGAAGAATGGCACGCTTACATGGTATGCTAGAAGGGGAAATTATGAATGAAATCTAGAAGAAAAAAAAAGATGTAGTCTCACTAAGAAAAATATTTTTGTTCTAGTAGGAGTTATTAACTAAGAACGAAGATAATTAGATATATGGAAATCATTGCGTTATTGAAATGTGACATGATTTTTTTGATTAGTTTATGTTAAAAAAATTTCATAAAAAAATTGAGTATTTTTGAATAAATTATTTAAGAATAGAAGTAATATGGGAGAAATTAGAGATGAAACAGGTTTTTCTCTACTTCATATGGGGTCAAAAGATCATCCCAAAAAGCGCCGCTTCCTCGGCCCAAGCTGTTTTCTTCATAGATCAAAACTGTTTTTCGAAACTTTTGCCTTCAAAAGTTACCAATTCAATATGATTCCGAGCGAAGAATGAGAAAAAAAAATTAAATATAAGAAGATAAGAAGTAAAATGAGATTTGGGAAGCTGGAAAAGTTAATCTGGTGAAGCGCTTTTCAGGGGGATTAGAGACGCCATTTAATATAGATTTCGATTAAAATTCTTGAAGAGACTCGAGTCAGTGAATAAATTTGCGTCAATCGAAAAGATTTCTTCTCTTCGGAGACCAAGGATGTTATTTATTTTTGAAAAAAATTCTCCAGTTCTTCTAGAATAAAGCCGCAGAGGAAATTTCTTCTTCTCTACTTTTTGTTTTTACAAAAAAATCTATTAATTCTCAAAGTTAAAAAAATTATGCATAAATAGTGCGAGGCGGTCACGTTTTCGAAGCAGAGCAGAAAAAAAAAAATCTCGGTGACAGCTTTTTTGCTTTTTAGCTTTACAAAACTGCGAAAAAAAAAATACTGTGCAGGCTTTTTCGTTTTTTTGCAGTCTAAGATTGTGTAAAAGAAATCAGGTTAACTTCAGTGATGGTTTTCGTCCACAGGAATTCAATTGAAAGTAATAATAAATTTTTACCGCATCCGTTATCATTTATAATGGGCTGATTCAAATAAACGTCTCCGTCGAAAAGGAAGCATTTAAAGAGATGTCCTCAAAAGAATTTTGTGCGGAAAAATGTTGTCCAAGCGACGAAGATTGGACAATCGTCTCCAAGTTAGTAGAGACTCATTTATTTATTTTTCTTTTGCTTTTCGAAAACATTGAAGTTTTTATCTGTTCAAGCACGGAACGATTCTAATTTTTTGCCTATTCCGGCAAATATTCCCGGCAGTAAATCTTGACGAGTGGTCTTCGAGTTCCTGGTTGTTGTTCTCAAAGCCTTGGGGGTGGTTTGGACGACTGTCTTCCGGGTCGTGGTCATTTTTCTCGTTGCTGTGGTGGTCGTAGTGATGAGCTTTGCAGTGCGCCGACTCTCAGTACTAAAATCCGCCATTTTCTCTTACTAGTTAGGGTTTTTCATCTCAGGTTCCATAAAGGGAGATTCGAGATACTTTAAAATTAACATCTGGAGAGTCTTCTTTTCTTCTTTTTCCTCTCGCAAACCTGCCAACAGAGGACGTAGATCGGATTGAAGGCGTCGTCTTTATCGTCGTGAAGGAGCTCGAAGACGGCATCTGAAGTTGAAAATAGCCGGCTTCGTAGTCTTCCTCATCGCAATCTTCGTCTTCCTCGCTGTCACAACATTCTCCGCCACAACATTCTTTGGAAGAAGACGTAGAGCTCTCCGTTGCTCCCAATGTATCGTTGACGATGTAGTTGTGGCCAGGCAGGCCTGTATAATTGTTTTTGGCGTTTTTTTTTGGTTGATTGAATCCATTCTCAATTGTATGCTGGTAGCTAGCATACATTTGGCAATGAATTCAATCAACCAAAAATCTACGAACAGCTCTCTGTACATCAAGTCGATTTTTCATAACTATCGTTTTTAATTTGAAAATAGACAGAAAATTTTCTCTTCAATTTTTTTCAGGATTTACGGCATTATCCGAACCACCTTCAAATTCCTCTGTTCTCGACGAGATATTTACCAAAAACTTGAGATTGTAACATGTGCGTATGGAAAAATGTAAATTAAAAAAAAAAAAACAGTTTTTCGCGATTTATATTTAGCAAACGGGTCAAATTCCATTCAACTCAAAAAATTGTTTGCACGACCTACCCACTGGCCCCTGAGTGGCGTTATCGTAAGATCCGACAACAGAAGCCTGCGCCCAGTAGCTGTAGAGCTTGCAGCGGTCGAATCCAGGCGTACGTAAGATCCTGATGTAGCCGTTTTCTCCCCAGTTCGATCCCCAGCTAGAAATCCTTGTTGAAGTTTTTCTGTTTCTTTTTTTTTCTACCTGTTACGTATAATCCAATATGTAGAAGTGAATCCGACGAGGACGACGGCATGATTTATTGTGTTGCCACAAGGTCCATCATAAATTCCTGAAGGAAAACGTCGAATTCCAACAATGCGACTTCTGTACCTGACTCGTAGCTGTAGAGGTCGGTGCTTACTGCCATCCCCACTGCAACTGGTCCTCGACGAACTCTCTCTTCCATGTCCCAAACATTTCAGGTTATTTTACGAACAAAGGAAATGTTACCTGTTCCAATTTGTTGATTGCGACAATCGAGGTGACGTTGGACAAGTAGCCTGTATCAAAGCTGAGAATTTTCGGAGCCGAAGCTGAGAATCGAGTTGCACTGCACGTCGGCTCCTCAATCGGACGTTAACATCTGGGTCAGAATAAAGAAAGTTACACTGCCGACAAACGGAATGGCTGAAGCAGAACGAAGACCGGTTGACTGCAAGTAGCTAGCCGCGACCTGAGACAGAAAATCTTGGACTGGATCTTCATTCGCTAACTTATTCAAATTGAAAGGCATTGGATTATTTTAACGGCACATACATGTATTGAAGTAGGTTCTCAATACTTGCCTGGAAGTAGCCGCCGTTGCAGCCTCTGTTAGCCACGCGGTAGGTAGAGTCGACTGCGGTGTTGCAGCTGATGAGCTGCTGTACTGCCAGACAAGGAGTCGAGACGTTCCGCAGAGCGAAGAAGCCTTCCAGCATTCCGATCAAAGAGAACGCCCAACACGCTCCACAGGTACCCTGATACACGTGACTGAGGTCAAACGAGGAAGTTACCTGGTCCAATATCGGAGTCAACCAACTTCTCCAGTCTACTGTTTCGTTGACGGTCTGTCTTCTTTTTCTCGGGGACATTGGTTCCACTGTGGTAAATGTTATGTCTGGGAGCAACAGCTTCAAAGCTGGCATTTCATTTTCTGTCTGAAAAAATTGCGGCCGTTTCGAAGTTTCGAAAATAAAAAAAATGAGAATAATTTTTGAAGTTTATACCAACAGCGACTGAAAATTTGTTGACAGCCATTTTGAACTTTGACTTGTTCTGAGCGTAGAGACTGTTGTGAGCCTTGATTTGAGTCCTTGTCGCATTGTACTTTTCATAGCGAGACAGCCCGTTGGAGGCGCTGCTCGAAAACCCTGAAAAATAACTGGTACCAGAACAATCTGTGACGAGTCGCACTTGTCTGTGCCATGAGCGTCTTAAAAGTAGAATCCTGTTCGAAAAAGTTCATTCAGAAGCTGCAAAGAGCTTTTCTGGAAACTTCTAAATTATTTTCAAGTCTTGATATCCTTCTGTAGAATATAAGTTCGATTTTCGCACCTGAACGGAAGTTTTTCTGAACGGGGCAGCCGTCAACTTGAAACTTGTTGCGGTGGTTGTAAATTTCTGAGCAGGGACAGTAGTCGGCGACTGTGAGCAACTGGCGGAGCAACTTTTCGGGCAATAGATTCGAACAGGAGTGTTGAGTTGAACGGTTGGGTCCAGCTGAAATTTCTTGAAGAGTATGCTTCCCCTCACAGAATAACTCTCGAAATTTACTTTTTAAAACTTTTTTGGCGAGTACTGCACTCACAGTCAAAACTTGTGGGGCGATGAAGAAAACGAAAAGGCCGCATTTTTGTGACAAGTTGAAATCTTTGAAGGCGTTGGACTGGAACACGAGGTTGCAGTTCTTTCCATCGGACGGACAGGTGGCGCTTTCTCAAAACTTCGACTCTCAGAAGTTTCTGGTGGATCGTGTTGAATTCATGGATTCCTCCGAAACAAGATAGCAAAACAACGGAGCTCACCGATTGCCGTCACGACGAAGAGCGACACTAACAGAAAAGTTGCGACGCTCATGCCCCGGAAAATGATGAGGACACGGAATCATCCCGTTAATCGGTGAAATCTTGGCTGACAGTTGTTCAAACAAGTCAATTCTAAACTTTCCGAGCTTCCTCTTTTTTTTCCCGAAATTTGAGCGATAATATTAAAAAGGTGGCAGATGAAATTTAATTTCTCAACGTATCCATAGATAATTTGTTTTTTTAGTCATATTCGATTTTTCAGGTTTTTCTTCAAAGAAAGCTGATTTTTCCAGGTCAAGAAGTAGGGATTTTTCGAAGTAGTTTTTGGGGTAATTCCCAAAAAAATTATTTTTAAAGAGATGTGCACGAAAAAAATAATTTTTGAAATTTGTGTACTCGACTGTCTTGAGCCATTATTTCAAGAATAATAACATTAGTTATTACGTATACAAGAAAAAAATAAAGTGTGATACCTCAGTTTTGGTATGTCATCTCTTATCTTTCGATTTTTTTGGGGACAATTTTTTTCTTTCTGAATGAAATTGATCATTATTATTATTATAGAAATGCAGATTTACGACAATTGCCACGTTTTTTTGTTCCAATCGTGAATGAGATGTTCTTCTAGTTAAAAAAATGATGACAAATAAAATTATTACAATTTTTTTGAGCGACTCTCGATCTTTGTTTTTCTTCTTCTTCTCGAAAAAGACGTTTTTAACCCCGACCGCAAACATTGCCGCAGTGTTCCAGCCATTTCTCGTCAATTGATTCCGTCGAGAAACGTAGCCATGTCTTATCATCAGGTTGGGTTACTTGCCATTTCATTCATGGAAAAGTTTCGTGAAAAATAATCAATTATAGAAAGTGTCTCCTTCAAGGCCACCTTAAAAAAATGATCCTTTTTTTACAAAACGTTTTTTTAAATTTTTTTCTCGTTTGCAACAAAAAGTATATTTCAAAATAAAAGATAGATGAAAGAGTTTTTCTCGTTAATAGTAGGGAGAATAAAACTCATTATATAAAAACAAAAAAATTTGAAATTAGCCAAGAAGGACAATCGCCAAACGAAAAGAAATAGACCATCCCGGATTCCTTGGTTTTTTTTTGTTATGAACTGAAGAATGGAACAACTTACTTCAGCTAGTCGAAGCTCAACGCGAACATTTTCACTCGGGAGCCACGAGAAGTCTTGAAAATAGGAAGGAGACGCTGAAAAATTACCGAGCTTTGCTTTCTGAGAACAGTCAACAGCTTCACGACGCCATCTACCAGGACCTGCATCGCGTCTGTCGTTTTTAAGCGAGTGAAAATGAAAAAGAAGATTTCAGGTGAGCGATGAGGCACACGCTGGCATCCGAAACATTGACGAGCTTCTCGGAGGCAAGATGGAGGAATGGGGGAAACCAGTAGAGGTGAGGGTGGTTCTTCCCGAATTCAGTCTAATGTTATCCAGGTTGGAGTCGAGACACCATTTGACAAAAACCAAGACAAGGCCTACATCGTACGCGAGCCTCTCGGAGTTGTGTTGGTCATTTCGCCATGGAATTTCCCACTAATTTGCTCTCTCCCTTCGATTTCTGCACTGGCCAGCGGTACCTGCTTTTTCCATATATTTTCAACAGAAGGGTTCGAGGCAACACCGTCATCCTCAAAACTTCCGAACTTGCTCCGCACTACTCGAAAACAATGACAGCGCTGGTCAAAAAGTATTTTGCACCGGTAAAGATGCCAACCGCCTTGGATCTACTCGAAACCACAATTCTTGACAGGAAGTTTTCACTGTGGTCGAAGGAGCTGTGCCAGAAGTTACCGAACTTCTACAAGAGCGATTTGACCACATAATGTACACAGGAAACCCGACGGTCGGCAAAATAATCATGACCGCTGCCGCCAAAAATCTTACGCCTGTCACACTTGAGCTTGGAGGAAAAAAGTTTTTGGAAATGAGTCTGAAAGAAAAATAAACGTTTTACAGTCCTGTTCTTGTTGAGCCCGATGCAGATCTCGAGGATACGGCAAAGAAAATCGTTTTCTCGAAGATGTTCAACTGTGGCCAAATCTGCCTGTCTTCAGACTACGTAATATTTTGAGAGTGGAACCGATGTCATCTAAGATCAGGTGTTAACAACAGCTGAAACAAAACCGAAATTAGTCGAGGCCTTGGCCAAAGTTTACAAAGAAGCTTCGCCGCTCAAAGACAACAAAGGTTTTGCCAGAATCATCCACGAACGTCATTTCGAGTGAGAATAACTAGAACAATCGGTGACTAAGAAAATTGGTTCAGTCGTCTTTCCACGCTCCTTTCAAAAACCAATGGAGAATTGCTATTCGAAGCCGAAGAAAGACAGAATCGCGAAGAAAAGTTCCTGCCACCTCGGGTGTACGGTATCAAGGAAGATGACGCCCTCATGAGCGAAGAGGTTCTTTTTTCTTCGAATGGAGGCCGTCAAAGCCGTTTAAACCAAAGATTTTCGGCCCCATCCTGCCTATAATCACAGTCAAAGACTTTGACGAATCCTTGAAGTTCGTCAAAACACACGAAAAACCTCTGGGTGCCTACATTTTCACCAAAGATCCGAAGAAAGTGAGATATTGAGCAATTGTGAGGTCACAAATGTGTCACTTGAGGCGGATCGCTTTGTGCGCGAAACATACAGCGGCGGTGTGACCATCAATGACGTCATGAAACACGCTTTCAGTTAGTTATTTTTATTCAAAAACTGGTTTAAAGTTCAATCTCAGTGACTAATGTTCCTTTTGGCGGCGTCGGAAACAGTGGAATGGGCAAAATCCACGGCCGTCACGGCTTCCAGGCCTTCACCCACGAGAAAGTCGTCCTCGTCCGCAACGATCTTGACATCCAACTTTAAAAAGTTATCCAGAAAATTTTATTTTTTTGTATTCCTGACATTATTTTTTTCATTAAACGGATTTTTTTATTTAATAATACTATAAATGTCAATATCATCAATGAAAAAGCTGCGATAAGTTTTATATTTGGTTCCTTGTTCAATAAAATTGTCAAAGGTTTTTTTATATTTTCTCTCGAACAAATAATTCTATTTCTTTTCGTAGAGATATACTTCCAGAGACGATGTCAGCGACAAAAACGTTCATCAGAGCAATGTTCAGAAAAGAAAAAACTAAAATCATCATATTGAGTACAAAGATGACAATTGGGCCAAAAATAGTGATAACGATGTTATCTCTTTTTTCGCGTTCCATAAAACGTGCGGCTGCATAATTCCGGCGAACTTTCTGCTTCGGAACTGAAAAATGTCCTACCACAAGGTTAGTTTTGCACTCGTTTGAAAGATTTCTGAACCTCAGAGTTATCCAGCTGGTTGCCTATCAACGCGAACATTTTTTGACGGGGGCGACGCGCTCCATTGAAAATCGCAAACAGACGTTGACAACGGTGAAACAAATGTTGGAGGAAAACGCGGAAGAAGTCAACGCCGCCATTTATGAAGATCTCCATAGAGTTTTCCGGCGAGACCGAGCAGTTCTATTATGGCCTTGCAGGTGAACGACGAAGCCGGAAGAGTCGCCGCGGAAGCTGTCGAGATAATCCAGCACCTAGAAGAGTGGAGTGCTCCGACCAAGGTGCGAATGATTCGAGGTGTTGATGTGAAGGGCTGATTGCAGACGGAAGCCTCTGCTCCGTTCAATGCAGAAGAAGATGTCGCCTACATCGTCCGCGAACCCGTCGGAGTCGTTTTGGTCATCTCTCCGTGGAACTTTCCTCTTACCTGCTCTTCCCCGGCCGTCGACGCACTCGCCAGTGGTGATTTCTATCACAGGAAGTCATTTTCAATCAATATTCGACAGGTAACACCGTTATTCTGAAGCCTTCTGAACTGGCTCCGCATTTCTCCAAAACAATTGCTCGTCTAGTAGCGAAGTACTTTGATCCGGTGACTATAGGTCTACTGTTGATATAATTCAAAATGATTTGCAGAAGGTTTTTGCTGTTGTTGAAGGAGCCGTTCCAGAAACAACTGAACTTCTACAAGAACGGTTTGACCACATAATGTACACAGGAAACCCGACGGTCGGCAAAATAATCATGACCGCTGCCGCCAAAAATCTCACGCCTGTCACACTTGAGCTCGGGGGTAAAAAGTAAGTTCGACTGCAGTTTGAAAAAAAGAGAAGATTTTTTTGCAGTCCGGTTCTTGTCGAGTCGGATGCGGATCTTGAGGATGCAGCCAATAAAATCGCTTTTTCGAAAATGTATAACTGTGGCCAAATCTGCCTGTCTTCAGACTACGTAATATTTTGAGAGTGGAACCGATGTCATCTAAGATCAGGTGTTAACAACAGCTGAAACAAAACCGAAATTAGTCGAGGCCTTGGCCAAAGTTTACAAAGAAGCTTCGCCGCTCAAAGACAACAAAGGTTTTGCCAGAATCATCCACGAACGTCATTTCGAGTGAGAATAACTAGAACAATCGGTGACTAAGAAAATTGGTTCAGTCGTCTTTCCACGCTCCTTTCAAAAACCAATGGAGAATTGCTATTCGAAGCCGAAGAAAGACAGAATCGCGAAGAAAAGTTCCTGCCACCTCGGGTGTACGGTATCAAGGAAGATGACGCCCTCATGAGCGAAGAGGTTCTTTTTTCTTCGAATGGAGGCCGTCAAAGCCGTTTAAACCAAAGATTTTCGGCCCCATCCTGCCTATAATCACAGTCAAAGACTTTGACGAATCCTTGAAGTTCGTCAAAACACACGAAAAACCTCTGGGTGCCTACATTTTCACCAAAGATCCGAAGAAGGTTTGAAGAAAACGATGGAATTTCGCTGATCACATGATTTCAGATTGAGCGCTTCATCAAAGAAACTTCGAGTGGCGGTGTTACTGTCAATGACGTCATGAAGCACGCATATTGTGATTTTGAGATTTCAGGATAAAAAAGAAATGATCATTTTTCAGTGCCTCATGCACCTTTCGGAGGCGTTGGAAATAGTGGAACTGGAAAATTGGGTCATCGTTATGGATACAATACTTTTACTCACGAGAAAACTGTCCTTCTACGCAAAAACGTCGACTTTCATATCTAAACATTTTTTCAGAAAATAAGACGGAATAAAAAAATTCAAACGACAAGAAAACTTTAGAGGACTTATTTTAAGAATATCAGTATCCTATAAATTGAAAACATTTTCATATTGCTGGTTATGGTCGGTACCGACAACTCGACGATTCGCAAAGGCATGGGAACTTCTGAAAATGAATAGTTTCAAACGAAATTAAGATAAGATTTTCTATAAATCCTGAACGGAAAGGAATGAAAATATCGAGTAAAATGTACCTTGTTGATCCACCAAGCGTCGCCATAATCAATCGTTAGTTCTTCTCCGGTTTCAATTTCTTTAACGGAAAAGAGGCACATGTGTACAAGTTGGTCTTGGCAGGCGTCCCAGCAAACATTGGCTACCTGTGGAAAACGATATCATTTTTTATCGAAGAAGTTCACACGACTTAGGCTTTAGGTTTTTAGTTTTGCAAGACAGTTTTTTTAAAGTAATTTTTAGCTCAATCGAAAAGTTAAAACAAACGCATCTCACTTGAGCAAAAATATACTCTTTCTTTTTCTTTTTGGCGACGTTTGAAATTTTTTTCATAAATTTGATTCGAGTGATAGAGAACGTTCATAAAATGGCAATATTTGCGGTTCTTGTGAATCGACCTTGACGTTGGGCTCGCAGCTGTGGTTGATGAAGCGAGTGTAGTTTCCGTAGAACTTGGCGTCGATGGTGTACGTCTCCATGCCCTGAAGCAGATTTGTGTCAGAATTCGAGCAAAAACACGGACGATGACGGTTTCGAAGAGGAAAGTGTTGTCTTTCCGCAGAGCCGCTTCATCGTCATTGATCAGCTCCCCGGTGTACTCGCCGACAAACGCGCCTTCAGGAATATCTACCGAGGATCGGACTCCCCAGCCGCACTTTGCGTCTCTGGCGAATATCTAAGAGATAACGTGATGAAGAAGACTTGCGAGTTTCCACCTCCACTGGATAACAAGGTCCTTTCTGCGCGACGCGGTTGCCACACCACAAGTCGCAGGCGCAAGAAGAACTGCATTCTCGGACGGTCGCCTTCATCAGAACGCTCACGTTGCTCACTCTACCATCTGCAATCTGTTCCTCTTGCAGTTTTTGATAACTTTTGAAATTACCTATTTCAAAATGATTGTAAATCAGGTGAATAATAATGAAGCTTATAAAAAAAAAATGCTAGCTGTATATGAAGCCGCATTTCTAGGACTCCCTGTTAAGATTGTGACAGGACGCTAGTTGACCTGACCTCATTGCCATATGTACTATCATGCAGAGGTGGAGGATTGGGAAGGCAGTCCTTGGCTTGGCGGCCAAGCCAAGCCAAAAAGCCAAACGATAGAAATGAGCCATTAATTTACGTGATATTTGGCAACTAGGTCAAGTACGTGGCGATAACGCCCTGAACTAATCATTATCAATTTTGTAAATTTTGAATTGAAGGGGCGGCATAGCTCAGCTGGCATAACTCATTTCTAACGTCCGCAAGGTCGTAGGTTCGAGTCCCCCCGAGGTCGACCAAGCCTTTTATCCCTCCGGGGTAGATAAAATTGGAAGCTGCATGCAGCGAAAAGACTCAATCTCTGCCATCGGCCTTTGGAAAGCCGGCACCGTACTTCTTCTTACGACCTCTCTTGTACCTGATGTTCAACGAGCGAAATTCACATCTTCTCTGCCTAAGCCACAGCTCCTGCCGCCGTTTAAACACAGTTATAATCAATGAAAGTCGATTGCACATGTATTCTTACATTGAAGATGTAATAAACAGTTTTTTTTTTTTAATTTTGAATTGTTTTTTTTTCGCAACTTCGTGTTAACGTTTTTAATCTACTGTAACAGTTATTTCACCAGGGAATTGTCACTGAAACGGGTCAAAAGGCTACCTTTTCAATCTCACTAGAAAACTATTTCGACAAAAAAATTTTGAGATGTTCAAATCGCTAGGGAACTTTCCGACGGCCACCTTCCCGACTTTTTTCCCTTTTATTTTTCGGTACCTAAAACATTTTTTTGTCTACTTTTTTGTGTTTTAATCATGAATACCTACTTTATATGGGAGGATTCAAAACGAAAAGTTTATTTAGCAAAAAAGTTGAAAAGGATTAGTCGGAATGTTTTCCGTCGGAAAGCTCCCTATAGTCTGTTCAGATTTTGAATGTCAAGCAGCTAACTCCGCCCCTGCTGAGACGGTACCTTTTCGTGTCGATGTTTTATCGCGCGGGACTAATTTTGATATTTTTTGATCTAAAAGATAGAAAAAGAAGTCAAAAATGCAGCCTTATTAAAGGGCCATCGTCATCTGTAGATAAAACATTGACGCGAAGGATATTGTAGCCTTGGGGGTGGAGTTAGCTGCTTGACATTCAAAATCTGAACAGACTCTAGCGATATGAAAAAGTCAGAAAAATCGCCGTTCGAGTTTCCGCTGATCTGTTTTTCCTACCACCATTTTTTCGTGTTTTTGTGTTTTAGTAAAAAAGTTTCATACATCGCTCAAAACAAGCGCTTCTAGATGCTAGGGCGATATCGCCATACAAATGACCGTCGCGCCACGCTGACTTTTGAAAAAGTCATTTCTGCCTTTTGGGCGTTTATGGCTTGGCATGCAGGGCGGCCAGAGGACAGCCATCCTCCACCTCTGCTATCATGTAGGCGTGCCAATGGCACGCCGCCTACTCGTATTGTCACTCTTGCGCTCAGCACGCATACCAACTGGCGGTGCTGAGTTGCTCTAATAAAAATCCAAGAGCAATGTCGGTTCTACACACATCTAAATAACACGTCAAGGCCCGGTGAAGCCTTGCGCGGTTTTGAGATTTTGAAAAACAATGCATTTTTTCAGCCGTTGTTTCATATGAGATCCATACCTTTGCCGTAAACTCTAGACGAACAGTCACACCCAAATTCATCAAGACAAGTCCCTTGGCAGGAGCAGTCCTGAAAATCTTTGGAAAAGACCGCATTTCAGAGAAGCTTACAAATCCGGTGCCAGAGGGACTGTGTTGCGTTTGGATGATTTTCTTTGCGTCCACGATCCGCGGCGAGTAGCGGAAGTAGTCAAAAACGGCCGGGTCGACTTTTTGGCGAGGGCTCAACAGAACTGGAACGGCGAAGCGTTCTTTTCCGTTTGAAAGGTCCCTGAAATTTGATATACCAACTCGAAAAAGCCATCCAACTCACTCTATCAAGACAAGACCCCTCTGACCATGATTTTTGGCTTCCGAACCTAACGTCTGAAAATATTTCTTTCAAATGAGCAAGTTCTAGCATACCATTGAGGAATAGGGGTTAAAACTATCTTGGATTTTTTCTCGAAAACATAACGTTTCATTGACTTCTGGTCATCTTGGGGCAAGTTGATTCAAACCTGGAAATAAGGTAATGTACCCACAAAAAAAAAAACCGAAACAAGAAATATGCAAAGAGTATCGAAATATTTCTGTTTGAGAACAGGATGCATATAACTGAAATGAATAAACGCCGAAGTTTGCACCGAGTAATTATGAGAGTCGTGAGTTTTTTTTTCGGGGTGCAGAGGTCGTGTGAAAGAGAGCCGGAGCTCCGTTTCTGAGTGATTTGGCCATTTGACGCCTCCGACGACAGGCTTCCGCCGGACTTCCGCAGCCAGTCGGTCGCTATGTGTCGTGTCGATTATCGCAAAAACAAAGCCCGCCGTTTCTTCAAGAATTTCTCAGAAGGTTGAAAGACGTCAAAAACTGCGCTGCTGCTTCAAAACATTCTGGGAAATTTATGACAAAAGAAGCTGGCTCTCTCTGATTTTCAGATTTGTTTGAAACCGGCAGCCTTACTTAATGAAGTCTAACCCTAATAGCTTTCGAGACAAGCAGCTTCAAATTCTCGATTTCTCTTTCAATTTTTGAAAGACGGTAGTCCAGTTAAAAATCCAAAAGTCCATAAGAAAATCGACAACACACAATTCAAAAAGATTTTTCAATTTTGAAAACTTGTGACTCTGTAAAATTATTTCATTTGTCAGAATAAATTTCAAAATGTAACGATAAAGAAAGTCAGAGAAAAATTAGAGAAAATCAGAGAAAAAAGTTGTTCAAATATGAAATGAATTCCACCAATTGAAATGAATTTTCAGGAGGGTGATTAATCATAAATTCTGGCGTATATTTCCGTCTGCACAACGGGCGCCGAATTCGAAACTCAGTTTGACGTCAGTCGCATCTTGGAAAACTAGTGCGCGGACGACCTAGAACAAACCCCTAATTGACGGAGCGAAGGCGCTCTCCATCTCTCGCCGTTTCCGGACCAGCCAGATCAGGCAAAACGGCCTCAGTTCAGCTCTACGAGCTATAATCGCGGAGTGTCCCAATTTGGCTCCTAATGAGAGAATTTCTTCACAACGCTTTGTCGAGGGTCCATCTACTTCTTTGCGTGAAAAGTTTCCCTCGTCTTGAAAAGAAGCTTCTCTTAATCAAGGATAACCCATTCGAAAAGACCGTTAACGGTAAATAAATAGTTTTTTATTTTGATCGGAGATTTTAGATCAATGAAGACAATCTGTTTCAAAGAGTGCCGATTCAAAAACATATTTTCAACTGTTTTGAAAAAAACGCTTTTTTTCAAAGAAAAAAATTATTTTCGAATTTAATGAGTATGCGAGTCAGCGTCGTTCTGTGTATGCACCAAAGGCGTCAGATATTACGGAAATGAGGGAGGGGCGTCGTTAAGAGAACGCCGTGTGGTGAAGGCGTTAAAACCTCTTTGTTTATTTTCTTCTGAAGTTGAAAAGCTAGTTCTTTTCTCTTGAAATTATTCTGTCAAAAATAAATGCAAACATCGTTCATATAGTCGAATCACAGTTAGCTTGGAACAATAATAAGTTCAAATATAGTTTTGTATATTTCGCTTATTGTGGGAGCTGATATTCACTTTTACACAGAATATGTATTTACGGAGTTGCCCTTCACTACTTCAATAATTTTTTCTTGGCTTCAGCGTTTTGCTTGAGAAAGTAAAATATTGGAATTCGAGAAAACAAAATATTGAAAACGAATATTATTTGTGAATAGAAGAAGGAATGTGAGCCTCAACGCCAAATATTTGTTATTTTCCGGATGAGCCGGAGTTGTCTTAGGTGGTTCGAGGAAGGCAGCCTCATTTCGGAGAGAATTCGGCGGCTTTTGCAAATCTTCGTGTCAGAGACGTGTCTATTCCAGCGTCTTAATGAATTCACACTAGTGCGCGATTATGACGAACCTTAGGAGATAATTTTCGTAAAAAAGTCTCTTCGTGATCAAAATTAATTCTGATAAGAGGCAAAAATAAAAAACCAAAACTTTTGCACCGACATCTCTGTCCGTTAGAAGGAAAATTGTCACGAAGCCTGCAATGAAAATATATTTTCCTCTGACATCATAAATTTGCCTTTGGGTAGAAAATTGGACAAAACCTACAAGGCTTGCGAACCTATGATTTCACGCACCATAAATTTAGACACCAAGATTTTTACACCTAAACATTTTTTGCGTCCGACTCACAAGGGCTGTGTGCGCGGTGAACATCGAGTTATGAATTGAGGCTTATATGGTGGATGGACCTAGGGAAGAGTGCTCCAAAACGAAAGAGAAAATCTGCTAAGCGCCATAGGGTACCGAGGAAAAGCTCGTCAAAGTTTTGCCGCCACGTATATGTCCGCGCTCGAAGTGCTCAGTCAGCAACTGGGGGCGTGGTGAAGTGGCAGTGTTCTTGGATGGCGCTGACGCTATGCTAGGTTCGATTCCTTTTGACGTGAAACTTTTTTTGCTCTTTTTTAGTCAATTCTTCTACACTCTATTATTAAGCAAAAACTGCGAAAAATGTTTGAATTGAAGGAGACGATTGAAAATTGGAAAAAAAGGAAGGAGAAAGCACAAAAAACTTTTTTTGTGTCATATTCAGTTTTTCCATTGATAACTTTTAAAAAATTGTTCAAATAATTGATTCTTGGGCGGCTTCTCGAGATGACAACACATTAAAATACAATAAAAAAAGTCAGGAACCTCCTCTAAAAAAAGTTTTTATACTTGTGAATAATATCACACTTGGCTCCTCTGGCCTCATTCAACCATTTCATATGTTTTTCTTTTCTTTTTACTGTTTGGAAATCTTTCATCGCAAAAATTCCACCGACTGCTCTATTTTCCCTTTTTCTAATACCAGAAAGTTTGTTTTATTGCTCACCGAAACTTCTGAAATTTCATGGAGAAGGCGAAACTAGATTGACAGGACTCCCTGTGCACTTCGGGCTCGTACTCATACTTGGTTTCTTTTTCACATAATTCTGAGTGATTTTTCTCACTTATATTTTTTTGCTTTAATCACATCGTGTTGTGATATCGAAAGCCATAAAGAACTTTTTTTCCGATATTTTTCAATGGAAAAACTTAGTATGACACAAAAAAAGTTTTTTTGTGCTTTCTCCTTCCTTTTTTTCCAATTTTTCAATCGTCTCCTTCAATTCAAACATTTTTTTCGCAGTTTTTTTGCTTAATAATAGAGTGTAGAAGAATTGACTAAAAAAAGAGCAAAAAAAGTTTCACGTCAAAAAGGAATCGAACCTAGCATAGCGTCAGCGCCATCCAAGAACACTGCCACTTCACCACGCCCCCAGTTGCTGACTGAGCACTTCGAGCGCGGACATATACGTGGCGGCAAAACTTTGACGAGCTTTTCCTCGGTACCCTATGGCGCTTAGCAGATTTTCTCTTTCGTTTTGGAGCACTCTTCCCTAGGTCCATCCACCATATAAGCCTCAATTCATAACTCGATGTTCACCGCGCACATAGCCCTTGTCAGCTTCTAAAAAGTCTCATACAACTGTTTTTGAAGTTCATCAAGATCGACCTCCACGACCAATTTTTAAATTTTTTTTTTGCTGGGTTAATCAAGATTCTTTCAAGCTGAATTCAATAGTTGAATTTACCTAGGCCAAACTTGAAAGTCGCTTTTTAACGAATTTTCTCTTATTGTTGCAGAATGTTTTTTTTTATCCTAGGAAAATTGCCAACGGCTCATCAAGCTCAAATAATTTTAAAAAAATGTTCAACACGGAGATGGTATTTTTCAGATTCTGAGAATAAACCACTGAAAATATTTTTAAAAATTGTTGGTACCCCAATCAAATCACTCTGATGGAGAGAAAAAAACAAAAAAACTAGCGAAAAATATTAGTTCCATGATTTTATCTTTATAAAATCTTTCTTGGAAAAATTATACTCATGAAACACATCTCAATTGAATTCCAGACTCGTTGGTAGATTTTCCTCGGATAAAACGTATTTTTCAACGACAGCCAAGGCAAAAGCAAAGAAAAAGTGTCAGAAAGCGAGGTTTAAAGTTTTCTTTAAGGTAAATGAAAATAAATACTAGGCTCCAAATCTTCTGAAGAAGGAAAAAGGATCCGAAAATTTTTTCAAAAAAAGTTTGCATACCGAGATCGATTTCAAGAATCGTCAAAAAAAAAGAAGGTCGTCATATATTATAGCCAATTCACAGCTGGTTTGCTACGCTAAGAGGCGAGGCACTGTCTTCGCTCTCTACCTATCAGACGCTGTCTCTTCTTTTATCGTGTCAGGACCATTTTTTCGAGAACTCAAGTCCGCCGTGAATCTTAAATTATGGTGCAAAAATTCATAGTACAGCAAAATTTTGCTTTAAAGCGCGTTAACTCAACAGCGCGTTGTGCAGTTGCCCAAAATTGATATTCTGAGGAGTGTGGAGACGAGAGACCATAATGAAAAGCTTGTTCTTTCAAAAAGCCTCAATTATTCGATTAAACAACTGTAATAAGAACTTTTGAGAAAGAAAAGAAAAGGGAGAGGAATTAGCGGCTCTGGGATTCCGGGAAGCTTTAAACCCGACTCCTGAGCACCTGTATCAACAAAATGATGATGATGGAGAGCAAAAGGCTTTCATTTGCAGGAAACAAGTGAGAAATAAGAAGAAGACGGAGGAAGGTGTTCTCCCTGCACAATAGGACCTCTTTATTGCTCGTAACTTCGCTTTGGCCTTTTTTTCACGGTGGCTTCCCTCGCCGTTTTATTCAGTCGCTTGGTCTTTTCGCTCACAGATAAAACAAAAGAGAGCTCTAGCAGACATTTTTTGAGGATTCCGGGTGGCCAAGTTTGAAAAATAGAGGACTGCGATACCTGTATGCGTCCAAAGATTATGACATTCTGAATAGATTCTTAAGTCGAAACTCTGGTTTCACGGTTTTTTTCTCTGGGTAGATGCACTATGACTCACAAAAGATGTTTATGATGGATTCCTTTTGCCTTTTGTTTTCCTTTTAGGAAATTGTTTTCTTTTTAGAATCTTATAACTTTATCTGAATTTATTCCAGATTTGGGTCGTAAAAAAACTTTGCGGCCAGCGGTTTGAAAATCATATAATAAAAAAGTTGAAAACGAGGCAGCTGACCAAACAAAAAGAAAAATTTGCTCCATTAAATCAAAAGTTCAAAATGGCCTAAAAAGGTTTTTTTGCGAAGGAGATTCGACCGAAAATGCGTTTACGGCAGGAACGAGAAATTCAAAAATCTGATTTGCGACTCTTGGTTGTCTGCAACTGCGACAATGTGCAATCTGGCATTTTTTCGAAGTTCAAAAAACGAACAAACTCAATTTCCAACAGCTTCTTCTGGAGGTCGAAAAGTACTGGTTCAACTGATGGCAAGAAAATAGGTTGAAACTGAAAAAAAGTTTGTGATCTCGAAAACGAAATAAAATGGGGCAAGTTGTCTTGATTGCCGCTTCGGGGCTTTTTTGTTTTGCCGAGCTTTCTTAAGTACCGATGCGAAATTTTCTGTTTCTGGAAGGGCGCAGAGCAATTCAAACCGAAAAATGAAGAGTACGCCTTTACAGCCAGAAATTATTTCACTCTGTTTCGTCCGCGATTAGAACTCGCAGACTTTTAAGCCTTCTTGGATTATGTGACGCTTTCGGCTGATTCCGCTTCGAAGCTTTCAAATTTATATTCATGTACCTATAGTTTGTGACCTCTTGAAATGTTTTTATTATTGTTTTTCATGAAAAAAATGGAGTCACGTGTTCAAAAAACCGATTGATGGAACAGTGTGAAGAAAGAAAAACAGGTTCTTTTTTCTCTTTTTTTTTTGAGTCTTTTTTTGTCCCAAGATAGCGAAAAAGAACAAATCTCTCTAAGTTTATCTCAACAACACCGAATATAACGATGAAAGTCGCAGGCAGGAAAACGCTATTCCGCTGGCAATATCGCTCGGCTCCCGTCGCGACCTCGCAAAAGTCCTGTCCCATATCGCTCTTTTAATTTTTTTTTCAAAGCAATGCGATTTTAACTGTAATCGTTAAAAACCAAAAATGAAAATCAACTATTCAACTCAAACTTACCATGTAAAATTGTGGAATTTTCGGTAACTGTTCAAAAACATTTTTTATAAAAATTTAATTGACCCAATTGTACAGATAAAATCCGAATCTCCTCGGACATAGAAAAGAAAAGACAAGATGAACGATGTGAACCCGTCACTGGTGCAAAAATAGATTTTGGTTAAAAAGCCATTTCTCGAAGGCAGAGAGGGCAAGATGGAGGCAAAACAATATGAAAGAATATGAAATTGAGCAAAAGAACCACAAAATCAATCGTGATTATGTGTGACCAGGAAGAAGCTGGCTACTTCATCTTGGAAGCATCTTCAGTGGTTGGTCGGAAAACAGACGCTCGCGAATCCATTTCCACCTGAGTCAAAATATTTCTCCCATCAAGTAGTAACCAAAACCTCAGAAGATCCGTTAGGTTTTCTACGCTTCAGGCCGTCTTCGGAGTAGATATCTTTTCCGGAAAGTTGCTGGCGAAGAGGCGGCGGCGCCGGCAACGAACTTTCCCCACTAGTTGGAGTCAGCTGAGCATTTACTTATTCTAGAGCAAAGCTAAATTCAAGCTGCACCTCGGAATCAGGACCGAACAACGTCAATAAGACTGGCAGCAACGTCAAACCGTTGAAAACGCCAAGCAAGACGAGTACTGTCATCGTGTTGAAGAAGTACTTGACGACAAAGTCGAACTCAGAGAAAACAAGCATGACCACTCCTAGGAACCAAATCTTGGACTCGTTCCCCTCGTGAGCAAACCGAGGAAAGTGGAGATGGCCCCGTGGAAGACTGGGACGAACATGTGCTGCAGACAAGACTCCAGTCGATCGTTCACAGTTCCTAGCGCTGTCAGGAAAGCCAAAACCACGTGTGCAGTGAACTCGACACCTGAAACTGTCAAACTGAACACCTGCATATTATCATAATATAGTAGAGGAAACATGAGATTTTCCGGAAACCTAGACGGATTCTCATCTGGTAACAGCAGAAACTTTCAAATGATCAGAAAAAAGGAGCAAAAACTCAGAAAAATTTAAACTTCACAGAATGAATTTTTCGGATCTTTCAATATGCCTCAAATCGTCGCGAAAATCGACAAACCGATTCCTACGGCGCAAATGAGAGTAACCGCAGAAATAGGGTTCATCTTGATACCCATAATTCCCATAAATCCGCCAAGCTCGATCGTGATTACGACCACGATGATCATGACCTGAAATCTGGTTGGATCTCAGTGCGATAAAGAATTTCGAACCATGGCGGCAGCCAGAGGGTTGAACATCAGAACGGAGATGACCGTGAAGACGGCGAAGGCGATGATGCAGATGGCCATCAACAAGTTCCATCTGAACCCTCGTCTCAACAGTGTGTGGAAAGGGAACTCAGAACCGCAAAGAAAGGTACTGCTCCCAGAAAGTGAAGGCTATGCCGGAGGGGAAGTTGGGCAGGCCTCGGTCCGTGAACTCTTCGCTGATGCCGCGGATCTCCTGCAGTTCCATGGGATCATGAACAGCTTTTTGGAGTTTTTTTTCGTTGATGTAAAATTTCAGCTGAGAAACTATTGAACCTCGATCATTTTCACAATGGCCGGAGTGTCAACGAGGTCGTTTTGGTAGTAGGGGATCTGCGAATACAAAAGACGGCTCGCAGGAGGAACAACTTCGATTCTACTCTGAAAGGGAAACGTTGCTGTTGGCCTTCATCTCCATGGGATCGACCTCGTCGTAGGCCCAGCCAGGAGGGAGAGGGAAGAAAGAAGCTTGCGAGACGTAGTACATCATGTTGTCGACGTTGTACCAGCCCGTCAGATAGTTGTAGAAAGCGTCCGGTTGAATGACGTCATGTTCATTCACTAGTTTCATCTTCCCGAGCTGCAATCAAACTGTTTCGATCTCGGACTTCTTCTATTTCGTCTCATTTTTAAAGAGTTAATTGCCTAATGAAGGGAGGGAAATAATGACGCAAAACAAATCTAACCGATGATTGAAAAAAAAAAATCAAAGACTGTTGCTTACAATGTTCTCACTTCAACAAGGAAAACTTTGTACTCAATGCAGATAAACCATCCCACGCAGCTTTTTATTTTTTATAAAACTTTTTATATTTGAACATTCCTCGCCCCAACTAAACTTATTTCTTCTAGATAAACATATTCGAGGGTTATCTGAACATAATCTTGTGTAAAATGTTTTCAATGCACAAAAGAAGTTTTGTCCAGAAAAAAAAACTCTTCCGTCGCAGTTGTAGGTTGTACCGAAGGAACAGAGAAGACGTGCTGCGATCATCGCCTCTGGAGCTGGTTTCTGAAAAAAAGCCGATCAGCTCAGCGAAACAAAAGAAGAGTACCTCGCCGTTGACTTTGATCGGTTGTCCGTTGGTGATGTTGATTTTGCCAGCAGCGATTTCCTTTTCCAGAGCTGTGTCGAGGGACTTGAGCCAAACTCGGAGCATCGACATCCAGTAAGGTTGAAGTTTTCCCTCGGCTTTGATCATGAACTTGGACTTTCCTGAAAATGATCGAACTCGACTGGAAGAGAGGAATCCTCACCGAGCTCTTCGCGGTACTCTTCAATCAGCTGTTGCTGGTGAGGGACGTCTATCGTTTCCCCACGGAGGACGGCAAACATGGGATAGAATGAGAAGTATTTCTCTCGTGCTCTGTAAAACCAAAAAATCCGTATGCTTCAAAAATAATCTTTTTTTTACTAATTGGAAGCGAAATAACCTAGAAATATGAATTCAAAAGTCGAAATGTAACCTCAAGAAAGCTGCCGGCGGAGTGCTCTCCGGCAAAACGTCAGCAAGCTCGAGTCCCAAAGTGGAGGTGTACATTCCGTAGAGTCCCAGAATCACAGCGGCTACAGTAGCGAGAATAACGGCAGCCTAGCAACGCCCTTTAGAACGAACTGTGAGTTTCCTCACCTTGACGATGGGCTTCTTCAGGGCTGGGATGTAGATGTTCTTGAGGAAGCCGCCAACCGTGTACCATGGCTCATGGCGCTTGAACTCGGTCGTCGTGTTGACATCGTAAGAAGCGAGCTCGGCCTTGGAGGACATCTTCAACTTCCCTTTGGTAATCTTAGTTCTCTGTAAGAGCTCACGTTGGAGACGTTAGAGGGGATGCTGTCGCTCGGCGCCAGATTATCGTCGTTGCCGCGGGAGCAAATGAGGAAGTCGCGCTTCCCGGCTCGCTGACGCCGCAAGTCCAGGCCGATGATTGCTGGGAAAATGAACATCAGGAAGACCAAGTTGAATGCCAGCAGAATCGCCGTCTAAAACATTTTTCGATAGTTTAGGCCCTGAGGAAGTTACTCTCATTCCAAAGACTCTAAAAGCTCGCCTGAGAGCAGAACGAACGTAAGGCTGGAATCGGCAAAACATAACCAGAAATGAAAGCCAAAATGTTGTTGATCGAGGTGACCATGACCGACATTCCTGAACTTCGATTAACTCACAAATCGACTCTCAAAGCAAACCGGTTTCTTTGAGTAATACTCCAATCTCGTTTTTGTTGCAAATGTTGATGATTTCGTCGTAGTTATGCAACAACAGGAACATGTCGTCAATTCCAAGGCCAAGAGACAGGAAAGGAACGACCTCAAATGAGCTTTGAAGGGGACGTTCGTGCGTTTAAAACCTGGGTGGTGGCTGCGTTGAAGTTGATGCCAAGAGTAGTAGCCAGTCCGAGACCGCAGATCGACGAGAACGTAACCTGAACGAGGTATTTCCAGAGTTAGTAACACGACATCCGCGTTACCAAGATCACACCGACGATGGCGATCATGACGTTCGATTGGATGGCTAGCCATCGTCCGTCGATTCTGGCTTGAGTGAAAGCCGCGTAGATCACCTCAACTTGCGATTATTGAACTTCTCAGCGATGAGGATCACCATCAACACGTATCCGACGATGATGATGACGTAGTTGAACTGGGAGAACTCCTCGAGCATGTCGGCGATGGACGTCGAGGCTAGCGGATGGAAGACGCGATGGCCCTCGGTCTGAAGAGCGGACTTAAGAGATGACGTCGATCCTTCCAACCTTGAAGTTGGCTTCGTGGCCGTAGATCTTCTTCGTGAAGTTCCTCTGCCAGGCGACGATCACCTCCTGGGCCATGTAAGGGTTCCACTGCGCCCGATTCAAGGCTGGATGGCTGTCCGACTTGTCTTCCTTCAAATGTGGAAACACTTTTCTATCAAAAATGAATCTTTTCTGTTTTCAAAGAAAACAAGTTTGTATGACACTCTTTTCGTTCCTAGTTGCTAGGTATCAAGAAAAAATTCAGAAAAAAATGTTTTTGAAAGGAAGGCGAATAAAAAGTACAATGAAGGGTGACATAAAAGACAGATTTTGAACAATTTCAGCAAATTAACTAAAGAAAAACAACTTTTAACTCCTTTTTGGAAATAAGGAAAAGTACTGATTTTTTTCAACTTTCCCTTTTAGAAATCAGAATTTGGTAAGAGCTTTTTGCAGAAAATTCTACTTTTTCTAATAAAAACAGCTTCAAATTACTTTTTAGAACCCTTTTTTTGAATATTTTTTTAAAGACTATCGCTGGAATTTATATTTTTTTCAACGATACTATATAATAAGAACAAACTTTCATTTTGATAATAATAAACTTTCCATCCTGTCAAAACGCAAAGATGTTCACGAACTGAACAGCTCTCAGAAAAATTCTTCTACACGAGCAACGCTACCTTGACTCGTAGGTAGACGTCAAAGGGACTGGAGACCAAGAAAACGCTCTGAAGCGCTTCAGCCGACTTGAGCCGGTTTCCGTCGCGTTTGATCCCGCCGATGATGAGGTCTTCGGGCCACTCCATAATCTTCTTTCCGAATCCTTTGCATCCTCCAGTCATCACCTGGAATCGACATGAACCACCTCTCAACCGCCACATGCACACCTTTCCGTAATCGGGGTACTGTGGCATTTCGGTTTCAGTGAGAAACTCGCCAAGTCGGTCAGGATTGGCTTGCATCCAGGCGAGAAGAGACTCTCCGTACTCCAAACAGCTCGTGTCGACGACCACCTTCTTTTTGCTAGCTTAAATCTCTGTTTCTAGATTTATCTGAAACTCCAATCCAACTGAAGTTGCCTATGCCGTCGATGTTGTAATCTGCATCGTCTTCGTAGGCATAATAATCTTCGTCTTTCTTTCCCGACAACTTCGCTTTCTTTTCATTCTCCCCATCGGTTGCCCGCTTTCTCCGTTTTTTTCCTGAAGCGAAAACCAGCTTAGCCGAAATCTTCAACTGACAAACCGAACAAATCGTTCAGAATTGACTCAGCTACGTCGGTTTTTTTGTCCTCCTTTTGCACGATTTTTCTCTCGAGCTTCACCTACCAACGAAAACTGTTGTCAGAAAAATTGAGACTGAGCAACTTGTTCATCCATGTTTTTGGCCATGTTCCAGGTTTGGAACTTTTTGTATGCGCCGCAACGATCGAAGTAGTTGGGAGAAGAAGGAGGACATTCGCTATCGAGAGGGTCGATGCAGGGGCGATCCAGGTAAGCCCCGTCGATCCCAGCCTTTGATTCAGGTAGTGGAATATTGACAGACTTTTCAAAACTTACTCGTTCGAAAAAGTTTCCGATAGGCCCCAGGTCAAAGAGTTGGCCGACTTCCTTGATCACAGAAGTCGGATTCAAATTTTTCCAGGTCACGTTGCCTGGCGGTAGCGAAGAAATGAATCCAGCGATTTCAGGTCTGGATATTTCTCTTATTTAAAATGAAAGAGCAGGGAAACCCGAGATTGAGCGGGGGACTCGGTCCGAGAGGCTTGGCGCCCTCGAAGTAGCAGTCGATCGGGGTGATCCAAATGCACGGGATGATCTTGTCCAAGAGCTTGGACATGAGTCCGGCCAAAGGTCCGCTGTTGAACGAAGGACCTGGGGGCTTGAAGCAAATGTCAGATAGTTTCCACGATCTGGAAATGGAGGAGACATTGCTGGCTACGTAGCAGAGGAACTCACTCTCCCCACATGTGGACCTCGTAGTTTGCGATTTCCTCCATCAGAGCTGTGTGCCTCAAAAGCGCTTCTTTGGTTAGAACATCTTCGCCTTGATAAGATGGAGTTTGAATAACGACCTAAACTTGCAAGATTGGTCGAGTTCCAAAGGGCCGGCCAGGAAGAAAGACGGGCTCATAACACGTTCAGTTTTCGTTTCCTATTTTTTTTTTCAGGCTCTAGTCATTACCCGTTGAAGTTTTAGTGATTCTCAAAGATCGAAGTTTCGAACCTGGAAACCTCCGCCGAGACCGTTTTCTTTTGGTATTTCGGGACCTCGTCTTTGAGGCGCTTGTGTAGTAGGAGCTCCAATCGTCGCGTTTATTGGAAGTTCTCTTTTGATCTGTAGATCAGGTTATTAGAAGTGGAAAATCGTTTAAAAAATTTCAGATTATTTTTTAAAAATTACTTTTCTGCAATAAAAAAGGAAAACTGTATCGGTGTGTATTTGTTTATATATTATAATTTTTTTCTGAAAACTTATTCGCAAAAGTGCGATGTGATGTCAAACTCTGAGAAAATATTTCTGAGATGTATGAGGAGAGAACTCACTCGATTAGCATGCGCCTGAACATTTGCCAAAAAATTGAGCTCTTCGTTTAGTCGTCCACCCTCTGAAACCTTTGCTAAGAAACCATTTTTCTTCGCGAACTCACGTGAAACCCATAACTTGACAATATCTGTTTCAATTATGACTTCTTTCAGCCCGCTACAGCAGAGAGTGTACAAGATCATGCTGAAAACCAAAGCTAGACCACATTTAAAAGTTAAAACTACCTAACAAGTACGGTGGACCAAGCATATCTCTGTACGAAGCAACCAATTCGGAAAAGCCACAGTTGGAAAAAGGCTCTGGCGTAGAGAGCGATGCGGTTGCCGCGCGCTTCTCCCTTAACCGAAAGCTGAGAAAAGAAACAAAAAAACAGCAAACGCGTCGGATTTGCTGTAGAGACATGTCGGCATCGCACCAAGTGGGTGCATGCGAAAACTTCTTTCGCCATGCTGGAGAAAAATCTTCAGAGTCGAAGTTTCCAATTAGTCTGTTCTCCACAAACTGAAATACAAATTGCAATTAAAAATTTAAAAATTCGAGAAAAAATGCTAGCAAGGTGGGGAGAGAAGTTTTTTTTTTACATCTATTTCTGTTCAGACTTTGAATGTCAAGTCATCACTCAAACTCCGCCCTTTACGAGTATATCCAACTAATTAGAGAGCGAGTCATCCACAGAGCGTTGTTGGGGGCGGAGTTCGCTGCTTGAGATTCAAAATCTGAGCAGACCATACCGTAGACCTAGAAATTCTATAGCCGATTCACGGCTAGCCGGCTAGCTTGAGACGCAAAAAGGCGTGGCGTGTCTGCGCTCCACACCAACCAGGCACTGTCTGTTTTTTTTTTTATCATGCCAGGACCTTTTTTGGGTGGCACAAGCCAACCGTGAATCAGCTTTACATTAAAAAATAGATCGAAAATGTTGAGAGATCTTTCAAGCAGCTTTTCAGAAGAGCCTGCTATGCTGAAATTGAAATTTTTTTTTCTCATATAAGCCCATTTTCCAGCATTTTTGTAGCCTGGTCTTCAGACGTAAACAATCTCTTTTCTGGTGTCAAATCTTAAGCGTCTCGTTTCGAAAAATCGAGGCAAGAACTCACTGCCAACGCGATATTTTCGAGAAATATGAGGGCATTGTCCGAGACAAACAAAAAACTACATATTCGACGAGCACAAATCGAATATTTTGAATATTCGAATATTCGAATATATATTTTATTTAAAACTCTTTCACATGAAGTTTTCGAATTAAGTAAAATGTTCAAACTGATCTTTGCCAACGACTTTTTGAAAATGAAAGCCCAATGAAACAGATGAATGGCACCCATAGAGTGAGGCAACGATATCCAATAAAAAAACAAAACTTTTTGGAAAATTCAACCGAAAAATGTGAAAAAAATAATAAAATAAGAGCTTTTTTTAAAAAAATTATTTTTTTGGCTCGAATTGAAAGCCTTTAAGGCAGGGTTGCAAGGGTAAAGCTAAAAATGCAACTCGCGCATGCGCCTCTATCCCCTTGTTCTTTATCGAGAGAAAAAAATCGTTTTTTAATGTACTTACTATATTACCATCATGAAAATAAAACTGATTTAAACGAATGGAAACAGTTTCAAATTGTATGAATAACAAGGAAACATATGCCGTGTTCAAAGTAATTTCCGCGAAATGCAAAATGGTCTCTGACCCTCCAAAACTTAGTTATCTTTCTCTTTCTCTGACAGCTATTTTGAATTTCGCGGAATTACTTTGAACACGGCAATATGTTATGTACAAAAAAACTGACTTGAATAATTGATTAATTTCGAAAAGCGTTGCGACGCGCAAATTTGTTCTTTCCGCATGCACCCCACGTAGAGCTGCATATGCAGCTTTTCATTTTTGCAATTTCCGTCAAAAGTTTTCTATTTTATCCAAGCTCAGCCAAGCCTTATTTTTCGAGTTTTGACCATATGTTTCACCGTTTACTTTTCTCATTGATTTTCAAAATCAAAAGGGCACCGAAACTTTTCAAAAACTTCTGTTTCGATTGAAACGTCAGATTATTTGCTCCAAAGACTTTTATAAAGTTTTATTTCTTCTTGCAGGGATTAGTGGTCTATAGCCTGTTCAGATTTCAAACTTTAACCAGCTAACTCCGCCCCTGCTGGCACAGTAACTTTTCGCGTCGATTCTTTTTTTTTTCGCGCGAAATGATTTTTGTTCTTTTTTGTCCTAAAAGATTTTTAAAAAAAGTCAAAAAAATAAATATTAAGGTTCATCAACATCTGAGATAAAACATTGACGCGTAAGATGTAGCCTTGGGGGCGGAGTAAGCTGCTTCACGTTCAAAATCTGAATAGACTATATATGGCGCGAAATTCTCGTTTGAGAAATTCTAAATATTTTCTTGCTCGATCTCGTCTCAGTTTTTCGAGATGGCTCTTAAAAATTATTCGTCTCGAATTTTTTTAAAAAAAAAAATCACGTCACAGATTTAAAAATACCTATTTCACAAAAACTTGTTCCAGAGACCATATGCAATAAGGGGAAATTATTTTCCGTCATTTTCTTGAAAATGGAGATGGCCTGAAACTTGCCAGAAATCTATTTATTTTGACTCTCTTGATGTAATAAGATTTTATATGAAGATAGATTTAAAAAAGGATAGATAAGAAAAAATTTCAGAGTAAAAAAAAGATTGACGTCATTTTCGAGTTTCAGGAAACTGGCAGATAATCATTTTCTACTCCATAGGCAAAGTCGGAAGGACCCTCCGAGGGTCCATAAAGGACCATAGAAATGTTCCTTTTAGGGTGATGAAGGCTCTCCCTTTCTCCACCATTTCTCGAGCCTTTAAAATCCTAGAAAAATGGAAGGCTCGCTGAAGGGAGTCTCTTTGCTGCCTTTCGTTGCCTTTTTGCTGCCTTTCTGCGGCCTTTTTTGAGCCTCTCCCTTTTAGCGGCCATTATCCACCATTCCGACTTTGCCCGAGTCTATACGCCTCGCCCAAAAAAAAAAACGTCAGATATTGTTTTATACACACATAATTCATTCGGCTCACCCTTCGAATCAGCCCTGGTTTATCAGGTCCGACCTGTCCTTCGGAGTGCACCTTCATCACTCCTGCAATATCTTTCCGTTGTTTCAAATAGAGTGAAAAAAAAATTTAAACGAAAAATAAAAACAAAAAAACGTCTCTGTGGTTTTCAAGCACATGCTTAGCCTTATTTAGAAATCCTACTGTGAAGCTATCCTACTGAATTAATAATAAAATAAAAAATAAAAATGAAATAAAAAATCCTACAGAATTCAAGATGAAAAAATGTCAGAGACATCAAACTTTCAATTTCGAGGGTTTATAACTTTTTTTCTTGAGCAACTTCATCTCAAAAAGATTCCATTTTAAAAAGTTTTTGAGTATTAATATTCCCACTTTCAATAACACCAAAAAAAGCTTTTAATAAAATTAACTTCAACGCATGTTATGTGATATATTGTAAATCCAATTCAACCTCTGAGCTATTCCTTTTTTTATTTATTATTTGATAATTCATCTGTACATTTTTTTCACATACATTACAACATAGACTTGTCAAAATTAATGAAAACTTGAGAAACTAGAAGATTTGAATCTCAAAAAAGGACACCAAAAAAGGAAACAAAAGACGAAAAGGCCGGTTTAGACAGACAGCGGACAATTATTCCAAAACGATCGACAATCGGACCACAAAAATCACCCAACGTTGTACAAAGAAGCTTTCAACAACTGCTTCTCATTTCTCTTACCAATATATCCTGGCTTGGTCAATGTATTCACTGCAAGAAGCAAGAAAAACTGTTGTCAAAGATTAAAAAAGAGAAGAAGATAATCATCTTGAGACGTATTATTACAAATTGCATCAGATATGGAAACGCTTTCATCTCGAAAAAAGACCTTGGAGGTTAAATTTGAAGCTGAACCGACTTCATTTCATGATAGAAATAAGAAAATAAAAAAAGTTTTAAAGCTTATGAAATGAAGTTTTTTAAGGGAGCCTAGCTGCTGAATCGAAGTTTTTACGCATTCTGCTACTCCTAAATGATTGAAAATCAAATACAGAGTAGTGAAACTTTGAACAAAAGAGCGTAGATCTCATTTTGAAAAATTCGCTTTTCTTTTTTGATTGGCGGAATTCAAGTTCACTATATATTCACTACAGAGACATAAAAAAATATGTATAAAATAAACGATGATAATCTGAAATCAGTCTGGCATGAGGATCGTTTCAGTAGAAAAAAAGTAACCAGAGGCGTGATAGGGAATAGGGAACTCATACAGTTGAGACTGTAACTTATGACCTTCTCTCAAAATATGCCCAACGCACAAAAAACCTGAGTCACCTGTGTTCCAAGGATCAACTTTAAAAAATTGAAATCCTACCACGTTTCCTTCTTATCTTCTAGCAAAAAAATTTCCAGGGTAAGTTAGTTGATGAAGCGAAATATTCTTTTCTACAAATCAAAAGGGCATGGTTCGATCGAATCGAGAAGACAGACGTCGAGAGGAACTTTGACTACTCGGTTCCCGTCTGACTACGAACATGTTTTCCACACAAATGGCTGTTTTCTCTCGAAGGAATCTTTTCTCTTTGAAAATTTCGTTCACGCAGTCCAAAGCAGGAAATGTTACAACACTAGTTAACTAAAACCAAAACAAGACCGCGTTATATTTGAGCACAAAATAGAGGCAGCAGAGAAACTTGAAGGTGGTGATCAGTCGAATTAGAAAGAAGAAATAACAGCCAGCCAAACATCAATAACATGACTTCGCACTAGTAACAACAGTGGCAGATAAAAAGTAAGTTCAGAAAAAGTGGGGAAATCCGGAAAAAAGTGTGCAGGAGGCCCTGGTTGGACAAGAGATAGGCGAAGTGAAAGTCGGCGCGGACGTCTCTTTCCACACCGAAAAGACGAAGAATTGAGGTCGATCTGTCCCCGCTGATGGTATTTTGGCTTTTTGCTTCAAAATCCCTGCTTTTCGTCTCATTTGAAAGCTGAAGAGCCATCAGCTAGATGTGGACATATGATTTCAGACTTCCTCACTTTTAGGTTATTGCCCTCATCTCGATGATTCTTTTTCCAAATGAGGAGGAGAACATGAAAAACTGTAAATGATAAAAACAAGAAAACTTTTATCTACAAAAATTGTGAGAAAATATAATCATGATTCCAAAGAAACCGCAAAATAATTTTTATGACGAAAAAGCATTGAAAATTTTGTCCGTCTTTCTTTCCATCAAATATCTGAAAAGCTATTGATACGAAAGATGCACTGTGTTCCCTACAGAAGCTGCAAAATTTGGCAAACATTGCAAATAGAAAATATTTCTAGCGCTCTCTTTTCATGTAGCGGTGTGATAAAAAGCGATTGGTGTTCACAAAAAACTTCAGGAAGACGTATAGAATTTGCAGAAAACACAATGATGATAAACTTTGATATTGAATGAGTTATAAGGGATCTGAGTGAGAACAAAGATATCAAGAGCAAAAAGTTGCGACGACGAGGCCGCAGGAAGTTTTGACGCGGAGAAGAACCGCCGCCATTCGGCCCTGGGCGGAACAGGCTTATCGTTTGGATAGGTGCGCGAATAGGGCTATTCCGGTATCTCTCACAGGTGTAGCCAGCAAGTTCAAATCCCGATCTCGACCAGGTACAGCAGAATGACGTCAAAACATTGTTCGAGGGCTAATTATTTCTAATTCTCGAGCTTTTGGCCTAATACACTTATACTGCTGCAGCTGATTGAAAACTTCAGTTTCACTCTTTTGAAGCTTAAAATTGGTTTTCTCTATAAGTTTCCAAAACAGTCAAAGGTTTAGTTTTTATTATCAGAACTTGTACTTCTAGCCCAACTACGGACGCGAAAGAAGAACCAGATTAATAGTGCGGCAATTGAAACCACAATTGGTTGACGTGTGGGAGCCAGAAAGCGACGCCGACGCCACCCCGAGATCGAGTTTTGGCGCGTTCGATGCGTTCTTCGGAGAAGCCAGCTTTCCTCGACTGCCGCATTCAAACCGTCATTAACACGGCTGATGGTCTAACCTTAAGTCCCCGGCAAACTTTCATACTTGTCTACAAAGATCACTTCTCTCGATTATAGCATGTTTTTCTCAAATTTTTTTTTAATAATCCGATTCGAAAGTATTTGCATACTTGATGCTACTATAGCAAAAAAGTTTTCTGTTTGCACTCAAAATATGATAAATCCTGTGAGAACGTCCTGAAAAGCGCATAAATGTTTCAGGAAAAATAGTACTTGAGATATTTTACAATATTCGGCAGAAAATTGAGTCTTTATTCTTTTCAGAAAAACAAGAATCGAAAATGTGAGTGACCGTGATAATAGAAAAGTTGATAAACTTCTCGGTTTGCCAAACTTTGAACCAAAGATGATTCGTGAAATATATTTTTGACCGATGAAATAAAAGAAATCTTCATTGGAAATCATTTGACCGCTCCTGAATCAAGAAATCGTTAAAAGAAAGAAAAGGTCATCACCAAAAAGTCGACGTAAAATTGTTCTAACGACCAAAAATCTCGCATCACTCGAAATGAAATTGTACTCCCTCGGCAGAGACATCGTTGTTTATCAACTCCTGAAGGGTTACTGAAAACATATCACATAGGCTATATACAACAGTCTTGCAGGCCCCGGCGGTGCAAAGGCGTATCGGGAGGGTACCATAATGCGTCCACCAAGATATCTAGATACCTCCAAAATAGATCGTTGAGATCCCATAATATGTCTATTGTGAGACCTCCCGCATACCTTGTATATAGCTATAGCTATATATCTGAGCCATCTAGGAGGCAGGCTTGTGTGAGGGGCGGCCCGTCAGCCTCTCGGCTCCCGCCATTTTCTGATCTGATCCTGGCCCGGCCTTAGCGGGGCCTCAAGAAAAAATGGCCGGCCCACCCCAAAAGGCATATACTCTGACATGGCGCGCATAAAGGCCGTCACAACTCTTTCTCTGGCACACCTTTATGCGCGCCATGTCAGAGTATATATACATGCGCGCAGCAGGCTTGTGCGAGGGCCGGCCCTGTCACCCTCCCGCCCCCCGACCATTTCGTGAGCCCGGCCTTAGCGGGGCCTTAACGTTTTTCGCTCATTTTTTTCATTCAAAGTTTAACAAAAAAACTAAAATTTCAAAAAGTAAACGTAACATTTTGGTCAAATTTTTTTAAAAATTAAATTTTTTTAACTTTTTTTGAAGCCCGTTCCGGCCCGAGCCCACGCGGGCTTTTTTTCATGAAAAAGAGGCCTAAAGCCCGGGCCATGCCGGCCCGGGCTTTGGGCCTCGATGTTTTAAAAAGCCTGCGCGGGCTCGGGCCAGGCCGGGCTTTGAAAAATCTTAAATTCATTTTTAAAAAAATTTCACTGAAAATTATTTTTCACTTGTTGAATCATAGTTTTTTTAATAACTGTATGAGGAAAAAAATATTTTTTTGGGCCGGGCTTGGGAAGTGGCCGGGGGACCGAGAGGTTGACGGGCCGGCCCTAGCACAAGCCTGGCGCGCAGTCAGTTCTGTGCTAGTTTCGCTCCAATGATAACACCTGCCGAATTCAGAACTTGAAATATTAAATTTTCTTTTCGTTGCTTTTTTAAAATTTATTTTCCAGTTAATTTTTTGTTTCAAGCTCCAAAAATTCGTGTTATTTTTTCAGTAATAAAATTAAAGCAAATTGAGCCTTCTATTCATTAAAGGAAACTACAAAAAAATTACACTGGATTTATTAATAACTAATTAGTACAATTAAAAATTTTAAATACAAGGAGCTTTTACGTAAAGCTTTCCGACTTTGCCTATGAACTGTAAAATGCATATCTAGCGATATACTAGGGCTCATTTTTTTCTTCTGCGCCTTCCCGGAATACCAATTTTCGCCATTTCCCGAAATCATTTTAAACGAATAACGCGTGTATTTTGAAATCGCCGGAATTACTTTGAACCAAGCTTGTGCGAGGGCCAGCCCGTCAGTCTCTCGGCCCCCCGGCCATTTCTCAAGCCCGACCCGGCGCTCAGGAAGGCCTCAAGCAAAAATGGCCGGCCCACCCCAAAAAACATTTTTTTTCAAGTCGAATTTTTAGCTTTTTTAACAAGAAAAGTGATGTTTTGCTTGTTTTTTTCTCATAGAATTGACGCACAAGAATTTTTTTAATGAAGTCAAACATTTTCCAAATCTTGGCCTGCAAGCGTTTTCTCAAAAATGAGGGTCCTAAGGCCGGCTCGGGCCGGGCCGCCCGACCTGACGTACAAGCCTGGTTACAACTCATATATGATATATGCCAAACAGGCGCCAAACAAAAATGCGGAATTATACGTGTTTTTTTCTGTGCTTTTTTTCATTATATAATTTGAAAGAAGCTAGCACGTTTTTTTCAGCTCGTTCCTTAGTCAAAAAGTAACGCTTTCGTGAACGAGGTGCAATTTTTTCTTTTGGGACTTTTCATTGTTATAATGACACAAAAGCCGCGAATTTCCATCCAAATCCATCGAGGAATTGATACAGCTTGAAGGGGCATGATGAAAAAGGATGAAGAGCAGAATTTGCGTCGCAAGGTAGTTCTCTCTAAAAGTTTGCTCGATTGGATAGATTTTGCTGGGGCTCTTCCAGAATCACAGTTACGACGTAATATAAAAGTGATGGGAATTGTAAGCTTCACTTTTCATTTCCTATGTTATATTATCTTTCTAGTTTGGTAAAGACTCCCCGGAACGCGGGATAGGAGAAGATATCAATAATTTCGTGAGAACGGAAATTTTTCCAATGGAAACTATTGGATCCGATAAGTTAAAGGTGGGGTACATTGAGAAAAAACGATGTTTAGTGTTTTAGATCAAAGTATATTATTCTGCGTTCGACAACACTCTGTTTTTGCTGTTGAATGGGGCTGACTACACGAATAGTTTGCTGGAAGTTTTTTCAAACGAGAAGAGCAACGGCAAAGTTTTATACAGTTTTAGTTTCAGATTCTTATTTTTTTCAGACATTCTTCGAGAAGATGCGAGAAAGTGAAGACATGCACTGCCGTTCGATGTATTTTATGTTTTTGACCTGTCACTTTCTAGTGTTTCTCGAACCATCCTCGAGACTCGATCTAGGCACCTTCCGATCACTGCGAAGACTCAACGCACTCAGGTTTTCTGTTTCTCGATTTGTTTCAAGGGAAAAGGATCCTTAGATTGAACACGAGATCGAAGGTTCAGAAGAAGTTGGAATCCCTGGATTTTGGCAGCGATTTCGATGGACGTCTAGCCGTGCCTCGACTTCTATTTGGTTTTCTGCGCAACACAGTCCGATCCGACCTCGGTAGTTCTAGAAGGGTTGGTTGCTTTATTTCTTACCTATGACGTCATTAATTTTTTTTTCAATTTTTAATATTCCTATTTTTAAAGCGGGAGATTTACGAGAAGCTTGAAGAAAGCCTCGATTTGCAGCTGAGCTCTTTGTTGAAATCATTTGGTCTCACAGAAGCTGGATCGTGAGTTTTTTCAGCAGCCATGAAGAGTAGTTTAAAAAAAACCCGTTTTTTTTTCAAGGAAATCTCTCTGTCAGTTGAACGAAAAATTGCCGGTTGTGCACTTGATCAATCCGGCTTCGATCAAACGCGACATTCTCGCGGAAGTTTTCGAGTCTTGTCTTCCGAATTCAAGTGAGAGGCGAGGGCTTTTCCAACACCCATGTTCTTTGTGTTTAGCATTCAAACCAGCCAAAGTGGCTTCGTCGAGTTTCTCACGTTTTTTGGACGATAATTTCAAATCGCTTGGCGGAAACGTTCGTCATTGATTTTTAGCTGCTCTTCAAACTTATATTTCTGCAGTTACCTACACTCCAACAGGTAGTCTCACTTTTCGACTGCCTCAAATTTGTCTTGGATCCGAAAGAATTTCCCATCGACATTACTTTCTCCACACCGGAGCTGAAGTTTGCTGAAAAGTAAGTAGTTGAAAAAAAGTTCCTTTTACATCCTAAAAACTTTTTCTCTCCTTCCTTTCGGGGATTTTCTCAGAAAGAAAACTACTTCATTTTCATTAATAGCGAACTAAATTAATGAACTATTTTCTAGTTGGAGGCGATTTATAAATTGAAAGTATGCTGGAAACTGAATTTTTTTATTCTGTAATTTTTTTTTTTAGTTGTATTAGAACTTCACGAGAGGTGAAAATTGGAAAAAAAAAACTTAATAAGCAGAAATTTTAATTAACACTTTTTTTTCATTCAAAAAGTAGATAGGAGTTACGTTGATCGGTACACTATTCGGCTCTGTCGATAGAAATGTTCATGTTTCTATTTTGCACACATAACGAGCTCAGTTTGTACTTCGTTAAAATTCTAAATTTGATTCAGCTTTATTTTTGCTCATGAAACGTGCGAAACATGTTGCAGAGCTGTCGAAGACCACATGTTGCACGCCGTGACTCTTTACGAAAAAGGAAACGAAGAGGACACGGGTCACCTGGTCGGCGGGACGAAGAAAGTCCGCAGCAAGGCAGAGCACGACCAACTGGTTGGTGCTGCTGACGCCCTGAGCTGACCTGCTTTCAGTTTGGCCAGGCGGTCGCTTATTTGAAGGCGGTTTCTGTCGGCGACGTCGATAAAGAGTTGGCGCGGCTGCGGGACAACTGCGACCTCTTGTGGGAGCAAGGCGGGTTCCGCGGCTGCGAGCAAAAGTCTCTGACTGGCGCTCTTTGTGCTCTGCCGGTTCGTCCCCCTTTTTTTTCTGTATTTCGGTTATCGCTTCAAAAAAGGAAATATTTGGCAATGTTTTGAAATTTTTAAAATTATCGGATGGCGGAGCTTTTTATTTATTATTTTTCTAAGACAATAAATTTCACCTTCGCTGTTGCATAAGTTGTTTATAGAGTATATCTTGAATACTTTTTTGTCAGAAATTTATTTTTAGTTTTGAAAAGCGTCGTTCAATCAAACGTCCATCTAGCACTCTGTTTTATTACTTATCATATGTAAGTCAGCTTTCAATTAGTAAAGTTTCTTTTTTTCTGTATCTTTGCCCAGTAACTTTGCGTTCCTTTGGAATCCTTTAAGAAACTTTTCTAAATTTGAAATACGGAAAAATCTTTCAGCAATCGTCGCATTAAAATCACAAATCGATCCGGCGTTAGAAACGAGCACCTTTTTGCTTATCGATTGTCGATTTAGCTAAATTTAGCAGCAAATCGTGAAATAGACGAGATTTCGAAATCAATTACACAATTTTAAAAACCTTCGGAAAATCATTTTTCACTTCATTGCATACAGTCTCATTACTGACCAACACAAAAAGACTGTTTTTATTTTTTGAAAATCTCTGAATCATTGAAAATAACGAATCCAGCTGTTTACCTGGGGCCGTGTTCAAAGTTATCCGGGAAATTCAAAGAAAGGGTCAGAGAGGGAAAAATATCACTAATTTTTGGAGAGTCAGAGTCAATTTTGCGTTCCGAGAGAATTAATTTGAACACGGCATTCACAAATTACATGGAAATTCCGTCAATTTGAACATTAACAGCGGCGCATATAAAATATTCACCTTATCCAAATTTGCTTTAGTCGTTGATGAGTTAATGTAAAATGTTGGAGGGTTTTGAGTTCTATAACCGAAATGCAATCGATTTTGTGGAAAAAAGAAATTTTACAGATGCATCCGTGCATCGGAGACGCGACGACGGTCGAAGAGAAATGGCTGCTGCACACTTCGAAGAAAACGCTCCTCTCGACGTGTGCCTGTGGCTACTCGCAGGCTCTTCGCAGCGACCCCTTCACCGTCAAAGAGGCCAACTGTGACTTCTTCGAATTGACGCGCGCTTTCACTTGCTGCAAACGTCTCCAACGCTTCCACTTCACCGTGTTCCGAGACGACGATGAGGACAAAGAAGACGTCAGACCCCTTTGCATCTCGGTTGAAGAGAACAGTTTCAGTGGAGCAATTGGGCCGGTCCCAAGTCGAACTCTTTGATCGATGAGAAGGCCATCTTGATCGAGCGGCGAATTCACCGGAAGTCACATTTTGAAGATTTTTCTGGCGCCGACAACTCTACGGAGGAAGAAGACGAAGACAGTGACGACGACGCTTCTCCGGTTTCAAATATCCAGAAATATTTCTAACTACTTTCCAGAACTCCGCAGAGGAAATGGAGAATCATCGAACATGCTCTCGCTCATCAGAGGAACAAGACGTGACGATGACGAAGAAAGGCAGCTACCTTGACGAAGAAGACAACGCCGAAGGGCCCAACTCCGCAGCCAACAACGTCCGCGTCGAACCCTCGTCGCGGAGTTCTGCGATCGAATTTGCTCAACGGTTGAAAAAGTTGGAAAGTTCTCCGAAAAAGGTAAACTGTTAGGTTGAGTCAGAATGAGATTGGCTCCTAGGGCGAATACTTTGACGGCGTTCCGAACACGGTGACCAGCGGACGTCTTCCGCTGTTTCCCTCGTGGATTCTCACGTGTATCGGCGCTTCCCGGCTTTATAGGTTCGTTTGTGTGTTTCGTATAATAACGTATTCTTTTTGAGTTCTTTTTAAATTTTCCTCCAGCATGCATCATAAACTTTATATAGTCTGTGTGCCACGACTTGAAATTTCACCAAACGACATTCCGCTGTTCCGCTGCATCGCCAAGCGTCTTTGCGAGCCTCGGTCTCGCTTTGAGTTGGTTCTCATTTCTGATAGATGGACTGGTCCACTAGGAACACGTGTTGGTCGTGTTATTAAATACAATGAAAAAGACGCCCAAAAACACGCAGCGGAACATCGAAATGTCGTTCGGTGAAATTCCAAGTCGTGGTACACAGACTATACTTCGAAAATGATTGCAAGTGTAGCAAGCGAAAGTCTTCACCAAGATTTATCGGAGAATTAAAAAAAAAATGGACAGCTTCAAAATTCAATAAGTTTTTTATTCACGATATACGTTGTTTCGAAAACGAGGAGGCTTGATGGAAATTCTGGGGAAAAAAAGTTTTGAGTGACTTGTATCGACTTCTTTTTTTTTTACACTTCTTTCGATTCGTAATTCAAGTTTACATTTATCTGAAGTTTCTATTTCAGTCATAGCACAGGACTCCGTCGAATGCCGAATTTCAAAATTGGTGGCGAATATCTGACACCAGTTGTGGTCCATTTACAGGTTTTCACATATTATAAGACGAAAGTAGTTTACTTTTTGAAAATTGAGGTGGACATGATTCACTGGAACCGAGATCTTGACGCTCTTCAAAACGTCGACGACTACGGTAACGAAGTGATAGGAAAGCAAAAGTTCGTGAGGAGACGTCAGACCGGAGACGAAATCGCCAGGGTTCGTTCAAGAGAAAAAAATTTGTCTCATTTTCTATTTATAGGTTAAACTTTTCGTTGGTTTCGAATATGAATGTTTACGAGGCCACCGTTTTTTTGTCAACCACCAGGGAGAGCCGTTAATATTTCCGAGGGTCTGTTTTATTCAGTTTAAGTTAGAATATATCAATGATTCCTTTTTTTTTCCCTATTGTTCAATTAGTTCAGATTTCGAATATAATTTGCAAAAGAGAGAGAGAGAGATAAATCATATATTTTGTATCGCTTACATACTTTTGACACTTCTGGCATATCTTTTTTTCTGGCCGAGAATATTTTATTTTTGGAATTTGTTGTTTTCTCAAAATTTATGAGACTATCCTGTGATTTAATAGAATAATACTCAAAAAAAAAACTTCTAAAAATTTGAGCGAACAATTACAGAAACTTCAGTTCTCCATTTATTTTATTTTTAAACTCCTCCCACTTGGAACAAAATCATCTCCAAATTTTAATTCAGTCACCACTCCAAGCCTTTAAAAGTTTACTGGTTTATCTACCATTACACGGGATCTCCTTATCCATTCCTCCAAGGCTCAAATGAAGATAAATGTATAATGTATTCTCTTAATTTCAAGATCCAAGTGAACTCGTTAGAGTTCACGCTGATCTGTCAATAAATTATTATTATTAAAAAAGACATGAAAGGTATCTTTTTTTAACTTCCATTCTCTAGAACTAACTAGGGAACGTTTTTTTTTTTACCCCGATTGAACTTTTGATGAAATTATTCTGAAATGTACTTCAGGACCTCCTGATTCCAGGAAAAAAATTTTCTCGCTATAGATCTTGTTTTTGAGTTTTACGCTTAGAAATCACGAAATAGTGTTTTTTGTCATAATTTGCGTATTTCAGAACCTTTGAAGCTTCATAATTTGAAAGCTAGATCTATTGGGAGAAGTTTTTATCTAGTTTTGTAATCAGGAGGTCCTTAGGTACAATTCTGCAAAGTTTCATCAAAAGTTCAACCGGGAGCTAAAAAAAAATCATCAAAAGTTCAACCGGGAGCTAAAAAAAAATTCCAAAGCGAGATGTCTTGAAAATATAGACGTTCAGAAAGTTAGATCAATCTGTGTTTTGCCTGTGCCAGGAGAAATTTGAAGGTCAAATGAAGTTAAGAAAACATAAAAAAGTAGAAAATATTGATGCTCTAAAAAGAAATATAGTCAAAGTTGTATTTTTCTCAAAAAGAAGTTTATTTTAAATTTTCCATTTTGTTATAGGGATCGCACTACGCGCGTGAAAGAGATTCGGAGCGTAAATGCAACACAGAAATGCTGATGGCGGACCTTCCGATCCGCAGGCCCTGCACTTGCAAAAAGCTTCCTCTGCAGGTGGCCCAGCTCTCTAAGGTGCACGTCGTCACGCCTAAGGCTCCAGTCGTTGTTACTCTTCAACCGACTGTCGAGGTTTTTGTTTTTCAAACGTGAATTTTTTTGGCGACGGCTCCTCAGCATAAAATAAATTAATTTTTCAGATAAGCGAACATCAAGGGCAATACGTCACAGGACAAGAGCCACTCAAGTTGGAGCGAGCCAAGTACTTTCAAGCTCACTACTGAATCTATCAAAATGTTTGTTTTTCAGATATTACATCCTGCAACTGCCCACCGTGTACAATGGACCGAGCGGCACTTGGACCATTGAGAAAAATAATGAAAACATTGGAGTTTGGAAAGGGAACGCCTTCCAGGTGTCATACGAGCCAATTTCTTACTCGTATTGGTAACTTTTCGCTTTTTTTTTCTTTAAATAAGGACGGGTTTTTAATATCAGAAGAAAAAAGTTATTGTTTAACCTTAATGGAAGGTAAAATTTACGGCTCTTGCTCTTGTATTGAAATTACACGGAAATGTTCATTTTAACAAGAACGGAGCTCGGAAAAAACAAATGAAAAAGGAAGGAAAATTAAGACTACGATAATTGTTAACCCGTTTGTGTGGATATCTTGTTTTTTTTCGTGGAAGTTGCTCCGAACTGAAATTTAGATATGTTTTTCTCTCTAAAAAGGAATGAAGACGGAGTGAATAAAGGAAATAACGATGTACATGGCGGAACGTGAGAAAGTTTCAGAATTTCACTAGGTTACTATTAAGGCAACTGTAAATCGAGAGATGCTTTATGGAATTTCTTGAGATACGAATCTACAGGGAAAAACAACAAATAGAATTGAAGCTTTTGCAGAGCTAATTACCCTCAGAGAGATAAAATAGAAAATAGTCTTTGGGTCACCAAACGATGCATTTGTTATCTGTGTTGATTGGAGAGCCTCTGGGACAGTTGTAGACCTCAGCGAACTCGTGCATGTTCGAGAGAACGCCCATCACTCGGAAAACTTCTGGAGAGTGCTCGTCAGTCAGCACCTGCTGCATGGCAGCTGCTTCCTTCTTCTGACCGCACCAAAACTGAAAACTGATTCTAAGATATTTATTGTATCATTTTCTGGTTATTTACGTTCTGAAACTAAGCTCTCATGTATTACAATGTTTTAGTTGAATGAGCAAAAGATCAATAAGAGTTTTTTGGTAGAAAAAAACGTGCACATACTAATATGCAAGTTAAGGTTTCCCAATATAGGCTCCTACTCACGTGAGCGTAGCTGAGAAAGAAAATTTGCTGATTGGAATATTGCTGTAGCCCTGGTAGTCGTGGCTCTTCTCCATTTTCTTTCACGTAACGTTGATATGCCTGAATTCTCTTTTTAGAACCTCTTACAAATATTCAACCAACTCTGTATGCTTCTTTAACACCTCCGTTGTCGGCAATGTTCTCTCCTTGCGTCAGCTTGCCGTTTACCTATGAAACAAGACAAATTTGAGAATTCTCTGAGAGATTTCTTCTAACCCGATAAGTTGTTTTGGGCACTGTATAGTTGCCGTACTGCTCGACGATGCATCTTTTCCTGTGCTCAAAAGCTTGCATCGAGCTTTCGCTCCACCAGTTGTGAAGATTTCCGTCTTTGTCGTATTGACTACCTAATCAATCTCAGTTGTTAAAAGACGTTCTTGAGTCTTGCGTTCACCCTGGTCATCGAATCCATGAGTTATTTCATGACCTATGACAGCTCCGATCGCGCCGTAGTTAACAGCTTTCGGGAAAGACCCGCTGAAAAAAGGTGGCTGAAGAATACCGGCTGGGAAAGCTGAAAGTGTGTATTGAATAGTGCTCCGCATGTATCCTATACTGATGGCGTTCTTTTCGGGCGAATAGAAAGCGTTGACGACGGCTGGCGAGACGTCGAATTCGTGCTTATCGAACGGCTTGGTCAACTTTCGGAACTCTCTATTTTGCATCCACCAAACAGCTTTCTTCATTAATGAATAGTATGTGTCCATGTCCAAGATCTCGAGCTCAAATTTCGAAATGAAGCTCTAAACCTAGTCGCTGTTTGTACTTCTCTGTACAACTCATCGAGCTCTCTCAGATCGCTTGTCACATTTGGGTAGCCGATGTTGTTGATCATGGAGTGAGCCTAAAATCGGTTCTTTTCTAGACAAGACTTCAAAACAAACCTTAATGATAGCAATATTCTTGGTTGCTTCGTCCATCCAGTCGCTGTTTGACACAAGCTCCGAGAAGGAGTTCCGCAGGTGGAAAATCATCTCAAGGGCTTCTGTTTTGTCTCTTTCATTGAAGTGAGCTTGAACGTAAATTGCGCCAGCGGCTAGTGGGAGCACGGTACTTGGAACCTGTGAACTTTTTTTTCTGTAAATTTTCAAAGTTTCTTACCTGTGCACAGTCTTTCCAGCGCGGCGGCGTTTGTTGCTGTCCAGTCATGACCTTTATGAAGTCCTGAAGTTCGAGTTAGAGACACACTTTACGAAATGCTTCTCTCGGATCATAACATTTTTTTTTCATTTCTCAATTGTTTTCTTTAAAATTTCAAAAAATTTTTTAAAGAAAAAGTGAAAGCTTTTCAAAACAGAAGTTTGTAGATATGGTAGCCTACCTGTTTGATGTCGTCGAATCGTTCATCAAGGTATCGGATATTTGATTGCACTACTCTCCAAATGACATAGTTTGTCAAGAGTTTCACGTCAGTTTCGTCAACTAGTTGAGATACCTCAAGGGAAGCATCTTCATTTTTCAAAAAAATTAAAACCTTTTTCAAAAAAATCAATCTCACAAATAATGATTTCTGTAGAATTATCGAACAGATGAGTCATCTCTGGTGGTGCGGACCGTCGCATAAAGCTGACCCAGTCGACCTTGACACCGGAATGTAATTGAGTGGGAAGTCAATACTGTACCTTTGGTAGCAGACTGTAGAGATCCGCGATGTTTCTTCTATTGTAGAGCCGTGTGTTGTTACGTCTCTCGTCTTCGGCTACGATAATCTGTAGCAATTCATAAAAATTTCAAAAAGATCTGACACACCTTGGCAAACTTTTTCTCAAACTCGATCACTTCATTTATGTCGTTGTAAATTTCTTCGTCGCTTCGAGTGAGATTGGCGTCCGTTTTCAGAGTAACAGCAACTTTTTGAATGAATTTACGGTAAGCAGTCATGTGACTGTTGAACATGGTCGCGTTGAGATAATAATCTCTAGAACCTCGGCCCAACGTCAGAATACCTTGGTCCACCTGTGGCTTTTCTTTCAAAAACAAAAAGTTGGCATGGCCTCACAAATAAGGTGTTTCTTGAAGTGTTTTTAGCATCTGCATAGACGTATATCTGAAAGAATATATCCACACCGTAATCGTGTCGAATATTCATAAGAAGGTCTAAAATGCATAAAGTTTCAATGGAAGCAGGTCAGAACCACCTGTTAAATCGAACTTGCTCTGATCCCAGTTTTTTTGTAGAAGTGGCCAGCGACCCAACTCCTCCAGTGTATCGAATAACAACCTGAAGTCACGTCACGGTATTAGGAACATCCGGTTTTAAGAAAATGAATGAAAATGCGATCAATTCTTAAATTTCTTAACTAAAAAAGTAATTGTAACAAGTGTGTTTTTGGCGTTTTTGATGTACTGTGAAAAGATAATTGATCATTACATTTTAATGACTGCGCTATCAAACCTAGATTTTAGCTCGTCTAACTGCGTCTTGTTCATACAGGTTTTGTAAGCTGTACGAGCCATATTTATAGAATGCGATTGAGAAGTAACTTCTTGTTCAAGTAGTACTGAAATATTTTTCATTGAGTTCGCAAGATCTTGAAAACACCTCGGAGCTGTTGTCGAACTTGCTCGCGTACATAAGAGAAAGTTCCATAGGCGAACATATCGTCGGGAATCGGATGAGCCTCGTTCCAGGCACCACAGGCGAATTCGAAAAAGTCTTGGCAAGGATCCATTGAAGTATTCATTGAGTTCAACTGAGATTTTCTTAACTACTAAACCTATTTTTGACTTCTTACCAAGTGGTTTGCAGCGTGAACGCATCCTGCCGTGTTGCAGATGTTGAACTCCGGGGAAACAGTACTTGTAGTCGTAGTCGACCTCTCAATGGTTGTCGTCAGTTCAGTTGGTGAAGCGGAGGTTGTCGGCATCGCAGTTGTTTTCACAGCTTCGCGTCTTCGATCGAAGTTCAACACAACAGCCAAAAGTACGACGGCCAGTAGGAGGAGGAGAAGACAAACTGGGATTAGAAGCTGTAATTTATGTTCAACGACGAACAAATAAAAAGTTCTCGCCTTTTCGAGGTGTGTCCGGCTTTTCCACCATTTCGCGGTACCCTGCAGTTCGATATTATTCAGAAAGAAAAACAATAGTCGCCATTAGAAAGTGGGGTTTGACATAAAAGTACCGTATTGAAGAGCTTTCTTTCGTATTTCAAAAAAAATTGCGAGCGTATCACAAGACTTGCCATTCGCGTTAAATCATCGTGAATATTCATCAATTCAATGATAATTTTTCTGCAAAAATATTTTCAGGGTACCTTAAAAAGCTTCTTTTTTCTTCATAAAGCGCAAAATAATCATTTTTGTTTACTATCCTATCATAATGATAGCCATATGTGAAGATGATAAAATTTACGCAAACAACAGAAAAGTTAAACCTATTTTTTATTCACGATTTTCTGAAAATACCAAGTTCTGTGCAGCTTGAAGTAATTTAAGCAATAAATGAAAAGCTCTATATAATAGCACTTTTATCGCTCACTCCATTTCTCCAACTAGTACGCCTTCAGGCCTCAAGTTTAGTTGATGATTGAGTTTGAAATTTTTTTTGCTAGCAATAAACATTGAAATTTGATGTAAATCAAAACTTTTTATCATGATAAAAAGAAAAAAAAAGCTCACTGCACAGGACGATAGATGACTTGCCTTTCCGGGAATGAAAATCACGGCTGGCGGCTCGTCTCTCGTAGGAGTGTTGAAACATGGCGAACCACTGGCAAAGTAATTTTTAAGCTTTTTTTTTCTCATTAGTTTAACGATTTTCCGTCGGCAATTCTGATTTAGTTCATAGCGAACACACTTTTTGAGCAATCTTGAAAGAATTGGTCGTCAGATAAATGGAGGAAGAATTTTTATTTTCGTACATATTCACTTCAGAAGCCGTGCGTAGTAAAGTAGAAAATCACTTTCCGCAATTTTTCTTGAAAGGTTAAGGAAAGCCTGAAACTCGCTATCCTTTAAACATTTTTCGCGTTTGTTGATCTAAAAAGTTTTCCAAGTGTATCCTCTTCTACAGAGCAATTCTATGAAGTACGATGAGAAATTAAGAAAAATATACTAATTTCAGGAATATTATTTTTTACTTTTACTGCATATGGCCCAAGAACAAGACAGAAAGCCACTTCTGGAAAATGGCTACCGAGGACCTAATGCCTTTTCGCGACGAGTCGATGCTTACCTCGGAGTGTTTTCTCCAGTGTCATTCATGGTGATCAGCTGCATTTGGCTTTCGTTGCTCCGCAAGTGCATGTAATCCGGCGGCTCCCCTCCGAACGGCATTTTCGCCGTTCTGAAACCGATTTACTTGATGACGAGAGAAGAATTTCGTTTTTCTGATGACGAGAAAAGAAATTGGTTTTTCTTAATGAGAGATTTCTCATCCTTATGAGCCTTTTTATGAGATAGGTGAGATTTTTTGAAAAAAAGAAAGGTAGCACAATCGTTTAGAAGAACCTGAAATTTGATCCTTCAGTTTATTTTTTTTTTAAATAAACTGAAAACAGGCAGAGAGCTTCGAAGCAAAAATAAAGTGGTTGTGGGTAGTTTATGGGCAAGCTTTTCTCTATTAAAAAGGCCGTTAGAACTCTATGAGCGTGGTGGTATTGGATAGAAACAACTTGAACTCAGATCATTCGTCAGGAAAGCGCTCACCCGTTCCCGTGCATAGAGCCAATCTGTCTGTCAAATATTCAAAGGAAAAACTCCCATCTATTTGAAGTAGTACGTTAGTACCGAGGACTAAAACAAGCTGAGATTTTTAAAATTAACCGGAAAAATTAATGGTGAGACCAATATTCCTAATTTGTTTGAATTGTTAGAAAAGAAAAAGGAGTATTTAAATTTGGAAAAATTGTAAACCAATATTTAAAAAGGACATTTGATAAATTTGTTTGACATTTCAATTTCTGGAAAAGTTTGGTTGAGATAATGGCTGGCGTACAACTTCCGCTTTTTTGATGACTAAAGAAGGCCTGACTCATTTCTTGGTATTTTTCAGAGAGTGGTTGGAAAGCTTCTAAGTGGATTATCTCTCAATAATCAGAACATGTATCCAAACTTGATAATCTCCTCTTTCATTTTAAGACGGAGTACTCTTCTATTTATCTATCAGAGATTTTTCAGTAAATGAGAAAAAGGAGAGGAAAGCCTCAAAAAATGTATGGAAAGTAGAAGTTTGAGAGCTTCCGGGTAGTTTAACGGTCCATTTTCGCGACTCCAATGGGACGCGTGACATGTAGGCGTATAATTGGAGCTCATTCCAGTGTGTTCCCGCAAAGAGACTTTTTTTCTGGTTTCTAAGGAAGAAAGATTTTTTTTCGCATTTTACGAAAGACTTCTGTTTTCGAAATAGAAATACAATTTAAAATTTTTGAATGAAACAACAAAATTAAAAAAAAAGGTCAGCTGTGCTGATATATTTGTTCGAAGCTTAAGAAAAATAATATTTGTTGCAATTGATGGAAATTCAAAAAGTTTCAGTCTGAAAAATTCCTAGTTTTCAAGAATTAAGACTGCGAAGGTTCAACCGACAGCCCAGTTCCGAAGTAAATGCTCTTGAATGACTTTTCTTGCAGTTTCAGAAAGTTCTGCAAATAGATAGATTGACATTCATCCAGTAAATCAAGCTTTTTAGGCCTAGTTTCTGCAAACTCCGAAAAACAAAGTTAACTCCCTCTTATTGACCGAATTGGAATAAGGTCTAAGGAAGTTGAAAGAAAATATGAAGAAAGCACAACATAGCTCTGATATTTGGAAATGGAACTGTAGAAGAATCAGTAGAAACGGCGCAGAGTTCCCTGGGGCAACGAGCCATCACGTGGGAAAAGAAGACTCCGTCAGCCGCCTGCTCCATCGCCACTCCACGGGCTCACATCGATTTGCCGCGCAAAAACCCCGAATTCAAATTATCCGCTTCCTTCTCTCCTTTTTTGATTCATGTGCATACGTCTTGAGAGAGTGAAATAACTGTATGAGCCTTGTTGTGGAAGTGCTTTTTTTTCATTCTTGATTTGTCCAGAATGAAAGTTCTAAATGATAGGACATTTCATTTTCTAGAAAATACAGTATTCGATCAAATTTGCGATTTTTTGTCGCGCGTCCGGACGAGGACTTCTTGGTGACAACTCACGACCAAGGAGCCATCTGGATGCCACAATCTTCCGTCGATCAGACTTCGACCGCCTCCTGAAAGTCATTATGAGACGACAAGTGGCTGAGTTGTACCTGCGTAGTGAGATCGGGTCTCGAAAAGGAGCCAGTCGTCGGCTCGAAAGTTGGTTCGGTGAAACCATACGGTGTGATCCAGCGAGAAAACCATCGAAGGTTGGAAGTTATTGCTAAATCAGCTTTGTTTTAGCTATAGCATCGCGACCTACGCTGCGTAGTGTGGGCTCAAGGCGGTTGCCGCGAGAATAGAGTCAGTGTTGTAGGAAACTAACCACCTGTTCAGAAAGAAATAAAAACTTAAACGCGTTTTAATAGCGCTACCTGTGAAGACGTGCGTCTTCCGGCAGGTCTCCGCGTGCTCGCATCCAGAAAAACAGCGCCGGCTTTTTGTCGCTCTCGAAACCGTAATAGTTGCCGAGGTTGGTCGACCGCATCTGCTAATAGATTTTATTGAAAAAAGAAAGAAACATGCGTTTTTAAATTTTTCAAAAAATCATTCATTATCTTCTGGCAGAGCACTCACATGTCAAACATGGATTTTCAAATAACGCAAATAGGAACCGCCACGATCAGTTTCAAAAACAAATGCGTGCTTTAATTAAGATACGGTTGAAAAAAGGCAGGTTTTTTTTTCTCTTGAAACGTGTATTTTTGAAAAAAAAATAGGATAAGGAAGTTCTTTTTAGTAAAACTAAAATTGCTTACAGATCGGAAAAGTGGAGAACCAAAAGCTTATTAAGCACTCAGAAGTAAAAAAAGCAATTAATAGACCTCAAACAAATCCGAGTCTGAGCTGTAGATTTTGGAGTCGTACTGATTCAAACGGTAGAGAATACTTTTCGAAGGAGTGTAGTCTCCTGAAAACGCCGTCCTTTAGATCTTCCGTTACTTTCCTTGTAGTGCCCTCTGCATTTCAATTGCCAAAAAAAGTTAGAAGCGTTGGAAGATTTTTTTCTATTTTTGGATTTGTTTTTACTCGTAAGTATCTTTGAAGTTACGTGATCTTTTCAGTCAAAAAACGTTTTCTAGATAGTCTAAATATATGTTTTTAACCCCAAAATTAGGTTTGGCTCACGCTGGTTTGTAAAGAGTAAATATGATGATTTCTTGAGTAGCTCTCAAAATGAAATGAGCCCGAATAAAATAAGACCTAAAAACCTTTATTAACCATTTCTTTGACAAATGGAATGGCTTGACGCATGCTCATCAGTGAGTGAGGCTGCGGTACCTCGGGCATTGTTGATTGGTGCGATATTGAGTCAGGCTCTTCCTTTAAAAGGAATTAAATTTTTTTGGTTTTGAAAAAATAGAGTTCAACTCACGACTTGAAAGGAAGTTTGTAAGATGAAGGCGGTTTTGTCCTTCTGCACGGCATCGACCTGCAAAAAAGTTCAGAACGGGAGTAGTGACCGCCAACCGTTCGAGTGCAGAACGACTTGCCGTCGCGGACTCGCCGAACTCTGTACTCGATGGGTTCCGCTGTGTCCACTGCAATTTTTGTCTCTCTCGTCGGCAAAACAACTATTCGGTACAAATTTCTCAGACCACCCGACTAGAACGTCGTGACAGAGAAAATGACAGAGATCCAAACCGTTTAAAATGAAGTACGAGTGTACTGAGTGGGGTCGGAACTTTGCGTCGACGGTTTGTTCGGCTGCGGCGAGTGCCTGCAACCCTCCCGTAGTCGCATAAGAAAGGGCAAAGAAACTGATATATCTTTGTTTTGCAACAGATGATTATACTTCTTTCTCGTGCTGTTCATGTGCTTTTCTACCCTTTCAAAAGAATAAAAATATCAAGAACGATATTTGTCACTATCCTCGTATTGCTATATGCTAAGAAACTGATCAGCAACCTGGGCGAAAATCAGGCCGCCATAGGCCGCTGTAGAGTGCCCTTGCCGCACGTTTTTGAGCGTCGCTGGCCTTCAAAGAATCTTGAAATTAATTTTTTTTTTCCAAGTGGATTCTAGAGCCACAATTTGCCGTTGTGTAACCATGTCTTACTGGAAAACGTCTGTCGATGGTTGAGAGAACTTGAAGAACTCGGAAGCGATTTTGTCGAAGCCTTCTACTTTTTGAAAATCATCATTCACGACGACTTTTTGAGGCCCAGCTGAGTCGGAAGCATTAGACGTCATCTTCCTGAGAGATTCCAAAGTCTTTCTTTTGAGGGGATAACATAAATACGACGGTGTTGAGAAGTGTGAAAAGTAGAAAAGTTCAGCATAGTTTAGATCTTTTTGTCAACTTTTTTTATCATGGCTCTGCAAAATTCGGATTCCCAGAGAACACATGAATGAAACAGGTCTCAATGCTCGTTCAACAAGTCTGAGCCAGAAGGTGAACACTCATATAAGTATTTTCCGCGGTTCTGAAGATTTGAGTCATCGACGTAGCATCGTAGGAATGAACCCGAACTAAAGGTTTCGACAGAAGTTACTGCTGAATTGAGTTTAACAGTTTTTTATTCTCAAATCTAAAGCGCGAGGATACACATTGCAGTGGTGTCTCGCTCTCCAGCAGTCCTTTCATTATAATCACACAAATCACCTGTTTCTCATAAATTTTGCGACGACATCCCCGTCGGCAATTTACGAACCGCGACAAAACCTACAAATCAGGGTGTCGGTCAGTAAATCAATCAATTCGTCTGCTAGCAACATCGTTATCCTTGTAGTGATAAGACGACCGCATCAATAGGTCACCGAATGGTCTCTTGGGCTTGTTTTTCGCCTAGCGAGTGGTCAGAAGCTGATCGCCTAATCGCATGACGTGAAGCTCACGTGCGAGAAGCTTCCAGAAGGAAGCCGTCAGTCGCACGAAAAAGTTTTCCGATAAAGAAAAACGCGTTTTACTTTATGGACGATCGGTTATTGCTCAAGCTGAATCTCAGAAGCTCCAAGAGAATTATCGGTTTGTTGCATCTGATCTTTTGAGCTTCTGTCTAGCTTCTTCTTTTTTTTGAAAATCAACTGAAAATCCAATACGGAGTTTTGCAAAAAAAGAATAATGAAATCATTATTTTTTGTCTGAAATCTCTCAGACCGATGGCCTGTTCTGCGCCACCAAGCTCAGTCCAGACGAGTTAATAAAAGCCCTAGAGATACTGGAAGGATCTTCTGGCACGGTGTCCTAAAAACCGAGAGGTTAGCGGTGAGGTCACGCGCCAAGTCAGGTTCCTCGGTATCCAGCCTAGAAGCGGCATGACTGTGCAAGCAGGGCAAAACAACCGAATCTGACCCAGATACCACGCAGTGAATCCAGTACAAAACCACGAAATAAACAATCTTCTCGTCCTGAGACGTTTCCCAATTCGAGGAAAGAGCGTCAGCAAAGATCAGCGGACCATCCAAACACTCAAAGGTCACTTCTACGAAGCAACTGAGGCAATCTGGCGAAAGTTGCCCGACGCGCACTCTTTCACTTTTATTTCAGTTTCTAGAAATCGTTTCACTTCGATGCTTTTTGTATTGAATTAGTCATGACCTAGATGAGCTTTAATTTACGAGCCCTTTTTATCATCTATATCAAGCTATTGGAAAAAATAGAAAAAGTCAGGAAGAAAAAATATTCTTTATTCCTACTTTTTTTAAAATGATTTCGGCATACTTCGAATAAACATAATTCAAAAAATTACGAGTAGAGAAACGACATTAAATGGAAGAACGGAGTCAGTGAAGTATATTTATGCCTGTATAGGTGCCAAATTGGGTTCAAAGTTATCATCCTGCCAGCTACGTTGTAGCATTAAATATTTCACCATTTATTTTTTTGAAGACCAAATAAAAAGTTTACCTGAGGGCGTTGGACAAATGGCTCCGAGAAAGAAGAAAAACACTGGAAAGTCGACGAGCCATCAAGTTGAAAGTAATAAATCTTCCTTCGCGTTCCTTTTTTTCCAATTCGTAATCAAACTGTAAAATGTAAATTTCACGGCAAATAATAGTATTTTTTTCAAAAATTTTTTTCGTGCGTCATATTTAAAAAAATTTCTTTGATTTGAAGAACGATCACAGCGAACAAATTTTTTTCTTTAAAATCAAAATTAATTAGGATTTTCCTCACGATTTCGAAAAAAAAAGATTTAAAAAGAGTTGATGGATTTTCAGAAAAGAGAAAGTAGAATGGAAGTTAAGAATACGGAAAATTGGTATAATAAAACAGGGCAAATGTAAGAGAATTGAATCACGGAAGACTTTTTCGAAAAAAAGTGCGGACCAGTTGTTAGCCAGTGATCAATGAACTTAGATTATTGATCTTAAGAGCAGGCATTTCTCCTAGAAAAGTGCCTTTTTGATCCTAATGATCTTCTGTCTCAAAACTCGCAGCCTTCAAACTTAATTTCATCATCCTATATGAATATTCTATCGAGGTAAAAAAAAACTGGAAAAACTTGGTCCAGCGAGATCAAAAGAATTTTGATACGCACAAGAAAAGGGACTTGAAGAAAATTTCAAAACGACAACAAAGGCTGTTTTTTGGTTGAAATGTTAGAAATGAGCGCTGGGTTCATCGATTCGTGTTTCATTTAAAATAAAGGAATTGGGAGGAAATTCATACTCTGCAGGAACATTAGTGTTAGGTCATAAAGACAAAATCATTTTTGTGTCAAACTCTTATTTCAATATTTTGGACTGGAATGAATTATCTTTGAAAAAGCTCGTTCCTAACCGGCCATCCTAATATTTTACTGTACATCGTATCCTTGTAGATAGGGTTTTTTTTCGCTTCGATTTGATTTTCGACAATCAAGCCCCGCCCATGACTCGAATGGGAAGTGCAAAGTACGTTTCCTCGTAGGTTTTCGTACTATTTAAATTTTGAACTTACTAGACCGTGGTCTCCTATCGACAAACATTTGAAAATTGGAACATTTTTTTGGTAAGAAACCCGCTAACTAAAATGAATGTCTGCTAAACGGTTTAGCCTAAACCCTACAGGTTGAAAAAAATATTTTTAAAAAAATTATTTTTTTAATTTTTAAATATCAATTTCCTCAGAACAAAAATAAAAAAATATGAGCAAATCATCAAATTATGAGTCGGTAAATATGATTTTCGCCAAAAAGATTCGAACCATGATCACAATGGGGACAGTACGCAGGATTAATAACTCTACCCCCGTTGCCAGTGTCTAAAGTAAGGTCCCGAGCGCGGGGCTATACCGTATATATACGCTCTACAAAATCTTTGACGAGGTTTTCCTCGGTTGCCTGAAGGGTTCAGCAGAAATAAAATTTTTTTCTTTTTTTTTTGGAGTAGTCTGACCTAGGGCGCAAAGTCTCCCTTTTAAAATTTTTGTCAACCTTAGTTTGAGGAATACATTTTTGTCGACCCTAGTTCGGGAAATGAAGCAACAAAGTATTCATTTGGAAGGAAAAGAAAGAAAAAGGTGATAATAAAAATTTTGAAATCTGTTACTCTTTTTTTCACTTCACTTCTATTTGAAAAACAAACCGTTCAAATAATCTACCAAGTTATTTTTATTGTTGAGTAATATATTTTTGTGCTCAATTTTTGAAAATTGTGGTTTTTTTCAGCACGGTGTAAGAATAAAGGCTCGGATCTTTCTCAGTTATCTAGCTGAGGATCGAATCTTAGATAAGAATTAGTTCCACAAATACAGTTATCATCCCATTTTCAGTTAACAGCCAATTAAAATTAACTTCTAAAGATTTTTTTAACTTTCCAGGGAACAATCGAAAACTGCCGCAACGTAATTCTAAATTTCGAAGAAGTTGAACAGTTTTTTTAGATCAGATTAAAAATTCTAACTATTATTGAAACTCACAGTTTTTCGGCGTAGACCGAAATTTCAGCTTTTCAGTAAGTTGAAACCTTTATTAAAGTTTGCAATGATGGTTTTGCATAATTTGCAACACGCAGAGCGAATTTTTGCGGAGGAAAAGTTTCATTGGAATTTCTTTCTGTTATGAGATCATAATTGCAAAACATAATCACATAAAAAACATAGTTACAACCCGCAAGTACAGGGAACCACAAAGTCTATCACAGGAATATCCTATATCCAATGTTCCGAATTGAATTCGTACAAAAACAGAGGAAAATCAGTACAATCAAAAAAAAGTTTCTAAGTGAGATCGCTGAGTGAATAACCGTCATATAAGTTATGGGAAACGCAGCTATTTTGAGGCTCGACGTTGTACTGGGCTGTTACTTTCGGGACGCCGACTGAAATCATCAATTAGAGTTTCAAATTTGAGCCCAGATATTTTGGAGAGATTTTTATAGAACAATTCAAGCGAAAGAGATAGAGATTTTTTGAAACTCTTCACGGGCAAAGAAAGTGTTGAAACTCACACAAACTTCTTTTATCTCGTTGTAGGAGCATCCTTTGTTGCAGCATTTTGTAGCGAAATCGGAGCCATCTGTAAACTGGTCATAGTTGGAGCATTCAAAACTTGTTATAAGTCCCTCAAAAGGTTGCTTGAGGTGGTTTCGAATGAACTGATTAATGGGAAAAGAGTGAAGGACCAGGATGGTTTGGAGCGTGACATCGGAAAGACGGTAGGTCTTCGACTGACACGACTCCGCACCGAAAAACAAGTGACGCAGTCGGCACGTGGCCCTCGTCTTCGCAAAGTTCGACGCGAAAAAGTTTCAGAAAGTTTCAAAAGTTGCCACAAGCAACACTGGGCTCATCACAGATATATAAGCTCTGTTCGAAAAATCTCGCAAGAAAGCTTCAAGACGCAATGAATAATTTTGAATCGCGAGAAGAACCTACACGAATAACGGTTTAATTACAGCATCTCGGCACTCAATTCTGATAGAAAATCAAAGTTCTTACTTTAGCTTTATGTAAAAAGAAAGCTTTATCTCTATGAATTGAAAGTTAACTTTATCAAATTCACAGCCACTTTTTTTTTTCGAAGTTGGACAGGCTACTGTGTGCTAGGTTGCGGAATGTGATACAAAAGGGTATGTGAACCGCTTGCAACTTCCGTCGACGTCAGACAAAATCGCGGCAGTTTGAAGTTGATTATTCACGCAAACAAACAGAAATGAATGAGACAGAGGCAACCAAACTATACGCACGTCCTCACTCTCGATGACCGTGACAATCACCTGGGTAAAGTCGTTGCAACCTTTTCTATCAGCCTATCTATCGCAAGAGAAACTGGTTCTGTCCACGGCGAGCCAAGCCAACAGACGAACGTATTTATTCTCGGCTTTTTTGCTGTTGTCTTGTATCGGGATCCGAAGCAAACGCGAACACGTAAACATTTTGTTTGCTCAAGGCGTAAAGACATTGGGATTTGGTAAAAGAGCATGAGAAAAAAAAAGAAAGACGAGAAAGTTCAATATGCAAGCATGTGTTTATACAAAAAACGACACTCATCTGATAAAAGTTTTAAAAAAAGCAGTTTCGAATGGAGGCCTCCCTTTACGGAAAAAAGTACAGAACGGATGTAATCTTGGTTCGAAAATCTTCTATGTACTTTCAAAGACGTAAAAATCATACAAGACTTTTGGTTACCTCTATGAAATTCTTCTCCAACGCTTCAAACTCCCCGAAAATGTTTTGATACGAGTTACGCCAAATAATAAGAAAGTTCATAAAACGCGTAAGAAGTTTCCAGAGTGAGTCCATCCTATGAGTAAAACCCACCTACTCGACCTGACCTGTATATTTCATTTAGCGCTTCAAGGTTGGACTAAAAAAAAAGAAAAAGGTTTTTCGAAGAATTGAATTGACCTTTCTGGTTGCATTATATTAAAATATCACGCCGGCGGCTGCAACAAGTCTCTTTCGTCACCAAAAAGCCACCTTTTTCTCGGATATTTTGAGTTTAGCCGAAACAATCTAATGTTCTTTTCTCGACTTTTTCAATAGACAATTCTCTAGTAAATACTAACTAAGCGATGAAAGTAACAAAAATAAGGGAACCCAACAGAATCCGAAAAAAGGCACCGTACTAATGCCTTGGCGTCTATCAGTCAGCCTTGCTTTTCACCATAGAATAAGTTTAATTAGCAGAAATTCGAAGAGGAATGAAGCCAAGCGACGAACAATTGATGTTTTGCAGCAGAAAGTGATCGCATCGGCCATCAAGAGATATTTGGAAAATCGGCGCGCGCGCTAATTTGTTTGTTTCATAAAGTGTACGGGAAACTTGCTTCCGAGGCTTTTCGTCGACTGTTTTGGCGACCCGCCAGAGATCATCTGATTATGTCACCAAGTTTCCCTCTATTTTTCAGTTTTTCGAATTCTCAGAAGAATGGAAGCAGAATAGTCATGTAGTAGAGAAAGGAAGAAAACAGGCGCCAAAATCAAAAGGAAGTTGAGAAAGTTCAACTTCTCAAATTTTTCCGAAATTCTGTTTCTGAAAATGTTTCAGAGCGCGGAAGATTTCTTTGACTAGGGTTATGGGAGTTTAGGATTATTGTCTCAATAGGGAAGTAGAGCCGTTTTTGTACAGTTTTCAGTGGAAAGCAGCTCACTCAGTAAGACAGTTTTGCCGCAAACGTGCTTGACCGCAGTTCTGAAATGGTCGCCGCAGTGGAAGTGGCTCTTGGGCTTGGCTGCAGAGTAGACGACCAGCAGCAGAAGGAGCAGGGCGAGTCTCAGCAGTACGGACATGCTCCTACTTGGGGAGACCAGCGGGAAGGAGGACAGCGTCCTGGATACGGCTGATCGGCAGACTGACACTAGAGGTTCGGCTCTGCCTGCGGCGGTTCGAAGAGAGGCGGAGCTTCGTCGGCAGGAGGTGGGCTAATTCGTTGGAGGCGCCGCCAACCACAGGGGAGGAGTTTCTCAGCTTTTCGTCCATCTGACCTGTCCAAATTGATGTTTTGCAGGTTGGGAAGACAAGTCATACATTAAAGTATTCATGGATCTTCAAAAAGGACTACAACTATGAAGAGTGGAGAACTGGCGAAGTCATTAATTTCTACGAGATCAGCGTGGATTTTCAGTCTTTTTAAAGAAAATATTATTCTTTAACTTTTTCAAGCCGTGATTCCCAATGAGAAAATATTGATTGAACATCAAGGAAGAATCAGTTAAAACCGAAAAGAGATTTCATAACTTTGCAAAGGATACCTGTTTAGAGAAATTATAAAAAAACGATCTTGTGGGCATTTTTCCATAAGTTCGATATGAAGCTATTGCTCTAGCTTCATATGTCTCATTTCAATGTCAGTGTAACTATTCCCGAGTGACCCAAACTTTTAAAGCTTATGAAACTTATTTTTATTTCAAAAAGCTATTTAACTTGAGCAAGGTTTTAAAACGATTTAAATGACGAAAAACAAACGTTGGTTTTTTTTTCAAGTGGGTTAGACTGTACCTTCCTTCGCAATATTTCGAAACTTTGCTCGTCTAATCGTGATTTGAACGACGCATTGCTCACCAGGAAATGGTCTCAAGACGCAGTGGGACTTCTGAATGAGACCAGCTTTACTAGATGTAGTTTTTCCCGCTGATTGCAAATCAAAAATTGTCAGAAAGAAACCGTTACTCATCATATAAATCTTTGAAGCTGTAACCTCCGCAAAAATTAACGCTTGCTCAAAATTAATCAAAATTAATTAAAATGATTCCATACATATTGAACATGGTAATTTGTCTCAAAGTATCTTTCAAATCGCTTCAATATTTCGATTGTAAGACGTAAAACAAATGTGAAACAAACGTAAAACGAGAGCCGATTACTGCAAAAAAACGTCCGAAAAAAAGTAGGCTACCGTAACCCTCACCACAATTCTTCTACCCCAAGGAAACAATTTTTCTCGCAAAAAGAAATCAACAAGCTTTTGACTTCATCCAAGTGACCCAGAAAGATTTTTAACATTATAATTCGCCCACTCAAGTGAAATGAAAAATTGAGAAAAAAAAAAACATATTTAAAAGTCGAATGGTTGAGGAAAACAAACGAGCTTCCATTGAAAAACTTCTCTTTTATTAATTAGCGTTATACATTTTAAAAAAATTGCATTTTTTTTTTGTGAACATGGAAAATTCTCTGAGAAACGTTATCATGGAGCTTTTGCTTACTGTAAAAAGCGGCTCTCCAAAATATGCCATCAATTGAGCACAAGAATCAAGTTCACTTATATCGACCGACAATATTTGAAAAGCAGTAATAATTAGCCTGAGTCCTCGAAAAGATTACTCAGCTTCTTCTTAAACTATTCATGTTTGCAGCCTGACAACTTCAAGTGGAGAACGAAAGTTTGAAAAAAAACATTTGGATTCTACTGCCTCGGATTCGGAAGTCCAAAAAGCTTGGCAAGTTTTTTTATTGCTTTATTTATTTTCGAAAGCTTTTTGAAATAAAAAAAAGTTATTCATTTCAATTAATTTCACGTTTTATGTTCTCCAATAACTAACAAGCTTTCTTTTAGTAATCACAAAGAGTTTCCGGAAAACGGATTTGCATGCTTTTAAGTATTGACGTTATTGCTTTCAAAAACCCCTTTTTTGAATTTATTTGGAAATTAAAAAAGGCGGTCGTCTGGAAACATTGTTAAATGGTCAAAGAAAAAGAACTCAGGTCAGAACGTCATTCTGCTAAAGTGCTTTAAAATCTGAAAGTACCTGAGAAGATAGTTTTTTTTATGAATGTTTCACAATTCTTTCAGTCATCCACAGTTCACTCTTTTGTTCGCATCAGAAAATAAAACAAGTTACCAACTTTTCATCTGAAAAAAAGTCGTAGCTTAGCGGCCTCGAGGTTTACTCTCTCATCCGAACTTTTCTGGAACCAAGGAATTTGTTTCGAAGTTTTTGGTTTTTGCCCTATTGTGAGTCACATCTTCCGGTCCTTGAACGTGACTATGATGTCACGCGAAGGTTCCAGAATAGAGTTATGGACGATGGAATTTCGGATCTTCTTTGTAGTATTCTTTGATCCTCGAAGTTGTTTTCGATTCAGTATATTCTGAACAAGTGTGCATTTTTTGATTTCCCTTTTGTAGTTGCTTCGAAAACATTCAAAAGATTTGATACGACAAAGTTATCAAAGAGGAAAGCCGTTCTTAGTATTTTCCCAGATCCAGACTTCTCTTCTTTGAATAAGGCAGCAAGAATATTCGAACATTTCCCAACTATCTTATAAATCTTTAAAAAAATTTTTGTTCTATTCTAAGCTGGTAGCAATAGTTCAACTTCGTTCAGTTTTTTTCTTCCCAAATGCGGAGGATTTGTAGTTCTTATATGAGATTTGTACTTTTAATGATAGGACTTCTTGACAGTTGAAAAAAAGTCCTTTTTTTCTAGATAACAAATTTCACGCTACAAAGGACCTAAAATGAATTAAACGTCAAGTTTTTTCTGTTGGTTTGAGCGGTGTGGTTTGAAGAATGTTATATGTACGAACGCGAAAAACACTAAATTATCAATAATTTCAGAAATAGTTTCACTAATCAAATTCTTTCTTACGCCTTCCCAACGTGAAGATTTATTCACAATTCATTTCTAATCCCAAAAGAGAATGGCAGATCTTGGCAGAATCTCAGGTTATTTTTTTAAAAAAATGATTATTTTCTTTCTTGTTTTCTTGAATTCTAATTACACCCACAGGTCTTTTGAAATTCTCTCTTTTTGTTTCCTCTTTGCGCGGGTGTTCCGAAAAACAGCTACCGAAGTGAATTCGAGCATGTCCAAAACTAATCTTTCTTTTTTTTAGTTCCAGTAGCTTGAGACCGATTCGAACGTGGGAAACTCGACCAATAAATAGCTTATTACGTTTTAATTGAATTAGACTTGCGACTAACGAATGTTTTACTGAGAAAAATCTATTTGCCTTTTTTTAAAGATTACACTTTTTTAGTTCGTCAAAGGACGTTCCTAGAAAGAACGCAGTTTTTCTTCTCTCTTTCAAGAATCATACGATTGTGAGAAGATGAAATTCCAGAAACACAGGAAAACTTTTCATTGCAAGAAGGTGAAACGGTTTCGAAGTACCGAATAGAAGGTTTGTTGGGCTGTGGCTCCTACGGGAAAGTTTACAAAGTTCCTCTCTCACTTTTTCTCGGTTAAAATGCAACATGCTTGAGGTCAGTGACGCGGCAAACACTTTCTATGCACTGAAAACGGAGCTTCGCAATACCAAAGTCAAAGGCTTGAAGATGGAAGTCGTCGTCCTCAGGTTTTGGAAGCCCAAAAACAGAGATCTCAAAAAAAAGATGAAGTAAAAAATCTCTTTAGAAAGTCTTTTTTCCGGAAGACTACGTGTATTGTACCTACAGTATCTTGAGGGAAACAAGAAAAAAAAACCATTTTGGAGTTATGAAAAAAACCACAAACTGCCACAAATATTTCTTATTTTCCCTTTTCGAAAAATATCACAAAGTTTTTTTTCCGGATATTACGGCATCATGTGTCTCGTAGAGCTACGCAAACTCAATAGTTTTGAATGGAAAAAGACGCTAATGGTTTACGGTAGCTAATTTCTTCATCTAAGTTCCGAAAAACTTCTGAGTGCACATTTTAACAACTTTGCCAAAGTCTCACTAAAAATCTCTACTTGATTGTTCTTGGAAATTCCGCCTTCTTTCATAACTCACTTCATATTGAGATTTTTTTTTGTTTTTAGCGCGTTTCCATTCATAAGCCGAACAGAGATTGAAGGTTTAAAAAAGAGTTAGCTTGTAAACATCTCAATAAGCCATCGACAAGTATTTTTTGCTCGGAAAATGTCTTGAATTACTTGAAAATTGTCGATTTCGCACCAATACACTCGGGGCTTTGAATGTAAGAGGGAATCTCGCGATAAAAATGAACGATAGAAATCAAAATACATACTGTATTCTCTGGAGGAATGTCTAAACTTTCAAAAAAAACTTGCCTTCATTGTTTTTTTTTAAATAACGGTTTCGGTAGTTGATCACAAATTAATGTGTACCAAGACGAGAAATTCTGTTTTCTTTGAACGCACGGCTAATTAGACACATTCTGACCTTCGTTGAACAGGTGTTTCCACAAGAAAAAAAGGTACTTTACTTTGAAGAGAGTATCCACATTTCGAGCAAAAAGTCGTCATAGGGGAACATGACTAGGAACAAAATTTAATCGAGAACAAATTTTACCTTCTTATTCTGAGTTTTTTTTTTCAAGTTTAACAAAATTTAGGATAACTATAACGAATAGAAAACTAATTCCCAAAAAAAAATTTTCTCAGCTGCATCATGGAAATCAAAAAGCTTCTATAGCTCCAAATGTAAATGTCATCCAAGTTTTAATACCAAGAAGGCGATAATCCTTAAGCATCAGAGAGAACTCTGAAAGTTTTTTTCAATTTTTCGAATCAAAAAAATTTTGTGAAATTCCATTGCCCAAAAAAAAAAAATAACAAAAACTTTCTTTCACTTTACAAGCACAAAACAATAATAAGAAGTGGTGTTAAACTCGGAACTAACATTTAAATTTTTCTTATTTTTTTATATTATAAATACTTATTTTTTTATCAATTTACTTCATCCGCCAAAACTTGAAACTTTTCTGACTTTTTCTTCACACTCTGCTCTCACGACGCTCTCGTGCTATAACTCATATAACCTATAAGATACCATTTTCTCGATTTTTTTGACTTTTTTTCGGTGGATGAAAGGAGGGCGTAGAAAGTTCAAACGTTTGGAAAAACATACAAAAACAAAAATATCACTGAGCTTGAAGGATGGAGTAGTTCTGAAGGGGTTTAGATAAAATTTACATTCGTTTTTATACTTAAGTTCATTAAAAAAATCCCCACTAGACCCATTTTATAGATTTTAATTTTCAGATGTAAATGAAATTTACTCCTGAGTTTTTTTCCGTTGATTTATATCGGTTAGTTGTTGAAAAACTTTCAAATTGTACTGTACTTGAATAGACAGGATTAAAGTTTTTCATTAAAAAAAGTTTAGAGATGTGAGAAATCTGGAAAGCGATCGTTTTTGCGAATTGATAACGTGCGGGCGAACAAAAAAGTTCAATTATTTGGTGATGAGTCTCGTCGGCAAGACTATAGACGTGAGTTATTTCGGGTTGAGATTGACATTTCACTCTGGAATTGGTCCATTTTCGAAAAATATTCAAATTGGCTAGGATCTTCGCGTGAATAACACCAAGTCAAACCGTAAATTGACGTTGGGCTGTGGAATTTCCGTCGGGATGCAGTGCCTTGAAGCCGTCCATTCGCTTCACAACGCCTTGTTTTTCTTTTTCGACTTTGACTAATATAATAGAAAGGCCCTCGGAGAATGACATTTCAGATATATAAACCGCGACATCAAGCCCGCCAATTTCTGTCTTTCTTTGCAAGATCATCGTCGGATTCTTATGATTGACTTCGGAATGTGCAGGTTGTTCCCAAATTCTGGCTTATTTAGGTCAAAAAATTGGGCCTCAAATTTTCATTTTTAAAAAATCCATTTTTTTTTTATCCTGCGTAAATCTCTTCTATTCATTTTTCATGAGTTCAATGGTTTTTGCGCCCTTCACCATTCTATTTTCGCTTCAAAATTTCTCTGTTTGAAATCTTATATTCAGAAAGTTCGTGGACAGCGACGGGAACTTGCGGCAGCCTCGGTGGAGCGTTGGTTTCCGGGGAACCTTGCGGTGAGTCTGCGAAACTTGCGCAACCACGGCGAAGTAGGTACGCAGCGCTGTCGACGCACTATGGCAAGGAAAACTGTCGGAAGGACGATATCGAGTCCTGGCTCTACGTCTTGGTTCGTCAACCACTGGAATAATTCCGTTTGACGCTCGATTTGAGATTTATCTCAAGTCAATTATCAGAAACACCGAAAAAAAAGTTACCTAAAGGAAGATCTTTTGACTATTTCTCTGAAATTTAAAGTTTTTCCAACTAACCATTTTTCATTTTGCTAGTAAAATGTTTCAGATGACACGAACATAGGCTTTCCATTAGCGAGGAATATAGTAAAAACTGCCAGCTTCTTATTTTACGATTTTTTGCTCTTCGGGTCAAGTCTTTACTCTGAAAAATATGCCGACAAGACTCTCCCGTATAGTTCATTTAGTTTTAGAACGTAGACTTCGAACAGATGGGAATTAGGATGATAATAGTGTTGACTTTTAGCGATTATTTTCAAAGAAAAAAAAAATTCATTTTCAATTTTTTTTAAAGATTGAATCTCTTGTCGGTCGGCTGCCGTGGAGCGACTCCGACGGTCTAACTTTCGTGAGCTTCCAGAAACAGACCGCCAGAACCTCTGGTTTCTTCTTTCGGAAACACACAGTTCGTCTAATTCAAAATTGCAGGGTTGAGAGAGCTTTTTTCGGGAGTACCGAAAGAACTGATTCATGCATTGTTCTACATCGACAGTTTGCAATTCTATGATGAACCCGACTATTCCATCCTTCGTGGGCTTCTCAGGTTTTTTTTTCTTACCTGTACCTGGAGGAAGTTATACGTCTAGAGAAGCCCTCACTCAAAACAACTTGGAAGAACATCCATACGACTGGGAACTGAATAAATGATCTGGTTTTCCGTATTTATTCAGTAATCCTCACAAAGAGATGATCGAAAAAGAAAGTGAATTTAAAGAAGAAGTTTCCTGAATTCATTTCTCCCGAAGAGACTGCTCTGATCCTCGAACAAAACATGTTTTTCAGTGTTTCGCTTTGAATTAATCGCAAGTTTTATTGCGGCGAGGATAATAATACACGCGAGTATGAGAAAAAAAAGTGTGGATTTTGCTGAATCCTCCACAGTTTCCATCACAATTAGGAAAAAAAAATTCCCACGAAAGTTGTTGAGAAAAAAAAGCTGTTGATTATTCAAGTTCACTCGACTTTGTCAAAAACTATCACAAATGATGGAATAAATGTCTCACGGTCCTGAGGGATCTGATGTCGGATTGATGTGTAGTTCCTGAAAAATTGCAATTTTTCTAATTTCATATAAAATCAGCGATTCCGTTCTAGTATTGATTTTAAAGCGCAATTGTCAAATTTTGCTGTTTCTCACAACGGAAAAGAAACTGATTAAATAAAATAATCAAAGGAACTAACCGTGATGAAAACTCCGTAAGGAACGTGCACGCGAACACTAATTTTTGCGCTTTTTTTGCTTCCCGGTGCGTGTTGTCATTTTGCACCTCGCGATTTCGGGTCTTTTTCAGTACGGGTGTGGTGCAACCATATTTGAAATGAAATGGAAATAAAATAAAATAGCAAAAAAAGGTTTTTTTTAGTACGATTCCAAGTTTGCCGTTAAAATTAAAGGGTGCTCTAGAAAGTTATCTATTGGGCTCAAATCTCGTATTTCATTACTCAAATACCTTCAAAGAAAAAAACTCAATGAATATTTTTCAAAAAAATTAATTTAAAAAAACTTTTTTTTTTTTTTTAATCGATTCAAACTTAGAGAGGTGATTTTACCTTGACTTTACGGAGTATAAACAACCAAAAGAAAACAAATTATAATAAAATTAGTTTTTTTGAAAATCAATTTTTCCAATGGTTTTTTAGAAAATCAAAAATGGCCTTGAGCCGAAGGGTATTCTCGAGCAATAATAGCGCTCGTGAGTATTATTGGCTCCCGAACACCTTTCGAACTGTCGGCTGTTGAGGGGAAGTTGACAACAAGATAAGAAGCTCGGAATAATACAAGACGCGCCTTGTGAGACCAAAAAAGGAAGATACGAAAACAAAAGAATGACACGAAGAGGGGAAGAAAAGATCAATTAGAGGTTGCATCTCTCTTCCTTTTTCGGAATCGAAATGGTCTGGTAATTTCAGGCAGCGCCAACATTTTTGGAACGTCATTTTCTATTCATTGGTTCGTGCAGCCGAGCTCCTTTTTTCTGGTCGGAAGACCCCTGAGTGAGTGAGCTCCTTTTAAAAAACACTCATTTTTTCATTTTCTTTTCTGAATAATGAAGTAGAAGAGATAGAGTTAGTTCGCTTTCTTTCTTATGTACATACTTCTTCTGGTTCCGCGCCATTTGAGTTATTTCCATTTTCACAAGGGTCATTGATCTAAAAATCGAGATAAGCGTTATGATCCATTCAACGTCAGCTTGGGACCTAAGTTACCACAAAGATTTCTGAAATTCTTTTTTCTTCACAGCTTATCGCTAATCGATTCTTATTTTCTAAAATAAACGGTGATATATTTCTTTTCTTTCGTGTGGTTGATTATTCATTGCAAAATGTGAGTTTTGAGCGCAAACGAAGCATTGATGCGTTAATTAGTCACGCGGTCAGTGATTCAGAACCCGAAATCAAGACCAAAAGAACAAAAATAAAGTTAGGCTTTTAATTTTCGCTTGAGGTTAGAGGAACTGAACCCTTCGCCAATGTTAACAGAGTACTATTTTCAGTCGGCCTCGAAAAACTTTTATCCTTATTTTAAATCTTTCACTGTCAAGTTTTTAAAATCTCAGTTCAAGTACGAATCTATGAATCGAAATTCAGGACGAGCTTCGAATTTCGGTTTGGCTCGAGTCCGAAAGAACTCTATCAAAGCTATAATTTATCTTATAAATTATCTATAAAACATCTTAATAACTTAGAATCCCCAAATATCTGATTATCTGATTATGGTTAGAGCCTAGGCTTAGCAATATACCGATCGGATCGGCAAAACTGTCAACTTAATTGACTTCTGTATTGTGTTCCGTGAGTGAACGAGGCTGAGAATAGTTGGAATAGACAAAGATAACTGTGGAAGTTATTCCACGACAGGGAGTAGGATGAAGCCTTGAAGATGGCCGAAGGCCCGTACAATAGGACGAAGATCCGCCGCGGCTCATATGGGCCGAGCGTAATGTGCGGATAATGTAATGAGTGCATGCCATGCAATGCCGATGGGCGGGTCGCCGAATTGAAAGCCAAGCTATGAAAAAGGCCATTGAGCCTCGAGAATGAAAAGTGAGAGCCCTCGCCGAAATTTGGACAAATTTCGATAGCACAGCTCCTCTTTCCATAAAAAAATTGGCACTTAATATGATCGGTTTCACCTGCAATTTTCCAAGATTCAATATCAGGGTTCCAAGTTATCTGCATTTGGTTAGACTTACTGAGTATAATTTCCAAAAAAAACTATTTTAAAAAAAAATCAGTTCCAACTTTTAAGATATAATTTTAATATTATAAGATGGGAATGGAGCTAATAATACTATTTTTGTTTTCGTGTTTCCTTTTTTTAATTGTTATCCTAGTTCAGCTAACTTATACCTCAAAAGTCGATTTCCTTCTTTCTTCGCCACTTTTTCCGCCAAGCCGGTTAGGCGTTTCTAATCTGTAGAGTTGGAGATCTTCAAATCCCAAAAGCGGTCATTATTCGGAAAGTCTTGCCTTTTTAGCAGCCTGGACAAGATTGCTCAAAACTTTCTCTTGAATGATATATTTATCTTTGGCTACAGGGACAGCCAGCAAACATTTTGGCATGCCGTGGATCCTGCGCCAATTAAGTGTGAATCCCAATTACGGAGCGAAATGAAAAGGGCGCAGCCACAATTAAAGCCTAAATGAAGATGCAAAGGAGGCTAAAGTAATCTCTTGGACGCCTTTTTTGTTTATTTAAATGCCGCTAACGTTCCGATGTCGCTAATTCTTCCCAAGATGGTAGGATATCTTCTGTAAAGTATTTAACACAAGTAACACAAAAGTATTGACTTGCAAAAGTTTGATGGAAATGTCAGTCCTTACATATTTTTAGCTTATCAAGCTTCAAATCATATCAGTGCAGAAGAAAAATCATGTTCTAATGTTCATTGTTTATAAAGATCTGAGGGACTTGTAAAGGACAGTTCGAGCTTCAAACAGTCAGGTGATACAAGTGACGTCCAATAAAAAGTTCCCTTCAATGCAGAAAACACTTGAAATCTATAAAAATCAACGAACCTGCTCAAACTTGATCGAAATGAAGGGCAATTTTTCTCTTCTTAAGACTATCGCAACTAGGCGCCTGTTCAAGTATAGCTTCTGAAGATAAGAAAAGCTGAAGCGAAGTTTTGGAAGGCGTGTATTTCCGGTAATCCTTTTTTGACGGCCCTTCGGTAGTACATCTTTCAAGCCTACTTCTGGAAATATCACGAATCCTCCGAAAATTGGATCCGGTCAGTGGTAATCAACTACTCGTAGAATTGAAAAACCTGTTTTTATTCAGATTACCGTCTAGAAGAGTAAAATCTCGAAATTTGATTTGGTATTGAAGGAGGAGTTTGAAAGATACTGTAGTGGAGACGACCGTAGCCGGAGGCTAACCGAGGGATAGGCAAATGAGAATAAATAGGAGCTCCCGAGTGCCAGATGAGCGCGTTTGGAGGCGTAATGAACGGGAAGCGAAAAACGAGCGAGATGAGGCGTCTATCAAAATGTTAATTCTTTGCTCCACATGCCTCGAAATGCACGGCGGCTGACTTAATTGTTGCACAAACTGCGGAAGGTTCGTAATTACTCGAGCGGTCGCTTGGTGTTTCAATTCGCCTGTAACTTGATACCAGACATGAGCTCGTTCCACTGCGTCGCCTTCTTTTTGGATCCCTCTAGTTTTGTTGAATAATACTTTTTGAAGTTTGGAGCTAGCTTTTGCTTTCATTTGTCTTTCGATGAATCTAATTTGGAGCTTCGCGATTCTAGTTTCTGAACTCTCCCCTTTGTTTTTGGGGAGGCGCCTATTTAATTTAAAGTAAGCCTAGCCCATCTTCTGATACCCATTTCCGGTGATCACTTCTTGGATTCTTTCGGAAGAAATCTCTTCAGACTTTCGGAGACATTCAAATTAATAGGTAATAAGTTGAAGAACGCCGAGAATCTGCAACTGTTACACCTTAGCCACAGCGCTTCACGCTGTTTTGACTCCGTTTAGCAAAGGATCGTTTTTGTTGGAACTCCATTGAACTTGCAATTAAACGTTTTAACACTCTCAAGAAAGGCTCAATCTCAAAAAACAACTCTCAGAGAAATTGAAAGGCGCGAAACACATATGGCGGCTATTGCATGCAAGGTTTATTGCATTAAAAGCACATTTGGGGCAGACGTGCTGGACCTTTGGCTTTCCAAGAAGACGTAGTAGCCAGGAAAGGCTGATGACCGAAGGATAGATCTCGGAAGACCAGAAACATCTCTCTGCAGATATCATTCACTTGTTAGGACATTGAGTCAGCTACCATTGAATTGGTAATACGCTAAAGTGACACAGAGGCCTCAAACTCGTTTCCACTGCTATTCCCAGCCACTAGTCATTTTTCAGAATGGGTAGCCGTATGGAGGACAGAAAATGTCCTCTGAAAGCATATGGGCAGTAAAATGAAGTTGAAGATAAAGTTGCCATTTTGTAGATGGCTTGTAGATCGACATATAGACATATCGACAGATAGTCAATAGTCCGAAAAATGTTTTCCTTTTGAAAATAGTCTTACTGTGATTTATTTTATCAAGCTTTTTTTGATCTTTCAAGCTTCCAACAAGTGCAAAATAATTAGAAAGTAAAAGTTTTTTAAACTCATTTCTGTTGATCTTTTGCATCTTTAAACAAAAAAGTTTATCCCGTTTGATTCATGCACAAAATAGGCAAAGTTACATGACAAAGTATGGAAAGATTCAGAGACCAGTGCCTAACAAAACGCACAAGGCTATGGAAACGCCAAGAAGAAGAAGCAGAGCAGCGTAGACGACTCCTTGGCGAAAAACTCGAATCTGAAATTCGAGCTACAATTCAGAATTGTGGGACGGTCAAACTTTCTCTATGTTCCTTGGATTGACTTCAGCGAACTTGTCGTAGATGATGAACACGACGGAGACAGCCAAGACGACGACGATCGGCACCAGGGCCAGCGTCAACTGGACGCCGTGGTTTTTCTCCGTGAAGTGCATCGATGCGATCGCGATTGCGGTGGCTAAAGGCTCAGTTTTCGAAAACAGCAAAACAGTTTAGTGAGTTTTAAAACTTTATAAGAGTTGATTACTTGCTAAAGTGATGGCGACAAGACCGATCGCACGATGAATGTAATTGAACAGAGGTCTTCGCGGATTGTCTGGAGTGCACCTGAAATCGTTCCATTTTTGGATGTTAATTTTATCAAGATACCGTAATGTACTGATAAATGGTTGCAGCCAGGCCAGGATCAAAGCGGTCAAGCCAATAATCGCGTGTTTTCCTCCCCAGCTACTAGCTGGAGTTCACTTTTCGCCCGAATTTCCTCGTTTCTCACATACCAGGTTTCGCCCATTTCCAGTCCTTGTCGCAAAGTACCAACACGAAAGCAGCGATCATCATAGCAATAGCCAGCAAATTGGAGGTTCTGTGTACCTAGAAGGAGGACTTTACGGTAAGTAGCAACTCCAAACTAACATGGAACCATATAAGCAGACCCATAGGCTTTTTCGTGGGCCAACAGGAGCGAAGGACACGCGCAAACAGGACGGCGGTCGGAACGAAGAGGAACCACGCCAGAACCATCAGAATAGCTCAAAATCTTTACTTGAAGATTCTCAAAATTCAATTTTTTTCCAGACAAATAGATTTGGAACGAACTTATCAATTTGAAGTTCTTAGCTTTATCATTATTTTGCAAACTCAAAAATTATGAAACAGAGTAATTTTCTACACGTAGATCTTTGAAAAAAGAGAAGCAAGGGTAATAATGGAAAAATGAATATGAAGGAGTAACCACCGAAACTAAAATCCCATTGAATAAATCGATAAATTCTCCTACCATGAGCAATAATGAGTTTGCTGGCGGAAGCGGCTCCACTTCCGGCAGTGACGTCATCGAGTTTCCGAGAAGAAGAGACTTTGGTTGTCGTATGTTGAAGAAGACCTTATTGAAAGTCGATCCCTTCAATAAATTCATTTCTTTCGTTACCGACTCCGCTTGTCGGTCCTGTCGCGAGTAGCAGCTGATAAGTTGTGCCAGAGTCGTATTTGAATATCTCAAAGAACCTTTTCCCACACTCGATCTTTTTCATGAACCAACTTCTCCGTTGCCTCCGTACCCATTTATATTCACGGTTGCGCGACAGTATACTTGGCCATCGTGATAAGAAGATTGGAAATTTTGAATATTCTGTGCCCGAATAGTCTGAAAAGGACAAAACAATAAGAAAAGTTATTTCTTTTCAATACCGGTTCATCTGGAATCCGAACGTTTTTGGGAGAGTTGTCGTTGTAGGAAAACTTCATAGATAGTTCTTGGCCGGATAACGCTGAGCATTCGATGACGTCACTGTTTGGCTGAGATTAGTTCTGATGAGAAGAAAATGAGACTAGAAACCATTTTTCCGTTGTTCGAAAAGCCCAGGCCGATGTAAACATCTTGGGCTGTTGGAGAAACCAACATCATCTCCAGATCCATGGTCGTGGGAGACGTTAACCTGAACAAAGTCCTCGTTTAAAATCGTTCCAATTCGAAATTAATTTCCCTCAATCCTCGGATATTGAACGCCAAAAAAGCTTTCAAAAAAAGTTTCGCTGGATCGAGTTCAATTATGATCATTTTTTACTGTGAGAAATCAGATTTGAATCATTTTAATTTTTAAATTCTGATTCAAACCCTATTTTGAAGATGGTTCTGTTTTCGATAACTCTGATTAGAGTTTCATGGTTGCTTTTTACAAGGATTTTAAGCAAACCATCGTTTGCTCTGAAAAGTCTGAAAAACTGAAGAAAAAGTTCGTTTCCTAATATTTTTACTCGAAGTATTTGTTTCTTTGTGATGCGAAAGTAGAATGATTGATTAAAAAACAGACCAAAAAGTTTCTTCTTTTTGAATTTAGATTCTGTTTTTGTAAAAATAATCTTCATTGCGAAAATTTTTCAACTAGTCGAACAAGATTTCTTGAAACCTGAACTCTCCAACCTGTAAGCGACGCCGAATTTGGCAAGACCGTCCGGCAAGAAGCAGGCTTTCTTAGTGCCACAGTCCGTTCCATCAAAGCTTCCCTAAGATGGAATAAAATGAGCGGCCTGTTCGAAATGACTCACATTGTCTGCGGGAGGTGGGGGCGGCGTCGGATTGACGTCAGCCAGACGACGTCCTGAAGAGATCGCCTTCATATCGTGGTAATTCAGAGCTGCACCAAGTCATTGCTAGATTTCTTCACAAGATCAACTGACTGTTTTCAGCAGTTGGTCCTTCGGCAATGATGAGATAGTATATCTGATTGGCGTCATATTTGAATACCTGCAAAACATAATCATTCAAAAAATTGACCAAATGAAATTCGTTCACAAGATAAACTTGAAAATTATTTTGTTCTTTTGCTCTTAGAAGGCTTTTTTTTTAAATTGACTTGAATTGTTAGGACTAAACTCACTGTGGGGTCGGTTGGATGGCCGGCGACGTTGAAGACGGCAGAACAGTAGAGATTTCCGTCGACAATTTGCACCTTCTGATTGCTGATAAAGGAACTGACGTCGGAGGTCACTCGGAGATTGGTCTTGCTAGTGTCCGTCACCATGTTGTAGGAGAACTTCATGCTGTACAGCGATCCGTTCATCGAGGAGCATTCAATGACAGAAGCGTTTCCCTGGAACACAGTAATCCATTGTAAAAACGAGGGCTTTTTTTGCGTTCTCAACTTTTTTCTTGCAAAAGCAAAACGAAAAAGAAACTGTGCTCAAATTCTAACAAGGAAAGCGTTTGGGATGAAAATCATAGATCTGGTCCAAACTTTTGTGGTAGGGAGTATTAGATATGAACACTTAAAAATAAAAGAAACTATCTGCTAAGCGCCATAGGGTACTCAGAAATAGCCCGTCGTAAGTGTGCCGAAAAGGCTGAAAAACGGATTCGTTTTGGATTTTCGGTTCCTAAAACAGTTTCTGTAACTTACAATATCATAAGAAACATAAGAAAAAAACTATTTCTCCAAAAACCCAATGTTCATTTTGACATGGCTATTACACAGCCCCTGGGGCGCTCAGGGCCCAATTCCAAAATGCTTGTACCATTCTCCCGTTGGTGGAGAATCCTAGAGCAACATAACGATTCTGACGAGTTTGTCGAGCTGTAAGCTCAACGAGCATCTGGTTTTCGCCGACGAATCTCAAATAAAGGAATGAAGTTTTGAAAGAAGGGCTTCTGGCACTTGTAAGAAGCTATCATCGCATCACAGCCTTCGGGACAGTCGTCTGGAATGTAACACGCTTTCGACTTCTCACATTCCGATCTATCGAAAAATGGCTGAAAGGTATGAAATGATGATTTTCGACGAATCGCTTGCACCTGCGGCTGGTTGAGATATACAGGAGCTGTGCTGTCGACACATTTCTGTGCGTGGACCAGAAGTCCCGCGTCTTCAGTTTCTCACATTCACTCTTATCAATTTTTCTTCACTCACCGTTTGTTTTTCCAGACGCCAGTAGGAGATAGTAAGGTTGCAACGGATTGTATTTGAACACCTTCAATTGCAATTAGCGCTGAATATTCCTTGTCACTCACCCGCGGATCTGCGTTTCCGGATACTTTTACAGTTGCTGAACAGTAGAGGTTATTATCTTGGATGAAAGCGCGGTGATTGGTTATGTAACTCGCACGAAACGTCTATCAAAAGTATCTTTTTTCTGTATTTCAGCTAATTTCTCACCTGCTCATTGTCTATCCTCACGTTTGTGGGACCTTGGTTTCCCACGCGAGGATTATTGTAACTGAGTTTCATAGAAAGCGGCTGGTTACTCAGCATTGAGCACTCTAAAACGCTCTCGTTCCCCTAAAACGTGCAGATTACACATTTTCCCATTGTTTTCTTTTTTGATACCATCATGGCATCATTGGAAAAACCAACGGCTGCATAGACATTAGTTTGCGAATCGACCGGGCCAAATATTTCGAATTCAATTGTGGCGTCATCAACAACTCTGGAAAACAAGTCATGGACGATTTGCTCTCTTTTCAGTACTTGTAGGAAACACCCAAGCCGTTGCACGCGTCTGGCATCGCACAACCTTTTTCGTGACCGCAGTGCAGTTTGTTGAGCCCAATATTCAACTACAAAAACACAAGTCACGAGAAAGAATTTCTAGAACCAACGTCGTGAAGGTACGTGGCTGGAGACGTCGAATCGTGATCGTGATGGGTCAAACCTTGACAAAACTTCAAAAAAAATTTTCATCGAATCCCAACCTCCTGAGCTCGTCTTTCCATTGACAAGAAGTAGGAAGTATGACGTCGCGGGATCGTATTTGAAGACTTGGTCGTTTCCTTGCAGGCCGCTGACTTTCACGGTGGACTTGCAGTAGATGGTTCCATTCTCGTATTTAGCGACCGATTCGGTGAAGTAACTCCCCAGGTTGCTATTTTTGTACAAATTCTAAAAAGCATATTGATCTTTTTAGGTATAATAAGTAGTACAGAGTCAATCCGAGAGTTGGTGTTGTCCTCCGGATCGTCATAGCGTCCATTGTAGGAGAACTTCATACTCACTGGCTCATTTGCTATCGAAGAGCACTCTATTACACTTTCGCTGCCCTCAACTTCTTTTTGATCCGTTTTCTTCGAACCGTTCACACCATAAAGTAATCATCGGAGAATCCGACTGCCACATAAACTCCCGACGACGAACTCGACTCAAAAAAGAGTTCCAAACCGATGAAAGAATCATTGAGGATTCTGAGAGGCTTGAAGAGGTCTTCAGGAACGGCAATACCTGTAGGAGACACCCATTCCGCTGCAGCCGCCATAGCAAAGCGAGTCGTCGGGAATCCAGCATCCTTTGGTCTTTCCACACTCCGAGACGTCGAAAACTTGTCCTTCTACGGCCTGAATCCTTCAATTATAAGAGAAACACAACTTCTTTTTCTTATTATGTTGAAATTTCTTTTTATGCTCTTTTGCACAACGGAAATGGTGCGATAATCCCTCAAGGTCTTCGCAGTTTTTATCACAAAACAAACAGACGACACAACGAACTTGAGCCAGCTGAAAGAGGGACCAAAACGACGACGATGAAAGTCGTCATTGAATGACGGACGTGACCGATCCCAAGCTTCTCAGAGGCTGCAACAGTTGCTTCAAACAAAAAAGAACAGAACAATCAAATCAGTCGTTATAGTCGATAGTCGTTTCATTAAGAACTCTCTAAGTTTTCTCAGGGACTTTTCGGTTCTATGAACTCTTTACCACAGGCAGCATTTCTATTTGTTTCTCAGGGGGCAAGATTTTTTATTGAAGATTGAAGCTCCTCAAGAACTTTGATATTTGCCTGGAAAAAAAACCATAAAAGAAATTTTCTCTTTCCTTTTTTTTAAAATAAAAAAAATGATCAAAACTTTTTTTAACGCATGAAACTTCAAAAAGAATGGAACAATTGAGAAAAAGTGAAGAATTTAATTCAAGAGCATCTAAGTAAAAAGAGAAAGAATGGCGCGAAAGAACAAGTTTTGGGAGTCTGCTTTTCCCTCTTCACTTGTACGACTTCTCATTCTTTTTCTTTTTTTCCCTACTTCTGGAAAAATTATGAATCTAGTTTGTAGTGCTTTTTTTTATCTATTCTATGACGCATTCACGTTCAAGATGATAAAATTTCGCAGATTATGAGATAAGAATCAAGAGGAGAACACATCGAAAAATTCTCAAAAAAAACGCCTATGCTGAACAAAACATGATTATCATCTGTGGAGCGGAAGAAGATAACGAAAATCCAGGGGAAATGGAACTTTCAGCAGAGGAAACTCCTATCGGATGAAAGTTGATATTCAGGAAGTTAGGGCAATTGGAAAACAAATTAGTGAGAAAAATATTTTTATAAGAAATCGGCCGAAAAAAAGTTTATGTACAGACAGTGAGGAAAAACATTCTTCTGAAAAAAAAAACCAAGCCTGTGAATTCGAAAACGAGAACGAAATCTCGTCTCAGACAGCTTTATTTACGTTTCTTTGAAAAACAAAATTTCCCTGTTAAAAATTCCATTTTCGGGATTTCTTTTGTTCGACCTTGATTTCGTTTAAATTAACTGATGTCAGGAATAGATGATAAAATTGATTTTAAAAAAAGAATCAACGGTTAAGAGCGAGTTTTTCATAGAGTTCGTTTCAGACGGAGATTTTTCTGAGTTCATCGTTCTATTTGCACAAGAAGTGAACGGTAAAATTTGAAGTTTGCTTGACGCCAGAAAAGAAAACAGGAACTGTCTATTCCTCGGTAGGGGCTCCAAGTCTCACTATTTTTCCATTCCTTAAATCATAGTGCAATTAAAAAACTGAGAAAAATACTACAAAACGCGGAATAAAAAAGGAGAATTGAAGGACGGCAGATGAAAGATTAGGAAATTATCATAGCGATAAGAACTCGTAGACGAATCGTATGGATGACAATTCGTCTTTTCACGCTTGCTTCACATAAAACGAGGCCACAACAAAAAACTTTCACCTGCTTTTTTAGCAGAGGTACTCGTGGAAATTTTTTTTTCTGGGGTATCAATCAAGAAAAATCGGTTTCAAACTGTCACGTTTCCGTCATCAGCTTTATGAAACTTCATTTATTAGTTGGATCCGAAATCTAAACAAAATTTATTTTTTAGCTTGAAAATGCCAAAAAAGCGTGTATACTAAATTAATCTTGAAATGAAGAGCATTCTTCGAAAATTAGCGTGCGATTGAATCATTTTGAATGAAGAGCTTCTGGCTGCTCTTCTTGACTTTCTCCTTTGCCTCGGCGAACGGAACGACTCCGGGACTTTCACAATGCGAAACCAGCGTCGGCGCTGCTTGTTCAGCTCATTTCTGTTTCGCCGAGTTCGTTCACCACCCAGAAGTTTGTTTTTCCACTACCAAATTTATGAGACTCCTATGAATTTTCACTTGTGTTCTTCAAATAACCTTTAACAACTTGATCAAGGGGATTCTGGAAGTGTATGGATGCGAGGGAAATATCAGCGGCCTTCCTCCAGACCTCTGCTGGCGGTTCATTAACCGTACCGGATCCGATGCCACTTGTCTGAACTACGGTAAGTTGAGATTTCTAGACAATAAAAAAGAAGTTTCGTAGGCAAAAACAAACTTTGCTGCTGTAAATCTAACTCCGCCGAGCTTTGCAATCAGCAGTTCAAACCCTCCGAGAAATATATAACCGTTTCGGCTGAGCACGTTTTTGATAGCCGGCTTCGCATCTGAAAAAGAATCGAGTTTCAGTTGCAAAACCTGGGAATAACGTTTTTGATAATGGCGACGTTGGCGGCCCTCGTGGCGAAGATCGGCTCCCACTATGACTCGAAAAACCGTCGCGTAGGCATTTCCTACAATGAAGACGTCAACAGATACCACAACATTTTGTTCTTCGCTAAGGTCCGTGGGCTTCTTTCTTTTCATTCGATTCAGATCCCCAATGATCACATGAGGAAGGGGTCGACTCGAAGTTTCCTCTGATCTCGAAGCTACTTGCAGGCATCAAAAACATCATGCTAGATACCGATTGCAGATCTTGCTGATGTCGGTCATGCTGACCGTCTTTTGGGTTCCTTTCTCTCCTGACTGTTCGAAGCATCCGTTGGGAAAGTTTCACGAAGCACAGAAGTTCGTTTTCGAGGTATTCAAGAATTTTGATCGTATGTGATGAGCTTGAAAAGGTCGTGTCTCCGAATATTTTCGTCATTTTCTACTTCACTTTGCCTGTCGGTCTTATCTTTCTCGACTCTGTCGCCTTCGTAACATTTGTAAACAACTCTCAAACGAAAACTTAATAATCATGCCGTTTTAGAGAAAAAATCGACATTTTCACAAAACAAGCCGTTTCATCATCTATTCGGGGACATTTTTTGTCACGATTTCAATAACTATCAATGCATTTTATGAGTTCTACATATTAAATCGAAAAGATAAAAGCAAGGACTACTGCAATACCGACATTGCGATTCTGAAGGCAGCGGTAGGTTTAGTCCTTTCGAACCGGACTCATGTTCCTTGGGAGACAGTCTTGCCATTGCAGGCTTCTTTTTGTTTGTTCATCTTCTATCTTTGTCTGATCATACTCCATACATACGTGTTGTTGCGTTATCCGACAGTGGAAATCGAAGAAATTATACCAAACTCGGAGATCACAGAGCCCAACATGACGTATTTGACGAAGCCATGTTGTGAAAATACAGAGAATGTTAAGATCCACCGCCACTTCCATATCAAGCAGTTATGTAGAGTACAAAGAGGAAGAAGTTCTGTTTGCACCCAGGGCAAGTCAATTTCCTCCTGAACTTTAATTTTACCAGTCTTCTTGTAAAAGCCTTCAATTTAAGCCCTTCCACATTGACGAAAATGGCTTGGGAGTTGTTACCATCACCAACACACACAGGAAGGACTGGGTGGCGTTAAGGTGAGCATTTTCTTGGCGCGGAAAAGACGCGAAAGTTCTGGATGTTTTAAGTATCAGATACAGCCAAAAAGAGACAGAACTACGAGGGCAAATCATTTTGAAAGGGCGGAAAAATATCTCCCCACTTTTCTCTAAATCAAAGTCACTACTACTGAGGCCAAAATTTTTTAAACTACATCTCTGAAGTTAAAATTCCTCCCTTAACATTCAAAATTTCCGCAAGTGTATAGCTGATTCACGGCTGGCTTGAGTCATCGAAAAAAGGACCTGACACGATAATGCACGAGAGAGTGCCTGGTTCGTGGAGAGCGCAGACAGGCCTTAGCTTCTCAAGCTAGCCGTGAATCAGCTATAGCCTCCCTCCTAGATTAGTTGAGTTCTTTCTTGCCTGTGCTCTTTATTCAATCAAGTCGATAAAGCCTTGGAACTTGAGAGCTCTGCTATCGAGTCCCCCAGGCGTTTATCAACTTCATCCGAGCAAGTTTCTGATCCCGCCTCAACGGACCGTGTCTGTGAGCTTTCTTGCGTTAGCTCTCGCATTTTCTTTCGGTTTTCAGATGGAAGTGAGGTATCAACCACTTGAGCCTCTCAAGGACAGGCCACAGAGCAATCTCGTCTTCCAATGGTTTTTGTTCTCGTTCTCAGCTCAATCCTTCAAACAACTAACAGGTACATCCTCGGATCCAACGCTCCAACAATGAACCTCAATAGGATGTGGAGCAAGCCTTATGTTAGGAGCCCGTACGTTTTCTTTTCTATTTGGAAAGTTATCCAATTGTCTTGATTTCCGCACTCTCAGATTGTCGAAATTCAAGGAGACTGATTTCAGAGCGCTTTGGAAGTTCTTTGCGCTGCCGATATTTCACGAAGAACCCTGCTCCGAGAAAAGCAACAGCGACGATGGGAACATCACATATTCTTGAATGCGATACATTTATTCAATGGCAGGATGTAGAAAATATTTGACAACTTTTGAGTACAATGGTAGTTTGTGGCAAGGCAAGTTTTACATGAATCTGAGCAAGTACTTTAAGGCACGATTATTTTTACACTTTTTTTTTCACAATGCGAAAAATATCAGAAAGGTTCGACAGAAATCTTTGGGGCGATTATTTGAAAATTCTCTGGTTTTGTTAGTCTCACAACCATAATTTCAAAAAAATGTACATGAAAATAATCTACATTATGCAAACTGAGTTACAGGAGAATGAAAAACAATTCACAACTTATTAAGAACTTACAAAAAATTGGAATTGGATTTGCTGAGTAATCGGTTTATATGATAGGACATTCGAAGATTATATAGGCGAACTTTCAAAATAGTTTCGTTAGCTTTCTAAAAGTTCGAATCTAAAATATCTAACTTCCGAATTTTTGGAAAAATTTTTGTCAAACATCCAGTTCAAAAGCCCATTTCGAGCATTTTGAAAGAGGACTTTTACACTAATACTTGAAACTGAGAATGTCTTGCATTCGAGGATCGCAGGGAATGATGTCGAAAAATGTAATCATGACGTAGGATGATGTCAACGCGTGGATCTGATCCTGAAAAAGGTCAGCCTTATAAAAGAAATTCTCATCATAATACGGTTTATTAAATTATCGACTTTTGTAGAACTGGTTTCCTAGAATATTGAGAAATTTTTTTTGGAAATTTATCAAGTTTATTCATCTAAAAGATTATCTCCATCATAAGAGGTTCCTACCGAACGATGGCTAATTTTTTTACAAATCGAATAAAAAATCCTTCACAGTTTTCATGAATCCCTTGCTTCACTTAACGCAACTAATTGAAAAGCTTGAAAAATACGACTTTCAAAAATTTCACTCGCGTACCGCTTTTGAAGACGACCTCAACTAAAAGAATGAAATACACACATTTCCTTGGTTTTTTTTTTCAAACGCCAGTCGTTCTTTTATGCGAACATCCTAATTTCAACGAAAAGTAGTAAAAATTTTTGAGAATGTTATAGCCCGTTCACGGCTGGATTACGACAGCAAAGGGGCGGTTTAACTTGCGCGGCGATGGTAGATCATGACGGCTCTACATGCGCATTTAATAATAACCTCATTTGGTGAATTAATTTATTTCAATTGAATTAAGTTTTTGTTTACATTAATTTAATTGGCTTTCAGGTTCTCCTTAAATCGAAGAATTATATACGAAAAAAATAAGTCATAAAATGGGGCTTTTATGGAAGGCGCATGGGTAGTTGCGATGATCTATCTTTACCGCGCATTTCAAACCGCTTGTTCGCTGTGTTAAGCCAGCCGTGGATGGGCTACAACTCAAAATAAAGTTCTGCTAAGAGCAAAAAGTTTGATATGAATTTTCTGAAGAAACGAGTATAAAATAAAATTAAAACCAGTTGGAGCAACAAATTAATTTTCGCTCAGTATTTTTTTTCTTCTCACGTTATTGTATATATCGTTTTCAAAACTACGTAAATAATCAATTTTTCTGAAATATAGGTTGAAAAAAGAAGGGCGTTTTTTGAGCAAATACTTGGTTGCCAGAAATTATAAAAGACGAAATTTTTCCCTCAAGATTTCGGAGAGTTGGAAGAGAAAACTTACGACGATGTATCCCATGCAGAGAATGAGCTCTCCGAGTCTCTCTGCGGGATCGACGTCTCCTCTTTCGGCCGAGACTCTGTGCAGAGCGTTGATAATGGTGTCTCTTTGTCTCGCACAAACTTCACGTCCCTCTTCCGTCAGCTTGTAGTGACCTGTAGAATATGATTCAAATGCTTTTCCTGATCTCACTATCTATAAATTGACATATACATCTCTACTGTTGAGAAGAAAGAGAATACCGAACAATAGTTTCGAATTTCGATTGATTTCCAAGAAATTGAGAAGACATACTGATGTGCCAAATGGTGAGTGCTTTGAGAAGGACGAATTCTTCGAAGGTCGGATTGAGAGTGGCAAACGGAACGGCCATCTCCAGCCATTGTCGAATTTTTACTGTCATTATCGTTCTGCACAAAATTATTTTTTTTGATTTTCGTAAACAAAAACGCACTTGTATTTGGTGAATTCCTCCATAGAACTGAAGCCTGCGGAAGCGTTTGGTTCGTCGCCGGACATCGGGAGGGGATCCATTGGGATGTACTCCCCGTTGAACAAAACCAATAAACTTTCTTCGATTCCAAGCCGAAAAATAGGTTTAAATGGAGGAAAATGAGAAAGAAAGTATACCGATAGGTGTAGTAAGCCGAGCTTATCATCGTATCAACAGCACAAGTCATCCGATAGAGCACATTCTGAGCTCGATTTTCCCAGTCGCAGTGAAGGAAAACTAGGAAACCTTTTCTGTTCTGTTCAGCACGTTGAAATCCGGAAAGCTTGTGACGTAGTCCAAGATCATGGCGAAGTCTGGCTTTCTCATTCCGCTGAAGGTTTGCCAATTGAACATCCGCAGATGACGTCGTTCAAAAGGCTGAAAGAACGAGTTAACAGGAGGCGTGAGAATGTGAACTGACACATTCACAGACGACGTCGAAAATCTCGCGGATTGGTGAATCCGTGTACATGATCTTGCGACGATCGTGCAGAGAGGCCTCCATCCGAATGTAGTGGTCTACCAAAGAAAATATTCTGTCGTCCTCCAATTCCAGGGCTGCAAAAATCGGAAGGTAATTATATTTTCGATTTATTCTTTATATCGAATCATTTTTGTGAAAAAAAAAAACAGAACAAACAGGGTCCTCTTCGGAGAAAAACGTCGTCAAAGCTGTTGACTGGACTGCTGCAGCTCGCGTCAGTTTCGTAGATACTCAAGGACTGATCTTCAGACACCGGAATCGATCCCTGAATCAAAATCCGGTTTCAAAATAAGCACGTAGATATACTAATACGGACATTCCCCGAAAACTTACGAATTTAAAATTAATGTTGAAAGACCTCGTATCATAACATTGAAATATTCAAAATATTATGGACACAAAATGTTCAAGTTTTAATCAAACCGGCATGCGAAATCGGGAGCACGTTCGGTTATCCTTGTAAATTTTGCTTTGGCGGTATTTTCAATCCTTTCCAAGCTATTTATAGAGGATTTTTGAATTCAGTAGTTTTTTATTTTCTGAGACCATAGCTGCTCAAAGACCAAGTTGAACTAAAGTTTTCATTAGAAGAATCGTTGCATCTTAGGATCAACAAGGAAAAAAGAAACGAACATAGACATCGTCGACTTGCTGCATTCTCATCGATTTGCACTCGTCGCTCATCAAAATCGCGGGCATCTCGTACTCGACAAGGTGCTTGTCGTTCACTTCGACGAAAACTATTTCTTCGGCGTCGCTGCGAGGCGTCGGCGGCGTCAGCGGTCGCAGTGTGTGTCGCAGATTTTGCTCGGCGAACACTGCCGACGGTGGCGACGGATGCTCGATAAGCTGCGACTTCTTGACGACGACGCCTCGTGTCCCCCTCCGAGCCTTCGCCATCACTGGCACGTCTTCTCTCCTCGCTTGAACCACTTCAAAAGCCACCAATTGTTTCAGAACTATTCAAATTCCAGACCTGTTTCAAATCTATACATTTGGTTGGGGGACAAAGATACGAGTCCTCCAAGAATCTCATTCCCTTTTAGAATGCTACAAGCCATTCAAACGAAGTCTCTTGGATCTCGAGAAAAAAAAAATCAGCTATCATTTTTTTTCGATTAAAGAATTTTGAAGTAAAACTTGACCGTTTTTTTCCGTTTTCATAAATGTTTGTTGACTCCATTCTTCATTCAAAATCACAACAAACCAATGAAAGTGGGGAATTACTATTTTGAAATGTTCAGCTAAATTTCAAAACGCTCAATAAATTTAGATACTCAAAACTTGATCAACTCACATTCTTTTTTCATGCCAGCATGCAAACACTTCACATATCTACATTGTCGGCAAACCATTCGAAGTTCTGAAACCGATTAATCTTCACTAACAGCTCAAAAAAATTTGTTTTCAATGTTTTTTAATTACCACGAAGAAGACAAAGAAAAAAATCTCTTTCATAGAGTTTTGAACTTATCTTGAGAGCTGAGGTTTTGATAAAGTTATTTTATTTTCGCGATGAAAAGAAAGAAAGGTACCGTGATGGATTCGACAAGACGCATGCGGATTGGTACCGATGCACTGGTACTCCATGCTCATCGACACAGTCCTGCGGAAGAAAGCAGCACAAGCCTTAAATGTAAGGTAATCTTCAGCGAAATAGATCGCATATTCAGCTTTGCATTTCTTACTCCTAATAAAAAAAGACTATAACAAAAACTCAAAACGTTTTTGAACAACAGAAAATGCAAATATTCTTCTTTCTTTTTAATTTTTTTGAAGTTAAGTTTTTAAGTCACAACTTTTTTTAGAAGTCGAAATCAAAAAATAACATCGTAAGATAATCGGGAAAACAATGGTCCATGCACCTAGTCGCGTGTGGAACTGAAAACATCGACACGAGGGCACCACTAAAGTAGACTACGGGTTTTGAAAGCAGATAGCACATGCCGCCAAGACTTTTAATTTTGCTCGAAATTTAACGAAAAGAAAAAGAACCTTGCAAGAGCGACCTCCAAAATGAAGAGTGCTGGCGTTAGGCGAATCACAAACGGCACATCGCGGCGCCATTCCGCCGCTTTTGTCTTCAGAACACAAGTTCCAGGATTCGTTGCTCAAAAAGTAAACGTTGGCCGGCGGTGACGGCGAAAAGCCGCTGAAACTGCCCTCCTCGTGCGACAATGCCATTGACAGTTTCAGAAGCAAAATGAAGTGGCGCGAGCAAAACAGCTAGCCAAAACAAAATAAGAGGAGCAAGGAAATAACAGCCGGCCAAAAGGGTGCTGAGAGATAAGTGAGGCATTTTTGAGAGTACCAGGACGCCACCAAATAGATAAGGTGGCAAAACTCCGCGCGGCAATGGAAAAGATAAGCAAAGATCCCATGGTTACCAGAAAGATAAAGTAACTGAAGAATATGGATCGTTTTTTTTTCTTTTTTCATTCCTTGAATGGGGAAAACTTATCTAATCTCAAACTCAATCAAGCACGTTGAAAAGAAAACGAATAAAATATACGAAAGAATAAAAAACGAACCGGTTGCAAATTTCCTCCGTATGTGGTTGGTTGTGGTCGCGAGATAAGAAGGAACACCACGTGCGGGGATTGCAAGGAAGGTACAATTTTATCGCAGTAAAAGTTCCCAGACCAACTCATCTTTTTATCAAATTTACATGGTGATTTCAGATTATAATGTCGCAAAGCATGTATACCTCTACAGGATAGAAAAAAATACAAGGAATAATTTTTTTGAGATTGCGCTTTTTTGTTATGTCTCTCGAAAATATTCGATGACCCTGTTCAAATTTGAAAGACCCGCTAACGTCAGAAAAAAGCGGAAAAGATTTTCCTATCAAAAAAAAAAAGAAAATAGAACTCAGATAATCGAATCATTGAACAGCCGTCAACTGCGTTAATAGGGAAAAACGAGAAATGTTGGACGCCATCAAGGTTGATGGAAGTCGACAGGAAAAATTGATATATTGGTACGGATAGAAAACAAAACAAAGAAGAAAAAAGCAAGAATTTTAAATCACATTTTTTACACGTTTCAATTTTTACAAAAAATAGTCATTGGAAAAGAAAAAGTTTTTGCAGTCAAATGGACACAGTTTTTATGACTATCGACCCGGCAAATTGATAATTGTCGCGGCGCCCCGAGCGATGAAATTGTGGTAAAGGAACTAAATTGAAGAAGAATAGGAATATTTGGAGTCTCTAGTACCTGAGCTATTTCCAGTAGGTTACTGTTTTGAGCCTGTCGCAGCTAAGAAGTCCACGACCCATCGGGTTCCAAGACAAGGAGAGTATGGGAGATCTGGAAAATTTCGAGTAGAAAACTATTGAATGATTTCTTTGAGGAAAGATGTCGCATATATGAGAAAAAAATAGAACTTGTCACTGATTCGCCACTAGCTTTGTATTAAAGTCCTAATGAAAATCTACATGCTCATTGTCTCTCGTATACGGACTGTAAATTTTTGCGCACAATTTTAGTTCCACTTTAAAACAGATATACTTGTCAAAGTTCTGTACGAAAAAACTTATCGCAAAATCGCTCTTCTTTCAATTTCCTCAATAATACGTTTAGTGCATCAATTTTTTAAACGTAGAAAGCATCTAGAACTTCAGAGTGCCTGAGAAAATATTCGAAAGTTTCCCAACTTCTGAAAAATCATTATTTTTTTCACGTCATCTCTAATGAAGTTCTCGACTTCTTTACTTGCGCGTGGTTACACTTTTTTTCCCTGGTCCACCTTAAACAAAAAAATAAATAGATAAAATAATTTTTTTCTCTGAAACCAAGTTTTTTTGTTGCGCAAAAGTCCTAAGCTCTCTCATATTTTTAAACCTTCTTTAAAAGTGTTCAAATAATGAATCAAAAAATAAAAAAAAATATCTAAAAAACGAACTCATGTCCGCCACGAAGAACTTTCTCCAGTCTCGTAGTTTTGGTATTCCAGACGAAGACACAGCCTTGAGAAGAGCCAGCAGCGACGAACTCTCCCCCCGGGGAGAACACGCATCTCGAGACGTCGGAAGTGGTCTTGTACTGCTCGGCGCTGTACATGTGCAAGGTGCCGTAGTTGCGAACGTCGATCAGTGAAAGAGTTTCGTCGCGCGTGGAGCACAGAAGCTGTTGGCCGTCAAGAGAAATGTCGAGCGACGTGACGCGCTGCTCCATCTCGACTGTCCGCAACGGCTCCATCTGCCGAGAGTCCCAGAACCTAACTTTCTTGTCATAGTGGCCAGAGATGAATGAAGAAGTCGTGGTTCCGCGACAGCTCACGATGTCGAGCACTGTAGACCCGGGGAAGTAGGTCTTGAGGCAGCGCTGACCCGCCAGATCCCAGTTCTTGATCGTCCTGTCGAACGAGCCAGAAATGACTTCGTGTGTCTTATAGAAACGTGCCGTCGACACCTTCTCGATGTGTCCAGACAAAGTGCACATCAGCCGTTGAGTGTCGACGTTCCAAACTCGACAGGTTTTGTCGTTGCTTGAGCACAAGAGCAGCCGTTTCTCGCCGTCGAAATGAAGCCTAGTAACTGCCGAGTTGCAGCCAGTCATCGTGTGCATCTTAGAGCTCTCGCTGTGAGGACCCGCACGCCAAATACGGATCTTTTGGTCGCTGCCGGCAGTGGCGAACACGTTGTCGCCAAGCCATTCCACGTCGTTGACCTCGCCGTCGTTGCACACAAACGAAAAAACGCGTGAAGAAGGGACAAAGTCGCCAAGAAGATCATCCCCTGACGTATCTGGCGATATCCGGAAGGCGTTTTCATCGCGAACAGCGTCTTGAGAAGCGAGTGCGATTTCCTCTCTAACTCTCAGCTGCCGTCGTTCTTCTTGCAGAGCGACCTCTTCATTCATATATTCGACACGTCGTGCACTCAGTTCGCGGACCTTGTTCATCAATCGAAACTGCTCAGCTTCCAGCTCTTTCTTCTTTTCGGTCAGAGTGTTGCAGGTGGCAAGAAGAGCAATGCGTTCGTCATTTATAGTTGTATTGTCCAGTTGTAGTTTATTGATTTCGTTTTCTAAACCTTCCAGTTTCACACGCGTTCGCTGGAGGTCCTTGAGCAATATATCCCGCTCTGTTTGGAGCGAAGAGAGCCGCGTTTCAGACTCTGTTAGTCTTCGGTTGGCTTCGATCAAATCTTGATCGTTCTTGCTTTTGAGCTTGTAAACGGACGCCAATTCTTCTTTCATCTGCTGGATCTCAAGGGAGGCATCGCTCTTAGAGTCAAAACTCCCGTTATTTTGGGATCGGACACGCCTGCTCCGGTTTAACTGTTCGGCGAGAAATGAATAGTTCTTGAACATGTTCTGTACTTGTCGCAGTTTTCGATCCCGACTCTCCAATAAACTGATTATTTGGGATCGGTAAGACGACCCATGTTCATCGTCGCACTTCGCAGACATCACCTTAACAGAAATCTATCAAAAAAAATATTTAATACGAAGTTTTTACATGACAGAAAAAAATATAATGAAATTGTTATTTGACCATAAAAGAGACTCAGATATTATTAATGAACAATATAGTTCCATGAGAAAAGCTTCCTCATCATTCAACAGGAAGAAGACTTATTTTTCAAATAATAGCCACGTTCAATTTTTCAACAGAAATAGTAATAATATGAGATACGGCGCACATGAACAGCCATATAAATCGAAGGTCAAACAGTGGGCAAATCAATCGGATCGCGATACTATCAACAATGTGAGTTAAGAATATAGCACCGGAATTATCTAATTCAAGAAATAAATGAATTATAGACAGCTTTCACTCGAAAAAGACTGAACATTTTAACATTTTAATTGTGACGAAATCAAAAACCAAAACGAAAAACGAAAAAAATTCTTGAGGGTTTTACTTTGACGGAGAAAAAATTTATAATGAAAAAAGTTCAAATATTTTTCGACAAACAAATCCTTCGTCACATACTTACGGATGGAGCAAAATCATAACCGAAAAAAAATTGATAATAGAAAGACAAAACTCGAAATAAAACTGGAAGAAAAAAATTTGAAATTATAACGTGAATAAGCGCGTAGAATATAATACTCTCAGTGCATGCACCAGTCGCGTACTTTTTCCCCTACAGTTACCAAGCGCAACGGCAGTGAATTATAACAAAACAGAGTAGCTAAGTAGAGATATAGCAAGACGTTTCCAGAACAAACGAAAAGGAACAAGGTTAACCTCAAATAGAAAAAAAAAATTAAAATTTCAAGTAAAAAAATATTCCATTGTTTTTGAGTGTATGTTTTAAAACAAAGCATTGCAAAGGTGAATCAGGAGGTCGATGTAAGTAGGTATCGGGTAGTGACCGCTCGTGAGGTAGCTTGTTAGCTACTAGTAAAGTATACTTTCATGGTACCGTACTGTTCCAACATGGCAAAGCAGTTTATTCGCTGGCCCTACCAACTACCAACGACCCCACATGTGGGCTCGTTGGTAGTGCCAGCGAATAAACTGCTTTATGTCACGCCGGGACTTATTGGACAACGATTATGGGCCGTAACCCGCGCCGACGACTAACTCATCGATTATACCATGATTCAGCAGAGATTTTCTACATCTTACTCTGAAGACTGAATAAATTGAAATTGAATTGAAATGGTACCGGAAAGCATACACTTGTAAGGATTCATACCCAGTAGCATAGCGATACCTCTACAGGAGTATCCAAGTACCAAAGAGGTAGTACTTGGTTGCATACAAACGACCACCGATTACCATACGCCGATTGACTTTAACTTGCTACCTGGTACCTTCTTGTATCGACCTCAGATTGACCAGTGAAAGAAAAAGAGAAAATTAAATAAATAGAGTATTCATATATAAAGTCCACAACGACTCTCGTCAGTTGGTGGAAGATTATTGATCACTGGTTGATAATGATAGTTTGCGGACGCCTCGTCGGGTGAGAAGAGCGAGACTGTCGGTCAGAGTACGAACTACAACTTTTGTATTCAATTTGGATGACGAACACCTTCAACGCATGAAAAGAAGACAACGTCTCCAAAATGAAAAAAATAGTTTGGAAGCTTTAGGTTTATACATATATACCTTGGGTTTAAAACTTGAAGTTTTTTTCTTTTTATAAAAAAATAATAAAACTTTACTGGAGATTCGGATTTTTTTCATAATTGCAACTTGAAAGTTGAATGATAAGAGTCAATGGGCCTTTGGACAAGTTTTGACAATAAATTGGACACATGGAGAAATAACTGGCTCGCTAACTAGCTGAATTTAGACTGTGTACGCTAATTTTTTTGATTGAACTTTCGGCCAAAGTTTTCAAGATATTTCCGTCTTCTAGTCCTGATTTCTCGAGAACAGGAAGTTATGCAGGTTAAGACTTTCAGAATCTTCTTTTGGTACATAAAGAAAAATTCTTGCCAACTTTCTGGAAATTCCCAACCGCAAAGTAAGTTTGCCTTTCTTCTGAGAAGAAATAGATTGCTAACTTAGTTTTTTTCTTTCAGATTCCCTCGATTTCCCTGCAATAATAAGAAAAATAGCAAAAATTTTCATAAGAGTGTTGGGAGTGAAATATTTGCATTCGCCTTCATTTTGGGGACCGTAATCCAGCGTGTGCCACAATTCATTAGTAGTTTGAGTTGGGACGGCAGAGTAAATCCGGGCTCATCCGCCTCTCGAAGACGTTTAATAAAATTCCACTCAAGGCGGGCAACGCCTGCCATATGTTGCTTTACCATATTCCTAGCTTCTGCTATATCTTAAAACTCCTTCTTATCATCAATTTCTTACGAAAACCCAATTTTTTTCAAATTTGAAGTTTTGTCGCAATCTCGAAACGATGGAAATTCAAAAAATAAAATAAAAAATTAATGAGTTGAGGGAAATTATTCTCAAGCCTGTTGCAGATTAACTCACCTTTCGAAGTGAGAAAACCGATGTTCGGCAGGAGAAGAGCCTGTGACGAGGACTTCGAACGAGAACGAAGGCGCGACGTCGACGAAGAAGATCTGCAGGGCGAAGACGAATCTGAAGGATCTCGACTTTCTTTCGTTGGTTCCCTCAAACTATTACTCTCTATTTTATAACAAGCAAAAACATTCTTTCAACCAAACCCAATAACGGTTAGGTATTTTCGCGATTTAGGAATATTTAGAATTTATGAAAGCTTCAAAAAACTTCAATGCTCTGCATGAAAATCCCGAAATGATCAATCATCCCAAACTTTTGTTTTACGATGCCTCGAAGGACGCTTTAAATTTTGCAAGAAAACAAATATTGAAGGCGATCGTTCTCGGAAAGTAGATCGTTGTTCAGCTTTTCGAAATTTGAAAGACTTTACTTAGACTAAGCAGTACAAAAAGTGTTCCAGTCGGTCCACTGGTGAATCGGGAGGTCGACACAAGTAGGTACCGAATAGCAACTCAAGTCAATCGGCGTATCGTAATCGGTGGTCATTTGTATGCGACCGGGTACTATCTCTATGGCACCTGGATAGTACCTGGTCGGTATCTGGATGTTACCGGGTAGTACCCGAAAATCGCGATTGCTACTGGCTGACGCATTGGTCGTTTATATAGCATCAGTGTTTTTTTCACACCTTCCCAAGTCTTTCAGGGTCTTATTGGATAAAGCTGAAACAAAAAATAACGAGCGATTGCAGACTTTCCGGTAGCAATCGCGAATGTCAGGTAGCTCTACCCGGTAGCTACTTGCATCGACTTCCTTCTATTTTTATTGCCATGTTGTAAATGAGATTAAATTATTAGCTAAATAAATTTGAGTTCAAGACGATGAAATTTAAAAAGAGCTCAAAAAGAGATGCGTCTTCATGGAGAAGCAACAATTTTCAGGGCGAAGGACCAGTTCGAACATTTGCGCCTTCCCACATGCACATTTCGTGTCACTATGACATACCTTATCATCCCCATCTTATCCAGCCTCCGGTTGAGAGTTTTTTCCGTTTCTCACTCAAAATAAGATAAAATCACGCCTCTTTCTATTTTGCTTTTGTAGCAAGTGTGCGGAGTGGGCACCTTCACCTACACGCGAGAATTCGGCGCTCCTCCTGGCTTTTTCGCTCCAGCGCCGCCATCAATACAAGTGCCTGCGGATGAAGTATCACTCATCGTTTTGATTGGAAAAGAAAGTCGATTTCAGGCCTACTGCTCTCATATAAAATCTGATGAACTCGAAGGAAGAAGTGAAAAATTGATAAAAACTTGTGATTGTGAACATTGTGAAGTTCAGACAAGTCTGAGGGTCGCTCAATGCTTTTCGTTGGCGGTTGCGCTTCGCCTCAAATGGAAGTCGTGGGCGAAGTGAGTCCTTTTTTTAATCTGTTCACGGAGTCTTTGAGTTTCAGATTTACTGTACGGTTCCGGGAAGAACGAGTCTCCTTAGTAGCACCACAAAATACAGAGTTACTGTGGGGGAGATTCAAAGGAGAATCAGTCCTCCAGAGTGTCTCAACGCTTCTCTTTTAGGAGGAATTCTAAGAAAGTCAGTATTTACGTCTTTTTCCTATCAATCTAAGAAAAGTGCTGTAGAGCAAAGTCCAAAGACGGCGGCAAGACTTTGAGAGATTCGCTGAAGAAAATAGGTTTGACATTGCCTGCAGGAAGAAGAAAACAAGCGAATGTAACGGCTTGGACAGCTCTAGTTGAAGGTGCCAAAAATCGTAATCCTTCTAGCTGTCTTGTTCAGAAGAAGCAGTGCACATGGCGAAGGACTTTGCTTTAGTGTGCGAGAAAGAATTTCATGCGAGGGAAATAGGCATATATCTCACTAAACATGGCATCATCGTCGACCAAGACGCCGTGAAGCGAAGAGCAGCTCTCGAGCACAGCAAGTGAGTTTTTCTTCGTCTCAATCGACTGTTTCCGTTCGAAGGAAGATCATCGGAGAGCTGGCAGAACTTCTCTCGTGTGACAGAACACCTCTCACCCCCTATATTGCGCGTCAAAACTCGCCACTGGAGCCTTCCATACAACAGCACCTTTCCCACTTCACACTGGTTACCATTGTCTTTATATTTGAAAGAGAGAATAATCAGATGACGCACGGCTTCGGAGGAGTTGCGATGAGCGGAGTGCTCGAATCGATCAAGAGTCTGATCGACGAGAGCATCAAATACATCGACCGCACCTGTCCCCAGCACATGTACATCTACAACTCTCGTTGATTATTTTTTCAACCATAAAAGTTTATCTTTTTGGCACATGCAAACACACTAGCTCTTTCAAACCGAGAAATGGAGTATATTAAAAAATTATTTTTTTTTTAAAGATGAAGAACTTTTTGAAGCGATTCGTCTCTAAAAAAGACTTTTTGAAGAGCTTCTTAACCTCTCCAAATTATATCGTCTAAACTTATTTCACGAACTCCCAAACTACCGTCAAAGAGTGGAAAAGAGAACGAAATTTTTAAGTGTCAGAGATAATTTCGAGTTTAGTAAAACTAATTTTGCTTATGTTCAAGAAAGTGCTCACTGGCGAATCCTGGCATCGATGCGGTTATAGAGCGCAACCCAGTTGAACTGCGTTAAGTAGCAGTTAGTCGCTGTATGTCTCCAACTGACAAATTCATAAAAAAATATTTTTGCTGGGGGTCTGGACATATAATTATTATACACCCTGCACGGCGTTCTTGGCAGTGAAGAAAATGCAGAAAAAAATACCAAGGGTGGGTGCCGTAAATTGTACGGCAGCAGTAGTTTTTTCTGTGACCCGTTTTCGTATGAACAGACTCACTAACCATAGATTTACTGAAGGATACAAAAAAAATGCGCTTTCAATTAAATCTCATTTTGTTAGAAACACTAAGAATAACTGACGAGATAAACGCGAGGTCGGTGGCGGTACATTGACGAACTCGCAAAAAATGTCGCCTTTTTCTAGGCGCGATCTCGCATTTATCTCGGCGCGAACTCGCATTTTTCTCGGCGCGATCTCGCATTTTTCTCGGCGCGATCTCGCATTTTTCTCGGCGCGATCTCGCATTTATCTTGTATTTCGGAAATTTTCAAAATGCGAGAGAAATGCGAGCTCGCGCCTAGAAAAGTGCGAGCTGGCGCCCAGAAAAATGCGAGACCGGCGCGAGAAAAAAAGCGAGATGTTTGCGAGCTCGTCAATGTACCGCCAGTGTCTCGCGTTTATCTCGGCAGTTATTCTTAGTGAAAGAGAGGGCGACGCTATATTGCACCGTTGCGCACAGCTGAATGGTGCGTACAGTAATCTCGAAGCGCATAATGAGCGATTTTCGCATTTTCTATTAATCCGATTCGTTTTGCCTGACGAAAGTATGGCGCGCCATGGCCCACCCACCCACCCCCATACTTCCTCCCGAGAAGGAATAACGGTTCTCTTTTCAAAAAGCTCACTGTCTATTATTAAACGTCCACTTACTGACCTCTGAGTGACTTTTGGGATGAATTATTGGATTTGGATTTGGGTGACACTAGCTTGTTCAGATGGAAATTCCGTGTCTTACCGACTTTCCAAAAAAAAAAATTCCCTGCACTTTGAAAATAGTCCATGATCCCACAACTTAACTTCAAGATCTAAGTAGTTGGCTCATCCCAGACGCATTATAAGTTTCCTGCATCTCTCAGGCTAGATGTGGCCTTTGCCTTAATGTCTTACGGCTTCTTCACACCGTTAAGACTTTCTGAAAGATTGTCGAACGACCGCCACAGATTTCAGTGTCCCGCCTTTTATCAAGTAGACTGCCTCATTCTGGCTGGCTTACTCCTTAAAACATTCAAGCATGGCTTAAAAAAATGAAAAGCGCTTCCTGAACTCTTTGGATGTACTGCTGTTCCCACACTCCGTTCTCTGTTAGCGAACCTCGTGGATCTAGGCTCTCAATCCGCGCAGAATACTACGACTCTCACTCCCCTTTTACGGCTCCCTCGGTAAAAATTGTAGATTACCGCGCTAACGCAGCAGCTCATGCGCAATAGGAATCGAAGGGAGCCGAAAACGCCGTCACGCTGGCCGACTACATGCCTCTCAACGACTACACTCTGAAGCAAGACAATCGTCTCCACGTTGTCGCCTACACCAGAAGGATGATCGGCCGCTCAGTTATATAGTCTGTTCAGATTTTGAATGTCAAGTCGCCGCTGAAGCTCCGCCCATAATGGTGCAATAAACCAATCAGAGAGCGAGCCATCCACAGAGTGTTTTTGAATGACGGCATTGCACTTGACATTCAAAATCTGAACAGACTATAGTCTGTTCAGAGACTAGGCACCAACTCGGCATTCTTCTTCAAAAGTATCACCGCCCCTCGGTTCTTGTCGTTTCCTTACTCGATTGTTGGTTTGAGTCTCAAGGCAATAAACGCGTCGACTTCTCTTGCATAACAAAATTGGTTTATAATGAAATGAAATGAAATTATAAATTTTTAAATTATTAATAAAATTTTTGACGTTTTTTGTAGGGTTATCGTCATTATCCAGTTACTTTCACGTAGTGTAAGAACGGTTCCCTGTATTTTGGAGTCAAATTGAATTGGACATGGCAGTTTAAAGTTTTATTTTATAATTAATTCAAATTACATTATTTTTTCTAGTTTTTTGATGGTTTTTCGAACTATAATAAAGATTTCGCTCTCCAAGGTGTTAAATATTTGCTTTCTACACTGGTGAATCGGGAGGTCGACACAAGTAGGTACCGAATAGCAACTCAAGTCAATCGGCGTATCGTAATCGGTGGTCATTTGTATGCGACCGGGTACTATCTCTATGGTACCTGGATAGTACCTGATCGGTATCTGGATGCTACCGGGTAGGTATAGCTGATTCACGGCTGGCTTGAGCCATCAAAAAAAGGGTCCTGACACGATAATGCACGAGGTAGTGCCTGGATCGTGGAGAGTACAGAGAGACCACGCCCCTTAGCGTCCCCAGCTAACCGTGAATCAGCTATAACCGAAAATAGCGATTGATAGTGGCTTGCACATCGGTTGTTTATTTAGCACCAGTGTTTTTTACACCTTCCAAAGCCTTCCAGGGTCTTATTGGATGAAGCTGAAACAAAAAATAACGACCTGGGAAGCAATTCCAGACTTTCCGGTAGAAATCGCGAATGTCAGGTAGCTCTACCCGGTAGCTACTTGCATCGACCTCCGACCCAGGTACCATAGAGATAGTACCCGGTCGCATACAAACGACCACCGATTACCTTACGCCGATTGAATTTTTCAAAAGTTGTTGCCCGGTAGCTATTTGGATCGACGTCGACCTATCGATTCACTTATGTTGCGGACTATATCGCAGTGAGATATAGGTAAGTTGAGTGAAATGGTACATTTGCGAGTTCGTCAATGTACCGTCAGCGTCTCACGTTTATAATTATCTCGGCAGTTATTTTAACGAAGATCTTCGTGATCACTTGGGAATTTGCTTTGCGCGTCATTTTGAACGCATCGTGTTCATCGCGTACAAAACCTCGAACCACACGGAATTGACGTGGATTGGCGCGGCAAATCATTTATATAATTATTTATATAAATGATGCGACCATGTATGACTTCAAGGTGGGTCGCCGTCGAACTCTAGCCAGGAGATGCTCAAAATCGGAGGCACTCGTTGGACAACGTTAAAACTTGACGTAAATCTCTTAATGAACCTTAAATAGTTATTATGACAGACCTTTTTCAGTGACTTTTTACATAGCGCTGTTCGAGCGCGCTCCTTATGCTGGGGACGCGCGAGATGACATTTTTGCCGTTTTTAATGATAAAGCCAAATAATTAAACATCTCCATATGGACGAATCCATCCTTATTTTACTTTTCCGATATTCGAGAGATTCGACACCTAAAAGACTCGAAAAACAAGAAAAATGATAAAACACCACTCATGAGGATGCCTCCGATGTTTGAGTAACCCAAAAGCATACGTTGTTTGAAAGAACCTTTTTTTTCATTTTCTACTCACAATAATTAAACCTCGCAGGCGCACTAGAACTGTCAAATTTTTGTTTTCATTCAAAAATGTATTTTATTAGTTAAATGTATCTTTTTTTTTATTTTACGACTTCTCTGTGTCCACTGGCTTTTGTGTAAGTATATACTAGTTTTCATTATAGTTTTCGAAATTGCGGCTTCTTTGAAATTTTTAGATCTAGAACTAATTTTTTATTTCGGTTTCGTGTTGTTTATTTTGAAAATTTTGTAGTATATAAGAAAAAACACATCTTCTTTTTTTCTTTCTTTCGAAACAACGTTTTTTTGGTGTGAATGCACTTGTGTTTTCCACCCATCGATCGAAAGTGAGGTACGTAAACAAGAGTATAGTCTTGCCAAATGCCACGCATGCACGAAAATGATTACAATTCTTTTCTTATTTAGAGGTCATACATCCCTTTCTCTATTTTCTTGTGCTGTCATTGCCGTTCCTTGTCTTTTTTCTCTTCATCAACAACTTTAGATAAACGCACAAAAAGAATGAGCACCCGCGCTGTCGCAGTACTTCGAAATGATCAAGGCGTTCAGGGAACTGTCTACATCAATCAGGTACGATACGAGTTTTTCCTCTTTATGTATTTTTTTCAAGTCCTTGAAAAAAAGAATAGTTCAAGTTTTTATCAAAAAAACACTTTTATTTTCAATAAAAATAATAATAAAACTTTTCCGGCCCGGTCTTTTTCTAGAATGAAGTTATAAATGTTCAGGAAAAAGAGTCTGACCCCGTCGTGATTAAAGGAGAAATAAAGGGTTTGACACCAGGCTTTCACGGCTTCCATGTACACCAATACGGGGATTCTACCAATGGCTGCATCTCGGCTGGACCTCATTTCAATCCTTTCAACAAGACACATGGTGGACCAAAAGTATGTCTATTCTTGTCTTTTCAAGTGTTCAAACTTGAATATTCAAGGACGAAACCCGACACGTTGGCGATTTGGGAAATGTTGAAGCTGATGCTAATGGCGTGGCCAAGTTAGTTCTCAGCAGGAACATTCTAAAGTTAAAATCGCGTTCAGATTCGAAATCGTCGACAATTTGGTGAAGATTCACGGCACGAACTCAGTTGTCGGACGTTCTCTGGTTGTTCACGCAGGAACCGACGATCAAGGTATCTTTAATCAGGATTTACGGAATAACCAATCCTATATAATACACAACAAAAAGTTGTTTTACATCAAAGCTTTATTTTCTTTTTACCCATGCGAATACATACCAGACAACGGAAATGATTCTTCCACAAACTATTCAATTTTGTCGAAAAGTGCCTTGGTACGCGGTCAGCGACGTAACTTCTTCCATAATTTCTGCACCTCGTTCCATAAAAAAATGGTTAGATTCACAAAATGAACACGATATAATGTAATATACCCCGCGGTCGAAAACGCCACTTTTCGAACCTTTTCGTCTCGAAATTTTCAGAGTGTGTAAATAAGGGAGTGAGTGATCGAAAATGTGTTATTTAGGAAATTCATGTGATGCAAATTATGAAATGAGATTTAAAAAAAAGTTTACGATTGCGACTGACTGTGGGCCGATTTGGCCATCATTCTCTGCCCAGCGCACATCTATGACTTTATTAAACGAAAATCTCACATTTCTTTTCAGATTTTTGAAGGTGGAAAGATCTAAATAAACGATTATTGTATGAGTTAATTCACCTCTGCTCAAAGGCGGTCGGTCTTATTACGGTTTTTTTAGAAATTTTTTTCAGTAATAAAATATAAATTCCTGTAATTATCGAGACGAGATTAAGGCGGCGAAATTTTTACCGCCCTCTGATTGTATTCAAAATGTGTGAACTGTAGAGCTTCCTTGCAGTAATAAGTTATTTGTTCAGGAAGAGGAGAAGGTGATAAGAAGGAGGAGTCTTTGAAGACAGGAAACGCCGGGGCTCGTTTCGCTTGTGGTGTGATCGCTCTCGCGGCTCCTCAATGACTAGCACGCCCCAATCTTTGAATTATTTTATTGTTTTCCTATTATTTTTTTCATAGTTATACAGTTCGACAGTTTTTTTAAATCTCATCTGTGATTCAAATAAAGTCTCTCAACATTCCAAATCAGTTTTTCAACAACAACCTTTTAGTTGGTGCAAAGTTACTTCATGAAACTCGTTTGTTACCTAAAAAAAATTTCTCTCGTTTTTTTTTCCTGACTAGTGAGTTCCTCCAGGATATCGAAATTTTAGAGCTTTTTTAGAAACCTAACTAAACTAAGATAGACATCCAAAATTATTTTTTATGCAAGCCGAAAGAAGAAAAGAAGGCAAATAGATTTTTGACGTTATAACTTTTGCGTACAAAACACAATAATCGACAACGATCATTGAAGTTTTTTGGTGAAACTTTTTAGCTACTCAAAAGATAACTGCCTAGTCCGGCGCGAGAGAAAATCGCTGGCGGTATATACGTTGACAACCTCGCAAAGGTTCTTTTGCGCAAATAAAGCCGTGCCGGACTCGCATTTTTTCTTGGCGCAACCTAGGATTCCTCTCGCTTCTCACGCATCCAAAAGAAAATGACATAAGCTGGCGGTACGTTGAAAACATGTCTTCAATGTACCGCCAGCTATCTCGCTTATATCTCGGGAATCCTTTTTTTTTTTTGAAATTTTCTATTTCGAGTGCTTCGCAGACGGACCCAAAGTTTTTTACAACTCATGTTGTTTATTTCATCTTTAGTTAACAAGGCTTCGTAAGTAGCATATTTTGGAGTAATTTTGCGGTGGCCTCTTAGGGTTCACCTGCAAAAATTGACTCATTGATGGCGTCTCGACTTTTTTGATAGCCACCAAGCAAGTAAAATAATACTGCTTTGAAAGAATTTCTTAACATTCCGGTACAAATGAAAAACTTGCATGTCACACGTTTTTTTTTCTATGAATGAAATCATTATAAAAGTGCCTTTTTCTCCGCGCTTTCTCTGCACTTTTTCGTATTCATGAGTTTTAAGTGTCTTTAAGAGAGTTCGAAGTGTCAAAATCTAATCAGCATCACACCACCTTTCTCTTCTCTATAACCTGATACTTGGTGGCGTCTCCTTTGCATTTCCATTGAACCAAAAACTTTTACCAGCAAAGAAGTCTTCTTTTATTATTTTCGAATAGATAACTTTCCATAGTTTTTTCAAGTATCAGTGATTTTGAACTACCTTCTGTCACTAATAATGATTCTTTTGATAATTTTTCATTGGGTTCAGCATGGTCAGTTCCGCTCTCGAAATCTTCGATGCGAAGAAAACTGACCGGTTGTTGCTCACTCTTGAAGGTGTAACTGGTGCTGAAACCGTTCTTGCTATCAAAAAGCGAATTGCGCAGAAAAGTTGGTTTCAAATTATGTTCGCACAATTTTATTTCTTTTGCAGTTGGAAAATTGAATGTGGAACGTCAATCTCTCCGGTTGGAACCTAAGGGAAAATCTGTGTCCGATGATTCCAAGGTTTTTTTTTGATTATTTTGTTTAAAATTTTAGTCAGAGATGAAAGGCACAAAAACGGTAGTTATCGTTTCCGGAATACTTTTCAATTTTTCTCGTAATAAACCATCAAGTTTTTACTTACAGCTGAGTGATTTGAATATCAGTTCGCAAAAGGGCGTCATCTACTTGAAGGATCTCGGACCGCAAATCCCTTGGAAAACCGTGAGTAATTTATTTAGCTGTAGAGCCGAATTATCAGTACTTCTAATGTCAAACCTAGAAAATAGAATTAGGTTTGGAAGATTGACTATTTTGTTTGTGAAAAATATTTGGGTTTTCAGGTTTTCCTTGTGGAATATGCTGGGCCTTTCTTCATCTACCCGTTGTTCTACTTACGGCCAAGTTTCATTTATGGGTCAGGTGAGTTTTTTCTAAGTTTAAAAGAAAAGCGTGATTAAAAAACAAACTGGAATTTTGATTGGAATGTTAACTTTCAAGAAAAATTTTAAAAATAAAATCTAGGCTTTGCTGTTCGAAAAGAAGACTTAAATTTTTAAAAATTAAGTTTATAGGACGTATGGGCTGTTGAGATTTCCTGATTTTTCATTCAACTAGTTTTCTTGTATTTTTCGGAGTAACGCTCATCATTTATTGAGAATCTTTATATTTCCGTTCAGCTGCGGCAACGAAAAACGTTCATACAGCCGTGACTTACGCGTTCCTCTGCTGGAGTCTTCACTACGCCAAGCGCCTTTTTGAAACTCAGTTCATCCACCGATTCAGCAATGGCACAATGCCTCGTTTCAACCTTTTCAAGGTTTCTTTTCAGTAATAAACAATGAATTTAAAAGTCAGAATTAAATAAAATTTTCGAAGGTGTTCAGTTGAAAAAGGCTGAAATCAGTAATATTTCTCGGTCTCAGCCGGGGTCTAAGCTTTGGTTGTTTTTTTTTTCTGGGAGTTTTAAGACTTTTCTTGCAGAATTGCTCGTATTACTGGGGCTTCGCTGCCTTCGTCGCTTACTTTGTCAATCACCCACTGTTCACGCCGCCGTCTTTTGGAAATGCTCAGATTTACCTGGGTCTGACCGGCTTCCTGATCTCCGAATTTGGTGAACTCACTAGTTTTCTCTCATTTGGACAGGTTTCGTCCAGGTAACTTGTCTATCCACATTCTGCTGCGCAACCTGCGGCCTCCTGGAACCCGCGAACGTCGCATCCCCAAGCCTGACGGAAATCCTCTCAGTCTGCTCTTCAACTACGTTTCTTGCCCCAACTACACCTACGAAGCCTCCGCTTGGCTCTCCTTCTCTCTCATGGTCCAAAGCCTGCCCGGTTTGTTTCATTTCTCTTTGTCGGAAACTTATATGTTTTCACTCATGTAGGAAAATTATTAAATTTTTGCCAACGCCGAAATTTCTTCGATTGGGGACGTTCAAAAACGGAAAAATTCATGCTTCTGCTTCGAAAAGTTTTTCGAAAGATTTGGTTATTCATTTTTTTCAGAATTTTTTTGACTGTTTATTCTTTCGCTAAACTATTTCTCTTTTTTTTCTCATTCATGCTTCTTTTTGCTCTGTAAAAAGATATATGAAAGAACAGAAAAAGCGCAAAAAAAGTTTTTGTCACTTCTATCCATGCGTAAGTTTTGTAAAAAAAAATTGTATCGTAGGAAAAATGTATTTGTGAACTAGAATGTTTTTTTTCTTAGCTCTCCTGTTCACTGCTGCTGGATTCTTCCAAATGATGATCTGGGCCAAGAACAAGCACCGCGCCTACATCAAGGAGTTTCCTGATTATCCCAGATCTCGACGTGCTATCGTACCCTTTTTCATTTAAATTATGCCATTTGTTATTTTATCCGTTTTTTTTTTTGAGAATTCGTTTGAAATCGTTTTATTTGATATTTAATAATAAAACCATAATTAAAATAAAACTTTCTCAAATTTTTGTTTGCATTATTCTATTGTTCACCGAAGCTAACGTTGTATCGTGTAGATATTAATTTTCACAAAGAAAACTGCGCGAAAGACATTTCTGCTGACGCTAGGGAGTTCTGCAACTGCACAAAATCCGATGGCTTTGGTTTGCTCTCGCATAGTTTTCAGATTCTGTTTAATCGATAATAAGGAGGGCTAGTTTTTCAGTAACGGTCAGGAAGACCGAGATGTCGGAAATACAAGGCGTAGTGCTGTGTTCTGGCGCCGGCACTCGGATGACTGCGCTCACCGAAGAAATCCCCAAATGTCTGCTTCCAGTCGTCGGCGTCCCCATGTTCATCTACCCAGTTTCTTCTCTTCTTCGAGCCGGCCTCAAAGGTTCTTCTTTAATTTTTAAGTTTCATCGTGCAATATGATTAGTGAGATCGTTTGATTCCATCAATCAGTCCGTTGGAATGTATCAGGATCGCCAACTCAAAGCCGTAAACTTTTGGATGTCAGAAAACCAAAAATATCAGAATAGTTTCCACTTTATTTTAAATCCATGATCATTGCCATTTATGTCTGACAGAGAGGAACATAGACAAAGGCTTCTTGTAAAATCTTCAAAAAAACTTATATCATTCATTCTTAGCTGCCTCTTGTACGATGTTAACTATATAATCGAATCAAATAATTTTCTTACCAAATAGTTCTTAAAGACATAAAAATCTTCGTCCGCGAAAACGTGCGAGACGCGCTTTGGGCTTCGCTGGAAGAGTTTGGATTGGAAAAGACGGCTCAGTTTGAAATCATTTCTGTGACGCGCGAGCAGGAGGAATATGGCACAGCCGATGTCTTGCGGAACTACGCTTCCAGAATCACGGTTTGTTGGAAGTTCATCTTTTCTCCATAGGGATCATATCTTGATAGTTTTTTCTCATTTTTTCACTAAAAATAATTTCAGCAAGATTCAAAGATGAAGAATCGTTGGGATTGATATAATTTTCTCAGAAGTTTAGCAGAAAAGAGTTTAAAATGACCTATGAACCTCGGGATTACCCAAATAAAAAGAAGAAAACAGTTGCAATAATTGGAAGGCTTCGAAATTTAATCCGAAAATAGCCAATGATTTTTGGAACCGAAAAGAGACGTTCAGAAGGACGCTTTGGTGGTGTCGTGCGACTTCGTGTCGGACTGTAGCCTCATCCCAATGATCGATCTGTTCCGCGTTGAAAAAGTTTGTCTGAAAAAAGGATCGGAAGTGTTACTTTCTTTTTGAGGCGACGCTCGTGGCTCTCGTTAGTGACACTTGCGTCGGCGGCGCCGCTCCAGGAAAGGCCGAGAAAAAGTCAAAAAAGACGAAAGGTTTTTTAGCTGAACTATTTATTAACATTAAGGTTGAAAGTGATTCTGACCTAAGTAATAGTTCGATTTAGTCAGATTACGATGACGATTTTTTTGTGAATTAAACAAATCTTTATTATCAAGTGGGATAGTATGGGAATAAATTAAACATGTTTCTTTTCTCGAAAAAATCAAATGTTCCCCTGACTTTTTTTGATATATAGCTTTTGCTTCGTTTGAAAAACTTGGGATTCACAAAAAAAAATTCTTAGCTTTATGGCTTTCGGACATGCCAAGTGACTATTTTCAATTCAGAAAAAAAGACATTACTTCAGATGGCTTCTGTATAGATGGAATTATTTCTGAATAAGAAGCTGTAAATCGGTGAAACAGATGACATACACAGGAATAGTAGTTTTACAGCATCAGATCTGATGGCGATCAGCGAAGAGCGTGGTCGAATCGCTTATCTTTCGGCCGAGGAGGACTTCGACAGCTCCATTCACACAGAGCGTTGGAAGTTTGTATTTCTTCCAAACTTTGAACGAAATCTTGCTTTATTTGAAAAAAAGAACGGAAAAAAACTTGCAGATTCCCTCGAATATCCTTAACTTCGAAATACAACGACTGTCACGTCTATGCGATTCGACACTCAGCGCTGCAAGTTCTCCAGCGAAGCAAAACTGAGTATTTTGTCTTCTTTTTGGCTTCTTAAAAGATTCACTTGTTTTTAGCAAGTTCTCATCTTTGAAAGCAGACTTCATACCGTACCTCATCGATCAACAGTTTGACGGTAGGAGTTTTTCAGCTGTTCATTTGTCATACATGGGAAGACCTATCGAGTACTTTTTAGACTTCTTTCTTTTTAACTTCCTCCTCATCAAAAACCAAACTGTTTGTTTATCGGGAAGATGAACAAAAGTCAAAAAGGATAAACCACAAGGGAAAGCTGGTGCAAATGAGTGACAGAAGCGGTCGCCTGATAAAAAGCTTGTGTGGTATTTTAAACGCGTTTATGCAGAAAACTGCGAGGTTTCCTGCTTTGCGTACCGCCTTCCTCATGAAAACGGCTTCGTTACGGCCCACGCCAACACGATCAGCACCTACTTCGAGGTCAACAAGGCGGTTTGTCGACGTCACTGTTCGCGACTTTCAACCTTTTTCAGATGCTCAAGTCTTTCACTCGCCTTTTCCCGCATAAAGGCACCGGCAGGTCATTCAACTACAGAGAAACCGGCGTCGCTATGCACGAAAGCCGCGTCGAGAACGACGTGGAGGTGAGCAGAAAAGGGAAAAAAGAAACATTCAAGCAAAATAGTTACCAAGGAGGTTTGATGTGTTTGAAAGGACAAGAGTTCCGACTTTTAGTCTTCTCAGACTGATCCAATTTTTTTGAGGTTGGGGATAAAGTGGTGATAAAAAGAACAGTCGCTCTTTCTGGCTGCAAACTCGGTGGCAACGCTAAACTCAAGGAAAGCTTATTGCTTAGCGACGTCAAAGTTGGACTTGGGTATTTAGATTTTTGTTGTGTTCAACTTTTTCCTCATTGAAGAGCTTCGATAACGCACTCAATCGTTTGCGAAGGAGCAGAAATAGGTGAAAATGCGGACATTAACAACTGCATCGTGGGCCCAGGTCAAAAAGTCGCACCAAAAGGTTTTTCTTGTTTTTTGGAGATGATTTCCACTCGTCCTATTTCAGCCAAAATCTCGAACGAAGTTCTACAAGACGAAAGTAACGAGGAGTGGGCTGAAGCATGATTTTTACACGGGAAGAGAAAAATGGGTTTCAAAAGTCAATAAGTGTCAGTGGTTGTATGCTAACTATAATTTTTGTTTGATCTAAAACACAAGAGTTCCTACGACTTCTCAGTAATCAGAAGCTTGCATCAAGATCTTTCACATATTTTGCTCTACTTGACTTTTTTCAATAAATTTCCCCGCAATTATTTTTACATTAATGGTCTCTCAGGTTTCCGGTTTCTCATCTTTTCATTGTTTTGGCTGTTCATAAAGTTTGTAACTTCAATTTTGTCGTTTTGTAAAGGGATGTACTTGCGTCGGAGTATTAGAAACCTTTTGTTTTTATTTTCTCATAAGCTCTGAATACATGCAGATGAGACAGATGAAGCAGTAAAATGCCGAAGCGAGGGTTCGAACATATTTTTCTCCTGTTATTCGGGCTTTCAATTATGTAAGTTGACCTGGCTAAGAATCGTTAATTTAGAAAAAGTTTCATTTATATTTTTTTTACTTGCCCAAATACTGAACAAATAAAATTATTTTTCCAGTCCAAAGTTTTTTCATTCATTTTTTTTAAACTTTCAGAGCATTGTTTTCATTTTCGTGGCTGTTTAAATTCATCATCCAACCGATATCTTTTCGATATGACTTCTCCCAAATCAACAGTATCTTTCCAAAGAGTTCAAATTCACTATCAGTTTTCTTTAAGGTTACGAGAATGCGGTGTCTTTAGAACCGATTGGAAAAAATTTCGAAACATTGGTAAAATAAAATTTTTTTAAAGGTTGAGACTTTTAACATAGAAAATCGTGCAAACCGATCCTCAAGGAAGCGAAGTGAGGACCAGAACTCATTTGCTGAGTCACAGACTGCTTCTTGAGAAAATCGCGAACATTTCGGTCGAAGCTTTTGGAAGGTCAGGAAAAAGCAGGAAAAATGGGGAGTTTTTTTTTTGCAGGTCGTGGACCTACAACGACATCTGTTTCAAGCCACGTTCTGCATTACTCGATTTGGATTTCGGCGGTCTTTCTTACATGGAGGTTCGATTCTCAAAATGGTTTTTTTTTCATTTAGGTTAAGGTTTTTTTGCGAATGTTTTTCTTGTTTTTTATTGGTCCAGGAGGACGTTTTTTCTGAAAAGAGTAGTTCTCGAACAAAGTCAAGCTTTTTTCAAATTTTTGGCTGTTTGAATTATTTTTTTGAAGCATTCCCGTTCAGGAGTTTGTAAAGATTGTGCGCGGATATCTGCCGTGTTATCTGGTGACTCCCATAAATTCTTTTTGGGACCGGCTTTCCTTGAATCAAATCATACGAAGGTATGTTTTTTTAAAGGTTTTCTAAAATTTTCAGCTTTTCATTTCAAGCAAAATTTCACTCGTTTTTTTGCGGCTTTTCAGCCCTCAAATAATAATCCGTGCTGTATTTCTGATGAATATGGTTCAGGAACGATCTCGAGACGTTGGAACAACTTGAAGTTTATCTGGAGCTCGAGTTCGATCTCCCCTTGTTGCAAGAATGCGGAAAATGTTCGCTTCACATATTCTATTTTTTATTTTTTCTTTATCTCAGCTTCATTCAATAAGAACGCTCTGAAATGCTTTGATTCGATCAAAAGCCTGATCTCTTCGAGGATGCGCAACGAATCAGATATTGTGACGAAAGAGGACTTTGGCCGTTTCCAATTATCTTCTAAGGTTCGGCGGAGACATCGAAATGTTCATTTTTGAGTTTTCAGCGAATGCAGTATCTTAGCGATGAGCAGCTGGAATGTCTCGATCCGTCCGATAAGTGCCATCTCGATCAGTTCGTACGACCGCTCAACTTCTACAACGTTTGCGACGCGATGTCGCAGATCAGCCGCAAGTCTGGCCGATTTCCACTGACTGTGAGCTTCAAGCTCTGCGATTCGATGAGCAAACCTCAGATGTACATGCTTTTCCGAGGCGATCGGCGCAAGGGTTCTATGTTCCCTATTCTCGACTGCCAAAACGAAGACGACGTCCGTATTTTCTTCGAAAAACTTCTCGAGTTGGAATCGCCCTTGGCTCGTAGTGGAATCTCACTTCCTCGCTTCCCTAACTATACAAAGGTTGACCAATTTTCTAGTTTGTAGTTTCCATCGTTTCAAAGCGGAATGAAATTTTCCGGATTCACAAGGATAAAAGCAAAATTTTTTGTAGAAAAACGAATTTTGTTTATTCAGAAATTTCAGGAAAATTCCTTCGAAATATTTTTGTTTTGATCTTCCCATTTGTATTTTTGATTATTTTTCCTGGAGTGAAAGTTTTAGCAGAAGGATACCAATTCCTTCTAATTTTCAAACTTTCCTTTCCAGACATTATCAAGAGGCTCTTCAGCGATTCATGGCGAATGGAACAATGAAGAGTTGCTCGTTGGCGGCAATATAAGTGAAAAAAAGTGTTAGTTTCTATATCTTTATAAATGTATCTTTTCAGATTATAAAAAAATTTTAATGTGTATTTTTCATTGAGCTGAACAATTTGAGCAATGGAAATAATCGCAGGTCTGAAGGCGAGCCTAGAATCGAAGTGGCTGACTATTTTCGTCTGCAAATCAGTTTAATGAAGGCGGAAACTCTAGTCAGAATTATGCTATCGACTGGAGAAGAGAGGAGGGATTTTTGGACGAAGGAAAACGCTCAGTTCATTCTCGACGAATGGACCAACGCTCTCCGAGCCACGGCAGGAATCTTTATTTTTCTTCCTAATCATTTCTTTTTCCTGCAGATTGAGTCTTTTAACAGAGATTCGGCTTCTGTCTTCTTGTTCGAGACAAAATCAGAAGATCCAGTCCTCGTTGAGAATTCTACAGCCGCTCGATTGATTTTCATTTTTTGTTCTTTACTGGTGAGTGTTATCGAACTCTTCGAAGATGGACACGACACTACTGCGTTCAGATGTTGTTCTACTACTTGGTTAGGACGGAAATTTCGATCGATTTCTTTTTTTGGACGTTTCTCAGGTTCCTCACCTGTCTAGCCGTGTATTTCGCAGTGTCTCTTTCTGGTGGAAATTTAACTCAACTCAGCCCTTCATCATTGGTAACTTCTGCTTTTATTTTGTTCTTTTCTGTTGTTTTCGCAATTATCTTGTTCAGGTTTGCGCCGGATTGGTCTTTGTAACTAATCTGAGCTTAAGTTTTATGGTCTTGTCACGTGCGGAAAAGCCTATAGAATATCCAGGTAAGGTATTTTTTTTCGAATTTCTAAAAATTCACAGATTTTGCCAAAATGACGTCTCTGGCTGTGGCGGCCATGTTGACTTTGATTCCATCGATTGATTTATTCGAATTTAACACCATCTCTCCGCTTTTCACATCATCGGCAAGTTCATCCAATTTCTATTTTTATTTATTTCATGAATAGTTAATTTTGATCAAACTATGTTTAGTTCAAGTCCGCTCAAATTTTAAAAAAACAAAAATTTTTTTCTCAAAAATTTAGCGGGCTTGAATTGAACATAATTTCACCGAAAAAAAGTTTTTTTCAGAGGCTAAAACCCACTTCTAACAAAGGAGAGGGGGTATAAACTGTAAAAAATGAGGTCATTTTACTTTGCGGTTGGGAATTTCTAAAAAAAATTGGTAATTTCTAAAAAAAAAACATTACCAGAAAAATATCCTGAGAGTTTCAACCTGCACAAATTCCTAGTCCCAAAAAGAGCCTATTTTAACTCTTTTTGACTTTGGGGTCTCCTTTCTCGAAAACTAGAGAGTTTTTCAGCGTGACACTTGCATGGTCTACATCTGGTACATCAAAGAGAGTTCTGGCCAATTATCAGGAAATTCCAAGCCGCAAATTAAAATGACTTTCCTTACGTAAATTAATCAATTTTGTATGATGTTTAGAGTCTGAAAGTTTCTTTTAAACTGTGAAAGCATTGCTTTTTGGACTCAGGGAGTTAATTATTTATTCCGCTCCGAGTTGCAGGTCTTCTTTCTGTTCGCTTCGCTTTTGTTCGGTGCTTATTTTCAATCATGCTGCACTTGGTTCAGTTTCGACGGTTTATGGGAATCCATAAGTGATTCTTGTGCATTTCGAGCAATTTATATGGCTTCATAGAGAAAATTGGGGAGTCGAGATTGGAGTTTTTGTTGGAGACGACGCGGTCTCAACGACGGAAAAGGCGGACAAGGCGGAAACATGGACTTCCCACAATTGAGGAGATTTCGCTAAAATCCTTTCAAACGTCCATGAATAGTCACGAACCAGAAGACTTTACTGATATTTCCACTCCTTCTTTTTCGACGATGGCGTCATTTCATTGCCCTCTTCCAAAAGTGAGGTCTTTTTCACATTCAACTAGGGAACCACTAGGGCTTGGGTACGCGTATCAAGTTGAAACTACGGTGACTTATAGACCTGGATAAGAAGTATTGAAAACAAGAAAGATTATCTGTTAAACCACGTAGGCTTCTGAGAGAAAGCTCCTCGAATAAATCCATGAAGTTTTTTACACGCCTGAACCTTCCTCTCTCACCGAGGTGGGCTGACGCAGTGGTTAAAGGGCCAGTCTCATGATTGATTGAGGGCAAATCTTTTTGCATTTTTCTTAAAGACTAAGTTCTTTGTACGAGTGCGAAATTCGAAAATATTTGGAAGTTTTATCAATATAGTTTCTTTTTTCCGAGGAAGTTCAAGAATATTTTCCTCGAGATCTAGGAAAAACGCTGACAGATATCGTAGTTTTACTGAAAACTACTGTTATTCACTTGTTTAATTTACTTTTGAGAAGCAAATGAACCAAGATAAATTCTTTTTCATCAATTTCTTGACTTCGAAAAAGTTTTTCCTGGACTTCTTTGAGAAGCTCACTTTCAGAAGCCTATGTGGTTTAGCAGATAATCTCTCATGTTTCTAAGAGCTCTTACTCAAGTCTATAAGCCAGCTTCAACTTGATACGCGTCCTCCAGCCCGAGTAGTTCCCTAGTAAGAGCTAACTAAGAAATGATTCCTCTGACTAGTTGTTTCTTATTGTTGAGAAACTAAAGAGAAAAAAAGTATGTTAAGTATAGCAGTTTTTTAAGGTTTTACGCAAATTCTTCACTAGCACTTATTGGGCAACATTGGCGATAGCTCAGCTTTCCTATATCTATTGCTGTCATGGGAAATGGAAGGTAGGAAAAGTCCATTCCACCCAAAAAGGGAAACTTCTCTAGGCTGCGCCTCTTTTGGCAGCTGCCGCGCTTTTGCTGTCTTCTGTCGCCATTCTACTTTTCGTTGACCCCCTCGACCCCGAAAACCGAGAGCTGTTGTTGGTTTTCCTTTTGTATCAGTTTTTTTTTTGTTTTCCAGAGCTTCTCTGAAATATGGGAACGAAGAGCTCACCGTTGAGGTGGACGTTTTGAAGTTCAAAGATGTGATAGACATTGAAGAGACTCAACTTTCGCTGCATCGCTTCCTAAAGGAGATTGGTAGGAAATCTTCGTCAGTTTTTTCTAATTCTTTTTTTTTTCTTTAGAACTTCTTTCTTCTCTTTTTCCTGTGTCGGTTTGGCCGAGAAGTTTTGTTGAATATGTGACTGAAATGCAGCCTAATTTCGATAAGGAGTTTTCAGCCAGTAGTTATTCCGAATGTGTCACTCATTTGAAGGTTTTTTCACCTACTTTTCTTTCTCAAATAATGCAATTTGAGAATTCTTCGCAGAGTCAGATGTACGCAATGGCTTGCAGAGTGTACTGTATTTCTCGGGGAGACGATTGCAAAGGAGAAGTTGCATCTTTTTCTCTGGATCCTTGCACCAAAAAAGTTTAAGGGGAATTTTGACGGTTTTTTCAAAGACGACAGTATCGTGCACGGAAAACTTTTCTACGCGGCCCTCGTCGGGTGGCACCACGAAAAAATTGACGACGCGCAAGTCTGGAGCTCGAGGATCCAGCCGCGGCCTCCATCTCCCCATGTCTTCTTTGCGAGGCCAGCTTCGAAAGTTGGTTTATTGGAAAATAGCCGCGCGAGAAAGGTCTTGGAAAATAACTGAGGCAAAATAACCTTGCTGAGGAACGGCGTTGATTGGACTATGCTCCTAACTTTTGGAAAAAAAAAATGGAAGTATCGCAATTTTTATATTTTCTCGGTTCATGTTAGGTTTTTAACTGAGCAAAAAAGAACTTTATATTATGAATGATTTCAGTGATATGCAAATATGCATTTCAATACGTTGACGGGAACGAAAACTACAATTTTTCCAACTTTGATTTTTGGCTTGACAATCTGAAAAAGCGCCTGTTTTTTTGACTTTCAAACTTTTGAACATCTTTATCTATACGACTTTATGAAAAGCAGAAAACCATTAATATGAAGCCCAATTATGACGTCACAAGAACCTTTTGAGGCTTTATTGGCGATTTTGCGATTCTTTTTTCCAGGTTTTGCGACCAGACTCACATTTCTAGTCTAAACCAAAGATATCACCTCGTGCAGAAAAAAAAAACGGAAAATAAGCCTTTAGAAGGATCAAAACCATACGGAACCCTCGTTGCAAAGTTTCCAACTGGTTTTCGAGCTGCGTAGGACTTCTTGGTCCTATCTTCAAACCGCTGTAAAGGTTTCAAATAATGTTTCAAAACACTGATCTCTTTCTTTAATTATTCAGGAAGTTGAAAATATTTGTTCCAAGCACTTGCGAAGTCAACATTTAAGCTTTCGTCTAAAAGGAACCCTTTTTTCGGCAGCTCAACGAGAAATTTATATTCAGTACGTTTTATGACATTGTCTGAAATCCTAGATTATGGGAGGATTTTCTGCGTATAATCACAGGCTTATCTATACGGATTCATAGTGAAAAATGACGAAGTCGAGTTGCCTGTTTCAAAGAGGCCACTTGTTAAAATTGTTTTCATTTCCTATTTTGCAGATGCTTACCATGAGCGTTCTTAAACTTTTAACATAAAGCGTATATTTAGGAAGCTCCGCTTGACTTTGGTCCCCTGGATTTTCTTTGCTGGCTTCGCTTCAGTGTTTCAATTAGGCTTCAAGACCTCTTCGATGGTTGGGTTTTTTTTTTCTTTCGATCAATAGAAGAACTATTTTTAAGCTTTCTACGATAAGCACTCTACTGTACATTGAGTTTTCGGCTATTTCTCGTTTCTTTGATGTGAAGTATCAGAATGCGCTGTTTTTGATTACATTGTTGGTCTCGCTCACAGGTATCAACGTGAAAAAGTTCAGATGTCAAACTTTTTTGACAGCTTATTCAATGGGTTTCTCGCTCTGTATTGCTGTTTCGCCACAAAAAGTACGTCGATTGAGTCCTTTGAAGATCTACAATTTAGTCAGTAAATACTGGGTCGCTCTAATGATAGGTGAGATATTTAACTCCTACGCTCACAACAATTATCTCAGTTTTCACCACGCTTTATCCTCTGAATTACTACTATCAACTCGGCCTTTCTTCCCTGATTTCGGTGCTTCTCTGCGGGCTTCTATCCTCGGCTTTTGGAGCTCTGATCGTACTGCCTCAATTGATTCGACTCGTTGGAATAAATGTTATTGTATATTCCTTTAAAAAATATATATTTGAACTATTCAGATCGAAAACGCTGACAAGAGAGCTTGCGAGAGGTATTTGGAGGCCAGAGTCTTCCACAGAAAACGTTTTTCTCAGTTTCCAACTCCCACATAAATTTTATTCCAGAAAAACTGAAAGAAATGAACAGACAGAAGAGGATTGTGTGGGATCGGTGTTCAGGATTAGAAGCTCCTCCGGTGAGAACAAACTTCATCAATTCTGAGAAACCCTACAAAATCCAGAACACTTTGAGTACAAGCCGCACACGAAGCAGTTCTAGACAAACAGGACCATCGACATCAAGCGAATTTTCCTCTGTTCTGAGCACCGAAGGATCGAACGATTTTGAAGGTCTGTCATTCATTCAAAATTTATTTTCTTTCTTCTTTAGACTTGAAAGCTTTTCTCTTTCAAGATGTGAAAATCCACAGTTTTCTCATTAAACTGAAGCCTCAAATTCACTCGCACATCAAATATTTGATTTTAATTTTTAGTGGAAGACGAAGACGAAGAAGTGCGCGAAACAATACGACAGCTCCGCGAACGATGGACACGGCAGAAAACAGACAACAGCTTCCTAGAAAACGTTACGCATGCAGACGAAGCTTTGCAAAATTTGAAATTGGAACGCGCCGAAAGAAACAAACGTAAAGAAGAACTGATCGCCACAATCGAGGAGAAGACAAAAAGAGAAGAAAAAGAAGAAGAGATGGGTATCGAAGAAGCTGCTGAACCGCAAGCTGTTCATCCCTTGGCTCAACATTTTCCACCAAACTTTACTTGGGAGATGATCGAGTTCATCACCAATCCAAACAACCGAGGGGGAATTCCTTGGTCTCCCTTCGAGCCTTCTCCAGCTCAAGAGTTGATATTGGCTCCGAACGTAGAGGCAGTAATAATGGAAGAAGACGATGATGAACCTGATGAACAAGCACGGGAGGAGCAGGAGTCTGACGAATCAGGCGAAGAAGTCAACCATGTCAACGACGACAGAGGCGGCGACGGAGACGCCGAAAGCAGCGACGATCCGAGCAACGACGAATGGCTTGAAGAAGACGAGGGCTTCGGTGCAGACGTCGTCTAGTTTCTCAATCTCCCCTAATATCTCCTAGACCACAGGCCTTTTTTCTTCATTAATTTTTTATTTCATCTGAATATATATACTCTGAATTTGATCTCATCGTTTCATAGGTATTGGTTATGATCTCATCATATCATCTTCCTTGATTATTTTGGGTCCTTCACGTGAAACTTCAGGTACCTCTCAGCTTTCATAACTATTTTACGCGTACCCACTTTCTCTCTCAACGAAGTAAAACTTTTATTCACGTTTTTAAATTTCGTGTATTTTTAAGATACACATCATGAGAAACATTGAGATATAAATCGAAGTGAAAAAAAGGGGAATTACTTGCTGGGATGCCAAAAATTCTTCTTATGCTCTTGATTCTTCCGATAGCATTCAGCTCCATACCTTAGAATTAGTTCCTTTCATATCTGCCACTCGCAAATAGTTGAGAAAAACGAAAAATCGGTCTCACCGACAAGGTTCCATATCCTCCGGGCATTCGTCTTTTTCTGTATCGTCATCCGAAATCACCACACTTTCTTTTTCATTCTTTATCACTTCTCTAAATCTCACAAGTCTTTTTTCTCGTTTATTGAGCGCCTACTTCTCCATCGGCACATTTTCTTTCGCGTAGAGCGGAGTTTCGTCCACTTCCAGGTGCTCCTCCATCAGATTAGACTTGGACGCCTCGAACAAACGCTGAAAAGACAACTGAGAAGTCTTTCAAATGATTAAAAACCTTCAGTTCGGCGAGGCTTGTCGCTGTTTCCGCTGTCTTGTCCTCTCGGAGACGGGTAACACGTGGAAATCTGATAGACATTCCGCCGGCTGTATGGGTCGTTGACTTCGAAAATTCAGCACCTATTATTTTACTGCTGTAGTTAAATAAATTGAGACCTGCAGAGAAGAATCTCAAGATTCCATTGGAATTATGTTTTTCATTCTTAAAAAGTTATATGAGTTAAAAAAATTGTCGAAAAAAATTGAATTTGAGACTGAAACATCAAAAAAATGAGGTGGAAATCTAGGATATTGCCTAAATTGATACTCGAAGCCATTTTCCTTTCAGAAAAAAAAGGAACCTGTAATTTCCCAAATAGGAGCTTCTTTGGGATCTTTGATGACGTAATCGGGGACGAGTCCTTTGGCGCACTTGAACCAACTCGGCAGCTCAGAATGACGTCCGTCGATCCTCTCCATCTGAAATTTCACTTACAAAAGGCTTGATTTTACTTCTCAGTTGCGAATTTTCTAGAATTTGGACAAAATTCGTTCATGTACTAAATAAATGATTTAATGTTTCAAACATGCGTCGGCTGGATCCCACCCCGGGTGCGGCCTACACCCCGAAAAGTGCTTTTTCAGTTCTTTCCAATTTTTTTTTTGCGCGCAAAGGGGTGAGAACCAGAAGTAAAATGAGGGTCCTCATTAAAAAAAACAATTAAAAAGCTCAGAGCAACCTTATCGAGTAACTCCTTGTTGAACTTGTCTATTTGCTGGTCCGTCAGACCGTTGCCACATTTGCAAACAGTCAGGTAACTGCCAGAGTCCTTGTCCTGGACTCCCATCAGGAAAATTGAGAGCTTCCCTCCTAAAAACCGTCCCCAAAAAGATCGCAATTTCTTTGAATACCTTTGGAACCAGTGCCGAAATAGCCGCCAAGAACGATCAAATCTGCAGTATCTGCCATTTTTCCGTCTTCCAAGTAGTCTTTCTTCACCTTGAGCCATCTCCTCAGCCCCGGCTCATAGATAGACCTCACATCCTTGGAAAATTTTTTCAAGTTTTGAATCAATTCTGATGGCAAGTGATCAGAAATAGTTTCTCACCTTTACTACTAGCCCTTCGAGTCCTTCATCAATTGCCTTCCAGATCAACTTTTTCAAATGCTCCCCATCCTTGAAAAAAATTTTCGTTCAATTCGTAATCGATAAAAATCTTATATATCCTTGTCAGACTGCTGGAATGGACTAACTTCATGAAGGTCACGAGGAAAAAAACTATTTTCGTGGTTATTTTGGATCAACAAGACATTAGTTCCTCTAAACAACCAGACAAGGGTTTTTCTATCAGATTACATTTTTGTTGACGCGTTGACAGTTTGAGAAGAGAACCTTGTTCTGGATTTCCATCATGTGCGTCTTCAGAATTTCTTTCCGTTCTTCAAGCGGCCTAATTCCCATCGATTGCAGCCAAAGGAAGAATTTACTAACCTCGCGGTCAAATCTTCGTCGTTGTACATGAGAATGTCAAACACATAAAGACAGACAGAGGCGTTGGACTGCTAAAAAAAAACTGAAATTATGCGAGTTTTCGCCGGTTTGGGCAACTTTTTCTTTTTTGTGAACGCCGAGCGTTCCGAATGGCAGCGGCTTGCCGGTGGCCGTGTCGACGAGAAGAATTTCCGAGTCGATGATGAGATTCTCGCCTTGGGGGAACGCATGAGTCACCGTGTCTTTAAGGGTCGATATCTGCAAACCGACCAATGTCTCCGTGTTGATGATACCAATAATCTTTATTGCTCAAACGCAAAAACACTTTTTGTGGTGAAAAAAAACCTTGTGTTCTTGAACCGGCCTCAAGCTGCGCGAGTAGAATGTGAACTTGTGACCTTTCTTGTGAATCTCAAAATTTCAGTTTAAAATGAAATGAAGTTCGAACAAACCTGCACTCGCTCTCCATCGTACTTGATTTCAGCAAAAATGTCGTTTTTAAATTTTTTCAAAATCTGGTCAACCGATTTACAAGCATCGGCCTAGAAAGAGTTGAACTTAGTACTCGTCGAAGACGTACCAGCATAGGCAGTACGGGAGAACCGAGCTGTATTCCTCCTTTCGAAGATTCTTCGGCCAAGGTCCCTTCTTCTTGTCTAAAAGTTGGCCGACATACAAGAAACGCGTGAAGCATGGAGCTAGAATCGAGCCAAGTGCGAAAAACCGACCTCTTGATGATCAAACTCAAGTCACGACAGCTTTGAAATGCTGAATTGGCTTTGGGGTGGAGGCCTTCGAGAATCGTCGCCACGCCGGCGTTGATGCGCAGGTCTTTCAGAACGAGACGTACTACGTACTGGATTTCCACGGGACTCAGCCTCAAATCAACGATTTCCAGAACTCGATCGTCTTCACCTCTTGGCGATGAACTTGAAATGAGCGAGTTGCTCGGCCTCGGTGCTCAACTCGGCCAGCTTGCTCAGCCAACGATTGATCTCAAACCTCAGACTATACACGTAAAACAGCAAAATCATATATCATCCTATATTTTGCATCAAATCGGCATCTTTCAAACAATTTCAGACTACATGTACGTGATTCGAAAGGATGTATGTAATGAAGAGGAAGACTTGTTCTGCGCCATTTGGGTTCAGGCTGAGTTGATAAAAAAGGGCGTTTCGTTAACTTTTCTCTTAACCGAATATTTGCAGAACACGATTTTCAGGATTTTTAAAATAAAAAACCGGATATCTTCATGTGGCTAGTTTTCGAGATACGGTAGCTCAAACGATTACGGTAAGAAGTTTCGAAAATCTATTCAGCGTTATTAAGACCTAAAAGCTGAGAAATATGGATCAAAATTAAACATATGATTTCTGAAGCTTCTTTTTATGATGATAATGAGCGATTTCCCAGAAAGGCACACAGTTTGGGAATATTTTTTAAGGGAATATTTTTTCGATGGATTAAACTTTCAAACTTTTTTTGAATTCAGTTCAATCAATTTTTCAAAAAGTTCTGCGTGTGATGATGACTGTGGTTTGTATTGAATTTATCCTTTTTTCGAGCGAATCAGCCGCAAAATTACAAAAAGGAAACCTTCTGGATGCTCCAGTCGCTGCGCGGATTTTTCCTAACGCCTTCCACGGCTTCTCTAACGACTTCTGATACATCTCCATCCGCTTTGTATTTTCTGGTGAGCTCCTCAGATTCCAAGTTCAGCATCTGCAGCATTGAAATAGGCCCTTCCAGCGCTTAAAAGCTGTGAACCTGGGAGAAAACGTTGATTATCTGCTTCTCTTTGATGTTGTAAACGCGTTGATCAATGCCAGGCAAAAGAAGTTGGAACAGAGTCTCTTTGTCGCCGTCATAGCCAGCTTAACTCCACTGCATCAAGAATTTCTGTAGTAGAATGAACCTTTTGTGATGAAAGACTTCACGGAAGAGGATTTGTCGGTGAGTTTGGCCAGCGATCCGATGACCTCACAAAGTTTGACGAACTAAAAACCTCATCAAGTTTCTCGAGTTTTTAGAACCTTGGAAAATGAGTTGAACTGGGAAGCTTCGTCCGACACGACAACATCTTTTGGAACATCTTTCGACGTTTTCGATTCTAGAAAAGAAAGATGTGATAAGAGGAATGATTTGAAAACAAAATTCTTTTTTTCCTATCTTTTTCCCATCAAATTTAGAATTTCCTCGTTTAAAAATAGTTCAGATATTCACAAATATTTTTCAAAGGTAACTCCCAGAACTACGGCCTTTTCAGATGAGAACTGAATTATTTGCTTCGTTTTTCCTGTTAAACAGTCACAGTGTAACGAGATTCTTACTGATAATGGAAGTTTCCCTTTTCCGAACCGGAAACCAACTTGTCTCTGACCTTCACGACGAGATTTCGGAGGCGACTTCCTCTTTTCCGGAACCTTGCGCTTCTTCGGCGTCTCCTCCTCGCTATCTTCACTAAGCTCCTCTTCCGATTCGCTTTCGGAAATCTCCTCGCTCTCGCTGTCGCTTTCTTTCACGAACTTCTTGGAAGACCTCTTCCTCGGTTCTTCTTTTGATTTTTTCTTCGGCTAGGAACTTAAGATGTGAGGAGGGATATCTCAAGGTCTACCGGCGCTTTCTCAGTTTTCTTGGCAGTGGATTTGCCGTCATCGCCGGCTTCCTTGGTTTTTTTTGGCTTGGGAGTCTTCGGAGTTGAAGCAACTCCGTCACGACTTCGCTTCTCGACGAGTTCGTCTACCAACGCGCCAATTTTCTCTTGATCTTCCGCTTTCAGATCTTCGAAGCCTTGAAAACGCGGGACCTCGCGGAATGACTTTCGATAACAAATAACCTTCAATTTCATCGCGACTCTCAATGACCTTAGTTGTGGCGCGGGCCTTGAAGAGCATCTCGAAAAGGCAATTCACGTGGAAATACTGCTTCATGTCCGGCGGCGGCGCATCTTCTCTTTGCACGAAAAAATTTGGAATGATTTTTCCCATTCTTAGCTCCTAGAAAAAAATGGAAATGTATCTTCAAACTTATCTAAACAGCTCATTCTGATGAGCTCCTGAGAAACTACTGGCAAAAAAAACGAATCATACCCCTTTCTCCATTTGTACCTTGCACTTTTTGCAGCCGGAATTTCTTTTCCCATAGTCAGCTAAAAATCGCGTCGGCGCCGACATGTTCCCAGGTATTTTTCTTGATTAGTCCTATAGATCAAAACTTAGAAGATGTAAACGCAAGAAATGAAAATGAACCAAACTACCGAAGTTTAAATTTTTTCCTTTAAACAAACTTTCGTTGTCGAGAAACCCTGAAAATTTTGAAGGTTCGAATTTGAGCACTGGGGATCATTCAACCTAACACTTGAAAAAAGCGAGCTCTAAATAAAATATTTATCTGAAGTACATTCAACTCATATACATGTAATAACACATTTGAACCAGTATACTGACAAGAATTGGCTAGCGAAAATAAAAGTTAGTATGCAAAAGACCAAGACACGTGAGAAATAGTGAAAGGTAAAAAAAAACAATGAGGACATCAGTTGACGGTCAAACTCCAAAAAAAGTTCTTATCATTTTTTCAGCGGCCAATCCTGGAGTCATTTTTCCTTCTTTGATGTCAGATTCGAGCCTTGAAGACTGCAAAGAAAGATTAGACAGAACATATGGAAAAGCCAACCATCCCAGCAATTTTTGGGTGTTTCTGGAAGACCGTCATGATCTCGTCTTTGACATGGTTCCACATCCATTTTTTGAGCTAAAACAGGAAATAGTTGAAAAAGTTTGTTGGAGGCGCACTTGATATTGCCTTCGCTTCTCCAAGTCTCCAGAAGGCCCGACGGTGTCCCAGAACTCGTATAAAGTTGAACAGACGTCCCCGATGGAGGTAGGATTCATTATTGAAGAACGCATCACCTAAAAAAAATGTAAATTCCCCAGATCTAACTAGTTAAAGTTACTTCAACATATATTTTTGATATAGATACTTTTCTGAGCTGACATTTAATTTGAATCTATTTCTAATTTTATGAAATTCTTCATATCAATGCGTTACAAATTCATCCGACTAGAAAAATCTGTGAAAAAAATGAGAAATTTTTTTGAAAAGCAAAAAAATGCATATTTATTTTGAATTTTTGAACGAGACAAATCTGACTTTTGGTTGCCATGACGTCAAGCGTGGTCGCATGTATTTCAAAGCGGAGATGTACTCCGCTTGCGTCAACTGAAAATAGTGATTATTGTCGAACGAAGGGGGGATTTGAAAACCTTAGCTTTAGCTTTCAGATCTCCGTCGTCTTTGGTAACAATGAGTAGATCACTCAACTCCATTATACCTCTCTTCACACCCTGAAAACGAGAAAGCCTGGAAAAAGACTCGATAATGTTTGCCTTTAGTGCATTTCTCACGAGAACTTTCAATCGTGATGTTCTACAACTGAAACAACTTCTACAGCTTAAAAACAATTTTACGCTTTTCGGACTCCAGTCAAATTTTAAGAAAATTCCGCACTTTCAAAACTTCTCCTACATTTCGGAAACTTCCAGAATATTTGGGCCACTTCTCTCTGCGGAAACCCGTTTATTTCTACCGTAAATGGTCTCGTTATATTTCTATACAAATGTTGCATCTACAACGTTTTCACTGGGCCCCTACGTACGCTACATAATTCAAAGTCTTCTGCGGCAGCTTCAATACACTGAAGATTCTGTTTTATCAAACCTGCAGCTCGTCGCCGTGGGCAGGTGAAAGAAGAAGACACATGATGTCGCACATGTCCGCGACCGCCACTTCGGACTGACCAACGCCTGAAAAAATTCGAAACGGCAGACGACAAAGACCAGACCGACAGTCTCGATGATGACGACGTCGTAGCCAGCGCCTTCGCAGAGGATGATGGCTTCATGGATGCCACGAGTGACTCCTCCAAGGGATCCTGAGACGAGGGTGAAGTCTTCGGCGAGGCTCAACTTCACCTGAGGTGGGTGACTGACGAATATACGCATTGGGGTTGCAGGAAAGTTCCTGCATACGAGTCAGATCACCCAGAAGCGAGCCTGAAAAAAAACATATTCCGGCAGGAAAACTACCTGAAACCGAACCTCCTGTCATGGCGCTCGTAGGATCTATTGTCAGAACAGCCACCTTAAAAGATCAAATGGACATTTTTCGACATAGTTTACATTTTCTGACCTTGATAGCATAAAGAAACTCGAAAGATATACTTACAACATTTTTTTCCAGCTTTTTTCTTTCAATCTTGAAAAAAACCTTCTTTTTCCTATTGACAGTTAATTCTTTGCCGAGAGCTTCGATGAAAGAAGATTTTCCTACGCCAGGACTGCCGGAAATTGCTGAGGAACGGTTCAAGTTATTTTCGCCAAAGAGCATTGATTCCAACCAACTCTGAAGATCATCGAGTCACGTCCGAACTCCTTGTAACGCTTTCTCTCCTCGTTTAGAACTAGCTGAAAAGCGAGAAACTCCAAGTGCAGTTGTCGGAAAGGAAACCTGAAGCAATGCGTTCCCCTGGGCCCTCTTTCTCGGATGTTTGGACTCAACGAGCGTTATTGAAGAGGCCAATGTTGCACGGTCGCCTCCCATCAGTTTTTTGAACATAGTTTGCACCTTTAGTTTCCTTCGACTTCGAAACTAAAGTTTCCACCAACCGTCTCGTCATCAGTCGTGACAGAGTCGTCCCAGTGAAATTTGGAGTATTCGGCAAGTAAACTTTCTAAGGGCGGGGTTTTTTGGATACTTCCAATCACAGGGATTCTTTCGACTCCGTGAGACAGAAGCCTCAAAAATTTAATAATAAAAACTCTCTCTCTACTAGTTCACACAAAAGCTAACCTATTGTGAAACATGAAAATACATTTTGAGACACTCGGCCGACATAATGCTAACTGCATGAAAATATCTGAAAAAGCTGCATCAAAAAATCATATATTATCTTATCTTTAAAATATAGCAATGGATCTTCCAAAAGAAAAGTAAGAACAAAGAAAAGGGAGAAACAAAATGTTTATAATCCAAGATTAATGATTAGTAATTAATGGATAAAGATGATAATATATTCAGCTTTACATAAGAAATATCACCCGACAGCGATTTCATCTCTTAAACTTACTCAAAACAAGCGGATAAAACTTCAGTTTTGAAAACTAGATAACTTTTGAGATTAAAAATACGGGATTTAATCAGTCCAAACAGATGTAAAATCAAAAAAAAAAAGTAATGATGAATATCAACTGTACATGAGTGTCGGGATCAGTTCTGAATGCCGAGCGGGATGTCTTCGATGCCCTTGGCGACGAGCAGCAATTTGTCCCAATCGACATGGGCGCGAAGAACCTCGCGTTCCATCCATTGCTCGTAGTTCCTTTCGAATCTGAACATTCATCACGAATCAAAGTAATTCTTGAAAGCAATCCATTTTTGAGAAGATTGTATCATACATGGGAAAGTAAAGAACTCAATCCGTCCGGGAGGAGGGGTTGACTTGCAAAAAAGTTTTTAAAAAAAGGTATAAGAATAAGTTTCAAAGCCAAGGGGTAGTAGTGACAAAAATTGAATTAGGTTTCGAACTTCAGGAAATAGTTTTGACTTTAACTCATGAAAACTTGGGAGGAGGGGTCAGAGGCTCTATCAAATGGTCTGCCCATGTATGGAGTGCTCGAATAAAACCTCAAAACGAAAAAAAAAACCGATTTTCAACTTTCGAAGTTTTTCACAGATCATTCTGCCCAGGTTCTGTTTCTCAAATTAGTTTGTGCAAAACAAATTATTTAATCATGGGCTACGAGAAATTAGGAAAACGAAGTGATTTTGACAATAGGTGTACGCTTCTTTATTTATTTTGAATGAAAAAATTGTTTTCCGTATTTCACATTTTTCGAAAATGTGAAATACGGAAAAATATTACCAAATATTTTTCCTCTTAAGTGTTAATTACAAATCAGAAGAATGAAATTTTTTTTTAAATTTTAAATCACCGGTCGCCAAGCTTCATTTTGGCGCCGAGAACCGAGTGTGCGCAGTTGTCGACGGGCTCGAATTCACGCATATCCACGCGATTGAGGTAATCGTCGCCGGGCATCGGAGCGTCGTTTACTTCTGAACACGGATCTTTTGAGACAGCCCCCAAAAGAACTGACCGATGGCAAACTGAGGATAGAGCTTGGCATAGCGTCTACTGTGGAAGCGTTCAACGGCCGCCTTCAGAGAGTTTTCTTCGATTTGATATTCGTATGACCTTCTCATATCACTTGCAAATGCCCAGTCATCCGTCATTCTGCAAACTCCCGATATTGGTTTCACTTAATTGAACTTCAAACACACGTCGGAGGGATCATTTGAATATACTCATTAGTCCTACAAAAATTCATCATTTGGTTCGCCGAGACATTAAATTTGAAATTTTAGATGATGTAAAAGAGAAAAAGAGAAGAATAAAACGTTATTCGAATTTTTAAAGAGGTTAGATATCTTTTAAATGGAATTCGAGCTTCATAAATTCATAATAACTATAAAAAAATTCGAACAATAATAGTTTTCTAAAAAAATCAAATTTCTTCAAAAAAACCTTCTATATAGCAGAAAAAAAGAGCAGCTAAAGAGTCTGAAAAAAAGTTGTTAGAATCGTTTTTATTATTTGTGATTTTTGGCTTCTTAGGGTTGAAACAGTAAATGACTTTTTAAATTATATACTTTTTTTAATATAAATATTCAGTTTTTTTAATTTCCATAAACCACAAGGCTGTTCAGTTTGCTTCGGTACTGAATAACTTTGTCAAAATCTCAAATTTTAGTGAACAGGTGACCCTTTTAGCTTTTTTTTTTGCCGTTTTCCCATGAAATATTTGATAAACCTGTGGCGCACACGAGAATAGATTGCGGAGATGATGTCCATGTTGGACTTTCTCCATTGTCTCCCGAGATATCTTGACTGCATTTTCAACGCTTTAAGGACGTAAAGTTGGAAAATTGACTGAAAAATTGAAGTTTCAAAGTAGAAAGACTTTTTTAACCAGTCGGATTTTCAAAGCCCTCTTGAGAATGGGAGCCGATTTGAAAACCATCAACATCATCACACGCGACTGTTTCCCTTTGACAAGTTTGTTCAGCAATCTTATCATGTTGATTGAGGAAAACACATTTCGCCACATGTAATACACGCCTCCACGCTTCTCTTCAACATTCTCAGCGTCGAGCAATGGCCACTCCTCTTCAAACCAACACAATCTACTCAAGAAGCCGATGCGCCGAACCCACCTCCATTCCTCACATAATGTAGAAGGCACTGTGGGTAATTGTACGCGTGAATTTCATACCTCGCCTGTACATACCGGTTTATGTTCTGAATTCATGAGAAATTCACGTCTTGAAGCACTTCTAAATAAACCTGGTCAAGATACTTCAACAAAAGAGGAATCCCATTGCCGTACACCTTGAATTCTCATTTGAAAAACTAGCCACAAAGATAACTCACGACGTGTTGACACACGAATTCGTATTGATAAATATGATTGAGCTTGAGGTGTTTCACCAGCAGAAGGAGGATTGCCGACGTTGCTTTCACCAAAATCTGAACATGATCATATGATCAGCGGTCATATAAAACAGAAAAAAAATTGCGTTACCAGCTCTTTCAAGCATGAAACTGAGATTTTTCCTGGAAACTTTATAGTTTCATTTTTCCGCTGTGCAAATGGCTTGAGAAATGTTCCAAACCCAAAGAACCCACAAAATTCCAGATAATTCATTGCAGAAACCTCCTTGTGGCGATTGATGTCGATGGCAAGCCGGACGCTGTCTTCCAGAGGAGAAGCAGTGGAATGGTCCAAAGAAATTGAATTAGATAGGACATCCGAACCGTCCGACTCAGGGGTCAAGACGTCAATCAGAATATTCAGAGCCTCGCTCTTCGCCTATTTCTTCGTAATTTTTGATTCGCAACGAAATAATCACTTTGTTCGACGGGGCCGCCGCTAGAAGAACCTTGAGTAATGCAATTATGTATTGACTCAGATTGGGCAACATTCTACGGTACAGTCCTTCACATTTAGTCTCTTCCACCTTAAAAAAAAAACAATAATGACTTTTGTTAAGGTTGCAACCTTCTCCACTTTCGAGAAAAGAAACCTATTCAGATCCTCCTCCTGGTTCACCTGAGGAAAATGTATAAAATCTCATTTTGAATCAAGGGGCTCACCTGCAGCTCGGAGAGAGAAACATAAATGTTTTTGCGAAGAACTTCGATGCTACTCAAAATCGGAGGTGGAAGTCCGAACAAGGTTGAAGTATCTCCGGGTGGCAAACGGTAATTGAAAAACTTGCTTCTAGTAAGGACGTAGAAAATTACTAAAAGAAAGAATAAAATACCTCCCCGACTGAATGAATTCTTCAAAGTCACAACTTCGCACTTTGGTGGTCCAGGGCAAAAATCTTTTCGGAGGTTCGCTGACCACAGGGGAGCCTACTCGCGGAGTACGATCTCCACTGGCCTGCCTCGAAGGCTGATCGTTACCTACTTTTCGCAATTGAAAGTCTCAGAACACCTTCTCGCAATTTCAATCTTATAAAAAAGCTAGAACACACCTTCTGTAGGATTTGTGTCTTCATAATCAGAAGTTTCGACTTCACTCGCAAATCCTTAATAAACTTATCAAGTTTTTTCTTCCATTTTTTTTTTTTGAAAATAAGAAACTATGAAGAGCTTTTTGCTTAAAAAATGTACAAAATCAGCAGTTTCTTGGGTATCTACACGTAGATTGTGCTATTTTCTTATCATTTATTTTAATATCTGATGAAAAAGTCCACTATTTAACATTTTTTACTCTGCAACTCACTATCTTCCAATTAGTAGTCAGTAATCTTCTATTTCGAACTCAAGACTTTCAATTAAATGTCGATTGCTATCAGAAAACCAGGAAAAAAATACCGTTTTCGGATTTGAATTCGTCGTCTCTGGAGTCCTCGTTATAGGCCAACTGTCGAGCAATCATTCCAGCTCGTGGAACTCCGGCCGTACGTCTTCCAATTAGTCGAGCACCTTGACACACAAATTATTCGCTTCTTCTCAGAAACACGAACACTCGTTGTCTTGAGTCAGTGTGGCTGGCATTGACGATGCCACTTTCAGTGTATTTTCCATCTGCGGCAGTCCCAGCGCCGCTCGTTTCGTCTTCTTTTTCTCTTCCAGTACATCCCATCCTCCCAGACTCACAAGTAAAATTTTCCAAATCAAAAGTAATATCTAAATTCTCTACATCAGAATTAGGTGGAAAGTTTTTATCTACACCTTTTTTACAGGGTAGTGAGGCGCGGCCCCCATGTAAAAAGGCGGGAGCATTTCGAAAAGAACGACAATCAAGGGTTCTGATCCGTGTTCAATCGGCTCTTCTGGAAATGGAGTAGAAATAAGAGAGAAAGAAAATGTGGGATTCGAACCCAGTTCTTGGAAAAACTCTTCGCGTATCTTTGTTGTCTTCGAATTTTCCACCTCAAAATTCAAATTTAACAAAAAAAAACTGGGTAGAAAGAGCAAACCGTCAGGGTTTTTGTGATGGAATCGTCACGCATGAACTCAACCATGTGATACAAACAAGATAGAACGACTCGGAGAGCTTCGTTGTCGACCATTGTAGCGTTCCTACGAGACCGGGAACGTTCTGAAAAAAGAAAGTTCGACAAAAAAGTTTCAGTTTATTGCTCAAACCATTGTCCGATAAATCAGCATTGCTCGCACTGCGACTGTCCCTGGAACTCGCCTTGGAGAGTCGCCCGTCGCTCAAGCCACATTCGAACGGTTCGTTCATCTCCGTCATGAGAAGAGTACAAAGAGCCTGTAAAACAACAGTGAAAATGAGAAAGAAGTCATTAACCTGATAAACGCCGTTTGAATAACAAATGTATGAATTGCGAGCTCCTGCGACGAGACAATCTTCCTCGAAACCTCCGCTGCCGCGATTCTATTGAGTAACAAGTTACAAACATCTTTTAAGGACCAAACTTCTGGAGCCTTCGGAAGTTGACCTTCTGATAATTCATCTTCTTCAACGAAGTCCAGAACAGATCCCTTCAAAGTACAACTGTGAATAACATCAACCAGCATTTTCTATTCGTCTTTTTTCTCTCTAAATATTCCATAACACATAAAAATAAAAAGAATTATGCCATTTTCGTCGTTTTTACTTCATTAATACGTAATGGAACTCCACAAATCGAATAGAACGGGAAAAAAAAACTTGCTACAGCGAAAAATCTCTTAGAAAATGTCGACCGTTTTGAAATTACCTGCAACAGGTATAATACAATTCTGGCTGTGTTGAGCCGCATATCCGGTTCGGCACTCTCCAATCTTGAGCACAAGTCCTAGACCGAACAGAAGAAAACTTTTAAAAATTTCAGAACTTCTTACTTGCATTATACTTTTTTTCTTTATATCGGGAAGCGATGAAAAGTAGAACGGCGATTCAACCTATAAAAAAAATTTTTTTCCACGACTGAGAAATCCCGAACATCGTGTGTATCCGCGTAACTTCTCCAGAACACTATATTGCTGGCAAATTCGTCCAGCTCGGAATAACTATACAGTTCCGAAATTTCACTAAAAAGTGTGTCCGTGTCAGTGTAGGAAAATTCCAAATCGCGATCATTCTGAAAAAAAATAACTTATTTTTTGTAAAAAACCAGTTTTTGAACATTTTCGGAGCTCTCATGACGCTGAATTCCTTGGACATCATTTGGTAACATTGATTGAGCGTCTTTCAATTGCTTTAGTTTCAAAACGCTTGCAGATCGCCGGTGTGCAAGAGACGAATCGCTGAACTCAGGCTCATCTGCTTCCCTTTTTTCCGATTTTTTGTCCCCGTAAACTGAAATATAATCAATGACGGTTATATTATATTTTTTACAAGCTCACCATCTTCAGCGAAGTTCGGGCGGATGCCCATAGGTCTGAAGAAAAAGTTTTGACTATCTGATAAATTTCAATTGAAACTTGTTTCAGAAATCGAAGATGAAGTCTTATAGAAAGAAATGAAATACTGTTGTAGCAAACCGGCCTTCCGGGTAACCAGGCACACTTTTGCGACTTTCTTTCATTACTCTCTTCGTCTTTGAAAAAACCCTAATAATATATAACTTCTCAATCTGTAGAATTCTCAAAAAAAAACTGCTTAACAATACAAAAAAGACCGAAATAAGTCAGTTCAACGAGAAATTTTATATGCAAACGGTCCAGTGAACAACTTTAACTCAGTACATCCAACAAAAATGAAAAGCAATGAAAGATAAATAGAAACCAAAATTGAAAAAAAAAAACTGAAAATACTAATGACGTTCATTGGACTTTTTTTTTAGCAACATCTGATGCTAATAAGCGCTTTTTGGGCTTAAATTAAGACTCCGCTTCTTCGTTTAAACTATCCGAGTGCAAAGTTCGGCGAAGTATAAAATAACCATCGGAGAATAAAAAAGTTAACAGCATGTCATATTGTCAAAGAAAATATTTAAATTGACAAAAAATTATTTCAAAACGGCAATAAATACATAAATAAGAAGAAAAAAACAAAGCAAACCGGTATAAAAGCTTTCAGGTGCATGTTTGCTCTATCGAGTTAATTTAGATTCTTAGGGTGCTCAGGCTACTGTACCTTCGAGACATTTTTCCCAGTGCCTAATATTTTTTATTATTTAAAAACTATTTTTTTATTATCAATAGATGGACAGTACCCTTCTTCTTAAATTGTTTGGGAATGAGCTGAAAGCTGTTCAAATCATATTTAGAAATTTTTCATCATCATCATCAGTTTATTCATTTTGCAACAAATGAAATTTCGTCAAATTTTTCTTACTTTCTGCGTTTCCTGTGCGTTTTGCAATATAATTATTTTTTTAACCCGTGAATCCTACGTGTTTCTTTTGTAATTTTATTCTGATCTGTAAAGCCAATTCAAGTATTTAAACCGTGTTTGAGTGTATATACATATATATATATATATATCGAAAAATAGTCTGTCTGTTGATTCATTGCTTATCATTATGGCCTTTTTTCAAGTTTATTTACAGGTAAAAATGGCTGAACAAGCACCGCAAAAATCAACTTCATCAAAGACGACTGGACGGTATGTTTATTTCAATTAAGTTTCCACTCCGAGTACGGATTCATGTCTATTAGCAATCGTTTCGAATAACTCCAAACAAACCGTTATTCTGAATATTCTCGCACGTTTGAAAAATGTTTTTCTTTTTGTAAAAATGTATTGATACTTTTAAATTTTGTCTTAGATGTGAATGTGGTTTTGGCCTTGAACTTTTCCCTGCATTATATTGATTGTCTTCTCTTAGGACGTGTTCAAAGTCATTTCACGAAGTTCGAAATAGCCTCATGCAGTAAAAAAAATCAACTAAATTTCGGGAAAACGGAATTAAATTAAATTTTTCGTAGATTACTTTGAACAGGATAAAAAAAAGTTTTCGGTTCAGATTATACGTGAAAGGAGTCTTCACCGGCTTCAAGCGAGGACTTCGTACCCAATCCGAACATACGGCTTTGTTGAAGCTCGAAGGTGTTTTCAACCAGAAAGACGCTAACTTCTACGTTGGCAAGCGAGCAGTTTACCTGTACAAGGCACATAACAAGACCACCGTTAGTTTCTTTCCTTTTTCGCACCCTTGAAAATCAAAAAATTATCGAACATGCTTTTAATATTCGAGGGTTGAGCGTAAAAATTAGCGTGGTGTAATTTTGATTTTTGACGTGAATTTTCAAATTATTAAGAGATAATATTTTTTTTTTACTTGGAATTCAATTGGTTCGAGGGTTGGACATTAAAGTTAGTCCTTTATGCTCTGTTCAAAGCTATTTAGACGCGCGTGTCAAAAAATTTTTCTTTAAAAATTGCGAGCCGAATCGCAGCGAAAAGCGGCATGCAGATTTTCATAGCGGTTTTTTTTTATTGAATGCTGGTCAGTAGCCCCCTTTTGCTAATAAATCATGATTTGCGTAATGGGTGCTTTACGGTTACTTCTGCCGATCACAATGTGTTTTTTAACGATTTGAGTAATTCGCTGGGCTTAATAGCTCAGCTGGCATAACTCATTTCTAACGTCCGCAAGGTCGTAGGTTCGAGTCCCCCCGAGGTCGACCAAGCCTTTTATCCCTCCGGGGTAGATAAAATTGGAAGCTGCATGCAGCGAAAAGGCTCAATCTCTCAACGCTCTCTCTCTGGAAAGCCGGCACCGTACTTCTTCCTACGACCTCTCTTGTACCTGATGTTCTACGAGCGAAATTCACAACTTCTCTGCTTAAGCCACAGCTCCTGCCGCCGTTTAAACACAGTTATAATCAATGAAAGTCGATTGCACATGTATTCTTACATTGAAGATGCAATAAACAAAACAAACAACAGCTGGGCTTAAACGGGGACTCGGAGCCTGGATTGGGTACTTGCGTAAATACGCTGGACTTAAACAGGTCTATGCGCAGCTTAAAACTGCGTTTAGAGTGGTCGGCTGGGGTTCAACTGCTTCAAGGCAGTAGCATCCGCGGGTGCAACATGAGATTTTAGCCAAAAATAGAAAACTCAGAAACTGGTGCGCGCACGCGCGGGTGGACTGATTCTTTTTTCCGCCTTCTCCATTGAAATGAAATTTTAAGTAGTGTTTTTTATTTTTATTTTCGTAATACTACGCAGTGCTCCTGCTTACGTTTTAAAGTTGTTCCGAGAACTTCCGAACAATTTATGAAAAAAAAAAATTGCCAAGTAAAATTTTGGTATTTCAAATTTTTGTGCGTTCGAATTGTCATAAACTGCAGCAGAGCAGTGATGATAAGAGATGAACAGACATAAAAATTTTAAATTTATAGCTTTTTAGTTAGTTGAAAAGCTCAAAAAAAATAGAAGAGACACCCCGCGCATACGCGTACTTTTGGCAACAAACATGCGCCGTCAGTGCCTGGAAAGGCAGCGCCATCCACTGAGAGAAGTTCATCCATTCTGTGCGTTTTCATTAGTTTTCAACTTTGCGTGTCAGGTTGATCGGGGCGCCCCGTCAGCAACGTAAGAGTTTCTTGTTTAGAAAAGCTCTCTTTTATCATAACGGACGTGTGTAAACTAGAAATATTTATTTGACGAAGATAGTTCGTCTTGTTCGGAAATATTTTTGAGAGCGTCATATAGTTTGAAATTCTTCTGAAAGTGAAAATATCTTGAAATTAGTACCTACGACCACCAAAAAAATATCTATTGCAAAAAATTTGAGTAAAAAGTGATTGAGTTGCAGAAGCCTGGCCATTCAGTCGCTACGCGTACCCGCGCCATTTGGGGCCGCATTACTCGTCCTCATGGTAATGCTGGTGCTGTCAGAGCCAAGTTCCATCACAATCTGCCCCCGACTGCCATCGGAAACAGAATTCGAGTGGTGAGTATGAGAATTTTTTTCTCATTGCGTTGTCTTCTTTTTCAGATGCTCTACCCGTCGAACATCTAATGTTAAATTTTCGTTATTGTTACATACTCAATTGATGATAAACAGTTGGGAAATTTATTTTTTTAATTTTTTTATTTCAACGTTTTTCCAAGGATTCCACCGTCTCTCTCCGGCGTTTTTTTCGAATCAATTCAAATCACGAGATACGTTTTCTGCGTGGTGATATTGTTTCCTGTTTTCATAATCCGGATTGCTATTGTTAATTTGGGCTGTTGTGAGATCGCTGGTCATCCCGTCCTGAAATTTGGATTTTTATCATGAAAATGCCGTAATTCTTCAGAGAGGCACTCAGAAAGTTCATACTAAAATAACCTTTCGTAATATTTTAAACTTATGAGGACGTACGCCTCAAACTTCAAGGTTCGAAAATAGGTTATGGGGCCAACCAATCTATTTTTTTAAGGTGTCTCAAATTATCATGTTGAATTTTTTTGGGAAAAAGATATACTTAAAGTATAGATAACGATATTTCTGATTAAACTACGAGGTACAATTTAATCGGTAATACAATTTCTTTAGGAACGTGGGAAGTTGGAATAAAAGTTAGAAAGTTGTGCCGGAAATTGAAAAAAAAATTTAATTTTTGACAGTGAAGTAACTAGCTAGGTTTTGTTCAGATTTTGAAAATGATATCGATGAAAATCTTCTCGAATTAACTGATTAGACCTTGATCATTTAATAAAATAGAACTTTTAATGGATCAAAATTGAAAATTTGAATTTTTTGTGGAACAACTAGTTTTCATCATTATTATGCCGTGTTTAAAGGGATTCCGCGAAATGCAAAATATCCGTCAGAGAGAGAAAAAGATAATCAAAATTTTGGATAGTCAGATAGTTTTGCATTTCGCGGAAATCACTTTGAACACGGCATGATGCCAGTCGTTTTAGTTTTTTCTCGTGTTACATTGCTTGACAAACTCCGAACCTGAGGAACAATAGATGGGACTCCGAATCCAATGGTTTCAATAGAAGAGAAGGCGGTGCGGAACATATGCCAGAGGGAAAAGTTTGATATGCCTGAAACTTTTTCATGTTAGTTTATATCTCTATTTTACCTGGAATGCAAACTGGACATGATCGTCCGATGTAATAATATAAAGCAACCAAAGCAATGAAATGTGCTATTGCGAACCACCAATTGATTAATATAATAATACACAAATTGACGAGAAACTGAAAAAAACTTAATTGAGATTGTTTTTTATGGGTTTGCGTACTCCGGCAAACGATATGTATCTGTTGCTGAACATAGAGTACCAGGTAGGTTGCTGGTCTGTAATGGTGCTTCCGTTTGTATCTATATTGACGTGTGTTTCGCGTCTCTCGGGAAAAAGTTCATTCAAGTCATTTGATTTTGCCGTAGCACCATAGTTTCCAGTTGTATTGTAGCTGAAGAAGTTTACTTAACTTTTGCAAAACAACAGAATGCTTACGCTGCCTGATTGACATAGGCTAGGTCGTAGCTCATCGCTAGAGAAACGTAAGAATAGTTGACGAAGGCGTAAGTTATCAAAAATGGCATTGTAGAGAGAATTGCGAGTTGATTGAGGTCGCCCAAAAGAACGAACAACGAGGCGACTCCCATAAGAACGTATCCCGCAAATACTGGATTGTTGTTGGGTCCGGTCTGTTAAAGGTGAGTTATAAACTAAAAAGGTGGGGATCAAAAAGTTACTCCCTGAGAAAGAATGCTTAAGGATGGTATAATCCCTTCGGCAGCTATTCCTTGGAGGACTCTAGGTGTTCCTGAAAAAGTAGCGTTCAAAAATATATTTTTGTTTTCATCCTCCAAAGTAAGTTGGAAAAAGAATGAAATTTGATTTGACTCGATTTCGAGACACACCGAGAAGTGAGCCGACTGTCGATGATAAAGAACACACGTATAGTCCTATGAGAAATACGACGCCGGTCAGTGCTACCTGAATTTCAAATTATTTCATTTAGGTTTATAAGCAAGTCTGTGCTTTCAACAGCTTGAAATAGTTTCCAGAAGTTTCAAAAGCAAAGTTCACAACTTTTGATGAGAAAAAAAAAACCAACTTTTTCTGAAATCAAGTTGTCGCAGAGAAGAGCTTGACGATCTCCGACACCTCCCAAAATCAAGATGAAAACAAAACAGATTGAAGAGCTAAAGTTTCTTTCTGTGCGGCGGCTGCTGCTGGAATCACACACCTGACTCCGACCGCCGACAGTTCTCCCACGGGAATACTCTTGTGAGGATCCTTCAGGTCTCCGCTCATGTTCACTCCTAAAGAAGTCTGTTGAAAGTGCCTTTCGAGCAAAGTCACCAGCAAGAACGCCTAAAAAATTGGCGAAGAAAACGCCAAAAACCGTGAAGAACGACTGCTCGGGGAGGATACGAGACACACCGAACGCGCTGCAATTGAGAGACTCATAAAACGGCTCGGCGTTGGTCTGGATTCGCTTTGTTGAGAAGCGGAATACGCCATGAGCTGAAATGGCAGAGAAATCAGATGACCTTTCGAAGCACCTTACGCTCGTCCGAGATGAAAAGAGCGCCGAGTAGGAAGTCTGTGACGGCGAGTCCGATGCACCCAAGAAGAACAATCTGTAGCCGTACGACCCACGTCACTCCAGCCGTGTTCACAGCTGTAACTCGACAATAAACACCAAAAGAGAATGCCTACCGGTGAGGAAGACTAGAGTGATGACAGCAATGAACTTGATGAGAACTCGGCTCTCAGAGTCAAAAAGATGGGCTACCGATTCGCCGAAGCCGACGGCCACCAGACCTGTCGCCACCGCCTGTCCGAAGACATACATGAGACCGACGGCGCCACCTATCCGTCCTCCAAGCACGTGCGACACCAAAAAATAGATGCCACCGCTCTGAAGCCAATATTCCAGTTATGCGTAGAACTCATGCAACAAAACCAATTTCTCCTGACTCGACAGATCATTTTCTGGATTTTTCGACACAATACGAAATATTTGAAATCATTGTTCGAATTTGATCAAGCTTTTTTCGGAGAAAAAATTCACTATCTTGATGAATACCTCAGTAGGAAATGATTTAGCAACTTAATAAGCTGACCAAACATTTTTCGAAAGAACAGCTTAAGCGAAGATGAAGTTAGGAAAAATTTAACTCAGAGGAAATTTTAAGTCGAAGCTGAAGGGTGAAGGGAAAGCCACTGTTGAAGAAAGCAGGATGTTTGAGACGGGATCTCGTTTTAAGATATTTCAGCAAATTTCGAGATGTGCTCGAGATCAAAAAACCTCGTCTCGTGCATATAGTCTGTTCAGATTTTGAATGTCAACCAGTTAACTCCGCCCTTGCTGAGACGCTCCCTTTTCGCGTCGATCTTTTTGTCGCGCAGGATCTAAAAGATAGAAAAAGAAGTCAAAAAATGCAGCCTTATTAAAGGCTCATCATCATCTGCGATGAAACATTGACGCGAAAGATATTGTAGCTTCGGGGGCGGAGTAAGCTGTTTGGCATTCAAAGTCTGAACAGACCATAATAAAGCAGACTACGATTTTTCTTCTTCCTTCGAAGAAAGTCTCGAGAACTTTCGCAAAAATAATTTTTAATTAGAGAAAAATTCACTCTTATCTGGCATCTCTCAACAATGCCAATAGCTGAGAAGACGGTGATGAGGGCGAGTGCCGTACATATTCCCAGCAAGAGAATGGAGTTTGCCACGCCGGCTGTTCCCTGAATTCCGAACATCGCTAATCCCAAGGCTTCTTTTCGAGCACCACAATCCAGCCGAGACGAAGAAAGACGATGATGCCGAAAATGTTGACCATTACAGTGGCGAAGACACCGTCCCACGTGCCGAACAGCACGCGCTCGTTGGCCATCAACGTCCTCAACAACAGAGGTCGGAATAGGAGACCAAGAAATGCTTACCTCTGCCACCAAGGAAGGCTGTCGATCTCCTGGGCGAAGATGGAGTCGCGAGGTTCCGTTTCGGCGAATTCGCCGACCGTCTCGGTCGCCGCCATCGGGGGTTTCCCCAGGTTCAATGCCCTGGGCTCTTCAAATTACATTCAGAGAAAAAAGGGAACAAAAAAAAATATATCGTGCACGCATGTCAGGGAAGTTAGTAAACGGAAACAAATGATCAAAATTGTTTAGGAACACTATTTTTTTAGTAAAACTTTTTCAGAATTCGATTTTTTTAATGGATTTTTCGCGAACTGTGATGGAGACAATTGAACGTAGAATTAATTATGTGTTTAAAAAGATTTTTAACGAAAATTTAATAAAAAAAAGACTTGGTTTCCAAATTATCTTTTCCACTCTCTGACGGCAATTTTAAATTTTCGTTGAACTTGGTATAGAATTCAGCTCGAAAAATCTGTTTAAGGAGTTTTTTTTTATTTTGTTTTCTTCTTTGCAGTTTTCAAGGACCTATTTCTTTAGGTTACAGGATAGTTTTCAAAAAGTACACAAGGTTTCCTTTTATTACCGAAACCTATTTGAACTACCGTAATATGACCGACCGTTTTAAAAAAAAGCTTGTAATAAAAGTCAACACGCTCTATAGAAAGTCATGTTTTTACTTAATTTAATTCTATTTTAATCATTCTTTTTTTCAGGTCTGAATATTTCGAACAGCGGCTCCCATGATTATTATATTCTTCTTTTTGAAAAAGAAGTCAACTTTCCGGTCTATGTTGCTATTGAGAACTTCCGCCAATCGCAAGCCTGCCTTTTCATACAACAGCTTCATTTTCTAGATTTTTTCTTAGTGACTGAGAACTTATAGAAGGTGTGCAGGAGGCCTCAGTGAATCAAATCGGTCCAATAGTCGATATAACGATTGAGTTTGTTGGAACAGTAATTATCAGATTAGAATCAATTATTAAATGACATGCGGAAAAGGAAAATCGACCTCAAACTGATTTCTGAACGACGAGAGCCTCAGAAGAACAGATGAAGAGAAAGGATCTCCAAGTCGCGGAGCCGTTGCCGCGTATCGATTCGCCTCAATCCAGCCCCGGGTACATTTTGCAAAGACGCAGCTCATCGAACCATTAATTACTGGCTAGTGAGTATTTTCAAGAGCCGGTTAAAAAAAAAAGGTAAATTCCTTAAAAATGCTCTTGGGCACTTTTTTTTATCAAAAATAAATCTTTCAGGTTTTGCTTGTCAATTTCTCATGACCGCAGAATAGATTTTTTCCTGTACATAGTCTAAAATTTAAAAAATCTCGCCGAATCCAAAAATAACAATGAAAACTTCTGAGAAGTTCATATGAGGGATACGCGAACCTCCAGAAGGAAAGTTATTTCACTGGCGTCTGTTACTTCATTTCAATCATGAAGTCATGTACATGAAAAGCTGGCAAATGCAACATCACAATGAGCAACGAAAAAATATAACCAAGGCGTGTTAAGATTAGATAATTCAACAAATAAAAAATGTAGAAATGAAAAGCCTACTGTAAGAGTATTACTTTAGAATGCTCAAGTGATCACTTAATTGAATATTCCGAATCAGGCGAAATAATTTTTAAACACTCCATGACATTTTTGGAGCCCGGACATAACCAGTGAATCGAAAAGCAGAAAATTTACTTACTAGGGAACTACTCGGACTCGGGTACGCGGATCGAGTTCAAACTTTAGTGGTTTATAGACCTAAGTGAGAATACCTGAAAACAAGTGAGAATATCTGCTAAACCCAATAGAGAACCGAAAAAAAATTAGTAGAAAATGTGAAAATTAGGCCTGAAAATTTTCAGAATACTGATTTTTACCTTATTTTATTTTTTAATACAATCGTCTTGAATGATCCGACTATGATAAACTCTAAAAAACTTTTTTCCAGCTAAAAGAAGGAGGAAAACAGAAATTTGATAATTTTCAAGCCTAATTTGTTCATTTTCAAAAAGCTTTTTCTCAGAAGCCTATGGGGTTTAGCAGATAATCTCTCTTGTTTCCAAATACTCTCACCCGGGTCTCTAAGCCACCAAAGTTTCAACTCGAAACGCGTACCCGAGTCCGAGTAGTTCCCTAGTTAGAACAGCTCACGTCGGCTCTCGACGCCTAATTTAATTTATTCTTCTATGTTTTCTTCAAGAAAATAAAAGAAAAAAAGCGGGAAGATAGAACATTCTAAGAGCGGAAACCAAACTCAGAACTTCAAAAAGCAATATTTAGAAAAGAAAAGGAAGAAAAAAGAAATTCCGCACGACACCCCGGGGACTCCGCCCGGCGACATTCACGACCTCCTCTCATTCCAATTTCAAACGGATCCTCTCGCCTTTCGCTCTGGTATCGGCCGATGCTCATTTTTCTCTATATTTTATTTTTCGACAGTTCTGTAGCAATTCCGAATCTCAATGGAACACCTATCACCAGTCGGTTTTATGTACGTAGGAAATATCGAAAGTCGCTGGCTTGCGAAAAGTTTCTAAAGTCTCTCAAAGGCACTCATTCCACTCTACAGAGAGAACTCTTGAAAATATCAGAGAGGTAACTTTTTGTAGATTTTTTTGCTCGACGAAACCAACTCTGGGGGAAATTTGACATAGGAAGCAACTTATTGTGCTTTTATCGTCCCTCTTCCCATTTCTATGAATTTTTTATTCAAAAAATGAGAGCTCAATTAGAAATCGCCTTTTTCCCACTACTGTAAAGTTGCGACACCTATACAAACTGGGTGTTGCAACAAACAAAAATTACAGTAATTTTATATTCATAGGTGCTTGTTAATATATATATATATATATATAGGCGCTTCTTAATACTGCTTAATGAGGAGTTACGCAAACTCTCATCCGCGGATCGATGAAATTTTGATTAGACGTTGATAGACGTGATTAGGGGAACTTGAAAAAAGGTTATCCTACAGAACCTCATAACGGACTAAAAATGACCCTGTCAAAAGTAAGCAGAAAAGGATTGAGTTTTTTCTTTCATTTTTTTCGAAATCTATGGGGTTCAGCAGATATTTTTTTCGATTTATTATATTTTTATCTAACCAGGAAAATTTTTTTCCTCCCCGGTTGAACTTTTGCTGAAACTTCGCTGAAGTGTACTTTAGAACTTCCTGATTGCAGAACAAGAAAAAGAAATCTCGCAATAGATCTTGTTTCCGAGTTATGGAGCTCAAAGTCCGCAAAATACCCAAATTATGACAAAAACGCGGTATTTTGTCATAATTTGGGTATTTTGAAGTGTCCTAACTCTAAAACGAGATCTATCGCGGAAAATTTTTGTCTTGTTCTGCAATCAGGAGGTTCTAAAGTACACTACACCGAAGTTTCATCAAAAGCTCAACCGGGGGTAAAAAACGTTCCCTAGTAAGTCTATCAATTGCCAGCGTTTCAACTCGATTTGCGCAGTAATCCACGTAGTTTAATTGATGAATTCAGTTCCGGACTTATCCATTTTTTTCCTACTTTTCTGGTTTAGGTTAACATTCCTTTGAGCGAATCGAGAAGAAATTGTTCATTTTGCGATATTTCCAAGTGTGCGCCTCTCCCTTTCTGCTACATCACCAAGCGCAACGGTTTCGGTGAGAACTTCTCCGTCTTTTGATCTTCTAATCAGTAAGCAGTTCTTTTTCAAGTTTTGAGTGAACACTGTGCCGACGAGTCGCAACTTTCGTCGCTGGTCGACTTCCTCTGGCAGACGAATCCCCGAAAGTTCTGCCAGCCCTTCACCTCGGACCTCAGCCTCTCTTACTGCTGGTGCTCCGAAAACAATTCAACGTTAGTTTGAGCCTCAGAAAGCAAGATATACGTTCGAAACAGAGAAACGTTGGAAGAAGTCTTGTCAAGGACCAGGTTGTGGCGTTACCAATCTCTCATAATCCACGCCGAAAACTCGAACTCTTCGTCATGCCAATGGAGCATTTTCTTCATATTCTTTTTGGTTAGGTTAGTTCTCTCACCAGTACTACATCTTCAGCAGGCATGTGCGTCAGGCCGGGCGGCCCGGGTTTCGGGCTTAAAACTTCAGAAAAGGCCCGCGCGGGCTCGGGCCAGGCCGGGCTTCGAAAGAAATCTTAAATTTAATTTTGAAAAAATTTCGCGGAAAAATTATTTTTACTTGTTAAGTCAGTTTCTCATAACTCTATGAGAAAAAAAAAGTTAAAAAAAAACGCTTTTCTCGTTAAAAAAGCGAAAAATTCGACTTGAAGAAAGTTTGAGTTTTTTGGGCCGGGCCGGCCATTTTTGCTTAAGGCCTCCGTAGGGCCGGGCCGGGCCGTGCTTGGAAAGTGGCGGGGGGGCGAGAGGTTGACGGGCCGGCCCTCGCACAAGCCTGATCTTCAGCAATAAAAATCAACAGAGAAATATTTTCCCATTTTGAAAAACAAAAACAAATTAACAAAAGAGTATATACTTTCTCTCATTTTGAATCGTTAGCTTTTAATCTACCAATACAGCCAAAAGTCAATCTGCTCTTCGTTTTGAAGTGCAGGAGTTTCCTATTGGCCTTTTTTAAATATTTTATACTAGTACAAATGCTCTCAAAGACCCTACACGGTTCTAAGAAATTTATTAATTGGTTGTTTTTTTCAAAAAAAATATTATATTCCTCTTTTAAAAAAAGTGTTATTTTTCGATCAAAAATAGTATCGTTTGTTTTTTTCCTTGGTTTGATGAAAAAATATACGAACAAATAAAAAGCGTTGTCATTCAAAAATTTTTGAATTAAAAAGTTTCCTGAATCTAGAAGCGTAAATGCACAAAGTTTGAGCGTCCTTCGGAAGTTCACTGAGATCCATTACTGCGTTTTGTTTGGGAGTGGAAATTAGTATAGTTTACTTTGTTTTCAAGATAGTCTTCATCTCAAACAACCTTCGAATCCGATGGGATACCATGAATATGAATAATATTCCTATAAAGCTCTCTGTTGCCGATTTTGGTGCCCTTGCATTCTTCTAGCTCTCTTCTAGAAGCTCTTATCAGTAGATCCGAGGTCCCTGCGTGACGCCTCGAAGCTGGAGAAACTGAGAAGATGGCTTCAAGTCCGACGCCCCGCCTCTAACTTGGGCATTTTTGGCGGTTTCCATAAAACGCCGGCGGCTCATCAGCCGCACCAAGACGTTGCTCCCAAATCCATTTTCTCTTTTTTCTAAACTTGTTTATCGTGTTTTCGGAGATATTTCCCTCGTTTCATTTTCTGTCTCACTCTTTTCCGCGATCTCTTCTCCTGGTTTTTGCTGCTATGACTCTTCTGTACCCGTTACGTCTGCTCTCCGAACGTATTGAAAACCTCAACGAGGTACTCTTTTCCAAGATTCAACAGCGTCGGTTGAATAGCGTAGAAACTACTAGAGCAACGCCATTTACACCTTTAGAACTTGCATAGCACCCTGAAACTTCCAGGAAATGCTGGAGCGACTGAAGTCGTCGGCAGTGCGAATGGCGGTAGTCGCGCGGTCGCCGGTCTTCATTCGCTGGTCGCCGCTTCTGATGCTTCTCCTTCTTGCCGTCTACCTCCTCTGCGGCGCCACTGGCTTTTTTCTTCTGGAGAGTGAGCCGCACGAGATGCTTGTCCGCAAATGGTACATGAACCTCGCCGTCGAGAGGTTCTTTCCTTTTTGTCTTTTATTTTTACTGGGACGATCAAAATAAGATAAAAATTTGAAAGAATCTACAGATGATTAACTTTATCATATTTATGATCTAGTGCATGCAATTCAGCTCAGAAAACTTTTTCTTTCACCTGGAAGGTACTTCGAAAAAAAAAACTTGAAACCGGTAATGTCGATTTTCTCGCCATTCTTTTTGAAACAAACATCTTAGCCAAAGAAAAATTCGAACTTTTTAATGGGCAGCAATTTTGGGGAAAAGTTAGCGGCGGCCAGTGGTCTCCTTATTCAGCACTATTTGACAAGTTGCTCCCGAGAGAGTCGGACTCGTCCTCAGGCTCACGGAGTTCCAAAGGACAAACCGAGATCCTGCGATCATTTAAGATTTTCTCATTTCAATTATCTAAAATCTCAGAAGGCAGTTCGCCAAATCGATCAGCTCAAGAATCTTCAACGACACCCGAAACCTGTTGATTATCATCGATCGCGAGCAGACTGCAAGAGTCCAGGTACCATTTAATCTCTTTTCCCAGAGAAAAAAATTCTGCATTTTTTTTTCGATTTCATTCTTTCAATCGCAACTATTGTTGAAACGGAAAATTATCTTGCAATTTCTAATCAGTCACACTCTCAGAAACTTTCAGAAGCTTTCGCAGAGAAATAGTCAATGTTTCTCGTTTAAGGGCGGTATAAGCAGGGTTGTCTAGAAACTCGAGGGCTAACACCTTTTTTGATACTTTTTCTCTTTTCTTGATTTTTCTATAATTTTTCGCGTTTCCCTCCAAAACTGTGTCGCGACTGCAACAATTCATCCTTGCCAACCTGGCCATATTTTCCTTTCATGTAGGGTGAAATTGACTATAGTTTGTTGATATTTTGTTTGGAATTTTCTGGAAAAAAAAACACTAGGGAAAAGTTGCCTTATTGGCTCGCTCGCTCCATTGTGAAAGAAAAGTGGGTTCAAAAAAGTTCAAAAAATCGAAGACGTAGTTTACTATTTTCTCTATTTTTCTAACAAATTTTGAAAAAATCTAAATGTTTCGTATGCGCCCGAAATGATTACTTTCTGGCGGCGTTAAGGGAAAAAAAATTCTTACATCCCGAGCAAGATTTCCAAATTAAATATTCAGTGGTATTTAACGATAATTTTTTTACGGAAGAATCGATTTTCCAAGAGATATTTCCGGAACTAACAGATTTTTTTTGCCTTTCTGGATTTTCACTTCACTTTGAAAAATAATGAGTATCAAAAAGCAAATTTTCAGTTCCCTTTAAAAACTTGTCGGTATTACCAATGTTTCTTTTCTTAGGTTTCCAACCAAAACTTTTTTGTTCGAGAAGACAATCGAGTTGGAGTTTTGAATTGGCCAGGACGCCGTCGCATGAGAAGCACAGCGTTAGAAAGCGCTGATTGCGCGAGTCCCGATGCGTTTTGTGTCGATCTGGTGCCCTTTGGCCCAAATGAGCCAGATTGAGAAAAAGAACAAAGGCAGACATGCAAGAAAGTCGTATTTTGCGTGCGAGGATCCGGTCGAGTCTTCGGGTTTCGAAACTCGTAGAAAGAACCGGAAAAAAACTGCAGCTGAAACGAACTTATCAATAAGTTTTCATTTTTCTGGAGCTTTTGTTAGAAGAAAAATGTTTTTTATTTTTCTCATAAGTGTTTTCAATATAGATTTTTCAAAAGAATGTGTTACGACTATCGACTAGACAGCGTACATGGGAAATGAATTAAATGCGAGAAAGAATTTGAAAACGAAAAGTACTACTGTACTATATTCTGTGTGCCACGACTTGAAACTTCACGGAACGACATTCCGATGTGCCGCTGTGCGGACCTTGGTCGCGCTTTTAATCTTTTAATAAGTTACTCTACTTTCATGTGCTCCCACCGCAATAACAATCTATTGAAAGCGTGACCTAGATTCGAAGAACGCTTCGCGAACGCACGCAGCGGATCACCGGAATGTCGTTCGGTGAAATTTCAAGTCGTGGCGCAGAGCCTATAGAATCCAAAGCCAGTTTAGCAACACTACGGATATTTGTTTGGCTGTTGTCCAAAATAACTTTTCTTAACCTATTTCATTTCAGAAAAATTATTATGGTTGAAGCCCAGAAAGACTATTCAAATAAAACTTTCCTTGGATGATTCTCGAAGAAAAAACGCTTTATAAAATATCTCACCAGCCTTACTTTCGGTCATTTTCTTAAAACGTATAACTTTTTTTTTTGTCTTGAATGCCTTCTTACATTCTATTTTTCTGACAAGTGAAGTATATCCATTGAGTATCTCACACTTCAAGATCCGGTTTTTGTGTAAAATGGTTATTTTTCGGCTCCTGCTTTTTCACATTTTCACAAAAGTATAGTTGCTCTAATGAAGCAATTTCTCAAACTCATGGTTTGTGAGGCCGCAGTGCATTAATATCCGCTCATAAAAAGAGGTATAGAGTAAGCGGCGAATTGGAGTGACGCGAGGTCATGAGGAGCCGCCAATCACGGCCTAATCTCCTTCATCTTCTTTTTGCAGCCTCAAATATCAAACAAAGAAGCAGAGGCTTCAATCTTTCAGGATTCAGAATACTAACCCGATCATTCGAGAAAGAAGAGATGGCAGTATTTCTGAAGCTCTACAGTGAAAGAAGAAAGACTTCCCTCTGTATTTTAGTTCTATAAAAGGAAGTTAGAAAAACTTTGTTCAATTTCTCCACATCATCTAGTTGTTCTACTCCTCTGCTTCGACCAACAGTTCGCCGTCTTTGAACTCGTGCTCCACCAGCGAGCTCCTGAAGGCACTACTAGTTGACCTCCGTGCAGGAGAAAGAGGCGAAGTATCTCGACACTCTACTTTCAATTCTTTCGGCTTCATTTTCTTGACTTCTAACTTGTCGATGGCTGTTGTTCAGCATCGCTTACAACTTTTTTTTTACCGAATCGTCTATTATAGTCAATTTTTCCCGAATTGAAAGGCGATATGAGTGGCTCGGCAAGGAGGAATTGTTGCATACGCGACGTGTGCAACAATTCCTCCTTGCCGAGCCATTCGGCGGAAACTCGAGGTCAAACGATATACAATTATTATATTATATTTTTTTATTGGTTGTTTTTAGTCAGATGGTATCAACTAGGCGGTGAAAAAATTGCTCTTTTGAGCGGCACTAACACCGCCTTTGGCGAAAGAGAAGTCAAAAAGTGTAGTCGATTGAATTGAAAGCATGGTCTTACGGTCCTTCGCCTCGCTCTTCCACAAGTTGATCCCTCAGTTTCGCGGGTACGGGCACGGCGGGGATGGTGGGGCTCGGGCACGTACGCCGTGTACACTCTAGGGTAGCCTCGGCCGATTGAGAGAGCTACCACTTCGAGTGAAGAAAATACACGGAATATCATAGAAATTGTAGAAAAAATAAGCTTTGTTGAAACTATTCATTCAACAAAGCATTATCAAAAACATTAAAAAAATTAAAAAAATTATCAAAAAAACTATAAACAACAAAAAAACAAACTTTGTCGATTTAAGTTTTTTTCTAAGTCTATTTTTCTTTTTTTCTAGGTATTCAAAAAAACTGATGACGTCAAAAAAAATTGAACTATTTTCTGTTTTATGACCCCGGCTAAACATTTGATGAAACTCTCCCGAAGCGCAGGATCCCCTTTTTCCAAAAAAAAGAAAGTTCCAGGCCAAACGAAAACTTATATTCAATTTTATTCTTGCGAGAAGAATTTCGAGGCGTTGCTAGAAGAGTCGAATCAAAACATGATTTTTTTCTAGTAAATTTTGAAAACATAGAAAAATTTAAATCTTATAAAATTTAAATCTTATTCCCCCTTGTGTGTGTTCGAATTTTTTTCCCTCACTTCGGCTTTGAATCATCAATTGGATAAAACATTTCCTATGCTTCCGAATAGCGCGAGTGATAAGACGGGTTGCCTAGAAACGGTTGACGTCGTTGCCACTGCTCGCATCCAATTAAGGACGGAGCTCTTGATGAGGTACAAAACAAGATAATGAGCAGAGAACTCTCTCCACACCGCTATGAAAACCTGAACAGGAGTTTCAAAAGACCAAAAAACAGGGTTTCTTTCAGCAGCTTTTGGTGGAATCGCTGAAAGGATACGAGGAAAAGCTCGAGATAGTTCCGCCGAGTCGCCGCGAATGGACTTTCTTCTCTTGCTTCAACTATGCCTACGGACTGCTACTAACCCTCGGCAATGGCGTCAAGGTTCCCAGTGCCGTCGGATCTCAGGTATCTCCGATTCTGTGGTTTTATGATATCCGAGGGCACAGGAAGTAACATGATAAAAATTTCCGAGCTTTCATAATAGTAAAACCGACGTCTTTTTGAACGTCAAGACGTATTTCTTTCCTGAGAGATCTACAGTTGAAAAAGCACTTTTTTTTGTCAAATTGCGCTAAACACGAATATCGAAAGTTTATTCTTCTTTTCAATTCTTCTTTTTGCTCTTTAAAAAAATTCTTCGGAAGCAAATTTTGTTTGACGTTCTTCGAATAACCGAAAATATACAGAAAAAAAGAAAAAAATGAAAGCCTTTTTCATTTCTCTGAAAAATATCATTGCTGAGCTGGATATTTTTGATATTTTTCCCATCAAGAGTCCCGTGGAGAATTTCATTTTCCATCCTAATTTTTATAATACATTTTTTCCGTACAAGAAGCTCATGACTTCAATCTTTCAGATTTTCGCCGTGGTTTTCTCCTTTTTCGGAATACCTCTTTTCTACTCAACTCTATTCATTGTCGTCTACCGACTTGTTTCGCCAATTCTCAAAGTTCGAAAAGAAAATCTGATAGAGGTTTGAAAAGGAATTTTCAGTCTCCTTCAATGACGATCCGCCGTCGCCTGTTTTTGCTACAACTTCTCGTGGTTTTGTACATTTTATGGTCTTTCCTTCTCGCCTTGTGCCTCTATTATCAGGTTTTAGCATTCTCCGAAACTCAATTTTCTTCTCAATTCTGTGTATTTTTTCTTCATACTAAAGCAAAGCCCGATCGGGCGCTTTTCTGGGCGGCGGGCATTTGACTGGAGCGGCATTTCGTTCCTTTGCCCGAGTTCGGAGCCCTCAAAGCGGCTGGAAAAGTAACCTCCAAGGACCGTCCCAGTGGCCTCCATGCGACCTCCAACCAGTATCAGTATTTGGCTGGCGGCTTTACGAGTTTATCATCATGGAAATGCAAAAAAAAAAAGAATCCGAGCGCGTTGAAATTGATTTATTTTTTCCTATTGAGAATGAAAAGTGTAATCTTTTCGATTATTTTCAATATTATTCATTTTGCAGGTGATCAACGATTTTTGGAATAGTCTGTTCGTTGCTTTTACCACCTCAATGACAATCCAGGTTAGCGAAAAATGGGTACTTTGTTAAAGACTTGTTTTGATGGCGCTGCATTCTTCTCAGGAGGCCGAGAACTATTTTTGAAACTAATACAATCTTTATGAACAAAAATTGAACGCTCCAAAAGCTGCATATTTGATCACTTCTGATAGAGTCTGTAATGACGAGACTCGCTTCCCCTGAAAGACAGCTGCCTTGCAGAGCGACTCTCCTTTTTCCTTTTCCGCTCTTGCACGAACTATGAAGAGCTCAGGAAAAAGTGATTCCCATGAAAAGAGTTGGCGAAGAAAATAGAGGCCGTCTTTTTTCTTCTTTGATTGTGCGGGAGTCTTGACGTTTATACTTGTGCCATATCTCGGAAAATGGCAAACTACAATTTTCGGAGCGACAGAAAGATCACGAGGAATGTTTTTCGTAGCCGGATATCGGACAAACTCTTAGACTTTGGGAGTAAAACGAGATTGCGAAATTCACGCATAGCATTCTTGCTGCTATATGACTTTCAAGGATATACAGAAAGTTATCTTTTTTTAAAATTTTTTTCAAAGATATTCTGGGCTGCCTGAAAAACTATTTTTTGTTGCGTCTTGCAGGTTCCCAGTCCAGCCAAGGTCTCAGCGTGCGGCGTGCTGTTTCTGCAACTGGCGTGCACTATTTCCGCGGCCTTGGTCCTCCTGATGCTGTTGGTCATCGCCGCGACGTACTTCCCGCATCAAGGTTAGTTCCCGAACATGCGACGCTCTCAGATACTTAAAAAAAATGCGCATTATCATTAATAAACTGAACGTGTAAAAAAACCCTTTATAAAATAAATGAATTCCTAAATATACTTAGAAAAGAGCTCAATTATGAATTTGCGACAAGACAGCGAAAGATTTACGTCACACCCAATAAATCCTAGCGAAATGAAAACCTTGATAAAACGCGCAAACGGAAACTTCTAAGCGGATTTTCGCGCTAGTGTTTGGAACTCCCGATTTCGCTAACTGAGACCTCGATATCGCCACGGCGTTCCAAAACGGGGTAAGGAGACGTCAAAAAATTTTGGCGCGAAATTTGCAATCTCAAGTACGCAGCCAACGAAAGGTAGCTGTGACGTCACAGCCCTTTTATCCGAAGCGCGCACTTACTTTTTTTTGTAAATTCAGAAACTTTGACGCCTCGCTCACCTTCCCTCACCCCATTAAGAATGCCGTGATCCAGGCTTGTGCGAGGGCCGGCCCGTCACCCTCCCGGCCCCCCGACCATTTCGTAAGCCCGGCCCGGCCTTAGAGGGGCCTCAAGAAAAAATGGCCCGCCCGGCCCGAGCGCGCAATTTTTTTCTAGTCGAATATCAAGTTTTTTTACGACAAAAAAATTATGTTTCTGCTCATTTTTTTCACTTAAAGTTTAACAAAAACTACGATTTCAGAGGTAAAAGTGACATTTCGGTGAAAAATTTTTTTCAAATGAAATTTTTAAAATTTTTTTGAAGCCCGGCCCGGCCCGAGCCCACGCGGGCTTTTTTTCCTGAAAAATGAGGCCCAAAGCCCGGGCCGCCCGGCCTGACGCACAAGCCTGCCGTGATCGCATACCGGACGTTTTTGAGCACTTATAGTGATCACTTGAGTGACGAAGATATCCCTTGAGTGACGATACCACTAAAGTGATCACTAGAAATGTTTGAAACGTCCCCGAATGTCTACTGGGACATTGATATAGCTCATTCCGCGCTAGCTTGTCACGGTTTTACGGCGTTCCCAAATGGGGTGGCGAGGCGTCAAACTTTCTGAATTTACAAAAAAAATTTAGTGCGCGCTACGGATAAAATGCACTGAGTATCAAACGTTAATAACTTGTTTTTTGATGGTACGACAAAATCTCAAGTCCGCAAATCTCGAGGACCGTAATCTTGTGTACGCAGATCTAAAGTCCCATAATCTTGGAGACCAAAATCTTGGAAACCACAATCTTGAAAAGTAAAAATCAACGCTTTTGCGAATAGATTTTATCAGAAATTGTATTCGGTGATCCAAACAAGAGAATATAAGTAGATAAAGTGCAATAAAGAAGACTAAAAGGGAAGATTTTTGCTTTCCAAGATTGTGGTTTCCAAGATTTTGGTTTCCAAGATTATGGGACTTTAGATCTGCGTACACAAGATTACGGTCCTCGAGATTTGCGGACTTGAGATTTTGTCGAACCATCTGTTTTTTCGATCGCCTTGGGCTGTGTACTGTAGATTTCATATTTCGCGCCAAATTTTTTTTTGACGTCTCCCCACCCCGTTTGGGAACACCGTGGGTTTTCCTTCCGCCATAAATACCGTATACCATTAGATCAAAATTAAGCAAATACTTTGGTTTTTTTCTGTCTTCTCAGCTGTTTTGTAGAGCAAAACTTTACGGTAGCTTTTCTTTTCTGTTATTTTAAAACGTGACCGTCTCGCGCGGAATGCACGCCAAAAAAAAATGCCGTGTTCGAAGTGATTCCGCGAAATCCGAAATAACCGCCAGAGAAGGAACAATATAACCAAATTTTAGAGAGTCAGAGCACATTTTGCGGAAAACTTTAACACGGCATGAGAATTTTTCATCTATCCTCAATTGAGTTCATCCCAGTATAGCCCGTTCACGGCTGGCTTGGGACAGCTAACGAGCGGTTTAGTTTTCGCGAAGAAGGTAGATCATGGCGACAATCTATGCGCCTTCCATAAAAGCCCCATTTATGACTTATTTATTTTTCTCTTATTTTTCGTCGATTTAAGAAAATCTAAAAATAAATGAAATGAATGTAAAAATAATATACATTCAAAGAAACATAAATAATTCACCAAATGAGGCTCTTATTAAAGGCGCATGTATGACCGCCATGATCCATCATCGCCGCGCAAGTTAAACCGTCCGTTCGCTGTCCCAAGCCAGCCGTGAACGGGCTATACCCCAAAAAACTCTTGCAGCGTTTCTCATTTTTCCGGAGGGTTCGATTAAAAATGTTTCAGTACTACCCCCAGTAGAAGCGACTCCGTTCGACAAGTCTGAAAAGCTGATGATACCTCCTAGGTTTGCTGTCGTTGTAGATCAAGCAGGAGAGAGCCATTTATCTTCACAATGACGATACCGCTGCTTTGGTTTTTTTTAAGTGCCATGTTCAAAGGGTGCCGTTCCTTCGAAATACAAAATCATAGAACACTCTAATAATTGTCATTCAACTCTCTGACGTTATTTTGAATTTCTTGGAACCACTTTAAACACCGTATAAGCACTGCCCACTTTTGCTTTTTTTTTCTATGCTTTGGAAGTATTTATTGCATTGCAAAGTTATTTTTGGAATAAAAAAAGACCGCAAGAGTTCAAGGAAATAAATAAGTTAAGATTATCAGTGGGTTGGTCGAGGAAAACAACGTCGAGTATGTAACAGATAAAAGGAACTCAAAAACAACATCCATTTTTCAACATCGTACAAATTCACATGGGTTAATGAAGGGTTATTCGGCACTAGCCGCAACAGCGTCGCCTCCAGCGATGGACTCCGTAACCTGAAAACTATATAATTTATGTCTTGAACAATAGCTCAACTGCAAAAGTTTTGAAAGAAGACTTTTGAGTTCAAAATTCCAATTTATTGACATGCTTACCTCCTCTTCAGCCTTTTTCTTCTTGAGAGCCGGAGATTCTTCATCTTCTCCCTCAACAGCGGTTTCAGTTACGCTCGACACGCGTTTACGATCCTGAAATTTTTCCGCATGGAAGTTTACAAGGAATCTGAGCTTACATTGCCATTAGTGTCTTTAGCATCTCCGTTTTCTTCAGCATCGTTGCTCTCTTCGCTTTTTTCGACCTCATTTTGTTCTTCCTCCTTCTCGTTATCATCAGAGCTGTAAAGAAAGTGTCTTGCTCAATTTTACATATTCAAAACAGGTTCAAAAGCTAAATTAAAGCTATGACTCTCAACTCGCCATGCGCGCTTTTTGAAATTACAAAAGCTTCTAAGGATGAACTTTTCCGATTTCGGAATAGTATGAGTGACAAAATTTCAACAAGGCTCTTTCAAAAAAAAAAAATGAACAGTTTCACTGCGCACTGGCAAACAAAACCTCCGCTTTCTACTGTCTGTCTACTTGGGAAATGTGACCTCGCTCGTCGGTGCCAGCACACAAACGGCGTGAGTGCCCCTCCGCGCGAAGCTATTCTTTCCAAAAAAAAAAAGTCGGCCTGACCCACAAAAGATGGGAAGGAGCGCAACGCGGAGTTGAAAAAACGAAGTGACCGCGGTTTATACCCAAGAAAAGAAAAGAACTCACGCCTCTGTGTTGGACACGGCAGAGTCGCGGCTGTCTTCAGCTCCTTCTTCCGAAACTTCATCGTTCGGGGAAACCGCCTTCTCCGGCTCTTGGACTTCTTCCAGATTTTTCTCTTCTTTTTCAATCACGGGCTCAACGATGTCCGACATTTCTACGGAGATACTGGAAAATCAAGAAAATAGGTATTGATGTCCTCTCTATATAGCAAGACTTGAACGATCGTTAAAAATAACGTTGTCTGTCGTAGAAAAAAGACAAGCGGTGACTTTTACAAGCGAATTAGAAACTTTAGTTAAAAGAGTTTAAAAACCAAAATTAGGATTTCGCGAGTTAAAGTAATTGTAGGATCTATTTTTCTTAACATTTCTCATTTTTCTTTGAGGGTTGGATATGATAAATTTCAATAGGATCAAACGAAAATAAGAACGTATATCACGTAAACCCGCGAAAAATCTTTGATCAAAAAATAGGTGATTTTTAGCTGAGCGAATTTTTTTTTTAAAATATGAGCGATGAGATCGTTCATTTGCGAAAAAAGAGCATTCGCTCATGTTGGCCAGTATAGCTGATTCACGGTTGGCTTGAGCCATCGAGAAAAGGGTCCTGCCACGAAAAGAGACGAGACAGTGCCCTGGCTGGTGGAGAGTGCAGACAGGCCACGCCTTTTTGCGTCCCAAGCTACCCGTGAATCAGCTATAACAACCGTGGATGCTGCCGTCGATCACCCGAAACGCAAGTACAGCGGATCTACCCGGGCCCACGTTTAGGTCGGGTGGACCACCCAAAACTTTAAAAAACACCGGGTGATCGGCGGTAGCAACCCTAAAGCACCAGTTTCGCAAAATTATGACATATTAGCCTCACTGATGCAACTGGCCAACATAAGAGTTGTTGAAAATTTTTACATTATCCTGAAAAAAATAATTTTTTTAATCAATCATCATGCTAATCCGCTTTGAGCTATTTTTTTTTTTTAGAAACTTTCAGTCTTAAAAAGTATTCTATCAAAAAGCTTTGAGAGAGCATAGTGAATATGAATTAACTTTGCTTCTCTCTAAACTTCTAACACAGAAAAATTTGACGTAAGTAACGAGGTAGCAGAGTTATATGAAGATGGAAGAAGTGAGAGAAAGGGGAGGCAACCTCCTCGGAGGCCGGCACAAATGCGATGTGAGCGCGAAAGAGTGGGGCGAGGTGAGGCCGCCAGATGGGCGGAGCTCCGCAGACGGAGGGCGCCGAAACGCAGTATTTGGCACAGCGCCAAATACGCTTACAAGCAGCTTTGAACGCGCAGCATGAGCCTTGAATATGGTTCAAAAATGTTGTGCCTCATGATAATTATTATCACGAATATAAATACATCGCTAAAGATGAGCTCGTAGAGGTAGTTAATCAATCCAGATATGAAAGTGGAGGTGCGGGACGCGTAGCGTGTGCGTACGCGGTTATTGGCACAAATTAAATCCGATGGTAGGACGAAAAATTTGATCCGCAAAAATACGTCGCGTGAAAATTGCGACCACATAACCTATGAGCCACGAAAATTTTAAGCCTTCAAAATTTTTTCGTAAAATTTTAAAGCTCAGATGATGACTTTTTTGAATTTCTTTCTTTTTCCTTTTTCAATTTTTTTCCCTTTATTCTTGATATTGATTAATTCCAGAGCTAGAGCCACTGTTTTTCGGTAGGTTTCTAGAAATTTCAATCATTATCATCAATAAGAAGTCTGTTATTTTTATAAACATGGAAAAACGTATTTAGTTAACAGATTTTTGAACTTTAATGATTTATGGCACAAATTAATTGTGAAAAACAGAAGAAAAAAAGAGTTAAAACTCGAAATAAGGTTTCAAAACGTTATCAAATCCTGGGATCGCCGGGATAACTCAACGCAGAAATGAGAATCAGTACTAGAGCAGAAGTTTGAAGAAGACCAGAACAAAGAAAAACAGAAAATACAGAAATTGAAAGCCTTATATGCAAGTAATTTTTTTAATTTAAATGGTCAAAAATTTTTAAAGGCTCAAATTTTTCGTGGCTCATAAGTTATGTGGTCGCAATTTTCACGCGACGTATTTTTTTGCGGATCAAATTTTTTTCGTCCTACCATCTTAAATCCAAGTGCCACCGAGCTCGGTTACCGCTCTTTGTTTATTTATTCTACTATTTTTTTCAAATCGACACATGATAAAAAAATCAATAAATGAATAAAAAGGAATAAAACAGCTACTTGCTTTTTATTGCAAGTTCTCCCTCTTAAATTTGACGACATCGAAGAAAAATTAAAATTTTTTTCAATGATTATTCAGGCACTGGTGGGGGGCGCCGAAGTTCTGGCTCATATTTTTACTTTTTTGATCAACTCAATTTCCCACGCTCTGTGTTTTTGGCAAATTTCCAACACAATTAATTTTCAAAATATTTTTCCTGCTCGCTGGGCGGGGCCAACCAATCACGTCGTGCGAGTCTGCTGCAAATTTTTTCGCTGCGCGCGTCAAATTAGCTTTGGACGCGGCAATAGTTTTCACACAGTTACGCCCATTTGTTGAAAAAAAAAATATATACAGAACACACCAGTTCAGATCTACAAGGACCCGTCTGATTTGCACTGCGCTGTCTCCGCAGTGTAATAGATAAAAAAATTACAGAAAAATTATTTTTTTACTCACGAAATACGCATTCCCCAAATTTGGCCTTTTTAAGGCTTGCTAGCGTTTGCAAAAACTTGATTGTTAAAGCTTAAATTGTATCATTGAATGTTCTAATTGCGTTTTTCTTCAAATCTTTTCTTCAAATTTTTTCGTAAAAAACTCGCTATTAACGAAAATATCGCCCAAAAACCGTTATTGGTGTATGCCCAATTTCAACATACAGTGGTGTCAAACCGGACGGGCTGAACAGATGTGAGAAATCTATATTGAGCATTCGCCAAAAAAACCATCCAATGATACTGTGGGATTACGCAGAGAGATACAAGCCTTTAAACCAGAAAAACTGTTTCCCCGCTATCGCTCTCTGAAAAATATTGCTTCAAAAAAGTTTTTTTCTTTATTTTGATTCATTTTATCATGAAAGTCAAAAATAAAGCAAAAAATGTTATAATTTCAAATTTTTAAGAAGTAGCGAGACTTTGACGAGGTCGCAGCAAGAAGCCTTGGCTATATCGCCTGCGGCCCGCTGCGATATGGGCGTTGGGTGCACGCCATCGAAGTGATTTCGCCATATTCAAAATAGCCGACGCAGTGTGATAAATATAAATGAAGCTTGGAAGGTCAGAGATAATTTCGAATCTCGCGGAAATTACTTTGAACACCATTAAAAAACCGTACGCTTTTACCGCATGCCCAAGCGGCGTTGGACTAATGCCATGTTCAATTTGATTCCGCGAAATTCAAAACACCCGTTAGAGAAAGCAATATATCACTAAATTTTGGAGAGTCAGAGATCATTTCGCGGAACCAAAAACACGGCCTAATTTTGGGAGAAAAAAAATTTGAGCAAACTGACTCCCATTCGCTTCGGTAAATCATTCAACACATGACCGCTGCGCCTTTAATTGTAAACTAAAGCGGTGTATTCAAAGGGATGAGCAGAGCTGTTTTCGATCACTCACTCCCCCATTTACTCACTCTGTGAAAATTTCGAGACGAAAAAGTTCGAAAAGTGGCAAATTTTCGACCGCGTTGCAACATGTTGTGTTAACACTATGGCCAGCCCGGCTGGCCCAAAGCACAGCTCTGGTGATGAGATTAATTCACACTTTCGAACAGGCATAGCTATAATGGCGCCTTCAAAGCTTTGAAGTAATTTCGACGATTACAAAATTTACGCGTTATTCGTTCAAAACTGTTTTGCCATATTTGCAAGGAGTTCAGCAGTCTTCTATATAAGAAGTTGGGTCCTACAACGAGATAGATATGTATACGCGCGCGCAAATTTCCGAATTTTGAAATTGCTTGGACATTTTTTTTTTAACGAAAATTTCAAACACGCTCGTCAATTTCGATAGTGCTATTGAAAAAAAAAATTTAACGAGTAACGCATCATCTTTTAAGTCGTTGAAATTACTTTGAATGCGGCTCAATACAGATAGCGATGAAAAAAAGAAAATCAAAAACCAAACTTCTCTCTTACGTACTAGTGCCTTCAAATGAAATAAAAAACCCACAGTTCAAAATTTATCAGATAATTTAAACAACAAAATTTATCAGATTTTAATGAGGGGATGGTGAAACGAAAAGGTCAACAAGATAAAACAAAACATCCGTACATCGAGAATTTGACTCGAAATTAAATTAATATGAAAAAAATTACACATTGCTAGTCTTCACTTCTAGCAGGTGACGCGCTTCGCGATCGTGAAGGGCTGTGACTCTTATCTCTCGTAGAGCCATTCTGAAAAAGGAGCTTTCATTACATTGAAACGTTCGAAGTAACATCATATCATCGAAAACGTTTGAAATGATGTACGAAGTTTTTTTTTCATTTTATAATCCAAACACGAATTTCTTCCGACAGAAAAATACAAAAATGAAAACAAAAAAAGCATTACAAAACTGAGAAGAAAATCGGTAGTTAAAAATAAGCGCATTGAGAAAAAAAACATACCTTTCCATTAGCCGCAGGACTCGGGCTTCGAGAAATTTTTTTCTCAGCAGAACGACTTCGACTGCGCGACTTTCGAGCAGTTTTTGACTTTTTAGGGCTCGGCGATCTGGATGCACTACGGGAGCGGGAGCGAGACTTTTCTTCGCGTTTTCTGCAATTTATAATTCTCTTATACTCTAAAAACGCCTCTCTTGTCGGCGCAGGAAAAAGTCTAGACAGAACCCTTAAAATTGGCGATCTCGCTCGCGTGATTCAACGCGTTTCATTCAAGATACTAGCACACTTTTTTCAAGGAAAAGGATACCGAAAAAGTGGATTTGAAACTGCTTATGTGCAAGAGCTGCTACCGTTGCTCGTCAGTATGGGCTGTGAACGGCTGTTGATTGAATGTTGCTGTCTATGAGAATGAGAGCGTGGGATGTTTTAGTAGTTGTACGTAACGCAGGGAAATTGTGAAACAGTCTTCTTGAATGCGCGCTGTACTTGAATTGTTTCTGAAGGAAACAATAATACTGGATTTAAGCTCAAAATAAGCTTTTCGTTACTCACTTGTCTTTTCGGGTGACTGGGCTTACTGAACGTGACTCCGAACGATCCTTTCGCCTAAAACAATGAATGTAATAGGAAAAAAAAAATTACAAGTTAACTAAGGACAGCCATGGTCATTACAGCACAGCCTTTTTCATAGAAGATTTTTCATTCGGTATTTTTGGTTCAGTGTAGTTGAACCTTAGTATCTATTTGAAGACCAAAATGAAAAATGAAGCAGAAAAGTCACTTCACAGAAATGACCGGCCTTTAAAGTACTTTTATCATGCTTTTTATGCTATTTTCGCAGTAATTTTCACGAAACTCAAAATTATCTCTGACTCTCAAACATTTAGTTATCTTTCAATTTCTCCGACGACTAATTTGCATTTCGCGGATTCGCTTTGAACACTGCATTCGACTTAATTATAACTTTCGAATAAAATGACTGATTAAAAAAAACCCAAGCAGAGCTGTGCGCTGGGCATAGTGTTGCAATGCGGTCAAAAATTTTTCGTTTTAAGAACCTTTGTTTCTCGAAATTTTTAGAGTGTCTAAAAGGGGAGCGAGAGATCGAAAATGTGTTATCTAGAAAAATTATGTCATGAGGATGAAAACACAGCTCTGAAAAAAAAACCTACTTCTTCTCACGTGCAGGAGATACGCTACGGCTTTTGCTTCTTGATGGTGAACGACGAGAACGTTTACGATCGCGGCTACGAGATCGCGAGCGACGACGGCGATCACGAGAGCGCGAGCGAGATCGCCGTCTACCACCACGATCACGCGAGCGCGAGCGAGATCTATAGCGGTAAGCGTCACTGCCTCTTGGACGACCTTTGGCAATTTCAACAATCACTTTCATGCCGCTGAAGAATTAACTTAGAGATAAGCCTAAAAGCTCGATCAAATGAACCTGTCTCCCATTGAGCGACCATTCAGATCATGAACAGCATCTTCAGCGTCTCTCATGTCTTCCATATCAACAAAAGCAAAACCATACTTTAGAGCGACATTCGCGATTTTCCCGTATCCTTCCAAAAACCTAAAAGATAGCTTTGAAATTTTGAAATCCATCATTTTTCAACTATTTTGCATGACGTGTTGTAACTATTCATGGCATGAACATCGGAAAAAAAAACATTGCTTTGAAACAAAAAAAAAACAATACTGTTTTGGAGCAACTTTGGTAGAGCGAAAACACGATTTTTCGTTTTGAAGCCTGTTCCGTTTCTCCGATGAACACGCCATTAGCTTGAAACTATTTAATTAGTTTTAGCAAAGCTAATAGTTGCTAATAGTTGTATTTTCTGTTTTCAGAAAATTCGGAAAGAAGATCTATTTCGATACAATTTTTCTTGTTATGAAAGGGGGGGGGGGTTCAATGCACATTTCAGCTATATTTTATGCCGTGTTCAAAGTAATTTCCGCGAAATGCAAAATGGTCTCTGACCCCCCAAAATTTAGTTATCTTTCTCTTTCTCTGACGGCTATTTTGAATTTCGCGGAATCACTTTGAACACGGCATTATCAAAACTTCAACAGAGGTTAGAAAAGCCTCCTGATAGTGAAGTTTCTTAGTTTTTTATATTTTAATCCGTTAAGACTTATGAAAAAAAAAACAGACCTTTCGACATCACGTTCGCGAGCATTATAAGGGATTCTCCCTAAATAGAGTCTTGCCATCGTAGCGTGTACGCTTCAGCAAAACCTGGAGTGGAAAGCATCAGTATCAGGGAAATAGTATGACTTCGGCTTGTACATTCATGTATATAAAAAATATAGTAAAAACATGCTGTCAGAGTAAAAAATATATCTAAAACGATTCCGGATGAAAACGTGTCCATGAAAATGAAAATAGAAATTTTTTTTTCAAAACAATAAATTCTTTTCTAGAATCTATTCATCCTTTTTGAATCAGTGATCATTAACGCGTACTTTAAAATTATAAAGAACAACTCGAAAGCTGTGGAGGTTAATCGGCGAATGTTAAGGAACACAAAAGAATTTTTCACTCAAAGGAATGAAGTTTCACCCGTTTCATAACCGTGTGAATAATTTCAGCACCCGCCGATCAACCTTTCTCTAAAAAGTATTTTTCCAGCGGCTCATCCGCCGTAAAAGAAGTGAAGATAGAAGAAAAGAGAGATTAGAGCAATAATATCGCGTTCAGAGTTAATGCCGTGTTCAAAGTGATTTCGCGAAATCCAAAATTGCCCGAAATCCAAAAAAAATAAGGAAAAATATAACTAAATTTTGGAGAGTCAGAGATCATTTTGCATTTCGCGGAAATTACTTTGAACACGGCATAAATTATTACGTCTCTTTAAACCGAAAATTGTTAGTTTCTTTTGCTCGAAAACTACTTTATGAACGCGGATTAAAGTGGATGTCGCGCCAAATACGAATTTTTGAAAATGGGTCGATGGCGCACATGTGTTTCAATTACACCGTAACACTCGCTTCAAAACCAATTTTGGCGCGCTAAGAGCAGATTTCGAATCTTTATATGAACACGCTTTTATTTTGAAACATGTTCTGTTTCTCTGATGAACACGCCATTAAAGTGTTCTTTATGTCGTTTTCAAAGTGATTCTGCGAAATACAAAATAGCCGTTAAAGAAAGAAAATTATAACTAAATTTTGGAGAGTTAGAGATAATTTTGCATCTCGCGGAAAATATTTTGAACACGACGTTAAATTTTTCGTGAATGAAGCTTTTTTTTATTCTCATACCGGGTTCAAGATAATTTATGCGAAATTTACAGTTATCACTGAGTTCGCGAAGTTTATTATTATTATCTACATATATGACGGCTATTTTGAATCTTGCAGAATTACTTTGAACACGATATAAACTTTTGAAGTTTTTTTTCAGTGTTTTAAATACAATTTTCATCGGAGAATCCTTCGGAACTGTAATGAAATTCAGATTTAGATTTCAGAATGAAGCTTGTTCGGTTTCTCATGAAATTATCTCACGAGTCGGTAACAATCGAGCTTAAAAATGGAACGCAAGTGTCAGGTTTTGGTTTTCGACTCCTTTTTTTTTGTGTTCTTGGTTCTTTTTTCTAAAACAAATCGTTTTGAGGGACAATTATGGGTGTTGATGTGGCGATGAACACTCACCTTCGTGCAGTGAAAATGTCTCTAAAGAATAAGGACCCCATTCAACTTGACACTCTCTCTATTCGAGGTTCGTTTTTCATTTTACCTTTTTTTTTTTTTTAAACTCTAAAGATTTTCTATCATGCTATGTTTCTGAGGGGGTTTTTTTTTTCAAAAATTACTTTTAAACGAAATAAAAATTTAGAAGAAGTGTACTTCCTTGACGATTGGCCAACAATTTTTAGCCTTAAAGTATTTATTGAGGAAATGTGAAAATGCCTTTTATCTATTTATGTCACTTTTTCTTGATGGATTTTGAAGACTAGTAAAGTAAAAAAGAAAATTTCACAATTTGCAGTATATTTGAAATTTCTGAAGTAAAATCGTCAGCATTCAAAAAATAAAAAACAAACTGGAATAAAATTGAAAAGTAGAGCTTCAAAGTTAACTTAGGACTAACTTATTAATTTTTCAACGTGTTTTTTTATCCTGTTTTCTTTTGTGAAATAGATGCTAACAAGGGCTATGTGCGCGGTGAACATCGAGTTATGAATTGAGGCTTATATGGTGGATGGACCTAGGGAAGAGTGCTCCAAAACGAAAGAGAAAATCTGCTAAGCGCCATAGGGTACCGAGGAAAAGCTCGTCAAAGTTTTGCCGCCACGTATATGTCCGCGCTCGAAGTGCTCAGTCAGCAACTGGGGGCGTGGTGAAGTGGCAGTGTTCTTGGATGGCGCTGACGCTATGCTAGGTTCGATTCCTTTTTGACGTGAAACTTTTTTTGCTCTTTTTTTAGTCAATTCTTCTACACTCTATTATTAAGCAAAAACAGCGAAAAATGTTTGAATTGAAGGAGACGATTGAAAATTGGAAAAAAAAGGAAGGAGAAAGCATAAAAAAAACTTTTTTTGTGTCGTACTAAGTTTTTTTCCATTGAAAATATCGGAAAAAAAGTTCTTTATGGCTTTCGATATCACAACACGATGTGATTAAAGCAAAAATATAAGTGAGAAAATCACTCAGAATTATGTGAAAAAAAAGAAACCAAGTATGAGTACGAGCCCGAAGTGCACAGGGAGTCCTGTCAATCTAGTTTCGCCTTCTCCATGAAATTGCAGAAGTTTCGGTGAGCAATAAAACAAACTTTCTGGTATTAGAAAAAGGGAAAATAGAGCAGTCGGTGGAATTTTTGCGATGAAAGATTTCCAAACAGTAAAAAGAAAAGAAAAACATATGAAATGGTTGAATGAGGCCAGAGGAGCCAAGTGTGATATTATTCACAAGTATAAAACTTTTTAGAGGAGGTTCCTGACTTTTTATTGTATTTTAATGTGTTGTCATCTCGAGAAGCCGCCCAAGAATCAATTATTTGAACAATTTTTTAAAAAGTTATCAATGGAAAAAAACTGAATATGACACAAAAAAAAGTTTTTTTGTGCTTTCTCCTTCCTTTTTCCAATTTTCAATCGTCTCCTTCAATTCAAACATTTTTCGCAGTTTTTGCTTAATAATAGAGTGTAGAAGAATTGAATAAAAAAGAGCAAAAGAAGTTTCACGTCAAAAGGAATCGAACCCAGCATAGCGTCAGCGCCATTCAAGGACACTGCCACTTCACCACGCTCCCAGTTGCTGGCTGAGCACTCCGAGCGCGGACATATACGTGGCGGCAAAACTTTGACGAGCTTTTCCTCGGTACCCTATGGCGCTTAGCAGATTTTCTCTTTCGTTTTGTAGCACTCTCCCCTAGGTCTATTCACCATGAAAGCCTCAATTCATAACTCGATGTTCACCGCGCACACAGCCCTTGTAAGGGTAGAGGTTTTTTTTCCGTAGCGCGCATATGGAAACAATATTCTTCTTCGCCTTTGTACCGCTTGAGCGGCGTCGGCGCCGCAAGTCGATTAGCCGGGGTCCTATCCTGATATCAGTGGACTGGCTCCAGTGACATATCCGTCCTTGTGGGTGACGGCTGGGGATTTTGAAGTCGTGGTTTCCCACTACCAACATTTCTTAAACCCCTTGGTTGGGTCGGGGCGGGGATCGAACTTGTGACCCTGTGGACCGTAGACAGGCACACAACCTGTTGCGCTACGGCGCGCCCCCGCATATGGAAACAATATTATACTCGAAATACATGTTGTTAAGGCATAGATTTATATTTCAACGTCAAAACTAGAAAAAAAAACCAGTGCAAGAGCAAAAAAATTCTGGAATATCAGTTTTTTCAGCGACGACCCTTCGTTTTTTTGTGCTGAACTCGATAAGGAGCATTTATCAATGATTTCAAAAACAAAAAATTTCTGAAAAATCCTGCAGAAATAAAAATCACGTCATCTTGTTTTATGAAGCGACTTGTTAATGTTTCCACACCGAAAACGGACTCTCTCCGAAAAAAGAAGTTGATTGGAACACATTAAGAGAAAAATGGGATGTAGAAAACAAGAAATATTTTGTGCTAATGGTTTCAAAAGTAAGCATCCACACGCGCAAAATTTCGAAATTTAAATGTGGAAAGGAGAGTGGTACGCCCGACGGCGGCCACTCAATTTTAGATATCTTGACTGTTTCTCTACAATTAACAACAATAAAATCAAAAAACGAGTCGCGCACCGACGCGCATAAAATATAAAACGATGACAATTGTATTTTTCTCAAACAAAAGTGTGCAATGTTACGCGCGCGTGATGCGTTTTTGCGTGTTCCAACGAAAAATAATTTTTAATTTCCAATACAGTTTTCATTATTTTTCGATTTTAAAACGTTTATTGTTGAATATTCTTTTTCGAAAAAGTTGGAAAATATTTCCACAGCTGTCGCGAAAGAGAGTTTGTCAAAGGAACGCTTAAAAAATATTCATTAGTCCTGTTATTGTTGACTAAAATAAAAAGATTGAAAAAATGATAATTTCGTTTTATTTTTCATACTTTGCGTTATTCTGAATTTTTTCAAGGATGTTGTCGATCTATTCAAACCACAAAAAGTATGAAATTCACAGTTTCCTTCTTTTTTGAAGTTTTTTCCTTGTCGCATTGCCCGGAGTAGGATGAACTCTTTTCATATGTTAAAAAAACTATTAGAACATGAAATGGAGATTTTTTCATATTAAATAATCTTTGTATGATTTTTTTACTGGTTTGTTTGGAAAATCCCATTATTTCTATCGATTAGAGTTTGAATTTTTTATGGCTTTATTGTTTTTATATGGTTCTTCATATGGCGATTCTATCGCAACATATTAAAATCACCAAAAAGTCTTATTTCATTTACAGAACCGTGTTTCAAAAATTTTTTCATCAAAATTTGTAAGCGCGCTCAAAAATTGCATAGACTCCTCCCATTTTCCCTCCTGCCTACACACGGTTCAGTGCTAAAAGCGTTCCCGAGATACCCTCACTTTTGTCGAATTTTCTCGGCGTTCATTCAACTTAGTGCCGAGATTTTTTGGGAATGTCTGTTTGAGGATATTAGCTAACAGAAAACATATAATTTAAATGTGTATGACCATTTTGAGAAAATGGGTTGCGATCCCTAGCTAAGGGGTTGCGATGGCTGTTTTTCCGATCAACTTTTTCCGGCTTGAAAGGCGAGATAGGTAGTTTGGGTGAAGCTTTGTAAGATGGTCCAGGTTGAACACAGTATTGAAAGAATTGTAGAAAAAAGTTCTTTTATCTTTTTTATACTTTTGTTTGTTTGACTCAATCTTTTTCAAACCCATAAAATGATGAAATTTATTGAAAATCCAATAAAAAAAGGAGAAATAGATTCACCTATCCCGACTGACAAGTCAGGAAGGATTGACTATACTTCCAGTTTTTTTTTTTAAATTTACTCCAAGTAGGCATGCACCCCGGGCGTTTAAACTTTACGTTCTCGAATCTATCAAATCAAATCATTGACGAGCTCAAAACATTGCGAATCTTGTGCTGGAACCCGCAGGTGAAATGCTCCAGGTGAAAGCCTTGAAAGAAAAGCGACCGCTTCGAGTGAAAACTTTTTTATTCGTTCTGGTAGAAAAAATTTTCTTTTCATTTTTTTTTTTGTGAAAATATCTTAGTGGTTTTGTTATGCCATACAATTGAAGTCTTGTTAAAGCAAATTGCTGGGGCCCACTGACGTTGAAAAAAATTGTTTCCTGCATTGCATAAAAAAATCTCTCTTCTGAAAATCCTCTCCTCGAGATTTCAAAATCAATTTTTTGGTTCAAAAGAAAGAATAATTGAATTTAAAAAAAATTTGAACACTTCGGAGCGAAAAATGTTTGATGAGGAGTGTAAAGGGGTAAACCAGTTTTTAAATATCGCCAACTCTTCGACTTTAGCTTTTTTCTGGAATTGAGTCGAAAATCCCTCTCTGACACGGGAAGTGCAAAACGTCGAGGTATTGGAATTTGACGAGACTAGGTATATAGGTACTTTCGGACATCCTGAATCCAAAGAAATTGAGAAAAAAAAAGAAAGTGCGCTTTTGGGTTCTATTCGAGTTATTAAAGGTTGCACGTAAAGAATGTATTGGAAGGTTTGAGCAGAATTCTCGACAAAAAAGTTTTTTGTCTTTTCTCTACGATCATCAAAGTGGAAGCGTTGTTGTTTAGTTGTAGCTTAGTTGTTGAAAGTTGCTTAGGTCTATTAATGTTTCTTGTTTATATTAACTATTTGGATAAAGTACTTGAATATAGTAAACTGTTGATTTACGCGGATTATTGCAAAGTAATGATTAGCAGTTCTCTTCCAGGATATCAAAAAAAGCTACAAGAGGATCTCTACTCTATTGAAAATTTTCTTGCAGATAAACAACTTATACTTCCAGCAAATAAAAGTCTCCAAGTTAGTTATGGGAAACGAGTTCGAAGTGTTGCGAGTTACGAGCTTAATGATATAACAGTGAATAACGAGGATTGTGTGAAAGATCTCGAAGTTATTTTTTCATCTAACCTCAAAATGCATAATAATATTGAAGTTACCGTTAAAAAAACTATGCGTATTATAAAAAACCTATTCCGCTGCTTTAGCTTCTCGAAACAAATTTTCTTGATATGCTATAAGGCCAAGGTTTATCCCATTTTACAGTATGGTTCGGAATTAATGTGCCCATTGACAAAATCAGATATTGATCGATTAGAATCTGTCCAGAGGCGATTCACGAAGCGTCTTTTCCCAAGAATGGAATATAATGAACGGTAAAAACTGTTAGGTCTTCAACCTCTTTGGTTTAGGCGTTTAGTTAACTACTTTGATACTTACTTTGATGGTTCGTCTTCGCTGATGATCTTCCTTCTCACTAGGGGAATGGTCTTCCCCTAGTCAGCGCGAACCACACGTCCTCCATGCATCCCTGTCTCCGGGACAAATTTCTTTTTGCTGCATTCCACTTTTCTCACGTGCAAATTTTAAGCCGTCATAACTCGATTACGAGGCAAAAGTCGATAAATTTTCTTCTCGATTTGAAATCAGAAAGGTAAAAAACAGTTTCCTTAAAAAGCATTTTCAATCTATAACTTAAAAAAATTTTGAAAACGATTTTACCTGCTATATTATCCATGTCTTAGTACTGTCTACGTATGATAAACGACCTAAGAGACGATCATAAATTCATTTGTTCAATTTGGTGGAGGTGTGCATTTTAAGCGTGAATTAAAAATTATTCGAATTAAAAAAAGATAAATGTTTCTTTTCCAAGATTTTTTTTTTCGAAACTTGAAATGGTATTTAAGGAAACAATATTCGGTACATCATTCTTCCGGATCCTCTCTCGCTGGACACATTGCTTATTGATGATGAGCCTCGGAAAAAAGCTGCACGAGCTCGGGCTGGAGGTGTTCATCAATTACATACTCAGAAATAATTTTCTTTTAAGCTGGTCGCGGACGTGGACGTGGAGGTGCTCGTGGAAGAGGGCGCGGACGCGGCCGAGGCGGACCGCGCGGTGGCGGTGGTGGTGGACCTCGCCGTTAAAATTATTCTTTTGCTCCGCTATCCAAATGGTTTTTTTATAAGTCTTCGAATTAAAAAAAAACGTGCAGCGATGTTGACTTCTAAATTTATTTACATGTTTTAGTTTTAATTTATTTAATGAACTTGAAACCCGTGATCATGTTCACCAATTTTTTTTTATTTTTCGATCTCTTCCCATTTTTTTGAATCTTGTCTATTTCATTTGTTAAGGTTCGCTCGTTGTTAATAAATTGTTAATCGCTGGAGTGACTACCGTGTCGGCTGTTGTCCTGAAGAATGGTTACAGCCGTGAGTGCAGAAGCTACAAAAAATCAATCATTTATTCACATATTCTCTATCTACCATCGCTTCTTGTTGGTCTTACTGGTGCTGGCGCTAAATTGTTAAAATCTTCGTGTTCAATCTCGAGCTGTACGGCTGTAGTTGGGATTTGTCGACTGATAATTAATGGTGCGTTTTCCTCTTCTTCTTTGTTATTTGAAAAGATTTTCGTCCAAAAAAGGCACTGCAAAAAATATTGCAAAAAGATAGACTTGTTACGATCACGTTATAAATGGCAATAAATACGCCGATAGCAATTCCGACAAGGACGTCACTCCAATGATGCTTGTTGTCGGTTATGCGCGAGAAACTGATGCCAAGGCCAGTGATGATCATGATCGTCTGCAGAAGCGGCACTACCACATTGTTCTGCAGGGCCCCTGACAGCCGCGCTTGGATGTAAAGCTGCAAAATACGACTGAGTGAAGAATATTATCAGTTTTAAGGGACTGTTCAAGGGATCCAAGAGTGGTATCGAGACAAAGTGTAAAAACGGTTTGGGGGCGCTTTTGTTCGGCTCATAGAAGCCAATCAGTTTTCCCTCGTAGGATCAACCCTGAACTGGGCACTTGAGATTTTTTCGGTACCGCGGACCAGACGGCGCAGTACATGGAGATGCACGAGTGGCCGCTGTAGAAGCTCTTGCGTGCATCAAGAACTTGCTCCGGATTTCCCGTGCAGCTGTAGTCGATGATGTATCTGAAAAACGGGTGACTTCCTGTCGAAGAAGGGGCAGCCTCACTTGTGCTGATTGGCAATCACACAGGTGTCGTTGGCCAGATGGCAAACGTCAAGGAAGTGAGGCCGTAGTCTTCCGACCATGTGTTTCGTCGCGACGTTCAGCGTCAAGTTCATGACGAAGCCTATTTGCGAGTAACCTAAAATCGAGGCAGTCGTTTCGTTCTGATAGGTTTCCCACCGAAATAAGTCACCAGCCGAACAAACAGAACGTGCAAATGGCTGTCGCGCCACTTGTATTTAGGCACTCGGATAGCTTTCTCGATCTGGTTCATACGGTAGTATTCAGTCACTATAACCTGTCAAAAGTTTCAAATTTATATCGAACTTTAGAGAAAATTAGCTCCTTTTTTCAAAGGGAAAACTATATTGTTAATTTCATTTTTATTGAAGATTTTTTTCTTTTCTATTGAAGGTAATTTTTTGAGGAGGAATTTTTCTGAAGTCTTCCAAAATCTTATTCAAGGGCGGTACAAATACATGAGGAGTGCAAAGCCCCGCCCCTTAACGCCACTAAAATTGACGATTTTTTTTTGTCTACTAGCTAAAGTTTGACTGTAAAAGTTAACTGTTTCTGTTAACATATGTAATCGACAAAAGAAAATGAATGTCTTCGAAGCCTTTTTTCATAAATATCAACAAAAAAAAAATTTATCGCGAAAAGTTATTTTATTATTACATCCAAAATTCCTATGACAAGTGTACAAAAGATTCATTTCGAAACATTAAGCTCAATTCTGGCAATCTATCGAAACAAAAAAAAACGTCTGAAACACGGTTCAGAAATGCTCAAAACTATTTTAAAAGAATGTGTGCGGCAACGGGTAAACCGTGATTGATTCGCCTCTTGTTGAATGCTCTTTTCCCATTTTTTTTTTGCTCTGGAATTTTAGATACAATAAGATATCTTCCAAATTGGATTTCAGTTTTTCCTGTCGCTTCTTTCAAAAAATTAACAAGCTAACTGTGACGGCATTGAGAACGAGGTTGTAGAGAATGAGCTGGACGGTGGTGACTGTGTCATGCCGAAATTCGTAGCGAATCGTGTCGTCGTCGCAGAAGAAGCCGCGCTGCGCTACGCCACACAGTGTCGGCACGATGTACCCAGCCGCTCCTGAATTCTGCGAATAGAACCCAGCCGATGAGACTCACCGAAGCCATACAACAGCAAGATGCTGAGAAGAACTGCCCGGCCGTTCACATTCACCGTACTCGGGTCCAGGGCTGGTTCCAAAACCTGCAAAACACAATTTTTTGTAAGTTCACCCAAAGTTATTTTCTCTCAAAACGGAATACATTTGTAAACTTGTAACTTATATTGAGGAGTCCTTTTTCGAGAAAACGAGGCACTTTAGGACATTATTTTAAAAAAAAAGTACTTTCATTTTTTAAAAATTAACCTCTCAGATTGTGTTGGATCCTCTTTCAATATCTAACGTATTTAAGATGACTTTTTAGTCATTCTAGTCATTTTAGTCAGCCTAAACTAGTCATTTTCCAGAACATGATCGAGAAATACCAAAATTTGAACGTTTTTGTGGTACTTTAGATGAGTCTGTCAAATAATGGGAGCTGACTAACGCGAATAGTTTGTTGCCCATGAAAAAAGCTCATGGAGGAGGGTGACGGAACAACGAGAGCAACGAGAGAAAGGCTTTATCACAGGAAATGATAAGACTGTTGATACCGCAACTTTTGTGGGGCGTAAAAAAGAGAATCTTTGATTCCATTCAGGGGTTTTTCGAAGAGAGCGAAACTAACTTTGAGGTAGGAAGTCGTCGATATTTTATGCCAGAGGGACGGCGGCTCTGCTGTCATCCTTCGATCCGAATATTCTCGATGCTTCTGGAAAGGTTCAAAACGGAATCCGAGAAAAAGAATATTCTGAAAAAGATACGAAACGTTACCGTTCTCTAGTACTAGAAAGGCAATGAAATGAAGTCAAGGTTTAGGTCAACCTCAACGTTTCCGAAAATCTAATTTTCAGAATAACAACCAGTAAAAAATGAATAGTGCAAATGAATATGCAAATATCTGGCAAACGGAATGGGAAAATCGTAAACATTTTTGATGACCGTCGTGTGCCCTTCAGCGAGCGATGAAAAATAGTGTTTTTTGGAAGAGAAGGAAACATATCTATAAAGTTTCTTCTACAAATTGTATTGAAGAAACTTATATCTTACAAATTTTTGAAAAAGGTGAATGTTATTTGAGGTTATTATAATACGAAACAATTTTTACGTGTCTCGGCGAATCATGGCAGCAGTATGGAAATACTACAAATAAAACTAAAAAGCTCTTCAATTTTTAATTGGGTTCTTTGCTTTGCGAATTGGCAGTATACATGGAGACCTACATCCAATATAATTGCCTATAGGGCCGCTGGCGATATAGCCAAGGCTTCTTGCTGCGATCTCGTCAAAGTCTCGCTGCTGCATCGCTTCCCCTCATAAGTTTGAGGTTTGAAAGGCTTTTTTTTCTTTATTTTTGACATTCATGATGAAATAAATCAAATTGAGGAAAAAAGAACTTTTAAGGAAAATTTTTCAGAGAGCGATATAGCGAACTTTGTAAGATTGCGAGATCGCAGAGCGAGGCGAGCAATATCGAGCAAAATTCCCGCGATGTAGCGTTACTCTCGCTGCGATATAGACATTTCATATAGTCCTTATAATTGGGTGTACTCGTTATTTGTTGATCTAGAATAGATCCAAATTGTTTCAGAAAGGTGAGATATTCTTTTTTGAAAGGACAAACAAACCGGTCCTCATTTATTTCATCATTCACGAATTTTTGCTTTTAAAAGTTAACTGAGTTCTTTTCTCTAACGTTTTCCGTGATATTTAGGACTTTTTTTTTTTTAAAGAACGAAGTTTTCCTAAATTGCTTTTTAATTTTTGATGATCTCCATAGTTGCAGCCGCGAAAACCGTGAAATCTCTGTGAATGTGTTTAATGAGTTTCGTTAAGCGATTTTTGAAAATTTATAATTTTTACTCCCGATTTCATACAAAAAGTATACTTTTTTTCTTTTTTTCAAGTCAAAAAGAGTAAAAACCCGAGTTTCTAGACGTGGCTCTGGAATTAATACCTACACCTCACCCCTATTTGGTACTCGAGTTTTTTTTTTCTTTTAGGTTTTGATATATTTGTTACACCGGAAGAGTCACCGGCTCTTCCGTGTCAGCTTCGTGTTGAAGGCAGACTGTCCTGAGGTCTCTATTCGTGAGCCTCAGACGCGTGCAAGGGGACCAGTGAGATACAGGCGTTTCTGCCAGAGCAGTTACTCGCCGAGAGTGTGGTTCACACATAGATGCAATAGAACGGAAATATATGGAAGTCCTACTTTTACATATTCTCATTGGCGCCAGAGAGAGGGTACGATACCGCCGTAGGAAGTGAGGCTGACCCGTTTGTGCGAGGTGTGGGACAGTCCGGAGAGGCAAGTGCACGGGGCCACCGGCACCTCGACTGGCCGCCGAGTCCAATCGACGGCAGCTGACACGTTTCTCATGCAACAAACGAGCCCTGGACGAAAGCTGCCACTCTTTTGTCTTTTTCCGATCTGATCCTTTCCCTTCAACCTGTACTACTCCCGATCTAACTTTCATCCTCTTTCTTCTATTCAAAAGTCGAATATCTTACCGCAAGATTTTTTTTCAGTGTTTTTTTCGTGTACCAGGTCTAGCTTGACAGAAGACATCACGTTTGAGTTCATTTTTTTTATTATTTCGAATGGGCTTCATATTTATTTTTTCGAATATGTTTCATGTTCCCACTGTGAAATTCTTTCAGAAAACTACTTTTTATTTTAGTTTTTCATCTGTCTTTTTATATCAAGACCGAACCATATGTGAAGGTTTCGCGAAGACTTTTCTCTTTTTGAATTATATTTCGAAAAAAGCTTAGCAGATGAGAAATTTTTAGCAATGATTCATTTGAAATTTGAAGGAAAATGCTGAGGAATATATCAGGTTTAATCTTTTATTGAAATTTTTAGAAATTAGTTTTCCCAACCTTTTTACCCAATGATATTGATAAAATAGACTTGAGGTAAAGTCAGAAAGGAACACCAAAAAGAGTTAAAAAACAAAACAAACCAAAAACAAAGTTTAGTCGATGTTCTGTTTCATTATAAGTTCATAATAAAACTTAGATTTTCAAAAAAAACGTTTGCATGAAACAAAGGTATCATTAAAAGTTGAACACGCCGCCTAAATTTTTATTTTTCTTCAAAAAAAACGTTTGCGTTTCCATTTGAAATGATAAAAGTATGTATTTGCTCTAGGTCAAGCCATAAAAGGAAAGAGAAGATGACGAAAATCCTCGATCTGGGCAGAATATATCGCGGTTTATGGCCGTGGCTATTTGTTTTGACACGTTTCGCGCTAACGTCCTTCTTATCACTCAATGTGGGAGATTTCCCTTCGCTCCAGGGGATGCACTTTTTCACTCAAAGTGCTTTTTCAACACAATTAGGATGAGGAAAACAGTTTATAGATCGAAAACGTGTGCCCAGAGTGTCTGAATAATTGCTTTATTGGAATATTTGAGAGGTTTTTTTTGATTATCAGTACTGATGCCAGTATAAAAGAATTTTTGATTGAAATAACTTTTAACATTTCCTTTGAAATTTTTAATTGGTATCAATTGTGAACCGTTTGAATTGATAGCTTCACTTTGAGAACTACCGATGGATAGGCCAAGAGCACTCGGAGCCGCGGAACCAACTGCCTCGCCGGATATTGTAATGCCAAAAAGAAAAAAAGCAGCAGCTCTGGATGAAAAAAAAAATGATTACACCAATCTTCATGCAAAAGAATGTATCTCCTGCAATTTGGCCTCCGCAATTTTTGCGAATCACTTTTTAAGAACGAGAAGAAAGTGAAATTTTAAAATACTAATCGCCGGTAAATTCAAAAATATAGTTATGTTGTCATTAAACTTTTGACACAAAAACCAGAAAGAAAAATTATATTTTTAGATTCTTTCAGTTTGGTTTTGAATAATGAATTACCGTTCCGAAGTCGAACATCGGCTTCTAACTCCGAAAAACCTCATGAACTGCTGCTCCTTTTTTTATTTTTTTAAAAAAATATAAAAAAACCCCACAACTCAACAAAAAAATTTAGCGAAAAAGTCTTGTTTTCTAGATCTCTTTTTTTACGTTGATAATTAATGTTTCGTCCTCGTTAACGTTTTTAGTAATTGAACTCATTCCAGCCGAGATGGTCCGAATGGCCGATAGGTTAGCCGAAAATTTTATTCCAGAACATAGCCGCAACGACAGCGAACAAATGTACAAGGCACGGTGAGTTGCTTCAAATATTTTTTCTCCAAGGTCGGCGTTTTCATTTTGTTTTCCGATTTCCAGAAACTCACGAGTAAATTCACGAGCTTCCGTCGCTTCTTCCTTTGGTAAAAAACTTACGTATAGTGAGTCTTCATTCGAGCGCACTCTAGTTCCGTTCAAATTTTTTCAGTAGAAACAGATTCGGGAGTGTTAGAAGTCCACAGCGACAAGACGGGTATTCTTGACGTAATCAAAGACGCCAACATGGATGGCGTCCATCATCTCGAGGCCAAAAACCCACTTACGAGGTATTCATTTTGTTCTTAAACGAGAATATCTAAAAATCTATTAAATAGCTGATATATGTCTTCCAAAAAGTATCCTTGCTTTTTGGCTTTTTTTCGCGCTTTTTGACATGATATTTCAAAAATTTTTTTGTATTTTTTTCTGTTTTTATGCGTTCTTCCATATTCAATCAAACATTTGGTATCCACAAAATAATTTAAAAAAATATTTCAATTTAGGAGTTGACACACAGCGAGAAGTTGAAATTTTGGTTAATTTATTCATGCAACTTCAAGCATGATTAATTCATTAGGGAAATGGGATAAAGTGATTTGCTTTCTTCAAGAACCTTCCAACATATGAAAAGAAGAAGAAAAAAAAGAATGTGAATAATCGTTTTCAGAGCTTTTTTTGGATAACAATACTGGTTGTTTTCGGAGTGTTGGCGCTCATCCAAATCTACTCACAAGTCATGCTCTACTACAGTAATCCAGTAGCGACGAACATCGAAGCCGAATATCCCTCGAAAATCGCGTTTCCCACGGTCGCGATTTGCAACAACAACCAATTTCGGTTGGTCAGCACTTGGAGTGACAGCCAGAGTAGTCCAAGTGGGGGTGGAAAGCTGCCCGAGCGGCTGAGACCTGTGTAATCGGAATGACGACAAGTCGCGGCAACCGCCTGAGGCGCAAAAGATAAGCGATCCAAAGTGATGAATAGTGCATTCGCTGGCCAGCAGCTTGAAAAATGTCGCGATCGGAATCGTCCGACTGCGAGCGGTCAACTGATCGAAAAAGAACTCGAGTCGGTTTCAGGCTGACGTATATCACGGGCGGACGAGTGATGAACCGCAGGGCGAAACCTATCAGTGGAGCCTTGAAATCCATCGGACACGACTCCGCCTCCGTCTTCGATATGGTAGGAGTCGTATCAAAGGTTTTCCTGCTCACCTGTCAGGAAAGCTCGGAAGAAAGAAGGAGAACAGAAAATTCTTTTTTCAAAAGGGATTCTTCTCTTGTTCTTACCATTTCCACCATTTCCGTTTCGTATAGATACTTCCTCGATTGATGGAAAGGGCACCCAGGTAATAATGTTCAAAGTCATGGTACCTGGGCAAAAAACTTATATGAATTGAGCACGCTAAAAATTTTTCTCTTTTTTCTTGTTTATAAGAAATAAGTTCAATTTTTGCTATTTAATTTGGTAGTCGAAGAGAAGTTTCAGGTGATGCGAAAAGCGTGGGATCTGGACGCGGTGAAGTTTCTACGAAGCGCGGCTCATTGGAAGTCGAGAATGATATTGGGGTGAGTTGAATGGAATTTATGAGAGTCAAACTGATTTGCCTAGGAGATTATTTGAGACACAGCAGAAAATAGAGAAGAATCTAAAAATTCTGTCATAAACCGGCTTTTCCATGCAGGTGCACATGGCCCAACGGTACTTCTTGTAAGCTGAGTGACTTTAAAGCTGTTTGGACAACGACAGGCCTTTGTTGGGCTATAAATACAGATGCACAGAATCCTTTCGAAGTCACTGGCAGCGGTGAGGCTTTTTTTCATTGGTAACGTCGGGCTTTTAGGAATTTTCAAAGACCCGAGTCCTTTTTCTAATCCACATCACTCAAAAAAAAAGATGAAGTTCATTGTTAAACTTCGAAGTAGTGCAAAAATATCTTCTGATAAAAAAACGGACAAGGAAGGCCCCACTCTAGACCTCATGAAAAATCGCAAAAATTTTTTTTTGATGTAACAAGAGAAATTCTGGAAGTCTTTTCTTGGGAAATGAAGTTGCAAAGTCGAAAAGAAGTTTCGACAACTTTTTGAACTGACTTTGAGTCTTTTTTTCTCAAGGTGAAGAAGTTGTGATAGTTGAGACTTTCTTAATATACATCGAATGTCAATTTCAAAAAAAAAATCCGAACAGGGTCTCTAAAGTGAAGGGATCTTTGTGAAAGTAATATTACAAATTCATATTTCGGAATGTGTGAAAATGTGAAATTTTTTTTTTGAAAAGTTGCTTCGTTGACAATGATTGACAGGCAGCGGACACGGTCTTCGACTTCTCCTCAACGTGGAGAGCTACGAAAGAGTTGACGCTTGCACCAAACATTTCAAAACCAAGAGTCTGCCTGGTAGAACCAAAGTCTTTTTCTTTCTTAAAAGTACTTCTCAGGACTCAAAATACTGATTTACAACCAGACGGACGTTCCTGAAAGTAGTGAAGACGGCGTGAATGTTCCCTCGGGCTACTCGATGGACATTCCCTTCAAAATGCAACACGTACACGGTTCCAGAAACAAGTTATCATCTTGAGATTGCAGCGTCACAAACTTCCGGGTGTGCATTGCATCCAAGAGACGCCAGAACACAAATTGGCGGAAAACGACTTCGACTCGCCGAACAATATTCGGAGCTGTACCATAAGAAAGTATCGTGCTCAGAGTTGCAGTTAAAAGGAAGTTTTCTCAGGTACATGGCGGAAATTGAGGGCGCCTGTCAGTGCACCATGCGAAGAGCATTCACGCCCAACAATTCAGGTAGGGTCATTTACGAACTCTTCTCATCGGAACAGATTTTCATCATTAGGCTCCCTTTATAACTTTTTCCTCTTCTTCATTGTCAGTCGGACCTCCATAAGCGGCTAACCAGAAAACAGACTACTTAGTATGGTTTTCAAAAGGAACTTCCGAACAAGACCAAATTTTGGAGAAGTTTTTACGCTGGTCGTGAATCAGCACTCAAAAGTTGCCAAAGAGGTTTGGTTAAAAAGTTAAGGGCGATTGAAAGAGAAAAATATCAACTTTTGGAAAACCGGAACAACTCTAAAAAGACATGTTTCGATAAGATAAGTTATTTTTGATTAAAAAAAAATATCAACAAAAAATGAGCTTGTATTGGCATTTTATTTCTCATAGGAAAGCAATCATTCCATTCAAAAAACTCCACGGCGTTTGTTTAATGTAATTTTTAAAAAAAAATTTTTTTATTCAGCTTTGATTTGGAATCAGCGTTTATTATGTATTTAGAGATAGTTATCCCTAAGCTGTGAGTTCAGAATATGCCTACGGTCAAAAAAACGATTTCGACTGTATTAATACTAATTTGAGTCAGTTATAAGTTAAGGAGTAGCTAGGGAGTCGAAAGAAAGTTGGTTCATTTGTTTTTGTGATTCATGTGAACTCGCCTTCACGTCCAGCTTCCAGTGGACTTGCCAGCCTGCAACGTCGACGACTACTACGGATGTGTGCAGCCGGCGATTCGTCGTGTCCGCGAAGAAGGCACCGCCAGCAGCTGTCTCCCGCCCTGCTCTTCCATCGACTACACCGCTTGGCAGGTACCATCCCTTTTCCTTTCATGAAGTAATTTTTTCATTGTAAGAACTTGTGCTGGGGTTTAGTAAATGTAGAGAAACCTTTTTTCCGCTTGGAAAGAATACAAAATTTCATAGGTTCGTTCAGGATATGAATCGACTACCGCAAAATCTGATGCCGACTTTGATTGTTGAGCAAGATCAAGACGACGAGGATGAAGTCGAGCAGGACGATATTGAAGAAGAAGTCCTTTCTGTCCGTTTTTTGTAAGCTGTACCTCTCGACTTCAGGCTTTCTTGGCAAGTCACAACCGCGATGAAGAGACTTTCAGCTGCGAGGATAGCGCCTACCTGGACGAGAAGCAGGTACGAAGTTGCACGGAAAGTTGCAAAGGACTCGAGGTTCGCAGGTGATGCTGATCAAAAGAGGGGCTCACAGAGCCTACGAAAAGCAATCCCGGTACCAGGAAGACATTTTCTTGCGCTCCAGGCGTCTAATAACTCGCCTCAGAAATGCAATCGATGCGTGGGTTCTCGCAATATCCATGAAAACTTTCTTATTTCACATTATTCAATCTTTTCTTCTTTTAGAATCATTGATCTTATCTATATTTTTAGAATGAATAAACTCCACTGGGGATGGCATGCCAAAGACTTTGTCGGAGTTTACGAAAGACTGTCCAAAAACGTCTCCTGCTTTGCGAATTTCAGGTTAAAAAAATTGAATCGTGACATATCCTAATAACGACGAATTTAAACTTTTTGACTTGTCTGTGGCTCATAAAACAGTAGTACGTCAAAACGAGAGAGTTGTCCATAAAAAGGCGCAGATGAGTCAGACCTTTCGAAGTTTTCTATCGCTTCCAAGATGTGAGCAAACCGAAATGAGCATCTCGTTCCTCATCGCTCGTTTTTATGAAAAGTTAGTTTTCAGCGCCCGACACGAAGATTTCGTGGCCATAGTCAACAGCCACACGTTCATCAGCGAGGAGAAAAAAACAAGTCAAATATATTTTGTATGTTTTTCTTGCTCTTTTGAGCTTTTTTTCTCTTAGCTGTTAGACGAAGAAGGGCACAAGAAAAACGCAACGAAGTACAAGTCGATCGGGGATCTCAAGTCGCGGTTCGGAGATCGAGTCGAAGAAGTTGTCGAGGAGATCCAGCTCGTTTTGCGAATGGTAGGTTCTAGAATCTTTTGAAAACTGAAGACATTCAGATGGATAAAACGTGGCGGCTTTTTACCGAGTCCAGTTACCAGAAGTCTTTGACCGGTGATTTTTCCAGAATGGACAGAATCGTCGAGTTGATGGAACAGGTTCTTTGCATAGATGATTTTCAATTTCTTTATTTCAGTACGAAATGAACAAGCTGCAACGTCGTGCATGGGCCGAGAAGATGATGTCGCGACAGATGCGACATTTCTTTGACGAAGACTTCTATGACGTCAGTGGGGATGTCGTTTAGAGATAATCGCCGTTTTAAGGCCTTCTACCAGCCGCTGATGAAGGATCTAGACCAGTCGTTGGTGAAAGTCATAGAAGAGGTCGAAGAAGACTGGAAAAGTCTTCAAGTCTACATCCAGCGTGGCACCGCCGCCAAGGTGAAAACGACGGTTCTTGAATCATCTGGATTAATTTTCAAAATTTCGCGTATTTTACTATAAATACTGCGTCTGAACTGGATTCAGCTATGAACTGATCAAACTTTTTGGAGAGTCATAAAAAAATATCAAATCCTTGACAAAACGGGGCGTGCAGGAAACCGGTTCCATAAATTAAGGAGGTTGCTGAGTATTTTTTTGATGTGAAATTTAATTTTTAAAATTTTAAAATTATCGTACTAAAAAGATTTCTCAATTGATCGCGAACTTTTGGTATACATCATCAATTGAAAGATAACTCCTTCCCAGTGTGAAAAAAGATAAATGATTGATCTCGAAATAACTCTTCGCAGACCGGGGCGACTTTGTTCTTCGGCGACGCCTCGCGGGAGATGAGACGAAAATTCGCAGAGCTGGTCCTCGAAACGCACAAATGCGTCTCGGGACAACTGCGACGCGAGTCTCAACGACTTCTTTCTTCCTTCAAAAAGGCCTACCGCGAACTTCAGGTTGCAATAAAAAGGTTTTAAAGAAATTTTTTTGCTTTAGTCTGCATATGGCAAACTGTTCAAAGAAGAACTTCCCGACTATCTGGAAAATTTTCAGTTTGGACATAAGTTTGTCAGGTCAGATTTTATAATAAACAAAAGAACATTTTTTCGAACCGTTTTTCTGCAGTGACAACTTTGCGATGGTCAACATCTACCTCCACAAAATGAACTTAGAACGCTGGAGCCAAGATAGAACCTACGGATTTTGGAGTCTTGCTTGTCCGTTTTTCGCTTTTTCGTTCATGATATAGAAGTTGAGGTGACATTGGCGGAGCCTTGGGCCTTTTTCTAGGAATTTCTCTTCTAACGATCTTCGAGCTCATTTATCTGTGCATTCAGTATGGTCTGTGCGGCAAGCGAGCCCGAAAACTTACCTGTTTTCCACTGTGAGATCTTTCTTGGACTCCCTTTGGTCGACAAGCTCATTTCCAGTAACTCACTTCGTTTCGGTCATCAGACTTCGGACTTCTGCTCGAGCTGTTTCAGAGGAGGCTCTGGAGAACAGAGGAAAAAGAGTCAATCTTTCCAAAAGAGGTTTTTTGGTTGCATGAAAAACCTGGACATTTTCCAGGTTTCCCTACGATTACGATGAAAGGCATGATCAAAGGACGCCTAGCGATGAGATTTACAACAAACTGTTAGAAAAAATATATTTCGGAAAAACCACGAATTGATTCAGGAACAAAAGAGCGATTTGGAACCAACCCAAAATCTCGGATACGGCTTCAATGTCTCCAAGCGAGGTTCTCCATGTGCAAAGAACCTATCTGAGCGATTTCCCTTCAGGTCAACGATTTTTTGGAGCAAGTCCGACGGAACTCGCACCCACCTCGGTACGACCAACCATCACCAGGCGAGTCCCGGTCCCACTCTGAAAACCTCTTCCCTTTCAGTTTCGACGCGGACGATGAGTGGCGAGGAGAGGCCGCGCGAGCTCAGCGCAAATCTGCTCAGTCCGAAGGCTCCAGATGACAGACTTACCGACATCATCGAGGAAGACTCGCGGCGATCCTCCGATGACGGCGTCAGGGGAAGACGTCGTCCTTCAGAAGGTCTTTTGCCGCGGTCTTCACCCTCGTCTTCTTCTCAAACTTCTGCAGTTCCTCGGCGCTCTTCGGAAGGTGCAAATATTATCCTTCTTGATGTCACTTCATTAATAAATTTTTTAACAGAAAGAAAACTTTGCAAACAAACTGCTAAAATTATTTTGGGTCTTTAGACGTTACTTACTCTCAAAATTTGTAATCGTTTTCACCGGAACTTTTGAATAATTTTGAATTTTACAGCTAGAACAACTCCAACTCCTCTGTCTTCAAAACTGCCTCCCCCAAGAGTCAATGAAAGCGTCCATGTAAAATTTATATTGGTTATATCAAAGGATAGAAAACGTTGCAGACGAATCTCGAGCCAGAACCAGTGTCTGTGTCAGAAATTTCGGAAAGCACGACGCCGGCTCTTTTCCATGGTAATCAACCTAAGAATTCGGACATATGAAATCACTTCCTACAGTCGTCAAACATTTGATGTCTTTCATTGTATTCTCTTCTTCTCCGCATAATTCTTCTTCGGGATTCTTCATATTTGGTATCTATGAGGAAATCGTGATTCGGGACGCTTTGTTACTTTTTCATTGTTGATTTATTGACATTTTGCGATGTGTTAACAAAAATAAGAATAAAATCTAAACTGCGCCAAACTTGTCTTTTTTTTTCAAAGCTCTTCAAATCGAAGGAAACTCTTTGAAAACCTCTCGTTTAAAGCTGCAATGTCTGAGCCACTTCAATTTAATTTGTCTTCTTATACGAAATACTTCAGGATTCTAGATCTAGATTATAGGATCGACTCATTAGGGAACTACTTTGGATCGGGTACGCGTATCAAGTTGAAACTACGGTGACTTATAGACGTGGATAAGAACTATTGAAAACAGGATAGATTATCTGTTAAACCACATAGGTTTCTAACTCTACCACTGCTGACGGGGCGACCCGTCAGCAGCACTGGTAGATGTACAGATTGTCTCGAGTGTGTATAGGGGGCGCAAAGCCCCGCCCCTTCACGCCACCAAAATGACGATTTTTTTGTTGCAAAAAAACGGTTTTTGAGGCGTTTATACTAGCTAAAGTCCCTCTTTTAAAAAAATGAACTGTTTCTGTTAATCTATGTAATCGACAACGCTCTACAAGACTGAATATTTTTTTAAAACTATGTATTTTTTTCAAAAAAATTAAGCGAAAAAAAGTAAGATTTAACACGAAAAAAACTGACAAGTTTCACAAAATCGTCGCGTTTCAGAAAAACCAAGTGAGGAACGCTTCTGAATTTTTGAGTATGTTATACATTAACACTTTCTTTATTTTTTTCGAGTGAAAATGAAAAAAATCTACCGACGCGAAAAAAATATTAAAGCTTGTAAAGTGACAGCAAACTTTGAAGCTGAAATGCGAAAAAAATTTCAGCGACATGGTATACTTTTTTATTTGATTCAAAAACTCACAATGTGCTCACAAACAAAAAAATTCAAAATGAAAAATAATTATTGGGACAGCGAATCAAATTATATTTGAATTTTACCAAAAACCTCCTTTTTTTCGTCTGCCTCGTTGACGCATGAGAGAATAGGATCGCGTCTATATTTTTTTGATTATGTTGTTAAGCGTTCAAAACTATATCAATGAAAAAAATTATGAAAAAAATCGATCGACGCGAAAAAAATAACGGCTTTGAAAAACCTCGAAAAAAATGGCAATTTTTTTGAAATTTCGGAAGATTTCGTGCAAGTGTCCGTAGCAGTGTTTGCGTCAAACACACCGATGCGCCATTTTTAAATGTCGCAGGAGCCGTTTTTTTCGGAGTCAAATTGCACTTTTTCCTGTTTTTATTTCGATATAACGTTATTTTTTTATTTTTTTCTTATTTTCCAAATCGAATGATAATAATTTTTTTCTGAGTAGAAAAAAAGAGAAAAATAAGCTGAAAAATCCCTTTGACCTTTTTTCTAGGTAGTTTTTTGATATTTTATCAAAAATTCTTATGAGGATTGTACAAAAGATTTATACCAAAAGCTAAGCTCAGTTCTGCCAACCTCACAGAACAGAAAAACCGATTTTAAAAAAACGGTCCAGAAACGCGCAAAAACATTTAAAAAGAAAGTGTGCGGCAGCGGGTAAACCGTGAGATTTCGCCTCCAGTTGAACGCCGAGCGCGCTCGTTTTTTGGCCATAACTTTTTTCTTAGTGGAGCTTTTTTCAAAAACTAAACGGATTATGAAAATGGACAGTCTCCTCTATCGAACAATGTAAAAAACATATTTTTTGAATCGTTCTGAAGAAATGGCTTGCGGTCCCTAAGTGTGTACACACCAAAAGCATCGTTTTCGACGCTAAAGAAACGTCTTTTTTTTAATAGTTCGTTCAACAGTGATTTTCCAACCCCTAGAGTTAATTTTTTGATATAGTGCTAGTGTTTTGAGTGTTCACTGAATGACCCTATAGTGAAAACTTGTGATGTTAAGTTTTTATGCTCGGAGATCATTCAGAAGTCAAGGTTCAGTACTCGGGCAAAGTCGGAATGGTGTATAATGGCTGCTAAAAGGGAGAGGCTCAAAAAAGGCCGCAGACAGGCAGCAAAAAGGCAGCGAACGGCAGCAAAAAGGCAGCAAAGAGACTCCCTTTATCGAGCCTTCCATTTTTCTGGGATTTTAAAGGCTCGAGAGATGGTGGAGAAACGGAGAGGCAGCAAAAATGGTGCATAAGGGCTGAGAAAATGGTGCAAAAAGGCAGCAAAAAGAGAGCCTTCTTCACCCTAAAAGGAACATTTCTATGGTCCTTTATGGACCCTCGAGGGTCCTTCCGACTTTGCGATGGTACGACAAAATCTCAAGTCCGCAAATCTCGAGGACCGTAATCTTGTGTACGCAGATCTAAAGTCCCATAATCTTGGAAACCAAAATCTTGGAGACCAAAATCTTGGAAACCACAATCTTGGAAAGCAAAAATCAACGCTTTTGCGAATAGATTTTTTCAGAAATTGTATTTGGTGATCCAAAAAAGAGAGTATAAGTAGATAAAGTGAAAAAAAGAAGACTAAAAGGGAAGATTTTTGCTTTCCAAGATTGTGGTTTCCAAGATTATGGGACTTTAGATCTGCCTACACAAGATTACGGTCCTCGAGATTTGCGGACTTAAGGTTTTCTCGTACCATCGACTTTGCCTATGTATGTGCTTGTATGGAAACTTGTGCTGCTTTCAAAGTGATAAAATAGCACATAAAATTATCGAATATTAGGGTGTTTTCAAAACCTCAAAGGAGCTCTTCCGAGTATTCTGAACTCGATAAGTTCTGCTGCTGGGGAGTGATTTTTTCATGATATCATACTAAATTTTCTCTGTTTTTTGATATCTACGACTGTAGTTCGAATCGCTTGATTTCTCAGTCTCCGTTTTTTTTAAAGCGACATCAAGGTGAAAATAGAAAAAAAAGACGAATAAGAGGAGATAACGAAGAGAAAATCGCTATCTTTTATTCATTCTCACCTTCGTCGCCGCTTTTTTCGTCTGCCCGAGAGCACTTTTCATCCGGCGGCTTTTCTCGGTTCATTGGGTCTTTTTTTCATTTGTTTTCCGATTTCGCTGTAGATTCCTTTCTTTCATCTGCATTGAATAGGCTATATGTTTTATATATTATTAACTTCTACCATCAAAATCTAGAAAAATTGATCTTTTTGAATATTTTTTTCGTGTCATCGATTGCGGCTCATAAAGTTTTTCAGAGATAGATATAAAAATCTCTCGTTGCCACCCTCTTTCTGCGCATATTCTCACGGTTGGCTGACACTCTAAGTGTGAAACTGAAGAAAAATTTTCAATTTTGATGAAATCTTTCACTATGAAATTTTATTTGAGGATAACAGGCTTTTGGGAAGGAACGTTGTCCGAAATGCTAGAAGAAGCCAAAACTCTCTAGGGAATCGCTGCGGAAATATGAAAGAATTTGAACAAATAGGAGAAGCAGGCTTAACAAAAGTTATACCATTGAAGTTTATTTATTAAAAATCCTTGAGCTTATTCATGTGAAAATGTATGAGTCTTGAAAACTTTTTCGACCGAATTTCACTTTGCTTCTTTTTAATTTTGATAGTTATCAATCCAAAAAAATTTTTTTTGAGGCTTTTGACCATAAACTAGTAGTGCCAACTCCTAGAATATCGCTGACTTAAAAATTTTGAAAAAAAGATCGTTCACCCTGTTTGAATCTGATTTTTCTTGGCGAAATTGTTCTCTTAGACTGAAATGAACCCGACGATGATGAGCCAAAAAGAGCCGTGGCTTTCCAATTTGATATCCAAATTCTCATGTTTCCCGCTGCAGTTAACCCATTCGCGTTGTTGTTAGACCTATATGTTCGAATACACACGCCACCCGGCTGTTTTTTGTTTGTTCTTTCTTTTTTTTGCTCCTAAAGATTTCCAGCGAAAACTAAAACGTTGTTTCATGTCAATCGTTCCTTAGGTTGTAGTACTGGTAAAGTCCAGTGTTGGAAGTTTCAGAAATGTTTCGTTTACATAGCTTTCGCGTAGTCAAAAAGATTTTTTGCGAACAAGGGAAAAAATCATTTAGCGAAAAACTTCTAGAAAAGCCGAATTGCGTCTGTGATGGTGGAGCACGCGGTCTACAGAGAATGTCGGTTTCTGCCACTTCCGTCGCCCAAATACGTATGTCTTGCTCCCTTGGATTGATAGAATATTCATTCATTAGTTTGAACGTCAACAAAGCTCAAACTCAATAAAGAAGTGCCTAAAGAATATTATTTTCATGAAGTGTCGAGATGAACTGGCGGCGTCATGCTCAGATTTGGCAGAGTTGGTATTGGCCCTCCATTCCAATGCTCCGGTAAGCTCTCAACTGAAACTTTACTATAGGAGTTACGATTTCAATTTATCGTTATTGTTGTATTGAAGCATTGCGATTGTTTTTCCCTTTTTTGTAAGAAGAATTTGTGAAAATTTTCGGGGACAAGTTTTATTTCAAAGTTTTATTTTTATTTTCACACTAACAACCAATTCAAATGTGTGCACCCAGGACTTGGTTAGTTCAGAAGCGGTTGACTGAAAAATGGTACGAAGTTCAGGAGGAATTGTTTTCTTTTTTTTTCGAGAATACTGAAAAACTCGCTTGTTAATCGCAGTTTTGATAGCGCCAGCTGAAAAAATTGAAGAATTTTCGAGATCCTCACCCTGCCTGTTATATTCTTTCCGCATGAGGGTTGAAAGAGTTCTCGTGAAAAACAGAACAAATCTCACGACGTGTCACGAAAACTGCTGAATATTACTTCTGGCGCCAAATTGCCCAAATGGCCCAAATCCAAAGTGGCAAGAAATTAGCGCCTACGGCAGCGGAAGTCATTCTTCTACACGCTATTCCTTATCAGAGAGTGTAGCTTCCACAAAATCATTATTGTCTTCATGTTCAGCACATCGGTATGTCCCCAGTAGGTCTGAAATTCGCATTAGTCTTTTACGTTATGAAACTTCTCCCTTCTTTATTGGATTGGAATAGAGCTAATCAGAAAGAATATTCTTTACCAAAATTCTGAACTTGCGAAATTTATACGAAATAACTGCATATTTTGCGAGAAAGGCGAGGAAAAGACAAAACTTTTTGTCAAAGTGATTCACGGCGCAATATTTTGCATCGCGTCCCCGTTCCCGCATGGTATTCGATTTATTCTTTGTTTTTTTGTTCAAACCTTCTTTTTCCTCAATTAGATTTTGAATTCCTTTTTTGATAGTTGACATCCTGCAATATTAAACTATTATAGAAAATTTTGATCATGATCACGAGTTCTTTTTTTTTGGTTTTCTGTTATGACATTTTTAAATATTCCAGCAATCATAACTCCGGAATAAGGTTATGGCGAGTAAGAACTCGACCATATACCATTCTGATTTATTGGAAATCTGTTATTTTGCTTCGCAGGTGTTCTTGAGGGAACTGTGCAGAATGTGACTTTAAAATTGGATGTATTAATCTCTTGTATTAATATAAGTATCGACGCCGGCGTCACTGTCGGTATCTCACGTTGCTAATTTTAGAGCGCACAAGACGAGATGTCGCTGCGGGAGGCGGCGGAGCGACGGTCTCAGTTTGCACGGCTTCCAGCGCGTTCTGTAAGTGCGCCGCCTCGAAAAAAGTGGTTTCGGAAAGAACGCGCAACATATGGTAAGCTTCTGGTAATTTTTTTGAACAATGAGGAAAAACTTTGAAGAGTAGCTCTCTATGTTGCTTGAATGTGTCGTCTTCAATCATTACCTCAACATAACTTTTTAGTAGGTATTTCAAAGAATTTTTTCACATTTATTTTGCTTATCGTACAATTGGTTTTTATAAGGAAAGAAGAACGTCAAAACCAATTGGAGATGAGGGTGTAAGTTCATAAAAGCTGTATTTATTACTGGGTTACACGTGTTTAGAGCAGAGCTGCTGATCAGACCGGGGCGACCGCAACGCGCTCCGGGGCGCCCCGCCCCGCGAAGCGGTCACACTGTTAGAAGATTTCTGGACATTTACTCAATGATAAAAATGAATTTTCGTTTTCCTCGATTTCTTTGTCAGTCGAAACTCTGCGGATTATTTCACTTAAACTTCATTTTAACTTCTTTACTCAGCTAGCGGGGCGGGGCGCCCCGGGGCGACTGCTCAAAATAGCGGGGCGTCCCGTCAGCAGCACTGGTTTAGAGCATGACTTCGACCAGATATGGGAGATTCCAGAAGTCGCTTATGAAAAGTTAAGGTCTGATTCAAATTTTAAACTTCTTCAAAGCCTGAGTTTCCGAAAGTTCTCTGAACAAAAGCTAATATTTTTTGGCCGTTGTTGCGAGAAGGATATTCTATTCTTCCAGGCTCTCGCTTTTCGACGCTGATAGAGAATAAATTTCTTTAATGATAAATAATATTTTCAAAGTTCTGTTTCAAGTCTGACTAGGGTATGGTATCTCCTGATTATTGACCTGAAAATTGAGAGTTTGTGGGTTGGGCCTAGGTAAGCTTTCTCAAAATCAGAAATAAAATTCTGCTACACCGCACAGGCAATCGAGGATAAGCTCGTTGAAATTTTCCAGCGAAAGTTATTGAAATCAGCCAAAAGGATTTGAACGATGGTCAAAAAGTGGATAGTGCGCAAGACCACTACCACTATACCACTGCGCAGCTTGCTTGCCGGAGGCCTTGAGTGCGGCCCTTTACGCGCTGGAAAACTTTCGACTACTTTGCCTATGGAATTCAGCAGATTCCATTTTTGATTCTCAGTACTCTTATAGTCTGTGTGCCACGACTTGAAATTTCACCGGGCGACATTCCGCTGTTCCGCAGCGCGCCTTTGCGAACCTTGGTCGCGCTTTTAACTTTTTTCTTTTATTAAGGTGCTCTACTTTTCTGTGCTACCACAGTAAATCATTTGAAAGCGTGACCTATATTTGAAAGACGCTTCGCGAACGCGCGCAGCTGAACAGCGGAATGTCGTTCGGTGAAATTTCAAGTCGTGGCACACAGGTTATACCTAGGCATATCGAGATCAAAACCTCCCAATTCTCAACTCGATGTCCAGTGCAGATACCCTAGGGAGAGAGTAGTATTTTTCTTACGAAACGACCTAAACCCACAAAAATCATCTGCCCAGATACGGTTTCGGTGTAGGTTAATTCTGTTGAAATAACGACGAAGTCGACTGATTTTAGAAGTGGCAGGACGCTCGAGCACCGGCAACGCGGTCTGCGACGAGTTCACACGGAAGTTGGTGGCGGCCATCACCACGTGGCACGACATCCATTCCAGTCTTCTGCGTCTTTCTATCGGTTCCCTTTCTTGACTTGCCGGGGATTCGCATTACGCCGATTGGCATGTCCGTCGAGACGACGCAGCTCATACACGATTCCATTCAACTCTGCGCGTCGCCTTGACTGTGCCTGACGGCTTTCGTCATCATAGCTGATTCACTTTTGGCTTGACACATTGTGGAGCAGTTGAATTAGACGATACGTTTTTGAGAAGATTAGCAAGAAAATGGTATCCGTTGCGGATTCATACTTTTTATGAGTCTTCAGAACATTGTCCACGTTTCAGCGTAAGAATGATTTGAAAAGTTGAAAATTTTTAAAAGTTCAAAGATGATCTTCACAACGCTATATGTACCAACGTGTGAATGCTCTCAGCTCAAAGTGGTGTCTCTGAATGAGATCATGTTCACTAGAGAAATATTTTAAGCTGATTCCGAATCACTCTCAAAATGCTCTCAAGTTCTGCGAAAAAAGGTTGATTACTTTTCGATAAATTCGATAAATTCCTGATTGCGCTTGTTTTTGGATTGCGAACCGACTCGTCAACAGATCTGCCATTTATCTCATAAAAGTCCTCCGAAAATTTGTATGGAGATCTAAGAACTGTGTGATCTCGCAGAATAGCTAGGAAATTTTCCGGGTAATTGGTTTTACAGCTTTTCCTTGGGGATGGGATGAATCATTAATATATTATTAAAAACTATGGGTTTTGAGCGAGTCCGTCCAAAAAGCTGACGGTTATGTCGAAGTTTAGAAGGAACACAACGAATTTTTTTCAGAACGGTCCTCATCGGACGAATCGATAGCCGTTCTGTCCAACCAATCAAGTGAATCTGACGAAGAAGGTGGCTTTACTGACATTTTCCGAACATGTAAAATGAGGATTTCCAACTTTTCGAGCTTTCTCAGAACAACGCGTGGACTTCCCCCAAGCGTCCCGCTTTTCCATATCCAATCCTGAACTGACCGACAACCAGCTCAAGCAAATGTTTCCGGATCTTTCTGAGCATTGGAGGTACGATACTATAAGAATATAGTGTACATTTTGACACATTTTTCTGATTTTTTTGAGTTTTGAAGGTCTCCTTCGCTTTCAGAAAAAAATTAAAATTTGAAATAAAAAAACAATCATTTTTTTACAAATCTCTGAGGAAAGGGAAAGAATGAGAATAAGAAAAAAATTCCAAATTTCGAAAAAAAGAATTTTTACTAGACGATAATCCTATTTTAATTTTATTAAATTTTTTTTTTTCATGACATGAACTTCACTATTATATTTAACCTCCGCCCACGTATGTTTCATATTTAATGTTTCAAAGTTTTACTTTCTGAACTGAATGTTTCTCGAAAATAGTTCATTAGTGAGAAAAATTAAGAGTTGGAAGAAATGGAAAAGTTATTTTCTTCTTACTATCCGTAGACTAAAAAACTTGTCACGTGTCGAGAAACTGTTTTGCAGCATCTCATTTTCCTTTCGGAAAAAGATTTCCATGGGATATGTCGGACCGGAAATGAGCTTATACGTGAAGTAGTGCGAAGGTACGCATGATATTATAATGCTGTGCCTCTGCCTAATCTGCCTCTCTTTTCGTCAGCCAGGTCCTGGCCTAATCGCATTTCGTCCCGGCACACCTGCTTCGAGAGTGCAGCAGAAAAAACGTTCAGCTTTGAAAAAAAAAAATGAAGTTTCAAGTAATTGAGTTGCAAATTTAAGAGGATAATATATAGAATGAGCGTAAAAGTGTGTTACCATTCTATGAAAAAATAAATATTGAAAAAAAAAGAATAATGTTCAGGAAAATACATTAATCCATTTCAGGAATTAAAAAAGAAGATTATGGCGGAAATGTTGAGAAACGTGGCTCATTAGCTACAAGTACACAAAAAAAGTGACGAAAACCGAAGACGCCATTAATGAGCTTTCGACGACCCATCGGCTTAATTTCCTCCCAAAAATGAGGAGGGAGAATGTCATCGAGTCTTCCCTGCAACTCTTTTTCCGAGCCTTTCTCTCTTTTGACTTTGGCAGAGCAGGAGGTGTGGCCTTAATCTCGACGGCGAAAATTTCCTCACAGCGACATAATCCCCTGTAGGTGCGGCGCAGGATGGCTCGAGCTGCCGCCGTTCTCCAACCGTTCTGCTGACTATTGGCTTAGCCGCAGGTATGATGGCGGCGCTGCGCAAAGACAGCGACGACGTCTTCCTGCCCTCGTTGTCTTCGCCCAAGAAGCGAGACCGCAAGAAGAAGAAGACCGTCGAGGCTGTACAAAGCAACCCGTTGTGTCGAATAGAAGGCCCAAGTACTTCGACGTCTCCAAAGACACCCAAACGCAACAAGAAACGAGCTTGGCGTGGAGAATCGGCGGCGAGAAAACTGAGCGAGGCACTTCCGGCCGCTCTACGAAGTCCCACGCAGATTCTGCGACGAGCCAAGAAGCCTCTTGGACCGAGTCTCAGTTGGGATCCAGAACGACGCAGCAGCCGATCACCTTCCTCGACGGCACGCAGCCGAGTCCATTCAGACGGCAGTTCTGATGGAGGAGTCGTCCTTGACGAGGAGCCTCATGGAATCATCGAAGAGCCGCGTTTCGAACTCGAGCTCAGCTGTGTACATTGTGCCATGGCGGCCGACTACCGTCGTCGCATGCTCAAGGTCTGTTTTTCGAATCGGAAGGGATGTCGCTCCAGCTATCAGTTTGAAGTTTTTGAACAGTATAATGAAGGGCTCATAGAAGGCGTTGAAATTTTTTCAAAGGTGAACTTTCAATATTTTAAATAAAAGTCGAGGTACTTGTATGTTGAAAAGAGTCTTTTGTTAACTTTTGGAAAACTGAATGATGTTAAATATTTGAAAATGATCTAAATTAAAGTACAATTTCTGTTTTTTGTTGACGTTTTTTTTGAATTGTTCATTAAAATTGAGTTTCAACTAATTATAACAAACAAGGTCACGTGAGTCGATAATTTCAAGATTTATCCCGTTTTTCAATAACAAAGTTACTTACGTATTTACACTTCACTGAAGATGATTATTTTCACGACCGTTTCAAATAGACTACAAGGTTAATTATTCTTAGTCAGGCGTGATTTTCAAAGTTTGCATTAAGTACAGATAGGAGGCTTGTTAGAATCGTTTTATCACGAGAAAAAGGGATAAATATCGTTTTTGACAAAAAAAATTCAAGAGTTGGAAACTTTCTATCATCCTGTTTGTTAGCGTTTCCAAACGTATGTTTCACGGTGTCAGTAGAAACTTTCAGACGGAAATTGAGAGCGCGGTGATGCGACTGGCGCGGCGCCTCGGCAACGGACGCAGCGGTTGGCACGAAGAGCCGAAGGCGCCTCGAGGGACGACTCCGGACATCGTCGTCTCGTCCATCTCCTCCGACGAAGAGGACCACTCCGTCGACCGTCACACCAGCTCCGAACGCGGCTCCTCACTTCAGACTTCTGAAACCAGGTCTCTTTTCGAGAAAAACACTAGGCTTGCGAGTAAAAAAAAACAAGAAAAAACACGAAACTTCCTCATTTTTAGCCAGACTCGAAATATCTAGAACAAACGTCGGCCAAATTCTCTTTTTGTAAAAAATTCCACTTATTCTCCCTCTTTCAAACTATCAACGTTTCGATATTAAAAGAAACGGCTGAGAAGAAATTGAAGATTTGTGGAGGGAAGTGTGCAAAAAGTAGTTATTAAAAAAACTAGATTGGAATTTAGGCCTAGTTTACTTTTTGAGTTCTTGTAATTTTGTATCTATGTCTCAAATCTTTTTCTTCAAATCCTCGTCTCCCGTCCTTCTGTCAAGCCATGATTTATTAAGTTTTTTTTTTCCGAATACACGGTTTTTACACATTTGTCCGTTTGTTCGATGCTCGACTGTTCTAGTTACTTGCTCATAAAGGCCGATTAAAAAACCTCGCGCTAAAGTGAGTAGGAATTACTTCCTTGCACAAACTTCTTGTCACCAGAAAACCTCAATTAGATTTGATCGATGCGCGTTTTCCTGCTCTTTTTTCTCTGTTCTGTAAGCCTCATGTGACATATGTGGAAAAAAAAAGTGAGGAGATAAGCGGGCGGATTATCACGTTTTTCGCTGTGGATTAGATAAGTGAGGCTTCACAGGCTAACCTCATTCAGCTAATATACGTAACTCCGCATCTAACTGAATAATCGACCTGAGTGTATCGGTACAAAAGTTTGGACTTGCCAGGCACCGAAGATAACTCTAAAAGATCATCTTTTTGAAATGTTCTCAGTAATATCAATTTCTTTCTGAACTTTTTTTTCTTTGTTTCAGGACGCAGTTAAAATGCATTAACTATCCATTTTAATCAATTAAGAATCTGAAAAAAACTGAGAAGCTGGTGGAAAACAAAAATTCGCAAATGGAAAAGAAGCTCTTGTTGTACTATAACGAAAAATTGGTTGGATAAGTGCTAACAAATAAATGGTTAGCCAAAAAGTGGCCTTTTTTCTAATTTCTAATAATCGAAAAGTAATGCAGAACACTATTTTTAACTCTTGAGATGGAGTTGAAATGTTACCGAGTATATTGAAGAATAAACGAGAAACTTTTTTTATACCTATTTTTTTAGTATTTTAACGATGTTTTGTTTTTCACTGAAAGTATCGCTTTCCTTAAGTTATAGTAAAAATAGTATTCAGGCTTCGAGGAAATTTCTAAAACTTTGAGAATATTATTTAATTTTTCAAATTAATTATTTTGAGGAGAATAATAAACTATTAAATTTTTGAGGAGATTATTTTTAATAATTTTTTTATAAATTTTTAATTTAGGTGAGACATAGAAAAAAATTAATTGAAAAAAAGAATCCACGAGCTCAGGAAAATTCTTTCGATTAAATTAAATTTTTGCAGCTCGCCAGGATCTTCGTCGGCGTGTGGATCACCACGTGTAGTGCGCAACGGCAACGACATCACGTTTGAAACGCCGGCGTCGGACGCCGCGACGCCGCCTTCGCCGCTGCGACTACGACCACCAGCTCTGCTTTCGCCGTACCCAGACTCTGCGTCGCCTCCGCGTTCCAACTCTGTCGACTTGTCAACCTTGCGTCGGGACATCGAGCTTCTGAGCGTTTCCTCGGGGGATTCCGATGGTGCCTCGGAAACTGATTTCGAGCCGCCGACGCCGGCTGAATCTGTCCGCACCTTTCGCTCAAAGAGCCATGATCCAGCTGCCACCGCTTCTGTTTTGCGTCGTCCCAGTCGAATAGAGCATTTGTCTGAACTGTTCAGGTGCTCCGGTTGGAACAGCCAAAAGCAGTTCAATGAGAAAAATAGCGGATATTCACAGTTGATAACATTTTTGAAAAATAAAATTCGTGAAAAAATAAAAATCCGAAGCTGAAATACCAAACTAAGAATATAAATTATTGATTAAAGTTCAAAGGATGTGAGATTTTTCGTCAAAACACTAGATCCACAAGAATTAAATCTTTAAAATCTCATTTTTTCAAATATTTATTTTCCGATAAAAATTGCATCAAAGATAACAAGGTATCAAGGACAACCGAAAACGAAGGAGCCTTCCTGAAAAATATGAATTTCAAGATATTCAACTACCAGAGAGTCTAACTCGAGTTCAAAAAAACATTTTTTGGCAATTATAAAGTTTTGAAATGAAGAAGAAAATAGCCAGTTGTTTTTGAAAAAAAAAAATGAGGAAAAATTATGAGATAAAGGAGTGAAGAAATCTAATTCTGATATCTTTCTTTCAGAAAAGCGCTGGCTAAATCTCCAGTTGTGCGCCGTTCGGCGGTCGATCAGGAGGTGCAGCTTCTCAACAAACATCGCACGAGTCGATATTGGTTGGATGAACAGGTGAGGGCCGATGAGAATAGCGAACAACAATCGAATTTCCTTATCCATCAAAAATCTCTTCCGCAAAAACTATTTCTTTTTTTGTTTCTGCAGATTGATTGGCTTTAATTGTCTTTTCTGAAAGCAGTTTTTGCAGATCCAGCCGTCGGAGCACATCTGGCTGCCCTCGGCGACGAGTTCTTCGGCCTCTGCGGACTCGGAGTGCTACGTCGGCGAGAAAGACTGCCGACGTCAGGGAGAGAAACGCCGTTGCGCGGCCTGTCATGTCGTCGCTCATGCCGCCTGCTTTCCTTTGCTCGCCAAGGTGAACCAGTACACCGCTCTTGGAAAATTGGAAATTTATAGCTCGGTCTCAACTGCAAAATGACGTTTCGGGACTACGCGATGAAAAAATCGGTGCCGAAGGAGTCGCTGGACGGACTCACGTTGCACCACTGGGTCCACAAGGTTCTTTTCTCTCGAATCATGTCCACCAACCTTTTTTGGTTCTTCAGTGGAGGCACGAAGGTCGTTGCAACGGCTGCGGGAAATCTTTTCAACAAAAAATGTTTTTCCAGGGAAAAGAGAAAAAGGCAAGACACTCTTTATGAAAGAAATCAGAACCGGAAGTGTTTCGAGAGGCTGGAATGCCGAAAAAACTAGAAATTTTATTAATGAAAAATGAATAAAGGTTTGCTAAAATGGAAAGAAATATTGAAAAAAGTTGAGTTTAATTTATATTTGTAATTCTGAGTAAAATAACTGTATGCATCCTGAAAAATAACTGGATTATTTTTTTCAGCTTGAATATATTTGTGAAAGTAGCTGCTAGCGAGCGAACAGAAAGCTAGTTTAAAGCTAGGAAAAATGTTTTTTTTTAGTTTTTCTCAAATTCTTGTGAAAAGTACACAATCTGAAAGATATGATATTTCTACTTCAATTCAGTATGTATTATTTTGTTTGTACGTGAATGAATTGCCAAAAAAGCTTTATTATTGCAAATTAAAAGACGTGGCCTGGTAGCAGTGTGCCCGAGTTAACTTCTCATGCGCAAAAAGATAAAAAAAAGTTTTTGATTTGAGGAAACGATTGCGGTGACGTGTTCGTGGTGCAAAGAGTCTTACCACCTGAAGAACTGTTTCTCCAAGGAGAAACTCGCTCAGAAGTAATAGCTTTTTTTGTCTCTTCGTTGAGTAGAGATTGAGGTGTGAACGCGGAACTCTACGGGAGATGGTAGTTCCTCCCAACTGGATCTTACGACTTCCGAACAGGAAAAGAAATAAAAACAAACAAGCTAATCGGAGCCAAAAACGAGTGAGTTTTCTGCTTTCGAAACAGAAGAGAATGAAATTCCATTGGAAAAATGCTTGAATTTTCAGTCGATACGTCAGTTCGTGGTGAAACCAACAGATTTGTGGGCGGCAGGTCCTTCGCAGCCGCTCGTCGTTTTCGTCAATCCCAAGTCCGGCGGAAATAAGGTATTTTAAAGCTGATTATTCATTTTTTCAAGCCTTTCGATGGTTTTGTATCTCATAAATAACAACTTTCGCAGAATATGAAACCCTTTTCAGAAAAATAAATGGAAGAATCACTTCATCCTAACACAAAAATAATTTCTCATTCTGTCAAAATGAATAGTTATTCAAGGAATGACAAAGAATGATATCAAATAATGTCGATAGGGGTCCAAGGCGCTTCACACTCTTTGTTGGCTTCTCAACCCACGGCAGGTCTTCGACATCACCAGTCTCAAAGGTCCCAAGTTTGGGTGAGCGGTTCTGTAGAATGCAAACTGACTTGTCTTTTGTTCAGTCTGGAGGTTTTCCGGAAAGTCGTGACGCAGCTGAGACTTCTGGTCTGCGGCGGCGACGGAACCGTCGGCTGGGTCCTCTCCACTCTCGACAGCGTCAGTTCAATGTTTCATGCAACCTTGTCATTATTCGCAATGCAGTTGAACTGGCCCGCCTACCCACCGATGGCCATCATGCCCCTAGGAACCGGTAACGATCTCGCCAGGTTAGCATCGTCTTCCTGTCAACCCCGAAAGCCGTTCAGGTGTATGGGATGGGGCGGAGTGTTCTCTGACGAGCCCCTCAGCCAGCTTCTACAGGCGATTCTTCATGAAACTACCGTCACGCATCTGGATAGGTTTGTTTAAAGCCAGAAAGGGCGAAACTTGAAATATTCCACGTAAAACTTTTGGATCCAAAGGAAAATTGAACAATTCAAGATTTCTAAGTTTTTCTCATAGGTTTCGAAACGCTTCAAAATACAATTTTTTTATTGTTTTTTTTTATTGTTCGCTCACAGACAGATCTGTGGCGTGAAGGAAGAGAGCCAGAAAAGTTATATTTGCCTTCACTTCGATAAAGCTCCACTTCAATTTAAAAATATTGAAGGTCGAACAGAAGAGAATAAAAATAAAGCAATATATCAACGAATTTAGATTATGGTCTCCTGAGGTTAAATTTTGATTTGTTTTTTTGTCAACACAAACTCACTGCGGTTGAAAATTATCTCCTTTCATATTTTTCAGAGTTTTTGTGAGTCAACTCCTGCTTCCGGACTCATGACGCTTTTAACTTGCTCATTTATGCTTTTTAAAACGGTCTCTACTTTTTTCATTCAAGAAAAAAATTCTCTGGACTAGATTTTCTAGCACGTTTTGCTCACCTGCTCATCTTCAGATGGCGGATCGACGTCGAGCCCAACACAACGTGCTCCTTGGAGTGCGAAGACGACGAGGCTGTTCAGTCGGCCTTGCCACTCACCGTCATGAACAACTACTTCTCGATCGGCGCCGACGCACACGTCGCCCTGCAGTTCCACCATAGTCGCAGTTGGTTCCGAAGCCATTTCTCCTCTGAAGGAAATCTCAGGTGCCAACCCGCAGATGCTCAACAGTCGCTTGAAGAACCGGATCGCCTATGGAGGCTTGGGAACTATCGATTTGTTCAAGCGGAGCTGGAAAGATCTCTCCGAATTCATCACTTTGGAGGTTCGTCGCAGCTCAGTTTTGAATTGAAGTTTTTTTTTGATTAAATTTTTGAACTCGTTCTAGGTATACTTTTCTTTTCTCCACCAACGCAGGTTTTTCATCATTTTATTTTTGTTTACAGTGCGACGGCGTAGACGTGACTGGACGAATAAAGGAACTGAAGCTGCACTGCATTCTTTTCCACAACATCACCTACTACGCGGGCGGCACGATTCCGTGGGGGACCGACAACAGCGACGCGAAGACGAGTTGCTGCGACGGCAAGGTCGAGGTCCTTGGCTTCACCACAGCCACTCTGGTGAGTTGTTCGTTCTGCGCCCAATGATCAACTGCGGCTTCAGGCGACTCTTCAAATGGGAGGGAAAGGCGAGAGAATCGCTCAATGTTCCAGGGTACGGGTTGTGACGCAGAAGCCGATTCCGATGCAGGTTAGTGAGATTGGGCAGAGCCTTCGAATGGCCTAGAACTCAGGTCGACGGCGAGCCTTGTCTTCTTGCACCCTCCATCATTCACCTCAACTTCCACAGCAAGGTCTGCGACCAAGTACCTTTTTCAGAACTGGAAGAGATTCTCAGGTGCCGATGTTGCGTCGCGAGAAGAAAACGCCTTGCACGCCGAACCTAATGAGAAGGAACACGAGGGCAGACAAACGCGACTCCCAGGTGAGATTTCCCTTTCACAACTGCTTTTCAGGATATGGACTTAATTTCAATACTAGAAAGAACAATACTTTCAAGTAGTAAAATTCTTAATAAATTAAAATTTGGTCTTTAGGTCATCTATCCAACTCCAGAACTTCAAAATTTTTTTATTTCAAAAATTTCAATTTTAATATTCATTTGCGTGTGCTCCCTCAGCAATAGCATAGTCTAAAGATAGAGGATTTTAAAAGGAAGAAAAAGGTTGTGACGTTGCTCAGGTACAGTCGACGTCTCTAATCATGCAGTTGCCAGTGATAGTCGTCGGTCGGACTGACTACGACACGTACAAAGACTGCTTCGAAAGGCTCAAAGACACAGGTTCCGCCGGCAAGGAAAGCTCTAGACTCCTTTTTCAGCCTACGAAATCGGAATAATCAATGTGGAGGCGGAAGCGGAGCTCGACGCTGCCCGAGGACTCATTCAAAGGCTTTTGGTAGAGCACTCATCGTTGCCCTACGAGCCGGACAAGAATTGGCGTTTCCTAGATTGTTCGTGATTCTTTCGCATCCAGCTTTTTAGAAGTATTTGACTCTGGGGGACTGTTGCGATTGAAAAAAAGATCCTTTTTATTCTGGAAAAGAAACTTTTTTTCTTTTTTTCTCGGAGGAAATTTGAAAAAAATATATCCCAATTTCGCATGGTAAGGGTTTTTTTTTTAAATACGCAAAGTTTATCATATGAAACTTCCAATCGCATATCAAAATTGTCTTTTTGAAACTAGGTCCTTTTGCTTTTTTGTGTTCTTTGAAAAATCAACTTTTCTTGAAGAATCAAAAGCATGTGGTTTCACTTCTTACAGTTAAACATAACATTTTCGCTTTCAATCAAACTTCATTTCAGACGTGTCAAACTCAGACGAAGGAACTTTTCGTGTGTCGCGTCAGCAAGAAACGCTGCAATCGGTGTCGGATGTGTGCAATCCAGACGAGTGCGTCCTTATTCTGGACCACGCTTTTCCGTCCATCACTGACCGCTCCGCCGAGGAACTTTTCCACCCTCCGGCCAGGTTCGATCTCGAGTCCCGCCTTGAAAACGAGAAACCCCCACACAGCGCCTGCCCTCCGCCCCCGCCCTCACAGAACACGACGCGATCGCAGCATCACCACGGCGGTCGACGTATCTCCGAGACGTTGCGCATCGTTCTCAGCAGCGACGCCCAGGAGACCCATCTCTAGGGTGCACCAATGAGAATTATCTGTCAGAACACAAAACACGCGCAATTCATTGTTCTAGGTTAAACCTTTTTTAAAATACTTTTCTGGTGTGTGGAAGTATCGGTTATGATGAGATAATTTCAAATAGCTACCATTGATCTCGTCTGCTTATCTTAACATGAGAATTTGTAGACATGAAGAAAAAAATTAGAACATTTTCGAATACTTTCACAGATTCGAAAAACGATGGATTTCGTTTTTAAGTACTTATTGACCTCTCAATTTTTTTCAGTTTCTAAAAAAAGTGTTCCTGCAGTATTTCTCTTTCAAGTCATGTGTAGCTTTTTTTCTGACTTTTGCGATTACGTGTTCAAGATTTTCCTAGAATGCACAAATATTCATCGCGATCTCTTACTGAAAAATCTTTACGCCGATTAGTTTTTCTTTATTGATATTGATGCCAACAGTATCACACTCTGCGTATGCGTGTACATCCATAGGTGTCAACACTTTTCTTCGTAGAAGTTACATTCAAATGTACATAAATATTATTTCTAGATTATGCAAGCAAAGTTATTAAATAAAATGTCTAAAATCTCTGGTTGAAATTTTTGCAATTTAACACGAAGAAAAAAGGATGCCATATAGTGCTATAAAAAAAATTTAAAAAACATGGAAAATCAAACTCGTAAAATCAAACTTCGAAAATCCCCAGTGCATAGTTACCGATAGACATGGAAGTAGTAGTAAGCTCTCAATCAAAGCTACTTGCGAAGCTCAGGATCACAGAAATATTTGCCGGCGAGTACCTTCTTTCGCATCATTGATAAATGATAAATGTCTGACGGGGCCAAGACCGCTTCAACACCCGAAATGTTTGCGTCATGGCACTGAAAGCTGTTTTGTTTCTCCTTATGAAAAAGAAGCATTCAAGAAGCTCAAGGAAAGCTTTAAGCATCAAAATAAAGGGAAAAAAGAACGATCATGTGAATAATTTTCAACAGTACCTGGAACTGGACATGCACTTGCGCCGGTTTCCGATCGATCATTTCGAAGCTTACTTCCGGCTGAAATCAAACGGTGTTCCAAACATATACCTTATCAAAAGAAGATTAATTTTTTTACGAATCTAAAATGTATTCCGAGGATTTTCTTGAACAACTGTCCAAGTTTTTATTCCTTATTGTTATTTTCCCAGAGTTTTCGATTACAAAATTGCATTCAACATTGATAGAACTAAAGAAGTAGTAACCAAAACTAAAAATTCAGTGACTGAGAATAATTAGATGTCTAAATATAGATCGAAAAAGTTAGGCTCATGAGTGACCCTAAAAACCGAGAAGCACAGTTTTAATTATGAATTTGAGAAATATATGATAACAATTATAAAAAAAAAGCCGACCCCAGTGTTTTTCATAGATAGCCGCGTCTTCAGAGACCCCCCGACGTCGCCATGACGCGAGATTTCGTGAACTATCCAAGTGAGGGTCGCCTTCTCCGCGTTCCTGAGAAAAGAAGCGTGAGTAGGAGGAGAAGAGGAGTCGAACCATTCGACAGAGGGCTCCGAGTTGACGGCCTCGACCTCGCCGCTTACCGTCGTCGTGAACGTCACATTCACCAGAGGACTACTCATTTTGCTCTCCGTGTTCAGGCGGTAGTCTATTCGAATGTCTGCAGCTCCTTTATTCATTATGTCTGAGGACACGTTTTTTTAAAAATTTTTCTCCTATTTAAGTATCAAAAAAACTTAAAAAAATTAAAAAAAGAAAAGCTTTTGTTTCTTTTGACGGATTCTTGAGATTTCATAAGGTTTTCCCTGAAGACTTGCATTTCTAATTTTTGACTAGAGTGAAGAAATTGTCCAAGCGGTTTTTTTTTCATTTTCAATAGTAACGTTCCACGATTATAAACTTACTAGGAAACGTTTTTTAGATCTCGTTTTCGATTTTCGGAGCTTCAAACTTCACGAAATACGCAAATGACGACAAAAAAGCGCTAAATCTAGCTTTTAAAGCTTACTAACTCAAAAAAGTTTGATTGCGAAAAACCTTTTTCTCGTTCTCCAATCAGAAGATCCTAAAGTACACTTCAGCAAAGTTTCATTAAAAGTTCAAGCAGGGGCCAAAAAACGTTCCCTTGTTAGATTAGAGGAGCCATAGGTCTGAAACCTCACCGGTGTGCATAGGTTCGAATTTCCAGTAAGCGGTGAGAAAGAGTGGAGGTTGAGAATTGGCAGGGGCCTCAGGGTGCAGTTCGTACCTCACCACCTCAAAAAAAAAACTGTATTTGCAAAGTTGCAGATTGTCATCATTCTCATTTTCTCGAACAGTCGAAATACTTTAATGTTGCTAGAAAGCATAACTTCTTTCTTTTTTTTTCTGAACAAAATTTTGAATGTAATCATCTTTTCCCACATTTTTAGATAAAATTTCTTCGGTAATAGAAAAATAGAATCTCGTCGGGACAATGACGTGCAGCTAAACTCAAAACGCCTCGGACAGAAGTTTATAAGACGGATAATAAGAACCTCTGTGTTATAAAAAGAGGAATTGGGCCGTTGTTGTGCCTGAGAATTAAGCCATTCGCCCAGAAGACTTCTATCGAATGAAAACTTGTAAAGGGAGTTGTCGGACTTTGGGTCGCTGGAAGGGTCGATGAGCTGAAAGGGGAAAGATGAGAGTTCAAGAGGATGGGGACCTGTTTGTTGGGTTGAACTGTCTTGATGCTTTCCGCATTCTTCAAGCAAAACTGCAAAGGCTCGAACTCGGCTTGAGCGGCAGTCAACAGAGGAATCGAGGAAGCGGCGAAGGAAATCATCACGGTGCCGAATATGCGCTGTACATTCCTGAACAGACTTTGTGACTTCCTGAGAAAACCAAATCTGATTTTATTTCCACATTAGAACTATAGAGTAAAAAAAATGTCTCATTGTAGAATCTCTCACATTTTTTGTCAAAGTCAATCAGTTGGGATTGCAATTGAGATAAAAACCTACGGAAGGAAAGTTTATAACTGTTACAATAAATATGCTTCAATGATCGTACTGAGAACTAGCGCCTTTGAACCAAACGTGAGAATATTCGTTGACTGCCATCGCCAGCGGAATCCTTTGCTCGTTGATGGTCGCCTTGAAAGAGAAATGTGAAAATGAAAAGGTAAAGAAAGACCTGGAGCAGGTTCCCAGTGGATTGAGACAAGTTGAAAGTCGATTCTCCAAGGGAGTTGTTCGATTCGCAGGGCGCCAAGTTGAAAGACGAATTCCAAGCGTCGCCGAAGCTGCTCGTCGACTCCTAAAGTAAAGTATACCTAGAGGAAACAAGAAAAATAATTTTCGAACGACAAAAATCGCGCTATGAGACATTTTTAGTTTTGTCCTTATTTATTTTTTTCAGTTATTCCGTTCTTTATTGGTTTTTTCCCCAAAAACCTGAGAAGAAATTTTCAAGGATCGTATTACCCTTTTCAGATAAGATTATCAACAACAGAAAAAAAAACATAAACAAACTACAAAGGAAAAACCTGAAACGATCGATGGCGATCAGATGGATTGATTATCAAAACAGCTGCACAGAAATTCCATTAGAATGGGTTCATATTCTACAGAAAGCTATAAATTGCAAATAAAATTATTTTGTAAGTTTTCTTGACTTTCTCTTCGCGCGTAAGTTCTACGTTCAGAAATAACAAGACCTTTCTGTTGACTGCGGCGCCAAAATGGCCGGAAGACGTCGAGAAGAGCTGGTTATGGGTCGGAGTGTTACTTCGAGGTCGCGCACGTGCCATGCTCATGTCTGAAAACAATTAAGCAACGCATTTGAACATATTTGGATAGAAAGGAGACTGTACAATATTACGGACAGACGTTTGGAACTTGAAAATTGGCAGCTTAGAGGGCGACAGAATTTTCCCTTTTACTTTAGAGTTCAAAAAAATAATTGGAAATTTTTGTTCTGCAACTACACCTAGGCGCGATAATTTTATTGAAATATTTGATATTTGAAGAAATTGAAACTGTAGTCGTTCATTGTAAACTTCGGCATAATGGTTTAAAAACTGTTTTAATATTCGTAGTAATAGTTGATTAAGCTCGAAGAATTTTTAATATGAAGATTTAGGGATATGAAGTACTTTACTTGGTTCTATCATAGACATTTTTTTAACGGGTTGTTACTTACTAGAGTTGTATCCCATCGAGACTGAGAAAGCTGGTGGAACGTTAGACGCAGCGTAGTCGGACTCTGAATCTTCGCTTTGAGAATGACAACTGAGGCAGCGGGAACCGTTGAAAACGCTGCGGAAACGGCCGTCGGCCGTGTGATTGGTTCGAAGCGGAGCGCGAAGAGTCGCTGCACTCATAGACTGCGAGAAAAGAGGAGGCGCCGTGGAGACTCCGGCCGACCAGGGATCCTTGTCGAAGGTGCTGCTCCTGGTCAAATTGATATGGCCGATGGCGTCTCGGAGTTCATCTACAGAGGCGTTCATGTGCACGGCCTTGTCTGCTGGTCGAATTGTCAGGGCCCTGATCTTGGATTGTTGTAGGTCGTCCTCATCCTAGACCCATCTTTTGTCGACTTTCTTTTCTTTCCGAGTCCCTAGTCAACAATGATTGTAACTTGAGAACGCCTTTTCAGAACTATTTTCTGAAAACATGCCACTTTTCTTTTCATTCAAGCAACTTTGCGTTAATCAAACTTCTATAAAACTTTTGTGCCATTTGGCATTTTGTTGTTCAAAAATATCTTTCCCTAAAAATTATCTATTGCGGTCCTGTACTCTGCTCATGTTGGTTCAGAAACAGACCTCCTCGCTGCTGGAACAAGAAGACCAGTGGGTTTCGTCGGCCTGAGAGATGACGTCACCGCGGATCGTGTAGCCCTCTTCATCGATTTTCGCACAGCCTTCCATCAGAGAATCGATAGTGGGTGCGCCATTCAACTGCTAATTCTCAACATCGGAGAACTCGAACAAACTCTTTCCATTTATATTTTCTGCTCACGTTGAACTTCTCAAACGATAAGTACACTCGGTTATGTTTCTTCTCTCAAAAAATCATGAATAACTTGCACATTTGAATTGTTTGAACAAGGATATGATTCAAATGCGAACATTCAACAATTTTTTTTTTCCTGACGAAAAAAATAAGCCAAGAGCTCGCATCCAAAGCAACAAAGACCAGAAAACCGCTCAGAAACCAAAAAAAAAAAACAAATGAAGACCTTATCCTCGCTCTTTGAACTGCTGGCCGTGCTGTGAGCGTCGTCCGTGCTGCAGATAAGAACGATTATTTTGGGTTATCAGTGACAAAAGAACAAACCAAAAAGAAGTGCGGGGAGGGCCGTGGGAGTCGACGTCCGTTGATTTGCGGGAGCGCCGTCGGTCCAGTGCAAACTTCAGAATGCCTGACCCGATTCTGATTGCAACCAATGAAAACAGAACGAGACATACTTGCTGCGTTGGAAGGAGGCGTATCGGCCAACTCGTCGATGCTGCTCTGAGAGACCGTCTTCTTCCTTTTCGGCATGAATAGCGACAATTTCTTGGGCACCGTTGTCTTCTCGCTGAAAACGCCGCTAATTTCGCACATTTTTTTCCAGTTTTTCTCACTTTATCTACAAATTATTCGAAATTTCCGCAGTTCATTAGTAATCAGTGGAAGATACTGTCAAGAAACTTACGGAAATTCAAAAAATCTCACCTTTTCAAGCCTCTTAGACAAACTTTTTCCCAGAATACTTTACTTTGGAACTTTACACTACTAAAACTTTGGAAATTTTGAAAACAAATACATCTGAAAAAAATTAAAAATTTCTAAAAAAACTCCTCCTTTGAATATTACAGTTTTTCCGGTGTTACTTGATGGCCAAGATTCTCGTTCAGGCATCCCTTTTTTCGGCTTTTTCGTTTGCTTCGCGCTCAAGCAAGCGTCTACCGTCAAATCAAAAAAATTATTTAACGTAGTTAAAAAAAAAGCATTCAGGTGATCCGCAAGAACTGTAAACATTTTTCAGGGAACTCTTCAGTTTTGATTTTCAGATTCTCGAAATCCCTTTTAAAGAACAATAAGTCTTTTCCCAGCAAGATATTTTTTAAGAAACAGCTCTAACCTTTTTCAATGTTATCGTGCTATCAACTTTTCAACAATTCAAAACTTTCGAAAAAAAAAAACGAAACCTAGTTGCAGTAGTAGAAGTTTTTCTTTCGAAATCTTCTTGGGAAAACGGCGATGGTGGCTGCAAGTTACGAATATTTGAGTATGTATACCGATATTACGGAACCTTGGCGGCTGTGCTAGAGACGTGGTTTGGAGGGCCGAAATCCATCATTAGAAGGTCGCCGTCGATCTTTTTCGTGGACTCGTTCTGCACAACGCCCGAAGAAGAACAAGAAGAAGGAACGGAGCTTCCTGCATCAAAGTCCTTTTCCACTTGTTGCATTTTGGGAGAGATTCCGTTGTTCGCCCTTTTTTTTCGATTCCGTTTTTCGCTTTTTTTTTCGAAAGTTAAAACCTGTCAAGTCTAATCTAGAAAATATTAGTTCTCATAACTGATCTATGCGCGCGCATAGTTTCCTGAAAGTTAAAGATGGGAGACGAAAGTTAATACAGAAAGACCGACCAGAAATGAAGTCAAGAAGCTCTTTGTGTGGAACAGTTTGTTCGGAATGATAGATTGGTGGATTCTCGACTTCTTCAAACGTTACTTGTGCTGAACCACAATTGATAACTTCTTGAGACTGTCTAGTCTTACGAGGGCGCTCTGTTCCTGTGCCTTTGAGATTGACGAATCTGCTCAGACAGTCCTCGACATTCACTTGCTGGAGCGACTCCCTGAACTGCGCCGCCACCTGAAACCTCCTTGTCATCCCAGAGTCCGAGACCTGCGGGGAACCTGTTGCGAGGCCATTGTCATTTCCTGAAAGTGACCGGCGTAGAGCAAGACGAACTGCTGTAGAGTTGCATAGAGAGACCTGTCAAAGTTATTTTTGAAAGTCATTTTCTTGTCTGTTGTTAGGCCGCATCACTAATGTTTTTAAAAAGTTGTAAAATTAATGAAACCAAGTTATAAAAAGTCTCCGCCATTATTAAAACTCCTATTGAAATAATTCAATCACTAAATGGCTTACACACCTATCATATTGCTGGAAACGGCGACACGCTTCGGCCAGTTTTATTTCGAAATCATGCCGTACCTTCAAAAATATTCAGTGGGAACTCGGAAAAAATGACAAACCATTTCATATTTCTCTACGTAGGTTTTGTATTCCTCTCTAGCTCTAGAGGCCTTTGTCTCTAACTGCAAAAACCATTGTCATTTTCCTTGGATTGAACAAACCTTTGCGATTTCTTTGGCGCTCGGAGCGGCTTCTTTACGGGCGCGCTCTAATTCCCCGTGCCTCGTTTGATACGTCTCTTTGGCCTGCAACAAAAACGATAGTTGATTGGAACATGGAGAATGGCAGATGACCTTCTGGAGACAAGTCGTCGTGGTTTGCATCAGGTTGACCGCTTCTGCCACACTTTGCTGTTTCATCTCTTTGCGGCTTTTCCCCATTTCTTCTTTGTACTTCTGCACTTCTCGCGACAAATCCTAGTGCTCCCCATTAAGATATTCTCATTCACGCCAAATACTGACCTGCATGTTCTTAACCAACATCACATGTATCTCAGACAAAAGCTCGAGAGTTCCTTTTGTCAAAATCCAGACAGGCTCAATGTTTGACCCATTGCTTATGAAAGAATTTATCTGGAAAAAAAGCTCAATCACTTTGATTGCAGCTATACCTTTTCATACGAGAAATTCTTTAATTAAAAAGAAAACTCACTCGCTGAACGCTGCGATTAATAGTTTTCACGTATTCATCTTCCATGGACATACGTTCTTTGACGAACTGAGAAACCTCATTGAAAGCGTCGTCGCCTTTTTTCAAGTTGTCATATAAAACCTGTTAAATCCAAAGATATCCAAATTTTGAAGATTCAGAAAAACCTGATAACCATGGTGTTTTTCACCCCAAAAGTGATCCCCATATTGTACGCCTTCTACTGCAGCTGTCATCACCCTAGACAAAAACTCTTCAACAGAAGGTCGAAAATGTGAGGAAAAAAGAAAGAAATCGAAATTATTGTTGAACAGTAAATCATTGTGAGAAGTGATATCAAAACACTATCAGATAAAGTAACCACATGCGTCGAGAAAAAAAAACCTATGAACCGGTTTAACGTTGTAAAGAACTACCTCTCAATTAACCACGGAGAAATATGTATAAAAAGAGTTAAATTGCAAACCAGTAAACTATTAGAAAATAGAAAGGCTCCGAATTTCATTCTATGACGTTGTTTCCTTATTTTGAACTTCAGAACATTTTTATAAATGTTATTATAGAACTTTTTCATTTGAAAAGAAAATTGGTTCTCAAGGTTTTTGTTCCTAGCAGATTTATATAATTCAACACAGACCTCGAGAAGAGAAAAAAGTAATAATTTAAACTGGAGCTGTTATTAATATTCAGGATGTTTATTAATGAAGGAAGGAACAAAATAATACGATGAAAAAGGCATGAAATTTTGAAATCTCAAGAGAAAAGTACGATTTAACCTAAACGAAACTCCGCTCTCAAGAGCACTCGAGTTGTCGCTTAAGAGCTGAAAATAGCTCTAGAAATCATTTTTACTCAATTTTCAATACGTAGATCTTTTCCGTACACTTTTCATTTTTATTGTCCTAAACTTTCATCTTTTCTCTTCTGTTAAATTTGCATCTCTTGTTCATATAATAATTATTAAGCTTTCATATCTGTTCGGATTTTTTTCAAAAATATACCTACTCATCTTGTAGGCACTTCTAGTAATATTACTTGAGTAAATATTTTTTTCAAAATAGTCGATAGTTCAATTAAACATGAGAAAAATTTTAAAGATTCTTCTTATTACCATTTTTGATTGTTCGGGTATGCATAATATCTTTTGATAACTTTTGGTTTTTAGAAAATGTTGTTAACTCGTCGATTCCACCGCATCAGAAGTTTATCGACATTCAGGTATACTTATAACTTTTTTTATATTAGATGAAAGATTTTTCAGTGGTTTAACGTCTGAAGAGTTCCTGAAAAAAAAAGTCAATGAACCGATATTGGAGTACAAAAAAGGCAGCCGGGAACGGAAGGCACTGGAGCAAGAATTGTCGCACTATAGTAAAGTATTTTGCTTTTTGTTTAATTATTTGGTAATTTTATTTGAGAATGTAACCGAAGTTCCACTGCGGATCGGTAACAAAAAAATAACGAACAATTTGGAAAGAAAACAAGTGATGGTTGGTTTAGTCGTCTTTTCTAATTTTACAGCGACTTTTTCATAGCCGAGCGACCACAAATCAACGCTAGCTCGATTTACGCATGCAACCAAAGAACAAATTACGGTGATTTGGATAGAGTTCGAAATTATTAGATTTTTGAGTTTCAGGAAGCTATTGATGTAGCACTTCAAGCTCGTGTTTCTTGGGAGAAGAAATCTTTGAAGTTTTTTTCTTTAATGAAAAAAGGATTCTTTTTTTCTTTCCTGCAGAGACCGAGCCGAAATCCTTCTTAAAGCAGCGGATTTATGTGCAGGAAAATACCGAATGAGCTTGAATGCGACGACGATGTTGGGACAAGGCAAAAACATCATTCAGGTGCTCTCATTTATTTTGATTGATTAGAACTTCAATTATGATCATCAAAAGAATTACAGGCAGAAATAGATGCAGCTTGTGAACTTATTGATTTCTTCCGGTTTAATGCCGTTTTCGCCATGGACTTGGAGAAATATGAACCTATTTCTACTAAATTGAGCAAGAATACCTTACACTTCCGAGGGATGGAGGTTTAGAGAATGTTCTAATCCGCATTAGAAAGAAAAGGTTTTTAGGGGTTCGTGGCAGCGATTGCTCCGTTCAACTTCACTGCTATCGGCGGCAATTTGCCAACGGCGCCTGCTCTGATGGTTTGAAAAACGCTTTTTTTTCATCGAGTCCATGTTTTTTTCAGGGCAACGTTTCTCTCTGGAAGCCTTCTGACACCGCAGTTCTTAGCAATTACATAATCTACCAAATTTTAGAAGAAGCCGGTTGGTTAGAAACCTACAAGAGAACCCTTTTGTTTTCACACAGGAAGTGAAGTCGCATGATTTATCCCGAAATAACTATGGAAATTTCAACAAATTTATACTATTTCTGGTTTTTGGTCTACGATTTCGACTTTTGGAATATTTTCGTGAATTTTTCATGATACTAATTTTTGATAAATATGAGAAAAAAAATTTTTCAAAATGTTTTTTTTTCTAGATTTGGATCATTTTTATCATTTTTTTTTTCACTGAAATTGGCTCGTGTGTTTGTACGCGAATTCAGAAATAAAGAGACTGATTCGTTTTCAGGCATGCCACCTGGAGTCCTCTCGTTCCTCCCTTCGCATGGCCCCGATTTCGGTGACGCCGTGACATCATCTCCTCATCTGAGGTTATTTTCCAGCCGTTGCAAACTTCATTGGTTTTGTTTCTAGTGCTATCAACTTTACTGGCTCCGTGCCAACTTTCAAGCATCTCTGGAGACGCGTCGCCGACAACTTGGACCGTTACGTCACTTTCCCTAAACTCATCGGAGGTTTTAGCATTTTTCAAATCCTTCATGGTTATTCATCTGCAGAGTGTGGTGGGAAAAATTTTCATTTCATTCATCCGTCTGCACACCTCGATTCAGTAGCCACAGGTTTTTTCAACATTTGTTTCAATATACTATTTAAACTCCGTTTTCAGGAACAATTCGGTCGGCGTTCGAATATTCTGGTCAGAAATGTTCGGCCTGCTCCAGAATGTACGTGCCGAAGTCTATCTGGGAGACGCTGCTCAAGAAGTTGTCGGAAATCCACTCTCAGCTGAAAGTTGGAGACGTTCGTTCCTCCTGTCCAGCCATATATGGTCATGGGTAGAATTTCAGGTTCGAGACGGCTCTGTTTTCATGTCTGCCGTGATCGACGACAAATCTTTCGACAGAGTCAAAAAATATATAGGTCCGCTAAGAGTCTTTTCATATGCATTGCTCAATCTGAAGATTACGCCAAAACGGGAGCTGATGGTGCGAAAATTCGCCTCGGTGGTACTTATGACGACTCGAAGGGATATTTCGTTCAACCTACCATCATCACGGTCACCAATCCGAAGAGCAAACTTCTCACGGAGGTTTGCTAGTTTTCGAGAAGACTCACCGAGTTTTTCTGACTCTAAAGGAGATCTTCGGCCCTGTTCTGACGGTGTACGTGTACAACGACGCTGACGTCGACAAGGTGCTCGAAAGTGTGAAAGACGCGACTCCGTTTGGTCTGACCGGCGCCGTTTTCTCTCAAGACAAGGACTTCCTCTACAAGTAAATGCGGCCTTTTGTTTATGAGTTGACTTTTGATCAGAGCTCGCGACGTTCTGCGAGACGCGGTCGGCAACATGTACCTCAACGACAAATCCACTGGTTCCATCGTCGGACAACAACCTTTCGGCGGCGCTCGTCTCTCTGGTTAGTTTAATCGGGTCGTATCGCCTTTCAAGCCGACAGAACTTCACATCAAAGCGTCGATTCGTTCAGGTACGAACGACAAGGCCGGCGGCCCTCACTACGGAATTCGCTGGACGTCGCCTCTGACCATCAAGGAGACCTCGGTGCCCCTTTCTGATTGGCGCTATCCGTCCATGGACTGAAAATCCATTTGTACCCACCAATTGTTTTTTTTTATCCGGTTTTCTCATGATTCCTCGGTCAAAGTTTGTAGAAAGTGTTAGCTTTTGTCGTCGTATTTAGATATTGGACATAATAGATTTACATAATAAAAACAAATTGCATAATAAATAGCTTGAAAGCCCCACCAGTCATTATTGCTTTATCCTTTCGTTACTGTTTTTTTTCGCACTCACCAATGAATTCGTTATTATTATTACTTCTTTTTTTCTCTGAATCAGTATGCGGTTTTCGCCCTGCAGCTATATTTTCCACATTTTGATTTTTCTTTGAGTGATTTTTATGCAGAGAAACGGTGATGGGCTGCGGACAAATAACAGATTGGACGGATGTTTCTTTCGAGTGTGAGTTCGGCTTTGAACTTTCACTGGCAGTCATTTCCCTCATGCGGAGGAACACGAAACCTTTTATTTTTTATGAATTATGTTTGAGAAAAAGAATGATTCCAAAGAAAAAAGGAAATTTTGAACTTGCAGTCGGACGAACGGCTTTGCGCTCGTGGCGAGAGACGGGCGTCCGCAGAAGCGAAGAAGCCGTCGAACTCTGGGAACACGTCATCAGCCGATCTCCCCTTACTCTCGGCGACGAACGGTGGCCTGTTTACGAGCAGGTAACACACAATATTCACAAGTTAATCGTTCAAATTTTTCTAAAATTACGAGAAGCACTTTTCATTTATCAACTACAGCCTTCCACACAAGTTTAATTACACCTCGAAAGATCCTATAGAAAAATGACTAATTAACCTAGCAGAAAACGTAGTGCGGTCGAAGTAAAGAGGCTCAGACATTCCAAAAACTCTTTTTATTTTTGAAGATCAGCTTCATCTCAAAATAAATCCTCCTCATAAAATTTTTTCAAAAAGTTACACTTAAAAGAGTCAATCGGATCGATGCAGCCGAACTGGTAGAAAAACTGAAATGGCCTGTGAAATTATAAAAAATTCTTATAAATACTCGAAACTTTTTTATTCTCCTATTTGACGTTTTTATAGGATGTTCAATACTTTGAGAGCTCGGAAAAGCTTGAGTCGATCCATAAGAGATTCTAAACAACGTTATATCTCATCCTTCATATGTCATTTTTGAACAAAAATTACGCAAACCATTTTAGTTGGAACCGACTATTCTCAAAAACAAAAAATTTGTGAAAGCTTCAATATTCAACTACAACAAGAACGTTTTTCAGAAACCATGTAATTTCAAGCAAAAAAAGATCTTATGGAAAAAGTTGAAAATCCACTTTTTAGTTATTTTCAGTGTTTGGGAGCTAGGAATTTTGGTTCGTTCTGAACACCTCATAATATTATTTAAATTTGTTTAAAAACGTTGTTATGCACAACATATAAAAAAATTTTTAGTAGATTCTGATCGCTTACCAGACCGAATTTATAGCCAAAAAAACCAAATAGGTTTTTTTCGTTATGGCCAGCACTGTATATTGAATATCTCAATAGAAGTTCAGATTTGCGTAGCGGCTCTAGACTGTGCTCGCGTCGATCTGGCGCAGTCCTGCATCGAGGCTTTGGAGACGAGGTTCCCGAACAGCAAACGCGTCCAGAAGCTGCACGCGATGCGTCACGAGGCCACCGACCAGTAGGCCCCTCTGCCGAATCGCCAGATCACTTCTTAGTTTTCAGGTATCCGGCTGCCGTCGACATCTATGATCAGTTGATTGAGGCTGATCCCACCAACAATGTTGTCTCCCATTATTTTGAAACATTTCAAATCGATTTCAGGGCTTTCGGAAAAGAAAGATTGCTGCGCTTTTGGGTCAGGGAAAACGTCTGAGCGCGATCAAGGAGTTGAATGAATACCTCAAGGTGTTAACTTTGTTTCACATTTTTCGCAACTTCTTACTTCAGATTTTTCTGAATGACGTCGAGGCATGGCTCAAGCTGAGCGAGTTGTTTCTCCAGGAAAATGACCTTAGCAAGGCGGCTCACTGTTTGGAGGAATGCGTCCTCGTCTCGGTACGATAGCAACGAATGCATATAAATAATTAGTAATATTAAGCCACTGAATTCAATGTATCTACGGCGGCTCGCGGACATCCGCTACACTCAGGTGCGATCCTTATGGGACCTTTTTTGGTTCAAAATAGCTTTCCTCAGGGAGGTCAGGAAAACATAGAACTGGCGCGAGCTTACTACGAGAGAGCAGTCAAGCTTCACCCCAACGACATGCGTTCGCTCTATGGAATCACTTTGGTTTGTCCTCAGAGATTCGAGGTTTTTGAAATTTCCATTCAGTGCTCTAATCAACTAGCTTCGCTGCTGAAAACCGCCAGTGAAAAGAAAAAGTCGGCACAAACGGCGTCGAATTCTCTCAACTCCATCATCAACAGATATTCAAAAGTGATGAACTTATTTTTCGAATAAGAATAACATTATATCTTTCTCCAGGTAAAAAACGATGAGAATCCTGAAGCGGATTCCCTTGTAAAAACTCTACAGACACTAAAGAATAATTTTTCCAAATAAACTTCTTCTGTATGCTATTTATTAACATTAATAAACGTTATATTTATTGCGTAAAGTGTGATTAGTAAATACAATTAATTTCTAAATACATGTAATAAACTCTCAAATCAACCCCGGAAGAGTTTTGGGTTCGAAGTAAGTGGAGAAATGGGCCTCGAAGAAATGAATGGAATACTGGCAATACTGTGAAACGTAGTAGAAACTGCTCCGATTAGGCGAGACGTTGGCAATTGGAACAACGGTTTTGTACAGTGCACGGGACACAACATAGGAAAATGAGCCCGAGAGGAAAAGTGAAAATTGTGAGCAGAACGAGGCACAGCAGGCAGCACATGTCCGTTTGGCGCGTCACCACCCCTGCGTGCTGAAAATGAATTTGAAAATTGTAATCTTTGGAAGAAAAAGAGAAGAAAGTAACAGAGGCAAGAGCTAAAACTTATCGAATTAAGGCTCTTTTTTTTAAAACTATTCACAAATAGCAACTACCAGTCAGGCTTGTTCGAGAGCCGGCCCCTCAGCCTGTTTTCTAAGCCCGCCCTGACCTTAGTTAGGCCTCAACCAAAAATGCTTTATTACGATAGAAGTCATACTTTTGCTCATTTGTTCACTAGTAGTTCAACAGAAACTATGATTCAACATATGAAAAAAATAATTTTTTTCGGTGAAAAATGTTTTAATGAAATCTAAAAAAATTTTTTTCGAAGCCTGGTCTGGCCCAAGCCCGGGGGCATTGCCGCCCGGACGCACAAGGTGCTAACATTGAAACTTTATGAAACATATGTTGGTTAATCAGATTTTTTTGTTTACTGTTTTTTATTCACCAATAATAAAATTTTCGAAAAAAAAGGTAGTTTTTGGCCATTAAGCAGTAGGAAAGGGAAGACCTATCAAATCAACACGTCTCTTTCAACTCTCGAATATGAAATGGATTATGCGATATTTCAAAGAGTAACCACGGAAGAAAGAGAGAACAAAACGTACACAATGTCGGCACTGGATACCCTGCTGGATGTGGACGACGACGTTGGCGGTCGTCGGCGCCACGTTGGCTCGTATCGCCTGCACAACGGCGTCGTTCGGCTGCGGAAGACGCGTTTGTGCTGCAAAAAGTTCCTAATCAACGTATCGTCATACCCATAAGAAAAGGTTTTTTCTCATTCTTCAATTTTTGGATTTCAAAAAGTTTGAGATGGACATTCCGTCTAAAATCTCCACTCGAAGTGGTCGCAACTAGATAAACTACGCGCAAGAACAAGAAGGTAAAACCATGCTTTCAACTTGATTAACTACACGCTAGGATTTCTAGTTCGCCAGAGGCGGTTGTTCGTTATAACTTCACAAGTTCTTGTTCTAATCGGATTCATCAACGACTGAAAACAAACAAAAAATTGATTCATAAACGACGAATTCAGAGATAAATTGTAGAATTAAATATTTTATGTATTCTCCACAGTGGGAAAATGAAAACTGGATTCTTTGATGGCCTTTTTTCACAGCTAAGGCTTTGCTATTGAAAAGAAAGCGCCTGGCAATTAGTACAGGCTGACCCAGTAGTACACCTTGAGTGTGAGCAAAAACAGCCAAAAAGCCAAGAAGTGACCAAACTAAGCTAATTCATGAAAATTCCCGAACTTGAGAGGATTTTCATTAATAAGACCAGGTTTGTGCGAGGACCGGCCCAAAAAGCTTAATTTTTTTCAAGTCGAGTATCGAGCTTTTTTTTTTACGACAAAAGTCATTTTTTTTTGCTTATTTTTTTAACTCCGAGTTCAACAGAAAATACCGTTTAGCGAGTAAAAAGATATTATTGGCAAAAATGTTTTAAATGAAATTTAAAATTTTTTTTTTTTGAAGCCTGGCGTGGCCTGACCAGGAAATGGTCTCGGGTCGCAGTGGGGCCCCTGAATGAGACCAAGTTTACAAGATGTAGTTTTTTACGCTGATCTTGAAAACTACCGAGGAGATCTGTGAAAAAAAGTTATGGATCTTCAAAAGTTGAAAAATTCATTGTCTCCCATTGAGCTCATTTTTTGTCCATATATAGAAACAAATTACTTTTTCCCAAATAAAATTTTAGGCATAGTTTTGATTTTTCAAAGCAAAGAAATTTTCGACTTTGAGGGTCCATAACTTTTTTCACAGATCTCCTCGGCAGTTTTTGAGACCAGATTTTGAGTCAGCGTGAAAAACTACATCTAGTAAACTTGGTCTCATTTAGGAGTCCCCCTGCGACCGGAGACCATTCCCTGGTAAGCCCGCGCAGGCTTTTTCTCAAAAAGAAGGCCCAAAGCACGGCCTGACGCACAAGTCTGAATAAGACGTACTAATGAAGGGCGGGGGCTGTTGGTAGTAAATGGGCGGCTGCTGGGGTACCATCGGCTTCGGTTGCTCGATTCCGCCGTACGTCGGAGCCGCCGGATAGGACATGGCTGCTTGGTAGGACGGCGGTGGCGCCATTTCCGTAGGCTGACCCTGCATGTCATTCCCATGGCTGCAAAGAAAAAGTCAAAAGTTTCTCAAACTCAAAGAATTGTCTATTATATCGTTCAAAACCGAATTACAACCACTAACAACATTCTTGATAACGTCTATGAAACTTAGGAAAAATTTCCTTTCAAGAACAAGTCTTTGTTAAAATGCGAGATATCATGGTCCCAGCCTTTTGCGCGCAAAAAATTTGAACATTTACTGAAATAGGCCGCACCCCGGGGTGGGATCCAGCCGACGTAAGTTTTCGATTAAGAATTCAAATTTTTTTCATTTCTGTCAACCGTAAACTGCACTAAATTGCAAAGTTCGATTTCTTTTAGATATATTATTTCATTCGAAGCTACGGAACTTTTTGCGAACCGGTCAAAAATTCTACGTATTGGACAGAGACAACCAATTGTGGACTACATGAAAACAAATGAACTTGAATGAACAAAGAAAGGAAACGAACTTTTGTTGGAAAACTTCCGCTTCGACTGCCGGAGCCGACGTCCCTCTATGTTCACCACTGCTTTGAGCTTCCTGATTCGATCGGTCGTTTATTTCGCAACAAAAACTCACGTCATATCCTGGAGGGTTCGTAGGAGCCTGCATCTTCTCGCCCATTTTCTGGAACTTCAATTTTTCTTGATATGGCTTTTAAAACGCATGATAATGTGAAGTAAGATGCGAAAAAACGCAAAAAAAAATACATCAAATCACCAAGAATTTGAACCCTTTTACTTTTGAGCAATTCGAAAATGGCAATCAATGCGAAAACAGAAAACTGATAAAAGCAGTTCGACAAAAAAAAATTTAACAAAAAAAATACAAACAAACGTAATAATCTGTAATATCTATGAAGAAAAACCTAAAAAAAAGAATGAGTGGAAAGGGAAGGGAAGAAAAACCAAAACACGCCGTTCAAGTAGAGGTGCAGAGCCTGTAAAAAACACAAGAGCGCGCTATCGATCAGGGCACACATGGGAGGAGGGGAGAATACAAGAAAAAGAAGAAAAAATCATTGGAAAAGAGGGAACGGAGACGGGTCACACGGGCTGAAACGTGTTCCTATCGCAGGTGCATGACAAAACAGTCGGAAGATAAAAAGTGAAATCACGAAAAAAGGCACCAGAGAAGAGGAATTTTCGATACCTCATATCTTTTTAGCAAATTTTTCACATGATCCATCACACTAATTTTTTTTTCGGGTTCTAAGAAATCAAATGAAAACGACCTCGACCTAATAATGATGTAATGAAAATGAAACTTGAATCTAGTCTAGACGATATTTCTAAGGAGGCATTGAAACCAATCTTCGCTATGGAGGAGCTCTCAGCCTATAAAATATCCGAAAAGTCAGATTGAAAATCTTTAAACGAAAAGGTCAATGGAATATGTGCTTCACAGAAAATGAATGATCAAGATTAAGAGAAATATCAAAAAAGGTCTTACTGATGATTACTGACGTTTTATGTAGTGAAAAGCTCTAATTTTGAGACTGAAATTTGGAAATTTTCGAAAGAAACTAAGACTGTTGAAAGTGCTGGAACCTTCTCAATGAAAAAAGATTGAAAAAAAAAATTTGTGATTGTAAACTAGTGCGAAACTACAAATTCAAAAAAAAAACCCTTCCACTTTTTCTGAGAGTTCGAAAATAAATGTTTGAAGCACACGTATACGATAGCTTATCAATTCGTTTACTGACTTTTCTATGAATACTTTTTCAGGCTGAAACATCCAAACTTTGATTTCTCTCTTCTTAATGTTCATAGAGCCTTCGGGTGAGGTCATTCAGGGCTAACGCGGTGAACGCGAAGCGGAATCATCAATGGTTGTTCGTCTCCGACGGTCACAGAATGAGTTTCGTCCCGGAAGGTGTAGCGAACGTAGAGGACCTTGGCCTCGCCAGGACAGGGGTCGTAGAAGCCAGGGAGCTGATGCTTGGCGGTCGCGTAGACTCGCAGCTGACTATCGTTGACCATAGCCTGCAGCGGCACCGCGACGTCTATCGTTCGCGTTTCGTCGGCCATCGGATAAGCCTTGGTGGCGCCAGGAGCGCTCTGGCCGTAGCGGGCCTCCAAAATGATGACGCCATGGCGAGACTGCTCTTCGCGTCGGATTCGGTCGGCAGTGGACCTCATCAGCGACACAACGTTCGCAGCTTCTTCTCGCTTGGCCGAGTCGACTTCGCGTTCTCCGTCGCGTCCCTCGTCCGTTATCATCGACGCAGCTTTGTCCCACCATGACCGGAAAACATATTTCGTCACCTAAAATCCATTTTGATTTCATTGAATACTCCAATACATATTTCCTTTTAACTTTTGCCTTCAATGCTCAGTTATTGGATTCCTTTTATTTGAAAAACTTGTTAACATTTGAATAAATCGGCAAACTTTCAAATGACAGTATTATTTTGATGTTTCTCATCAAACGCTCTGTAGCCTTTGCTGATTTTCAGTTTTCGAAGAAAACGTTTTCTATCAGAGCTAAAGATAGGAGAATGACTTCCAATTGAAAACATTTTTGGTTCAGTTGCCTGTTGATTTTATCTTGAAAAAAAAAATGAGAATTTCGAATTTTCGGAGCACACAAGAAATAAAAGTTGAAAGTTCTAGAGAGTCTACCGAGGTAAAAAATAAATTAAAGATTGAGAAAATCGAAGTACATATGGTATTAACAGGCTCTGTGGAAATGCTGGTTAAATGAAGAATAAAACGAAACATTTTTTTTTCAAAAGCTGTACGTTTCCAAGTTTACCCTTCGATTCGCAATGAAAAGCTCTATAAATTACCGCTTTGAACTAAAACACCGTTTTTTACTGCCCCTATGCCTTCAAACGGAGGCAATATAATTTGGTTGGTTCTTTATTAATAAACTATTTTGAGCTTTGAACAGTTGATGAACAAGAAAAAAAGACCTGGACGAGGAAATATGGGGCGACGACGCCGTAAATGACGCTTCGCGCCAAGGCGTCTTTGTCGTCGCACAAGACGCACTGCCATTCAAACGACGATTGGCCTGTCTTCAGTCTGAAACACGGTGTCGGACAGTGCAACCGACACTCGCCTACTTGAACTTGGTGGAGAGTAGGCAAGAAGGGAAAGCGAATTGTAGAGAGACACCGACGCGAGAATATCGCGTCAACCTCCGCTCGACGGTCAACGCCGGAGCAATGCCGAACGTAGTCATTTGAACTGAGGCCTCGGTGAAGGAGTCCCGCTCAGGTTGTCGGCGGTAGTACACCAATCTGACGTTGGAATTTGTCGGTGCCAACTGCAAGTATTTCCATTTTTCCGATTCTCCAGTGAAATGATCACGAGCTAACAATTTGTGGATGGGGAGAAAAAAAAATGGAAAAATTCTAAAATCCCCCTAGTGCAGAGACAAAAAACCACAGTAGGTAATTTTAAACAAAAGATTAAAAATAAGAAAATTTACAATTAAAAAAATAATAAAAAGCTCACAATCCTAATGAACCTTAGATCTTCAATTATATTGCTTCGCCTGTTGAAGTGACTTTGTTTGGGTTAACAAAAGCATAAATCGTTTTTTATATAAAAAAAAACACTAAAAACTTTGTCGGGCGAAACAACCTTTTCTGATCTTTATTTTGATAATTTTACGCTTTGAATGTACTCATAAAATCAGAAAATGAGATAAAAATGAGAGTTCAGAGAAACAAGAGAATAAAGAGAGATAAGAGAGAAAAACATATAAAAACAAAAATATTACAAGAGGAATAGGAATATGATAAATTAGAAAGCTTCTGAGCTGGTATGAACCTTTTATGCAAACTGGACTTTCTGAATCTCACTCAAATATAGAGTTCTCAAGAATAAGATGTACAGTACTGGCCATAAAGGTATTTCAAAGTGGTTATTCGAGCATAACTTCTCTGAAAGTGACTCAAATGACTTGAAACTTCGCACAGATTTCGAATAGCTACGCAGTAACATTTTCTCAAAAGAAGAACTTACTTGCTTGAGTCAGACAGGATTTGAAAGCAAAAAACCAAAAATCGTGAAAATGAAGATTTTTCTCTAGAGATTCGAAAAATCATATCTTCAAAGAAACTTTTTTTTAAAAACAGTAAAACAATGTCTTCGGCTTTCCAAAAAACCTTATCAGCCCCTTACCAACCCGATAATAAAAGCGTAGTGACTTTTTCTTCGAAAGGCCTTTGCGTTTTGACGCCTCGTCATTCAAATGGACTATACGAGGTCATTTTTGTTTGAGAACACCCTGTTTCATGTTGAAAAACTTCAAAACCTCCTCAAGAATAGTTTCACACTGTTTTCCTCAGCTTTCTCACTTTACCCGCTCTTCAGAACTCACTAACTTCTCTGGGAACGATTTTGAACCTTTGATTCGAACAGTTTTTCTGGACTTTCGGGCATTCAAAGGAGTTTTTATCTGATCAATCGCTTTTCAATCGTGAAATCGAAAATAAATAATGAATAAATTACAGGCTCCTACTTCCTAAAGACTGCTAATTTTTTTGCTGAAGCATTAGTTTCACAAGACCAAAAACTTATTTTTCCCATAAAATTTAAAGAAACATTTTACAGTGCCTATTTTTCGATCTGAGAGCTAGGAAAAAGGAGTTACAAATTTATCTCATGAACTAAAAAAATTTAAAAAAATATGAAAAAAAGGGGTTTTTTTATCATCTTTCACAAGATTTGGAGCCTTCTAAGCAACACTTGCTGAAACGAAGTTTTGAGAACTTTAAGAAACTCATTATAACTCAATATATCTTTTGAATAAGTAAGCGAAACACAGTGAGTCTCCTTTTATTTTCATTCATCAAGGTTCTGGAAAAGCTTTGGAATTTGAAATGAGAAATCGAGAGTTTTCTGATTTTGAAAAACGAGCCGCTTCCGCTTCAAATCAGAGGTTCAAAATCGGTCCCAGAGAAGTTAGTGAGTTCTGAAGAGCGGGTATAGTGAGAAAGCTGAGGAAAACAGTGTGAAACTATTCTTGAGGAGGTTTTGAAGTTTTTCAACATGAAACAGGGTGTTCTCAAACAAAAATGATCTCGTATAGTCCATTTGAATGACGAGGCGTCAAAACGCAAAGGCCTTTCGAAGAAAAAGTCACTACGCTCTTACCATCGGGTTGGTAAGGGGCTGATTAGGTTTTTTGGAAAGCCGAAACCTTGTTTTACCGGGGAAAAAAGTTTCGGATTGAAAATCGAAGTTTCTTTGAAGATATGATTTTTCGAATCTCTAAAGAAAAATCTTCATTTTCACGATTTTCGGTTTTTTGCTCTCAAATCCTGTCTGACTCGAGCAAATGAGTTCTCCTTCTGAGAAATAGTTACTGCGTAGCTATTTAAAATCTGTGCGAATTTTCAAGTCATTTGAGTCACTTTCAGAGAAGTTATGCTCGAATAACCACTTTGAAATACCTTTATGGCCAGTACTGAAAATAACACTAGGAAGGTGATAACTCTGATAACTAGTATGTCCAAAAAATAATAATAATGAACTAACGGTTAGACTGACGACGGCCTTGGGCTGGTGAGTGTCGGCGGCAGTGTGCACCATGGTCGTGGTGATGGCGCTCTGGATAGGCGAGAAATTGAGGATGATGCTGCCTTGCCAGCGAGATCGCAGCCGCATCGAGTAAACCAAACCAAGAGAATTCGGGACCGGCAAACCCTCACTTACTCAGCAGCACAGAGGGGACCAAAGCCTCGTGCAGGAAACTGTAGGTGAGTTGTGGCTGAACAATCACGGCCGCCCTCTTGAAGACGTTGCGAGCGACGCGAACAGCCCATCCCGCAGAGTCCGGCGACAATGTCACCGTGTTCTTCAAAAAATTATCATTGAGAAAACACCTCGGTGTATCACATAGATGTGCGGAAATGGTTTCAAAATATTTCGAATCATACTAAAAACAAATCTAACTTTCAAAATTTCTTCAGATAGTACATGGGCAGACCATTTTTAGAAGCCGGCGACCCCTCCTCCCAAACTTTCCTAAATTAAAGTTATTAATACCTCCGTGGATCTAAAACTTGCAATATTATGGCCAAAGCTGTCTCCCCGAGGTAGAAGATCGATTTTATTACTAATTTTCCAAAATTTTTGTAAGCCAATCCCTCCTCACGGGCTGAATAAGTTCTGCACTTGTGCAACTATTCTTCATAGATGAAAAACCTTTAAATAGATCTCGATGTTTCTAATTGAAACAGTTTTTTTTCACATTTTTTGGATCGAGCCTACCTCAGGATCTTCGATTATTCAATCTGCAAAAGATAGAGATCGTTCAAAAACGAAAAAAAAAAACAAAGATTGAAGAGTTAGGTGGTATGAAAAAAATACCAGCGAAAATTCGAAAAACGACTTTTCCGATTTTTTCATATTGCTAGGGAACTTTCCGTCCGGGGAAATTTCCGACGAATCTCTTTCCGACGGTTTTTTTTTTTGCGATAAATACTTCGTTTTGAATCTTCCTATGAAAATTAGGTAGTTTATTCATGATTGAAACACAAAGAAATAGGAGAAAAATATTAATAGATGTTTTATAAACCGAAAAATATGAGGGAAAAAGTCGGAAAGGGATTCGTCGGAAAGGTGGCCGTCGGAAAGTTCCCTGGCAGTATGAAAAAATCGGAAAAATCGCCGTTCGAACATTCGCTGGCATTTTTTTCATACCACCAAGAGTTAATAGACCTAATATCTCTTAAAACTACAAAGTCATGTCGAAACAGTAGAAAACCGTAAAAAAAAAAGTTAGAAAAATCATGTACTGAAGATAAATTTTAAAGTTATTATAAATAAGACAAAATTTCACCGCTAATAAAATATAATAAAATCTTCGTTTCTATTTAATTAAAAAACCTCGACGTTAAATTGGCCGGCGGCTCTTTTCCAAATGGCCGAAACGTTTCCGTCACCTCTCCCGTTACCGGTTTTCACTCGGCCCACCAACCCAAGCCGGTCAATACCTTGAGAAAAATTTCCTTGAGCAAACTGACGGCCTCAAACCTGTGAACGCACAATCGACGGATTGCGTCAGGGCAATGCCAACGAACTGTGGCGGGTACCTGATAAGATGAAACTCCCGTAAAATAAACACCTTCAAAAGGTACCTGTCTTCTGGCTGCTCGTGAAATAGTCCCGTGAGCGAAGTTTTCATAATGAAAGCGCTCTGAATCATGAAGCCGTTTCCACAGATCAGCTGTTAGATTTATTTGATTGTTTTGATGTTTTATTTTTTTTTGTATTTGTCGTGCTGATTGCGGAATGGCGAATAAACACTTGAAATGAATGAAAATGAAACGGAATGAAAAAAAGAATGATCGGCAAATAAAAAATTCTGCGTGTCAAGAGGACAGTAATATCATACCGTTGGATGAACACGCTGCAGCATGAGTTCCCGCTCTTTTAGACGTTGCAGGAATTCGTACTCGCGTCGGATGCTGTCTGGATTGGCGGACCTTGAAACCTTAAAAAACAGTATTCGGAATCAATGTCCACAAGGTAAACAAAGGAAAGTGGTGGAACTACGAATTAATGAACTGATTAAATGTTCACAAACCAGCTCCCAGCCTTGGGTGTCCAGACCCTGCACTCCAAGAGCATCGTAAATTGCTCTCTTCTTGGGATCCATCAAAACTGAAAAAAACATGTACGAAAACGAAAAGTGTAAAAAAAAATAAACAACAGAAAATAGCTACCATTTCGCAATTTTACTCTCAGAAGTTTTCAAAGCAAACAACCTTCATGAGCGCGACGGATCTGCACAAAAACGCGTTCGGCATCACGCTTATCAGAATCTTCAGTAAAACGGTCGGGATGAAACATTAAGCATCTTTTTCGATAAGCTTTTTATAATGTCCTCTTCATTAGCCTTCAAATTCCATAAAATGATTTTCATTATTATAATAAAGGAAACGTACATCGCGTGGAACGTTCAAGATGGCATAGAAGTCTATTTCCTCTTCTTCATCAAGAAGGAAATCTGCGTCTTCGTCATCTCCGCAAAGCGAGTCCCCCGAAGAGAGAGACATCCTGGGAAAAACCTTCTGAAAACATAAAAAATTTTTTAGAAAAAAGTACAATAAATAAAATATGAAAGTGGAAAAGTTAAATGTTGAAATAGGTAAAATCAATTAAAATAGTGAAAATACTCTTTATTAATGTACCGTTATCATTTTGAAATGAGAAAAAATATACAAGACATTTTGAAATCCGACGGCAAGACACTAATTTTTTTCCTGTTCCAAACTGCTTTGTAGCCTTTTTCTCGCGACTATGGATTCGTAAGATAACATGTGACAAAAAACCTCAGTCGCGCGCTTGCCAATCTACTTTCTATTTCGAAATGTATATACGTACGTATTAATAATAATATATTAAAAAAGATACTCTTCATTCATGACTGAAAACGAACGAAATTTACGCCAATAAAGATCGCTTGACACAATACTCGACCATGGCTTTTGTATCGTACGACTACTGATCCCATATATACTAAATTTGAAAAACGAAACTTGAGGCAACAGCAAAAATTGAAAAATCAAAAAGTTACACTAAACTTATTTCTACAAATATAATGAATCCCCTAACGGTTTTTCGTATGTTTCAAGCGGAGTTTCAAAAAAAGTCTCAAGAATTTATTTAAAACCAACAAAGATGATTTTTACTTTTAGAGACTACGTTCACATAAATCTCTTTTCCACATTTGGGATTTTCGTAACCTTCATGGTCTTTGCCATTCATTCCAGAACGGCTTCCGCCATATTCAGAAGCTGAATTTTTTTACTATAGTTAGATTATTTTATGCCTGAAACATTTCATTGGCTTCGCGTCTTCAGAATCTTCTGCACCTGTCTGAAAATTTCCAACATTTCATATGGCAATAAAAAAAATGATAATTATTCAAAAGAGTCTAGAGAGCTTAATGTACAATTTTTGCAAAAATTTTCTATGCGTCCCAAGGGAGCAATCTCCTGTTTAATTCAATAACTTATAACTTAAAAACTCAGTAACCATAACTCAATAGTTATATCGGAGAAATTTATTTCGGAGCAAGTTTTTCCAATGATGCGATTTGTTGGTTACAAAGTATTGCTCGAAATTCTTTCACACTCACACACCTGAAAAAAGAATAAGCGGCGACTCCGGTTGTTGTCAAGGCGACAACAAGAGCCGGGCGGAAAGAACTAAATCAGGCCGCCGTAATGTGTCGTCTCCGTCGACTGCTTCTTTTCTCCGTCCTCCTGCAGCAGTACTGTTCTTTGCCATGGTGCAAGTACGCTGTCAACCTCACCAAGACCGGTGTCCCGACTGAAGGTTCCGCCTAGCTTGTGACACGAAACAAGATCTTCTTAGAGACCACGAATCAAGTCATTGGAAAAATTAATGCCGCCGTGCGAAATAAAGTCATAATTTCACGGTTTTTGAAACTGCTCAACTTCTGAGAAAAGAAAAGCAGAAAGTAGTTCATGTTAGATAAAAAATGATGAACTTCTTGGGTTTCTTGAGCTGAAATTTTGTTAATCATATTTCGAAAAAATTTCATCTTTTTTTTGAGAGAAAGATACTTTGGCTAATCCCAAGGTCCAAAATGGTACCGGGACTGTAATAGTATTGTTTTGAAAGCGCTCTTTTCGCAAATGGTTTCGCTGAAGAAACAGACTACTCGGCCCTTTGTATTCGGAAAAAGCTTTCGAGGAAAAAAATAGGACGTTCAAAAAATTGAAGATGAGGACTGCATCTACTATTACTTGCTAACGCGGGAACAAGCAAAGATTGGTCAAAAAGACGCTCTGACGGCTTTCCCACCACCTGGAAAAGAAATTGCAATAACGGTAAGGATAATAACAATGAAAGATGAACCTTAATAGAAACTAAAGGTCATTGAGCGATGCTAACCTGATTACATTTGAGATAGAGAACGTCGTCATCCGCTACGTTCAGCTTTCCGGCTCCTCCAACTATCAATTCGATATCCTGGGAGACATTTTCTTTGTGATTCGTTATGAGTTACGGCACTAGAAAAGACTTCTTCAGAACTGGCACGACGATCGTCTCAAATGGGACTCATCGGAGGAAGATGGCGAGGAGAAGAATGAATGGCACAACGTCGAGCACTTCTATCTCTTCAACTCCCAGGGAATCTGGTCGCCTCACCTAATCGACCACACGTCAGTTCTTGAGTCATCTTCAGTAATCGCCTTCAAATGCAGACTTTGCATGAATCAAGAGTCGTGTCAGTATTCGCTTGATGACGTCGACGTGACTTCATCTGGTCTGGTATATGCGCGTTTGCAGTTCCGTTATTCTGCAAGTTGCGCTGTCGACTATAAAAAGTAAGACTTTTTTGTGATTGAAATTCTGCAAAAGAAAAAAAATGACTTCATTCTTCTTTTACTGTGAGAAATTAACCCAGAATATCTCAAGTAGCCAAAGATACTTTTTTGAGTTATAAATTATAATTCAACATCTTGTTAGTTGAAAAAAAAATGCAGATTCCCTGAGGAACACGACACGTGCTGTATATTCTTCACGGCTTTTGAACCAGCTCGGAAAGTGAAGTTCGAAGTGGAAGCCAGACAGAAAGAGGCGGTGGTGCGGCCGGTCTATGCGCAGCGGATGTACAATCGGGAGATGCGACTCGAGGCTCTCGTTCGAGATCATTCGCCTTGGGTGGTGACGGAACGCTCGGTGTCTGTGGCTCCGCTAGAGATCGAGTCGCTGGAGGCTCTCCAAGTCTGCGTCGTCGCTCAGAAGCAGATGAGCACCGTCAGGCTGGCACTCACTCTGCCGGTCACTCTCGCCACCTTCGTTATGTTGGTCTGTCTTCTTTTTATCTTCTCATATTTAGAATGCCTGGAACCCCCCCTTACGAGAAGCTAATTACAGTTGGTCTTCTAATAATTCTACAAACTTGCAGGCCTCGCCTTTGTTCGGCGACCTACGAATGCAACTCTTCGTGAAGATGTTCACTTTGCTGTTGCAGACCATTTGCTTCCTGTACCTGTGCTCTATTACGCCGCCCAACGGTTTTCTAGGGGTTCGACCGCGAATCTGTAATTACAATTCTCCTCCCTAAGAAAAGTGTTCATGCAGACCTCCTCTACGAATTCATTTTTACGATGAGCTTCATCAGCATAATGATTACGCTGATGTCGATGGCGTTCAGCCGAGTGCGAAGAAATGTGCCGCCGTCCCACCGCGTCTACCTCGTCGCCAAGCTGGTAGCTTCTTTGAGGACTTTTCTTCTCATGGGAGTTTCCATTTGAGATCAACCGAGTGATCTGCTGTATTGAACCGGAGCGCGTCGACGCCTACCAGCGATATGTCGACGCGGAGACCGAGCAGAGGACCACTAGCGAAGTGGACTACACGCAGGACTGGCGACACATCTATCTGGCCATCAACAACATGTTTTCGGGAATGACGTTTTCCTGCTTTCTCATCATCACCTTCTTTGAATTTTTCTAATGTGATCTGCGAGAACTTCATAATGGCTCAAAATCTTTGCAAACAGTGATTTTTCTTCGAGAAACGAAAAACGCGGTGAAAGTTTATTTTTCTTATTATATAATATAATATCATCAACGTCATTTAATTTGTACTCTTCAATTCCAATCAATAAATTGAGGTTATCTCATTCAGATAGTGTACTTTGTTTGAAACACAGTAAACGGTTGGCGTTATTGGACGTCGCCTGGATGACTTCTTCAAGTTCGATCTTTTTTATCTGAAAAAACTCTTTTAATCATTACCCTGCACCTTCTATTTGGAACTATGGTTGTTTTGAATTACCTCTGAAACGAATTGAGCAGAAAAGCGTAAGTTAGCGGGCTCGTTCCTCTCTCCTTTGCGAGGACCAAGCGCAGGTGAGTCCGTTTCGAGCAGAATATGACTCATCGGAACCGTTTCAAACACCTTTCTGGCCTATAGATGAAATTTCCTAATTGAAAAGAAATTTTTCAAACACGTTTCTGAAACAAATATTGTAGAAGTGGGATCACTTCCTCAACGTAAAAAATGGCCTGGCCTGAAAGACGCATTCAGACAAATATGTTGCCTAATTTTTTGTGTCAAAAGATTTTTTTCTGTTTTCTAGATCACATCATGAAGTTCAAAAAACTTTTTGCGTGAATCTTGAATTTAGTTTTCGATATGCCCTGTGTCCACTTTCGAAAAAAGTTCTTTTATGCTCGTTTACAATAGACTCCCTTGACGCAGTTTTTTTTTTCAGATACCATATGAAAGACAGTGCACTGGAAATTTTCAAAAAAAAGTTCCCACTGACATTTTCGCAAGAAGCGAAGCAAGGGGGCACCGAAAGAAAAGCTCCATCTGCAACGGCTTGTTGAGCGTCTTCGATGGTTCCATCGTACGCGTGCAACACAACCTTATTACCCGGAAAACGCTCTTCTCGCAGGACTTCAGTCGTTCGACGAGCTGCGGAGCGAGAATGAACGTTTCTGAAGAACAAAAAGAAAGGTTAATTTGCATGATCTAAACAAACATAGGAAGATCGAACTTCAAAGCCAAACGAATCTGACGACGGAAAACTTCTTCTTGAGTTTTCAAACCATCGGCTGTGAGTTTGAATTGCGACGTGGTGTGGTCCAGGCCGATCTCGCCGACGCAGATTGCCTTATCATGATGTTCTTGGAGATGCCGCTCCACTTCGACTATAGCGTCAAGGCGAACACCTCGGTTGCGCTTCTGAAAATCCTATTGCTGGCTTCCTGAGTTCCTGACTAAAGATAACTGCCTAGTTGGGTGTGAAAGAGAAAATTGCATTTTTCTTGGCGCTACTGCGATACTTGGACATTTTCACTTCTTGAGTGCGTGAGAAATGCGAGTCCGGTGCGGTGACAAAGCGGTTCAGTTGCGAGGTTTTCAATCTGCCGCCACTGATCTCGTTTTTAAAGGCATAGGGGCAGTAAAAAATGGGGTTTCAGGTGAAAGCAGTATCTTATATAGTTTTTCTTTGCGAATCGAATGGTGTACTCAAAAAAAATACAGATGTGACAACTTTAGAAGAAAAACGCGATTTTACTTTCCCGCCTTTATTTTTGAAAAAAGCTTTGGATCGGCATACGGACAAATGTTTACAGTAGCCGTGAACGCGATGTTGCGGACGTCTCATTAGACTCGCATTTTTTGAGAAATAACCGACTCTCTGCTTCAAATTAAGGGTTTCTTTTCTGAAAAAAACGTTTAGTCAAACAAAAAACACACACCGATAATAAAGGAAACACAAATAATCGCTATCCCAATCGAAACCGCTGTAAAATCATCATTTTTCACCAAAGAAGCATTTTTGCGATCAAAGTTTGCAAATTATACATGAATCGAAAGCTTTTGTGACGAAAAGAACTTTGGTGACAACAGAAAAAATTGAAAATTGAAAGAAACGGAGAAAAAAGCGAGAATCCGAAAAATGGCGGAGCCTGTTGTCCATAGAGCGACTTTACTGCAAAACCCCCTTTTTCGCGGGAACTCAAACTTTCCTCTCTCCGACTTTGAATAATTTTTTCTTCAAAACTAGGAACTTCTGTACGTTTTCAAGTTCACCGTTCGATTCGCAATCAAAAGCTCTATAAATAACCGCTTTGAACTGAAACACCGTTTTTTACTGCCCCTATGCCTTTAAGATAGCTATTAGAACGCAGGTTTGGGATATTTTTGTTGGAATTTATGGAGCCGTCAGGCTTAATAATAGGTGAAAGTTTGAAATAAATGATCATTCAACCTGAATTGGATGAACTCCAAAAGCGCAGAACGCAAATCGAGGATATCGTTCGGCTATTTCCAGGACACGCTTGAACTGATTCACAAACTCGGGAACAACTACTACACCCTGAACGCCGGCCTCTTTTGCTCGTTGAATGACCTCGTCGACGTCTTCTTTGAATTTATTATCCGCCAAATGACAGTGCACATCTATCATTGGAACAGCCGGAATGGAAAGTGATAGAATAGTTGTATGGAGAAGACTATCAATAAAGTAATTATGGCGTCCTCCGGTTTTGTGACCACGAAAGGCTGCAAATGACTGAAAAGCAGATGAAACAGTTCATTGCACGTATATACAAGTTCAAAAAATTATTCTAACACAATCTCATTACTTGAATTTTGTCGAGGGAAAAAACTTGATATTCGGGCCACTTTCTTCGGAACAATCTTCTCTTTGCTGTTCCCGCCACGCTTCCTCTCTGATCTCTGAGTCAAGGCCACGGGTCGCAGCTCCTTGGTCGATTCATCCGGAATATCCGCGAGTCTGCAACTCACGACACTCATTTGATATTCTAGCGCGTAAACCTTGCAGGAAAGTTGGAAGAGGATGTACTTTTGTGGAAACCAGAAGACTTTTTCTGAGATTCGCTGGTGACAGCATGATTTTTAGTGCACACGCGTGCAAGTAACGCCTTCGGAACGGAGATATCAAATGAAAAATCGAAACTGAAAGTCTTTGAGTTGAACGAATACTTTTTTTTCCCAAATTACGTCGAATCATCTTTATTTGCGACGACTATCGCATCTAGTTCATGGGGTGCGGTAGAAATCGGCGACTTTCTTTTGGAACTACACGGCCGTGCAGCAAAAACGTCTTCTTCTTCTTCTTCGTCATATTCTTGGCTGCCATTGTTCAAGACAGAATTGACACTCAAACTCTGAAAAAGAAGCTCTTTTTCAAAAAAGGTCAAGGAAGAAATAATTAGCTGAGAAATAGTCGAGAAGAGGTTCTAACTTTAGGAAGGAAGTTTTCTTTTTCTCGCTGTCCAAAAGTTCGGTCGAAGCCGAGAGAAGGTCGACGTGGCGTCGGCTCAGCGAGGACCGCCCTCAGCCGTTTATTCATCGGCGTTTCAGCATTGAAGTCTTCCCGAAGCCTCTGCACCTCCCGTTTCAAGTCCTACACAATCCTATCAAGTCATTAATGTAGAAAAGCGCCAACGTTGATTATTTCCTCTTTCTCCTCCTTCTCCTTTTTAATTCGCCGCACCTTCTGCTCGTGATGTTGAATTTCTTGTTGCGTAGACTTTGCCTTCCGCTTCAGATCGTCAATTTGTCTTCAAAAATGTGTACAAACTGCGAATTTCGGCTGGGCACCTTCTCAGGAGAACAGTGAACTTTCCTGCGTCGACGTCTCCGTTCGCGCTGATGTATTTCGAAAGAGATGCTTCTACGTCATCCACTGTCGCCGTCGTGAGCAATTTATAACTTCAAAATATGAATAGAAAGAGCTCCAAAAGTGAAACTTACAAATGAGATGCTCGTAATAATGCCTTTGTTTTATGGTAATCTTTTTCTAGATTTTGGCGGTCATCAGCGATAAGTTCGAGTTGTTGATTCCGGGAAATCAAGCGTGGAATTTCCTTGGAAATTTTTAGCTCGAGCTTCGTGATCTGCACAAATGCTCGTTATTAAATTGATTCCTTAATGAAACCTTCGAAAGCAACTTTTTCTTCTCCTTTTCATGCTCCTCCACTTTTAACAGAGCTGCAGACGAATTCTCCCGTTCTCTTTGCAGTTCTAAAGCGAGAGCTTCAGCCTAAATAATACTATAAAAAAGTTGAACTATCAGAAAATAGACAACCGAAAGAACTGCGAAATTTCTCCAAAGTTTCGAAAATTGAAAACCTTTTCTGAAAAATCGACAGTTGAACAACCGACATTTGCCGCCAAAATTTCTTCGAAGAACAATTTTTCGATGATTTTTTGTCTGTTCACGCTCCTCCGACAATTGGGACACTCTTTTTTCGCCTAGAATATATGTTATAGAAATATTTTGGAACAAAAAAAATTCACCTCGAGCCATTTTATGACACAAACAAAGTGAAAAGTGTGGCCACAAGGCAACGCAGAAATGCTTCCGGAGCCGGTGAGCAACGCCAAACAAATGGAGCAGTTGGCACGGATCCCGATGCCCTCTGACACTTCGACATCCATCTGTCCACGTTTATGAGGGGTTCAGTACAGACATTGTGTTCATCAAACATCAGAGCGAACTCAGCGCGTTGAGCAGAGTGAGTCAAAACATTTAAACGAATAAAAATTCATTAATAATAAAAAAACCCGTGAAGTGGAAAAGAAACATAGGAAAGGTGATTGAAAGTTTTATTCAACCTATGCATATATTTTCTTCGGATAAAAATATCAGCTGGCGAATATTTTTGTGCATGTTTGAGTAGAGATCCAATCCAGGGTCGTCTCCAAAGCGAGATGCAACAGTTTTTTGATTTATGAGCGCACGTTGAATCTATAAACTTCCGAAATTTTCATAAGGAAATGATGAGCTGATTCAAATAGTGAGAAGAACATTGAAAGATAGAAGATAAATACCCGACACAGATTGGTCCAAGGGGCGACCAGAAAGCTTCTCTGGACTTGTATGTAGAGACGACTCATCCTGTACTGCGTCGCGATCAGCAGCTTTTCTTCCCAGTTGAAACTCGGCGATTCTAAGTAGTATTCCTCGATGGCGCGCATAAGTCGTGTCATTCGGAATCGTCTAGCTACTGTCAACAGCTCTTCCAGGATATGTCTTAATAGAATGAGCGTTGAGAACGAAAAATTTTCAAATTTTAAAATGGACTGACCGCAAAACGACCAAGTCATCGTAACGTGCTGTCGCTTCAAACAGTGCTTCGAGAAGCTTTGGCTCCAACGGCTCAACAAACGTCGAAACTCCGGCATCCTAATAAATTCTTCTTGGAAAAAGTATGCGACTTTCAAACATGTTGGACGCGCCATTTTTGAAACAAATCACCGCCGGCAATCAAATTCAGACGTATGACGTCGACGTGATGAAGCACTTGCTTCCGGAGACAATTGTCAAAATTCTAATAATGTAGGTATTTTCGCTTATGAGATCGAAAAAAAAAACCTGAACAACGAAAGAGCGACTGCTGCTTGGCTCCTTGAGATCAGTCAGAAAAAGCATTCGTCTGATCTACGAAGAAACAGGTTACGATGAAAGTGAGTTTCGAATAGAAAGATTAAACACACTCTAGCTGCAACTTGCAAACGTCCTTCTTTTTCTTTTGTGATCGCATGGCCTACAAATGTTTCGTTGAACCACAAGCCCGCTCGAACCTCAAAATAAGAGTGATATTTTTTATCTCATGGAAAAACCTCTCGACGCAGCTTTCCGTGGCGAATACACAGGTCACCTATCAAGGGCCTCTCTCTGAACTCAACCGGAATGAAGTAAACATGAACTAGCCACTCGGCGCTCTCTTCTTCGATGTAGTCTTTCTAAAGTTCAGAGGGAAGTAGCCTTGTAAAGGGAGGAAAAAATTACTTTAATAATAATTTTTCCTCCAATGAAGTCCTTTTCGAACTCGAACTCAGAACTCTCGAGTCTTGAATTGAGAACGGTAAACCAAATGTCCATGCAGAACACTGAGAGAACTTGTTGTCCGTAACTTGTTAAATACTGAAATGCTGCTTCAAATTGGTTGTGGCGAAAATTTTTTTATTTACAAAACACTGTTGAAACTTTCTAATGCTCTTTGATACGATGATTGGGAAGGGGGATGCACGAGACAGGGTATGGACAGAGAAAAAGTCGGGTTGTACAAATCGAATATATATCAAGTTTTTCACGACAAAATTCACGTTTTTGCTCATTCTTTCACTTAGAGTTCAACAAAAATTAATTTTAAAACTGAAAAGAATTTTTCGGTGAACATGTTTCCCATGAAATTTTAAATTTTTTTCGAAGTCTGAGCCCGCGCAGGCTTTTTCTCAAAAATGAAGCCCAAAGCCCGGCCTGGCCCAGGCTTTGGGCCCCAATTGTTTAAAAAGCCTGCGCGGGCTCGGGCCGCGCCGGGCTTTGAAAAAATCTTGAATTTCATTTTAAAAAAATTTCACCGAAAAATTATTTTTACTTGTTGAATCATAGTTTCTAATAACTTCATGAAGAAAAATAAGTAAAAAATCCCACTTTCTCGTTAAAAAAGCGAAAATTCGAAAAGAAAAAAGTTTGAGCTTTGTGGCGAGAGGTTGACGGGCCGGCCCTCGCACAAGCCTGCTTGAATGTAGAAAAAAAATTTACGCGTTATTAGAAAAGGCGCTCCAGTTGAGGGGTGTTTTTAGGGAATTTACACCAGGGCGTGTTTACCTTCATATTGTTTTTTTTTTTCAAATGAAGGCAGGCTTGTGCGAGGGCCGGCCCGTCACCCTCCCGGTCCCCCGACCATTTTGTAAGCCCGGCCCGAATCGCGCAATTTTTTTCATGTCGGATATCAAGTTTTTTTACGACAAAAAAATTACGTTTTTTTGCTCATTTTTTTCTCTTGAAGTTTAACAAAAACTATGATTTGAGTAGTAAAAGTCACTTTTCGGTGAAAAATTTTTTTAATGAAATTTTTAAAATTTTTTTGAAGCCCGGCCTGTCGCACAAGCCTGAATGAAGGTGCTAAAAATGTTAGCTGTAAACATTTGAAAAAAATATTTATTATACATTCAGTTTTGACAGTCCGGGTAATTTGCGCTTCAAATGAGCACATCTAAGACGGGAGATCTTCATTTTTTTCTGTTCGCAAACTCTCAGTGCAAATATCTCAGAAGCTAACTTCTTTGTTGAAAAAAACTCGTTCTATTTTTCGAATATTCCTATATACATATAGTTTTTGCTTTTTTTTTCTTCTGCTTCATTAAAAAAATATTTATTTTCAATTTTTTTCAAAATTTTTGATAAGAAAAAGGTGTTTAAATAAGTAATGCGGAATCAGTTTTTTTCTTTGATGTGATGTGAAAATGTTTCGGGTGCCGAAATAAGATTTAAAAAAAAATATATATAACGCGTTAATTAGAACCTTGATAACGGTTTTCACATTCCTATTTTCGCGAAATTTGATTTTAATGCCGCGTTAAAGTACTAACACAACAACAGCGAAATCGATTGGAGTGTTTCGTTGTCGATGTTAACAGTCCTTAAGGGAACTCTCAGTTCTATCCGTCTCATGTCGCCTAATTCCTTTGAACGACGACGTTGTAGTTTGTTTTCTATTTTGATTCTTCGGGTTTCTTATCATATTTTGATTTTATTGTAGTGTACTTTCATGGTTTCAAGATCAAAACTTTCAATCTCACTTTTTCCGACTTTTGAAAGGGCTTCTTTTGGAGTACATTCAGTCGTCTTATCCTAAACTTGAGAAAGCCGAATAAATATGGGTTTTTTTTTTATACTCCAGGGATTTTTTTCCGTTACGTCATCCACTTTCACTTTCACTTTCCGATTTTTTTTGTGTCACTACGCATGATCAGTGTTCTCAAATATATTTAGGTTCAAAGAAAAAAAAAAATGACAACTACACAACCAGCAGACGTTCAAATTGTCAAATCTATTCCAAATGGGGTCAAGTTTGCTTTTGGCGGATTGGCCGGGTAAATCTTTTTGTCTCTGATAGGTATAGCAAGCTTTTTTTCTTCTTAGAATGGGTGCTACTCTAGTTGTTCAACCTTTGGATCTTGTCAAAAATAGAATGCAACTTTCCGGTACTACAGGTTAGGAGTTCATTTAGGCAGAATTTTTCCTATTGTTTTACTTTTTTTTCAGGAAAGAAAGAATACAGGTCAAGTTTTCACGCGCTAACATCGATCATCAAGAACGAGGTAGAGAACAACTGGGAAGAAGTTGAATCATTCATTTTTTTTTCAGGGGCTTTTCGCAGTTTATAATGGCCTTTCCGCTGGTTTATTACGTCAAGCGACGTACACAACCACGCGTTTAGGAACCTATACCTACCTTCTGGAGAAATTCTCGAAGTTTTCGAATTTGCGCTCTAAACCTTAACTTTCTGCTTCTCAGAGATTCAGCCTCGACGTCGTTCGCAATGAAGGCGTCACTGGGAATGGCAGCCGGAGCGATTGGTTCCTTTGTTGGGACACCCGCAGAGCTTGCGCTTATCCGGATGACAAGTGGGAGGAAGTCAGAACAAAATCGAAGATTTCGATATTTAGGCGATGGCCGATTGCCGCCCGAGCAGCGACGCAACTACAAAAGTGTCGTCGATGCGCTTTCTCGCACCGTTCGCGAAGAAGGAGTTCTCACTCTGTGGAGGGTTCGTCTTTCTTTTCATTCGAGCGCCTAAAAATACTTACAACGTTGAATTGAACATAGGCATACAAAAGAGCTTTTAATGTCGAAATGTGCATCGCGGCATTGGATTTGAATTTTTTTTTGGTTTGCGAAGCTCTTTGTTTAGGTCTGAATGATTTTTATTGTCTTTTTTCGAGTGGCATCGTTAAAATTCTGTTTTTTTTCCTAACAAAAGAAGTTTTTTTGGTGGCCTGTTGATGAAGCTTCAAAGTTTGCACGCTGATTAAGTACTGATAAGGCAGAGGGTATGGTGTAGTGGTTATCGTCCTTGCACCGCGGAGACTATGACCAGGGTTCGAATCCTTTTCAAGAAAGTATCTTTTGCTAAAATTACTTTCTAAAGAATCTATCGGAATTTTCGAAATCGAACAAGTTTTTCATTTTGAGTTGGTTTAACAAGATTTTTGATGATACTGAATTTTACCGGCTCATAGACTGATAAAACAGATCGCGGAAATTAAGTTGTACATGGTTTTCAATCATTGGTAAAACCCAGTAGATAATTCGTAAAAAAAAAAGTTAAAATTTACGTATAAAATTTGAGAAGAAAATCTTGGTCGATTCCAACAATGTTATAAGATTCCTCACAGAGAATTTTTGGCAAAAAGAGATTCTTGAAAAACATTGGAACCCTAGTCGTAGTCTACGCGGTGCAAGGACGCTAGTACCACTACACCACGCTAGCCACTGGAGAGGAGGCTTACACGACGCAGATGCCCTCTGGCCTTGAAGTACTTATTCAGCGTGAAAATTTTGAAGCTTCATGGTTCGTAAACGAGATCCATTGCGAGAAGTTTTGTTCGTGTTCCTGAAAGAGGAGGTCTTAAAGCACACTCCAGCAAAGTTTCATCAGAAGTTCAACCGGCCATCAAAAGCACTTCCCTTGTAAGACTGACTCGAAGTTTTAGGGCTGCACTCCCACTGTTCTGCGCGCCATGGTAGTAAACGCGGCTCAACTTGCGACTTACTCTCAAGCCAAACAGGCTCTTCTCGGAATCGGCTACGTTCATGACGGTAAGCTTATTCTCTTTTACAAGTTTTGCATGAAAACTGAAAAAAAAAATTTGAAAAAAAAAAACTGAAAAAAAAAACTTTTTTTTCCAACCAAATAGTCGGCAAAAACACTACCCTGGCAAACTCAAATCTCTCTTAACTTTTTTTTCTGTTGATTTTTTTCTGGATTCCTTATATCGTTTATGGTATAATCTTTCTTATTTTTTTGTCTGAAGCTCAAAAAAAGTTGATCAGTCTATACATTTTTCGAAATATTACAACTTCGAAAAATTCCATAAGTTTACCGTTTTTCTTGTTCTCCTTAATGTATAAATTTAGTCAACTATTTAATTATTTATTCCGCGTTCAAAGATACGTTGAATAATATAAGGAAATGCGGCGAATTACGGTTAAGAAGCCACTTGACAATACTTATTGTTTCTGGGAAATACCCTTGAATCTAATTCTCAGCGCGCGTCAAATAAGCTCTGATCGTGGCATCGAACTGTGGGTCTTGAAGAAGTAATTTTATAAGTAGCAGAAGATGGAAGAATCGAGGATTTTCAGGCGTTTTTTGCCACTTCCTCGCTTCTATGGTCTCTGGTTTAGCCACGACGATTGCCTCAATGCCCGTCGACATTGCCAAAACAAGGTGAGAAAAATAAACCTTCCTTTTAAAATTTCTTTTAATGCTGTAGAATCCAGTCAATGAAGGTGATCGACGGAAAACCGGAATACAAGAATGCGTTTGATGTTTGGGCCAAGGTATTCTTTCATCACGATATCAACTACGGAAGTGTGTTTAAGGTCATCAAAAACGAGGGAGTTCTGGCCCTGTGGAAGGGGTTCACGCCGTACTACATGCGTCTGGGACCTCACACAGTACTAACTTTCATAATTCTCGAGCAAATGAACTCGGCTTATTACCGCTTGGTTTTGAAGTCAGAGGCAACTCGCGGAGGCCTCTGAGCACCTCACATTCTCTCTTCATTAGCACTTCAGATTAAAAGAGAGATGAATTATTTCTTAGGTTGTAGAATTATATCTCGGTGGGATTTTCGGAGTTTTTTTTTGTTCGACGTTTTCACCATAAAAAGCAGAAAGCATAACTTTCATTATTAACCGGTTAAAAGAAGTTCTCAACTAATTTTCGAATATTGACCCAATAAGATCATCTATTTTCCCACTTCTTCAAACTAGCCATGTATTTGAGCATTTTGTAGATTTATCGTTAGACAGATGCGTGTTGTGAATAAATTTTTAGTTTTCATTTAGAAAATTTCTTTCCTTTTTTCGTTGTAACGATCATTATATTTTATGGCAATAACAGCGGTTTTTCTTGAGCGTTTTTTTTTCGAGGATGAAGAGGGTAACGACCGTGATACAAACCTCGACGCGTGGGGTCAGATCCTTGAACGCAGTTAATTTCCGTTCGCCTTGGCCATTTGTGAAAAAAGGTACACCTTCTGCGATTTTCAGAGTTCTCCGATTTCCTTTAAGGAGCCTACGGTCAGCGCAAAATTGGGCCTTTCAATATGGAAAAATTCAAATGGCCGGGACCGAATCGACAATTTCCTGAGCTTTCTCCTAAATGGCATAAGGAAAACCCCAAGGAGCTACATGGGTGAATTTTTTTTTTCATGAGCGGCTTCATTACATTAAATACTTCAATCGAATGATGCCATTCATCATTAACATTCGTCATCTTTTTATTTTTATTAGGTCGTCTCATATTTAATGCTGACTTTTTTTTTTGATGGTAGGAAGGAATTTTGGGTCTGCGAATATTTTAGAGCGTTAATTGTGCATACACCAATCTTGGATGCTCGAATCTTTGAAAACGATTCTTGGGAATATTCTCTTCTTTTCTGATTTTTTATAGTTTTTCCAATTTTTTTGAGAACGGAAATTGATGGAGAATGTATACAGAGTGAATGAAAATATGGTAGCCGTTCTGCAGTGAATCTTTGACGAAGTGTATGCGAGAAAGACGCATTATTTGATAAAAAGTTAGTTGAAAACAATCTCACAGTGTTCATTTGAGGTCGAAACACGACATCCTCACAAAAGAACGACAAAGGACAAAAAAAATGAAGGAAAGAAAAGATGGCAATTCAAAAAAGAGGTGAATATTCCCAAGAATCGTTTGCAAAGATTCAAATTTTCAAAGATTCGAGCATCCAAGATTGGTGTATGCACAAATAACGCTCCCGGAATTTCGGGGAACCAAAATTCCTTCCTACCATCTATTTTTTGAGCTCTCTCCTTAAAATCGGTAGAAAATCTCCATAACGCCCACAAAAAAATAAGTTTCCTCACCAGTCTTCTACTTCAGAAATGTATAATTTATTTGAAAATACCAGTCTTTATTTTTAGAAGAAAAAAAAATTTCAATTTACCGATTCTAACCTTCAATGATTTTTTTGAAAACAACAACTCAAATTGATAAAAAAATTTTTAAAAAAAGATTTATGACTAAAATGAAGATTTCATTGTAAGATAGTCTTTTAAAAATCCAAGCTAAAGCGGGAGGCCAAAAAAACTGATTTCTCTTCTATCAAATTTTTTTATGATGAAATTTCACTCAAAGCGGTCGCTCTCCTTCCGAGGCTTCCGGTTGTTCGTTTTAGCTTCAAAAAGTTCTTGCACACTGCCTAGTCCGATCTATGACTAAAACAAAAATAAATTATCGATTGATTGATTGAGATTGTAGTCATATTCATAGATAAAAATAGCTTGAAAATTTAAAGTTTTTTTTGATTGTGATTTAGCCAGAGAAAACCAAAATAGACTATTTGCCACTTCAGAGGCCGTATGCAAAAAAGTGGAAAATGATTTTCCGCCATTTTCCTGAAAATTGAAAAGACCTTAAACTCGCTAGGATATAATGGATTTCGACTCTATCTGATGTAATAAGGCTTTATAAGAAGATTCTGACAGAGAAGAAACAATTTCAGTCTAAAAAAGACTAATTGTAGCCATTTACGAGTTTCAGGAAAATGGCGGAAAACCATTTTCCACTTTATTGCATACGGCCTCAGATTTTCAATCGATCTTTTTCGTTGAGTAATGACAACTAGGTATTCTCGTCTTACAGGTCGTGAGTTTTTCGAAACTTCAAAAAAGCAGATAGTCTTAAAACCTTAGCTATCCATCATAAAAGTCAACTAAAACTTTTTGCTGCCCATTTTTGAGAAGAGAAACCTCAAAATTTTCCGTGCAATTTTTTTTTCAACCAATGAAAATCTGAAGCAATGTTAGAGTAATAATGAGCTTTTCACCAGCTCTACTAATCCAAGCTTGGGAAAAAGGTGACTTTTCAAATTTACGCTGAGGAGTCAGTTTATTATGAGACAACCTAGTGATTTCTGTTTTTCTGGATTCCCATTTGTCATTGGACTATGGTTTTCGATCTAGGATAATGTTCAAATAGCTATCAAAGAAAAATCGAGAAAAAAAGTGCTCTGTCGAAAATGTTTTTTTTTTTTTTGAGAAAAAAATTGTTCAATTCAGAAAAATTGTAACTTGTACCTGCGCAAGCAAAAAATTGATATTTCTTGTTAAGCGGAGTATTTATTTATCTTCTCGTTTACTAATCTTGACATCTCAGTTCATTTTTCTTCTAAACTGTGATACGATTTATTTTTGGAAAAAGAAGATTTTTTCTTTTCTCTTTACAGATATACTGGGGTTCAAGCAGAAGGTTACATCAATTCCCTAGATGGCGAATTTGTAGCAGTTCAAGAAATGCAGAGTAAACTTGTCGTGCCTAACTTGGAAGGATTCAAGTACTCCGGTTCTGTTTTCTCTAACATTCTGCTGGTTCAGACTCACCCCGTACGTATCATATCGAACAGATGTTCAAATAAAGAAGCGCCTGGCTGCTTATGAAGCGAAGGTGAGTTTTTCGAAACAAAATAATTTTTTTACTTCATGAATTTGAGGTTCGAGAAAAGGGCAGTGAACGCTTAGCAGATCTACACACGGTCGAGGACGAAAGGTTTTCGTTTTTTTTTCGTTGGTTTGATTCATTTAACTTTCAGATGGCCTCCACCGAAAATGACGCCCGAAACTCTCTTTGAGCTCTCTTATGGAGAAAAGGTGCGACAAGCATACAAAAACGGCGAATACAACGAAAAAAACGATGCCATTCGGAAATGATAAAGAATTAATGCGAATGCTGAGATTTTTGAAAAAGAACAAGTTATCGCAAAAACAAGTACATCGTTTGAACTGGATAACAGTTTTTTAGTTTTCTAGGTTTACTATGTTTCTATTGAAGTTTTGTTGATTTTTTGTTTACTGTTATCTATGCGACTGTTGCACATAATGAAAATAAATAACCGAATGACATATGCACTTCTTTCTTGAAATTGTGTTGGAAGTCACACGTGGTACTTGATCGGTGCGTTCGTACCCGCGTGTTTACTGCAACATAAAAATAAAAGTGGCCTGAGCCTGGGAGGCACGTCACTCGCGTTGTTGTCTTGAAGCGCTGCGGAAATTCGCGTGCTCGTCAGACGAACACTCGAAAGTGTTGTTTTGCATTCTCTGGGGGCGTGGCCTTATTGTTTTCTTGCCTTCACCTAACCTGACCAGCCGATCCTACATTATCAATTTCCGATTACTTTTTCTCTTTTCCATTTATCTAGACGCATAAATTATTACTTTTTTTTTATCGAAAGTTCGACGAGGGCAGTTTGTCTTGATAGTATTAAAATTTTTAATTTAACAACCCCGTTGCGCATATAGCTGATTCACGGCTGGCTTGAGCCATCAAGAAAAGGGTCCTGCCACGAAAAGAGACGAGACAGTGCCCTGGTTGGTGGAGAGTGCAGACAGGCCACGCCTTTTTGCGTCCCAAGCTAGCCGTGAATCGTCTATAACTTCATATAAAATTTTTTGAATACTTAGAACGTCTGTTCACCGTTAAAAGTTGAGGCTTTGGTAAATATCTTCACTGGTTTAATTGAAAAAAAGCTAAAAAAATAATATCTTCGAAGCGATTTTTAAGGAATCTGTGCAACTAATTCAAATATAAATTTTTTCAATTCAAATATAATTCAAATTCAAATATAATAAAAAGTGTTTTTTTCGTAATTTTTTTCTCTTAGTTCGTTTTTTTGTTTCTAAAGCAGCTTTCGAAAAAGGAAACGCGGACTTTTTGTTTCAAAGGAAAAACATTTTTGAGATAGTGTCACCACAAGTGGTCACGTAACTTCCCTTTTTTTTCGAATTCACCTTCCATTTTTTTCCAAATAAAGTATTTTTTTCAGTTATGATTGAAACGTTTTCTATTTCCAGAAGTTGTAAAAAAATGAGCGAAGGAGAAGACAAAACGGCACTGATTCTCCTGGCCGAAGGTGCCGAAGAAATGGAAGTCGTCATCACAGCCGATGTCCTCACTCGTGGAGGCGTCAAGGTTTTCAGTCTTCGCGGCAAAAAAAAAAACAAATATTTTTCAGGTGAAACTCGCGGGAATCTCCGGACCTGACCCTGTGAGTTGATCATAATGTCTTGCAGGAAAATTTTTAGTCGCAAATTAATAAATTAGTTTATTCAACTTTTTGTGTAACTTTATTTTCATATTGAACTCCAGTTAAAATTCATATTTATTAGGTGGTTTGTGCTAGAGGGACAAGAATCCTGCCGGATGTTGCTTTGGAAGACGTCAAGGAGAAGCAGTACGACCTGATCGTACTACCTGGAGGGCAACCCGGAAGCAACACATTGGCAGCGGTGAGAGCTTTAGCATCCTTCTGAATACGAGTTGACGGCTCAGAGCGAACTCGTCGGCACGATGCTCCGTGCTCAAAACGAGGCCAACCGGTTGATTGGAGCAATCTGCGCGGCTCCGATTGCCCTCAAGGCTCACGGAATCCAGGTGGAGCAGTTGACGAGCCACCAGTCCGTCAAGGCGCAGCTGCAGAATGCCGGTTTGGTTGGAGTTTTAGTTCGCTGTCAACTCGGATGTCAAGGCTTCGCTTATTCGGATGAGCGCGTCGTCGTTTCCGGCAGCGTGATCACGTCTCGCGGCCCCGGAACCGCCTTCGAGTTTGCGCTGAAACTCGTCGAACTTCTCGTCAGCAAAGAAAAGGCTGCATCCCTTGTCGAACCGCTCGTCCTCAAGTTGTGACCTTAGACATTATTCTGCCTATTTCAATCACAAATCGAACTTTTTTCTTGAGTTCAGCTTTCAAAGGAGAAATTTTTTCATCACGTTTACAAAATAATTTCACAAGCAGATAGAATTTTCAAGGGATTTCTCCTCCCGAAGTCGGGAAAACATTTGATAGAATTTAAAAAAATGCCAAAAGGGTGAGACGTGGAAATTTTGATTTGATTTTTTTTTTTTTTGACAAAGATCTGTTCGGCTATTTTTGTGTGGAGTGCATTACTGAATCGCTGAATTACAGTTTATCAGATTTTTTATTCTTTTCTAACTTCAAACATATAAGGTTCACATGGAATTTTCTAATGCGAAAAGTAATTGTCGAAAGAAAAAAAAAACCAAAACTTCAAGCATTGATACTCAAAACTCTAGTTTTGCAATATCAGAAATACGTTCTATATATCATCGACATCAGTTCTTTTTACGGAAAAAAAAACTACTAGAGTGTGAACGTTTTCAAATACCTTTTCAATTAGCTTTGCCAAACTGAGCTGCAGATATTTATTTGTTGACATGAATTTTCTGTCTCTCGAGTTTATCCTTATGTTTTCTTCTTGAGTGTCCATTGCGATGTAAATAAAAGTTTTTTATTTGAATTGTTCTAGCCCTTCTCTTTCGATGATATGCTGCATTTGAAGTTGCACTGTGTAAGCAAAGGAGTACAAGATCCTTTCGAATTCGTCCGAACCTGAAAAATGTTTTCAAGGTAGCTGATATAGCTGATATAGACCCCTTTTCCGAACTAGTCCCACTCTCAAGGTATTCAAACCTCGGCGGCTTCGCGGAGTGTTTAGGAGAACAGCTGAGACGATTCCGAGTGAGGCTTCGTTCAAAAGACTCGCATTGATTGGCGTGGAAAGTCTCTTAACATAAATTTGGGATGCTCAAAGACGTCTTTCGGAAAAACCTCCACGACGAGAAGCTCCTGAGGGCTCAAGTTCAACGGCAACTGTGTCGTAATCAGAGGCAGATGCGGCGCGCAGAGATCGGCCACTGAACACGCCTTGGCAGCAGTCGTGTTTTTGAAGAAAGCGTGCAAAACCTGTGGTTCGGGCATTAATATAGTTCAGATGTCAGAGAAATCGTCAGACGCGTACGGACAGGGCTAGAAGGACTGAGTTCTTTCTTGATAACTTAGAAGGTTTCAACTTTAATTCAATTTAGAGTACATTTCGAAAGTCTCAAATTCCTAGGATCATCGCGATGCGCCTGAGAGTTTTTCCGGTCATTTAAACGAATGATTCAGAAGCTCGACGTGCCTCTATGATTGCGGCGCATACAAGGTGATGAAGAAACAAAGGGACGAAAGGAACGAAAATCGTGGCGATGGCTGTGCAGCTTCCTGTCGCAAACTGTAACTCGATCCAACAGTAATTTTTCTTTTCGACTTATAGATAACTAGAACAATCTTTACGTTTTTCTATTGAGAAAAACTTTTTGTGGCACGACTTTTTTTTTAAATGTTCGCTCGCAAAGGTTGTCAGATGAGAATGCGAGGACAAGAGTATGTTTTCGATTCCGCGTTTTTTCAAAAAGCTTCCCTGCTTTTCAATTTGAGTTTTTTTATAAATTAGAATGGTTAGTTGATGCATTTTAACCATTTCCTGTCGTTACAATTCATTTCGAAGGTAACAATGAAAAGGGAAAAAACGCGGAAATGGAAAACGCGTTTGTGTCTTATTACAGAGATGGGAACTCAGAACGAAGAGGCAACTAAAAAATTTTCAAACAAAGCTCAGGGCCACAATGTTTTCTCCTTTTCCAGACTTGTTTTGAAATTATTTGGTAAGATTCAAGATGTAAAAAACATCACCGAAGTAAGATCAGATCGTCGTTTGAGGAATGTTGGTGGTAACTTACCGTTCTGATTAAAGCAACGTCAAAGGAAAATTTGACAGTGTTTATACCGAACTGACACGTCACACATCCAATTTTCAAAGCCTGAAAATGTTTCTCTGCTAGTATTTCTGTTTTTCGTAGAAGATCGGTTATTTGAATTGATCCGCACATCTTTACCGCTGATAAAGCTCAACTTCTCAGCAATCACGTCGTTCGAAGTCAAGTTATCTCTTTTCGAACTCGTGTCTTCCTAAAACTTTTCGAGTGCAGTTTCCATGTTCAAAATGAGCAAGTTGCTGGAATTATTGAGAAGAGCTTCCAGTTTAAAGAAAAAAGACGAACCGCTGTGAACATCGGGGTTAGGGAAACGAGTACGACAATCACGGCGAGGAACGTGAACCTCGGCATTTCAGAGCCTGTTTTGGTCGTTCCTTTTTGACTGATCTGATAACGGAACGCTTTTTTGTTTTTGTTTTTTGAGATGCGTCCAGATTCCATCATAACGCACTTTCGATTCTTCCCGAGGCGATCATTTTTTTTTATAAAGGGGTTATAAAAGTTTATTCAAATGAGAAACCGAAAAATCCAAAAAATTCCCATTACTCTAGCAGACAACTTTCCAGAGTTTATACAAAACGTTTCGATTTGATCGAACGGAAGTCGCGGATAATCAACACGAGTTTTTCGAAAAAACAGGTCTACAAATACGGGGTTTCTTCTCGCTCGAGGATGTGCTTCATCTGCATTTCGACAGCGTGCGCGAAAGAATATAAGAAGTTTTCGGATTGGTCTGTTCGAGTTATTGGAAATCAATCGATAATGTCAGAGGACGCTTTACCTGAGAACTCCACGAAATCCTTTCCCAAAATAGTTGACGCGACCAGACGCATTTCATCGCTCAGCGAGGTACCATTAGCGGGCGTCGAAAGAGTCTGAAAATGCGCTTTTTCGCTATTCGATAAAAAGAAAAAGCTTGGAACTCAGGTTACCTGAAGGATGAGTTTTTCATGATCTCCGTCGTCGGCAGGAAGATCTTCTTCAGGCAACGGCAGAGAAATGATCGGCTTCGAACAGAGTTTCATCATAGCGCAGGCATCTCTTGATGTTACTCGGTTCAAATACAGGTACGAAACCTGTAACTCGTCATACATTCTTCAGTTCTTGTATCTTTTGTTTTGTCTCGGATTTACGGAAAGAGATGATCACCTCGACGACAGCGACACTGAGAAGATGCGTGGAAAACAGTGGCAGCTTCCTGATGACCATTTTCAACAAGAGCGACAAGCCGGATATTTCAATCTGTTTGAGAAGAAACTCATTTTTGTCTGATTAAGCGTTTGGCTCGACAAAAGAAGTCTGAGCTCACCGTTCTACCGAAAACGGAACGTTGAAAAAACTTGACGGTGGCGACGGTCAAAGTACATACTCCACAGCCGGCCTGAAAGAAATCTTCTTCTTTCAGAAACCAAAACAATTTTTTACACGGAGAGGGTTCAGAGAAAACAGCTGCTCTACGGACTGGCGGTCGAGGTCTTGGAAGAGGTTGGAGATTTCCGCGAATTCAAATTCCTGTAAATTTTCTTCTCTTAAAAGATCTTGTTAAAAGGTATGGTATAGTTTTCTTGAAAGTGAAGTTGAAGATCAGGTTTTTTTTTACATATTCTTATCAAAGGTGATTGAAACTTTTCCAAGATTCATTATCGAAACTTTAGAAAGCAAAAATTTTAAAAAATAAGTCTCTCAAATGTGTTGCGAGGAGAAGGTTCTTTTTCGGATAGTATACAAAAAAAGAAATGTCGGGTCGAAGACTCACTTTTTGGTGTGTGGCGGCTGGCAGGACAGTCTGCAGCAAGAGCAGCGCAAAGAAGACGAACCTCGGACCGAGCATTTTCCGCTCCGATTGGCTGTTTTCCACTGATCCGGCGACTATATACCTCGACATAATCGCTGATAACGCCTCCGCCAAAACATTCGTTCCGCTTATTCTCGCTTTTGGTCTTAAAGGTAGACATCGCAGACCAAATTTCGAAATTTTTTTCAATTCTTAGGTCGGGTCGTGAATCTTGTCAATTTTTATTCAAAAAAAAAACCGTTTTTTTTATTTTTATTTTTTTTTCGAAACAACAATCGCCGTTCATTGGGATGGCAGATTTTTGAGATATGGACTCGTGCCACATATGTATACAGTAGTTGCTATCCAAAAATTTAAGCAATGATGAGCTTCTCTCGTCAAAAGACCTATCACCCTATGTAGAACACGAGAAAGAAAAATCCAATCTCGAAAACTATTTATTCACAAAAAGTTTCGTCATTTGTTCTCGAACATCTTCACTTGAAAGGAACAAGATTGCGACCAGCCGGGAAGATGAACGCAGTGAACTCGTTGAAAATGACGTTCACTTGGGCCCCCACGATCCTTGAAAAGGAATAGCTTTTTCTGGTCGTTGAAACAGATAACTGACGAGAACAAGGCGGAGAATGTGACCTCGTCGAGCGGAGAAGGCTTGTAGCGTTCCATGCCGCTGTTGGTGTTGTTCACCAGAAGGTCGTGCACCAACAGAGAGCACTGCGACACTAGCTGAAACAATGGCCAACTGTGTTGCTTGCAGAGCCCAGAACTTTTTTGATGGGAGAGTTGTGGAAAAGTTGAAGGAGACCCAGGCTGCCGAGAATCTTGCGTAGGTCGCCGCCTATTTCAGTCGTTTCGTTGATTGCGTTTTCGAAGCTCTGAAATGAACCCTCGAGTAGGTCTCCAGCTCAGATACTGACATTGAGGAGCTGTCTGTATGTCGTGGCGCTGCTGAAGATTTTTTTATACAAGGCGGTTCGAGAGCTGCCGCAGCCGGCCGTCGCTTCGATGAACGTCGGCGGGATCACGACTGCAATCTCGAGCAAACTACGCACACTAGCTCATATGAAACGTGCTTGTCAGAGCTGCTGACCAGACCGGGGCGACCCGGGTCGTTGCGGTCGCCCCGGGGCGCCCCGCCCCGCGAAGCGGTCACACTGTTAGAAGATTTCTCCACAGTTACTCAATGATATAAATGAATTTTTATTTTCTTCGACCAATATACTTATTTATTAGTCGTTACTCTGCGGATTTTCTCACTTAAACTTCATTTTTACTTATCTACCCAACGGGGCGAGACGCCCCGGGGCAACTGCTCAAAACAGCGGGGCGCCCCGTCAGCAGCACTGGTGCTAGCACCGCATGCTTGCGACACTCACAAAATCACGATTAAATGCAGATTTTTTCCTCATCGTTCAACTTTTCCTTCCACATCTCAGAAAGTTGTTCGATTTTTTAGAAGTATAGTCTTCTCAAATTTCAGAAGAATAGAAATTAATAAGTTTTTGAACACTTTTTTTTCTCAAATTTTTTTCGAATCAATTTTTTTCAGCTGCCGTCTATTTTTCTTTTGACAGATGAAAAGGTTCACATCCATTCTGAAAACAACCTTGCAGCTGTTCTGACTGTGATTTTCGTCGAAAAAGTAGAACCACAAATGTGGTCCACAATGAGCAAATTTTGCAGCCAATTATTATTGCCCTGTTGAAGGCTCCACGTGAACTTCTAATCTTCTATAAAATGAGACAAAACGGGGACTAACGTTTGAAAATAGCGGGAATTTTCGTGTAGAAAGCCTTCGCTTTGGCATTTTCCACTTTCTTCCCGGCACCAGTTAGCAATCCTTGTGGCGACGGTTCTGCAATCGCAAAGCCTCATATAGTCTGTTCAGATTTTGGATGCCAAGTAGCTAACTCCGCCCTCAAGGCTACAGTATCTTTCGCGTCAATGTTGTATCTCCAGATGACGGCGAAACTTTATTATGGCTGCATTTTTTTGACTTCTTTTTCTATTTTTTATAGCAAAAAAAAAATCAAAAATCATCATGCGCGATAAAAAATCGACGCGAAAAGAGGCTGCGCCAGCAGGGGCGGAGTTAACTAGTTGGTATTTGAAATCTGAACAGACTAGCTTTTTTTTCAAATTAGTCCTTAGTTGATTAAAAAAGATATATACATATATATATATATATATAATAACTTTAATCTGCATTTATATATATATATATACTAGTTACTATATATATATATTTTTATATATAAATTATATATAAAAATATATATATATAAAAAAAATATATGATTAATTACTGAAATTCAGAGGGTTCTTCCCATTTTAACCCGCTTTTTATAGCAAAATGAACAACTAACGAAAGGAAGCAAGAAGGATGAACAGAAGAAGACGTCGCATGTTGGGATTCCTTCAAGGAATGAAGCTCTAAATCTCGTGATGATGTGTTTTGTAGCCGTGTGACTCTGTACGAGCAGAACCGTTGTGAGGCTACAATCTCATGGAAGTCCATACTTTCGGATTTTCATTTCTCACGTTTATGACTTATTGCGAGTTCAAGGCGACCTTCGATTTCTAAAACCTTTTATAGCCGAATCGCACAACTTTTTTTTTTGTGAAGTACGTTTTTTGAGTTTCTATTGGAAAAAAAATAAAAATAATTTATATCAAAGCGAACCAAGAGATGACTGGGAAGGATGAAGTAAATGAGCAGCAAGTGTAACTTCTTTGGACACAGAAAAAGCAACCAACAACGTCCCATTTTGAAAACGGGAAAACGAATTGTACCTATTGCTCAAAATCAAGAGAAAACAAATTCAACAAAACAATCCGAGAAAGACTTAGGCGGGAGAACATTCCTTGAAAATTAACAGACACCGGAAAAAAACTATAAACTTTTATACATTTCCTATAATGTGGGCATATTATGAATGAGAAAAAGGAGAAAAAGAAAAAGAGCTCCCGCATCAATGAGACCGTAAAGTGGAAGATGATTGAGAAAAATGAGGCCTATGTGTGGAAAATCAGAAAAATAGAAGACTGGAGACAAGTTATTTAAGACATGTAAAGCGAAGAGTTCAGTCAACACTGAGATTCCGAAACATGCGTGGTCGCGGCTGCTGTCGCGGTGGGTGAGTCGGACCCGCTTTCACTGCCTGAATCTTCTTTTCATTCAAAAAGCAAAGTAAAAAGCTGACTTTATCTGTAATTGTTATTTAGCAATACATTACATCCCATTATGAATTCATCGCTGGTTAGAGACAAAAACAACTCGAATAATACTCTATTATTTCCAAAGATTTTCATTTGTTATCTGGTTAGTTTGATACTAATCAATGCAAAAAACAGAATTCACAGAATCCATTAAAAATGCACAAGAAAATTATTTATAGAAAATGATCGTGTAAAACGCTTTGTATCTGGAAGAGCCGAGATTTAAAACTGCAGCAGTCTTCTTTTACATTTTGAATCGACCGCTGATTAAATATTGCAATCTATTCTTGAGTGGAAAAAAAATTTTCAAAAAAAATCTTCATTCCGTGTATTTTCTTCATTCCGTGTATTTTTCTTCACTCTAAGTGGTAGCTCTCTCAGTCGGCCGAGGCTACCCTAGAGTGTACACGGCGTCCGTGCCCGAGCCCTACCATCCCCGCCGTGCCCGTACCCGCAGAACTGAGGGATCTACTTGTGGAAGAACGAGGCGAAGGACCGTAAGAACATGCTTTCAAATCATTCGACTACACGTTTTGACTTCTTTTTCGCCAAAGGCGGTGTTAGTGCCGCTCAAAAGAGCAATTTTTTCACCGCCTAGTCGATACCATCTGACTAAAACAACCAATAAATATTGATGATGAATGGTACTCATTCCGATCTTCTGCACGTGCGCTCTTCGAGTGTATGAACAATCTCGGGTAATACATTGTTGAACATGCGAAACCGCGGAGTTTGATAAGCGCAGTAATCGAAACTTCCTTGAATTATAACTTTCAACCATTGAATCGTTTAAATGGTGTGCAAAAACAAGTCACAAAAAGGGTGCAAAGAGAGGCAGAGAGGGAAAGAAAATGACCGACTCACTAACTCTGGTTGGCCAAACAGAGAGAAGCATTTGGAGCGTGGTAGATGCCTGGGAGACGTCGAGAGGCCGTACTGCCGCCGTCTTGGCCGACGTTGACGGCGAAGACAAGTACGACGACATCGAGTCCAAACAGCACATCAGCAACGGTGCGAAAATCTCAAAATCGTTTTTTTTTAGTTGAGCATGAGCCTGGTTTGAGGTACCGTAGAGAGTCTGGAGACTGAAAGACCGTTGTGCGGCGAGGAGGAGAGGACGGTGGTAAGGTGGTCCATGACGAGCAGAAGGCAATTCTTGCTCGTCGTCGGCAGACAGTCGACGATCCGCAGAATCAGCTGTCGATTGCCCTGGATGTCGTTCGGAAGCGCCACCGAGGCCGCGTCTATCAGCATCCCGTGGATCTGCGGAGTTATCAGAGGCTCCGGAATCTCACGCAAAAAGTCCTTAACTATTTATTATGAGGACAAGCTTAGAAGCTTCGAAAAAGTAGATACAACTTCGGCTCTAGTGTAAAACTCTCGAAATTTTCAAAACTGAGAATATTTAAACTTTTCTTATGTCTCCAAACTAATTAGTAAAACATTGTATAATCATGGACACTATTCTGACGAAGGATTCAACTGAAAAAAAGATGAGGAAATACCTTTACAAGACAGGCCAAGACGTTCGTGTCGGGGATGCTGTCGAAAGAAAGTTCGGTTCCCAATGGATTCGCCTCCAGCTCATCGCGCAGCATACGCTTCTTCTCCACAGACCCACATACTGAAAGTCTGCGTCATTTCGAAGCCGTCCTCAGTGCCTACAGATGTAAAGCCCGTTGTAGTCGACGCCACGCTTCTCGATCTCCTGTATGAGTCGCGTGAGAATGATTGGCGTGTCACGTCGTTCCCTCTGCACCAGACGAGAGAGCGGAGCGCCAAACACGCTGCAACACAAGAACATTTAACGACCAATAGAACATAAACATTTGAAGGAGAGAAGAGAGAAATTGAAAGAGCTGCTTGGTGACAAAAAGAAAACCGAGGCTGGATCGATTCTATAAAAAGATGACGATACGTTTACAATCAGGCGTAAAAATGAATTTTGTATCCTTCACAAGAAACTGGAAACCATAGAAAGAAGTTAGAAAAAAACGGACCCGTCCATCCGCGGATTCACGGTTCGCCGGAAAACAGCTGCCAAGTCGTGGAAGCCAATCCGCACGATGAGTTGACCACGAGGCTCAAGATTCAATGCAAACATTCGGTCGCCGTTCAGCTGGTCAACCACGAAAGCTTCGAGGAGTTTTAGCGAACCCTTGTGACAGAGCTTGTGCCTTAAGAAAAGTTCAAATTCCAGTATTGGATATTGAAGAGAAAAAAACTTAACATTAATTTTACATAACATCGGTCGAGAATTCCTTCAAAGTTTATTTCAAGATCAAGACCACTCTCCGCAATTTTTCAAAAACACCATGTTCATTTTTTTTAATGAAAAAGTTTCTATAAATGTTGAAATTTTTGAAAAAATACGAAAAACTCAAAACTGAGTAACACTTAGGATACAATCAAAATAATTAGCTAACAAGGAAGGTTATTTTAATGTACTATCGAAACTATTCTGAATACTCTCTCGAAAACCCTCCGACAATAAAGGGTGAAGGTCTCAACCTACAAAGAAAGATCACTTTAAGGCTCAGTTCTAGTTAATGAGAACTGAGCCTTAAAGTAATCAAATGGCACTTTCCATCATTTCAATATGGAACTCTTCCCCTTCAGTTGCAAATAAAATAGACCTTCCTTTCAAGTTGCTAGCAAAATCTCTCCGTTCATTGAATATGGCTGCCTTCAGGACTCAGATCTAACATTCTTTGAACAACCACTGATACCTAAACTGCGGATGCCAGGAATAGACGAAAAAGTTGGTGACGGTGGCGTTAAAGACGTCGATGTGGAAGGTTTCTCGCCACCGGAAACGCTGGTCGGCGGTAGAGACGCCGGTTCGGGCTCGATGTTGTTCGTCGACCTCCAGGACGCAGTACATCTCCTCCGTCACCGCCTTCTGCTTCTCTGGGATCTTCAGCCCTCTGCCTTCCAGTATCTGAGAAATCTACTTTCCTTCCCGAAATTTAAAAAAAGTTTTGAAGCATTAGATAAACTAACATTTAAAAAAACTCTGGCCGGAAAACTCAAAAATATTAGATTGGTGAGTCATATTTTACCTTCCAGAATTTCTGAGTTTTGGACTAATTCATGTACATGTATTCATTACTTCTGAATTCAAAAGCAAGGTCTTTTGATTTAAGCATCTTTTCGCTATTAAAAAAATGAATAAAACTACGACAATACTAGAAAAGAAAATTCCACGGACCCTTTTGTGCTGCGAAAGAAAATATATATGATTTGAATGATCCTTAAGAGAGTTAGCACGAACTTGTACAAAAAGAATGCCCGTCAGGCTGCTGACGCTCAACCGATCCACGTTGATTCCAGGACCAGCAGCTCTCAGAGGAGCTCTCCTGAAAGCTGCCATTTATTTCCATTGAAGAAGAAAAGAAGTAGAAGGAGCGGACCTGTTCATGAGAGGAGAAACGTGGTAGCGGTCGAAGACGGCGGACGGCCTCTCGTTGTGAACTTGAGGCGGCTGATGTCTCGGCAGGACAGGACTCCCGACCAAACTCTGAAATATATAAGGTGGAATAGTTTCGGTCTGAACCATTCAAAAAGTCGCCCGTTTGGTGCCGGCACCTTTTTTCATTTTAACTTCAGAACTTAGAATGGATAAAGTTATTTATCGAGCCAGATCAATGAAAAAAATTACGTTCTTTTGAAATAAAGAAATGTGAGAATTGTCTAAAAATAAATTAGAGGCGAATGATTCGGATAAAGTTTTTGTTGTTCCGCATGACAGCGCAACTTTTTCGGTGACGCACCTCCTTTCTCTCAAAAGACAGTACCTGAGCGAGGATAGTCCTTCCAGGAAGCGAAGAGGACCGCGAGCCTCTTTGTTCGCCGTAGGTGTGCGACCATCGCGTCGTCCGCGGCTGTCGCGTGTCGTACGGCGAGGCCCAGTTGCGGTACTCAGCAGCGCTGAAGATGTCGTTCACCGTCCTGCCAGGGCTTCCATTCGACAGATGCACGTTCTCTGTAAAATATAGTTTTCCTAATCCTTCGGCGCAGCGTTCCTTCCGCTATTTTTGTGTCTTACTAAATATACGCTATTGTTTATGAATGCTTTCACCCAGAGCTAACAAGCACCGAAACCAAGAAAGAAAACCCCAACCGTAACTTTTTCATTAACTGTTAGATTTACGAATAAACGATTCCCGTAAAAACTTTTTTGGATTATTCCAAAGCCCAAGCCAAACCACCAAGTCGTTCTCTAAGTCGCAAAGTTGTTCCAGAAACTAATTGCCAAAAGCATTTTCAGCCGTCGCTACGCCGAATTTGCTAATTGGCCGCTTAAGACTGAGGCATACACTTAGTCGAGAAGCCGACGCACCCCACAGTCTAGAAAGCTTCATACTTGGCTCCAGTCGATCAAAAACTCCGGTTTTGAAAACCCAAATCATAGGAAAATATTGCTCTAGTTCAGAACTACAAAACCCAGAAAATCGAACAAAGTGTCCAACAAACTTTTAACAGTGCTATCAGAATAATGAGAACATTCGAATCAACCTTGAAAAAGAAACAAATTTTTTTAAAAATTTATTCGATTCAGCTCTTTTTGACGACTTTTTCTTCTTTTTTGAATACCTCTAAACTGCTTTTCCCTCTCAGCCGATTTCCTTTCAATATTTTTGGTAATCGAGAGAATTCTTCAGAAAGATGTTTTCGATGCGAAGAGTTTTTATGGTCCTAATTGGAGAACCAACGAGAAAAAGAACTGGAAAAGACGGAGGCTCATTATTTCCGGTAGCCTTGGCCATTACACAAAGTGGAGCACAATTGGGATTGTTTGCCGCTTGGTTGCACCTTCGCATGGGCCGGTCCGAAGAGCTGAAACTCACGCTGAAGAAGCCGCGAGTACGTGGGACTCGAAAACTCCGGGGCCGAGATCGCGCCGTCGCTCTCGTCGCCCAGAACGTCCATCGCCAGGACGTCGTTCCGCCATTTCACGTTCCGAGGACCTGCAAAGTGTCCGGATAGAGTCAGAACACCTCGGATAATTAGCTTGAAAGTGTTGAAAAACAAGAAAATTTGAGTGACAAAATGAATAAGAATTGACGAGAATGGGACTCATCTCCAGAAATTTTTCTCTTGCATTATTTCGAAATACGTTGAAAAACTTCCTAGCAACTACACGTGGAAGCGATTATTTAGTTTGAAAAGAGGAAGAAAACGAAAAGAACTATGGGAAAGGAAGAAGAATACTGATGAATAGAAGTAGATGTGAAAGAGGAGAAAAACAAACATTTATCTGGGGTAAGAGGCAGAGCAAAATATAGCTGTGATAGAGTGAGTCCAATTTTTGTTATTTATATAAATATTAATTCGGTTAGAACTTTAGGGAAGTTTGATATAATACTATTTTTCAAATTTGATCAGAGAAAAGTTTAAAGTTCCCCCTTTGATACTAAAAAAATCTGTTAGTAAATGTCGAGCTTCTGTCATGTTCACAAAAAAATTGTTTACCGCAGGCGTTTACCAACTTCCAAATTGATTTATCAAAGCAAGCAAGTAAATAATGAACACACTGTTCCCACGCTTTATTGGAAAATGGTCGAGCTCCTTGAAAGTTTTTGTGAACCATGCAAGATTTTTCATCTACTTCATAACAAAAAAATTAGAGCAAGGATTAAGCTATCCAATAAAAAGATAATAAACATCAAAAAAGTGTTACAAAAATATTTTTGAAGAGAACCCACCAGAAATGGCGCGTCTCCGTGGCAAAGAGTTGCTTTTGTTGGGGTCGACCGAACGGAGCGGTCGCGGCAGAATCGGCGAGCACAGCGACCGCGACAGCAGCGGATCTACGGTGCTTCGCGACATGGAGCCGGCGACAAGAGGATCGCGAGCCGAGTGCGGATGCACGTCACCTCGAAGGGGATCTATCCGGCCGACGAGCGCGTCTGGAGGCGGCACGGCTGTGCTGGACCGCGGAAGCGTGTACATGGTTCCGTGCTGCATAAATCCTGTCTTTTCTCGAGTCTTTTTCAACTTTTTGAAAAGCTTCCAATGCATTTCGGGTAGAATTATTTTAGAATTATTTCCATTCAACAGTTTTCCAGAAAATAAAAAGGAACCTATCCTCCGTCCATTCACATAAAAATTGTGTAAACCAAGATTTTTAAAATGAAAATCTTAGAAAAAAGCCAAAATTTTGAGACATCAAAGAAACGTTTTTTTTTATAACCCGAATATGAAACCAATAATCATAAGAAAACTCTTGGAAAAAATTATCTGCGGATGATGGTACACTTTCAAATAATGCTAGTTTCGGGAGTTTCTTCATTTTCAATGAAATCGAAAGCTCGAAAGCGGAGAAGAACCGACAGTGGGAAGACCAGGCGCCGAGTTGAAGCTTTCCGTGCGACGGACCGTCGCTGAGGCCGTCGAAGATCCAAGACGCGGCGGCGGAACTCGCGCAGTCCGTGCCACGCTGTCCTCCTGCTCCACGAATCTGTAACGTCTTCTCGTCATCAGAAACACATTTCCCCAGTTCTTAGGGCAAAACTTAAATTCTGAGAAAACAAGCGTTGAAAAATCTCAAAATCTTCTTGAATTGAAAATTATGCAAGATGTATCTTGATCTTAGCGACTTTGAAAAGTTTCTGACACAGGTGAATATTTGAAAACGAGAGAAAATTAACGGCTAAGAACAATAAGAATACATTAAGAATACATGAATTTTTATTCAGAGCTACTTTTTTTTTAGTGTAGTGGGATTCAAAATGTTGAACATTTAAAAAAATGAAGTAGGGGAAGCCAGCGACTTTTTGGAAGAAGGGCCTTCAATGTGAACTTTTTTTTTGTTGTTTCAACGACTTTTTTCAGATCGATATGTGGATGAGATCCTCAAAAATCACAATCTTTACTGTTTCCTTTTATTCGCGTTGAAAAGTTTTTGAAATGACTATTGGAACCTATTTTTTGTTCTCAGGTGTTTTGTGACGGTTTGAAATTGGAGCTTTTGGAAAAAACTCTCAGATGAACCTGTTGGAGTAGTCAGAGATAGGCTGCGCGTGGCCGTTGAGCAGTCGCGGAGCATATTGCGAACGAGGTGAAAGAACGCCGCGCATAACTGATGTCGCGGCAGAGGGCTGCGACGACGTCGCTCTCATCTCCTGCAAACCCAACTGGAGACTCTTTGGCTTCCTAACGATGAGAAATGAAAGTTAGAAATTTTAATGAAGATAGTTCTCGGGAAGGTATTTTTCCATGTAGACCATCGACGAATTATTTATAAAAAAAGAAAAGAAAGCTAGAAGAATGTAGTAGCGAGAAATAAAAAAACCACGAGAAATAAAAAAATGTTGCGAATAAATGAAGAAAGGTTTTTAAGATAATCAAAAAGAAACTATTACGTATTTTTTTGTTATTAATGTATGTTTCCAATATAAATTTCCTGGTACTTTGCCTCCACGCTACAGAATTCTGACCAGAGAGTTTATTTTGAAGAGCGATTGCTTGTGAAACAGGAGTCCCTCGGAGAGTCCCCTCTAGGGACCACTTTACCAACCTTTATTTATGATGAAGCTCAGAACGCTGGAGAGTAAATTAGCGTAATTCGGCAAATCGGAAGAGCAAAGTAAATATTATACGTTCTACAATGAAAGTCCTTTTTTTTGGCGTTTTTGAGCGGATCAAACGTTTTGAACTTTATAGAAAATTAGCTGAATTTTTATATGGTTTTTCAAGGCGAAACAACTACCAAAGAAAAATCCTGATCCGTTTTCGTCGAAAAATCATACTATGGTTTAAAAAAACGTAGGAAACTTTTATGAATAAATTAAACAAAAGTACTTGTAAGACTGAAAACGTGTTCAATACTGTAATATGAATAAAGATGCCATAAAAAGTTTTCTACGATTGAACGGGGAAAAAGAAAAAAGAAGCAAAGAGCATAGAAAGATCGATGGAAACCGAGCTTTTGCCTCGCGTGCCTCCGCCGCTTTCCTTTTGGGGAAAGGGTTCGCCGGAGCAAAAGACTCGGAGCATTTACCGATCTTTCACGCCCCTCCCACAGCGTCCAACTTCATCTTTCCTGAGTTTCTCTGCTCGGACGCTTCTCGAGCCCCGTTTTCGAGGAATCTTCGCACAAACTTCAAAGTTCGTTATTTTTAATGTCGTTCAAATCCGACTGTTGGTCATATTCTCGAAAAAAAAGTGTATCAGTGCAAATAATACGATTCATGTCCAAAATCAAAACAAAAACTCATGGGTAAGACCAAAATTAAGTCAATAGCATGAACCAATAAATCTGAAAGTTACTAATTCTTTCTAGTCCTATCTCCATTCCATTAATTTTCCTTTTATTATATCTACATTCCTGGAAATTATCTCGTGTTTCAAATAAATATTTCCATCTTTTTTTTCTTATTTTCAATAAAAAATCTTATCACGCCAATGGAAAAAAATGGAAGCTCAATTTAAAAAAATAAAGATATACCAATAACTTTTTATGAAACAAAAATCATCATTTTGTATAAAAATTTTAACGTGAATAAAATAGATCATCTGCAAGGCATCATAAGAAGATCGAACAAGTAAATCTATATATATTTTTTTAGGACCAATTTTAAAAATAACCATAATACGAAAGTTTTCTTCTTCATTCGTCTCTTTTTTTCACTCAATTACGTCCTCTCTTTCGAAATTCCACTTGAAACTGATAAGGAAATGAGAAAAAGTTTGAAACAGGAGCTATCGAAATTTTCGATTTTTTTTTCTACGACGCCCGCCGACACTTTAGTCAATCTTTTCGAACAAAATATAAATTTTCAAGAATCCAAAAATATTCGCAGAATGAAAAGATACCTCGAGTTGTTGACGCGATTTTTTGCCCAACCAAGTGTTGGCCGTGGAAGTCGGCTGGGACAAAATCGAGCTGCTGGCTGATTCGGAATCTCGTCTTTCTTCGACCTGAAGCCGCAAAAATGAAGATTTAGGAGAAAATCAGACAGAAAAAATACTCGAATACTTTTCTGAAATAAAAAAGAAACCGGCCTTGTGAAAGACGACGACTGGCTTTTCTGAGCTAGATGGTTTGTTTGTGGGTGTTTCATTGCGAAAATTCTTCAGAAATCTGAAAAAAAACAAGTGAATCAGCAGAAAAAATGAAATTACCGTATCCTGAGCAACAATCGTCGCGGGATGCTCAGAATTAGAACGACATCGTCGATTCCCATCGTCGAGACTTCGACGTTGTTGATCGAGAGAATCTCATCGCCTGGCCGTATCACATCGCCATACCTTGATTAAAACGTCAATATAATACGAACCGTTCGAATATCTTTTCTAGTGTTACGAAGAAGAATGGACTGATTCTATACGAGTAGCTATCAAGGAAAAACGCCGTTTTTTTTCGTTATTTTATCCATTATGCACGAGTTCTGAATCTTCGTATATCCCAGCAGAAAAAGGATTAATTTGAAAAATATCCGTAATTCATTTTTTTTTTGCATTGATTTTTTTCTTGTTAGCAATATTCGATACGTATCTAATTTGATCAATAGAATTGAAGGGCGATTGTCTTTTTTAAAATGGAGATCGAAACTTCAACCAGAATACAATGCCACTCTTTTATGGATATAATGCTCGTTTCCGAATGCCATGAACAGACTTTAAAAACCCCCAGAAGTATTAAATTTTTATTATGAGAGAAAATGAAAAATTTTCCGCTTCAATAGACCATACGTTTGCTTCAACTAGAAGAAAAATAATTTTAAAACATCAAAAATTTAAAATGCGAAAAAAAGCAGCTCACTTGGCAAGTTCGGATGTTTCGCCGAAACGAGAGACGAAGACGCCGGAAGGACGCTCGCGGCCGTTGCCTTCCCTCAGGTAAAGTCCCAAGGACTGGCCCGGCTTCTTGATGATTTCCACGAACTGCACTACTAGCGCATCGCGGCCTTCTCCGCGAACCTCCCTTCAAATGGAAGAATGTTTGAATCCGTTTGATATAAGATAGAAAGAAATCTTGAATTTGGGAATACAATTGCATTAGGAAGAAAAACATCATAACTTGACTACTCATGTAATTTTCTTCCTAAACCTAGTCAGTTCAAATATCCTTTTTGAAGGGTAATGACACGGTTGAAAATTTCCTATGAGTGAGAAAATTGAAAGAAATTATTCGGACAAAAATGAAGAAGAAAGCAGTCTGTTTACTTATTGGATTTTTTGAACTTTTTCAATCTCTCAACTTCCCTTTTTTGAACAAAATCTCTTGAAAAATCTCAAGATTACTTTTCAACTCAGCTACCTTGTCCATATTTTATCTTCGAGTACGTCACTCGGAGAACTTGAGGTCTATCATAAATTCGCGCAACCAAAGAAACGTACTTGTCGAGGATTCGGGCACTCAGACCTTGGACGCCGGCTTGAGTGAGTGTGCTGGTGCCTTGATCAACAGCGGTGATCTTCCTGAAGACCTCGTCCGGCAGCCGCCCGCCGCCTGCAACCGCCTTCATTCCAACCGACCCGCCAAATTTCCTCTCCAATTTCCTTCCCGATCGCTTCGCAATTAGTTTAGCTGCATCCCCAAAAAAAAAAACGAATCGCTTCGTCCGTTGACAAATTAGAAAAAAGTCCAGGAGACATGCCGCGCATCTCCGCGCGTGGATTTTCAGCTATCATCAGATCGGGTTCTGTTTTGAATTAACTAGCGCAAAAAACAAACTTTTCGAGGGTTTTCATTTAAAAGTTGAAGCAGGATCTGATTAAACAGCAGTCAAGGCCTTTTTGACGACCCTTATAATTTGAAGACGACCATACATTTTCCGAGTTCAGACTTCTTTTTTGAAATTTTTCTTTAAATTCAAACATTTTATGAAAACTTGCTTTGAAAAAGAGTGTGACATGAAAAAAATAGACATTTAATAATGGAAAAATATTATTAAACTAGGACCTAGCTCGACCGCAGTGTAAAATCAAAAAGCAAAAAACAAAAATGAAAATAAGCGGGGCATTCTAGAAATATTTTTTTAAAGGCTTTCAGAATTTTTTTCACGCAAAGACTGGCCTTGCAGCAAGAAAGGAACAAAAAAAAAAGGAAGACGAAAAATTGAAAAGTATCCGCTAAAAAAATTGAGTAATGAACAAAAAAATTTTTACCAATATAATGAATTTTTCAGCTTCCTCAAAGATCGCTTTAATGTTGTACTTTAAGTAAATATGAAATGTTGGAATTTTTCTAAAAACTTTTCGTTAAAAAAATTATTTCTAGTTTTTTTCTTGATGATAATACCACAAAAAAACAGAGAAGAAATAATAGAAAAGAAAAATTTTCTTTTTCTAAAAAAAGCAAAAAAAGAAGAAACTGCTTGGAAAAATTTTTGAGAAGAATTTTTTTATAGTGTCAAGTCTGTTGTTTGCGTAACCGACAAGATAAACGACGACATTTTTCTTTTTTTGATTGATCACCCGCTGCGCTTTTTTTATGTTTTTCCCCTAAGAACTACTAAATTTTTAAATTTTTGTAAATTTATTCTCGAATTGAATAAAATTAATTTTTGGTGGAAAAATTCGAAGCTTGTGATCTGGATTCATCATTCATTCATTATTATTTTGAATACACTTTTTGTGGAAGGACCGATTCGACACACCAGTTCAGACCTACAGGGACCCGTCCGGTTTGCACTGCGCCGTCTTCGCTGGCCATACTAGACCATTTTTGATTATTTTTTTGTATTGAATACAATTAAGAAGGCAATTTCTGACATTAATAGATAAAAAAATTACAGAAAAAGACTTCTCACTTACTAAAGACGCATTTCCCAAATTAGGCCATTTTTTTCAAGGCTCGCCAGCGTTCGCAAAAACTTGATTTTTAAAACTAAATTTGTATCTTTGAAAGTTTTATATGTGTTTTTCTTCAAATTTGTTTATTTTTTCGTACAAAAAGCGCGTTAATAACGATTTATACTTCTGCTGTAGTACATTTTGATGGAAGGGGAAGGCTTTAAAAACCGAAAAATGGATGTTTGAGTACGAATAACGGAATTTAAAAAAAAAAAGAAAGACTCACCAGGCGGCGGCTGACCACTACTCATGCGACCTCTGCTGTCCTGCAAAACAGCACGAGTGTTAGCAAAGCCCGAAATACACAGGACTGGACGAGTTCCAGCTAGCCCCCATCGATCCGCGAAACCAACGTCTCCGCCGAGATCGATACGCCCTGGGGCTCTTTTGAATCAGCCCGAAAAGAGACATGACGTGTCGTAGAGCCGTCTTGCTTCAGCTCAACAGCTAAACCCACGTCTTTTTTTTTGACGTTTCACGGAACCCTCAACTCGTTAGAACCCTTGCAACTGAGCTATACGCGGCTTCTTTCATCTGTTCTGCTTTTCATTTGAATTTCTTGAAAAATTGATTCGACAAGGTTGACTAAAATCAAGAAAACGCTTTTCAAAAACATTCAAAATGGCATCCAGAAATTCAAAAGCTTTTCGCACCATTCTAAGAATTTTCTGAAATAAATCTATAAAATCCCACAGAGATAATTAATGTCGAACCTTCTCTTACTATATGGTTTTGGAAAGTTTTAAACCAAGAAGCAAAAGATTTTTTTGAAGAGAATTTTTTTCAAATAAAGTTTTTCTATATACTCTGAAAATTCAGATTTTAAGACATTGCCTCTAGATAACGAAAAACTCAAGAAGCTTTCAAAAGAGAAACTTGGGAAAATCAACAGAAATTTTCATGGTTTTCGAGCCTTTTTTGTAGAATTAACTTTTTTCGAATTTCATAAAAAATAATCTATTCAAAGATTACACAGTGGGTTATACAAAATTGATTTATTTCCTAATTGCAGAACTCCTTCCAAATTCTTATTCGTCCATTTTCTTCATGTATTCAACCAAAAAATGGGGGAAAACTAGCCAATATTCATGAAGAAAATGGCATATCCCGCGGAATTCCCAGAAGAGGCATGCAAATCGGCGGGGCGATTCTGGCAAGACTCCAGTCGGCGCCGCCGAGATGCAGCGGTCTGATTGCTCATCCAACCGAGTGATAATTGGAAGGACTCATCTCGAGATTTATGACGCGACCCTTTGAACGCTTCTCAAATGAGCCCCAGGATCAATTTCTCAGCTGGCTCGTCAGTCGTCAAGGTAAGAAGGACACCTGGGTGGGACAGCAGCAAAGGCAGAAGGAACGGCACCACCAGGAGCAGAACGGCGGTTTCCGGCGACGGTTCTTCTCGGCCCTCAGCACCGCCATTCTTCGCGTGCTATTCAGAACATTTTGATCTTCTGAAAGTTTGATTTAAGAAAAATGATGAATAGCGGGAGAGATAATTAAACGCTGAAAAGTAAAACAACGTTTAAAAAAACCTCATAAAATAGGTTACTTTATGATTATTCCTAGCTAACTTCTTTGAAAAAGGAAAAAATTGACAGAAGGTTCACAGAAACAAAGAAGAAATGAAGAAAATTAGCTGTGTCAAGTGGTTACGCGCAAAGATAAGCCCAATATAACATACATGAGAAGGGATTAGGGGAAAGAGAAGCCAACGATGAGATCGGATGAAAGAATCGCCCTTTTTCACAGTTTTTCCTTCTTCTTGAATTAGAGCCTTCCTTCTACAAAGAAATATTTATATAATTACTTTTCTGCTCAACCGTATGTCAATCCAAAAAAAATTATCAGCAACTTTCTTTTTTGGCCAATCTTTTCTACGCACTAAACATTATGTAGGGATAAATGCGATGGAATTCCAGAATGACCTCCAGAAATATATCAAATATGTGAGGAACCCATGGAAAGCCGGCTGGAACGGACCAAAAAAGAGAACAAGGGATACGGCGACGTGGTTGTTATAGAAATACATGGAGACACGCCTTATTGGGCCGTAAATCTCACATCGAGCCGTCTATTTCGATCCATGACCTCTTCCGGCAGAACAAAGCGAGAAATAAACGGCGGTTCTAATCGCTTCTTAATTTCGTCGTCAACTGGCTTCAGTTGACTTTTTTTTTTCCTGTATGCTCCCACCATCACGATTGCACGATTGACGAAGCTGAATAATCAACTTATTTTTTAGTTTTGGATTTTGAATAAAATTCAAAAGCTCTTCCCCAGTATTCAAGTTCAAAGCGAGGTTTGAAAATTTAGAAGAAACTGTGGAAAGACCTGAGCCATAGAGATTAATCAATTATCATTTCTATGAGAACATTGTCTCTATCAAAACTAAGAAAATCTACAAAAAACGTAGGAACATTAATTACAAAGAAAAGAAGATGAAGAAAAAGGATTGCCGACGTCCTATTCTTCGAAGCACCTGGAGAGACCGGCCTTTTTCAGAGGGAGATTATTATACGAAGTGGAAAGAAGCAGCGGTCGCGTGAGAAGGTGCCGGATAGCATGTCTGCAGAGTCATTGGCCCATCGAGATGAATGTGCGACTCCATTGTCGGTCGCTCAACGTGATAGGTTGCCCATTATTCGGATGGCGTATGCTGCCCCATCCCAGTTGGCATCTTCCCTTTTCAATATGTTACAGAACGATATTACTGTTTCTTGAATTAGGACTACTTCTTTCAGTGTGAAAAAGGGTTTCCTGAATGTTCTACCTGCGGTTCTGATCAGAAGGGTCCGACCACACAGTCGTAAGACTGCGTAAATATTCAGAGAGAACGACTTTTGAGAAACTACTTGGTCTTAAACTTTTCTGCTTGCTCTTTGGGAGAAAACATTTTTAAAATTCATCAATAGATTCTGAAGCCTTTGAATCATACACAGAAAATATAAGTATTTGGGACCGCTAACTTGATAAAGCTTCACTTTTTTTTTTCTGTACGTAGCCTTCTTTTAAATCGCGACTTTCAGATGGCTCCATTCTCTTCTTTTCAGAAACTCAAAATTCTGCTAAAAGCATATTTTCTCTCATTCATCTAATGAAATAACTGACTGGAAACCTGATGTTTATATTTTGATTCTAACGAACATGAATTGACGCAATTACAGTTTTCTTCCCTCAACTGTAATTTTATTGACAACTTTCAAGCTTTCAGACGCGAATGGCTCTGAAAATGAAATCATAAGCGAACAAGAAGTGGCAAACGTGACTCAACTATTTCCAGACAATGGAAAAATTAGATTTTCTATAATTTATTATAGGCTTGCAAATTTGAGATTCCTTTATTCTCTTCGTCTTCATTCTAAAAAAAATTCTGTCAAAGCTAAAGGGAAAGTGAACAATTTTATATGATTTTACAAATTTTTTATGAAAAAAAAACGAAACTACAGTGAAAACGAATCTGATAAGAAAATGTGTAGGTCTCAATCCAAAACGCTAACACGTGTAAGAAAATATACCATGAAAACTATAATAGAAATGAGAAAGTTTACACGTGAATGTGATCACCACGAAGTTCACCGGCAGGTCAAGTGAAAGATATTTTGGCAGGAGGGAAGTGTCCGATGTCGCCAAGGCTGCGGATGGTGACGCGTCCTGACGGCCGGATCACCACCCAGGTCAACGAGCAGTTGCCCAACGACATACGGAGCCATCCTTCAGGCGGGAACTGCAGGGCTCTGCAGCTAGTTTCTTCTTCCCCGATTCATGATATATGCAAACCGGCAGACGAAGTAGCGGATGACATTGGCGTGACACACGTAGAGCTCATATGAGTCTTCTTTTTGCGTGGGTGGAGCGCGGTGGAAATGTTTCCTGAAGGCCGACTCGATCCGTGCGCTCTCCACGAAAAACTCCTCAAGAAAACACTCCAGCAATTGCTACGAACGATCAGTTTTTGAACAGCTTCCGCCACATGAGAAAAAAAAATTGATAAACTTATAACACTACTTTAACGTCGATGGTAGAAAAAATTACGTTTTTTTGACCGCGTTCATTAGAAAGCACCCGATTCAGAAAAGAGATTTCTCGCGCAACGAAGATAGACTGTGAATAACTTATTCTAATTTCTTATTTCAGACCTTTGAACCCCTGTTCTTTATAAAAAAAAGTCTCAGAAAGTAATGAAACTCTCCTCAACTAAATCGAACTTTGTAAGTCCAGCTAAAGTTGTGACTTAAAAAGCAAAATTTTTTTTGAGTTTTTTAAAAGATAATCTATAGCTGATTCACGGCCAGCTTGGGACGCTAAGAGGGCGTGTCCTGTCTGTGCTCTCCACGAGCCGGCACTGTCTCGTGCATCTCAGAACCCTTTTTTCAATGGCTCAAGCCAGCCGAGAATCAGCTATAGCACGGTATTTTGAAAAAAAACTATGAAGGAAACCTTATAAGAAAAGATTAAAATAAAGATTCGATTGATAAGCATATAGTCCTGGTGCCGTTGTTTTGCGAAACAGCAGCGCCAGTACTATATTCTCATTTTTTTTTGGCAAAAAAAACAACGGCATCCGGACTAATTCCCTAGTTTAATGAATTAGTAGAAAAACATATCTTGATTTCTATTCTTTTTTAATGTAATTATATTCCCGCACTTTCTATTAAAGAAACAGGAATCAAAAGTCTTAGCCTAAATAGGACGAAAAAAACTCATATTTTTCACGAATTGAATGACTAGAAGACTCTTTTGTTCAATAAGCATTCAGAAAGCGATTATTTGACCAAAAAAGCTCACTGAATGAGGAGGTTTCCAGTGAGAGACGTCTGGAACAGGCGGATATGGGGGCCCTTCCTCTATCTGGGAACAACTACTTCTGAAGAAGAAAAAATTGAACACCTCAAGTCTCAGAAAAAAAATCACTTTGGTAGGGTTTCCGGAAGATGGTTCAAAATGATGTTAGCAGTTTCTGTCGCACGTGTCATGGTTGACATGACAAGTTTGTCGAATTTGATTCCCGACTCCGCGAGACGTTTTCCCAGGACATCCGCCTGTTGCCTACCTAAAATGCAGCAAATTTAATGACCGATTCTATAGATAAAATCAATAAAAACTACGTTTCTATTTTTGCTTCTGAATGCTATTGAAGGTATAGTCTGTTCAGATTATGAATGTCAAGAAGCTTACTCCGTCCCCCAAAGATACAATATCTTTCGCGTCAATGTTTCATCGCAGATGATGATGAACTTTGAATATAGGATTATTTTCTGACTTCTTTTTCTATCTTTTAGAACGGAAAAGATTAAAAATCGTCTCGCGCGTTAAAAAAAAACCGACGCGAAAAGTACTGTGGCAGCAGGGGCGGAGTTAGCTGCTTGACATTTAAAATATGAACAGACTATAGTTAACTACCTGACTGTAAAAAAATTTTCGAACTTCAAAGTTTACAAAGAGCTTCGTTCTATCGCGCCGTTTATTTTTAACACAGAAAACTCTTTTCCTCCTAATTTTCATTTTTTCCAAAGTTTTCGGTTTAATGAGTAAGCAAAAACCTCCTAAAAATTTCAAGCTTCCGGAAGACTTTATTTTTGAAGGAATTTCTACTTCAAATCTTTCGAAACAGACCTAAAGGGGTGAGGTTCTTCTCAACCGAGTCCAAATGGTACTGTCCGTGGCGGATCAAAAAGATGTTTCTAGTGGCCGTTGCTTTGCACTCATCTTCCAAAGTCTTTCTCTCCTCGTCCGTAGCCTTGTCATACTTTTTTCTGTCGAGTAATTGCGACGGCTCACGGCTGAACCATACGAAAATTGCAAAGCAAAATATTTATTAGCTCACAAATCCCAATTGTCGTTCCAAGTTCCGCGAGGAAAATGATCGTCGAAATCGTTACGAGATGTGACAATCGACTTGCTTAGGGCGACAACTTGTCGCAAAAAGTTCTGTCTTCTGTCTTCGTTTTCCAGCAGGTAGAATCCGCCCGCAGAAGCGAAAGTTAGTGGGATACCTACTCGTAATGCCTTCGCAATCATTCTACTGAAAGTAAAAAACAAAAAGTTTACAAGAAAACTGTTTGTGTCCAGTTTGAAAAACTAAATTCCGAAACGGTAACACTATAAAGATGTGATAAAGGTTTTCATAAAATAGTTTGAAGGATACACGTTCTAAAAAATCATGGAACATCTGGATCAATAGTAAAAATGAAGAAAATAGATAAAAGAGAAGAGAAAAGTTTCAGAAAGAAATGCTGTGTTAATTTGATATAATTTGGAATGATTAGCCACTTTCTTGTAAAATTCTATTCTGCATGAGTTCAGCAACAGACAGGGCGATGTTAGCCGGTCTGCTTGGTATTTTGAAAAAGTTAAGTATCATAATTAGCTGAAAAAAATAATAAATTTTTACAAATTTATACTTTTTCTTAAAAAAATTATAAAGCGAATTTTTTTGATCCCTGTTAAAATTGATTCCGCGCTGCTCAAAATAGAGGTCAGAGAGTGAAAAAGACAACTAACTTTTGGAGAGTCGACTCTGTCAGACTAGTCAGAGACAACTTTGAATTTCGCGGAAATTACTTTGAACAACATCATGCCGTGAAATATTTAAATGACAAATGCAATAATTAAGCGTAAAATGAGGAGTTTGGGTCGTGTACACACATCCGTGTGTGTTTTGTCAAATTTGAAATTCCGAGCGGTTTTTTTTTCAATATTTTCCATCAAACAACATAATTGCCGATATCGCATCGCAGCGGGCCGTAGGCGATATAGCCAATCTTCTTGCTGCGATCTCGGCACCCTGTCACTGCGACCTCGTCAAAATCTCGCTGCCATATCGCTCCCTCACAAATTGACTTTTATGATGAAATGAATCAAATTAAAGAAAAAAAAAACATCCTTGAAGAAATGTTTTCCAGAAAGCGATATAGCGCAAGACGTTTGCGAGATCGCAGCAAGAGCGAAATTGCTCGCGGCTCCCCCGCGGCATAGCATTACTCTCGCTGTGATATAGTCCACAATATTGTGTGATCTTTCTTGAGAAACGAATTTTGATGCACATGTATTGTAATCAATATGGTGAAAGATTGCACTTTTGTCTCGCATACGTTTTTTTGTGATGTGTTATTTCATTGAGCGTTATTATGCAAACTGATAGAAAAAAAATTTAGCTTTTTGATCGACTAATAAATAGCTTTTTCATCGAATATAGACTAGTTTTTTTTCTAGCAATTAAAGTGATGCACTGTTCAAAGTATTTAGGCGGAATAGATTTTCGTGGATATATTATATATGTACATACGTATATACATTACCTTTTCACAGAGTGAGCTTTTTTGTGTCTTTATTTTGTTAAATTTTGACGGGTTTTTTTTTCTCTCGCATATTGCATATTCTCAATTCGTGTCGAAAGTGTTTTTTTTCCATGATTTCACTGTGCAGTATTTTAGCTATGGACAACCCTGGAGATGATCCGATTCAAGCTTCTTCTGACGAAGCTGCATCAGATTTTCTCAGTTCCCAAGGAACTCTGCAGTCTACATCGCTCAATACAACTTTGGAAGATGTCTCCGAGGTGCAGGCTTCAAACGTCGATGACCAACTTCAGGGAAACTTGACGGAAAATCGAGAGTCTGCTGTTAATCAAGAGTTTTGTGCGGAAAATCAAGAGTTGGAAAACTTTGATACCGACATACCAAATTGGGAGATTGAAAAAACCGCGCTAAGTTGGTAAAAAGTATTTTGACAGTTTTGATATTTCATAAATTTCAGCACAAGCGAACTTCAACTTAAACCAAGAGCTGATTGACGTAAAAGAAAATTTGAAAACGACTTCTCTTCAGAACAAACAACTTTTAGCCGAATTATCGCAGAATAGTGTGTAATTAAAAGATTCTCTGGTTAAAACTTTTTTCAGGTCGTGAAATCATTGAAGCTACTAAGCAGCGTCGTATTTTGGAGACTTCGAGAAACGAGTACAGCCAGAGAAACGTTTGAGAATATTCTTTGAAGTAGGTAAAGAAGTCGTTTTCAGATTGAACTAGAAAGTGCTGTTGTTCGACTACGACTCGAAAAAGAAGAAAGAGATGCCGCAATTGTCCGCTTGAATAAGGAAAAGCAAATGATTAGCTGTAAAGGGAAATTCCGAGGCAACACGAGCTGTTATTTTTTCAGTGGAAGTGATCGCCACAAACGATCAACTCAAGCAGTTGAGTGGAGAAAAAGCGGCTCTTCTTTTGACCATGGAGACTACGCAGCAAGAACGGCGAACTTTGGCGGTAAGAAGGCATTTTCTTTCCAATAAACAGTTTTCTTGATTTCTTAAGTTTGAACAAGAGAGGGCGAATGCGGATAAAGATATGCAGCTGGAAACCAGGCGTTATCTGCTTAGAGAAATTGCTGAAAGAGATGAGAAAATAATCAAACAACGATTGCAAATGGTATACATTTTTCTTTCTTTTTTTTTCGCTTGCTCAGTAGAAATGATTGCAGAGTTCCAAAGAAGTTGAATTTGTCAACGAACGCCTGGTTTTTGAGAGGAAAATCGAGAACTTCCAACTGCAGATTGAAGAGCTGACCGAGAAATTGGAATTGTCCAAAAACGACGGTGACAATTATCTCAAAAGAATAGAAGAGGTTTTTAAAGTTTTCCTTCGAACTATTCCAATGTTCTGCAGACGGAGAGAAGGTTCAAATCGGACATCAGCAATCTCGAAGCAGAACTCCGATGTCAGGCAGAAGTGGCCAATATCCATAAGAATGATTTGGACGAAGCTCTGCAAGTGGCCGCGTCTTTAAAGTGAAAAAATCAGGGCGCACCCGGAAAAAGTCTTTTGCAGAGACAAAGTTACGAGCTGTGAAGAAACTCTGGAAACGGCGAAGAGCGTTTTGGTGGAAGTTCAGCAAGAACTCGTCACGCAACGCGAGGAATTCCAAGCCAATCTTGCGGAAAAAGGTTTAAAAAAACTGGATGAGGATCACTGGAGCTTTCAGAAAACTGCATTGAAGAACTGAAGGACGAGCTTAAAAAATCTAATGAGATGCTCAAAAGCAAGCATGCAGGTTTATTTTTTAGAGTTTTTCTTGAAGGAAATAGAATTTTTTCAAATGTGTCATCGAAAGTTTCTTCTATTTCGGTGTAATTCAGTTCATGTGAACATCACGGAAGAAGAGCTTGCGAAATTGTCTCCTGCAGCAGCGGAAACGGCTGCCCTCTTGCGTGGTGGACATTCGTACTCGAGCATCATTAGGTTTGTTTCTCTTGGGGATATATATCGGCTTTTATTCTTGTACATTCTATTCTGCATAAATGTGAAGACTGAGATCAGTTTGATAGAAATTTATATTGAAGGGAACACGCGAGGTTGGCTGGAGAACTGGCTGAGGCTAGAGACATCATTAAACAGCTGGAAAACGACCTACATGACATTTGCGATGACGTGCGAGGTGAGCTTTCCGAACTGAGCTGTTTCTATTGCAGAGCGGGCTCCGCTGTTTCTGTCTCAACGAAACATGCTTGACGCGAGTTTTGACCAAAACTCTGCGCTTAACAGCCAACTGCAGGTGGGACTTGTTCTGATGTGTGTTCAAATCGTAAAGTGTCTAGGAAGCTGAAGCGGAACGTCAGAAGCTCCTGAACGAAAGGGACGCGGCCAAGCGGGAGCTGTTGTTCATGAGAACCGAGCTGGAGAAGTACCAACGAGACTACGCCCGCGTTACCAAGCAGGTCCACCAGCTCATGTTCGCCGCCGAACGGGCGATGCATGCCGCGGATCCGGATTGGAATGAGTTAGACGACGAGAAACTCTTCACCACGATTGTCCAACTGCAACAGTTCGACTTTTTTGATATTTTCAGTTTTTTTTCTCTTTTTGCAGGCGAAATATTCAGTTAGAGTCGGATATCGAGCGCGAGAAAGCCAATGCCACACAGATTGCGATGGATACTCAGGACACTGAACGCGAAAACTTGCGGAAAGAACTCAAAACGGCTAAGGAAGTTGAGGCGAACCTCATAGAAAAGGCTTCTCAGCTGAAATCAGCACTCGATATTGTTTGTTTTTTGAAAGACGCTGGTTACTCAAGTTTTAAGGTCAAAAGTCAGTCGGAACACTTCCAAGAGCTCATCAAAGACAGCGTGAGTGCCACGGAAGCTCGAAACTGTCGTCTGCGCGCGGAGGAGGCTGTGGCGAAAGGTTAGAAAAGAGATTTGACTTCTTCATCAGAAGGTTCAGGCGAACGTGGCTGAACTTCGGGCTCACAGGTTGGAGGACTATGTGAAGGTGTTGAAAGAAGAACGTGATAAGCGCGAAAAGTGGTTGAAGTTCCTTGAAACGTATTGAATTTTTTTTTTTAGACTTCTTGAACGAGAAACTGGAAGCTAGTGAGATGGCGGCTGCAAGCATTCGGCAAACGAACACGGCGTTGGAAGTGACTCTTGAAATGCAGAAAAAGTCGGCGAGCGAAATGTCAAGGGTATTTTTATTCCATAGATGAATGGTGGCAGGTTTTTTCTCACAACAGGAGCTTCAAGCACGTCAGAAACATGTGGATAAAATGGCGAAAGACATCGAGAAGCTTCTGGCGACAGATGCGAAGCGCGCAGGCCAAGTCGAAGAGCTCAGCAGAAAACTTGTCGATATTCAAGATCAAGCGAGCACGGCCAGGTTGAATCCCACGGATTCCCGATGACCGTGGTCTGGGTTCAGAATTGAAAAACGCAGTCTCCAAGATGAACTCAATTCTTCGAAAAGCGAAGCCACAAGAATGCGCCTCGAAGTGGACTCTTTGCAGAAAGTTGTTCAGCGAGAACAACTATTGGTATGAAAGAAGAAAGATTTTTTTGAAAATTGTTTTTACAGATGTCGTCCCTAAGTGAAGTGACTGCCAGACTTTCACGCATCGAAGCTGAGAAACAGAGTTATTCGAACACTCAGCTGGAAGTACGTCGAAAATTGTTTCAACCTTCCAGAGACCCGACAATTCTAGGCTTTGCGACTCGAGAGAGACAGTTTGAAGTCGACTTCAGCTCGTCTCTCTGACCAACTGACGCACACCAGAAACGAAGGCAAAATCATTCAGGTTTCTCCCGTCGCTTCTGACCGCTTTATGACATTTTATTCCTGATCCAGGCTCGCTTGGAACACGAACTCATTTCATTGAGAAGCATCCTGAGCGAGAAAGAGCAGCAGAAGGCGGTTGTTGACCACGAGTTGTTGGATTTGCGGTCGAAGCTCGTTTCCATTCAAGAACAGTATACCCAGAACGACACTATTGGTTTTTTTTAATCGATAATTTTTTAATTTTTATTTTTCTCAAGGAATGACCCCTGATCGACTCAAACGAGAGTGTCAACAATTGAAGAACCGAGTTCAGTTCCTGGAAAATCAACTGGATGAAGTAAAAAACAGTTTGAGAGAAGCAGAGGCTGACCGTGTGAAGAGATTCGATGAGAAGACATTGTTTGGAAGGAATCCATCATAATTCATACTTTACTAATCATTACAGAGTTGAAAAACACAGTGGCGTTCTCGAGGAGAACCTCAAAACAACCCAGCAAATGGGTGCGATGGAAAGAGAACGGCTCGAAGCCAAAATCATTTCTTACGAAAAGTTTGCCCGATTCAATGACTCAAACAACTTTTTGCTCTGTTCAGGCGCACTTCCGAGCTTGCGGAGTCGGTGAAACTGCTTCGAGAAGACCGCGAGGCGGCGAAATCTGAACTTCTGAACTTGCAAATTTCTTCGGATCAGGTGGAAAATGTCTCTATTCGTTTTATTGAGCTCTATTGGATTTTAAGGAAACACAGAATCTGAAACGGCAGTTTGACGTTGCCAACTTGCAACTGGAAGACGTGCGTTCGCAGTTGAACGAGACTAAGGCCTCCATGCAAGAGTTACAAGCGGAAATCGATCGCAAGACTTTCGAGATTTCCCAGGTACAGTTAAGATTCTCCATGTGGATTTCATATAGTTTCAGATCAACGAAACGGCCAACGAACTTCAAGGAAACTTGATCGATGCTGAAGCTAAGGCGGAATCTTTGAATGCTCAACTCGATTGCAAAATCATGGCGTTGGCAGCTGCTCAAGATGCTGTTAAGCAGGTAATCTGGTAGACGAAATATATTCTTGTGTTAGAGGGACGCAAAAAATGATCGTGGCTCGTGGCCATGAAACTAGGGTTTTTTTTTTGCTTTTTTTTAACTTTTCAGTTTAGAACAGTTACCACACGTTTAATCAAAAAAATATATATATTGAGCGATTTTCCTAGGAAACGTTTTAAGGAAAGATGTTCAGGCCGACGAACAACGGGCTGCGGCGACAGCGACGCTTGCTACCAAGGATGCCGAGAGAGACTCTTTGATCAGAGAGAACCGGGAGAAGTTGGCAGAGTACGAGCAAAAACTCAATGAAATTGTCCAGCAATACGAAGCGGTAATAATCCACTCCTCTTAATAGCAACCTTCAGAAGTTCAGGTGGCACTCCTGACTTCTCAATCTACATTGGAGACTTCGATGAATCCGGCCCCCGAAGGTCAAAGCAGAAGCGACAATTCTTCAACGGCCTTGGTCGAATCGCTGCAAACTGTTTTGCAGTTTGTGCGCGAAGAAAAAGAAAAGGTCTAGAAGTCTTTAACTTTTTTTGAGTCTCTGCTCTCCAGGCGATGACGCGGTCGATGAATGCAGAGGTCGAAATGCGCCGTCTACGAGCCGAAACGGCGGAGTACGAGCGCGGGAGAAGCGAATTGCTGGTTCGCATCCGCGACTTGGAAACTGAGCGAGCGGCAAATTCTGTGGCTTTGGTAGAAAGGTCGCGCCTCGTGAGTTTCCAACTTTCTCCCTCTCGTTTTGATCTAAATGTTTGAGATGGAACAAATCGAGTCGTTGAGCAGTGTGCAGCGGGAAAATGCCCAGCTGAGTGCAGAAAAGCTTCGTCTGACAAAAGAGCTTTCCGAGGCTCAGAAACAGGTTACCATATCTTTAACTTGCAGCAAATAAGCCATTTTTATTTGAAAAAAGAAAATGCTAATGATCCTAGTAGCTTAATTTTTTCAGTCCTTTTTCAAGCCTTTAAATTAAGTTTTTTTCATTGGAAGCCTGTGCAAGCCAGGATTATGTTTTAGAGCATGAAAAAATCGCTATAAAGTCGATTTTTCATAAATTTTATTTTTGAGATGGCAAACACATTTTGAATGTTCAACAAACGGGCAGCTACAGTAACCTTTTTCATTCAGAAATCCCTTTCCGAGGGGAGACTTCAGCAATTGACGGGGGAACTGCATCAGAACAAAATCAACTTCACCAACGCTTCAGCAGAAATTCGTAACAGAAGAAGAGAGAACGAGCTTCTCAAACAGCGCCTTCAAAGCACTAACACTTCTGCTTCTGCTGCTCTTCAGTAAGTCGTTTTTTTTTCTTTCTACCTGTAGGAAACTTTTGCAGAAGCGAAATCGAAGAACTCAAAAAACAATTCAACCAGAAGGTCCAAGAGTTAGAGGTTGCTAATGAACATGCAACGAAAAGCGAGAAAGCCAAGATGGCTGCTGAGTGAGTTTTTTTGTTCAAATTCAGTATTGCATATGATATGAAAACCTTATCAAAAGCGGCTTATGTCAGAAAAAAAGCTATTTCAACTCGATTAAATATTACATTTTTTTTTGCAGGGAGGAAGTGAAAAAAAGTGAAATGAAGTGCAGTCAAACCAGGGCTTTGGCTGTCAAATACAGGGATGAGGTAATTTTTTAAAAATTCAATTTGGATGTGTTGCTTTTAGACAATTGATGCGATATATCAGATTTATTAAAAAAATATTCAGTGATTTATTAAGATTTAAGGAGACTGAACATTATTATTTTTCATTGCCATTTAAGAGAAATGGAAAAAATAGTTTGGATAACAATTTAACTTATTAATCAATTAATTCTCATAAGCGTGTTCATGATTTAACCTAATACACGAGCTGCTTCTCCGCCAGCTAACAGATCGAAAAATTTGCTTTTTCTGTTAGGAAACAATGGATTATAGAATGGGTCCTGTAGTTTGAATTGAGGGTTGATGGGTGGTAACGCGTTCGGATCGTGGACGTAGCGGTCAGGGATTTTAGGAAGTGTTGATAGTTCGATGGGCTTAGGCGTAGTGAACATTTGCATGTAAGGATTGAGAGTGAAAGGATTAGCCAGACCTAGAATTGGCTTTTCCCATTCCTGAAAAACGGATGGAGGTCCGGGGATGGACAAAATGCTATTACCAAGCTGTGCTGCTTGACGTTTCTTTCGTTTAAATATCTCAACATCTCTTTTGTTTCTGTTGAAGAAGAGCCGATCGAACATATCCGGATCGAAGAGCCTCGGAGAGCTAGTAGTTGTCGTTGGGGCTGGCGCCTGAGTGTTTTTCCTTCTCAACGAAGGAAAGAACATGGCTAGAGACTTTTCGATAATGCTAGCCGTTGTGGTCGTGGTTGGTGCTGCCGTAGTCGTGCTGCTGGTGGGAATAAGTGTGATACCGGCGACATCCTTGGAGAAGTCGTCGAGTTGCTTCTGCCACGGCTCGATGTAAGGCTTCAAGATGCGCTCAATAAATGGAGGCTGTGGAGTGGTTGTTGTCGAGGGCTGCTGCAGTCGCTGGATCATTTCTAGTAAGCTTCTCGAAGTGCTCAATGGATGGTCTTCCCGGTCTTTGCGGATTTTCTCAGCGTATGCTTTCGCTCTGGCGTTTTCCTGCATCTGATCGAACATATCCATGAACGGGGAGATTATCGGACCGATTATGCGATGAGCATCAACTTCCGGCAAAGGGTCCTCAAAAAAAGTTTTATGAATTCATATCTAGCAAGATAAAGTTTCTTTAAAGATTATCAGTACTCGTTCTTCACGAATTAACTCCGTATAAGTTCATTTTTCAATCAAAGTAGGATTTATCAGAAAGATTCATAAAAATAAGTTTAAAAAAACCATACATATTTTTTAACGACCCCTCCTCCTAGGTTTTTCTTGAATTAAAGTCAATTTCGCCTCCTGGAGTTAAAAACCTTATTAGCTTTCTGTTATTACTACCCCCTTGCGTTGTATATATATATATATATATATATATATATATATGGGATTTCCTAAATTAAAATCAATACTCATGTATGGTAGAACTGGGAAACTGAATAATGAAAAACAGGAAAATTTAAAATCGCACCACCGTGTTCAAAGTTTTAACGAGCTTGAGATACTTCGAAGTGAAATCAATTGAAAAGTCTTACTCTTGGCGTTTCGAAGTTCGCAAACTGCATTTGGCTCAGCAAAGGTGACGTCTGGTCTTTGTTGGCGAAGAAGGAATCTTGTAATTGAGTTCTGACTAGTTTACTCAATGAGATAGCAGATAGTATGAATAACCATGTGAAGTGCATCCTTAGCCGACAAGAAAAGTGCGGCTTAAGAAAGGGAAAGGCGCCGAAAACAGGGATTTGGAAAAGTGAGAAAACGAAAGAGATATAACGTTGAAACGTTCCTTCACGGTGTGGTCAATTGGGTCAACGCGTCCGGCGAAAAATCAGGAAAAAGTTCGCCTAGCTTTTGCTGAGGATTTTCTGATTCTTCTTGAGATCGAAGAAACTTAATTTAAGATGACGAAATGATAAAAACTGTCACTAATAAGGAATACGGTTGACTAGCTTTTAATTTTTTGTGTTTTTTTTTGATAATTAGCCAATTTGAAAAAAACGTTTACTTTTTTGTTCTTTTCATCAAGTTTCCTATTTTTCATGTTCAGAACAAAAAGCTCAAAGAGTCTCTTGGAGCAGCAAGCGCCGGAATCGTAACGGAAACCTCACCAGAAATGGAAGAGCTGAAAAAAACGAACGATGAGCTGAATAAGAAAATTTCGGTATTTTTATTCTCACATTTGCAATTTATTCAAAGTTTTCAGGCTCTGGAGAAGACTTCCAACGACTTAGAAATGAATCAAATTCGTATGAATATGTTGGAAACGCGCATGGCCAAACTGAATAACCAATTGGTTGAAGTGACTGCAGAAAGAGACAATGCCAAACAGAGTATTGAGGTATAGGTTTTTTTTTTGTCTTTATCAAACAACGAAAATCGAATAAAAAAGAACAGGGTTTAATAGTTTTTCAACCCTATTTTAAAAAAAAGAGGCAGAGTAATCAAAACCTTCGCCTGACTATCCTTTCTTGTGTATTCCAAATATTTTTTATATCGTTCTCTGTTCAGAGACTGGAAAAAGAGCTGGCGCAGGCCCGTGCACGGCCCGTCTCAACGGTTTCATCTGAAATCCATACGACTTCTGCGGCCCCAACGGCTTCTGTCTCAACCAGCGCGGCTTCTTCCGCAGCAAAGACTCTTTCCGCCGCCACATCTAGCTCAGCTGCTTCCAAATTTGGACAACCATCCTCTGCAGCTTCCTCCAACAGCCAATCCCAGCAAGTTTCGCAGGTCCACAACTCGAGCTCGGCTGTTCCGATATTCACGGATGATAGAGCTAGAGTTCCGACGATGCCCACAGACAGCGTCTCTCAGTCGCTTTCCGACGAACTTCTGTTTAATAGTCAGAAACCTCCTCTACTCACTTCAACCCCAAGCATTCCTGCGGATATCGACCAGCAGGCCGTCGGCGAGTCTGTACCGGAGCTCTCCCACCAACAACCAGCTCCTCCAGACGTCTTATCTCCAGCTACCAGTTTGCCTGTTCCTGGAGCCTTCGCTTCGTCAGCGCGAGTTCCCGCAGCTTCGCTCTTCTCTGGCTTCTCTCATACACCAACTCAAAGTGAAGGTGTACCAACGCTTCCACCAAAGCCCACTATTGTTTGCTGAACAAATTTTCGTGTAATTAACTGTTTTTATTCAGGCTCCTCCTGCTGAGAAGCCGAAGATCTCCTTTGCCAGTTCTTCGTCCCTCATCCAACCTGGCCAATCGCTGTTTGGCAGATCCGCTCCCACTCCAGAAGTACGCTTCGAACTTCATATTTGTTGTGAATTAGTCATTTCAGCCCATGACGACGTCTTCAAGCTCTACAGATGCAGTTCTGTTGCCAGAAGAAAGTGTCGTGGAAGCAGGACAAAGCAGTCAAGTATGACTGTTTTTCTTCTTTTTTCCATTTTTTTTCAGGTCAGCGGAAGCGTTGATAAAACTCAACACATCCAGCCGTTGTCTGGACCAAGTGGTCAGTCTCTGAATAAACCCAAGAATCTCATGAAAAAGATACAAGAGCTTAGGATAGTGTATTGAATTTTTCGAAACCTCAGCACTTCTTCTAAATTTAACAAAAAGAAAATAAATCTCAAAGGAAGAGGTCACATAAAATTATAAATCTCAATTTTTTTCAATAGTAGAACGTGCATTGATTTTTATTCTTCTAAAAAAACAAAAAAATTGAAGTTTTTTTGCGAGTGAAAAAGATATCCTTGTAAGATAATGTATAACAAAATCTGAGGATTTTTAGACAGTGCTGGGGAGTCACGGGACAGCACTACAGGGCCGAACGTCTCCAGTTCAGAAGCTCGTCGCAAAAGAACTGCGACAGAAAGTAGTGCCGGTGGAGCCAAGCGTCTCCGTGGAAGTCCGAGCGAAGACGTCACCAGCAGCGAAAACAGACCGATCCAGCAAGGTTCGCTCGACATTTCCGACACTAGACAACAGATTTATAGTGGATGAGATCCCTGAACTGGACGACGAGGTGCTCGAAATCGAACAAGAAGTGAGTGACGAGGATCGCAACGAAATCCTGCGGCGTCAGCTGCACGGCGAAGTCGTCGATTTGGAGAACGAAGATGACGAGGAGGGAGATAACGGAGAGATGTTGGACGACGACGGACAGATGACTGGCGAGGAAGAGAACGAGGAACCAGAAGATGACGAGTCGTTTGGGGGAGACGAGGAGTACGAAGAGCCGGACGACGATGATGACATCATCGACGAGACCGACCAGCCGAGAGACGAAGAAGAAGACGACATCGTCGTTAGTTCTATCAGAAAACCACCGCTACTTATGCGAAAAAGTGTAGGTTCTAAATGATTCTGATGACAACGATGACGTGGATTCGATTGAAGACGTAGGAGAAGAAGAAGCTGATGATCTGCGTGGCAACGATGACGAAGTACTCGGCGGAGAAGGTTAGAGAAGAGAACGCGAGTTGGGAGAGCAGATTCTCTCTACAGCTTTTTTTTTTTTTCGAACGAAAGTCTTATATTTTTTTGAATATTTTTTTATATTTCACAGGAGGTTCCGAAGTTTTTTTGAAGAAAAATAAACGTTTTAGAAGACGAGTCAAAAAAACTGTTATAGCGCCTAAAAAAATTGTTGAAAAAGGGAAAAAGTACTGAATATTTTTTCGTAGTTTATTTTACATCCTGTAAAAAAACTTCAGAACCAGGAAAGTTGGATGTAACGATTTTTCTCAGACTCGCAGCCTTCGCTGGATGATCAGGACAGAGAAGCAGCTTCGGCGATGGAAGAAGCCGAAGACGAGGGTCGTGCTTCGGTCGAAGATCAGTTGGCACCAACGGACGGAAGTGTTGCCGTTCCTCTGCAGCCAGACGTGCCCAATCCAAACTTGCGCATACCGCAGTTTTTCGAGACGGACGGAGATCGTGAAGATCAGTGCTCCAGCAGGTCTGCGGCTTCTTATCAATCAATTTCAAATAATAGCTTGTCATCTTTGTAGAAAATAGGCGAAAATCGAGTTACATGTAATAATCCTAACATGGTGATAAGCGACGGTCGACGAAGAGTGATTTGATATTCTTTAAAAAGTCAAAAACCGTCATGAATACTTTTTGCATATGAGAATCGATTATTGCAAAGTCAATTTTTTCTAGTGTAATCTGACATTTTACATTTTTAGCAACGAAACAGCCGAAGCTTCTGGCTCTTCGGAACCTGCTCAGCGAGGTCGCCAAGTGGCTCGTCGTAGTCGCGGTCGTCAGCTCCAGATCTACCAGCCTCCAAATCGTTCAGTGGCTCCTCAGTCTCCGGCGAGATCCCGAGGTTCTCCTCGCGGGAATCGCGGTATTAAACGCGGCGGTCGCGGTCGCGGAACTCATCTGTAAATGCTAATAATATGCAATGTTGAATAAGTTATTTATTTATTTTTCGTGAATTCCTTCTTGGGTTCTCAGCACTGATTTCATTTGATTTTTGTTTGAAGCAGAAAAATTTCCCGGTATTTTGCATACTGAAATAAATGAGTGATATCTGATTGATGTTTGAATTTCGAAGTTTTCGAGGCATCAAAAATCATTAAAGGTAAACTCTTTGTTGGCACATGAAAATTATAAATTCAACGCGTCGTTCTTCGGTCTATCAGGCATCGAAAAAAAAAGTTTTTAATACCCTCTAGTCTGTCTCGAACTTTTTTTTTTCTAAAGTTTTCAAAAATATTCAAATGAATCGAAATCGGTTTTATCGGCGTTCTCTAGTTCAGTGTGTCGGTTTGTTAATCGCGGGGCGGTGCTTTGAATGACTGCTGTAACAGGGTTACAAAAGTCGCTTTTCGGAACCAGCCGACCTGTTTTGCACGCCTCCCATCGCGGCAACGGCATCGTCTTGATGGCACGGATGGTTTCGCTCGTCTTGCTTCCGCCGCTCGTCTTTTCGGTGGTGCTCGGCGACTTCTCGGTTTCGTTCAACGCCTTCTTGGTGGCCAACTATGGGCAGGCCATAGACGATCAACTGGCTCGTCGAGATTTAGGCACTGCCGGCAGTTATGGCGGAGGCGAGCACACAGGCGTTAATCGCACAGAGTAGGAACTTAATGGATGTTCCGGCGAGTCCAATTATCGAAGAAAATGAGCAAAAAGAATCGAATTCTTGGATATTATCAACCAAAGATTTATGATTTTTTTTAAATTCAAAATCGACTTATTGGTTTGGTGATACGATAATGTTGTAGATGAAATTAGAAAATCTAAGTTTTTTTCGGGGAAAAAGTTTTAACGAAATGTTGTGAAGCCCTCAAAAGCCTCGCAATTGGCAAAAAGAAAGAGACGTTTTTCAGGCCTGTATTCCACTCATAGCGTAGAAAAAAAATACGAAAAAGGGGTCGGCAGCGTAATAATTTTTCCTTCTTAATTTTTTTACTAAAACTCGTAAATTTTAAAACTAGGTCAGCTTTTTGAATATCTTTCTTCCCAACCATTTTTTTTCGAGTTTCAGCCAGTCGTTTCAATGAATATGGTCTCAGAAACGATGTTTCAGTAACCTTTTCGATAATCAATTTGTTCTCTGCAGAAGACAAGCGGTGGTTCTTGTCCATGGGATCACGAACACGGCCGGAACCTTCGCCAACCATCGCCAACACTTGCTCAACATCGGCTGGACCGACGACACCGTCTTCGCGACGACCTACGGCGACGGCGGCAAGACGGTCGCCCCACTCGTCGACGTCAAGTGCCAGTACATCAAACAGGTGAGAAGTCTCGACGTAGAAGTCTGACGTCAGTCTCCAGGTTCGCTACATGATCCAAGTCGTCGCCGCCTTCACCCATCGCAAGGTTGACGTCATCGCCTACTCTTTGGGGTCGCCAATCGCGCGCAAAGTTCGTCTCTTAATCATCATTGCGTCGCCTAGAACCTGATTTTTCTTGAACCTTTCGATTTAAAAAAAAAGAAGTAAAGGCACCCAATTAAACTTGGAAAAATAGAACTTCTCGAAAATTTCGCTTCATATATGAAGAAAAGGCTCATTAATTTTACTGTTTTTGCTGCATAATTTATCCGGTTCCACATTTTTCAAAGGTAATGGTAATGGATAAATAAAAGTTTGCTAAATTACTTCAAACCGCAAAACTTGTGTCATTTTTTGTAAAATTTTGGAGTTTTCTACTAATTGCCTCTAAAGTTGTTTGATATACTGAAAAATTGAATCCAAATATTTGCTATCCGCGCAACTTCAGTTTTATAAATGTTTTTTTCAAAGGTTGACATCCTCGTGGTGTCGTGTTACATTAAGTAACTGCGATAGACAAAAATGTTTTGTATATATGAGGCTTGGTCGGTTTCAATAAATCAGAAAGTGCTCAGCCCTTCCTTTCAATTTTATGACAAAATGACTTCCAGAAACTTTCTTTTTTTGTACTGTTTGAACTTGAGGCGCTACTTGGCGGCAAATGCGTCGACAGCGGCGAGGACCTGGGAAGTTCGCTCACCGGCCTCATCGATACGTTCGTCTCCGTGGCAGGTCAGCCCTTTTCAGTTTGGCTCAGACAAAAATAATTATCATTCATCCCTGTGCCTCTATTTTTTATTTTTCTGAAATCTTTTGGCCTTTTCTCTGAAGATTATGAATAGATTTGTTGTACATTTACATTGGCCTTTTTGGAGTCTATCATTATTTTGAAACTGTGAACAAAAAGAACCATTGACTCAGGTCCATGAGTTCATGGATCATCCACAAAACGTGGAAATTCGAAAAATACTGGAGCTCTCCGAAAAAGGGCGTCCATTTCATTTTTCCCATAAACAGGTCCTGTGAAAGGACTTTTGAGCCCGAACAACGGTTATGAATGGAATTGAGGGGCCAACCGCGGCTCGTTCCTTTGTGTGCTGCCGTTCCCGGGAGCCTGCAACCTGATCAACGGCCTTTCCTGCTCCTCGGCTTTCATCCGCGACATCAACAAGCAGTGAGTGGGGGAAAACCCGTCGCATCAGCTTGAATAACCGAAAAAACTAACCAGATTTCCCAATTTTGTTGAAGTTTGTCATTCAAGATAGTAATCGCCAGAAACAGGGTGTTTTCAAGACATTTTAAAAGGAATGATGGAAAACTCGTGCAACTTTGAGCTTGAATTTTCTCGCAGGCAACGATATGAAGGAAAGTACATCTACTCGATCTACTCGAAGGACGACGACAAAGTTGGTTACCGTAACGCCTGTGGCCAGCTGACTTCATCGATCGACGGAGCCGACGCCGAATTCGAGGTTTCTCTTTGATTATATGACTTTCTCAATCGTCACTAGGTTGGGAGCAATAATTAATATCGGTCTCAAAAGTTTTTGTGCGAAAAGAACTAAGTTTCAGGGAAGTTCATTTCACTTGGAACTCTGAACTCATTTCATGAAACTATTCAAAATGTTTTTCTCTTCTGTTTTTTGAGAAGAAGATTTCAGAATTCTCACTCAGAAGTAGTCAGCCTGTTCAAGCTTTCGTTTTCCTTCCCACTTTTTTTCCACTGTTCTTATTATCTTGAAAAAATAGCGTAGAGCTTGTTAATGCTTGTTTTACCACACACTTTTTTCGTCTCAAAGATTGAACCTGAAACACAAATACTGAAATTTTTTCCAAAAATGCTTGTGCAGCGGCCCGGAAACCACGACGGCGTGATCGGCCGAACGGCGCAGCTCTCGTTCAACCTCATCGACCAACATCAGCCTCTGGGCCAATGATTGTTTCCGCCAAGCGCTTTAGGTTTTATTGGGGGAGCTCCGGTCTACTTGAAACATGGATTTTGCAGGTCTTCTACGTAGAAGCTGAAAGCTTCCCTTCTCCGGGTTTTCCGTCAGTTCCGACGTCGTTATTGCCGTGCACCTATGAAGTCAGAACCAAATTTCACCTGCTACACGCTAATTTACTTGAATTGCTTGTACATAAGAAGACGATAAATTTATTTGCTTATTAAAACACAATCGCTAAAACACGAGATCTGTAGAAAAACATCCATTGAGCTAAACGGCTTATCCGTGCAACGGAAGAACGGTAAGAAAAGGCTTATTGGGCAGTAGATACTGATGACTCCATCACAAAATACCTTGTATGAAACACCGACACGTGTGCGAATATAATACAAATACTAGATCAAGAAAAAACCCTCGAAAAAGTGCGGAAAGCAAAAATTGGTTAGGGAAATGTGAAAGGAAAACACCGTTGTCCGATCAGCTGAAAATTGCATAAGATATTAGGATGAGGATATTATATATATCGAGTGAAATGAGAGTACACCAAAAAATGACACTGTACATATGAGACAAAGAATAATGCTTACATAGAAAACTTATTCTATTAGAACTAAGTAACGAAACAGGGCCATCAAATTAATTTCATTCAGTTCCCGTAATAAAAAAAGGCAAGCGCTATTTGAGTTGATATAAAAGATGGGTAATACACGAGGAAGGCAGATTCGGCTTATGGAAGCTGGAAATTCCGCTATACAACTAACTGGCGTAGAAAGCATACATGGGGGAGAGCAATCCACAGCACCGAAGAAACCGAAAAAACCAGTAGATTTGTCATGAATCAGAAATATGATAAAACGAATTTGAAATTTTTCTCGAGGTTATGCATGAAAGTCCTATTTTTAATCTTTTTTGTCAGATTTCATGTTTAAAACGGCTTTTGTCCTTCAAAAGAAGACTTCTCCACAGGGGTGAGCTGGCTCAATCAATGCAGAGGGGCGAGTGAAGTTCAAGCGGAGGCGAGTTTCTTTGACTGGAAAGAAGCGACTGCGCACTTGATGACGTGGTCGTAGAGAGATGCGGGCGACTCGAAGCCGCCGGCTCCACACGACGTGCACTTCAGATGAGAGACGACTCGCCGTACTGGCCGGTGTCTGAGCCGTCGATGCTCCACGTCGCCGATTTCCAAGGCGTCTTTCATCTGAGAAAAAAGCTTTTTTTTTGTTTGAGAACTTCTGCATAAAGCACACTCCAATAAAAGCCTTTTTTTAAGACAAAGAGATTAAAACGAGGACAGCTTTTTTCGCGATCGGCCTCTCAATAAATAATCGACACACTTCGAAAATCTTACGTCAATCTGCATTGGTTCTGGAAGAGCTGTGCACGAGCTAAAAGCGACGTGCTCGTCGTACCGCGAAAAGTTCTCGAAAAGAAAGTTGCAGGCGCAGCACAGGTAGCCCGTGGGAACGTGTTCGCCGCAGTCGTTGTCCTTCAAAAAAATTTGAAAATTATATTTATTTTTTTACCATAAAATTAAAATGAAAACGTTTCTGACATTTTTAAATTGAAAAACTGGTTTTTTTCCTTGTTGCTCAGATGCTGTGAGGTTTGTGAAAAAAAGGAAAAAAATTAAGAATTTTTTTCCAGAAATTCGGAGTTATTCTGAAAAAGGACGAATAACTCTAAAATAAAACGTAGTGCGAAATGCGGTGGTATGAAATAAAAACCAGCGAAATTTCGAACGGCGAATTTTTCAATTTATTATATCGGTAGGGAACCTTCCGACAAATCCTTTTCGACCTTTTTTTGTATCTCGATAAACTCTTCGTTTTGGATCTTCCTATATGAAACTGGTAGTTGCCTCATGATTAAAACACAAAAGAAAAGGGAAAGAAAGTTGATAGATACTTTATAAATCGAAACATAAAGGAAAAAAAAAGTCGGAAACTCCGTAGTCGGTTTTTTTCATACCGCCCCAAATGCTAGTAAAAATTAATTATTCACCTTGAAAGTTGTCGTTTCTGCGGTGAAGACTTCTTTCATGGGAAATCCGTCATTTGGTTCGGGAAAAGCCAGTTTTGCCGTGCACAAATCTCTGAAAAAAATTATATTAGGAGGAAAAATATAGAAATTAAAGAATAAGTTTATATTCACTTCCATCCGAGTTTCTATTTATTGCGCAGAATTGACTCTGCCATCACTCTACAAATTCTGTTTGAATCTCCCTTCATAAAAAAGATAACGAGAAAAGGAACTGACGCTAGTGACGGGACCTTCAGAACGGCCTGTTTGCGAGTTGACGGCTTTTTGTATGTGAGGTTGGTGAGTTCGACGTGTTGCGGATTCGGAATTCTCTCCATGACCGCCAGGGCGTCCCTAGCCTTGCTCCGATGGCCCAACTGCGCGATCCTTTGCTCTGAAAAGAGAGAAGTGCTTTCAAATCAAAGCATTCTGAGAAGGAATTTGGGACAGTTACCAAAAAAAACCGAGCATTCTATCTTAGCTTCTCTTACTCTGATTGCAGGGTTCATGATCATTGATTGCATATATTATGTAGATTCAAATCATCCAAAAAAATGTTGAAAAAGGTACCTTGACAGCAGTCGTTTTTTTTTTTGCCAGTACTCAAAAATTTTGAACTACTTCGAAATCATTTTCTTTCTTCATCTTTCAAAATATCTTCCCTAAACATTTTGAATTGAAGAGATCAAGAAAATAATAAAGGGATCATACTTAAAACATGCTCCTATTTTCAAAAAAAAATTTTCCATCATCTCTTTTCATGAAACTCAAAGAATCGTGAAGAAGTTTAGTTGAAATTCCATTGAAACAGAACATACCATTTGTGAAATCCTGGACATGGAGAGAAGCGTTCTTTTTGCGGCACTCGTGGTAGATGATACTGGAGAAGAACCGCGAGGAAAGCGTGCAAGTTTCGCAGTACCACGGGAAAACTCGTGGCTTCGGCGTATAGTTGAAGTATCGATTTTTGATTCGCGTTGTCAGTGTTCTGTTCACAGTATAACGGCGTCGAGTCCTGGAAAAACTACGATAATTTGACGCAAAGTAAATGACATTTTTTCCTATGTTTGCTCAAAAGTTGCTCGGCAAAACATTTTTGACGTGTTATATTTCTTTGAAATTCTTCAGTTATTTGTATGAATCAATTTCGCCGGAATTTCCAAAGTTCTGTCACAAAAAGTATATCCATTGATGAATACGATTCTTTTAATTAGAGCAAAGCGTACTTAACAGAAATAGACCCTGAAAACCTTGAAAATCAAAAACGAATCGAATTTCAAAATTGTTTTTGATTCAGCTCAAGAGCTTAAAAATCCAAGAATTGCTCGTTTATGGGAAAGAAAAAAAAGTTCGGGTAATTTCGCTGTAATGATGCAATGCGTGATCTCATTTTTTCCCATTCGACATGTGGAACATTGGGAGCAATGGTGAATTACACAGCGGCAGGGAAGCCGGCCCTCTGACAAACCTCAAAACAATTGTCCTGAGCGAGGGATGCAGGTAAGGCAGAAATTTTCGCGGCAAGTCGCGGATGCGGATCCTGCCGTTGGTGGTCTTCCTCGGCGCCGTCTTCATCGAGGAGTGCGATGGCCGAGGCGGACGGCGTGGCGGCAAAGGCAAGGGCAAGAGCAACCTGCAATTCGCTCAGGTCGCCGAGTTCTCACTCGTCCAGACGGTTCTCTCCGACAATAGGGTACGTCATAAATGGAAAGTATTCTTTTTTTTTCGTCGTTCAAAACCTATATAGAATTGCCTTACACGAAAAAAAGCGCAGTTTAATCGAAATGACATTCGTAAATATTTCAGAAAAAAACTTTTGTGAAAACAGACTAAGTTTTTTTAAAAACTTGCGGAAGACATTGATTTAAAATTTGAAAAAAAACGTTTTTAGCCAATGACAATTATATATTTGTTTAAGAGGACTTAAAACGGGAAAAAAAGCTTGTGTCTTCGGAATTTTTTTCAGAAACCAATAAAGACAATCTTTGTAATTTTTTTCAAAAAGAGATGCTATTTGTATTTTTCAATATCAATTCTGAGGAAAAACTGTCGAACATTCATTAGACGCGTGAAGAGTAATAAAAAAATAAAATGCGGGAAACTGCATAAAAAAAGTAAGCAAGGAGATAGCTTTTTCCTGGAAAAAAAGAGCAAAAGAAAGGCTGTAGAGGTGCTGGATGCCAACAGTGCCAAAGCAAAAAAAAAAAATAATAATAATCTATTTTTTTGAAGCGTACTCGATTGGAAAATGGGCGGAGCTTTGAGGCTTGCCTCAAGGAAAGAGAAATGGCGAGTGGTCCCATCCCATGTAGAAGTGTTAGAAAGAGTTGGGCCGGAGACATGAAGTGCGAAAAGAGGTAGAAAAACGTGAAAATCGGAAACAGTATGGTGTGAATTGGCTAAGGATCATTTCTGTCATGTGAAAGAAGCGTGTTTGGAGTGGAATAATTACTGCAATAATCATGAATAGGTGAAAACTCCCAACGGCTTACAGAGCGCTCAAATTCTCAGCGGTTCGCACTTCAGTCAAACATACCGCCTCGGCTACAAGTTGCTTATAATATGCAAAGCTCGCGGAGACCCCAGACCCACGATAAAATGGTACAAGGAAGGATCAGAAATTCAGTCAAAACCCAGCATTCACGTCAGTCTTCAAAGCTTTTTTCATTTTGACTAAAATAGAAAATTTTCAACTGAGCTTTTTATGTGATTTTTGAGCAAGACATCAAAACTATTTACAGTATTACGAGAAACCGATTGATACTGACGCCACATGGAGCAAACTGGAGATAGGTGAGTCCATTCAGCCTCCATCCAAATACCATCCCTTTGGGATGGCTAAGAAGGTCTACGATATATCAATCAACATTTTCTTATAATTGCAGATCCCGCAACGATGGGTGATCAAGGAGTCTACGCCTGTGTTGCCAACAACCAGCACGGCGTCATGGCAAAAAACTTCAAGGCAGAATATACATACTAATTAATTTTATTAATTTCGAATAAAGAGTTTTTTTTGCAAAACTATTTTTAGAAAAGCTTCAAAAACACTCCGTCTTCGATAAAAGACCAGATGTAATGCATCATTAATGATTAACGCCAATCAGAAAAAAACTATTAATAACCATTTTCAAAAGTTTGTTTTCCTTTCCAAATTTTCTTTCATTCAAGCCTTTTTAGTTTATTTTCGAATAACCAACATATGAAACTGTTCAAGAATAGCTGGGTAATTAAAAATAGGACCGCCGAGTAGAAAGATGTATTTAATAGCCAAAAAAACTAATTTGGAAACTGTTTCAAACACCTCTTCTTTTTCTTGACTTGTCAAGTCTCTTCTTAAAACATTAAGCTTTCATTACACTCTTAATAGCATGATACGATCAAAAAAATGGAAAAAAAGGAAGAGAGAAGAAAATATAATAGAATGAAGTTTAAAAAAAATTTGACAGTATAACATTTTTTTCATTGAACCGTATATCACTAGAGCTGTTAATTTTTCATTATTTGTGGAATTAAATAAAAAAATTTTTTTCGGTGAAGAGACTGAACGAAGCAAAATTTGAAAAAAATTTTTCATAATTTAAATTTTTTTCACTCTTTTTAGAATCAAAACTCGCTTTTTCAGAGCAAAAAGAGGAAATTAGCAATTCAAACGTTTTTAGATAAAAAAATGAACTGAAGAAATATGACTTTAAATTAAGGAGGCAGAGAGATTCATGAAATTTAAAGAAAACTGGCCTTTATATAAAACTGATCTCATTGGAATGGTGTCGGTTTTTGATAGCAAAATCAATTGGAAGTTAAAAAATGGTATTCTTCTTGATAACAGGAGAAATGTAAAGTTCGAGAAATTTTTATATGATATGCCGAACAAAAGACGAAGAAGCCTAGAAGCTGGAGGTCGAAAAGCAAAAAAGGAAGTCTTCCACAAAATCGTGCCCCACCGACAGTCTCACTGTCTCATTGTCTCCGTCTCCTCACTCTCGCCAGGCGGTTGAGGACAACGCGTCGCGGTCGCGGCGCAGCTCCCTATCTCAACCTTTCTGTGCCGAGACGTTTCATTTTTCTACCCGTTTCTTTATACCTGAACAAGTTATATCATGCCGTGTTCAAATTTATTTACGCGAAGTGCACAATGATCTCTGACTCTCCAAAATTTAGTTATCTTTCCTTTTCTCTAACGGGTATCTTGCATTTCGCGAAATCACTTTGAACACGGGATCAGATATCTGTCACGTTAATGTCATTTAAAGGGAAAGAAATCCACCATTCAGCTTTTTAAAAAAAAGGATCCGCGAATTTATTTTGCAATTCTCCAGAAACATTTTGGTTCAATCTACTCTTTTTTTTAAAATTTTTTTCCCTCTTCTTAATTTTGAAAACCTTTTTTAAATTAAGAATCTTCTGTTTTTTGGCTGTATTAATTATCTCTTTTCCATTATCACGTTTTGTCAATTTTGGGTGAAGCTCTCGCTTTGATTTTTGTAGATGAAACTTTCGTATAAAAAAATATAAAAAAATACTCAGTCCTGCAGAAAACTCTTGCATTTTTTTGTCGTGCGAGTCCATGAGCTCCAAACGCAGAATAACTTCATGAGTGTAGATTGAACGCGACCGTGAATATTTAACTTTGCCTTTTTACTTTCTTGTATTTTATACAGCTTTTAAAAATTTATTTTTGAAAGTTTCGACAGCTTTTTGATTTGAAGATTTTCTCTGAAGCCAAAAGGACGCCACAACTCTTTCTCTGACATACACTTTTTCGTCGTTTTCTCGCAGCTAGATAACGGCGAAAAAGTGTGCGTCAGAGAAAGATTCGTGGCGCTCCATGTCAGAGTTCAAAATAATTCGATTTTCACGGTTTTTACCTGATAGAATTTTTTCCTTGATTTTTCATTATAAAACACATTAAAAAGAGGTTTTTGTGCTGTCGTATTTTTCATGGGGGAAAGGGGGAATTCACGATTATTATTTTGAAAAAGACGATTTTTTTAAACTTTATAAAGTTTCAGACCTAAATTCGCGTTGATCGCAATTTATGTTTCTAAAATATTTAGTTTGCGCAGTATCGGTTATCTTCATTCAAACCTTTCGATATTGTTTGAGCGAATTCGCAGCCAATTCCCAGTGTCACTTTTTGTGAAATATCACTTGATGATATGAAGAAATGAAGTCTGTAAAGAAAACTAAGGCCTTTTTCATGATTTTCGTTTCATTTTACTCAATTTCACTTTTTTCTTATCGCTTCTCGGGGTTGTACTTGTTTGCTTTGTATCTCATAAAGAAATAGCGTCGCTATTATTTCACATTTTGAAGTAACCTCTGTTTTTAATTCATAGTTATAGTAGATGTTGAAAATGCTTGTCTTAATTGCTCTCCAAAAAAAGTTTTATATCTTTTTCTCCATTTATTGCTCACGAATATAAAGATTATGAGCTTTCATTCAGTCTTCCTGGTTATGGATTTTATTCGTTTCAGAAAGGATGCAGACAATAAAGTGCGTCGTCGTAGGAGACGGAGCTGTCGGTAAAACTTGCCTTCTGATTTCCTACACGACGAATAAATTTCCTTCTGAATACGTGCCTACTGTTTTCGACAATTATGCAGTGAGTCTATTGTTATTTAATCAATTTCATCATGCCAAAACTAATGGAAAAACCACTATCCTATAGGGAAAGGCTTTCATAAACGTTTATTGTTTTTAAGAAATTCTTGAAAAAGTTTGCAGATCAAAAAGAGTGAAATTTTTGCAATTAACACACGTTCTCCGAGATTTTCGAATAACCGTTGGTACAAAAATTTCATCTTTGTTCCTGAGAGCTCTCCTTTCTATCATAGATAGTGAACAACCTCTTGAATATTTAGAACCAGGTTTTTATTGGGCTCCGCCCACTTTCAGGCTTACTGTAGGAAAAAAACACCGTAGAAACCAAACTTTTTTTCCTAGTGGAGCAAATTGGTCCAAACCAATTTTTAAAACAAAAATATGTTCCCCATATGAACATTTATAGTTATAGAACTGACCCGGAAAAAAATTTTTCTTTCAGAAGAAAAAAATTAAAGTTTTTTTGAAAAAAATGACGAATTTCGCAGTCTTTGAGCCATAACTAGTACTAGAACCCCCGAATGCCTGGATTTTTATTTTTTTAATCGACGCATTAGGGTCTTGTGATTAGAGGAAAAATGTCTAGAAACTCTGAATCCGGGTGATCCAGTTGACCTCCATCTCGAAGAACGCGGCCAACTTGAAAATCGCAAAACCTTTGAAAATTTCTATTTTTTGTGAAAGCCGGATTCTGTCTTGTTTCTTATTTTTGTTCAACATAACACAGCTTGCTGCAAAATTACAGCTCAAAAGTAGCGAGCTGGAACCCTTTGAAAAAAAATTTCTGATGTTTTTCCAATTTTTCGTTTTTTCGGCATTTTCAAACTTTTTGCTCTAACTAGTACTAGAACCCCCGAATGCCTGGATTTTTATTTTTTCAATCGACGCATTAGGGTCTTATGAGTAGAGAAAAAATGTCTAGAAACTCTGAATCCGGGTGATCCAGTTGACCTCCATCTCGGAGAACGCGGCCAACTTGAAAATGACTAAATTTTTTTAAAAAAATCAGTTACTTTCTTGGGAGCAGGATTTTTCCTTCACTTCTTTTTTTGCCAATCAGGCACAATCTACTCAACACAGGATTGGAACAAAAAGTTATGACTCCCAAGCATGGCGAAATTTTTTTTTCCAATTTTTCCCTTTTTCGGATTCGTTCTTTTTTTCTGTCCTTTCCAAGTATTGAGCTCTACTGGATTAGGATACCCGGAATGCTCAGAGTTTATTCGTTGTACTGATCCGTTACATCTTCCCAAGTTCTTTAAAAATATTCCCAGGCTCTGTTTCCGGGTGATCCAGTTGACCTCCAAGCAACCGAAGCGGTCGACCTCGAATTAGAGCAAAATTTAACAAATTTTCCAAAACGTTTCTTTGCTTCCTAACCAGTGGTTCTCATTATCTGGAGAGACTTTTACTCGATTAATTCGCGTTTCTAAAGTTTTTTTCCTATTATAAAATTTGGAAACTTCACTAAACCTCTCCAGATAAGGAGAACCACTGGTTAGGAAGCAAAGAAACGTTTTGGAAAATTTGTTAAATTTTGCTCTAATTCGAGGTCGACCGCTTCGGTTGCTTGGAGGTCAACTGGATCACCCGGAAACAGAGCCTGGGAATATTTTTAAAGAACTTGGGAAGATGTAACGGATCAGTACAACGAATAAACTCTGAGCATTCCGGGTATCCTAATCCAGTAGAGCTCAATACTTGGAAAGGACAGAAAAAAAGAACGAATCCGAAAAAGTGAAAAATTGGAAAAAAAAATTTCGCCATGCTTGGGAGTCATAACTTTTTGTTCCAATCCTGTGTTGAGTAGATTGTGCCTGATTGGCAAAAAGAAGTGAAGGAAAATCCTGCTCCCAAGAAAGTAACTGATTTTTAAAAATTTAGTCATTTTCAAGTTGGCCGCGTTCTCCGAGATGGAGGTCAACTGGATCACCCGGATTCAGAGTTTCTAGACATTTTTTCTCTACTCATAAGACCCTAATGCGTCGATTGAAAAAATAAAAATCCAGGCATTCGGGAGTTCTAGTACTAGTTAGAGCAAAAAGTTTGAAAATGCCGAAAAAACGAAAAATTGGAAAAACATCAAAAATTTTTTTTCAAAGGGTTCCAGCTCGCTACTTTTGAGCTGTAATTTTGCAGCAAGCTGTGTTATGTTGAACAAAAAAATAAGAAACAAGACAGAATCCGGCTTTCACAAAAAAATAGAAATTTTTCAAAGGTTTTGCGATTTTTCAAGTTGGCCGCGTTCTTCGAGATGGAGGTCAACTGGATCACCCGGATTCAGAGTTTCTAGACATTTTTTTCCTCTAATCACAAGACCCTAATGCGTCGATTAAAAAAATAAAAAAATCCAGGCATTCGGGGGTTCTAGTACTAGTTATGGCTCAAAGACTGCGAAATTCGTCATTTTTTTCAAAAAAACTTTAATTTTTCTTCTGAAAGAAAAATTTTTTTCCGGGTCAGTTCTATAACTATAAATGTTCATATGGGAACATATTTTTGTTTTTAAAATTGGTTTGGACCAATTTGCTCCACTAGGAAAAAAAGTTTGGTTTCTACGGTGTTTTTTTCCTACAGTAAGCCTGAAAGTGGGCGGAGCCCAATAAAACCTGGTTCTAAATATTCAAAGGGTTGTTCACTATCTATGATAGAAAGGAGAGCTCTCAGGAACAAAGATGAAATTTGTGTACCAAAATTTTTGGCATTTGTTCGAATTTCTGGGAGAACGTGTGTTAATTAATTTATTTTTCATTTTTCTCGAAGTTTAAAATATGTTCTGTGTCTAAGCATTTTTTTAAAGCTAGTCCACTATTTAAAAAAAGGTTACCAATAAATAATTTAAAGTGATCATCGGCCGAAAAAAATATTTAAAAAAATTTTTCTGCTATGTTGCCCAGTAAGAAAATATGAAAATTTCCACATAGAAAACGACGTTAAAGTTAAAGTTGAAAAAAAAACATTCAAAAATCGCTTTAAAACTGATTATTCATCCTTTGTTTGGGTTGGGTTTTAAAAATGGACTGTCTAAAAACTATTTGAGGCCAGAAAGGTGTCAAAACTTTTTTTTTCTTTTATTATTCTGTTCTCATCAAGTTGGCTAGGTTTTGAAACGTGTTCAAGTTCAGTATATCTTCAAAATCAACTATTGGATGGACGTGTCCTTATTGAACTTTGTCAAGGAAAATATCAATCATCAATATTTATTGGTTGTTTTAGTAAGATGGAATCGACTAGGCGGTGAAAAAATTGCTCTTTTGAGCGGCACTAACACCGCCTTTGGCGAAAGAGAAGTCAAAAATTGTAGTCGATTGAATTGAAAGCATGGTTTTACGGTCCTTCGCCTCGCTCTTCCACAAGTTGATCCCTCAGTTTCGCGGGTACGGGCACGGCGGGGATGGTGGGGCTCGGGCACGGACACCGTGTACACTCTAGGGTAGCCTCGGCCGAGTGAGAGAGCTACCACTTCGAGTGAAGAAAATACACGGAATGAAGAAAATACACGGAAGATGATCAAAAGTTGATTGAAAAACTGATCACTTAGTTGCATACTAAGAAAGGTGAAATTATTTTAGAAGGAAGAAAGGAACTTATAATTTTTCAAAGTTAAAGATGAGTGGATCGAAATTTTTCAATGAGCAGTTCCATCAGTTTCTTTACAGGGAGAGAATTTCATTAGTAAGCCGACCATCGAACTGGGATATTTTTTGTATTCGAGAGGCTGATTTCTTCGATTTCCAGGTGACGGTGATGATCGGAGGCGAGCCCTACACCCTCGGGCTGTTCGACACGGCCGGCCAGGAAGACTACGACCGTCTTCGTCCGCTCTCTTACCCGCAGACCGATGTCTTTCTTGTCTGTTTCTCCGTCGTTGCTCCTGCTTCATTCGAGAACGTTCGCGAAAAGGTATTTATACTTCCTTCTACGAAAAGTAGTCCATATGCTTACCAAACTGTTACATCTTTTTTTTTGAAGTCAAATTTTGAATTTTTTTGTTTTTTTTTTCTCGCGTCAAGTTGTGAGGTTTTGTATGACTGTTTTAGAAAGTTTTCAACACGGAAAAAAACTGTTTGAGAGAAAGGAATAAATGAAAAAAGTTTATCGAAACCTTATAGAAAGAAAAGAGAAATAATTATAAATTTACGCGCGGCAACTTCGGATCTTGAGAATGGACGGATTGAGAAATGAGTTTCGATTGATTCATCTTTTCCAAGGTCTTCGTCCTTTCAGATAACATTTTTCTGAAATCTAATTAGATTATTTGTAAAAATTATTATGCAAATTTTTTTAAACAACAGTTACACTTGAATACCTCCAAATATCCTTATTCAATTTCACCTACAGACTAAATTGTCTTCTAAGTTTGAGAAGCGCTAATAGGAGTTAAATACCTTTACTTTTTTTCACATAGCGACTATTCATGTAGGGAGAGAGAGTTTTGAAATCTCTCAAAGGTTTCTACGCTAAAGTGAACGGTGCTTTGCTTTGAATTATGCTTTGATGATTTCATGAAGGTTAATTTTCTAATTGCAACTTTAACCTAACACTACCAGCTTTCATGTTTAGCGTAGCCTCTAAAATCATCAAGAACAAATACTTTGATAACTATGGCGTTTACAATCAGATTCCTTCATGTCTATGGTATCATGATGAAATTTTTTTGACCGATACATTGTTTCAGTGGGTTCCTGAAATAGCTCATCATTGCTCGAAAACTCCTTTCTTGCTAGTCGGAACACAGGTAACCAGGTCGATCTGATTCGTTTTCATCTCAAACCTTCAGGTTGATTTACGAGATGATCCGGGCATGTTGGAGAAGTTGGCAAAGAACAAGCAGAAGCCGATTTCCACGGACGTCGGAGAGAAGTTGGCCAAAGAGCTCAAAGCGGTCAAATACGTTGAGTGCTCAGCATTGACACAGGTTTCCTTTTTTAAATTTTCAAAGTTTAATTTTTTGTCTTTTCACATTAACCTGTTTAGTTTCTGAATAGCATTCCTGGATTTTTCGTCTGACCTTCAAAAATAATTCATTTCAATGCGATTCGAGTTTTTTGCTCTTTTTAAAATTCTTTCGACATACTAAAGAAACAAATATTTTTATCTTGCATTAGTTTTGCAACCATGACCACCTTGAACCAATTTTTTATTTTTCTAAAAAAAATTTTTTTTTTGGAGCTAGACTTTAGTAAAAACGCTTTGCCTGCTTTTTTTGTTCGGAGAAAGATGATAGTAATTGTTACCAATTACAGCCAATTACAGTTTTCCGATTGCAGAAAGGGTTGAAAAACGTTTTCGACGAAGCGATTCTTGCCGCGCTGGAGCCGCCGCAGCAAGAGAAAAAGAAGCGCTGCACAATCCTCTGAGGCCTTTTATTGCAAACTTGATTTCCCTTGTTCTTGTCTTCTATTGTTTGCTGTGTTTCTCTTCGAAGAGTGTTCATAATAAGATGACTCTGCAAGTTTTGACGTGTTTTCCAGAATATATTGGTTTAACTCTCCTATTCGTTCTGTAGGCTGTTGGATGCTCCGCTGGCTGATTTGTAGAAGATATTTTGCTGCCTTCTTTTCTGTTACCTGGCCGTTGCTTCAACTTCCGAGTCGATCACAACTGTGATTTTATAATTTAAAAAGACTGAAGTTTTGCTTGTAAAACTTCAAATCATTTTGTAAAAATAATTTTGAATACTTTCAATGCTTCTCCTTCTCACTATCATTTACCATTACATATTCACACACTTGATATTTATTATCTGTTAAGGACTGTCTTGTTTGATTTTTCCGCTATAATCCATTGCCTTTTTCTAACGGTTTAATTTTGCTATCTGATAAATGTATATGAAGTACTCTTGCTCTGATTCTGACCAAGTGCAGAAGAGAAAGACTGATTTTTTTATTAGATATCTTGCGATAAACTGATTTTTTTGATTTTTCTTGCGTCGTATTGCTAAATTTTTTTATTGCATAGCAAAATAAATATATGCTTGAGCATTTGCAATATATTATATATATATATATATATATATATATGAATTCTGTTGCTTCAACCGGGCTTCACTACTTTTCACTTTTTCACTTCTGTAGGAATGATGTTTCGAAAGTATGGTTGTTTTGGATTTTTGGCTTTTGAAGTGGAAATATAACTAGATTGGAATGGCCCGTGTGTAAGTTGGTGATTAAGCCGCTTGTGAGGTGCTTTGGAAATACTCTTTGGATGTTATTATGGACGAGAGGAGAGTCACCGTAATCGATCAAACTAGATGAGTATATGGCTGTAGCAGTAGGGATGCGAAAGTTTCGTCTTAGATGCCCTAAAGGAACAAGAGACTAGGCTTTTGGGGAGGAGTTCGGTAGGAAATGGGGCGATCCGGGTCAGAGGTCGCCGTCGAGAAGCTGCCGCGTCGTCCGGGGGATGTTGCCGTCGCGGTAGCTCCGCGTGTTGTATCGCAGGATGTCGATCAGGTTTTGCATCTGACAAGTTTTTTGAATTCTTTCCACATCGCATTCGAAGTTCATTTCTCCGAATTTGAACGTTTTTACAGGTTGCGAAAAGAAAAAATCTTCAGCTATGATATCAAAAAGCTGTGTTGGGAAATCTATAGAAATATCCAAATTCCATTCAAAAAAATGATTTTTCGTTTTAAAAAAAATGTCTCACAACACATTCTCTCTCATTAAAAATTTTTTTATAAACATTTTTCAACTCGAAACCGAACGTTGGCATAATAAAACTATTGGCTGATTTACTATTAAAGAATGTCTCATGTCCATTTCCAAGTTTATTTATAAATTTATTTTCGACTGCGAAAAAGTTAATTTACTCTGTGGAACGGCATTCAGAAATTTTAAAATGAAACTTTGAGAGTATTAGAGGTGAAACTTGGATTTTTGGTTCAAAATCGAAGGTTTCCAATCCAGTTTGTAAAGACCTCGATCGGTTCGAGAGAATACCTGTTCGCCAGAAGTGTGGGTTCGGATGAGGGCGACGACACTGCGGAAGTTGATGGGCGAGTCGCAGAAAGCTCCGTTGGGACTCACGTGGTCGAACAGGACGATGAGGCCCACCATGACCCTCGCGCACAGCAGCCGCGTCTGTCTCTGCATGATGTCCAGCGTGTCTTTGTTCGTCAGCATGAAACGACACACGCTGCAATAGTGCCTTTTCGAAACCTCTTCGACGAAAACAAGAATGTCCAATGTTCCGGCAGAAAGAGCTCACTTGACAATGGTGACGAATGAGTCGGTGGTGTTGGCCAACGGCATCGAAGGATGCTGTTTGATGAAGTTCTCGACGCTCCGCTGCAGCGACTTGTGCATGGGGTTGAACATCGAAATGAAGGCGCATATCTCTCCGAGCTGCTCCTCCGAATAAGTCCTGAGTATCCATTCGAATCAAGTTCTCCGCGTTGTGAAACCTGTCAGGCTGGCCGTATTCTCCATGCACGTGGCACACGCGACGATAGAGCGCCAGGTCGTTGGTCATAATGGGGACTTTCGACTGGAATAGTTTCTATTTCACAAAGTTTAAAAATTAATCTCACTCTGGCGTTGTCGAACTCGATAGAAAAATTGATTATTTGAGCAAGCTGCTTGGCGATCGCCTGTCGGCTGATGAGTTGCTCTTCAAGCGGCAACGGTCCCGACGTCAGTTCCCACAGAAGCTCCGGAACCAACTGAGATTTTGAGTTTTTACGTCAGGATGATGGTTCCGACAACCTTTTCGACAAGTCTGGACAGCTCTAAGTAGGAGTTCATTCTCACGAGGTACGGCTCAAACTGAATCAACATTTCCAGAGCCATATCTTTGTTCTGCACATCATGGGCTCCTTGTCGTAGCAGCACTTCTCCTGATTTCGTCTTTTCATTTTCATGTAGATCTTCGTCCAACCTAATGAGTAGGAGTTGAGATCAAGGAGCGCGCGGTCGCATTTCACGAGGACTTCGTCGGCGACATCAAAAAGAACTTTTTCAGCCTCGGTAGGGACGGCATTTTCGAAGTCGACAAATAGCTTAAAGTCGTATTTTGACCTTCTCTAGTCGTAAACAGATGATCAGAAGAATAAAAAAAGGACCTCAACCCATTTGGAAGGAAAGTTGTCGGTGTGGGAGCGGATCGCCGCGCGGATGACTTCAAGACAGGAGGCGTCGCTGCTCCCTCCGTTCGACGGCATCTGTCGGGCCGCTGACCCCTCGTCTGCCCCACTAAGCTTCACTTTTCACTGTAGAAGAAGAAGAAGAGCAGTCAAAAAATAGAGAAACAGTCTGATGTAGAATTTGATGAGTTGAAAAAAACCTCTGTTCAAAAAGATAGTTTGTATAATTTATATAGTTTGATATATAGTTTGAAAGAAATCATTGAGTCTGTTCAGTCAAATTTATCAGGTTTTTTTTGTATTCATAAGAAGGGCGACGACTTTTTTACAACACAACTGTATTCAAAAAAACTTTCAATAACTATGTCTTTGAATTTCTTTTTGAAATGAAAATAAAATAGAAAACAATTTTGTATAAAAAAAGAGAATCTGATGAGAAGCCGCTGAAAAAAAGAAAAATAAGCGTTGAACAGCGTTTTCCTCTTTTCTTTTTTCTGTGAAATTTCGTAGAAAAATAACGCTGAAGCTTTTGTATACATTTTGGAATGACTCATGTTGGTCACGATTATTCCAAGTGTGGATTGTTGCAACGAAGTGAAAGTTTACAGAGCGATCGATATCGCTATGCGACAGGAAATACAACGCCCAGATAAGATCACAGAAGAAAACTCTGGGCAGGAAAAATATGTGAGTCAGATTTTCAATATCAGTAATTGACTGAAAGATAAGTGTGACCTCTGATTGACTCACTTTTTTGAAAGACATGGAAGGATCAAGAAACTATGGAAAAAATAAGCAATAATTAATCTTCAGTGTAACATCCGTTAAGAAAAAAACCTTTTTCAAATTAAATAATTCCTAAGCCACCCGGGCCAGCGATTAAACGAAAAGTTAAGAGTAAATTCATTATTTTTCGAAAAATGTATGAAAAAAATAAGCAATAATTAATCCAAAATCAAACGAAAAACGAATAGAAAGAAATGTAGGAACGCGGTTGTTGTGGAAAAACGTTTAGTTTCTTTTTCGCGGGAAAGAGGCGGTGAAAAGAGACAGATGGACGCTTCTGGCAAATGGGATAGTTCTGAAGGCGACTGGATGCATGTCTAATTTCGTGAGGGTTCATGGTCTCTGAACGAATGAAATATGTGTGTTTTGCGGGCCATATTGATCACCACAAACACAGGGAAAGTTGCGCGCAACGATGTTCCACCAGTACACCTCCCTCTTCCAGCTGTCCTTGCTTTTCTCTCCCTCTCTATTTTCTTTTCTCGTCTTGTTCGAGGGAAACCGGATCGGAATAGAGATGACAAAATTGTTTTAGCTTTCCGAAAGTTTCTGTTTCAATTTTCAGAATGAAAAAAATAGAACAAAACAGAAGAAGAAGAAAAAACCTAAAAGAAATCTTTATCGTTATCTCTTAGTTTATCAAGAAAAAAAGGCTGCGTCTTATGCAGCTTGCAAGCCAACGAATTATAAACATATTCTCACTAAGTTACTTTTTTCTTTTTGTGAATTTCAAAGTTTCATGATTTTTTTTTCTGTCTAGCAGTCATTAGTAAATTAAAAATTAATTTTTGATCACTGCAGATGAAATCTTCGAAATGGGACCACTACACTGACCACTACAATGGGAAGCCGGTTGTTGAGACTCCGACCAAATGTTTTGCAGTTTCATCGATCCGAGATCTTTTTATTGCAGTTTTCTTGCCACAAGGTGCGCATATACTTTTTGAAAGTCTTAAAATTGATCTTGGCTGCAATGAAAGCGCTTACCCGAATCAGGGAGAAAATTTGAAAATTTAAGCTGAGTAAGGTGACCGCCAAGTGCATAATTGAGTGGAGACGCCGTCTGCACGCAATTTAGCGCACCTTTTAGCCATCTGCATCTTGAAAAAGAATTCTCTGAGCGGAAAAAGTGAAAATTTTTTTTGTAAAATGGAATACATAATTCTTTAAAATCGAAATAAAACTATCAAAAAGGGGCGTTTGTCAAGAAGTTATAGCTGATTCACGGCTGGCTGGAGCCATCGAGAAAATGGTCTTGACACGATAACGCACGAGACAGCGCCTGGCTCGTAGAGATCGCAGACAGGCCACGCTCCCTTAGCGTCCCAAGCTGGCCATGAATCAGCTATAATATTTCTTTTTTTTCATGTTTCGTGAGATATTGAGAATCTAAAATAAGAGACGACGAACTTGACTTATTTGGAAGGCCAATCGTCCTCTAATGAGCGGCTTTAAGGTTTTCCGGGAAGCGTGAGCCGAGACTACGTCGACTACCAGATTTGGGACACGCTTCAGGCTCTCTGCAGCTCCCTGACCGGAGCCTTGGCGACTGAAGCCGTGCTGACCGGAGCCGGAGTCGGTAGAGAGGTTGGATGAGCACATCTGATGGCGGAACAAACGTAGAACTTCAGACTTCGACGCCTCTGGCTGCCGCCATGACATGGCTTATAAAAGATGGGCTCGGAATGATCGGACGCATAACATTCTCCTACTTCAAAGGTACGTTGCGGAACAACTGTTTGGAAATTTATTAAAGAAGAAAGAAAGACGTTTTTCTTACGTTCTTTTTCCAAATGGGAAGGGCGCAACTGGTCTAACAGTAACTAACATAAAAAAAGTTTTATAGGTTCAAATTTCATGAAAAGCAGTTTAAATTCGATTCTCTCGAATTCCATAAAATAACATCACAAACGTTCAAACTTAATTTTTAGGGCTTGATTTTGAGTTTTATTCTGTAAAAGTCCTTACCAGAGTTCAAAATAAAAGAAAGCTATATTATTCAGAAAATAGGATGTAAGAGTAATCGTGTTTTCTAATTTTTGCTTTAATCTAAAATACAATAGCAACAGATTCAACGATAGGTTGAAAACTCCTTCGCAAAAATGGCTACGAAATAATCAAAAAACATAGTAATTTGCAAGACTAAGTACAATTTCTTAAAAAAATATTAGATTTATTTAAACTAAATATTCATAATAATTATTCAGAAGATGATTTAAATTGGACTCACTGCATCATAACTATATTTTGCTGTACCTCTGACCACAGATCCCGTTTTTCTTGTACTCTCTAGCAAGCCTCCTCCATTCATCCTTATGTTATTTTCATCCTTTTTTTTATTTTTCTCATTATTTTCTTTAAATTCATCGCGTCAAGTTGTGATTGTTTAAGTAAGTAGTCATAACTTCAAAAAAAAAATTTAAAAACACTAGTAATGGTAGATGATATTGAAATGTTCAAAATTATTTTTTTGGAACAGTGGCCTTTAATGGAATGTTGAACTAATGATATTACTGAGATAAGACGGGAAACGTGAAAAGAAAGCTTTTTTGCGTTGGATTTCGAGACGAAATGAGGAAAAGCTCCCTTGACTGCTGTCAATTCCAAAAAGTCGGTCGGCTGGGGAATAACACAGATGGCTTCCATTTTTCTAAGCTTCTTTTTCTCAGGACCGTTTGCGAGCAAAAAAAGTTTGGAGAATTGGCTTTATGAGTCAGAGGCAGCTTTTTCACATGATGTAATGACTGAGGCTTTCTTTAAAAGTTCGACTTGTCAAGTGACATTTTTTGAAAAAAAAAAAACTTTGAAGATCGACTTTCATATCTCTTCTTACTATGCCATAATAATCTGTGTAAAAAGCAATTCACTGATGGAAAGGAAGCAAAAATAAAGTTGAGGCTCGGCGTTGGACTATGACTGCAAAAAATGGAGACTCGTTGCGGATATCCTCAACGACGCCTCCTTCTTCATCGATCTACTCAATACAATTCTGACTGGAATATTCCTTCCTTTGGCCTGCATTTCTTCTGTGTTTAGGCTTGTGTTCTAAGAGAATGTTTCAATCGATGAGGCAGTTTGCAGATGCATCGTTGGAGTGGCAGGAGGCGCCACTCGGGCTACAATCGTCCAGCATCAGGTATCCTTTCTGTGCAATCGGTAGTCTTCAAAAAAAAAAGAAGATATCTGAGTCCGCATTTTCGGGGGAAAGAGAAGGATTTTCCTCGGTAACATTTAGCCGTATGCAACAAATTATAAAATGTGTTTGTCTCCCATTTTATTTGGGGAAACCATTTTCCAACTCGATAGTCGGTAAATGTCACGAAAAATGGTTCGCCAAATGAACTTTTCATCTATTTTTCGAGTTTTTTTTTTGTCAGTATTTGTTAGATAAGAACGGTAGACATATTAACTCAAAAAATCTTAGGCTTTTTTGTGAAAAGGTTAACAAATATATTTTTTTTCGGTGATTATGCTCGTACAAAATCAAATTTATTTTAAACCGTTTTATCAGCTACGTTATCATTTGATAGAGAAAATTCATGAAACGATTTCAACGTATTTACGTAAAAGCATGCTAAACCGGCCTTCCGAAGATAACAGGACCTTTTTTCAGTTAATAATTTAAGGAGGTTGCCAGTGATGCGTTTGAAACTCTGCTCCACAAGGGCAGATTCTCACAATTGTGTTTAGTTTAACATCCTACATCGACATTAACAAAACTATGAAAAAATTATTGAACAATGATCGAAACGGGAAAATTGCACCGACGCCATATCTTTATTAGCAAATGGGAGCATTTTCCTCGGCGAAAGTTTATTGTATACGGCCTCTGGAATTGGAGAAAAATTTAGTTTTTAGTTTCGAAAAGTTTTCAACTGCATGAAAAAAACGTTTTGATTAGGCCCAGAGAAATAACCTTGCCGATGTGGCCGCCAAAGACGGAAGTCAGGAGACGTTGGTGAATGTGGTCGCGCTTCTCACCTCGCTTCTTCTTCTTCCGATTATCAGTGGAAATGTGACCTTGGTCTGGAGTCTATTTCTTGTGAGTTCGAAATTATCCAATTTTTGGCCAGCGCCCACGGTCTTTATCGAGTCGTCGCTCTCTAAAATCCAAAAAACTGAGTTTTTTGGGACTTAGTTTTCTAAACGTGAATCTGTAAGTAGAGACTGCAAAACAAACTTTCGAAATCATAATGAGAAATTGTGAGTTAAAATTTTAGCTCATGAGATATAGGACACGAAAGCAAAAAGAAAAACGAAAATTTTTGAGAAAAACAGGGGAAAAATCATTTTTACTGGATGAGTTTTGTGCAGTAACTTCGTTCAGAGTCGATCTTTTCCCAAGATCTCTTCTTTTAGAAGTTGTCGGGACTATGGGCTACACGGCCATAAGAAAATCATTAAAATCTAATGGTTTCTAGAAAAACTGCGGTCCCTGAGTATATCAGTTGAAAGAAGAAGCTTTACTCTACATATTCACCAATTTTCACTTTTTTTTTTTTGATTCAGTATTCCGTTCAAACCAAACAAAAACGAAAAAAAAACGGCAACTTTAATATCGCCAAAAGGGGCGGGGCTTCTCTATCTGTAAGTGTCGGAATGATAGGATTTAACCTCCAAAGTTGGATTGAAAAAAGAATTGTTATTGATCAAGTTCGAAAAAATGTTGTTTTTTGTTTTAAAAGTTTCAGACAGCACTCGAAAAGTTTAGAGTCTTCCGAAGTTTTGAAAAATTATAAAGTTTCGAGTAAAAGGAACACGTTGCCAGAAACGTGGGACGCTTCATATATTATAACTTTTTTCTCGAAACTTCTATTCAGTTCAGAGAAGGCTCTTTGTTGAATTATGGAATAAATGAAGAGGTTTTTCTGACCGCCTCCGAAACTGTCGTTGATAGCGCATACGTCACAGCTCCTTTTTTACAAGTTCATAAGTTCCAGATATTCACCATTTCTCACATCTATGCAAACTACCGAGCCGTTCGATCTTTGAACATCACAACTCTGAACAAGAAAAGAGCAACAATAACGATAAGGTAGGGAAAAATTCTCGAAAGTTGACATGAACAGGTCATTCATTCAAGAGAGTTCATGAAAACCGGCTTCGTTCCGACTGTGAAGACGTGCAACGAACAGGAGCCGTTGTTCTACGACCCCACTGGACGTCGTCATCTCGGCGTGAAGTTGTCGAGTCTTCCGAAGCACCTCCCGAAGTTCGAAGACGACTTTCACGTCATAGCGGTGGACGCCAGGAAGAACGAGGCGTGGGTCGCTCTCCGGAACGGCTCACCGAACACGTCCTCACGACAACAACTATACGCCTTTTTCTCAGCGGAGTACCACATCAGAGGGGAAGCCGCCAACGACTCAATTTTCGGAGATTTCTTAATCCAGCTCCAGAAGCAGGGCTATCAAACCGACGTTCATTATCTAGGTTTCGATGTCTGGTCTTATGAGCCGAAAAAATACCTTTGATTGTAAATTTGTCATGTGTCGTCAATTTGTCACTGTCATTTTCGGGCCAATTTTGAGTAAAAAATGAAATTTTGAAGTGACGGTCAACCTGAAATCCTTTCTAGTATAAACAATACTAGATTTCTATATAGTCAATTTTTCACGACTTGAGAGGCGAAGACGCGTAGCGTGTGCGTTCGTGGTTCTTGGCACGAGTTCAATTCAAGTGCCAGCGACTATTTGGAAAACCTTTTGTCGCTTTTTCATTTCTTTTTCAATTCTCTATAGATTGTTTTGATTTGTACGTTAAAATTAGTAAATAAGCACAAAAAGAGCGCTTGAGTTGAACTCGTGCCAAAAACCGCGTACGCACACGCTACGCGTCCCGCCTTCGTCACCTTTCAAGCCGGGATGGATTATTGGGATGGACTATATCAGCATTATGCGAGCAACTGCATTATAGTATTATGATTTCATTTCATTTTATGTGCATGGCACGAGTTCAGTTCAAGTGCCAGCGTCAATGGCGTCGAGTACTGTCCGAAAACGACTGTCACGTCCTCGCGGTGGACGCCAGAATGAGCGAGGCGTGGATCGTTCTCAGGCACGACTCACCGAACACGCTTTCACGACAACAGCTTTACGCCTTTTTCTAAACAGAGTAACACATCAGAGGACAAGCCGTCGAAGACCCAATCTCTTTCTTCTCGATTCAGCTTCAGAAGCAGGGCTATCAAACCTACACCAATTATTTGAGTTTTGATGACTGGTCCTATGAGCCGAAACAATTCCTTTTACTGTCATTTTTCAGCGGAACTTCGCTGAGAAGGTTTCCGAGCAAGCTTTTCTTAACCTTTCACTCAACTTCGAAAAATCTGATGAATGAAATTCAACTCACAATCACTTTTTTTGCTTACTGTAAGAAACAGAAAGAAAATAGAAATTTATATTCGAATACAACGTTGTATTTTTAAAGCATCGGGCTACTTATGCAAAGTAAATTTGTGAAAAATAAAAAAGAAGGTTGAGACTGGGCATAAAAATAAATCCCTCAGAGAAAGCTGCGCAAAAAATGAAATGAACTATTTAAATTTTAAGCAACACCGGCAGAAAGGAACAAGAAAATGGTTTACAGATTTTGAGAAGGTTTGTTTGTTGCGTTTTTCGCGGGAGTTTTGCACATAAATGTTCACCCGGAATCTTATTAAGAAAAATGAAGGAAAACAAGGAATAGTGGTAATTATTGGCAAGAAAGTGTTAATAAAGCAGTTTGAAGACAGTGGGTCTCGGCAAATTTACACAGAAAAGGAGAAATATGGAAGTTTCATGCGAGTTGAAAGAAGAGGAGCATCTTTAACTTTCCAAAACAAGAAAACTGCTAATGTTAGCTCGTTCAAAGGATTTTGAGGTCGAGAAAATTGCTATGTAGAGCTCACCTAGTAGATAAAAAATGACTAGATATTTTCAAAGACTGGGAGAAAAAAGCTTCCGGGAAAATTAGAGATGTTGGTTGTGCTCAAAGGAAAAACAGTACTGAATAGGCTATCCCTGAAAAGGAAAAAGTGCATTAAATATTCGAGACCGACACCCGCGAAAGAAAATAGAAATCTGTGTTTGTGCATTTTTGTGATAAAACCCTAAGCAAATTCAAAATAAAATGACTTGAAAAATGGTAATCAATAAAAAGGGAAAAAATAGCGACCGGTAATGGATGGCCGCAAGAAAGGCTCCAAGTGAAGAGGATCTTATTCCGAAGGCTGCGCTCCGGCTTCTCGTGCAGACTCCGGCTCCTCCGGAATCCTCGACTGATACCACTCGCGGTTCTCTTCGAGCTGATCCAAGATGTTCTGTGCGTCGGGGTACACCAGATCGGCCCAAGTTTCGTAAAGCGGATGCACGATGTAGTCGATGAAACCGACCTGAAAACGAGGAGGTGAGCTGTGCAAGTTAGAAAATAGAGCTGGACCTGCGACTTTTCGATCGTGACGTTGCCTCTGTCGCACATGGGCGAGATCTCAAGTCCCAATTCTTTCTCTTTGTCGCCCTGCCTCCAGTATTCCTCCATGATACGTTGGTTCCACTGTTGGTAAAGGTCGATTGGCTTCGTCGGATTCGAAAGATCCGCCAGGTGGATCATCGATTGCAACACCTGCAAACTCTCTGGTTGAGAAAGGAAGCAGAGACCCAATTGAATTATTCATGTCTAGATAAAAAATTCGATTTTAAAAACACCTTAAACTATTCATTATCGAACTACTTGATCGCTTCTTGCATAGAAAAAAAAGATCTGGAATGAAAGCTCAAAAAAAAAATCCTAGAACTGTGATCGCATTGAGTTAAGGTCCGAAGATTGCCTTTCTTTCCGAGAATAGAGTTTTTTTATTTTTTTATTTTTTTATTCATTTGAAAAATTGAAAAAAACTTTTTTTAAATAAAAAGTGGGAGTCTAAAGTCTTGAAAAATCCCTGGAGTGGACACGTCGAAAGGTATTTTTTCGCTAGCATGAAACTTTTTCTTTCATGTCAGTATCAGTTATTTTACAAATAAGTGGGATTTTTTTTCTTCCCTCGAAAAACTAACAAACAGTCAAATTTTGATGCTGAAAAATGAAAATTTTGATATACGTAAAACAAGACCGCATCCAGCTTGTGAAAAAACCCGAAATTTGAAATTGGCACGAGCCTACCTGGATCTTGTCGTTGTACTTGTCGAGAACGATTATATTGTTGCCAGCCACTTTTTTCGCTTCGACCATTGTCTTGAGATCAGCGAGCAGAGACATGTGTTTCGACATGTCGGTTGCCAAAACCTGGAAAAAACTTATCTTTGCAAAAAAAAAAATGGAAGGGTAAATATCAGAAAAAACAAAAAATGCTTCAGCTTGAGCAACAGTTTTTTTCGCCGTTAAGCCCCAAGATACACTAGACTTCGACAATATTAGACGAAAGCTGCCATAAATCGATATGAAATGGCCGATTACTTTAAATGACAATTTCGATACCGAGATAAATGTTAAGTTAATAACCAGAGAAGATCGAAAAACCAGCTATGACAGGCGTACTGTACTGACTGCGTGGGCGAACAGAACTGTCGCTGCGATTCCCGTTCTAGCATGTCAAAAGCGACAACGCTAATTACACATAAAATACAAAAGAGACAGGTCTAAAGGTTGATTGACCGCTTCCGGTTGATCTCAAAGTGGTCCGTTGAGTGACGTTGACGTGTCTTTTGCAGACAGACAAGCTGATCGAGGTCGAATCCGACTCACCATGTCTATGACGATCTTCCTGAACTGTAGCCTCTGCTTCCGACTGAGGCCTACGAGGAAGTCGCAGTTGGAATCCTGCAGAAGTTTGAACGCGACCGCCAAATGGTGCTGTTCCAGCACCGACTCGTCGTTGTACATGATCGCCAGCTCGTTGTCTGAAACAACGCAAAGTTCTCCATGGTGCATTCCGTGTGAGAACGTTAAACAGCAGGAAAAAGGTCGGAGCATTTACTAAATTCTCTCAAAACAGTCAATACTCCTTTTGCTATTTCAAAATGGGACATTTTATTTGGGAGGTCATAGATTTTCACACATTTGCTCAAATACCATTGAAACTACGAATTTTCTAGGTCCCATTTTTACCCAGTGCCTTATAGTTTTTGAAGAAAATGGAGAGGATAAAAAATTATGAACTTGCAAACTTAATGATCAGATTTGTAAATTCTTTTTAATCTTCAATTGGGGGGTTTTTTTTTTATCTAATTTTTATTTTTGAAAAAATAAAAATCATTCATCTCGCCTGTTTTCTCTCAAACAAAATAGCAGTTCTCCGCCGCATTTTTTTCGTCTTTTCAACTGGCCCATGAGGTTCGTATCTGTCCCACTCACCTGTATACGTATCTATTCAAGAAGTGAGCCATCGAGGCCAAAAAAAAATTAAAAATGAGCTGACTGGAGTTGATGAGGTATTGGTTGGTGTAGCCGGGGTGGTCGACATCGTGAATGGCGCCGGCGAAGATGGCGGCCAAAACTTCGAGGTCCGTGAAGACTTCCTGAGGTAGAGGGAAATGAATGACGGAAGACCGAGTTCGCGAACCGCCAGAACTGGTGACGTCAGTAGAACGTGCATCGACTGGGCGACGTCGGCGGCGTGCACCATGTTGTGGTAATGGTTGTTGCGATAGTGGTGCTCCAGGTTCAGGAGGTACGTCACCAGCACAGATGAAGGGATTTCGAACGCCTGAAAAAACTTCCATTTAGAGAATTTCAGAATTCTAAATAGAAAAAAATCCCTAGTATGTAATTCTCCGGATCATGGGAGAGATTGAAAGTTTCTGGGGACGTGCAAAAGTTAGAGCTTTCAGCTGTTTCCAAACGTGAAAAAAAAAACAAAAAAAAAACCTAAAATTCTAGTTTTTTTCTTTAAGAAATGGTGTACTTCGAGACCCGTGATCTGGACAAAATGGAAAAATTAAGTTTTTTTAAAAGCCAACTCAACCTTTGAAAATTAATGACTAAAACAGTTGAATCTTGAGAAAAAGTTCCAACGAACCTTGATAAGCCCTCTTTTGCGTAACAGTGTGTAAGTGATGACCGTCAGGGAATGGTTCTTGGAAAGTTCGTCGATTTTGAAAACGTCGGGTCCCCAGTCATCTATCTGAAAGCAAAAAATCTGTTCCCTTCTAAGTTTCTCAAGTCCAAGAACTCGAAAAAACATTCACGGTCTTGGAAACTTTTTAGAAACGTTATAGAGAAGTTTCCTTCTTCAAAAAGAGAAAGAGTCTAAATCAAATAAAAAGGAGATGAAATCCCAAAAGCCCGGAAAAGAGTGCTTGGTTTGTCTTTTAGCGGTAGCATGTGAATTCGACGCAACCGGAAAGAAAAAGGCACCCGCTGCATGTAAACGGCAATTTCCTTGGCACAGTTGACGCCGTATTCTGGCAGATGACCTTCGTGGCTGGGAGCTCGCAGTTTTCGAACACCGGAAATTCTGTTCATGGCGGCCGTTTGCGCCTTCTTCAACAGCGACACCGTCATTTGCGGCGACGAAGTCGATGGCCCCTGCAGACAAAAAAAAAAAATCAAAATTCGAATGAAACCATCATTTACCCAATTTTTTTATAATTATTCGTATATTCACAGGAATCTTGAAAACGAAAAAAGTTTTTTTCATTGGTTTGCAGTTCTAAAATGTTTTTATGAAATTCGATTGTTTTCCCTTCAAACAAAACTGGCGTTCTTTATTAGAAAAAACTCAAAAAAAAAAATACAGGAAAAAAAATTGCACCTTAAAGTCATAACAAAGCGACATAACTCGTTAAAACCTTGTAAAGTCGGGAAAATATTATCCTCAGAACATGAGAGACCGCATTGTTTTGCTTCTCCGTAATAACTAAAAAGCGCCAATGACCAAATCAGGCAAAAATATGCAGCCGGCGTCATTTGGAGCTGTTTTTTTTCTCGAAAAATACACCATAAAGCGTTTTTTCTTTGCTCAATCGTGCATTCTCATTATTCGATTCCCGATCAAAAAGGGGAATAAAGCGAATAGATCGGAAAAAAAAACTCTGGGTGAAATCGAAAAAGTAATAGAAATACGCTTCTTTTTAATAATGGGAAAAATTGTACTTTTATGAAAAAGTTTTGAATTGCGCAGAAGAAACACTTTTCAATTTGTAAGGATTGACAAAATGTTCGAAAAATTGCATTTAATGGTGGAAAGCGAAGACTTGCTGGTGAACTAGAATCTGATCACAGTAAATAAAAACTTTTTTGAACCAAAAAAACTGTTGAGCGCTCATTTCCTCGTTCATGAAATCCTGTTTCTTCGGAATTTAAAGTTATTCAAAATGAAAATCTATTTTTCGATAGAAAAAAACTATAAAAAAACTTAAATTTCAATTAATTTATAAAAAGAAAACCTCTCCGGGGACCTCGATTTCGATGCTCGGCTCGTCCTCCTCCTTGTCCATGTAGGTGGTGATGAGGAATTTGGAGACCTGGGTTCCCGACTTGGAAGATTCGGCAAAGTGCGACAGTTCTTTGTTGAGCATTTTGCGGAACTGAAAAAAAGTTTCATTCTAGAGTGTTCATAGACTTAATGTCTCAAAACTTGAACAGGGGAAATAAAGGAAGAAGTAATCAGATTTTTTTTTTCAAATTTGATGGCTTCTTTGAAATCTAACAATTTTTCGTTATTCGGTTCTCCTCTACGTCTGCAAATTAGGATAGAAAGTGGTCACTTAAAGACACGTGAACGTTCCGAGGCGCGCCGGAAGTCGCCGGTTTGGAGGCCAAAAACAAATCGAAGTTGTGGAGCGACGTCGAATTAGAATAAGACCCTATGAAGTAGGTTTGACGAAACACACAAATGGCAGTAAATCAACTCAAAAACACGAATTCTGCGTAGACCTTAGCCCATCTTGAGGCAGGTTAGGAAAAATATGATTTTGAATCAAATAATAACTTAATAGAAAAATAGAGACAGCCTGGGTTTTCTCATTAAGTTTAACCTAAAATTCCAGACCTTCTGTTTTTTGCAGACAAAAATCACAGGTGAAAAGAAGCTGGAAAGAATCTTGATTAACCTTCATTTTTTATTATCTAGAGGTAAGAATGAACCAATTTCAAAGCATTGAAAAGCTTTTTTCAGACCCCAACCATTTATTCTGGGCATTGAGAGAAGACTTCTCTTGAAGAAAGCAACATTAGTGTGGAGATTTCCGATAAACTCTTTATTGCTCAAGTGCCTCGAACACCTCGCCGCGTCAAAAACCACGGCTCCGAAGAAACGCACAAAGTTTAGAAAAAAGAAAAGAAATTATGCTGCAGCTGTCACGACATCTAGAGCGGCGGGTGCGCGCGCCGTCTGCGCCTCTCCTCCTACAGAAGACGTGATGATACGTTACCAACGACGTCGTCTATCACCGGAAGTCGTTCAACGTCTTCTTTTCTTCGGCTTCTGCCGCGCTTGGAATCCACCACCACAAAACACAAGTTAGTTCAAACATCATAATCAACTTTTGCTAAAAAAAAATTATCGTCATTTCGAATAGGCCAATTGTATTGTCTAACCAGTTTCAACATAACCATTAGAGAACTTTTTTTTACTTTGTTCTCAGTAAATAGAACTTAAAACCAACTGCGCCGTTCACAATCTTCCTAACTATAACAAAAAAGCAGCGAAGCAAAGTTCTACACAACTTCCGGTCATTTCGAAACCGGTTTCAATGTCATTGAACTTTTAAAGCCCTCAGAACCCGTGGGAGAAATGGAAAAGGCAAACAATTCAACTTGAGTAGCCATCTTTTTCTGTTGCTATGCAATCGCATTGCAACAATTGAAGAACAACATGAAAACTGTTAGCCGCTGGAAAGGTACAGAGAAACTACTTGAAAAGTGTGTCTTCAAAAATTTTCAATCTCAGAGAATTCAAAAAGCGGCGTGAAATTTGGTTCTAGGAAAAAGTGATACGACTAAAAAAAAACTCAAATCTGAGGTAAAACGGAAAATAAAATGAAAATAAAATCGACCCACTTATTATTCTGAAAAAAATATTTTTTTCAAACAAAATGAAAACGTTCCGTTTAAGAAACATATCCATAAAATCTGATTGGAAAAAGTTGTTCGTAGTCTTGATTCGAAAATAAAAAAGTTTCTTAAGATTTTGGAATTTTTCTTTCCTTTTTCTTCTGATTAACAAAACGTTTGGAAGTTGCAGGAGTCGTTACACGCACCTGCGTCTTCAGAGAAAATGAAAAACAGAAAAAGTCCCTCAAAAAGCGTCGAGTTCGAAAAGCTTTTCACTCAGAAAGAGAAAGAAAGACGCCTTGCGACCATTTGAAGTTTTGAAGGATTTTCGATTTGCTCTTTTGACAAAAACAAGAGAAAACATCTACTAACATCTCCGCAATTTTTGATTCATTTTTTCGAAAACCAAAAAATGTACTTGATTTATTATTTATTGAAAATTTCGAAACTATAAGTAGATAAAAAAAAGTAACCCATGTAAATGTTAACATTCTATAACTTGCTCAAAACAGAGTATATGAAAAGTATAGCAAATGATGAGTATGCGAATTTCTTACATTCGAGCTGCTCGATCTGGAGGCCACCGTATTTTTAGCAAAGAAAAAGAGTTTGATGATGAGGACGGAAAAAAGATGCAAATACAGTAAGAAGCTGGAGGAATAGAGAATTAGAGAGGAAAAAAAAAACAAACCTTGCTACTCGCCATTTCCGACACAGAACGGTGTGTCTGAATGGTTTCCAGCTGGTCGAGACACCAATCGAGTTCTTCTGAAAACTGCCCAACTTTGTTAATTTTCAAAAAGAAGCCATTGAAAAGAAACAAAAAATAAACCTTTTCCGAGTTCTTTGGGTCAAAACTAGAAGAGAAACAGACTTTCAAAAAAATTTTAAAAATTTTGGTGACTGATTCCGGGGAAACGGAAAACATTCAAATGGAGCGTTTGAGCCCTTTCCCAGCCTTCAAATCCGGTCCTCAGAGGATGAAACCAGATAAAAAAGAATGTCTGACGTTGGTTCAAAAACAAAGAGCCTCATAATAGGTGACCCCATGCGTAGTTTTCTTTTCAAAAGCGACCGATAGTCTGCGGCAACCACGTTCAGCCCTTCTCCAGCGCCTTTAAAAACTTGACTTTTTTTAAACCTTTTCAATTTCTGGCGACGCAAAATTTTCCTTCTGCTTGTCTCCCATAAAAATAAGTTGTTTAAATGTTTAAAACAATAAAAGTCTTTTTTTTCTAAAATTGTAATGAAAGTCATTTTAATTTGAATTCTAGAGTTTTCTGAACGTTGGCCAGAACACTCTTTGATATGAAAAAGTATATAACGAAGATCCCATTTTGCACAACTTCCTAATTTCCGAAAACGAACGCCTTAGAAATGAGGAAAATCATGAAAAAATGGCTGAGTGGGTCCTTCTTCTTTTGAAATTAGAAAGTTGTGCAGATAAAAACTATCCAAACGAAACGAAAAAAAAAACCCTTCTATTGTTAACCTGGAAAAATTTGAATTTCGTTGTGAGGCCAACTAAATTTCAAAAAGTTACTGCTCAATCAATCCATTATTGATTAAAACTCCTCCATTTGTAAGTTTGTTGAGTTCGTTAGCGTTCACAAGGAATCTAATAATCTACAATACTTAAGTTTTCAAGATGATTTGTTCGGCAAAAAAGTGAACTAGCACTTGTAGTGCCGAATCACGTTGACGAAACAAGGTTGGCCACTAGGGCAATTACCCGGCCAGAAACGCCTCGAGCAAAGCGCCTGCCAGCCCAACAAGATTAACGTTCAGCCAGATGGCAAAAGAGTAAGGCAAGACGATTTGTGTGGCTCTCGGACCTTTGTACAGCCTCAATAACAAAATGGCCCAGGAGAGAAGCTTCTTTTGTTTTCTTGTTGCTGCGACTCATCGGGAAAAGACGAACCGAGGGTCTCGTGAGCGCACTGCACCACATTATCCGGCAGAGACGTACTGTGCAGCGGGGCTCTTTTCGTCGATCGGCTCGCGTGTCGTCCGTCGTCGCAGTTCTGAACTCCCAACATTTTCTTCCCACGTCTTTACTTTGAAAAAAGAGCATTTGGTGAATCCGATTCGTCATCATTTGGCTAACCTATCTGTACCCTCTGATCGCTTTTCGTCCTGATCATCACAGAACTACAATAAAAACGAGAAAGTGAATTAAAAATAGGAAAATCTGACTTTATCGACATGTGACAGTAGAACGAAATTGAGACTTTACATCAAAGCGAAAAGGGGGTTTTGTGAACTGATAACCTATCGAAAGTCCAGCTGGAGTATCAGAAAGAGGCACAGAGAAACTCAATAAAGTTAAAGGCAGAAGTTAGAGTCTACCCTCAGGTAATGCGAGTTTTGCGCCCTAAACACATATATCACAACGTCAACGAGCGTAATTTTAGATTTTACTTTTTTTTTTAAGATCAAAGAAATTAACAGAAATATATGGAAGCATTTTGAGAAAACCTTCATTTTTTCAAATTTTTCTCAGGTATATCACTTATTTTTTCTTGCAAAAGCTTTTTTTAGGTGGGTCCTTCACGAAAACACCGTTTTCTTTCCCTATGCATAACATTATTTCGCATTTCGTCAGCGGAAGATTTGTGGATTGCGACTGTGAATTATGTGAATTATGTATAATTATGTATGTACTTTTTTTCCATCTCATAAACATGAGAACTGAAAAAAATGAATAAAATAGAATTACATCGAAGTTCAAAGAAAAAAAAAATCGAATTCGAACATAAAAAATACAATAAATCAACACCAAGTTACTAGATCTTGCCTTTTCAGAAAGAGTCTTGTTTCGAAAAAGAAACGACTTGAAAAAATATAAAAAGCAATTAAGGTGTATGAGAGAAGGTTTTTTTTTTGAAGGAAATACTTCAAAGGTATCCCAATAAATGCTTCGTTTAGGCTAGGCGAAGCTGCAAAACAAGAAAAATAGAAAACAAGCAAGATCCTACGAAATTTTCTTTTTGGTCAAATTACCTAGAGAAAATGTTTTTCCTCTACCAAGAAGCTATTTATAAGTTTGATAACAAAACTTTAAATGGTAAAAGCTTGAAAACAAGTAGATTTTAGGCTCGAAGGAACTTGAAAATGTATATCAAGCTGATTTCATTTATGGATTGACTGACTTTTCTTCGAACGGCTCATTTCAAAGTTTCCAGCTTTTTTTCAATGCCTTATAAAATAAAATTAATTCGAATCAACACGTGAATTTGAAATCGGCAACAGAAAAAAAAAGTTTGAATAAGAGAACTTAATCGTTCCTGAGTCTTTGTATTTCATGAGGCGCCCGTTACATTTATTAGAATGAAACGCTTTACTGAATTGTTTGAAAAACTTCAATCTCTTATCTAAAAACTAATACATATATGATAAGAATCTTACCTGAATAATAAATTGCCTAGAACTGAGCTTGAATTCGAAGTGAAAGCAACTATGAATAATAGACTAGGAAATAATAGCACGTTAACTGAAATAAATGTAAAGAAGGTGACCTGTATGTTGGTGATGGAGATGAGGTTGGAGCGGACGTTGCGGAGACTCGCCAGCAGCTGTGCAAACGGCGTCACGATCAGATCGTCTCCGTGTCTGAAAACACTGGTTTTGAATTGAGGTTCTCTGTCTCGAGGCTTTTTCGACATTGGCAGGGACTTCCTCTGGGAGTTTTGCTCTATTTCATTGCCACTCACATAGGCCCATTCGAAGTTTCTTCTTCGAATCTATACGTCCACACTTTACACTTCTGTATTAGTCAATATTCGCATCTAACGACCGTGCACAGCTGCGATTATCTGCGACACAACAGTCATGGGAGGACAGCATGTAAAAATAGGCGGAAAAAATTGAGCTGCGAAAAAAGAGCCTTCGAAAAAAAAAATTAAAACTTTCAGAGGTTCATTCATTACTTCGAAAATTTCAAACGCTCATCAAAATTATAAATCATGCTTCTCCGTTGGAGACCACAGACACACAAGCACAAACGGCGATGGATTAACCTAAAGCCAGCGTCGCCGAACTTTCGCCGCAGCATAGTCGCGGTGCAGCTGGAACGGCGACGGAAAGACTTGGTGGAGGAAGATCAATTCAAGGCGAATAACCAAGACGAGTGGAAGAAGAGCTCTGGAGCCATTGCGCGGAGAGCGGAAAGGGAGGCGGCACAGCGGCGTATTTTCACGCGCCAACAAAAAAAGAGAGCCTTTATTTTTCGGCCCACCCAACGTTTTTTCGTGGTTGTCGTCGTCGTCAGCCTGACTCCGCCCTCTTCGTGCTTCCGCCGATTGGACACGGCTCCACGGCTGCCGAAAAAACCCTCAGTCAAAGGTATCCAACTGTGCCGCGTGGCTTGCCATGTTCTTTCAGAGTCTTGAAAAGTCCAGCAAGTGTGATTTCCAACTAAATCTGCTCCAACTATTGCTCAAAAAGTTGCAATCATAAAAAACTTGAGAAAAAGCATATCTCGCTTAACTAAAAAAAAAGATAAAAGAATTTTAAAAACAGTAAAAAACGTTGGAAACGCTATTCGGGCTCTTTCTGTCTCCACTGGCGACGGAATTCGAACGAGGAGAAGAAAAAAACAGGTGCAAAATCTCAAGAGAATGAATTGTATAGGATTTTTGTTCAGGGGTATTATGAAAGACTCAAATACTTTTTTGATTCCAAAAATTGATAATGCATCCGTCAGAATTCCCAAGTGTAAAAAAAGTTATTATACGTTTTTGGAGAATAAAAATAATTTATAAATATTCAAGCAGATTACGTTTCACGAGAAACAATAACTCTGTGTCATAATCACACGAATAAATAGGAGAGCAGTATAAAAAACAATTTTATGTTCGTTCCGTTAGCCTGAGAGACAGATATAAGAGTTTCTAATAATTTGATCAAATTATTGTTGAATCAAATAAATTTAAGAAACCAATTTATTTGAAAGTAAACTTGATACAGTTAATACATTCCGGTTCCAAATCTAAATTACTATAGAGCATCAGTAAAAGACCGTATACATGAAATTTCCAGGTTATGTTATAAGAAGGTCTAAAACTAGAATTTCTCTTTGTCAACCTAATTCCAAAGTAGGTCCAAAGTCCAAAGCCAGAAGAAAATTTTGCGCTGCAGCTCACAGAAGAGTAGAACTACATAAACGTCTATCGCATGTCAGAGAATCATCAACCTCTATGAATCAAGCGCTATGAACGAATAACGTACCGCTTATTTAAAAAAAAAAGACGACAAAGCTAAGACGGTACCCAAATAAAGACAGAAAAAAGGAAAGTGACGTAGACGGTAGGTGGGAGGAGAGGTCAAGGTGTGAAAGTGTGCGCGACTAACATTCGAGTGAGAAACGACATGAAGAGCCGACGCGCTCTCTTCCCTACCGGAGGACAGTGCAGCAGAACGTGAAATGGACGGGAAACTGAGAGAAATCGGATCGACGTGTCGGGGATGCGTGTGTGCAAAAATTTTCTCGTGTTGTGTATACACAAGCACGCAAACATACAGGGTCGACGTCACAATAGAAAAGAGGCGAGACCCAATGAATGATCGCCAGTGATGGCGGAAGCCTCGGGTCGACAAAACAACCGATGGACCAACCGACGTCTCCGTCCATTGTCCCAGAAATCAGGCTCTACTCTGAACTATTTTCAAAAAAGCTGATGACCTTACTTAGAAATGACGCAGGAAAGAGTGTGGACAGCGACAGAAAACTTGACAGTTTGGTAATCTGACTTCAGTAGCATGGAACGTGCTGAGTTAGTTCGTCTTGAAGGACTTTCAGCCGATTTAAGGCGGAACAACGGATGACAATATCGGGGTCGAGCAAAAAGGAGGAAGCGAGAATCTCTACCTGTCTTTTGCAGTCTCCATTCAGTCGCATAATCGTTAGCCACCCTTCAAACCCCATCCGATTGATATGAAAAGCGGAGGCGGGCCATCATTATCAAACAAATCGCGCAAAATGTCGTTGCCATTCACCGGAAGTGCGAGACAAGTTCTTCTAGCAGACACCAGAAGACGTCGCAACCGAAACCCATTGCAACCAATCAAAATGAAAATCGTACGCGTCACTTCGTTTTGCTAGGCCCCTACAAGAGAAAATTTCACGTGCAAGAGAGGTTAACCACTAGAAAGTTAATAAAAAAGAGCAGTTCAAAAAAAAGAGCAGTTCAAAAAAAAGAGCAGTTCGAAAAAAATGGAGACAACATTCATGGGGAGCCAAAACTGCCACGGTACATTTTTCAGCTGTTAAAGCTTCTCTTTAAAGTTTAGTTATCTTCTCTCTCTCTGACGGCTATTTTGCTTTTTGCGGAATTACTTTAAACACGGTGTAAATGATAACTGAGCTTTTATTTTAACTCTCATGCCGTGTTTTTTCCCAACCTTCACAATGAACTTCATTAAAGATAATGGGATAAGCTTTTTCTGAAAATGAAGATGGCCGTAATAGGAAAGCAGACAAAATTTTCGATTTTTTGCACAGGAATTTGATCAACTCCAGATTAATCTTTAACTAAGGAAAATTGATAAAGAGGTTAAGATGCAGAGATCAGAAAATCTAAGTTTCTCTCCATTTCTTAAAAAAATTATTTCGAAAAGATACCAGAAATGAATGCTTTTAAATTTTCTTTCTCTCTGATTAACCAGCTAATTGATTTTAAAAAACCCTGCAGATACAGTATAAGCAGGGTATTTGAAATTAAAAAAACAGAAAGATCCATGTTTTGGTGTCGGAGTTCGTCAATGACTTTGTTGAGGCCGAGATTAATTATGAGCCCATATGAATAGATATTTTAGAAAAGATGAGCAAGTTCAAAAAAAAAAGTTTGAGATGAGTGTCCGGCGCTGTAATTGTGACTGAATAAACGTACAAACAGTGGGATTCGAGGTCGACGTGATTGAAAAAGCAACGGTGCGAGCAGGGCGACTGCAGACTGAAGGCGGCCGGCATAGCGGACCCAGCGGAGGGTCTCCAGCCGAAAATTGATTAAACACGAACAACGTTATCTTTTTAGTGTTGCAATTGCGTGCCCAACTTTGTGATGGTTATCATCGCAGAATTGTTCTCCTGGTGGACCTCCTGCGTGCGTAAAAACCCGTGATTCACACGCGATCGTTTTTCTTTCTGTCTGTCTCGGCGTCGTGCAAGAAATCCTACAACGAAGAGGGAAAAAAACAGCTGCAGTTTTCCAAGCATCTTTTAGCTATATGAAGAAGTCAAGAAGTGTCGATTATTGAGGAGGAACTCTTTCTCTGAATAGAAAAGGAGTGTGTTCAAGTTGTTAAAAATTTATCTAGTATTGAGGCAGACTAATTACAAAAAAACTCCTTTCAAATAATTTTTTTTTGCTGTTTTGTTGATAATAGTCATTTATTGAGTTAAAATGGTAAGCATTATCATTTATTAAGTTGAAATGCTGAGTTTTTCGCCACAATCGAAGAAATTCTGCTTGATTTTTCGAAAAGAGCTGGAAGCTATGAAACACGTCGAGAAGTATGAATTTAAAAAGACGAGTTCAAGCTTTTCTGTAAGTTTTCCTCTTTCAAAATGATTGGAATAACTGATAAAGCTTTCAAGTGTAGAACCAACTAGGAGAGCATAGTTTATAATGAAAAATAGGAATTTTCAGAAATAATAATTGAAATGTCCCGACTTATTTACAAAATATCGAATTATGTTTGTTCAGCGAGAATATATAACTTCCTTTTTAAAGTAAGAGTATTAGAAGTATACCAGGGCTTTCAGAACGACTGTATGGTAAAAATTTTGAATTTACTCTAAGCTCCAGATTGAAGTAAATTGAACAAACGCCTGAAATTTCCCAGCGATCAAAAGGAAAAGGAAGCTCAAAAACAGGAGACTGAGTCTGGAACGTCGCCTCCGACGAGGTGCGAAGGAATCGTGCCGCGCCGCCCGTTTTCCGCGTGTGTGCGTTTCCGCGTCGCTGCACGTGACGTCATAGCGGCACGGAACTCCTCCAATAGAATCAAAGAAAGTTCTCAACGAGAAGGTCGACTAAGATCTCAAAAACTTGTGAGTTGCATCTCTCAGATATTTTCATGACCTTGGTTTTTTTTCTGGTAGGTATATCCACGCATGGGCATAACCGCTCAGCGTCTGTTCTTCATCAATTGATGATGATTTCTGAGAAATTCATTTTTTTTAATGTCCAAAGTTATAGTTGAAAGAAATCTTGAAAATTTTACGAATAATTTGAAGTTTATCAGTTACTGTGTTTACATATATCTAAAATTTGCAGTCTGGTCAAAAAAAAAAATAATTACCGGAAAAATTAATCATGGGAACAACTAATTAATCTATGAAATATCAGCAAAAAATTAATTTTTTTTCCTTTGCAATGTTGATAATTTTGAGGCGTTCAAAATTTAACAAAAAAAGTCGAGTTTTTGGTTCGTGGAGGTGATTTTTCTTTGCACGTCAGTTGTCTTTTTCACGTGTTGTGAAAAAGATCAACGGTTGTTTGGTGGTCACGTTGAGAAGGCTGCCAGAAAGACTGAGCCAAAATAATGAGTATTATAGAACCGCCAAGGGGGATGACGAAAAAGCGGCCAAGACTCATTTAATTGTGCTACTTATCTCTTCGTGCAATGCCTGCGATATCATATTTCTTCCAGCCAGAAACTTAGTATGATAGTCCCTAAATGCACATAAAAGCTCGGAAGTTCCCAGTAAAAAATAAAATAGAAGTCAGATCAATGAGATATCTACGGCTTCTGACCTCTGTAGATGTGAAAAAAACTTTTTCATATTCGTCTCTTTACTGAGAAATTAGGTCGATACGTCAAACTACAAATTCTTTTCAGGCCGGAGAAGCTCTCGAAGACTCTTTCTCCGGAATCATTTTCTTCATAGGAAACGCCTTTTCAAGAAGGAATGAGACCGCTCGAGTGCGACAAATAAAGGAAATAAAAAGAAGGATCCTTGTGTCTGACAGCTCTCCGATTGCTTCTCGATGACGATGTCGTCATGCTCGCCCTCTATTCTGCTTGGACAAATAAGGCGTCCAAGAAAATTGCATTCGTTGCCAATAATCGGCACATGCAGAAAAAACCCAGTAAAGGACTGTAGCTCAAGAAAATATTCAAAAGAGAAAAGGCTTTTTTTGAAGCAAATAATTTCTACGATAGAAGCTTTTTTCTGCCTTATTTCTCTTAGCTTTTTTCGATGCTCATGGTGTTTCTTTTGCGAAAAACTTTCAACTGAGAAAAAAAAGTTTTCAACGCTTCAAAAGGATTTTTCTCAAACTAAATGGGATCATATAAAAAGAAAAACCACCCCTACTATACTCTTTCTAAATAAATCATTGAGCGCCAACGAAATTTTTGAAAATTATAAGAATTTGTTAGTTGAAGTTTCATTGCAGACATTCGAATCGTTTATGGAATTGACCATCAATGAAATAAACTAGAAAAACTTTCAGGAAGCTCCTCGTCAACGAATCTTCAAGGCAATATCGCGATAAACACCCAGCACGGACCTAAGCGCCCAGGCGGCTGTTGTAATCGCTAAACAATTGTTCGAATTGGTAGTCGCAGGCGTGAGGACTGCGAGTTTGTAACACACATCCCCACTTTCCACTCGTCGTTCAAAACATGCTCCGTCGGCTCCGGACCGCCCGTTCGTGACATCATTTTGCAAAAAAGACGCAGACAAACAAAAAAAAAATGAAGAAAACGACGACAACGACGACGTCGGCAATTCTGGGACAGAATCAATGGTTTCATCAGTCATTCGTTCGGTGGCGCTTTCGAGACGGAGAGTTGAGGCTGGAAGCAGAAACGGAAGCACAAGGCGTAGGGATAACGCCAACCGCGGCCGAAAAACAACGCCGGCGCGAGGAGCAATTCAAAATGCAGAGATGAGTGCCACCTCCTACCCAATGGAGAATTCCATTGAGGAATGCTTGCAAGTCGTCCTCAGAGGTCAACGTACACCACTCATAATGGCCAAGTTGCTCCAATCTTACAAAGTAAACCTAACACTGACCCTTATCAAAAATGCGCATCCAATTAGACAACACGTTAAGAAAAAGAGCGACAAAAACTGTCAGAAGATGAATGAATTTAAAAAAAATTCATTGAAAACTAGTAAGCAATAAAGCATAAGGCTAATAAGGCATTTTGATCTTGATTCTCAAAACCTACTAATTAAAGGCTCACAAAAAACGAAAATCAAGGTGTGAACTCCAAGAGCAACCCTACTTGGAAGGACAAAAAAAAACTAAACAAAAACATGAATTAAACTGAAAAGCTGAGATGGAACTGACCCGTGTTCGTTGGAGGCGATAGAAGAAGCTCTGCTGACAGGTCGAACGGTTGGCTCACGTGGGTCATCCGAAGGCCGGTAGAGGAATGACTCGCGTCGCGCGTGCACGTTTCCAGACGCCGAAGGAGCCAGGTGACCGCCATCCGAAGGTGCCGCGCCGCCGTGACTGAACGTCGTATTCACACTGAGCGACTGCGGCGACGCCGACGTCAACGACGTCGTCGGCGTGGCGGACCGTCGCGGCGTGTCGCGGAATAGGTTGTGCAGGTGAAGTTCCCGACGGAGGCTTGCCAGACCGAAGCCACCTCCGCCGGCACCACGACGTCGTGGCATTGCCTATGGCCTCTATGCGTCCCTAACATGCTAGCTAGCCCATGGCGGCGAGGCAAGCGATGGCGAGAGGCGAGAACCCGCAAAAGAGAGAGAAGCTTCGCTTTGCTCTTTCTCGCCAACGCCTCAAGGCTCCATTGGCCTATCTGCAATGCAATCCCACCAACTCCTATCTTACCCCCATTTTGAAAACAACAAGACCACCCGAAACAAAACCAGAAGCAATACTTCACACACTCCCTAAAACTCGAAAACACGCATTTATACATACACACGACAATTACATGCACACGTAAGCAACACCTTGGTAGTCCCAGCCTAAGTTCATCGTCAGTCGCTCTCTTACCTTCTGGAGCCAGGGACGAACCAGACGGTGTGGCGGCGCGACGTCATCTCAAAGCGTTGGATTGGCTACTGCGGAAGACCAGTCAACTGTTCTGTGCAAGGACGTCTTCAAACCGCTCCGCCCACTGCCAAAACGCTCAAGCTACAAGTACAGGCTCTTGAAATGGGCGTGGCAACGACAGTGATGTGAGAGAATGTGTCGGACACAAAGAGCAAGGCTTGATGAGACAAGGTGAATAAAATGAGCCTTTTCGAAAGTTAAAAAGTTAAAAAGTAGAAAATTTTCAACTCTCAAAAAATTGCTCTCATAAATTTTCGTTCCATTGAACTATAGAGAATGTTTCGAACGTGAGCCTAATATGCATAAAATGACTGAAAAAAAGAATAACTAGGAGAGTAGACGAAAAAAAAAACACTTAGGATTGGCTCTGTGTTGGAGAAATGCAGGGTTTCTCACGAATGAAATGGCGCCCAGAAAATGACGGAAAAATTTCAGAGATTGAAAAAAAGCATCAATTTACGCTGTAAACCATCTTTTCATTATCCAATTACTGAGAAAGAAGAGAATTTTTCAGTCAGCTCAAGGCGTTTCAATGTAATTTTGAACGAGATTTTAAAGTAAATCTTTTTCACACCCTCAAGTTCCTTATTATATTCAAAGGAAACTGCTAGATGAATTTCTTAGAAAGGTTGAACATGTTTTGAGTGTGAGGTTTCAAACTGCGTAACCCTTTGGGAGATATCACAGGGAGAAAAACTGCGAAAAACGGAAAAGGTCCGATTCCAATATCTTTCAGGGAAAGGGTCGTCTGAAAGGGAAACGCTCAAAAAAGACCAATCTCATTTCGATACAACGACTTTCACCTTATGACTAACACACACGCGACACTTATCTTTTTCAAGGTTTTTTTTTCGGCTTGATCTTGAGGTGTCTGTGCGTGCAGTGAATGCTGTATCCAAAAATTTTATGCAGAAAAATTTTCGTTTTTTAGGAGACACACACAGAACGAGTGAAAAAAGAAACTATTGGCGTCGTTGCAAATTCACACTCCCACAAAGGATAGACATGAACAGTATTGCAAATAAAAAAAGAAGATTTTTGCAAAGAGTGTGAAAAAAAAAACCAGGATACGGCTTTGGTATTATTTTTCGAAACCACTGCAGAGAGTTAATTAAAAAAAAAAAATTTTCATCGCGCTTTCAGGTCCAAAATTTATTTCTGAGAAGTTTTTTTCACAATGAATGAAAGGCAGAGTACTAATTTCGAAGTATTGCATTTTTCGGTTAAGCTCTAAAATTTTGAACCGAATTGAGAAGATCAACACAAAGAAATTAAGAAAAAGGAAGAGATATTAACATTTTTTATTATTATTGGGAGCAAAAGTTTAAAGAATAGCTGAAAAAATGGCGAGAAAAATATGCGGGGATACGGCAAAAATCTTCCCGAGAGCATCTAGAAGGTCGAGAAAAAGCTAAAAAAAAAAGAAAAAGGAAAGAGAAGAGAAGGAGGAGTGATTAAGTGCTGCGGCCAGACCGTTTCTACTCGAAAAGGCTTTTCTGAATGTCGGCATTTTGTCAAAATGTTCAGTACACTTACATTCTTCCAGATAACGCAAAATCGAAAAAAAAAACCGAAAATCAGAGTAAAAGTTTTCGTTTCTAGACGGCTATGACGCTAGAAACGATAAAAAGTTTCCCTGGAGGTCTAAATTATTGAGTACGGCGAGGTCTGCGGCAGGAGCCGTTTCTGGCGAATGCCGTCTTTTAGTTCCTCTAGGTTAATCAAGCGGATAATCTTTCTCCTAAAAAATATCCTCAAACTTGCGTCACTTACCCACTATTTTATTTTCCACATCTGGAGCATAAAAACTAACATTTGATCTGAGATCTGATGAGGAAAGGTCTAACTTCTACTTGTACTTTAGACGATGGGTTTGTACTCGTGCTTCAATTTATAGTTGCCCAAAAAACAGCATGAGATAAAAGCCAAATAAAAAGAGAACCAAAACATCCCGAGGGTCTCGAATATAAAAAAAAACTTCCCTTTGAACGTGATCAAATTATAAAATAAAGATGAAAGGATACGACCTGGTGAGAGACTTTTCGAAGAAAAAATGGAAAATATTATGAATTAAGAAAACGTTTTTATATGCTTTCCTATGTCATGCAAAAGGTACTATCGCGACAGCTAATTAACCTAAAAAAGTCAAACAAAATGGCGGAAACAGTAAGAGACAGAAACCGCGTTTCTCTGTAAAGGGAAAACGACGAAATGAGAAATGGCCAAACGGCTCCAGCGGCTAATTTGCGCCCCAGACACACACTTAAGCCAGGAACGTATCCGGTGGCGTCGTTAAACTCGAAGCTTTTGCTTTTTTCACGTCTTTTTTGTCGACAAAATATGAACTTCTGGAGCTGTGAAGCCTAGTTACGCTATATTTTGAAAGTCTGGAGAGTTTCAGAACACGCAAAACGGTATCTCTCGAGAAGAAAACCGAAAAATATTAGCTCTCTTCAGCAATAATAAGTTTTTAACACAAAGTAAAAATAGAGTTTGAAATAAAATTTTGTCAAAATTTTATTTATTTTAAAATGAATAAACTGATGATGATGAAAAAGATAGTGTGGAAAAAATGTTGAAACCTAAACTTTTCAAAAGTGAAAGGATGAATCAAAGAGAGGGTTCTGGGGAAGAGAAAAGGAAGAAAATTTGCTCTTGGTGCTTTTTGAGAAGCGTGCGAAACGTTGAAATTTCGGACGTCTTCTTCTGAATTTTTTTCCCTTCTCCGCTTTTCGGCACGAAAAAACCGAGAAGATTGCCGTCTTAAACCCGTAACGAGATGTGTTCGCCTTCCAAACGCGTAGGGAAAAATGGAACATATGAAAATGTTCATAAGACGGAAGCTTCTAAGATATCATCGTACGAGTTATAAAGGAGAAAAAAATGTCCACGTGTCCGAGATAAAAGCCGTTTTGCGAGGAAAAGCTGCGGTCATTATGAAAAAAAATCAAGATTAAAATCAATTAGTAGCGGTTCACTGCAAGAAAAAAAATGAAATGACTTGGCAGTTTTGAACTTCGTTCAGAATAAGTTTGTTCATTTTACCCATGTCAAATTTGAGCTTTTAGAAAAAAAATTTTGATTCGGCGCGATTAATTGCTGAGTTTTGAGAGAACCATGAAACAAGTAAAAGAAACAAAAAAAAACATCTTTTTATGTACCACTGGGTCAGTATTTCTTTTGGAATTCGCAAGGTGAAAAAAGGAGGATCTAAACTTCGAGTCATACATGGGATAGGAGTGATCTAGAAAATTGGAAACCGAAAAATATGAAAAGGGGACGAACGATGCTTTTTTTTTTCAAAACTTTTGAAACAACTTTTCCGCTAATTATCACCTAATAATGCCTTTTTATTGCCCACTTTAAAGACTCCAGAATTTATTAAAAATGTTTCAAGCAATACTATATTGATGAGTTAACAAATGAAAAGCAAACAACAAAAGATGACAAAAGTTAGGTAGGAAGGCTTGACGAGGGTGTGTTATAATCTTCGGGTCATGCAAAAAAAAAAACCAACCAAAAACTAAAAAAAAGCAGTTCACGCAACGAAACATAATTAAGTCGTGTGCAGGAAACGAGACGGCAATGGGCAGTCTTGTGATTTTTCAAGTTGTTCATGAAAAATACTTGTTGAATACTCATGGCTCCGATTTTGAAGCCAATCTTATATTCCAAACTAGAATTTCTCACTTGCATAAACATTTATAAGGGGGATGAAAAATATTCGCTGGTTCCGCCGCGCCGGTCCGCCTTTACTTTCATTTCATTAATTTAATTTCAATATTTTTTTGATCCGAGGTTGACATTCAACTTTCCTATTACGATTTACGAAGTTTTCAAAAAAAAAAACTTCTCATATTCAGTCCAGTGTTAAATGAAAAAAAGTTCTGAGAACATCATCAATATATGGGTAACCACTGGGTGGTAAGAAATTCGAGATTTGCTTGAAACGGTAACCGCACCCGATCCCTTTTTCTTATAAAAAATATTGGCTTTGATAACTTTTTCCGAATTTCTCTGCGCGAATTCCCAAAATGATAGCTTGTGTGAAAGGTTTGAAATCGGTATTCTGTTAACACATGGAAGTGAATATTTAAACGACTTATTTGCACATGAAAAAGCTGTAATACCATTCTTCTCGGAGCGGCGCTGCGATGCTGGCCCAGGGACGCGACTTCCACTGCTTCCGACGCGTCAGACCGTTCATCGGCGCCCCATCAGACCTGCAAGCCTGATTATTGAACAAGTTTCGACAAATAATTGTCTCAAAATCTTCTTTTGGAGACCTTTCAAGTCATCATAAACGTTCTTCTTAACAAACATTGCTTTCCTTTTTTTTTCCGAAAAGCATTTTTCCTGTACGATTGATTTATTTTTTTCCAATTTCCTCAAATAGAACTTGATCTTTTGAATGCAAATTTATGGATATGTTAATGTGCCAACATTCAAATTCGTCGATTGAACAAAGGCGAAACATTGATTTTCATGAAAAGCCACAATTCATGAAAAGTAACCCGTTTTATGTCTTTGGAAAATAACAATGAATGCCTTTTTTCGCTATTGTTGAAAAAAAAAAGCGAAATTCAAATTTCTCTGTTGCCAAAACTCTTTCCATTGAAAATGGAACAAAATGATGAAAAGGAAGAGGCTCTCCATTTCACTCCTATCAAGAACCAAACTTAAGAGAAATTTTCGAGTGGAAAAAATTTTCATACTTCCAGCCCACATACTTTCCATTTATTTCGAATTTACGACAAATCTTTGAGAGGACCAGAGGCATTCAGTCGGAAACGCCTCGACACCCGACTGCCACAATATTTCTGCGTCCGCTACTCAAAATTCCGAAAACAAGAAAAAAAAATGTAACGCAATAATAAACATTCGCGCGAAGATGAAGAAAAATCATATTCGTGCATTGAGTGATTTGTGGATCGACTGTTGGAAGAAAATTGCTCATGTTAGATTTAAAAAACTTTTGAAAATTTCAAATTAATGCGATTAAGGGCAAAGTGCCAGGGGAAGAGTCTCGCAGAAGCCTTTTTTTTTCAAAGACGGAACGGCGTTTTTCTATTACTTTTGAAAAAAGGCCCTACCTGGCGTGTTTTTCAAAGCTTTCAACCATATTCAACTCTTTTAAACGTGTACTAACAAGAAGAGCGAAACTCATCGTATGGGATGACGCATATTAAAGCCCAAAACCTTCCAAACTGCTCTGAAATTGTTGTCTCAAGCTTTTATGTTCTTTTAATGGGAACCGAGCATTTCCGGCAAATTGTCCATCCTCGAGACGTCTCTTACAAACGAAAACCTCGCAATAACGAAACATGGAAAATGGCTACAGTAGTGAAGAGAGGCGAAAATGAAAAAGTCGAGTGCACTCACCGCTTGTTGATGAATATAGGCATGAGATAGTCAGAGAGAAGCGTCAAAAGCAAAACGAAGAGCACGACGGCGGCGAAATCTGCAGCAGCAAAAATTTCGATAATCAGTCGGGAATACAAAGCGATGAAGAGACGGTATCTCGGCGACAACATCGATCATCGAGTCATTCAGGAGACATTGAAAGGTCGGGGTGGAAGGAAGAATGCTTTGCCAGTGGCGCTGGGCCATTGGTTTCAGTGAGAAGAGGAGGCAGAAGGCAAAGGCGGGGGAGTTTCGTACAACCGCCGAACGCCCGGTTCTCTCAGCCAAGTCCTGCTCTTTCCCACTTACTGGACTCACGTGACGCCAACCGTATGTGACTCGTTTTCATTGCTTTTTTTCGATTTTTTATTTTTGGTTTCTCCTTTTTGTGTGTCCTCAGAGCGAGCTCAGAGCTCAGAGCTCAGAGCACAGAGAAGATGTTCGGCATACGAGAAAAGGCGTTAGTTGCAGCTTTATTTGCCTAATACAAATAAAATCGTTTTCGAAAGTTTGTGAAAAAATCATTATGGATCGTAAAAAAAATTTTTTTTTCCATACTTTGTTGCCTTTAAGCAATGAGTTTATGTAGTATAGAAAACTCTCCAATGCCTAAAATTGATTTAAAAGTTTAATTTAATTCAATGCAACCACTTTATTTTTGCAACATCGGGATGGTATAGTGATGTTGCAGGGAGGGAAAAAGGCCACTAGGTGGATAAACTGTGAAGAAAAAAAATTTAATTATATTTTTTTACCAACTTTTTTTGTTCATCCTTGTAAACATGATAATATCATAATTAGAAGAAAAAAAATATGAAGTTAAAATAACAGACTCCGCCGGCAATACGGTATTTCTAGTTGTCGCAATGATTTCTTTCCAATTTTTTGACAAAAAAAAACTATTTCCCATGCTGAAGGCTTTGAAAACCTTGACGGAACTATGTAAAAACAAATTTTCAGGCGTAATACTTTAAACGTTCCGACCTTGACGGCTTCTAAGAAAAAAACCCGTTCACTTACCGTGTCGAATCCTGCAATTATTCAGAAATTTTAAGATTTCCCCATCGCATGAGATGAAAAAGAAATGGCAAGCTGAAATTGCTCATGAAAACATAGTTAAAAAGAATTCGATTATTTTTAAAATAAATTAAAAATAGCTTTATTGATGAACTTGGTGTATTATAGTCAAGAAACTCGTACTTGAAAGAAATTTTTTTAAAAATTAAACTTTGAAAAAAATAAACGCCTAATAGAAAACTAAAATTTCGTTCGTGAAATGAAACTCTAAGAACATAAGATGGGTTCAAAAAGACACTTAACCGCTCTTCGAAGATTAATTTCAAAACTTCTTTTTGGGAAAAATCCTTCCTGAATTTGTCGTTGTTTTCATTCATCCCTTATTCTTCGAATTTGGACATGGCTCCCTCAGGGATTTCGCTTCACAGCTGCTACTCAAAATATGCAGAAACTACTTTGGGAGGCATGTGAAAAACAAAAAAGCCATGACTTGTGAAAAAAAAATTCATTTCCAAAGAACTGTTATCAGAAGAAGACTGTTTGGCAATTTTCAATCAAAAAAATTCAACTTTGTGGGCGAGAAAAATCAAGTCTTCCAGAAAATTTGAAAGAGATCGAGGAAAAAACTGAATTATCGAGGACCTAGTCTAAGCATTCTGTTTTCAGATACACCTTTTTAGCGTTTCGAGAAAACAACAGTTGATAGCAATCGGCCCACCGGGATCCTCGGCGCGTGTTTTTTGGATTGACAAAATATAAGAATGAAAATTTGAGTCCGGCAGCTGCGTGTGCATTCCACAGAGACGAACTTCCTTTTCGTTTTTCTCATTGAAAGAAAAACAAGGAAAGGTTAACAACTTCGCGGGGAAAAATGAAAGTAAAGTGAAGTGCAAAGACATTTTCTGATCTCGTATCAGTAAAGTGAAAATGGAAGAGAAGAAAAAGTTAAAAAGCCTCATTAAAACAACAGCTCGCAGATGCCGAAGGACATCAGTGATGAGGCAAATTTTGGCTCCGGGGCAAACTTGATTCATTTTCCATCTGTTTCGCCTCTTCGGCTTTTTTTCTCGAAAATCCAAGCTTTTTCGATTTGGAAGAAAAGAAGTTTGAATGTCTTGACCTCTCGGAATTCTCTCGAAATATTCAACACTGACAGTTTCTTTGAGATAAATAAAGGAAAAATTACGTGATAAACCAGTTCATTTCTGGTCTATCAAACTCATAGAAAATAAGCACAAGATCTGAGAAACAAAAACCTGTTTCTTGTATGGAAGCTCTTTTCATTCGCGTCCAGGTCTGTTCAGAAGTCCCACGAATCGATTAAACGCCTTTTGGAAACCCTGAAAAAAATCAGATGAAAATTGAAGGATGAACTGATGGATATACGAAAAAAAAATTTCTCGAAAACACTTTTTTTATTACCAAAAACTTAACACTACCAGTTGCAGGGTAAGATGCTATAACTTTGAAAAATGTTAAAGAAAGGGTTCGACGTTAATAATTTATAATGATTTTTAAGGCTTGTCGGATGACACCAGGGATGCACAAGAACGAGACACGATCTCGACTCGTCTCGAGATGCAGAAGTGAGTCCGATCCCTCGAGACAATACGAGATGAAAAAAAAGACACTTTTACGCTGATAGTTAAAAATAAATCGTCATATATAACCTCCCGGTCGTAATGTCACATACAGAAAGCCATCATAACTACAGCACAGTTTTAGATTTTGCGTAATACCTCTCGATAATGAGAAGTTTACGCACATTTTTAAGTTTCGATCGTTTTCAAGTGTGTTTTCAAATAAAAATTTGTATTTTTTTTTTCATTTTTAAATGTCTCGATCTCGTCTCGTGCGCCCCTGATGACACCAAAGAAAATTATTATCTCGTGCTAGTGTTATTTTTAATTTTTAAAAAAAGGCGAATAGCAAGCGTAAATAGGAATATCTGATGAGCCACTATTTTTCAAGCTCCAGGAGTAATGAGGTTCGCATGTTTTTTTGTGAGAGAGAAAAATATAAAATAACAAAGCCCTTTTTTTCTCAAAGCAGAATTAAGTTGAAAGAAAATTTTTAAAAAAGTGAAAAAAACTCGACCATAAAGTTGCATCAACATAAATCGAAACCATCTTCATTAATTATTTATTGAGGAAAGCGAGTGAATTTTATTCAGAGCAGAACTGAATGTAAAGAAAAAAGCGAAGAGTGGTGGCAAGACGAACGCTGGACGAGGCGAGTCCAAGGTCTTCAGAGATTTCCTTTAAGAGAATATGCCCAGGAGGCTCGGCGGCAAACAATTAGCGTGTGCATCCGCCTCGGACTTGTTTCATCAACACGCAAAGCGCCGTTTTACATAGGGGCCGTAATTATCGAGTACGTCCGCAAGACTCAAAAAAAAAGAAGAAATTCTAGAGAATTTCAGTCCTGCGTCAACCTATCTCAAAACTAACAATTATTCACTGGATACGTCTTCTCTTTCTCAGAATAAAAGTTTCAGTTCAGCGTTTGTTACATAATTGTACGGTAGAATTAAACTTGGGCTGAAAATTTCGACGGCCGCTAACTTTTTTTAATTCAAGTTTTTTTATTTATTGAGAATTTAAATTGAAGAGCAAAAAAATAATTTTTTTGAAAGCAAAATATGTATATATATATACATATAAATTTTTAAGATAAAGTTTCCTATCAATTTTTAGTAATTTAGGCTACTTTTTCGAATTTTTCCCTCATTTAAAACAATCACCTGAAATATTATAAAGAGTGATATTTGAAAACCTCAAGAAAAATTTCATCTCTTTTCCGGATCGCGTAGTTGCAACTTTCACAAATTTAATAAAGAAAAGAAGAAAAGAAAATGTTAAAAAGATGGCGCAAAGTTAACCGCCACCCGTGAAAATATTGGTCTGAAATGTGGGGGCGAGAGAGATGAAGATGTGACGTCTGGAAGCTCTCATCCGCTCCTATGGTGAGCTTTATGGTTGACTGAACTTTTATGAAAAATTCGGAAATACGAGAAAGAACAAGACGCACAATTCGATAGTTCAACCGAGGAAAAAAGGATATTTTTCACTTAAATAAAAAAGCAGTTGATAAAATAATCGCTTATTTGGATGCCATTAAGAAAAACTCAAGTGGCAGAGATAATAAAGTTTATTGAGGAAAAAAGTGCAGTTACGCACTAAAGTGTCAAAGAAAGCGACGGAGAAAAAAATCGGTTTATGCATTTTTTATCGGTCATCGTTTAAGTGACTCTCATGTTGCAGTATGGATTCTGAAAAAACATGGCCCCTGGTGAAGCAAGGTTAATTCCTTAGTTGACTGTCACAAAATAATCCAAGCTGGTACAAATAGATTTAATTAAAGAAGTGTTCTTAGGGCATTTCTTTCTGCTCGTTATTCTTATAAAGTACTTCAAATCTCCTTTTGGTCGCTTTGACAGTCGCGGAAAAAGAAGTTAAATTAAAATTAAAACTATTGAAAAAAAGTATCTCTTTGATTTCATTTGGAAGATAACAAACATTTTTGTACGATAAGAAAATGAAGTGAAGTGTTTTTCGGAGTTTCCGAACCTAATTTGAAATCGGTACAATTTGTACTTTACTCTAAAAAAATTATAATCAATTACTGAGTCGTTTTATTCAATTTGAAGTAGATCCAGGCTTGAGGGGAAACCCTATTGTGCAGCTGGCAGTTTTCATCTTAAAACAAAAGCAATCAAATTAATATAATGTTAGATGAAGATGAGAGAGAGAGAAAGTAGGAAAGAAACTCAATAATGAAGGTTCCGATTAACACCCACACTCGACCCTCATCTCATATGGCTGGTTCATTCAGAAGAAAACAAAAGCTACTAGGAAATCTGTGCATAGACATGAGAAATGCGTCATACTCAAATGAATACAAGGAATTTGTTTTTAAATGAAAGCGTTGTTTTTTCTTTCTAAAAAAAAGATGGCTGAAGCATCATAAGCGTTTTTAGTTCATCGTCATTTCATATAGTAGAAAAACCGGGAAAAAGATCAAACATCGTGAGAAAAAAGTAATTTCTAATTTTAAAAATAAAATACGATAGTCTCTCATGAGAAAGCATAGAATAAACGAAAAAGCTGTTGCGGTAGAACAGCCGAAAAGGTCTCAACAGGCGTTATTCAAAATGAAAATGTAAAGTAGACTCATAATCTCGTCGCTAGTAAGCGCGCCACTAAACTTCTCTTACCAGCGCTATTTCTCCCTCTCTGGCAGTGAGACAAAGACGAAATAGAACTGCATCGGGGCCGTAGAATAATTCGGCGCCGTAGCTGAGAAAAATTTGAATAGAGAAATTTACATTTGAACGTTCAATTATTCAAAAGTTATACATTTTAGTCTGCCTAGGAAAAATTTTATTTAATTAGTAGATTTTTTTCTACAAGCTCCATTCGTTACAAGTCAAGTACTTCATTTGACCTATAAACTTACCGATGTTTTTTTTTTTTGAAAACTGCCGTCTTGGATTGGGAGGCGGCGCGAGTTTCATCTTGAGGCACGATTCGGACTGAAAGATATCATCGAAAAAAAAAATTAGATTAGTGTTTATGAATTTGCACGTACTTATCGCGTGATAACCGGAAAAAAACGGAACAATTTTTAAAAAAAAGAAAGAAAACTGAAAAAGTATCAAAAAAAGTCGTCGAACGATCTGTGTAAAACTTTTTTTCTAAAAAGGTTTGATAACTCCAGGAGATATTAATATTATACAAATACCTTGCTTTTTAGCCCAAAAAAAGTGTCTAAAAAAACGGAAATTTTTCAGAGAAGTGTTTTTAGTCAAATTTATAAAAATTTATTCTTTCGGTTTTTTTTATTACAAAAATTTAAATTTAAATTTTTTTGTCCGTTTCTTTGAAGACTTTTTTTAAATATAAAGTTCAAAAATTTCTCCGCGCAGTGACTAAGGAAATCCCGTTCAAGAGGAAGCAAACTCATAAATTTGTGTCGGAAGTACTTGAGGCCGTGTTCAGAGAAATTCCACGGAATCTGACTCAGGTGAATCGGGAAGTCGATGCAAGTAGGTACCGGGTAGCTACCGCACGTGAGGTAGCTACCGGGTACTTATCAGTTACTTTCATGGTACCGGGAAGCATACGCTTGTCAGAGATCCTATCTAGCATCGCGATACCTCTCCGGTAGTATCCAGGTACCATAGAGATAGTACCCGGTCGCATACAAACGACCACCGGTTTCCATACGCCGATTGTTTTTTGTTGCTACCCGGTAGCTGCTTGTATATATCGGCCTCTAGATTCACCAGTGGAAATAGCCGTCAGAGAAAGAAAAAGTTAACTAAATTGGAGAGTTAGAAATCATTTTGCGTTTCGCGGAAATTAATGTGAATACGGCATGATTTTTAAAGATTTTTTTTTCAAAACTTGGCGTGTAAATCTCTCTTATCAAAACTTTTACAATCTGTTCATATCGAACTTGAGAACAGCTGATTTCAACCGTTTTCTGTTCAAATAAAAGCTGCCTCAACTTTTTTAGATGAATCTGTCTCTAATTTCCCAAATTTTTCAATAAAACGGTAAGAGAATATTAACTGATTCAAATTACTGGGTACGGATTCAAAAATTTTAGAAATCCTAGCTTAGTATGATTCATGAGGAACGAAAAAAATTCGGTTTTTTTGGACAAAAAATTGAAAAATAAACATTAATTGAAATTTATTGATAAATCTATTGTAAGCTATGTTTATTTGATCGAAGTTCCCATTCCTTTCTCTAACGGGTATATACCCAATACGTATTTGCCTTTCGCGGAATCAAATTAAACACGGCATGCCGGCATTAGAAACTTTCGAAAAATTCTATTTTTTTTTAAAATCGCGTAAAGAGTAATTATCTCTAGCAGTGCAAGTAACTTTTTGTACGATGAACACGTCCGCCACTAGATTTTAAAATATTTATACTTTTTATCAATTACTTTGACCGCCAAAGATGTCATCGATGACAAAAACGTTTTGAAATTATTTCGCTCGCGCTTTTGTGCTATTGTCGTAAAATGTATTGCTTGCGTAGCTGACGTTGTAATCGACGATAGTTTGAAAGTTATATTCATTTCAGTGCTCTCATTAGGGTGGTATGAAAAAAACACCAGCGAAAATTCAAAGGGCAACTTTTCCGATTTTTTCATATCGCTAGGGAACTTTCCGACGGCCACCTTTCCGCCGAATCTTTTTCCGACTTTTTTTCTCGATAAACTTTTCCTTTCAAATCTCCCTATATAAAGTAGGTAGTTGGTTAATGATTAAAACACAAAGAAATAGAAAAAAACAATGTTTATAGATGTTTTATAAACCGAAAAACATAAGGGAAAAAAGTCGGAAAGGGATCGATCGGAAAGGTGGCCGTCGGAAAGTTCCCTAGCGATATGAAAAAATCGGAAAAGTCGCCGTTTGAATTTTCGCTGGTGGTTTTTTCATACCACCTTCATTAGATACAGCTTGAATTTTGGCTTGTGGAATTTTTAAATCAAAGTTTTATTTTAGTGTATTTAAACTCCATATAAAAACACTGAGCTCGACAATATTTCCTAATTGGAACTATATTTTAAACTGTTTTGTTGGTTTTCTTCGAGTTTTTGTAGACAATTTCGGTTATTCTTTTTCTTTCTGTGGTTTTTTTTTTGTTGATAATATAATGGAAAAAAAATATCCCATGTAGTCAATTAACGGGAAACCAGGTGTTTTTGTTCATATTCACGCGGCTATTTTTTGTATTTTTCTCTATCATAAAATTTCAAAACAAAAAAGATTATTTTTTCCCTCCCGTCGTAAAATTTGCTTTCGATTTCAACTTGTTCGAATTTTACTTTTTTTCCCCTTCCGTATAGAGTATTTTAACAATTTGTTTGCAGGATTTTTCTGAAATGCTCAAATTTAAGCCGTTGTTGAAATCAAGTCTAGGGAGCGAACTACGAAGAGGGCATTCAGCATGGGTCAAAACAAAGTATGTCACTTCAAAATAGTATCGTTATAAGTTATTTAAGCACTTCTTCTTCTTCTTCGGTTGATGTTGAACAACTTTTTATTGACGATGAAGTGCAAAAGCTTCTCACCAATCTCACAGAAATCGATCTGGAGAATAAGGTTTCAACTTTACAGTTTCTATTTTCTTTCAATATCATAGATAGGTTTTCCGTGCAAGACGTACCACGATACAACAACGTTCTCATTTTGCGTTGATGACTGAAGAGCGGCTGGAGAAAGTGAGTTATATGTATTTATGAGGCGAGAAAGCTGTGCTGAATTATCATATTTAGTTAGTCAAAATTTATTTGAAGACGTAGTCATTTTAGAAGTCACGCTTAGAAAATCGAGTCTTCCATTTCTAAGTTCTTTTTTCCGATTTGGATTTTGAACTTTTGGCTACAAATATCCATTCTAATTTATTAAAAAAACAAATCAAAGTTCAGAAAAGCTTTTTGAAATTAAGCGGAAAAGGAAAACTAGCTCTTGTCGTATCTGCGAGTTTGTCTAGCTTTTCAGTGAAAACTTGATAAAAATTAATCTTCGGTATATGTGATACTTCCCATAAATTGTCATTTTTCTGTTAATCTGTGATGAATCGATAAAAATAGTCCGCAGCGAGGAAAAAGAACTGAAAGTATGGGCTCAGACAATGGAAAGAATGAGAGAAGAAGCGAGAAGGTTTCTACAATTCGTTCCCGTGAAAGAGCCGCGGACGCAAACCGTCAAAGTTCTTTCCCAAGATCCCGATTTGGAGACTTTTGACACGAGCAAATTTGTCTTCACCGATATAACTTTCGATGCGACAGATCAGGTTTTTCTTCTCAACCAAGCTCTGTTTTTTTATCAACAAAAATATGTTCAAAAAAGTCTTCGGCCTCATATAATAAGTTTCCGAAAACTGTAATATTTATTTGGAAGTGAAAGGGAATTGAGCCAATCGAGTAAGAAATTTTATTCGGTGTTGAGCTTGCAATTATCGTATGCGGAAGAAAAATCGAAGCTTTTCCGTATTTAAGTAATTCATTGCAACAAAAACTTTCTTGGTAGATTATGAGGAAGATCTGCTGGATTTAGGACAGAACAGTGGTGGTTCGTGAACCGAATGGCCTTCTGAGGACTTCCACTCCAGAAGAGCACGACCGCATGAACAGGACGTACTACCAGAAACCAAATCGACCCGTATTCCCTCCCTCTCTTTTTCAGGATCCTTTTCTGCAGGTTTTTTTTCTCAGCTATAATTCTTCATTTTTCTCGGATCAGATGGCTATGAATAAATGTTAAACCCCGTTTTCGCTGTTTCAGGATGCTCTCGACCGCAATGAACACGAATTCGTACTGGACTGGGCTTGTTGGTTTTATGAACCCGATGATCCGGCATTCATCGAGGTGTCTGCAGCTTTTTCAATCTATCATGATCTTTTTTTCAAAGTTGAGCCACAAAATTTTCGATCGAATCAATGCGAGAAGAAATTTCGAGACAATCACTTCTACGCGGCATTTTGGGCCTTTTGTCTTTTATCTCGCGTTGAACGAGAACATTCCGCCTCTCCTGAACCACTTTGGTGGCACTGGAAGGTTTTTTTTCCAGAGTTTGTGCAAGAAGATTTTTTTGTAGAATAAAAGAGTGTGCGAACTTGATTAGACTGCAAAAAACCCTGCGGCCCGATTGGCGTGTGACCATTGCTAAAGGCGACTCTGACGAAAAAATCGTCAAAGACTATTTGAAACAGGTGGACGATCCTCTGCAAACTTTCTTCGCAATTTTCGGTTCAGAATAACCGATTCCGCGATGAACTCACAGACCTGGTCGCTTTCCTGGAGAGAGGTGTCATAAAGAGCAAACTTCAGTCAAGAGAAACGAGAACTGTAGCAACGGGAGCGCGAAAACAGGTTTATTTTGTTCCCTTCTGCTAAATGAAAATTCACAGTGGTTTCAAAATGGATAGAACTTCCATTTCCTTCTCAGTTGATAAAAATATAGTTTCAAGTTTCAATTACCGATCAGGGTTATCTAGCTTAAATCAGAAGATTTCGAACAAAAAAATTTTCGATGCCACAAAACTTTTTCGAATCTAAAAAAATCGTATTTTTTTTTTTACTTTTTGAAGAGAACGTATATGTTCTTCCTTCTTTTTCACTCGAATAAATTCTCTGAAGTGGAGCACCGAAAGGCGCTTCATGTCAAAGTTATGAAAGATAAATAAGAAAAAATCTGTTCCTTTTTTCCAATGTAAATTCCAAAAAAAAATTTGCTAGAGTCTCGTAGTGCTCTGAAGTTCTTGGAAATGCTTGGTACATATTTTTTGATTTCGGTCGCTTTTAAATGGGGAGAAATTCAATTTTTTCGGTTGAGAGCTATTTGGAAACTCGTGGACACAATATTGTTTATTCGTGAAAGTTCCTATGTGTACAATTTCCCTAAACTGTGAAAAAAAAAAACAGATTAAGGCTCCTAAAGGCTCCCCGCAGTACACCAAAAAGCTTTTGAGAAAATTTCCTAAGGACAAGAGTACAATAAGCTCACTCAGGATAGATTTCGAGTGAACATTTCCGACAAGTTTTGTTTAAAAATAGAAGCAATTACGGAAGTTTTTGAAGGCGACAGTGAATGCACGAAATGTACGAGGCGCCGAGGGTCCGCTGGGCAATCTGAGCGAAGAATACGCGGTGAAAGTTGTGAAGAGCGAAGGATCCGAGGGCGGCGACTTCGAGCAGCGCAAACTGGACAAGACGCCTCAACGTCGAGGCCGATGGCAGCGCAGTTCCTCCAAGCCCCGCAACAAGAACGAATGATTCCGATTGTGCGCATCTTTCAACTCATACGTGTCCTTCTACTTTAGGCTCAGATTATCAGATTGTTTTGTTATTGCTCTTTTTGTTGTCATTTACGCTCAGCAGCGAAGATTTGTTATAAGATTGAAATATAAATGAAAAAAGTTGTAGTGTTTTTTCATCAAATGGTTCCAAGCCACTGCGTTATATTTTTGGGACGAAATTGAAGAGACCTGAGAAGACAAGAGTCAGACTGGGGAAATGCCTCGCAAAACGATCGCGATGGTTCGTCGCTCGACGAACCGAGGTGAGAAGCCGCAGCAACTCGACGGGACTCCCTCGATACGACAGCCCGACAAAACGACACAGTCAGTTCTCATCTTCAGTTTTTCATTGACAAATGAAGAAACTGTTTCTTTCTTTCCAGACAAGAGTTGGAACGAAGGAGATCAGATCGGAAGAACGCTCTGAAACTTTATTCAACCGCAGAGCAGGATGAAGATTGGGAGCCCTCAACGAGTTCTATTGTCAAGGTCTTTTGCCAGTCAAGTATTAGGAGCAAAGATAGTTCAAATGCAGCTTGCATTATTTTTTCAAAAAAGTGCATGCTTATTTTTTTTTCTTCTTGAAGATCCTTTTTTCTTTTTTTCAACAAACATAAGTTTTCAAAAATTATCAAAAAGTCACGGTTTTTTCAGCTGCTGATTTCACTACGTGTTTCTTCGGCTCTTTGGAACATCATCGGGGACTGCGACGAAGTCTATAACTACTGGGAACCTCTTCACATGTTCTTGTACGGTCACGGATTCCAAACGTGGGAGTATTCTCCGTTGTACGCCATCAGGTAGTGAAAAAAGATCTCCAGATTCATTTTCCGCCTTTTAGATCCTACTTTTACGTGTACTTGCACTATATACCTGCCTCAGTCTTCGCTTTCCTGCTTGCTCAATCCAAAATCGCCGTTTTCGTCTGCACCCGCTGTATCATCGGATCCTTCACCTTGTTCGGTGAATACCAACTCTATCGCGCCGTTTCCCGGAAGCTCAACATCAACACGGGACGCGTTTTTCTACTCTTTTCCCTTCTTTCGACTGGTATGTTCATATCCAGGTATCCGTTTTCTCTTGAATACCCGTTTTACATTTTGGCGGTTCAGCACGGCCTTTCTTCCTTCTTCGTTTGCAATGTCTCTGAATCTTTACATCATTGCGGCTTACCTTACCGAGAAATGGTTGGTTTGCAGAATGATATACTCCATTTTTCGGCTTGAAAGGGCGGAGCACGACATTTGTATGACGTGTTTTGGCTAATTTCAGAACTTCGCATTAGTGGTGTTTTTTCGTGAACATTTTCTTTTTTTTTCTTTCCTTATCTTTTCAATGAAAAATTAGAAGTCATTATATTAAGAACGTTTTTGAAAAATACGACCTGTGCGACCGCTTATAAAACAACAACCTTTTTCGTGCTCCTTCGCCAGTTAGTGAAAAAAGAGTAGTCGCGTTTGTTGAACCTTCGTATTTGATAGCAATTGTGCACAGATCTTCGAACTCGCACCAGAAAACTCAACGCGATCGCTTCGCACTCCGCTCTCTCAAGTCCTAAAAGTGGCATGTATGTTGCAAATGAGCGTTCAGGGCTATCGCCATCACCTGCACGGCTTTCTCAACTATGGTCGGCTGGCCGTTTTCCGCGGTTCTGGGTCTGCCTGTGGTGATTGAAATGCTCTATAATCGCTCCAAGTAAGTATTCTGGCCGAAAACACTAAGTTATGGTACACCTAAGCTGAAAAATTCACTTCAGGGATCTCCGTGTTTCTTTTTTCATTTGGTCGATTTTGTCAGCAATGACAATCGGAACTGCACTGGTTTTATGCGACTCATACTATTTCGGTCGCAGAGTTTTTGTGAGTTCCCAACCCTTTTTCCTCTAAATTCGGGTCATTCTGCCAGGCTCCCCTGAACATAGTTGTCTACAACGTGCTGTCCGGGCCGGGACCTGAACTCTACGGGACCGAGCCGCTCTCCTTCTACATCAAGAATTTGCTCCTCAACTGGAATATCGTCTTTCCTCTGGCCCTTTCCGCGCTGCCTCTCTCTGCCTTCTGCTACTATGTTCATTTTCCTCCACGACAAACAACCGCCACTCGTCTTGGCATTCGTCAGTTTCTTTTTTGTAGTTATGAGGATATATTGATCTTCCAGCGTGCGACATTGCTTACTGGCGTCGGTACACCCCAGTTTTCCTTATTTGGCTGACGGCAGCCGTTTGGTGCGTGATTTTCTTCTCGCAGCCACATAAGGAAGAGCGATTCTTGTTTCCGATTTATCCCAACATCGCTTTACTCGCAGCGATCGCTTTCGACGCTCTTGCAAGGTCAGCTACTCCATTTCAACTAATTTTTCTTAGTTTAAATTTTTTTGTCTAAGAGGCTGATGGTGTAGGATAGAGGATTCTATAATGATAAACGCTGAAAAATGAAGTTCTATCAAAAAGTTCCATTTTATCTCTTTCAGTAGGTTTCTGTTAGATTGTTGACTATTGAGCTGATTCATTGCGAGGGAATCGTGTGAGAAAAGGGAGAATTTAACACTCTTGCAAATCCGTTAAGCGAGAACGATCTGGACTTTTTTTCTATTGCTTCTGATCAAAGGGATCTTCTCTTCTTTGCGAACGGATTTGTTTTCATGAAAAGAAGATCTCTTACAATTTTTGTGTAGGTGTCGAAGTCAGACATTAATATCTATCTTTCGTTTTTCTTTGTTATCGCGATCGTTTCAGGCTCCTTCCACGGTACATCGGTTCAATCTCTAATTACTTTTGGATGATTTACTTGACTTTCATTGTCCTTTCACTTTCGCGGACATATTCTCTCAGTAGGAACTTTGGGTCGCAGATCGAGGTGTTGTTTCTTCGAAGATTCTCAACTTTTTTTTCCCTTTTTGCAGATCTATAAAAGCTTTTCTGAGCATGTGATTACGGAAGATATTGATTTCTCTGTGAGAAACGTAAGTTTTTAGTTTATAAGTTATATTTCTGTTTTTGTGCCCAGAATCCTCTGCGTCTTTGCGTTGGAAAGGAGTGGTATCGGTTCCCCTCTTCGTTTTTCTTGCCAGAGAAGACTTATGATTCGCATGGCAATTCTCGAGGTGCGCTTTCTCTCTTCAGTGAGGTGGAAAACAGGCATAGAGTCTGCTGGGAAGCGTCAAATTCCCTGATTCTGAATTTGAAAAACAAATGAACTCTGGTCTAAAAAATTTTCAAGTTCTTTGTTTTATCTGGCAGACAAAGAGTTCTCATCAATTAATTATCGAGGTCATTGTTTTATTTGCTCAAAGTGTTTCCAGGAATCGAGTTGAGGTTCCTGGCGAGCGAGTTTCGCGGATTGTTACCGAAGCCTTTCGCCGCTGGATCTTTGCCAAATATCACCAGATTGGTCCCTATAGAGATGAACGATTTGAACAAAGAAGAGCCTTCGAGGTTTCTCGAAATTCCTTATGATTCCAATTTTCTGTTCAAGATATGTCTCACTTGATTCTTGCGATTTCGTCATCGACGTGGATGCGAAGGCGACCGGAAGAGAACCAAACTTCCGAGAAATGGTCAGTTTTCATAGTAGAGACTGATTTTTATCTACCTTTTTCCAGCGGAAGATCTTGAGACCAGTGAACTCTCTGCCGTTTTTGGTGGCCGAAGAGTCGCATCCTCTTCTGCGCGCTTTCTTTGTCCCTTTCCTCAGTCCGTCACACACGAATTTCACTAACTATACTCTGTATAAAAGAATAGTTCCTACTCTTTCATAGTTTCGTTCTGAGAGAAACGTGGTTTTTTTAAATTTTGTGTTTATGAGTTCTAACTATAAACTAGTTTTAATTATAGATTTCAGCCGGTTTAAAAGGATATTTCGCGCCGGTTTATATTCCAACGGGCGAAAATTTTTGTTTCCGGCTTTCGTTATATTTTTAAATATTTTTTAATTTCATAAAGTCAATACTTGTATCAGTTTTCGGTGTGAAAAGTTTATTGCCATTACGCATTGATAATCAACTTTTTTTTTCATATCACCGAAAATTCGAACGTTATGTATCAATTTTGCGGAACCTTACACTTCTGTTTCGGATTTTTTATGTCGTTTAATTTCAATTTTTTCTATTCAAATCATCTTTGGTTGATTTGACGTTGTTTTTGTTTTTTTTTTTCTTTGTTCATGTTTATTGTTGCGAAGCCTATTCACTAAGCTAACTTTTCGGGTAACACTTAAAATTTATCATTTTTTCGTTGGCCAAAGTCTCAAGTCATAAATTCCTTCTTGACGCGTCTCGCTTCGTCGATAGAACGTTTGAATCGTTAATTATTTGGTTCTAACAATGATTTTTTTCATTTTATTCGTATTCTTTGAAATCACAGATATGACAGATGTATCAAATGAGGAGGAACTCTCTTCTTCTGAAAGCAATTTGCCGAGCGCCGAGCTCAAGCAGAACGTTGCGGTGAGCTGTCGTCTTGCTCCTTTTGTATATACCATTTTCAGGATATCTTGAAATGTGGGGCCAATTTAGTGAGAACTTCAAAGGCGTTGCCACGGATGGGCGGCGACTTCGAACTGTACAATTCTTTTCCAGCATTCAATAGTTTGATGAAAAAACAAGAAGAAAGGATTTTATTATTGTTAGAATCTAATAAAAAATGGATAGAAGTCATCATTTTCCTAGAGAGAAACGTTTGGCGAGAGCTTTGGGATGTCCATTACGTTTTCCGGCTCCTGATGCTCCAACAAAGGATTTCACAGAGTGTTTCATAGAGGGTCAAGACAACATTGCTGAACGAGCGGTGCCTTTTTCTTTTTGGGCATTTTCTAAAAGGACAGTTAGTTCCGAACTCATCGCTAGGTATTTCGCAGGAGAAAAATCCTGCATCCTTCAAAACGCTGAAAACTTCGCGTCTTCCACTTCTTTTTGAAATAAATCTGGGCGCTTTCAAAAACTCTGGCAACACTGTTTTTCAACAAATTATTTGACTGTTATCGTGAAATTTTATGAATCAACAGGTGTTCAGGATAACTATTTTCTATCTTCGGATGATTTAAATTTCCCATCATTTCGTAGGCTACTCTGTTGGATGCTCTGAAGAAGGCTGGCCGAGATGAGGTGGTAAAAGTTCCAGCCGTTATTCTCCGCGCTGGTCCAACTCATCAGAGAACTAAAGGTTCTTAGAGATTTAGCTCGATTCTAATTCTCTAAACTGTTCAAGCTGAAATAGCGGCAGCCATGAAGACTTTCTCGGCAAACATCGGCTCGGCACTCGCCCAGAAGTTCAGAGAACATCGCGAAGCCGCCGTAAAACAGGTTCATCGATCTTTCCAAGGAATCGAAGAGAATGGTTTTGCAGTCGGTGAGAGAGAAGCCGCAGAAGACGTTCTCGCTCCCGGTGGACAACTCCAACGCGCCTTTCGTGTCCAAACTCAAAGTCAAGCACCACGCTACGTCCAGAAGAAATAATCTTGTCGTCGTAGACGATGACTCGTCGGGCAGAAGGTTAAAAAGTTGAAATGAGAAGCGTGCAAATACATTCTTTTACTTTGGGACTAGGTTTTTTTTTTGAAAGATTATTATATGTTTTCATTCTCATATTTTGTGAAAGATGGACGTTTTTTTCCTTACTGAATCAAAGCCTGTTTTACCTAATAGAAGACTATTTACAGTCTTTCTTTTCTGAAACCACATTTAAGCGGGTCTTTTTTTTTCTTTTCATAGTTATTCATGGAAGCGGAAAAAACCTTCATTTTCTTAAGAGAATGGCAAACTGCTGTGGACGAGACGGAAGAAGAACACCCTTATATGGTCGAACTTTTGAACTTCAACGTGCCGTCTCCTCAACTGCAACATGCAGATCCAATTGTACGAAAATCTCTTCTTAATCCTGTTGAAAAATGTCTTATCGCAGTTGTTCGATGTTTTGGAAAACACTCCTGTGACGATTGTTGCGACGAAAGAACAACTGGAGTGTCTTCTGAACAAGTTGAAGAATGTCAAAGAGTTTGCTGTCGACGTTGAAGTAAACTTTATTCAAAACTTTTCTTGAGTTGGTCTTTATTTTTTAGGCGAATGACATGAGATCTTACATGGGCCTAACGTGTTTGGTTCAAATTTCGACTAGGACAGAAGATTTCATTATCGATCCGTTTCCAGTGTGGGAAAGCATGGGGATTCTGAACGAAGTTTTCGCGGATCCCTCGATTTTGAAGGTTTCATCCGATACTTTGTATTCATCCATCATTCTTACCTTCCCAGGTGTTCCACGGTGCCGGCAACGACGTTTTATGGTTGCAGCGGGATTTCGGAATCCACATTGTCAACATGTTCGACACATATTTCGCCATGAAAAAACTCAAGTATTCCAAATTCAGGTGACTTTTGCCTCTCCATTCAGCTAATTTGATTCACTTCTTCAAAAAAAAAATTGTTTTCAATTCGAAAATTTAACAAACCAAATGCGTATTTCTCTGTCGCTGTGTATTTTTTATAGAGTACGGAATAACGTGAAAGTAAGATTTTTGGAAGTCCAACCACAAACATTTTTCGAAGAATGTGGAAAAATATACTTTTACTTTTCCAGCCTTGCTCATTTGGTGGCGAAGCACGCGTCTGTAGCTCTGGACAAGCAATACCAACTAGCCGATTGGCGTTTGAGGTCTTTCCCCTCACTCTTCCTACTGTGAACTTTCTCCTAGGCCTTTGCAAGACGCGATGTTGAACTACGCGCGCGAGGACACGCACTACCTTCTGTACTGCTTTGACAAGTTGCGGGAAGAGCTGCTCAATTCCCCCGAAGGATCCCCGCAGCTTTTGCGTGAAGTCTACCAGGACGCCGTCGAAATTTGTCTCAAAGTTCGCCTTCTTCTGGGTTTTTCCTCTAATGTTGAGATTAAGGTTTTCAAAAAGCCGGTTTTCAATCAGAACGGCTATCTCAGTGAAATAAAGCTCCGGTTCTCCTTGAACAACCGGCAAGAAAGTGCTCTCGTCGGCCTTTACAAGTGGCGAGACACTGTGGCCAGGGAGGAGGACGAAAATGTACAGTACATCCTGCCAAATCACATGCTCCTCGCCCTTGCTGAGGTACGTTTCAGTTATGCCCTAAAGAATCCAAAATTAAAATTGAACGAAAAAACTAGCCTCTAAAGTTAAGTTAAATGAACCCAAATGGCGCAGAACAAGTCTACGCTAACTTTGAAATTTTTGATTTTTTGTAAACTTTTTGAGATCTTCAGGTTTAAAAACATTGAGGTTTTGTTAAGAAACCTTGGGTTGCAGACGATTCCACGCGACGTGAGCGGAATATATGCTTGCTGCAACCCTTTGCCTCACGCCGTGAGAGAAAGACTGGGAGAAGTGCTTAAGTGGGGACTTTCTGATAGTTTCTGCGTAATCTGAGGCTCTTCAGGATAATTACGACGGCTCGTGACGCTCCGCTGGAAAAGAAGAAGGTGACGTATGAGGAGCTGGACGACGCTCATGAATCCCGAGGCGTCGTCAACCATCGCATGGACGAGAACACTGCCGTTTTGAGGTTTTTCTAGTTGGATGTCTTAAACGTGAAAAACATGGCTGCAAATTCGAAAAACTAATATTCTATGTTATTTCATTTTTGTTCATCTCAAGTTTTTGTCTTCTCTAAGGAAAAACTGCCGTTTTTCCAGAACGAAACTCGACTTTTCTCATGCGAAATTCGACGAGGAACGCGGTGATGTTCTCATTGACTTGGTAAAAAATTTCTCTATGACAATCTCAAAAGTTCGATTCAGATTGGTTCTGCGCACGACGTCGGGGAAAAGACATCCGAAGAGTCTTTCCTTTCATTGCTCGCCCCCGAAGTTGGTTCGAAGACGGAGTTGAGAGTTCTCTCCGATGACGAGGGGTCGTCAAACTGGGCAAGTCGCTAGCGAAAATTATGGAAATACTATTCAAACATCATTAAATTTGGAAAATTTGAGCTCCAGCCGCCTAGAGAAAATTAAATCAGAAGTTTTACCAATTGGGACTTCGAGAATGAACAAAATCGGTTAAGAATTCCTCCTTCTCTACAAGAATCAATCCTTTTTTATCTTCATGGAAATATTGACAGAATAATCAAGATTTTTCTCACTCTTTCAAGGATGGACAGAGTTGTTCGACCTTTCGATTTGTTTAATGCTACTTTCCACTTTTCAGAACGCTATGAGATAGGTGAGATGAAGTAAGGTAAAGTGAATGAGAGCCAACTTTACGCGAAAAGTCTAAATTTTATTCTACAATCTTTAAAACTCCCATATTATTCTCTTTTCTTTTTGAGTTTTTTCTTCCGTAGTTTAATTTAAATTCTTCCTCTGAAATATCTTCTTCAGCAGAAGTTGTTCGAGTTGTGCCTGAAAATTTCCAAGGATTTGGAAAGTTGGGCGACGCCGTACGAATGCTATACACTGGCCATCAAGGAGAAGGAAAAGCAGGTGGCTGAGGAAAAACTTCGCCTCGAAAAGTTGCGCGCGGAAAACGGCGAGGTCGAAGGCGAGAAGAAAATGTTCACGCATCTGGACCCCACTGTCTGCCGGAAGCCAGTTTTTGAAGACAAAGTCAGTTTTTTCATCTTTTCTGCTGGGGTAGAGACTTTTTATCACATAACTATTGCTGAATTATGTTAATCTAGGATCTTTCAAATATGTGTAAACAAAACGGTAATATTTCTTACTCTATATAAAAAAAGATAGTGATTATTTTTTTATTTAAAGTTAAGAAATTCAATAAACCTTTCTAACGAAAGTCTTTCCTGTCTTCAAAATTTTTTTCAAAACTTAGTGGTCTTTATTTTTTTATTTATTTAATTTTTAGATATCCAATTTGGGAGAGTTGAAGATGGCGAATGAAAACGAAGATATCGAGAAAACGGCAGGATCATCTTCTGAGAAAGAAGTCGTCATGACGGCGCACTTCGACGAGGATCAACTTCTCTCAAAGAAGGCTCTCAAACGTAGACAAAGAAAAGTTTCCCCGTCTGGTGCTTCTGGTATTTGATGTAAAGAGTTTCAGGCCCGTGATGCTGCTGATATCCCAACAGAAGCGTTTGAAACAGCAAATCAGCAGAAGAATTCAACTGTTGTCGGCAAAAGAAAATCTGGGGACATTGGAGAAGATGGGCCGCGCGAGAAGAGGCAGAAAGAAGAAGTGCAAGATTTCGACTACTCAAAGGAAGACTCTTCTATTTTTTGTGAGTGAGAGCAAACTTTAATTAAGTGCTCTAAAGTTGTCTCTCTTTCATCAAACTTTCAAGTAGAAGTCAGTGGAAACCGAGGTTGAGCTGATCCAAAAGCAACTATTTGCAGATGGACAGCTTGCGAATAAGAAGCAAGACTTCGATCCTTTCCATCAGCAAATGAGATCAAAAGAGAAAAACAAGAAAAAGCGTGGAAAGGCCGGGCAAAAGTCTTCGACATTCCGCGCGAAAAAATAATTTTCCCTTTCAAAACCCGTGATTATGGAAGACGTGACGAATTGTTACCTGTTTGATACATTGTTGTTTCTCGTTCGTTTTATGATCACCTTTTTTTCGTTATAAAACTTTTCATCATTTGCATTTGTTTCTGTTCTTTTTCAGAATGGTACGAGCCGTTGAATCTCTTTTATGTTGGTAAATATGTTTGATGGGACTTTGCATAACAGAGTTTCTGAAAAATCAATCATTTTTTCGGCGTTAATACAGAAGAAAAAAAACTCGGTTGATATTTTTTGAGATATTTTTCATTCTGAGATAACAACCACTAAAAATCATTTCATTTGGTTATTAATGTCTTTTTATTTTCATTGATTCCTTGGAAAAAAAGTTACTGGAATTTCCAAAGTAATGCATAATCTTCAGCAAAATAAATTTTATTAGTTCATTCAATACTTTGTTGTGCCATCTTCGGTCTGGTGGTACCTCCAGAATTTGTAGAAAGGAAAGAATGGTGACGACGCCGCGTCTCCGGGAGATGCGGGCGACGGTCGGAGACTGGCGAGCCGCCGACGGAAGCTGTTCCTTCTCCCAGGGAAACACGAGTGTTTGCGCTTCGTGCAACGGACCAGGTCCGGTTCTTCGCGTCCTGACCTCCTAAAAGGATTTTGCAGGCGACGTACATGCTTCGAGAGTCGATGACGAGCGCATGGTCCTCGAAGTCAGTTACCGGCAGAACTGTGGCGACAATAAGTTCCATCCTGTCAGTCCTTCTCATCAGTCAACCTTTCTCGGGCCTCGGGAACGAAAAAAGGACGTACTGCGGACGCTTCTGTGCAATTCTAGGGATCACTCAAGAGTGCAAGAGTGCTGAGGCTACTAAAGTGGTCACTAGAAATGCCCCGACACGTCCGGTTCGCGTTACCAATATCCGGCTTTTACTTTTTGGAAGGGATTTTTTCATAGTTTCCAAATATTTTCATTAACAAAAAAAACCCTCTAAATTTTTCAATAGAAGTATAAGTTCTGAAACTTGTATAAAAAGAAGATATTTGAAGGCATACATAGCTGGCAAGAGAAGTATTTCACTCGAAACTTGACATTTTTATTAAAGACGGCAAAAAAAATGTCGTTGGTGTTTTAGATGAAGATCTCGAACCTTTCAACCCGCATAACATCTTTTTTTTTACATTAATGTACGTCTCAAAGATAACTTTTTCTGGGAAATCGAGCTCTCAAGCATCATTTCTCGTAAGATTATTCTTATACTCCCAAAGAAAAATCCCTTTTTTGAAATGAACTTATTCAGTTGAATTCGATATTATCCTCTTCGATCCAGACCGTGCTGAACACAGAAATATTCCCGCGAACTTCGCTCGTGGTGGGTTTTCTTCTTTTTCACAACAAAAAAAACATTTGAAAGGTGACGATCCATGGATTGCAAGACGACGGCAGCATCGACGCCGCCGCCATAAACGCCACGTGTTTCGCCCTTGTGGATAGTGGCCTTCCGATGAAGTTTGTCGCAAAAAATGTGCGAGAAATGTCGAGAATGCTCCAGGAGCCTATTTTGCGGCGTGAAGGTCGTTCTTCTGAATGACGACATCATCGTCGACCCTACAGCTCAGCAGGAGAAAGCCGCACGGGCCGCCTATCTTTTCTCTTTCTCGCGCTCCTCGAAGGTCCGACTTCTGTCAAAGCGAGTCCAATCGAAAGTTGTAGGGAGAGGCTGAAGTCCTCACGATGGACTGCTCAGGAGTATCGAGTTTATCTCAAGTCGAGGCGGCCACTCAACTCGCCCAGCAAGGAGCCTTGTCCGTGTTCGGCTTTTATCGGAGTATCTTCAGCAGTAAATTAAAGGTTGATGATTCAGCCGTTTAAAAAATTGGTTGTTATTTTGTTGTTGCTTTATTGTTATCATTCGTTTCAAGTTGTTTTTCGGGGTATTACTAAAAAAAACGAAGAATGAATTTTGTCGCATCGCTTTAAAATTGCCAAAATCAAGCTTCATCGGGAGATCCATAGGAATTTTGGTCGAAGATGTCATTTTCGAGACCTGCTAAAATAATTGAGTTGAAAGCGTTGATTAGCTCTTGAATACCTTCATTCAAAGTCTGGCGATGCTCGGCTAGCCATTTTCTCAGGAATAAAACAGTATTACAGGCGAAAAGAATAGTGTTGATTAGAGCGAAAATCTAAATTCTTCTATTCGGACAAATTTTGCAAGCTTTTTATTGTTTCTTTTTGATCATAAGTAAACGAATTTCCTCCCATACGCTTTCAAGAACCTGCTTTCTCTTTCCATTCAAAAAGTTGAAAACCCACATCTTCCACTCTTTTGAGTCAGTTTGATTGAAAAAAGATGTCGGACTCACAGCCGATGCGATGAACCAATTATCATCAGTCATTTCCTCGCTGTTGATGCAAAGCACAAATGCGATCGCGTAGAACACGAGTAGTGCCAAAGATACAGCAGTTTCCTGCAATGTTCCAGGGGCAAATGAGATATCGAACAATACGAAAAGTACCGCAGTGAAATAAGTGACACCCCGAACTGGGAAGAGCTGCGAGTCGCGCTCCGTCGTCAGCATCGCAATGAATGAGATATCGAAGAAAAAAGAGAGTCCGACGGCAAGCCATACCAACGACGTTCCTGAGAACCCTTTATTTTAACACAGGCTCTATCTTATCACGAGTTTTTGTTATGAAATCTAGATCAGGTTAATTTGATGTTAAATAATTAGTAAAATCGAGAAAACTACACAAATTAATAAAAAGATAACCTGGAGGTGATATTTTAACGTTCGCCAGAGTTATCATCAACGAAATCGTCATTACCTGTAAATTCAAGATTCTATAAAATAGTTACAAATCAGACAAATTTAATTTTTTGACCAAAAAAAAATTAACGTGGACCTTTCGAAGATTCCTTTCCAGAAAAGAAAAAACGTATCCTGCGTTAACATGAATTGGCTGTATGAAGTTCTAACTCACTAACTAATCATAATCACTGAAATACAAGAATTCTTCGAAAACCAAAAAGTGTCGTAAAGGCTCGCAACTCACCAAAGTTAAAATTTTGAGAGATCCCGGCCATGACAGAACACGATGTAGAACTAGCGGCATCACAGCGGAAAAATAAGGCAAATTGCTACAAGATTCACTGTGGAATCGATATCTTATCGTTCCCTTGCTCCCTTATTGATAATGATGTTGTCTTCATATGAATGTGTGCACAGTAATTTTTGTTGCCGAACAAAAACCGCTGAGAAAGCAACTATGGGAAACTTTATTTATGGAGAAAATTGTATGAATTTTTTTTTTATTAAAAAAACAACCCGAAAATTAGAAGTGATGAACAAAGTTGAAGTTTGATATGATATTTCGACTCTGGGAAAATGTAAATTAATTAAACTTCGATATAATTTCACACTGTTACCTTGAACCGATAGTTACATCGTATCAGAAAAAAATAGCAAGATAGTGGTCAAAATGAAATAAATATTTGGAAATAGAACCCGATTTCATAGAAAAAGAACAGAATCACGAATCGCTTCAGCAAGTGCTGGAGTTCTCAGAGTGCCGCATGTAGACGTAGGCGAAAACGACGATAGCGGAAATTGTGGAGAGGAACGTCGACGCCGAGACAAGGACGCCGAATCCGCCGACCGACAGGCAGAACGAAGAGTCTTCGGCCGGTAGCAGAGTCCATCGCTGTGGCAGTTCTGCAGAATCCAGTTCAATGATGCAGGTTGAAGAGCACTGTCTTTTTCAGAGTATGGTTGAGCAAGTAAACGTTTTCGATCGTTGTTTCGATTTTTACAAAAAAAAAGGTCTATTTATATTGAGCTGGAACTTTTGGCACCAAAACTGAAAACTCTGCTCTCACCTTCATTACTTTTCACATCAACATCGAGCACGGTGAGTTCATTGGAATGAAGACTCAAGGAGGGCATCTTTCGGGTCGACCTCTTTTGCCGCCTCGAGATACTCTCGCCGTCGCAACGTGGAGGCTGGATGACGCAAACAATTAGGATTCATGAAGAGATCTCACCGAAAATTCTTCGCATTCTCCGTCTTCAACCGAGCAGAACGTTATGGAACACCGAAAGTCGACGTTTGTCCTATAGAGCATGGATCAGTCATTCCGTTCCGTAGCTCCAGCCCTACCTGTCAGGGAACTTGAAAATGTAGGCGTCGACCGTCGCAATGAGACCATCCTTGTTATAGATAGGCGTTTGGAGCATGTGCTTGTCGGAAGTGCAGCTGAAAACATTTCTTCTCCGGCAAACCTGTTTCGTGAAACTGACCCATTGGCGTCGATAACCTGGTAAGCCTGGCCAGTGCCGTCCTCGACGAAGCAGTCGTGGACGAGCATCCGGAACATGCCGAAGCCGTCGGCGCAGTCCCAGCGGTGGCGAACGAGTTGTCCAACCAAGGTGTTGTGGACCGCCGCTCCGTCCTCTCCCGATATCATGTAGTTGCAGCTCGGAGGACTCACAGTTCCAGTGACGTCAACTTCCGGCGACATACTGCAAGTTTTTCTCATAGCCTATCATAGGGTAAGATCCGAATTAAGCTATAAAAATTTCTGGCTTACGGAAAAAAAAACTTCAGCCTCGGAAAAATTTTAGGTCGGCTTTTTTGAAATATTTCCTGAGGTTCATTAAATTCATTTTCTGCGCAGAATTTTTTGACCTTCTAACTTATCGAAAAAGTCCAGCCAAACCTGACGTTTAGTTCCGTTGCTACGAGTTTGTCCGTCTCGGTGTATGCACACTGAATGTGGTAAGCCTTGTCGAGTTTGGTGATGAAGGAGTCGTGGAACGAGACCACCGCCACGAAAGAAACGACCAGTGATGGCGGATTCAGCTGAAATCAAAATTTGCTTATTTTCGGGCCGTTTCCACCCACAATACAATAAAAACTATTCATACATCAGTCATATTTTGAATAAAAAGAGAATCCTCAAGGAAAAGAATTTTTCGGCTCATCAGCTTTTCTATTTGAGCGTATGCCAAATTAATAGAAAAAGTGATCCGCTTACATTTTTGGGCTTCCTTACGTACGTTACTTGAACGAAAAATGTTTTTTTTTCTCACTTTTTGGAGTATTTACTTCTTTGAATAAATCACTTCTTTTCAAAACTCGATAGCACCCCATATTCTTGAAGACACATTTTCAGCGATTTCACGGATGTATATTAAAGAAATTTTCAATATTTTTTACCTCGAGAAATTTTTGGTCTGACCTCGAAAAATCCAGTTGTGTATTTCTAGAAAAAATATCAAAACAACGTCACCAATTTTCCTTTGTTGCTTCTCGTCTACACTGAAGAAAAGAGGAACTCGAGATGGAAATTATTCAGAAAGAAAGGTTTTCGGAGACCAATTATGGAAACCAGATTGCTTTCGAAGACTTGGCACGATGCCAAGCGGCTTGAAGAAGAAACTTGAAGGGAAGGTGGCAAAGGAGTTTTTGAGAGCATACAGTTCGATCCCTTTTGGAGTTGCAAGAGTTGAGCGGAACTTGGAGGGCGATTCGATTTACTTGGCGACGGCGTCGGGTCTCTCGGACGTCTCCGCAGACGCATGGCTCGCAGGTCTTGCTGCAGCTGCTGGAGGACTCTCCGTTTTGAGAATCTCTGTAAAATCCCTTGGTGGTAAGTTTAGAAAATGATGCACCAACGATTTAGAAGATCCTTTGTCAAAAATTCGTAGAGTGTTTATCTCCAACTTTGATGGTTCTTCTAAAAAAAAAAAGAAAAGCCTAACTAGTGGGGAATGACGAGTACCTCTAGAACCGCTGAAGACGCCACGACCTTTGGTGGTAACGCCTCCAAAGCCTTTCCATCGCTGTCCAACGGAATCGACAAAGTCGCCTTCGTCCTTTTCTTTTCTTGATCCCGTGTCCTCAACGTTCTCCGGTTCGCCGGCTTGGAACAGCCGCGAGTCGCGTCGTTCGCTTGCGACCTGCGAATCGCTATTCGGCTCATCCGCTGAAAAATGAAAGACCTAATTAACCTTTTCACAGATTATCTGCACACTCTCCTGGAATAATTTACGGAAAGTTTATACATAAAAAGGCTGAAAGGTGTCCATGAACCCAGATATATACTTTTCCAAACGAACATTTGACGAGCTCCTCAACATGCCGCCCATGTGAATAGTTGCGGACGCATTTGGAATTGGCGTAGTCGCCTTTGACGAAGATCCTCCCGTTGAACGGCCGCTTCGTCTCGACTTCCACGACTATTTCGTCTTTCTCACAGGTTATCTGTGGCACTCCAAACACTTCGTTGTCAAACTTCGATGCTGCCCCGATAGTTTCTGTCTGAAAAACTTCATGAATGCGATTCTGAAAGGCCAGTGGAATCATTATTTTCTATCGCATCTCTCCAGAAACCTCTCGTTATATAGTATTTGTTATTTTTTCTTTCAGGCCGATCGGCCCTTCAGTCTCAGTAGGTCGCGAACACGGAACAAACAATTCGTGTACGGCGACTTCGTTTTAAAACTGCCTATTTCAGGATTGATTGAAGTTCAAGAGAGACGAATTATTAATTCTTACTCTTCCTAAAAGTGACTGTCATTTTATGCTATGCTTGAAATAATTGTTTTTATTCAATTCGCTCACGGATAATTTGATATTAGAGTTGAAAGTTTTGAAAAAAAAGACCAGAATACTCTTTGATGTATCAAATAAAGTGATCCTGTTAGTTTCCACCAGCATAAATTTCTAGTGTTCGAGAAACGAGGACTCGTAGCCAAAATGGCCTATTTCAGATGATTTTGATTACTTTGTTAAAGGTATCATCTCTCGAAAAAAAAAAAAACAAAAAGGGTACAATTTTCAGACCCTCTATTGCGTTATCCTGGCTGGATTTCAGGAGATTGCGGACCAAAAAGTAAAAATACAGTTCCCTGTCAGAAACTCTAGCATGTAACTTCTGAGATTTTCCATTAACAAAATCCAATTTTTATGAGTAGCTTTTCTGGAGCTCGAAAAATTAAAAGTTTTACTAATTGAGACATACAAATTTTTGAACCTATTGAAGTTGAATGGTCTTCTTTGTAAGAGAAATTGTTGCTTGAAGCTCGAAAATCCTGTTCTCAAAGGGCTTTCGTTATCAAATTATAACGGTCACATGTCCAGCGAAAATTATTAGTACCATCTCGGGCAAAGTCGGAATGGTGTATAATGGCTGCTAAAAGGGAGAGGCTCAAAAAAGGCCGCAGACAGGCAGCAAAAAGGCAGCGAACGGCAGCAAAAAGGCAGCGAAAGGCAGTAAAGAGACTCCCTTTATCGAGCCTTCCATTTTTCTGGGATTTTAAAGGCTCGAGAAATGGTGGAGAAACAGAGAGGCAGCAAAAATGGTGCATAAGGGCTGAGAAAATGGTGCAAAAAGGCAGCAAAAAGAGAGCCTTCTTCACCCTAAAAGGAACATTTCTATGGTCCTTTATGGACCCTCGGAGGGTCCTTCCGACGTTGCCTATGTAGCAAATCATCAAAATACAGCAGAAAAAAAAACCTACCGAAAACAAGAGTATGATGAGAAGGAATAGTGGAAGCCGGTTCATATCGAAAATCAAAGGAAGTTAGCTGCCAAAGTCATGGTTCCACGGAATTAGACAGTATGAAATGGATGGTTGCAAGGCCTTCCTGGTCGTCTGGCTCCGCCTCCTCCCTCCGCCTTCTTTTGTTACTTTACGTTTCCCACGTGTGTTCACTCTGTACAAGCAAGGGAAATCGCAAGTGCTTTTCTTCTATGAAACCGATTTTGAGAAAGTTTCTGGAAGTCGAACAAAGAATTTGAAAAAAAAAAGTCGTACGGTTATACAGAGTTGCGTCTGTAGAGAGCTCCTTTTTGCGAGAAATTCAATTGACAGTGAAACTTGGAACTTTCATAAAATTTTATCAAAAAAAATTTGAAGGCCTAAACAAAGTTTCCTCATACTCGCCACCTGTGCTGCACAGTGTAAATAATTCTACTTATAAGAGCATTTTTCAAACCTCATTGTTAACAAATGATCACGTTAGCAATTAATGATTGAATTAAAATATAAAACATGAAATAGACATTAAATGAAGTTTTAGATTTCCAAAGTTCACATTTCCAAAAAGAATGGGGAAAACCTCTGTTTAAAGCATTAACATTCAAGACCTCAAAATAACCCCGATTTTTCGCTAAGGATTAGTATGAAATGGATGGTTTCTCTAGTTCTCTCTAGTTTCCTTTCTCTCTAGTTTCCCTTTTCTGTGCCCGTGAATGAAGAAAATATTGAATTGAGATAAAATAGGTGAGGAAAAAACCTTGAAACAAAGGACTGGCACCTTTTTACTGGACAACCGTTGGACATGCTTTTTTGAGGGGATCGCCGCACTCTGTGTGTACTCGAAACGTCCACTTGGCGCCATTGTTGGCCGACGGACGTTTGTTGGCCACGGAGGTCGCGTTGATGCCAAGACGACCGCGAAAACGCCCTTGTAATTGGGATGTCCGTCCTTGTCGAGTAATGACCGGCGGATGCGCTTCGCTAATTGTGGTCTGTCAACAATGGGCCGGGGCTCCTGTAAAATTGCTCCAGGTAGATCTTACCTGCCGAGACGCCACCTGCGGCGAGAGACGCGTAACTTTTTATTCAAGTCACCCTGGGTTCAGAAAAAGTTGGGAGGAAAATTCTCTTGAGACCGCCGACTGAGATCCTTTACCGAACTACGAATTAAAGGAGTAAAAAAAATACTATGTACACTACCTTTCAATTATTACCCCAGAACGGTATATTCACACGAAAGAAAACTCAATTTTTTTCCCCTGGGTAATCGTGGAAAAAGCTCTTTTCATGTATATCATCAAGTTCCTGGCAGCTGAAAATCTAGCAAAAAACTCTAATTTTCAAGTAAAGTCTCTCGAAGTTTTTGGCTGACCTGTACTTTTGATTTTTTTTTTCTTGCGCAAAAACTGACAGAAAATACTTCTATCGTTCAGAACTTTTCATAGGATTTTGAGGCGCTTCAGCGAAGTGTCGTGCTAGAAAGACTCAACTGAAACTTCTCGGCATCAACATTGATATTAGTTGGAAGATTCTTTCACATAAGAGCTCATTCATTGCAATTAATAAAATGAGGAACAAGTTCTCCAAATTAAAAATAAAGAGGGGAAAAAGATTTCGGAAGCGCTGTAAATTGGAATCTGTTTTTCAAAACTATGACCTTAGCGAAAGAATTAAAAAGCCTAATTTCCAAAAATAGACTTCTGAAAAACTTTTTTGAAAATACACAGTTTAGGCTTGAAAATTATCAAATTTTTTTGTTTTCCTCCTTCTTTTGGCTGAAAAAAAGTTTTTTTAGAGTTTATCATAGCCGGATCATTCAACGCGATTGTATTAAAATGTATAATTAGGTAAAAAAAGTAGTATTCTAGAAATTTTCAGGCCTAATTTTCACATTTTCTTATAATTTTTTCTCAGTTCTCTATTGGTTCAGCAGATATTCTCTCTTGTTTTCAAGTATTCTGACTTGGGTCTATAAACCACTGAAGTTTGAAACCGATCCGCGGATATCCGTGTACCCGAGTCCGAGTAGTCCCCTAGTCAGTTTTATTACTTTCACTTCAGTTTGTGTAGTTCATACCCTAGACCGTGCCATTCAATCAAATTTAGTAAGAAAATTCCTTTCGTGAAACTGCTAGATTGTGAAAAAGCTGGAAAAAGTGGAAAACTTTTTGTGAATAGGCATTTTGGCGCGTTATTACGATTGGGAGGCACCCCTCGGCGCAGTTCGGCGATCGTCTTCGACGGCCTCTCATCCGCAGCTCTTTCACAAACAAGAACAGTCATGCGGAGTGTCCTCCATGCGCTCATACTCGTCACCGTCGTCGTTAGCCGTGCTCCAGAGGAAGATTCTTCTGAAGACGTCGCTGAAACTGTTGCCCCCACCACACTGGTCAAGGTTCTCTCCATGCTCCATCTCTTCAGAAAATATCTAAAAGAATGTAAAAATTACAAGCGAGTTGTTTGTTGTCTATTTTTTTTTCTCAACTAGGGGCTTTTTCAACCTGGAAATCATTCTCGTGGTTTAAAAAAAGCTTTGTAACGGTTGTCGCTGTATCTTCTGTTTTGAAATTTTCCAAAATTTTGCAAAAAAAAACTTTTCTTGGTTATATGGTTCAGTAATTGTGATATATCTGATCGTTTTGCAGGGAGCAAACTGCGAACTTCCAGCATTCACCAACCTTCTGCCACTTCATTATCGCAGAGAACTACGTAAAATCTGGTCAGGATTCATAACCTCGGCGGCGGCGAAGAAATGCGAAAGGTGAGGTTTTCGGAAGGAAAAAACTCTCCTTTGGTCGATCGTTTTCCTAATCCCCGACACGATTCAGACAGCTGGCGCAGACGCGTGAACTGGTGGAGAGCCTTCCTGAAGACGTGAAGGTGCGCGTTCTCGAGTGGGGGAGCACCGGAACGGCTCCGTCCAAAACCTCTTTTCTCGTTGGCCTTTCCGTCGAGCAGACTCGCGAGTTTGCCGCCGTAAGTCCTTTTACTCTTGCTTTTGTCATCTTGGCAGCTTGCAGATAATGGGTAACCGGTCTCGGAGCGCTTCGGAAAGAAGTCAATCACTGCGAGAATGGGCCAGCGTCACGCTGGACCTCGACGCCGCCAATCAGATGGAGCAGTTCATTCAGTTCTTGAATCGCAAACAGAACAGCTTCGAACTCAAGGTGTGCGGCTCTTGATCTGTTTCTATTGAATATAGTTTCTTACTTTCTTCTTTCTTAACATTAACTTTTGAGATTAACGTAAAAATACAAAAACCCTGACTGACGTGATCTGAAGCTTTCAACGTTTCGTTCTACCGTCATATGAAAGAAACACGCCTTATTTTGAGAAATGGCAGTGAAAAGCTTTTCAAAATTTGCAGGTAAGCAAACTGTCTCCAGAAGCTAAGAAGGCGCATGTGGAGCTGGAAAACCTGCGAAAAATGAAGCAGCAGGTGTACAGCGCGCTGTCCAGTACGGTCAAACGCGAACTCGCCTCTCTCTACAGGTGAGGAAGCAATCATTCAGTTGCGCTCCAGGGAAAAATTAAAGAGCGAAATGTCCTCGAGGCAACGTTTGGGACAACGGCGAACTGGACGCCGAAGAAATCCAGTTGGCCTGTTCGAGCGGTTTGTGAAAGAGAATAATACCTTGATTGACTACCCGAAGTACAGCTCCGGAAGAACGCACATCAATAGCGACTTCCACTACTACACTGACCCCGATGACGTCATCGTCTGTATCTCCAACGACTTCGCAGTCGACGACTTCTTCAGCGTCTTGGGGCAAACTGAACGTCACCGCGGCTCCGTCGACCGAAACCACGTCATCTGAGTCGACGTCCATTTTCTTGTCGTCGTCTGCCGTGCCGTTGATTCCTCCAAGGCCACGCGGCATCAACAACGGCTTCACCTCTTCTAACAACGCCTCCACAAGAACTTTTGTCGAAGATCCTTCCAAACTAACTTATTTAATGCGAAAACTCTTTCCTCACAATTTCATAATTTAGTTTTTTTCTAGAAGTAGCTGTTCAAAAAAACATTTGTTTTTTTCAAGTTAACTAGGCAACGTTTTTTTACCGTCCCCCCATCTCTTTTCCGAGTTATGAAGCTTCAAAGTTCGCAAAAATATGAGAATTAGGCCAAAAATGAGCTATTTCAAGATTTTGAAGCGTCCTTACTCAAAAACCAGATCTATTGCGAAAATTTTTTTCTTGTTTTGCAATGAGGAGGCTCTAAAACACACTTCAGAGAAGTTACATCAAAAGTTCAACCTGGGGGATAAAAACGTTCCCTAGTAAGGGCTGTCGTGTGCTCCATTACCATTTTCTACAAACCGTTAGTGTTTAATCTTCAAATCACAGTTTTTGGATCATTTGTATCTGTTATACAGGACTGTAAATAGACGATGTAACAAAAATTAATTTATTAAGCTGAAAAAGAGAAAGTCAAGCAACCTATTTTCGATTCGTCAAAGTATAAAGCTTTTAATTTCTGAAAAGATTACATAAACTGATCTATGAGCAATAAAATACACAGATAAAGATCACAGTGGGCTTTCTTCACTTCGATTTAATACTGTCATTCGAAAAACACGTGTCGTATAAGCTATTTCATGACTTTAGCATCGTAAAGCCATTGATAGCAATAGAACTCTGTATATTAACAAGAAAAAAAAACAAGAAGTTTTGGCACAAGAAATGGACCAGTGAAATGTGAAAAGTGAAAGAAAGAAACTATGAAGAAGTTACAAACCGACGGTACCCGTGGTGAAGAAAGATTTTGGGTTGGACATTCTCCGAAGTCGGTCCATCAGAGGATTCCCACTACGCCCAGCTGCCGAAGAAGGTACGTTTCCGCGCCACCCCGCCGCTGCCTGAAATTCCATTATTTCAAAGATAGCGATAACAAATACTATTTTAAGAACTTTTTTACAAGGTGTAGCTTACAGCAAAATTCATTTTATCTAAAAATAAATTGCTATTAAAGGATTATCCCGGCGTGCGCTCGATTACTCGACGCGAAAGGGTGCACTACCTGCTGGGGCGGAGCCAGCTGTTGAAATTCCAAATCTGAACAAACTAAACATATAGCGTTTTCCGCGCAAGACGGCCCGCCTTTGAAAGTGAAGCAGAAGAAAAAGCGCTACCGTAAATACACCATTTTCACTCTTGCTCTACGAAGTGCAAAACAAGTTTCTAAGTGATGTTTAATCCCATTCGGTATACGGTATTTTTGCAAGAAAAAATAACGGGACAAGGCGGAAAGACCTGCGTACGGTTCATAGCTTAGAATTGTTTTTGGGCTCTTCCAAACAGACGGTCGAGGAATTCGAAAAGCAGACACTACCTTTTGGGTAAAAGATGTTCACCTGTATGATGCGAAGCCTCTGTCGGTAGTTGTTGGCGCGTGTGTGGTCGTTGACGATGCTCTGGACGTACGACGACGGAAACCATCCTCCCAAGCCGTCGGCCACTCTTTCTCCATACAGCCATCCTGTCAGAAAGTGTTCGATAAACGAGGGAGCATCAAGACTATATTTGAACTATTTTTTTCCAATACAATCAAAGCTTAAATCTTGCAAAGCTGGCTTCTTCTTTGTTTTAAAAACAGGTCAAGACTCTTTTTACTGGCTATGGAAAGATTGGACCTTAACAACATTTCTGGTTTTGATTTCAAAAAAGGTGATAATACCAACAAAAAAAGTGATTCAGTAATCGTTCGTGGTAGTTCAACTCAAATTATTTGAACAGAAAGCCGTAATTATTAGTTATGATTTCTGTAAGGTAAATTAAGCTTAGCATAAATTCGAAAGGTATTCCGAGAAAATAGATTAGCTCAAGGAAACATGCTCGAAACACGAAGGGGTTGGCACTCAAGGGTTCACAGAGGTTAATCAAATGTTATGAAACGCTAAAGGAATAGAGAACGAACCATCAGGCATCTTGCGGAGGACGTTGATGGTGTCTCCGACTTGGAGCTGGAGCTCGTCTTGCTGCGAGGGGGTGTAGACGTGAAGAGCGACGACCTGAGGACAGTCCCACTCGGCGTAGACCTTCTCTTCTGGATTCGACGACTGCAACTACCACTCCTTGGAGAAGAAAGGAAAAAAGCGGAGGTTCGAGAAAGTTATGGGAAAGTACGCTTTGAGGTCAAAAATGTAAAGTTGAGGAGAGCGTGCGGATGTTATGTGTTGGAAAGTCTGAAACCAGCAACCTTTCGAGGAGAAACTGACCAAAAAATATTTGAAAAGTTGAACAATTCATACTGAAGTCAAACTTTTTTCCGTGACACACTGCTCTTTTAAAAAAAGAGCCTTTTGCAGATTATCTTTGATAATTGATGCTGAAAAATTGTTATATTCCAGAGAAAATGAAAAGAACGGTTTGCTTTTCAAATAAATTTTTAGAGACTGTAAAACAAGAATGAAAAATGTTGAACAGCTCTACTTTTTTTGATCTGGACTGGGATTTGAATCTTCAACGTTTCTTCCATTATTCACTAGGATAAAGTTAATAGAATATAATAATTCTCGGGATGAAACAAATTGATAAAAGCTAGAAAAAATTACGGTGGGAGGTCTGACTGCACTTAGCCAACGTTCGCGATCGGTTTCGCTGTCGGCGGACAACAGCAGCTCCGATTGTCTGCCGCGGGCGTTCCTCATCAAAACGCACAGAAAGAGATGGGGACGACCGACCAACGAGGAAATGGCGCCACTCGGAATCTCAAGTTCATTTTTCCATCTCGAGATCTGAGCCTCAGCCGCAAACCTTGGGATTGTCCGGCTCAATTGGCTCAACGTCTACAAAGCGTCTTGCAGAGTAGTCCTTGCAGACGTAGGTCCCGTTGCTAAAAATATTAGACACTTGCAAGTCAAGGAACAACTCACAGCTTTTTTTTCGTGATCATAAGAATGTCGGAAAAAAGAAAAACGTGCAGCGTCCGAGCTTTCTGGCGACTCTGAAAACTTGACAACCAGTAAGTTACATGATAGCTCATTCAAGCTATCTTAGAAAAAAAAAAGGTTGCTCCGTAGAGTATATTCGATGAGAAGCGATCGCATAACAGTTTTTGTCAGGAAATTGTGAATCGCACTTTGAGAAATCAAGCCGCCGAAATGTTTTATTAACGTTATTCGAAAACTTCTTTCTTGTTTTTGAACCCTCCTTTCGTAAACAGTTTTTTGTGAGAAATTTCTCAAATATTCGGGTTTTTTTGAACATGAGTGGTTTGAAATTTAGAAGGTTTATCAAAAAGTATTTCATCAGTATAGTAACTAAAATGAAAGATAACATCAACTCTTAAAACGTATCTGAAAACATCGACAAAACACAAGGAACCTAATTGTTCAGATCCTTCTTCTGAATCCTTCATTAGCGCCACAAATAATTTGGATTTTACACGTTACTAGAAAAATCGTGCCACTGCGGCGTTTCAAGCCAAATCGGACAAGCTAACCCTAGAATTTTTGAGTTTCCGTTTCTAAAAAATTTTTTGTTTCGGCATCATTGCTTTTTCTTCATTAGGAATAGAAAAAAAAGACTTTTTCTACTTTAAGGAGTCAAATTTCAAAAAAAAAATTCCTTAAAAAAAATACCTGTTTTAATGAATCGCTGTCAAAAACTTTTTGTGACGGACCTGCAAAATGCCGGTGGTTCTTCTCTCGACAAGCTGCGTCAGAACTCCTCTTTTGACGAGATGACGACTGTTGGAGACGAGGGGAATCCGCTTGAGGTCGGCGTCTTTGTAGACGAGACGTCGGTCGATCTCCAGAAGTTGCTCGGTCCGTTCCATGCGTCGTGCTCCTTCGTTGCACTCACGGACCACCTGAAACCTTCCACATACATTTCTTCTTGAGGGGTTGCACCTTGTTCGAAGCGGTCAGTGCTTGTGCCGCCGTGCTGTACCTTTCACAGTTAGGCTGCAGACGGTCAATTATTGCGTAGAGAAGAAGTGGATATCTGCAAACATCAGCCATTATTGCAAATACGCCCCTCTAACGAAACATTAAAAAAGGCTGTTGTCTGAAAACGAGCCGTCGGGCTTTTTTTTGGGCGATGCTATTTTTGCTCTTTTTGCGGCAAAGTATCTGATTTTTTTTTAATATTTGAAATGTATATATATATATATATATATATATATATATAATCTAGAAAGGCTTGCAAAAGTGCAATATGAAACGATTTCCCTTTAAAAGCACAACACAACTCTGTTCAGTATTCAATCTACCATTGTTCTTACCCAATCAAAACAGGTCATACCTTGTTTGATTTTATTTACATTTTCTTTCTCAGTCGTCCCTCTTCTCCTCAGAGTCTTCCCTTTCTTTTCAATATTAAAGTTGCTTCATTTTCTTGGGAGAAATGATGAATGCTTTATATAACGACACTAAACGATTTTCTCAACGCTCATATGAGAAACCTTGTGATTCGCTGCATGGGGAGCATGAGGAAAGACCTCATGTCGAGGCCCTGACACTGGCGATGTTCTTCCAACTTCTGAACTGCGCTCAGGAATCCTGGACTCTCGGTTTTGAGGCGTCGTAGTGTGCGATCTTGATATACCTTAAAACATTTAAAATAAAACTGATGTTGAGCAAGATATGAGGAAACCTGATTGGAGCAATATTTGACGTAAACTTCAAAGTTTTTCTCAAAGTGTTGATTGAGAATGTCACAGATGTCATCGAGCACCAAATTCTCTTCCAACCGAGTCTCCAGGTCACACAGAAGCCTATAAAGGGGCTATTAACGTGCTTCGCAGAAAAGGTTACCTTTCGGAACAGTCACGGACCGCGAAGATGTTGCTGAACAACTGCTTGCGGTCGGCGTTGGAAATGACCGAAAGCGCCGATTTGTTGCCCAACATCTGGGGACAAGCCATGAAGTGCGTGATGAGTATGTTCAAAGAACGTAAGTAACTCGCTTCCGACGTGATCACCTTGAACGAATTGTCTAAAAGAACCACTGGAAAAGTGAACCTCAAAATAAGCTTCTTGCTGAATCTTGGACTCGTCGTCAAGAGATTCCAGGAGACCAGCAGCCTTGACTTCAGGAAGCTCGCACCACAGACTTCGCTGGCTTCCGAAGTTTGACGAGCCGACTAGCCGATCTCTTCGCATCGAAGTGTTTGAAGTGAGTGCAGACGTCGACGTCGAACAATCGGCTCCACGGCCGGAATCCGAAGAAAGTGACGATTCTCGACGATTCTGAGCTCCGTTGAAAAGAGAAGGATGCGAATTCAACCTGGATCTTGACTTCGGGAGCTGTGGGAGGCGGCGTCAAGTCTTCAGAAAGCTCACGTTCCTCTGCGGGAAGGACGTTGTTCAGCAGCTTGTCCTGTTCCTCCATCATGTAGTGTTGGTAGAGAGGCTGGTCGACTGGTAACAGGCGACTCGTGTACTGGCGCGTGTACTGTTCGTCATCTGGTGAGGGCTCGTCCTGTCAAATATTTTTTATACCGATGGAAAGAGCTTGGTTTACTTGATAAACTAAGGATAGTTTTAAATGAAATGGCGTATGCCGAAGCTAGTAAGAGAGAAGTGCAACTGACGAGCGAGGAAGAAAACTCCTCATCGACCGGCAAAGAGCCGATCGCAGGTCGCGCTCTTTGGAAAACGTCGTCGTTCTCGTCGTTGCCGAATTCGCCGCTCTCGTTCTCACTCATTTCTGCAATCAGATTCTCAAAACTTTATAAAAACTGAAAATGAACTCATTCCCAACAAAAGTCAGGTCACGAAGACATGAGATCTAAAGAAAAGTTCTTAAAAACGGGCTTGAAAGACCGCTTTTACATGGATTAAACAAAAAGAGATGAAAGTTTTTTTTTGGCACTTGACGACACTTTTATTACATTTGATAATCAAAAAGTTTATATCAATTTCGAGCGCCTGATCAATAAATTACACGACCAAGTCTGAAAGCGGTGCACATAGAAATCGCATAAAATTTGGAGACTCAAAAAACCAAAATGGTTATAGAATCATTTCATGTCCGTTAATAACACTCGTTTTTCCCATACTGGCTGACCACGATTTCATTTTTTCCATCAATCATAGGGTAATTCCTGGATAGAGTTCACATCTTCCCTTGTCTATGAACTTTAAAATCCTTTGGAAATTTTTCTAGTGAAAGGAAGGGGGACATTGCAAATAGCAAGCAGTTCATTTTGAAAAACCTGCTGTCCATAAAGTAGATTATTCGAAAATCTGCGATAAACAAGAAAAGAAGAGAGGCAAGATCTCACGCGAGGAAGCGTAGGCTGGAAAGGCCTGGTTGAGCTGCTCTTCTAGTTGCTTGTACATGGACGAACGACGTTCATCTGCAACCAACACATTCGTAAAGTTGGAGCAAAACATAACAGCGGCAAGGAAAATGGAAGAAACGCTTTTCCCTTCGTTTCAGCCGTCTTCCAATGCGCAATGTATAGGCTTGAAAGTGCAGCGTCGCGTATTGTTTCTTGAGATGCAGGAGAAAAAAAAACACTGGCGATTCGCAGAAGTGAAGAGTGCGAAACAGAGAAAACCGTACAAACTTAACCAAAAATTAAACTTTTTCAAACTTTTTTCGGTGGAATGTTTACTGCCTTGTTTTTTTTCGAAAGCCAGATTTCATATTGGGAGCCGCAAGAAATTTTGAAATAAGTTTTTCGGTTGATTAAAAAGTTAAAAGTTGTTATCAGTTGTGTTGACCTTTTAAGATTGTGATGAGTTTGATTGCTTGACTTGAATGGTTTGCCAAAGGTGCTATAAATTTTTTGACTATTTTTCAATCCTGAAGATGATAAACAATGACTAGAATGTTCGCCTCAAACAATCATGTTGAAACCAATCGATACTCTTCAATCTTTCATTGCATCTATATTTCGTTATACGAAGAAAAGGCAGGAGACTTAAAAAACTTCTTTTTTTTTTACTTAAATCTGATGTTTCCTGATCCTTTTCTTACATATAACCTGCCAATAACAAGACAAAAAAAAGATAGGAAAACCTTGATCGTCTTCGCTGCTCCAGTCGTCGCCGTAAATGCACCTGTCGTCGTCCGGGGTTCGCGAGAAGCCTTTTCTGTCGCGTAAAAAGTCGGTCTCTAGGAGATTGGCACTGAGATGACACTTGGAGAAGGTCTTCTGCTGCTTGTCGCCGACCTTCTGTCGCAACTGCACCATCTGAACTCGTTTTGCAGTCTTTCAACAGCTGCAGCGACGCACCTTCTTTGACAAGTTCAGTTGAAACTCGCTCTTGAAGCGGAACAGCTTCTCAAATTCCAAACTACTGACGGGCCGCCGCTGACTGGGTTTCGCTGCCCTACGACACAGCTGCGGCTAATCTCCGGAGACGATGCTTACCTCTGAAGCGTGGCGGAGAGGAATCGCGGCTTGACGGCCGGCAACTCTGGTTCGGCCTCGTCGAAGACTTCTTCTTCTTCGCGCACGTCGTGCTGCGACCGTCGCTTGCATCGGCGACAGCTGCAGCTCGCGGTCCTCGAGCTAAAACTGAGAAAGAACTCTATTCGACTCGCTTTGTCTAATTTGACTCGTCGCAATGATGATTCTGCGAGGTCCTCGATTTAAAAAAAAAGTGAATAATGGATCCTTCTCTACATTTCGTATCCCAAAATGGCTTTGCGAAAGATGAATTTATTATATTTTTGAGCACCAAATGACATCGTTTTTCAGATATAAATTTAAACTGGTCCGTTCAACTATTTTTTTCTGTTAAAAAAACCGGGAATGAGAATTAAATTTCATTATTTAATGGTCCTTCACGAGGCGTCCCTCTTACACATCGTAAACGATAATTCGATTTGTTTAAGAAAAATAATTACCAATAGGAGCCGCTTCCGAAATAATGGCTCGAAAAAGAGTCGTCTCTGCTGCTCGATGGTGATAGTGAAGGTGTCGGCTGAAAAAAAAATTGAATGAACTCCGTTTTTGAGATTCAGAAAAAGGTCAAGAATAAACGAAACCTCCGTATCATTTGTCATTAATATCTCCTCGTAGCAGTCTTCGACAACGTCTAAATCGTTTCGTGGAGGCTTAGGAACCGGAATATTAGGCACCCTAGAAAAGAAATAATCGAAGGAATACATTGGAAAAGTAAGAATGCAAGAACCTTGGTAGCTGCTTTGTGATTTCCGGTTTCTTCGAAACTGGCGGAGGTGGCGATTTGATCTGAGGCCTTCGCAAAGTCGCAAAACTCATTGGAAGTGTAGCGCTTGACCTAAAAAAGAGTTGTATAAATCTTTTTTTTTAATGAGCGGAAGCAAAAAATCGATTTTAGTATTCACGATCATGATCCTCTCACAGTCTACGCCGTTCAGACTCACTCAAAACGTACAAAAAAAAACACTAGAGAAACAAAAATTTGGAGCGGGGACCTCGGCAGCGGCGTCGGCTTCAGGTAGGACGGGATACGGCGAAGACGTTCCGCAGACGGCGGATTGGCGGGGACTGCCGGCGGCGGAGGCGGCGACACCTGGGGTCTCCTGCCAACTTTTGAACAACTCGCTTCTGACAAAGCTAACTTCGTTGCCGTGGTCGTCAGCGACACGCGAACTCGTTCTTGATAGGTTGGCCTGGGATCTTTCCTTGTCTCTGACGTCATTGCTTTTCTTCTGGAATGAAACATATAAAGAAAGAGGAGGAAGAGGACAACCTCAAAGTGGGCACTGGCTTGGCCTCCAGACCAGGAGCGTCGTTTTTGTCGGAAAAGTTTGAGGAGACGCTCTTCCTGATGGAAGATTCGCCGGGTTCTGGCCGTCTCTTGACGTCTCCAGTCGACTGCGTCCGCCGCCTCAACGAACTCTTTTTCCTCTGGCCCGCACTTTGAAAAACCCTCGGAGGACCGTTTCTGCAAACCAATGAATCTACTTTTCCATGAGACTGAAAACTCACCCGCCAATTTGAGATTTTCCGTTATCCTTTCGAGTTACTCCACCTCTTTTACAAGTTCGCGTTGCTACTGAAGGCGCAGCTTCAAATCTGCAAAATCCGTTAAATTGTGAAGGAGTTTAGGCTCAAAAATACGCAAGGCGGTTTTTAAAATAACTATTAAGTAAGCACAGAAGTTTTTTTTTTTCACGTGAAACAATCAAGTGCAGTTATGTACAGCGCATTGAAAATTGTGTTCTGCTCTAATGAATGCGCTGAAACAACAGAACATAGACGAGAAAAAAACATTTGAACTGACTTGGAGATGGCTTTAATGAACAACTTTTCGAATTAAAAAGTATTGAATGTATTGGTCGTGCTGATTGCGGAATGGCGAATAAACACTTGAAATGAAATGAATGAAAAAAATGAATACCACATAAACTCTGAAAAATTGCCTCGACAAGAAACTAATATTGCATGGTGTCAACTTTGAAATATAAACACTGGCTAATAAATTTGGCAAGGTGGTTGTTCACCTATCTTTTCGAGGATTTTAGAACAAAGTCGGAGACAATTCAGGACATTTTTCAAAAAATATGAGCTTACTTGTTGGAGTGTCACGTGCTAACCATAAAAGAAAACTTTTGAGAAGATTTTAATATCACATTCGCAAGAAATTCATGAGAAGAAAAAAGGAAGAACGGGGTCGGATATGGAAAAGAGGTGCGAAACAGTCGAGTCGATGGGTCTGGGACAAAAGCCACAATGACGACACCAGGACGAGTGGTTCGGGAAAAGCACACGACGCCCTGTTATTCGTCGTCCCATAAGGAACTGTTTTTGTAGACTTTCGTACAAATAAGAGCGAGTAGAGGTTGAAGAGAAGCCCGCCGATATGATTTTACGTTTGACGAGAGAAAATAAACGCTGTCGGCATGAAGAAGCAAGGTGCAGGCAAAAGTAAATTGAATGAAACATCATGAAAAAGATTATCGTGAATATCGATCGCAAAAGTTTTTTCTTTTATGTTTTCTAAATTTAAAACTTCAAAAATTTAATCATTCCAGGGTAAAAAACGTTAAAGTTGATAAAAACTGTTGAAAAAGCAGCCTAAAGGAACTTAGATGGAAAAGGATGAACAAAACAGGTAATAGGAAACAATCGGCGGAGATTATCTTTGTACTTAAAATTTTCGAGAAGAACTGAGGAAAGTTCGGGAAAAAAAAGTAAACCCAAAAAACTATAATTACTGGCAAGAAAAAGGGAACAAACAAAAACCTCTTGGCAAGATCTCTGACGCGAGGCGGACATGGCGAATCCTCATCGTCGCCGTCGTTTGGCTCCACCATTCGTCTGAGGCGACCACGTCTCCTGGAAATTTTCGATAACGGACTCGAAAAAACTAAAAAATTCAGACGTTAGCGATCTCTAACGAAAAGGAACGAAATGTCTTGTTTATGCATGAACCTGCTTTTTATTGTTCGTGGCTCGAAATTCATGAGGATAAAAAAAAAGACAATTTCCTCATACGACGTGAATCCATGGAAAATGCGAAAATTCCGTCTGTTCGAAGAACAGAAACGGAAAAGGCTCTAAACTGCATTAAAAACAGTCCATTTTCATCAAAATTTCTAGGATTAGCGAATGAATTAGTTGTTCGCCTAACAATGCCAAGAAACTAAACCATCAAAAGAAAAAAAAGAAGTAAAATTAAAAGCAAACTCCAGTTTTTTGCAGCCCTTCAATGATGCACCAATTAATCCATTGAACTTTCAATTTAAAATAAATAAATTGTAAAATTGTATACTGGACTCCGTTTTTCAATTTTTTTTCCACTATTTTTCTCGAAATAGAAAGTATGACCCTGAATGATTGAGTCTGAAAGTAAACATATATTATAAAGAAAAAAACATGAATGTTTGCTTTACACATACAGGAAATTCTCAGATTAAACACCTAACCCCAACATATTTCACGTTCCTCGTTTTTTTGGAATCGAGAAAATATCAAAGTAATCTTAAAATAAATATCCACAAAAAGCGTGAAAACCAAGTCGAAAGAAAAGAAAATCGTGAAAGCAAGTTCCAGAAGAATATTCCCTATGGGAAGGTGAATTGGAAGATCCCAATGAACTAAAGTTTCGCCGGTCGGATTACAGAAGGATTAACACTTTTTCTGACAGCAAGCGCCTTTCCGTTTGGCGACGGATTGACCTCGCAGTTGGCAGAAAATGAATTCGACTCGACGGCCAAATTTCTGTGAAAGAACTCATTTGAATATTTTCTCTTTTGAAAAAACTCGATCTTTCCATCGGAATCAGAGCAACGTTAAAACAGGGAAAATTATACTCAAAACAAAGAAAACGAAAACAAAAAACGGGATGATAGCCATCGAAGAGAAGGAGCATAGGAAACACAAAGGTTAAGCCCGAATGACCAATTGGAGACATATCGATCCGAGAAGGCCGTGTGCATTCGTGGGCGTGGAAGCAAGGAGCCCTAGAATGACCAAATGGACACGCGGCCTCGGCCACTTCTCCCTTGATGGATGGCCTCTCTACATTTCCGGTTTCAAGTTAACCGACACTTGGAACATGAATGTGTCTACTTTTACATGAAACTAATTCTATTGAGAAATAAAAAAAAATGTTTCTCGTGATGGATTCTTCAATTGATATCGAACAGTTCGCCGGCTGATAGTCGCTTGGAAAATTTGGCCTAGGTCATTGCGGAAGAAGAGGAGCAGCTCAAGGTGTAAAAGTGTTATTGCGCGAGAAAGCGACGAGGCGCAGATGGCGCAGGCCATTTGTTGCAAATCAGACGGCCACGAAATGGTCCTTGGTAATCAAGGATGAACTGGAGTTAACTGCCGTCTGTTAGGTAAATTCGATTAAATCCGAAAAAAGAGTTTGCTGTAAAGAGGCTTTCGTAATACTTTTTCTTATGAAATCATTTTTGTTTTTATCAAGTACTAGTTAAGTTTTTTTAATGTAGGAAAAAAAGGGAAAAAAAGGGAAAAAAAGGAAAAAAAGAACAAATAATTGAAAATTCTATGAAAGACTGTTAAATTACTCATTAAAGGGCAAGATCGAGAGAGTCAAACAAAAAAAAAATAAAAATAAGAGTAGGGAGAGCCAGAAAGAAATGTGAACGGAAGAATTGAGGAGAATAGATGCTTGGTTCATGGAACGATCTATCGCCTTGGTTATTAACGCTCGTATGATGTGGTGCTTTGTATATTCATTAAGGGTCCACGCTTAATGTGTACCAGCGCATATTAAGGTTCCTCAGAGGTCTGAATCACATACATGACAGTGGTAAATGACAATGATATGAAACGGTACGAGTTTCATTGCTAGAGTCCTATCCATCATGAGTATACGAGTAAAAAAAAACTTGAATAACAGAGATGTAAACTACAAAATATAAGATAATGGATATTCAGTTAATATGTAGAACTGCTTGGCAACAAAAAAGAGGAAGCAAAAGCCGCACGAGGCCAACAGTTGTCCGTTGGCAGGATGAGAGGTTGGCACAAGTCCAAGCGCCTGAGGATAAAGAAGCCGACAAAACGCGGTTTGGAAAAGAAAGCACGGAGAGCGATTTGGTGGCCGCCGGTCATTTTCCGGCCGTGCCCGCAAGCACAAAAACTGCCTCCGTATGTTTGTGTGCTTGCACGGCTCATTCGCCGGCATCCGAAAGCAACTGCGGCCGTCCAGCAACCCGTTCAGCCACCTAAAGCGTTCACAGCGAAATCGATTTCGAAAGACTATTTACAGTGGGAAGTAGGAATTTTTTACATAGTCAAAGCTGGGCAGTTACAAGAAAAATTGAAGAATCCTCAAATGAAGCGATTTCCTTTTTAGCTCATGAGGATCTGTCGATTAGCCGATTAGTTTTTAGAAGCTCTCACTTCCAACTAAATTACTTTAATGTTCTGTTTCAAAAAACATGACTCAAACTACTACCAGCAAAGATGAAAAAAGAAATCCGCGTAAAGTATTAGAATGAAAAACAGAAATTAAATTAATGGCATCCGAACGACATCAAGGGAAATATCAAAAACTACATTTTGAACCTCGAAAAAACATCACTCAAAATCTGAGCCTTATCAAACTTAATAGAGTTATAAAATTAGCTATCTATCTATATATATATATATATATCTATATCTATGTAGAAAATTTCTTTTGCCGGCGCTCTGTGGGATCCACTGTTTTGGACGCCTTGCATGCCCTGCATTTAAACCGACGCGCAAAAAAACTGTAAAAAAATGAATTAATTTTGTTTTACAATTAAAAAAATATTTTTTTCTGGTTCAAAAACAAGTGATTTCTTTATTGCGCAAAGCACTATAATCTGCAGTTGTGTAAGTTACCTAACTAAAAACTTTTTTTAAAAAATCAGATATTAGGAATTTTTTTATTTCTGAAGGCGGCCACTGTCGAAGGGACGTTCTCACTGGTGACAAAAAGAAGTGGCGGCGAATTGAGAGCAAACAAATTATCAGAAACGGGGTGAGTAGCCTCCGGTCATCATTTGTTCTGCCTATTTGTGGAAATCACACTTTTGTTGTCATCAGCAAACACTTAAGCGCACATAAATTTTCTAACTTTTGTTATCAGCAATTCTTCCATTACTTCAAATAACGCATTTTCAAGACGGCTTTAAGGTCGCCAGTGGCCGGTCTTCTGATTCGTGGCCAAGAAACTGATTAAAATTTTGTCTCTTGCAATTTTTTTTTGAAAAGTACGTACCTCTTGAGGGAGCAAGTATATTCACATCTTGATAACTACAGAAACTTCCATTTTATTACCAAAAAAATTTCCTAAGCTACCGTAATGCCAATGGTCGTCTTAAACCACTCCAGTTCAGACTTACAGACCCGACCGGTTTACACCGTGCCATCTTCGCTGGCCTTACTAGACCATTTTTGACTAGATTTTCTATTTCCTGTTTTCGACATCAATAGATAAAAAAATTACAAAAAGTACGATTTTTTACTTACTGAAGACGGATTTCTCAAATTCACACCAGTACAGACCTACTGGGATCCGCCCAATTTGCATTGCGCCGTTTCCGCTGGCCATACTAGAGTATTTTCGACCTTTCTTTCTATTAAAAAAGGAACAAGGCTATTTTCGACCTTAATAGATGAACAATTTCAGAAAAAGACGACTTTTTACTCTTCATTCAAAATTTCAATTTTTTTTTTAGCTTTTCTTAAAGAAGTCACAGACGCGTACGTTTGGGTTGAAATTTTTCAGTTCTAATTAGTTGTTTAGTCTGAGAATGAGGTTTTCTACAGCGGCTCTTGTTGCAGGAACGATCAAAAGTTTCCATGGCACTGGGGTCTGTCGTCAGGCGACGGATGTCATTGTTCGCCCCATTTCGCTTCAAAGATGCGGCCTGAAGTTGCTGTCGTTTTCATGTTCGCCAGTAGTTTCTGTACAGGTAAATTTGCCTTGATTTTCCTGAAACCGTGTTAATGAACATTTTCGTTTTCAGCTGAGGGCCTTTCTTGTCACTATTGTGGCGGCGCGGACGCCATCCCATCATTTGCCAAAAACGCCATCAACTCGTTGAACTTGTCGACCAATGTGAGATAAGAGGGGCAGTATAATACAAAATTGCCAACGCCTACAACCTATGGTCTAAAAAAGAAAAGAAAGAAAGAAACCTAACTTAATTGGAAAATTACTGAATCAACTGAAACTGTCTTCACTCCAACTATTTTTATGTTGAAACTGAGTCTGAACTTCTAATAGTTATGAATCGGGGAATATACCGAGGGAAGTGTTGCTGATGAAACGGATCAGGTTCAGGTCGATCTGTTCGGTGACTGCAAGGCGAACAGCGGCTCCAACGTTTGTTCTGACGGGCTATTCTGCATCAAACGAGCCGGTAAATTGCCTTCCCTTTCTTTTGCGCCGTGAAAAGAGCCTCGGACTCAGAACTGCTGTTTCAGTGATATATGAGATTGGCTTCCAGGGTATATCTTTCAAATGGAACACGTACACTAAGGTTGCTTTTCTTTGAATTTCTCTGAGACAAAGATTCAGGGATGTGCCAATAAGAGAGTTGACAACGACGGCATCGCGACCAACACCTGCTACGACCTCGGGAAATCTTCCAACACTACTGGATACAGTGTGGTGAGTTTTGGAATTAAAACTGCTTATTTCTTGTATTTTGTAATCTTCTTGATTCTAAATTTACAGCGCCGCCGAGACTGCTATTGCCAAAAGCCTGATCTTTGCAACTCGGCCCAGACTTTCCGGAATTTCCACGAAATGATGGCTTTTCGTGGGTTTCGCCTTGTTTGTCTCCGCTCAGTCTTAACAACGCAACTTGTTTATAGCCAAATGATTGAATAAATCTATTTATTATTTCCCAGAATGATTATCGACGATAGTTAGCAAATCTCCTCCGTCTTCTGACAAAAGAAGGCAGCTGTTTGAAACATTCGCAACCTGTACGGCTCGTTTTTCCCTCTGCGTCGAGCTGTGGATAACAGAATCCACCCTCAGAGCCCTGAAGACTTGATTGAAATTGAAGTAATTTTGAAATACTCTCCAAATTTCTAAAAAAAAAAACTTGTCCTTTGGACAGTTTCTAAGACACGTTTCATTTACAATGATTATGAAATTTTTGGACCTGATTTTTTTTTAATCGATTTCGAACATATGGTGGATCAATTATAAAATATAGCACTTATTACTTCTTGCTAGTGTGTAATGGTGTTTGAGAACTTGATCCATGGAATAAAAAAATTTTTTTATTATTCGCCTTTTTTTGTTCTAGCAGTGTGACCATCTCGCCGCACACTTTTTTGGAGTTTTCCAATTTTTTTTTTTCAAAAAGCACAAAATTTTCAGTGAAGTAGCCAAATCTAATACTTCGCTGCGCTCAGGTGAAATCAGAGGAATTTTAAAAACATTATTAAATATTAAATTTTAAACGTTGATTTTTTGATAGAACCTTGCCCTTTGCTGATCGCAACGCTCTCCAAAAGGAAATGAAGGAAATAGATAAGAGAGACCATTTTATCATTTCTCGCTTTAAATCAAGCAGTTTCCAATTCAACTGGTCAAGTCGCAATTCCCTTCTGTAGTTTTTTTTCTTTCTGTTTCTCTCTTTTCCTATCTTTGTTTATTTTTGCGTGGCATCTTCAGGTTTCCACTTTCGCCTGGTAACCGAAATATCACGTTTTGATTGCAAACGAATGGTTTCTTGAACCTGCGCAAGGAAAAAATTATGAAAAACGTGCCTGAGATCTGCACTTTTCTGTACATCTTTGCTGTCTTGACGTGCATATCTTTCCATTCAAAGGAGCCGAGTACTCAAAGCATTTACATCTGAAAAAAGGATAGTTTATATGAAATTGTTCAAGATAAACCTGAAATCAAATCCGTCCCAAGCTGCGCAATGTCCGTACCAAAAGCTGTCGACCTAATATTGGATGATTTAATTTTTTCATCTTTTTGAGCAAAAAAACTAAGTTAATCTTCAAAAATGTTCAAAAAGAACTTGATCAGCTTTTACAAAATCGAAACTGGAGTTATCTGGATTCATAAACGTTTTTTTAATAGAAAAAAACTGAAATGGCTTTTCATTCTTTTTCGTCTTTTTAAATTCGTTTTTCTTTAGAATTCAGCCAACCGAGATAAACAAACCTTGCAAAGCTCGTCGCATGCCTGGTGGTCCAAATATGTACAGGAAGATCTGGAAATTCAAAATTAAACTGCATTTTTATATTCTTAATCACGTCGAACAAGTTATTTTTTCATTTCCTGACGCCATGAAAACCTATTTCCTCGCAAGGCAAATGAGCCGCGAAAAAGAACGACGCCTTTTTTTTTTCTTTTTTTGCTGGTAACCACGACGTCCTTCTCCCTCACACGGCGTCGTCTCAATAAGAGTCGATGAATTTGAATATGACCCTTACCTGATTCCGACATCATTTTATTTTCAAACAACTTGGAGTAGTTCAAGCTCAAAAATTAGTTATAGTTTTATAGTTTCGCAAATGAATTAAGTTCGACTCCGCCCATAACAAAAGATTGAAAATTATTATATTTCTCCCAAGCTTTTTTTGAACATACTACACAGAGGTTGAAAATGTGAGGTCGAACGGAACACAGAGAAGAAACCATCGAGACCCAAGGGCAAAAGTCGACATTTTTACGGGCCTCTTGAACTTGACTTTGTGACTTCTACGTCGAACAAAATGTGACACAACTAAACTAAAGTAGACTAAAACGAGGAGATTTTTTTTTGAAAAAAGTTTTATGGCCTCACGGTCGTATGAATGTAGGTTTACGGTTTGTAAATGCGACGTATAAAACAAGTTTGAACACTCGGTTACAAACTTTTTCACCGTCCCACCGGGTTGTGAATCGCAAACTCTGAAAAAAAAATGCGCTCTTAGATTTATCCATAGTCGGATATACATTAATGGAAAAAAAAAATTAAACTTAACGATTTCCTTGCACACTGGAAAAGAAAGTGAGCAGATAAAGAGCTAAGGACACGATATGTTTATCACTTTCCTGAACCTCATGAATGACTCACCGAGTCGCTCGAAAAAAAAAAATAGAAATAATTCAGACAAGAAAGTAAAATTCCAGTACATGAAACGATTTTAAAAGAGCAAAATTTTTGATCATAAAAAATCATTTTCTTGCTTGTAAAATTGAAATTTTTGAAAGCTGGGAGCGTTCGGGGAAAAGCCCTAAACTGTTGTGAGGTCGAACAAAAGCTACGGCTAAATTTTCCGAGTTAACTTTTTACGCTTATCAGAAAACAAGAGCATGAACTATCCCAAATCAACTGTTCAAAAGATATAAATTTGTAATTAAAACCAGAATATTTAGGAAAAATAGGCGAAAAACAACAGTCTCTCACCGAATGAAGGGCAGCTTTGCGAAGAGCAACAAAAGAGCGGCGTACAGACGAGTTGCAGACATGCAGACGAACTGGTCGGAGGGCGGGACCTCTTCTGAAACCTCTTCAACTCGTCGTCGTTCGCCTTGGACCACGTCATCTGCCTTGGACTCACAAGCGTTTCCAAGCGACGGATGAGTAATCTGTAAAGGGAAAGTAATCTGGCAGGTCGTCATAAAAATAACTAGTTCTTTGGCGGCGTTTTCCTCAACTCGCGATTGACAGGGATTCCGTTGGGTTGAGATGGAAGAAGCAAAAATATTGCTAAATTTATCAGAAAGAAGAATTTTTAACTAATTATTTTGAATTTATTCATCTTTTTTACCCTTTTTTACTACACTTTTTGCTCGCCGAGAGTATTTATTGGAATTCAGGCGCTTTTTAATAGATTCCGCTATACAGAAAAAAGAAAGTCGAATTTTCAAAGAAGTAGGAGGTCGAAATTTTTTTTATATTCAGAGGTTTGACGTTTATTTTTCAGGTAAAAAAATGAGCTTCATCGACGAAAAAAAGCTCAAAAACAAAAAAATACTATAAGAACTAATTTCTGAAAAGTGCATGCGCAAGAAACTAAATCAACTCATGTCGAAATTTATAAATGGGCAAGAAACATTTATTTGCAGTCTTACTGGAATCGGAGTTCTTATAACTATACGAAAATTCTTAAATTTTATCTTCAGACGATGACTGGCTAATTTTCGGCATGACCAGTTTAACCAAAATCTTAAAAAAACAGGTTTGAACTAAAAAACAAATTATTTGCGGATTCCGAACAGACATGAGTGAAGGCTTACTAACAAGAAACAGGCTTTTTTGAAATAATAAATTGAAAAGCAAAGGATCAAAATTTAGAAAGGTTGAAGCAGAAATTTTCTCCCTGGTTTAGTTTATCGACCGACGGACAGGGAAACATCGGAACACGTGGCTTTGCAAGTAAACAACAACATTTTGCCGCCACGCCACTAAAATATCTACTCTTTGAGGAACGCTATCCTATCGTAGATAATATTCTCCTGCTCTTTGGAAATTTCAACTGATATGACGTCATTTTTCAAGAGTTTTGATCCTTTTGATTCGAGAATTTAACCTGTTTCACACTTCTCAAACGTCCTTGTTCCATCGCTTTCACGCTTTTTGTGTGATGTTGGCTGTTGCGTGTGTTCCCTTTCTCAGACTTCCTTTTTTAGAGAAGACCCTCTCATTTCGCGTTGCTTTCTTTGTAAGACGCGTTCCTTTCTCATTATTATTGTTTTTCAGATTTGCAAAAAGAAGGAGCCACAGCAGTCTTCGATTGACCTCTCGAATCCAACCAAGATGGCGCAGTGGTGTGCGGCAAACCTACGAAACTGTGAGGTTAAGATTCATAAAAAAAGCTTTTTTTCATTAAAATAAGAGCAAATGGATCTCCAAAAATCAGATAATAACGATAAGTTTGTGAAGAAGAATATAAATTTTTTTCCTATCTATCTATGGGCCTTACTTTCTCTTTCTTTTTTTGAATAAAAAATGAAAAATAATTTCGTTCCTGTTCTGTAAAAAAATGGTATAAAATGTCTATTTTTTCAAAAAAATTTTTTTCCGATGATAGTAACGTCTCTTGAAAAAAATCAAAATAAGAAAACAAAACTCTCCCCAAAAAGTGAGTAAAACTAAACACTCTTGCAATTTCCTTCCCTTTTATCAATGAAAATATCCTATTACCTGCGAAAAAATGTTCTCGCGGAAACATTCATCTTCGAACCTTCAGGGCTGGAAAAGCTCGGGACTGGAGTTGTCGACGACGAGCGACGAGTGCAGCCGAATGTTCGACGCCTCGTTGCGACAGATCGTTTCTTGGGCCGACTGTGAGGTCCTCGGAGGCCTCCGCCACACCATGGTCGCCATGTTTGAAGCCGATCCGGCCGCCGGTTCGTTTCCGGTTATTCACACATTTTTTAAAACTAATAATAATATTTTTTTCGAAAGCTTAATAGTTTACGCGAAATGAAAAGTTATCTCGGACCCTTCTAAATTTCAATTACTTTTTTCATTCTCTAACAGCTTTTTTGAACTTTGCAGAATCACTTTGAACACAAAAACAGAAATAATGAACTTTGAAATCTGAGGAAGACTTTTCTCTTTATTTCAAGCATAACTTTGAAATTAAAATTTTTTTTCAAATCCAGTAGAAAAAGACAAAAGTTTAATAATAAAACATGAATGAAATTGCTTGTTAACCTAAACCAGTACCGGGAAGTCACAGTTTGTTTCAAAAGTAACAGGTTTTGTTAAAAGTTCACTTTCAGTCATGCCACGTGCACTCTCGTTGGGATTGAATGGCCTCGGGACGGAGAAAGTGGCGAGGGCAAACGCGGAGTTCCGTCAGGAGCTGGAGAATCTCGAGAAGGACGCGGCTGAGTATGGCAACCCACGCGAACAGAAACACGCAAAGGCCGTTGCTCTTTGGGGTCGAGGGTCTGTACTTTTTTGCGAGTTTGGCATGCAAATTTGCAGAAATAATGGAAAGAAAATTACTTTGCACAATAATATGAAACTTTTCGCTCAATTCACGTAGATTCGACAGCAGACCTTGCAGATACCACCGAGCGGCCGCAGATCTGTGGAATGAAATATTAGAACATCATCATAACGACTTGCTAGCCGTCAAGTTTGCTCATGATGCGCACTTTTTCATGGGCGATTGCAAAGGTAAACGAGACTCCGTTCAAAAAGTGATTGGAAAGTGGAACTCATCAGAGCCATGTTACAGGTACTTCAATTGCTAAATCATCGTTTATCGTCTCATTTCAGTTTCTTGCATGGAATGTTGGCTTTTGGACTAGAAGAATGCGAAGAGTACGAGAATGCTGAGAAAGAAGCCAACAAAGTTCACAGTCAAGTCGGTGGATCAGTCTCATGAAGCGAAGAATTTAGGCACTGGAGTTGAACCGATTTGACTGTTGGGCTACACACGCAAAAGCTCATGTGATGGAGATGAACGGCCGATACGAAGAAGGTATCAACTTCATGCTGAGCACAGAAGAGGACTGGAAGGCAAGGAAAGTCGGAAACATTTTTTTAAAAAGGAGGGTTTCAGCAAGGATGGATCATCGCGGCACACAACTATTGGCACACCTCCTTGTTTTACATCGAAAAGTCCGACTATGAGTCAGCTCTCGCCATTTATGACAAGTGAGTCAGCTAACGACTTCTTTTCGAAATTTGTGTTCATAACCAGGGAAGTGGCTCACCGCTACAACAGGACTCATTCTTTGTTGGACATGGTCGACGCGGCATCTCTTCTCTGGAGGCTCGAGTTGGAGGGCGTCGACGTCGGCAAAGAAAGGTTCGGGAGCCTTTATATTGAAAGAACTCAATGGAAACCCAATCGGATGCTTGGTACACTATTAAACAGAACTCCAAACGAATCGAATTTTCTAGAAATAGTATTATGTTGATAATGTCGATGCAGTTGACTCGAAAACTTTGGTTTGTAGACATATCAGGTTGAATGAAGGCTGTTAAGCGCACTAATAATTTAGCCTCAAAAATAGTTTTCTTGAGTTAAAAGCTTAAAATTATGAAGATGGCAAAAAGTGGAAAACCTCGGAGTTCATGTGGATCAGCACTCGATCGTTTTTAATGACGTCCATATGGGTCCTGCATTATTTCGTCAAGGCGAAGAAGAAACGGAACAAAAACTCTACGATTCTCTAATTTCATACGCAAAGTTGGTAGCAAAATAATACAAGAGAAAATATATATACATTTATAGTACTACTGAAGAAGACAATGCTAAAATATCAGCTCGGACTGGACTGCCGTTGTATGAAGGAATGTTAGCTTTTGCGCGTAAAAACTATGACGAAGCGGCCAAAAAACTTATACCCATTCGCAGAAACGTGTATGAAATAGGAGGCAGCCATGCTCAGGTTAGTTATTTTGGGTATAACCTAATAATACGATACACTATTGACCGAACATATTATCAGCCGACTTCGGAATATAACCTGAATATTATAAAGACGGAGTCGATTTTTGAAAAAGCCTTTTGAAGAGTTAATGAAAAGTAAAAAAAATGATTAATAAAATAGTATTAGTAAGGGAAAGTGTGAAAGTTCTGAATTTTGAATCCGAACAGTTCAGCGCTACCTTTTTTCTACCCTTTTCGTGTTAAAATCTGTAATTTTTTTCATGCTTAAGTTAATAAACTAGCTCAATCAATCAATCATTTATTCATTTCTGAGCACTTTCCTCAAGGTCTTTGAGGTCGCTTATAAGGAAATTAAACACAAAAATAATTAATAAATAGGAGGTTAGTAAAGTGAATTTCGAAAGTTTGAAGGAATTTATAGAAAAGCAACAAAAAAATATAGATTTGCAATGATTATTTTTTTCTAGCTTGGCCTATTCTTATCTCAATAATATTTTGTTGAGGTTTTTTTGATAGATAGGGTAAGTCTTTGTTAATCGCCGCTCTTATTTCTATTACATTACTGTATTTAAAAAAACAAGATAAGTTAATTGGAATTCTTTACAATTAAACTTTTTACTCATTCGTCTTTATTATTTTTTTAAACTTTCATTTGAAAAAGAAGAACGAATTCAGAGAGATATCTTCACGCAGACGCTGATCCAGTCGTGTATTCTGGCGGGGGACGAGAGCCTATGGAAAATGACCCCCCAACTTTTACGAGAACGGAACGACATGAAGTCGCCGTCGCCTTTGGCAGAACGGCTTGCTCAGAAATTCCGCGCACATCATCCTATATCTCCAATATAGCATTCATTTTTTTCATAACGTGTGCAATCCGGAGTTTTTTTGCATTTTGCACATTTTCAAAGTTATACGGGCATTAATATGATTGAAATGAAGATTTTCTTTCAAAAGTTCTAACTAAAAATTATATTTATTTTACATAGTTCCGTCTCAATAAATACATCTTTTTCTTTCAAATGTGAGCTCTCTGGGCCTTAACCTTGTGCTCATCGAGTAGCTCTCGAATTCTCTTGCCGAAATCTGGATGAACCTGAAATCTCAAAAGTTACAAAAAAACTAATTGGGAAAAACCTTCTTGAAGTGCTCAACCATACCATCCTGGATGAAATCGTAGCACGCACTGAGAGGAGCCGCGAAGTTTTGGCACAATCTTTCCCGATGACCTGCGTCCAGAACCTGTAAGTCCATTCCATCAAATTGGAAAGAAAAATTGAGAACCTTCAGCCAAAAGGCGCGAGGCTGGTCGTAATTGTTGTCATCGGCGGTCTCGAAGCGATCGACGTCACCTGACACGCTGAATACGGTGTCTTTGACACCTTTGTGCTCGCGAGGTCCGTTGAAGCTGTTAGGATGGTAGTTCGGAGTTCCGCCATGGTTTTCGTAGGCCATGAGGCCGTCGCGCTGAGTGTTATGAGCCCGAGAGCGGAAAGGACAGTTGACAGGCAGCTGTATGTAGTTTGGCCCGAGACGATGGAAGTGGGTGTCGGTGTAGGAGAAGAGTCGTCCTTGGAGCATCTTGTCCGGCGAGAACTCGATTCCTGGGACGACGTGCGCCGGACAGAACGCCGCTTGTTCCACCTCAACACTAAGTCTCGTCCGGTCTGGCAAAGAGGAAAACCTCGGCAAAATAGTTGCGTGGATTGCGGTTGAGCACCATCTTTCCTACTTCGATGAGCGGATAATCGCCATGTGGCCAGACTTTCGTCAAGTCGAATGGATTGAATTCCCACTTCTCTGCTTGTTCGAATGTCATCACCTGAGAGATTCGTCCCGGCTATTCAGTTGAGGTATACAGTCTCACTTGGATGAAGAGCTTCCAAACGGGGTACTCGCCTTTTTCGATAGAGTTGAAAAGGTCTCGGATTGAGTAATCTGGGTCACTTCCGGCTAGTTGTTCAGCTCGCTCCGAACCCAAGTTTTTTATTCCTTGCTGCGTCTAAAAAGAACTTCCGCCATGGCATGGAAAAAAGAACAAGTTTCTGATATACTCGGATGACGTGAACAATAAGCAGATGTCTTTAGAAAGGCAATGTTACTAAAGACTTAGGATACTCAGAAATTCGGCCAAGTTATTGATGGTAGGTAAAAAACCTCGAAAAAGGCAATCCGGCAATTTTTAAAGAAAGAACCAAGTGCATAGAAAAACCTTGAAAATAAATTTTTCTAAAAAATAATTTTTGCAGGTTTCAACCTTTCAAAACTGTCAGTACCTTAATCCAATAAACTCATTTATGATAATATTGAAGCTCTGAAAAAAACCACTCTTTTGTTACTTTAAACTGCATTGTGTTCAACTTAATACTGAGCGCTATAAACTTACCTTGAAATGGAACTTGACGTAGACGGGTTTGCCGTCCTTGTTGACCATTTTGAAGGTGTGAGACCCGTAGCCGTTCATGAAGCGGTAGCCGTCGGGCGTGCCTCGGTCGGAGAAGAGAAACATGATCTGATGCATGGCCTCGGGCCGATGCAGCCAAAAGTCGAAGATCATGTTGGGGTCCTTGAGATGCGTCGCAGGATTGCGTTTCTGCGTGTGGATGAAGTTCGGGAAGTGGATCGGATCACGGATGAAGAAGATCGGCGTGTTGTTGCCAACCTCAACTCTTCTGCACTCATCTCCCTGGAATTCAGACTCACCAGATCCCAGTTGCCTTCTTCCGTGTAAAACTTGACTGCGAATCCTCGTGGATCGCGAGCTGTGTCGGCAGATCCAGATTCTCCACCTATCATTTTCACTTTTAACAAACTTGTTTCGATTAAGGTAGTTACCATAATGAGCTGGAAAACAAAAGTTCACTTTTTCAAAACTCTAGATATTAATATTTATTATATAGATGAAAAAAATTCGTTAATGTTTTTCAACTTTCTTATTTTTTTGAACTTTCAAAAAAACTTCATTTCCTCTGATCGCTATCGAATAATTTGCTCGACATTTAAAATAATAAATGTGACTTCGTCTGAGGTCATTTGAATAAAATTGATTACGTTTCAATCTTGTTTCTTCACTGCGACAGATTGCTTTTTTCATCTTGAAAATGCATGTATTCTATTGACTTTGTTGAATTTTTATAAAATCCCATGATCGTAGGGTATTTATTTCAATGTTTCAAGAAATTATCGCTAGTTTAGAAATTTCTGTTCACCGTCAGCTCGTATATTCATCTTGCTTATCACCGGCCATTTTCGTTCAGCACTACGATGTAGTTTTATCAGAAGGATGTTTACGTGCCAGAAATGGCACGTTCATGTGTCGGAATAGAACTGACCGACGGTCGAAAAGCGGATGAGCAGCGGAGTCTGTTTGCCAACTTTGCTGAAGAGGTCCGCCTTGCAGTACTTCGAGATGTCATGAGTCACCTCAAAGTAGCCGTGAGCTCCTGGAAAGGTACCATATCAGCTGGCTACTCTAATTTCCCAAAAGGAAACGTCAAAAAATTGGGAATGATGAAATGTATAAGAAATACCGTAAAAAATTCTTCGGAGGATTTCAAAAGAATTTGTCATGAGCAAAATCAAGGATATACTTAACGTTTTTTTGATACGGCTGGCTAAAGACATCGAAAAAAGGGTTCTGACACGATGAAAAAAAAAAAGAAAAGAGCGCCTGGTTGGTGAGAGGGCAGACAGGTTTTTTCCTTTCCCTCTCAAGCTAGCCGTGAGTCGGTTATAACCTACCAGCGCCTTTGGCGTGGACGACGCGTTCCGGAATACGTTCGCGGTCGAAGTGGGCCATTTCGTCCATGTAGACGACGTCCTGCATCAGCATCGGACCTCGACGTCCGGCCGTCAGAACCGCCGTCTTCGAGTAAATCGGAGCTCCGTTCGACGTCGTCAGCACCGGCGGCCGCTGCAATCAAATTTGTCATGAATAACACACTCTATTTATGGAATTATGCCAAGATTGAGAGACTCACCGGATTATTGGCCTTGTAGTTTTCGAGTTGCTTGTCCGATGGAAGTTTCCCCATTTTTTATTTTCTGAAACTATCCCCATTAAAAATTTTTCATCTAGAAAAATTAATTCAATCCAATCAATCAAATCAATTCAAAAAAAAAAAAGAAAAACTACTCTTTAACGACTTCGTTTCGAGTTATCAGAATTATTCGAAACTTGTCTTTTTTATTTCTTTTTTTTTGAGTTGGGTCGTTCGTTCGAGGCCATTCGGCTTCGGATTTTTTTTTCACTATACTTTATCACGAAAACCCCGCTTATTAGTATCAGGTATTACATTTTTTGTCCAAGAAGACCTAATTTTCTTTTTCTTCGTATCAATTATATTTTCAAAAATAGATTGAGCAAGATAATTATCATTATTCAAAGGGTTAAAGACAAGAAGAGCCACGGAAAAAAAAAAACAAGACGAAGAGTAGTCGGCCGTCTCGGACTCGTCGTTTTATCAGTGGTCGCAGGAACGTTGTAGTGGACTGTTTGATATGGTTACGATCGATGAATGAACCTCAGCCGAAATCTTTCTCAGGCCTTTTCAATTGTCATCAACTTTCGACTCAAACTTCAATAAAATTAAAACTTCATTTGGTAAAATAATTTACATTTTATTACAGTTAAGTGACGTCGTAGAAGTGAAGAATCTGCGAAGTCTGTTCCTCACTTTTTCTGGAAACGTTATTGTTAAAAAGAGAAGAATAAAATAACACTGATGGTTGATATTTTTTATATCATGGAAAATAAAATGAACGCAACAAAAAAAGGTCTTTTTTAAAAATAATTTTAAAAAAAAGGTTTTTTTCTGATATGAGGAAAAATGATATAATACCTTCATCTCGTCCAGCATTTGACGAACACGGCTTCCGAAATCAGGATGAACCTGCAGGATTTCATTTTGCCCGTTAAAAAAAAAGATTTTTTACTTTAGTGAAATGTTCCACCATTCCATTTTGAATGAAATCGGGACATTTTCCCATGCCATTTGCCAGGTTTTTGCAAAGTCGCTCCCGATGCGACGCGTCCAGGACCTGAATAGCATCCCTTGAAAAAAATATACAGAGCTCTTCTTTGCTTTCAAATTTTAGCATTTTCCTTCGCTTTCGGGCTCTTTCAAGAATCTTAGTAAGTAAAAGTGGATGAACTGGGAAAATGGACAAGACTTAAAATCGTATTCAATTTCAAAACTTTCTAAAAGTCCTAGGATTTAGAATCCAAACGCACATATTGGATAGATTCTATGGGAAAAAAATCACTTTTATCTTTCCAGACAATTTTTTTCTGATTTTAACTGACGAAAAAAATTCAATAAACTATTAGTATTTCAAAAATGAAATTTGGACAAAAGACGGTCTCTGAACCAAATTAATATTAATATCATATGCAAGAAACTCTCCAATTCTTTTTTTAACCCTTGTTATTCGCTTTCATTCTTCCCATTATACTTGCTATTTTTTTTAACCTTGAGCCAGAAATCTCTGGGCTGGTCGTAATTGTGGTCGTCGGCGGTCTCGTAGCGCTCGACGTCTCCAGTCACGGAAAACACACTTTCTTTCACGTCTTTTCTTTCGGTGGGTCCGTTGAAGCTGTTGGGATGGAAGTTGGGAGCTCCGCCAGGATTCTCAAGAGCCATCAGACCGTCTCTCTGGTAATTGCGTTGTCGAGAGCGGTAAGGACAGTTGATGGGCAGCTGTATGTAGTTTGGCCCGAGACGATGGAAGTGGGTGTCGGTGTAGGAGAAGAGTCGTCCTTGAAGCATCTTGTCCGGCGAGAACTCGATTCCTGGGACGACGTGCGCCGGACAGAACGCCGCTTGTTCCACCTCAAAATCATCATTTCTTTTGAATATTTTCTACTTTGAAACCTCGTGGAAGTAGTTCTCAGGGTTCCTGTTGAGCACGAACTTTCCAAATTCTATCAGAGGATATTCGCCATGTGGCCAGACTTTTGTGACGTCGAAAGGATTGAACTTCCATTTCTCAGCTTGCTCGAATGTCATGAGCTGAAAAACGATTTGTTGAATCAATCGGCATCAGAAGTAGGATGAACCTGAATGTATGCTTTCCAGGTGGGATAGTTGCCATTTTCAATGGCTTCGAAGAGATCGCGAATTGCGTAGTCTGGATCCTCACTGGCCTGCTTGCCAGCTTCTTCTACCGTCAGGTTCTTGATTCCTTGTTCGGGCTAGAAAACTTTCTCATTCCTACACCTTTAGATGTGTCAAACTCTGAAGTGAAATTTGCAGTAGATCGGCTCCAAATCCTTGTTCACCATTTTGAAGGTATGCGATCCGAAGCCATCCATGTGGCGGAAGCCATCAGGAATTCCGCGATCCGAGTAGAGAAACATAACCTCAAAAAAAAATGAGTAAGGATAGATTTTTCGAAATATTGATACTTGGTGAATGGACTCAGGTCGGTTCATGAAGAAGTCAAAAACCATGTTTGCGTCTTTGAGATGAGTTTGCGGGTTCCTTTTTTGCGTGTGAATGAAATTCGGGAAGTGAATGGCATCTCGGATGAAAAAAAGATTGGAGTGTTGTTTCCAACCTAAAATAAATAATTTAATACTATTTAGAACGCTAATGATTCGTAGCCTGAAAGTCTAATTTGGAAATATATTAAAAATTGCTCAAAATACACAAAAAAAGTTTTTTTTTTCTTTTTTTTTTTTTACATGTCAAAGATTTCAGTTTCAGAGATACGATTTTCCAATGAAAGCGTTCCGTACAGAATCTGAAATACCATACTCTTTCATTTCGACAAAAAAACAATTCATATGTCCAAAAAAAAAATTTTCACAGTTACCATGAAAAACTTCGAGAGAACAAAGAAAAAGCATTTTCAAACATCCTTCTGATTTTCAGTTGAGCCCTGAGCCCAAGTTTTCTGGTATGATACGACTATGAGCCTTTTTTTCTTCACTAAAAGGTTACTATTTTGTCATTTTTGTGCTTTGATCTCTGATGCTAGTGAATATTCCGCGATTTCTTACAAGGTCCCAATTTCCCTCTTCGGTGTAGAACTTGAGGGCGAATCCTCGTGGGTCGCGGACCGTGTCAGCAGATCCAGACTCGCCACCTGTATTTTATTCTTCTCATGATCCAGCTCATCTCTCCTCACCAACTGTCGAGAATCGCGCAAGCATCGGCGTTTGCTTGCCGACCTCGCTGAACATCGCCGCCTTGCAGTACTTGGTGATGTCCTTGGTCACCTCGAAGTAGCCGTGAGCGCCTGTTCAATCCAAATAATAGACATACTGGTTTCTACGAAAGGAAAGTCTAAATAATACGACCATGTGACCTGAAATCGCGACATTCCCTCTGGTTATAGAAACAGTTTTTGATCGAATTATGAGAAGTCCCAAAAATGCAGTGTAGAAAGACATACTGTGTCGAGAAACGACTAGTTCCAACTTTTTACTTCTCTGTATATCATTTTTTTTTTCATTGCATTCCTACCTCCTCCTTTGGCGTGGACGACGCGTTCCGGGATACGTTCGCGGTCGAAGTGGGCCATTTCGTCCATGTAGACGACGTCCTGCATCAGCATCGGACCTCGACGTCCGGCCGTCAGAACCGCCGTCTTCGAGTAAATCGGAGCTCCGTTCGACGTCGTCAGCACCGGCGGATGCTGGACAGTGAATAAGAACTCTCAAAGCGTGAAGGTTTCCACGTACAGGGTTCTTGGCTTTGTACTTCGGTAGTTGCTGACTGGCGACTCCATCGTCAGCTCGTTTCATCGGCTCGTCGCTGATTACTGAAAATCCCCGTTTCCGTTTAAATCAAATATTCTCAGGCTACGACGGGGTGAATCACCACATCGGACTTCGAGAAAACTATTTTTGAAAAAGAAGCTAACTAAAAATTCAACGTTTGTTCCATTTTCACTAAAATGATTTTTTTTTTTTCGTATTGACAGCGAGAAAAAAACCTCTTACCTAACTTTTCGATTCCAGCCAGCATTTCGTATTAATGAAGGTCTGAGGAGAATCTTAAAAAATATCAAAGTTACTTGGTAGTGGAAGGGGCGAGATGAAATGAATGAAACAATTCCGCAGCACTGAAAACAACAATGTGAATGGGGCCTTTGAATGGGACTCGAAAAAACAGAACACTAAAAAAAATGAAGGTCGTGAGACGACGAGTCTCCTGTTTTTCTGAGCAATTGGGTGAGAAATCGCCGTCCGATTCCTTACGAACAAACAAAGAGATATTTTTAGGAACAAAATTTCAGTCAAGAACAGCCAAATTTGACGGAGATGAGCGATGTGAACGTAGAATCGAAAAAAATTTGAAAATGACTGAATTCTTATATGAAAGAAGAAAGAAAGAGCTGACGAGAAAAGGACGTAAACATGTTTGTTTATCATCGTTTGAACGTTGATCGATCTCTTATGAAAGAGAGTAAACAACAGAGGTTCGTGCACCTGTAAAAATCGACAAAAATCATTACATTTTGGATTCGTATGGCTTTTTTTTTATCGATTTATAATTTGGAAAGAAGAAGAAAAAAAGGCTCTTCAGCTAGCCTGAATACTTTAGGTTTCATAGAGCTAATCTAATCTTAGAAAGTAAAGAAATTTCAAAAAAACTTTGAAGAAAGAAAATTCTGGATCAAAAAAATTCGATTCAAACTCCATATCAAGGAGTGAAAAAAAAAGATTTATTCTGAAAGAAAGCCGAGAAACGTGAGCTTAGGCTGTGTTGTCGCGTCAAAATAATCGTCAAAGCATGAAGATGATAAGCAATTTTCAGAAAGTCAGAGACAATTTCGCGTTTCCGGAATAACTTTGAGGCCGTATGTATGCATTAAAGTCAAAAAATGATTTGCCGCCATTTTCCTGAAACTCGCAAAAGGCCTAACTTTTTTTTATAAAATTAGTCTTTTTTACACTTCGTTCATATCCGAATCTTCTCATGAAGCCTTATTACATCAGATAAAGTAGAAACCAATGATATCCTAGCGAGTTTCAGGCCTTTTATATTTTCATAAAAGTTGCGGACAATCATTTCGCACTTTATTGCATATGCATACTTGCTTGAAAACAGCCGAGGAGCGCCAGCCCTCGCACAAGCTCAGAATTTGGCAATGCGAATCGGACGTAGTGTCGGGACATTTCCAGTGATCACTTTAGTACCAGCACTCTTAAGTGGTCATGCGTTATATACTAAGGTTTTATTCAGGCTCTCGAACGTTCGAGAGCCTGAATAAAGATAGTGTATAATAGAGCAGAACTCAAGAACGGGTGAAGAAAAAGTTTAATTTGCTGCGCGCAGCGCTGTACTGCTAGACTACTGGATATCAGTTTAGAAGCCACACTAGAGGTCAATGAAGTTTTACTGGACTCACTTAGAAATATTTCGAGGTTATCGATGAATTCGCAAAAAATAACGATGATTCAACAATTCCTTCCAAAAAATTTCAAACTTTTTTCTTTTTGTTGTGCTCGGACACTTGAAGGCGCGCGCCGCCTCGTTCGTTCCTTTAACGGGTTTAAAGCTTTCAATCTCTAACCGACGATATACCATGGTGAGAAAAGTGTTCGCAGCAGCCTACATGCGAAACGAAAAAGGCGGCGCGCCTTTGAGCGTCCGAACCGAGGACGATGTTTCTGATGTCTTGTTCAAAGTTATTTCGCGAAATGTAGAAATATATATCTGACTCTCCAAGATGTTTTTATCTTTTTCTTCCTCTTACGGCTATTTTTGTTTTCGCGGAATCACTTTGAACACTATATCAAAACAAAAAACAAAGTGGCTCAATATTAATGCGCTCACTGCGCAGCTGCTCAGTTGTCTCGAAAAATGCGCTGGTTTTTTTTTTGAGTGTACGGTAAGGGCAAAGTAGCACGTGAACTCAAACATTGAATTTTCCGCGAAATTCATTTAGTTACTCTTTACACCCATTATTAATATATTGTGGACTATATAGTAGCTATAACGCAGCGATAGTAATGCTATACCGTGGGAAAGCCGTGAGCAGCCGTAAGCAGTATCGCTCGAGCTCGCTTCTCGGTGCGACCTCGCAAACGTCTTGCGCTATGTCGCTCTCTGAAAAATTTTTTTTCTTGAATTTGATTGGTTTTATCATAAAAGTCAAAAATAGAGCAAAAAAAATGTTTTTCAAATTTCAAATTTCGAGAGGGAGCAATACGGCAGCGAGACTTTAACGAGGTCGCAGCTGCAGCAAGAAGCCTTGGCTATATCTCCTGCGGCCCGCTGCGATATCGGCAATTATGTTGGGTGTATGTCATGTTCGAACAACGAACGTTCAAAGTGATTCCGCGAAGTCCTAAAAAACCGTCAGAGAAAGAAAAAGACAACTAAATTTTGGAGAGTCAGAGATAATTTTGAGTTTCGCAAAATTGCTTTGAACACGGCATTACCAAAAGGTTTTGCGGTTTCATTTTTTTCACAAAAAATTTTGCACTTGTTTATGTTTTTCATTGATACTTTGGTGTTTCGCCAGATTTTATTTTAAAAAAAAGTACTTCGCGTTTTATTCTAGCCATTTTCTTATTATTATCAGTTTTTTGAAAAGTTTTGAAAGTCTCTCGGGTATCCACTCAGAAAATCAATAAACTTGATACATGGTGGAATATAGCTGATTCACGGCTGGCTTGAGCCATCGAAAAAAGGTTCCTGACACGATAATGCACGAGATAGCGGCTGGCTCGTGGAGAGGGCAGACAGGACACGCCCCCTTAGCGTCCCAAGCTAGCCGTGAATCATCTATAGCTATCGGTGATCTTTCCAGTAGCATACTATTGCGAATTTCAGATACCGAACCAATACTTCCCATGAACCATAGAGATGGGGCCCGGTAGCTAATAATGCCGTGTTCAATTTGATTCCGTGAAATGCAAAGTACCCTTTGGAGAAAGGAAAAGATCACTAAATATTGGAGAGTCAGAGATCATTCTGAATTTCGCGTAATCAAATTGAACACGGCATAAACGACCACCGATTGACTTTAAGTTGCTACCCGGTCCCTACTTGTATCGACCTCCCGATTTACCAGTGAAAATAAGATTTACTGTGATCTTTCTATCGGACTTAAGAATACCCCAAATGTATTTGAAAGTGCACTTTGAGCTATTATTTGTGGATGCTTAGATTGACCAGTGCTACTCCATTTCAACATTCTTCTTCTTGCGCAAAATTATTTGCTGTTTTATTTTTTTATTATTTATTCTTTGGAAACGATTGATATCATCTACAGCGCGCCACTTCTATGAAAACATTTTTTTCATTTTTTTCGTTTTTTTCGAAGTTTTTTTGATTGTCAAAAAAAATAATAACTTCATTAAATTATTCGCTTCTCCGAGATATTTCTACTTGTAGCCCAGATGTGGATTTTTTAAAGTTTTCTTTTATTCCCAAAGTCTTCAAAGGTTTTTTTAAAATCTGAGATCAAAACTTTTATGTAATTTGTTCTCAACGAAAAACTTATTTTTTCTTACGAGTCTGTAACTAAAAATTAAAAAAACTCTTTTGTATCCCTTTTGTTTTCAAAGTTATATGTGCTTCATCTGACGAAATTCAATTGGATTTTCCAGCTTTTGAATGTATAGAAACAAGCTCCATGGAGATCGTATCGATTGCAAAGAAATCGGCAAGAAAGACGGACCCATCTCCTCTCAGTAAGTGTTCTCAATTCTTGGAATCATTAAAGTCGATTAAAGACGGCAATCTCGGTCGATGGCCGCCAAGGAGCCTGTCGACTCCTTGAAGACCAACAACTACGCAAGCAAATCTTTCAAATCCGTCACATCTACGGACAAGCAGGGAGATTCTGTGGCAGACACGGTATAACCGAACCAAAAGCTGAAAAATAAATAATTTTATGCTAGAAGGAGCCGTCTACCGCTGGATCCCGCGCGACCAAACGATGCCCCAAAACTTCTCTTCCCATACCCTCGTATTTTTTAATTAATCTTAAAAATCAAATCGAGACTCCGGCTCCAAAAAGCGGTTGATACTATGCGCTCTTCCAGTTCGCAAAGAGGAAAAAGAAAATTTGTCACAAAAAAATTTTTAATCTTTCAACGCTTTTTGTCTCTCACACGAAATTCATGTGTGAGAATATACTTTTTCTTATATTTGATTCGAAGCTTATTTCATGACTTCGCGTGTTTCATTACGAAATATGACGAAAAATTTTTTTATTTGTACGAAATTCTTGAGTTTTTAAATTTATAAAATCTGTGAAAGTAGTCAGTTTAAGGACGTTCAGAATGGCTTTAGGTGTTATTTGACTTTTTTTTTTTCAAATCTGACCAACCTTTATTGAAGCAGAGAAACTCCAGTCACGTGCCAGAAGTCTAGAAATCCCGCAGCGAAAACTACTCACGCATCATTATCTTGCAATGAAGCAAAGAAATCGAAGGTTATTAGGAATATGATCAAATCGGATATTTTTGATAACAGGGTAAACTTTCCTCCAGCTTGCCCATCCCTGTGGAAACTGAATCGACAGAATCTCCAGTACCGGAAATCGACATGAATTCCTTCACATGGGTACTTATTTTCGTTATAACCAGTACTCGGCATTTCAATTAAGTTCTTCATGGAAAATACATAATAATTGAAGTTAGTTATCGATAAAGAGGTATCCTTAATCAGGAATTGGCTTCTCGAGCGCATATCTACGCCGTCAGTGAAAATGCCAGTCGGTTCGAATTCGACTTCCATGAAGCATGGGAAATGTTGAAAGAAGAAGATGCAAACAAGAAAAAATGCATTGTGGACATTGTTGACTCAACTAATTTCTGATACATTCACTCACAAATCCTTTTTTCTTGTCCGTTACTCATTTTCTATCCGGACCTCACGAAGTTTTATCTTTCTTTTTTCCCTTATTGAATCATGTCTTCTGAAACGTGTAACTTTTAAATTTTTTTTGTTGCTAAAGTTGCTTTTTTTTGGTCTATTTCATTCTTCATGCGTTTTTGGCATCCATAAAATTTTTCAACGTTTTTCATGTATTGATTGTCTGTTTGATAAGTATACTTCATTATTCGAATCTCTCTACACGGTTGGCTTATGAAACTGCAAATATTTTATAATCATCAATTGAAATTTTATTATCTAATTAATTTGAAGAAGCTCCAGTAGAAATTTTAAGGATTAGATGTTGTTCAGAAACTATTCATAGAGTAAAAAAGGAAACGAAAATTTAGTTGGCACTTTGGGCAACAACGGAAAGCACATGGGCTTCTTGGCGGCTCCCAGTCATACTGCTAGGTTTCTTGACCACTTTTGTTTCCAAATCAGACTCCGATTTCCAGTACTGGACCGGAACTCACTAAAGTGACCCTTTCGAAAACGCTGAAGCAGGAAAGTTTCTATCAGGTGAACTTTCTGCCCAGTCAAGATTTCGTGAGGTCGGAGAAACATGTTCATATACTATTGTTTCAAAAAAAAAGTGTTGTTCAGGCGGAGCTTTTTTATCTCTTCGATGTTCTTCTAGTGGCTGGGACTTTTTCTATTCAAATACATCCAACAAAGGTGAGCTACCGACAAAAGAAAAGAAAGCGGATAAATTAGGTTTTCATCTTTTATTCAACAGAACGAGAAAAAAGTTCTTTTGTAGTTTTTTTTAGAAAAATACTTGCAGACGTTCATAAATTTTAATTTTCCCCCCTTTGAACTTTGGTGTTAGCAGTGCACGTATTCAGAAGCAAACAGGAAGAATGAATAATTATAGAGTAACAAACCAGCTGGTCCCGAAAAAGTCTCCGCGTTTTGAGACTAGGGCGTATGATGAGGCTCTTTTGGGATAGGTTTAGTTTTTCAGAGAGAACTGCGTCAGTCGCCTGGAGTTCTCGAAAATCCCGATTGAGTATCGTTTTGCATTCGTTTCGTCTATATTTGACCACTCGTTCACGTTTTATTCAAACGTCCTTTTCCATTTTCATTCAAACGAGCTCTTTATTTTAGCACTAAAAATTGAACATAACGTAGTTTATGATTTTAATACAATGTTGCTTTTCGAAATTTCCGGCTTTCTTACAACTGACGGCACGTTATAGGTGACTCAGATCAGCTTTTCACCTCAGAAAAAGGCTCACAGCAGGAACCAAAAAAGGAGGTTTGAGTTTTGTAGCGGAGCTCTTTGTACTTTTGCAGGTATGAAATCTTTCAAGAAGCTGTTTTTCTAAGACACCATTTCTTTCTCAGTTGAAGTACGCGAATGCTTTCTTCTGTCACTGGAATCAACGAGATCTCTTTGTTGGTTCAAAGTATATCCTTATCCTCCTTAGCTTGATTAATCAAAGTTCAACAGTTTTTCCCCGTTGGAGTAATGACTTTTTCAGGGAAAAAGCAAGAAAGCTTTCAGAAATCTTCTGGTTTAATTTTGCCGATTGTATGTGTGGGATATCGTTGCTGTGCTAATAATTAAGGTTTTCCCACAGATAATGTTGCTTTTCGACATCTCTCTCTTTTCTGGCTTTTTAGACACCTGTGTTCAAAAAATCCTGGTTGACTATTTCTAAAAACTTCATTTGGTAGTAAAGACTTTAGTGTTATCAAAACTTTCAGTTTCGCCCAGATCATTATTGATGATATCTGCAAATTTCTGAAAGTTTTATTTTTAAAACTCAAAATCTTCCTTATGAATCTGTTTTATTCATTCTTCCTTTTTTTTGAAATATCTTCCCATCAAAATCTCTAGGTGTTTTTTAAAAGAGAAAAATTATGAGGTTGTTGATATTATTATCTATCCGATGAAAAACAGAGCATTTTTTATACAGTGGAGTCATCTAATTTTCAAGAAAGTTGTTTAAGACTTGTCGTCGTTTGGAAGTAACCTGACTTTCGTAGTTGCTTTATATTACATATTTTTCATAGCAATCGCCTGAATCATGTTGAAATTTTACAGTCATTGAATATTATTTTTGACATAATCCTCCGCTCTCTCTCTCTTTCTCTCTCTCCCTTCAGCTTGCTACTCTTCTCAAGGCTAGCAATATTTTTGAAAGAGGTCACCTTTGTTATGTATATAGAATCTCTCAGAAATCTCCTCGAAAGAAGATGCCGAGGATGTTATTTCGTTTGTCCCATTGTACTACACATTCCATTTCCATTCATTTAGACCCCATCAGGCATCTTTGCACCCACGCCTTTCTGTCTAAATTCGCCCGAAAGAGGAAAACAACATTTCTTTTTGGAACGGTCGGAACTTTTCTTCTTCCTCTTAATCTCGAGCTATGCTTTTTTGGAAGTTTTCTCGGTTTGATGAGCCAAAAAATCATCCAAATTTTTAAATTTGATAGTTTTCTTATTATTTTCCTAGGGTTAAAGTTAGGATTAGCAACTTGAGAAAGTTTTATTTTCAAAAAAGAAAGTTTCTTTGCTGTCTGTGGTTAAAAGTAGTTCTCGAGAGACTTTCGCTGAAAAGAAGAGCGCAATTAAAGTGACATCAAAAATCTGTTTTGGAGCCCAAGTCTTCGGGTATCTACCATTTGCGCGAAATTCCAGCCTACGGCATCTATACACCTTTCATTATTTTTGGAGCACACCCACTCTTTCCCACCGTATGTGGCGTTGATGCCTTTTTATGTTTCGAAATCTTTGAAAAATCGAAAATTTTCCCTAATTCTCCGAAAAAATTGTTTCTCTAAAAGGAAATGTAATTCTCCTGAAAAATAAAAGTCTACTAAAAAGGCTCGCTGAAAATTTCTTGATTTTTTTTTAAATTTAAGGGCTAAAAATTGAGTAAACCTTTACAATTCCATTGAAAAGTTTGTTTCAAAGGAAAAAAATGGTGAACCGTTAAATTAAAAAGAACATTTTCGGATTGCACTAATATTTTTCTCGGTTTATTAACATAGTACTAAGATAGCGACCGCAAAGCCCCGCCCCTTTTCGCGATGGAAAAAAGGCCATTTTTTTGGTATTCTGTCTTTGATTGCTTCGTACAGCCGATAGAAACAATGAAAAATGATGAAAATTTCAGCATACATGTAGAAAAGGTTCCTCTTTCCGAGGAAAAGGTTTTTAGGCACTTTTAATGTGTTTCAACGGGGTGTCGTACGGAATAGTGATGCGAGTTCGAAAAATAAACTTAGTTTTGCGTTTTGATATTAATGCAGGTCGCGGACAAAGTTGATTTTTTGAAAACTACTTATAAACAGTAAATGAAATTTTTTAAGCCAAAAAAAATAAAAATTCTATGATCGCCGAAAAAATTGAGAGGCGCGCAAACTCAAAAATTGTTTTCTCAATTGCAATGCAGTATCAGAAGGTTTTTATGCTTTTTCATATTGAGAAAAACATTGCTCAAATAATACTTGTTGACAACTACAAGCAAATGTACTGTTTTGGTTGGTAAAAAAACTGGAGAATTTTTCGCAAGTTTTTTTGAAACATTTCCCGGTCGAAGACGCGCGTTTTTCCTTACTCATTTATAAGAGTTTTTAATTTTCAAACAAATAAAACAATAAAATCAAAAACACAAGATCGCCGAAAAATTTTTTTCAACAAAAAAGGTGAATAAAAGTGGGCTAAATTACATTTTCATGAGACTCAAAGAGCACTGTAGGCTGTATTTGTACAGTCACTGAGACGAAATTGATGGTAAAGTGGAATTACAGCTCGTAAAACCTTCTCTTTTGGCTCCTGAAATCGTGCCGCCCTTGCAAATAAGAGTGCGCGCAGATTGCATGGTAATTCGCAAAACCAAATTTTCAGTGCAAAAAGTTTTGCTTTTCGATTACTTTTAAATATTGTTTTCTCCTCTTATTCCTAATATTTTTCGTTCTTCTTTTCTGTTTTCGCATACTACATGTTAAAATCATTATTTTTATAACAAAAACGTGAAGCTAGCTTGAGTTCGAAAAATAGGTCTGTGGTCCCTATACTAAGAACCTACGCTTTTTCTCAATTTTTTTGATGGAGACTTATCAGCAGTTTTGAGTGCCGCTTTCACGGAAAATCATTCATCAAAAGTTATTTTACTAAAAAAAAAAATTTTTTTCTTCTAGCCAAATATCTTTTTTTCTACTTCTTCCGAACCGTTGCATTTTCCGAATTACCTTGTTAGACTCGTGACCATTTTTGCAGGGGATCTGTTTTTCATTCTATCTATTTGGAATTTCTGATGAAGATGACGGGGTAATTCTCATAAGTGACACGTTCTCGGGTATTCCTGGATTTCGTCCCATTGTTGCCAACTACATTTTCTTTTCGGCACTGGTTTTCATCCGGTTATTTTCTTCTTTTTGTTCCATCTCAGAGCTTTTGTTGCACGCTCTTTATATTGGAATAATTGAAACATATAAGCAAAAGTATAAAGATCTTTCGTTCCTCCTGATTGTCAACCATTCTTAGTCTATCGCCTCACAATTTTGCTCAAGCTCTAGATTGTCAGACTCGCCTATATTGCACGGGATTTCGATTCAGCTTATGAGCCTAATTACTAAGGCATTATAAGTGAACCTAGACGTACTAGACATATTTTTCAGCGATTAGAGAGTCAAGGCGAACATTTTTACTCCAAAGGAAACAGTTTTTGTTAGATTGGGCCCAAAGCTGTACAAAAAGTCAGGAAAATTACCAATGTGCCACCCTCTTTGCTTGATTGCACTAGGAAATTTAACTCAGAGGCCACATTCTCGTTGTATTACGACTTATACTTTTCTCAAAGTTTCGAATTTTTTCCTTCTGCAAACAATAAAAACAAATTTCAGTAGCTTTCATAAAATGTGCTCGTCAACAACAGTTCTCGGAGTATTTTTTGCAACGTTTTGCGTCGTGACAGCTTTCGCCGTGTCAGACTCTTTGGTGGAAGACCTCGATGGAAACTTGATTGTTTTTCCAAACGTCGAAACTCCAGAAAACGATGCTCGTGGAAGGTAGGTTTTATTTTCTCAACTGTATCTTTTTCACAGTTCACAGTGGAGTTATTCTACTTGAACATTTTTAATTTCTCTGAAAATTGATTGAAAAAAATTATTTTTTTCTTAATCTAAAGTTCCTGGATATCGCCTTAACAAAACTTCTCATTTTTAAAAACTGACGTTTCTAAGTTACACCAGATTTTCAAAGAACGCTTAAATTTTACAGTGAAACATCTTCGTTTACAGACAGGGAAAAAAGTTAGATTCAAATTGCATATTCTATAAAGTCATCAACTTCGCGGAAAAGAATTAATAATTTAGAAAAGTTGAAACATGGCTTCCCCCCTCGAGTTATCAAAATTCCCCATTCTCAGAGTACAATGATGAACAAAATTAAACATCTTGGCATCAAATATTGTGTTTTTCCTTGAAGCTTCTCATCACATATCGTTGCTCTGAGGCCGGACTACACTTTTTGGAAGATGGTGAATGTTCTCAGGAGCATGTTCGACGCAAGAACCGCAGAAAAACGCCGGTCCAATCGAGGTCGGTTAGAAATAGCTTAATTTTTTCGAACTTCATTGTTTAATTTAACTATGTGAGTTTTATCTTTCAATTTGAACATTTTCAGAGATCGATAGGCCAGTTCAACCAGAACTCCGATCGCGACGACTTCTCCTCAATTTCGGAGATTATCGTCGTTGAATTCGCTCTTCCATGTAGAAAAAACTTTTTCATCCAAACATTGTTGTATACATATTTTTTTGTTTTCTATCAGTTTTAAACTTGATTATTTGGAAAAACTAAATGAAAAAAAGTTTGAGATATAATTGAAAGTTAAAAGAACAGTTTTTTTGCTTCTTTTTTTCTCTTTGGTAAGTCAACTTCAAAAGCCCATTTTGGTCGTCACAAACAGTCTTGTAATTATTCTCAAAAATTGAGCCTCCTTTTCCAGGCTGATATTTTTGCATTCATTTTTTTTTGCAAAAGCTTCAAAGAAATACAGAGAAAAGCTTTTATTCCGTTTCGTTTGCACTTGTGATCCACTCATTTTTTAAATGCCAATGATAAAAGTTTCCAATACTTCACTCATCTGTTTCCGTTTACGAATAGTTTTCGGAGATCTCAGAATTCTTCACAATCAAAAAATGTCGCCGACGACACATCAAAAAGCTTGCAGGTGCCATCGGAGCATCTGCACATCCCTGCAAATTTTACAACTTCTTTGTGACTTTTTTCGTTGCTCGAAAATTTAGTTTAAAGTTTTAATATCGCGTAGGCATGTCCTGTTTTTTTTTCGCGAAAAAGACCATATACCAAGTTTGAGTAAACTTCTATTTGATAAAATACGTGTAAAAAAATATATCTACATATAAATTAATTGAGTTCAAGTTGGAGTGCTAAAGTTGTTTTTTTGAGTTTTTCTAGTCAAGTTTTTTTGTGCAAAAATCTGACCTCCTTTGCTCGATAACGAAGAAGAAATATCCAAGCGCTTTGCACGTAACGACGCTGAAATTACTCGAAATCTTCAAAAAAAAAAGTTAAAAATTGAAGATTAGAAGTAGAATAATGGGAATGAACGAACCATCGAGGCCAACTGGCAATCCAAATTTGCCTACGGGCTCTGTCCGCCAGCAGTGAAACGACGCCAGACAGGGCTTTCCTGTCTGAAATGACATTATAGAATTTTTGAATGTCTTATCTCAAGAACAAAATGAGAAAAGAAAACTTTCTTCTTGAAATCTTTCGAATTTCGAATGGAATGTTTTTTTTAATCTGAAGAAATCATATCGTTCATTTGCTAAAAATTTCAAAAAAAGAATAAGAAATTCGTGTAGTCCAAAAAAAAACGTTCAGAAGCTGCAATTCTTCTTCCTTAGTTGTTCTGAAGAAGAGCAAAAAGTTGTTCAGACTTCTTGACGTTCAGTGATTTTGAAAGCAAAGAATTGAGCTGACCGGGATCTGTTGGAGACGAACGAAGGTGACGCACATGGAGAAGATGAGGAAGGTCGAAATACGCGAAAGAAAGTTGTTACCCATCTTCAAATCGTTTTCTCAAGACGAGGAAATGTGACTTTTAAACTGGCAAAATTAGGTTTTCCGAAAACGAGCTTCAACTAATAAGATAAATCCTGGGGGGTTTTTTTGACAACGATGATTTTTTTTAAACCTGGGTGATGAAAAGATGAGATTTCAAATGTCATTTTCTCACTCCGAAGTTTTTCTGGAGGCTTGAGCAATCTGGCATGCGAATAAACATTGACTAGGATTTCAGACGTCAAATCGTAGGGAACCTTATTCCTCGTCGCATTTCACCAAAATTTGCACTAATCAATGTTTTTCGGAGCTTCCTCATTTTTCCTTCATTCTTATATGATTACTTTTAAGCTCCGAAAATTGAAGACTATTATAAAATTATTTCCAAGTTTTCGCTGAAATAGGTTATTTTTGTCTATACTTTTTTCTCTATCTTCATGGGTTAAATTAATTTTCTCCTCCCTGTTTTCATTTTCAATAAAACGATGAAACGCAGTGATGAAAAAATGCTCCAAGAAAAATTAGTGGCTAAGCCGCAAGAAAAGGCAAAAGTTTTGGAGGAACACCGAAGTCTTCTTTGACCCTTCCACCGATTTGTATGCAGAGACGCGCCCGAGCCGTTTTTACCCGAAAAAAAAACTCGCATTGCTCAGTTCAGAATTAATGCGACTCGAAATCTCAGGATTTCTTGAAACTGCTTTGAATAACTCCATTCACACGAAAAAGTTGCTTGGAGGCTGTGAAAGTCAATTTAGTCTTCTATCTATTTTTCTCTTTTTCTGAAGATCTCCATGAAAGACCTACCAATCTATGATATCTACCAACTCCGCCTTGAAAATTTTTCAAAAATTTTGATTCACTTTCTTTTGAATAATTTATGAAGAATAGAGCAACCAGATAACATGGATTCATTCTGGTTCTTAGAAGAAAAATTAACATTTTTTTAACATTAAGAAAGAGGAAATTGAGAGAAGACACGAACAAATAAACGGGGAAACTTACAACTTGTTAGAACTGCGAAATGTGATTTGCAAGAAAAGCGAGTCTTTTCTCGGGACCTAACTAAGCCGACGCCTTTTCGAATAAAAATACACGACATTCAAAATCTCATTTTGTCTTCCAGGAGTTGCTTTTCCTTTCTCAGTCAAAAAATTCACGAAACGTGTCATTTTCAATGTTTTCGTTTTAAAATGTGCTGTTAAATTTTTCCAGAAGTGAATTTGAAAGATTAGAAAAATGAAAATACGTCTTCTGATGTTTCTGCTCCTGTTATGGTCGCTGGAAGTGTTCGGAAGGAGATATCGCAAGAAAAATGAGGTTCGTCCTTTTAACTTGTTCTGTGGATAAAAGCGTAAGAATGAAAGCAAGAGAAAGTGAAGAAGAGCAAATTAAAAAATGTTTTATCTAGCACACACATGGGTGTGTTTCGTGCAGAAAGCAATTTACTGGCCACGCCAATTGGGGTTTATGGTTAAGCCTCGTCTACACTTCGAACAGCCGGAAAAGTACCTCCATTCTTAGGAATTCCCGACTTTTCTTTATTTCTAGATTCAGTGCACAGGCTTTAAAAAGAATATATATATTATCAGAGACGTAAGTATTTATTACTGATCAAAAAACAAATCAAAGCATTCCCCAAAACCAAAGAATCCTTAAAATATCGAGACCAACTGGCCATGTGAAAGCGTGCGAAATCGCTCATTCCAGAATCAAAAAAGTTTGTGAAATCCAGGGCGACGAGCAAGTTTTTTTCTATTCCCACACATTCACGTCATCTCAAAAAAGAGAAAATTCCCCCTGAAGTTCGATCCTTTTGTGATGACGGGAAAGTTGGGAAACTTATTTTTCCTAGTTTTCAAATGAGAATGAACAAAAACAAAAAGAACAATTCGACAGTGACAAATTATTCCGCAGCTGTGTGCGCGGAACAATAGTGAAATAGTCCCAAAATAATACTCAAGTCCGAGACTCCATTTTTGTTCGTAATGTCATTCATTCTCTATTGGGTAACTCTAGAAGTCTGTTCACATTTGAAGGGTATCAAAATTTTCAGTTTGAAAAACTTCGAGAAAGTAAAAGGATGGATGAAAAATGATAAAATTGACAGGTGAGCTTGGTAAATTTGTGCGACGCGAACCTGCGATTGCGCTGCCTTTCGGCGAGGACAGACCTGAAGGATCGGTACCTGGGACCTTCGAAGAGCTACAGCTTCCGCTTCCACGACATCGACCGAGGTCTGACGTCTCCAGACAATTCAGGTCGGCTGCCGGAAACGGTCGACCTGCTTGAGTGACACCAGGCATTTTTTGTTTGAGACCTTGCCTTGATTGTGAGTCGAGGTTCGAGAAGTTCTAGATTCTCTAGGCTAAAACACCTGAACTGGTATTATGATTGAACCAAGTTTTTATCGGCAAATAATGGTGATGCTATGAAACCATCATACATTGATGTGAACTATCATTTTGTAGGGTTCGAGACAAAAAACCAGTTGAAAATATATTAATTTGCACATTACAACTTTGTCAACTTTCAATCAGAGTTGCAAAATTCAGGTGACATGCATTTCTGGTGCGACGCCTACGGACTTTTCGGCTTTTTTGAGATTTTCGACGTCTTCGGCCGTCTTGCCCCTAGCCGTCGCAATCAAACCTGGTAAGTTGAATATAATCAGTTGAGCGCCTATCTTCTTTTACTTTAAACAAGTTAAAATCTCTAAAGGTTGATAAAGAACGACGGACTGTACTACGAGAACGAGGCAAATCGGGTGCGCGAGTGGCAATGGATTTATCCGCCTTTCGACTCTTATGCAGACGACTCTGACTGGCCTGCCTAGCTCACTTTTTCTCATTTACAAACATACTTGTACATTTTTTTTGAACAAAATAAATATTAATATGGATGACATCTTCTGACGAGTCTGACCTCTTCTTGATCCGCTATTTTTGCAATTGATCGAATCAAACTTTCAGCAACTCTCGACAAAGATGGCAGTGAGTAACAACTGTTCTGTATAGAAGATCGTATGACACGGCGTTTCAAAAGGGAACTTCGCAGTGGAGAAAAATGAGAATGAAAGTACCGCGCCACAATTGCAAAAAACCGGGCGTGGTTTAGTTTTGTATTGGGAATTCAAAACCCTATTACTTTTTACATGTTTGTTTCTGAGTGTTACTTTTGTGTTCATATCGTTCGTCAGCTTTGACTTCATAATTATTGGTTGTACCATTTCGCTCCTTGGCCGTTTGCCGCGTTAGTTGTGAAAAAACGAAAAATCAGAATTCGCAAGTTTTTATTCGTTATGCCATGTATTTGACGTCTTTCTGCTTGATTTCTGTGCAGAATGTGTTTTTCTATACTCTCAAACTGTTCAAAAAAATCTTTATCGGCAAAAATAATTTTTAAACTGAATTTCATGAAATCTTGTCAAATTTTGGGTGTTCCGCGCGAAAGACTAAAACTTTGTGGTATGTCGGTCAATCTTTTATTTTGATAGCTAAAAATGTTCACAAAGACTCATTCAAAAGAACTTGTTTGATTAGAATGTTGGAAAAAATTTTAGAGGCCACCTGCGAAGATCGCAGAACTACGCAACAAATGAGCGTTTTCCATCATCATTCTATGTGATTTTTTTGTCAAAACTTCTCAACAAAAACTCATTCAATTTTTGTTTAACGTTTTACTATCATTCTTTCATCTTTTTAAACAATGAATACAATAGGCTTGTAGCTGAAAATTTTTCGTAAAACCGATTTGAAGGCTGAGAAGCAATTATACGGATAATTTGCAGTGAAACTTCATCGAGTTGCTTCCTCGGGCAAAAGTCCGAAAGGCTAGAGAAAGGGTGAAAAAAGGCAGAGGCAGTGAAAAGGGTGGAAAAAGGGTGAAGGAAGGGTGGAAAAAGGGTGAGGGAATGGTGGAAAAGGCTGGAAAATGCTGGAAAAAGGCAGAGGCAGTAAAAAGGGTGGAAAAAGGGTGAAGGAATGGTGGAGAATGCTGGAAAAAGGGAGAGACTGGAAAAAGGGTGCCGAAGGGTCAATTGTTAAAAACTCTCTTTTAAAATCCTTTCAAGTTTTTGATTTCTTTTTCTGTTCGTGAATTATATTTTCTCGTTCGTTGTTTTAATGTGTTCAATTAGTTTCAAAGACAAGGATATGAGGCATAAATTTTTGTGAAAGTTATACGAAAAAAAAACATGTTGAAACGTTTGAATTAAATTAAAAACTAATTATGAAATTACAAAGAATCATGTAACTTCAGATCTCCTCTCACGATTAAGGATCAGATTCCCGATTACGATTAATGCCAAGATGCGAAAAGGTTTTAGCTGGTCGGGGAATCGCCTTCGGGCGACGGTTTTTGGTAAGTAAATTATTTGAAAAAATGTAATCTTGAGCTTCTTTGTTCCGTTAATTTAATTTCGTTATATTTCACGGCATGCTGAAAAAACCCGGACGGTTCGGTTAGTTCGGTCGGACTTTCCAGGCAAGAAAGGTAATTATATTTATCTGCGATTCCTGCTTTTCGAAATTCCTCGTTGAGCGTTCTTCAATAAAAACTATATTCTTTTCAGTGCGGAAGAAGCTGATCTGAGAGAAGCACAAGAACAAGGCGCTGGCGATGTCAACGAAACAACTATTGATGAAGAACCTTCAAATATTGATGTGGTTGGATGAAATATTTATTGATGTGTTCTTTAAGGTGTTTTAACTGTCATATAGGCCATTCCGCGACAGCTTGTCACGTTTTTCTTTTCGCCAAAAAGACCTTATATATCAAATTTCTGCTTTTATAACGGCAAGAAACAACGGTCTTGAAGCGAAGTTGGTAAAATTTGACCTGGCCTTTTGGCGGAAAGAAAAACGTGACGAGCTGGCGCGGATTGGCCTATAGACATTTGTGTCTATTTTTCAAATCTTAACACGCTGTCTCTGTAATTCTCAAAAAGAGTGGGTACAATAGAAAAAATATTTTTTGGTTTTGAAGAAACTTCACCCGCTGTGATAGTCTGTCATCAGAAATGCCAACGCAAGTTTTCAGACCGATTCCTCCTACCGTAGCTAGGTTACGGTAGGCAGGTGCGTCTTTTCGTATTTAGGAAACTATGCGTTCTTTCTAGGAATACCTACCGGTCATCTCGGAAAATCGCTTCGAAGAGGCTCAACTTGGCATCTGTCGGGGAAATTCGCCCGCGGTTAGAGATTTCTATCTCTCTTCTCTTCAGATTCGGTGCTAAAGTTTGTTTCATTTGATAGTGAAAGGTTGTACTTCACAGATTTTTAATAATAATTTATTGACAGATCAGCGTGAACCCTAACGAGTTCACTTGGATCTAGAATTTGAGAGAATACATTATACAGTTATACATCATTTGAGTCGTGGAGGAATAGACAAGAAGATCTCGTGCAATGGTAGATTGACCAGTAAGTTTTTTAAAGACTTGGGGTGGTGGCTGAATTGAAATTTGGAAGTGAGTTTGTTCCAAGTAGGAATTGTTTTAAAGAAAAAATCATTAGAAAACTGACCTTGAGAACGCAGTCGAAGTGGATTTCGCCTTAAATTGGACCTGAGGGCAAAAAGTTCGAACTGGGGAAAATGATCGATACCGAAGACAATTTTATGAAGGGTCAGAATGTCAGATATAGCTCGTCTGAGGTAAAGTGGAGAGATATCAAATTGTTCAAGGCGATCAGAGTAAGATTCAAAGGATAAGTTGGACCTAATAAAAAAATTTTTACGAGAAAAAAATTCTGAGAGGAGATTCCAGTTTGTAGCAGAGATCAGAGTTAAGGGGAGGGTTAAAAAAACTTCGGAGCAGTATTCTAGAATAGGCCTTACATAGGTGTTAAAAATTTTGAACAATAGATCAGGTGATTTGGAACGAAAACAGTTGAGTATCTGATTGGAACGAAGGGTTGCTAAAGAAACGATATTGTTAATGTGAGGAGCGAGAGTTAGTTTATCATCGATAAGAACACCTAGATCACGGATAATGGTTTTTCTGGGAATAGACAGACCATTGATTAAATAAGTTGTTTTGGGATTGAGGGGAACCAAGGTTGATAGCAAAAAGTTTTTGTGCGCAGCAAGAGGCAAGCCCCAAATGGAAGACCATTCAAATATGGAATTAATACTACGTTGGAGAGATTCAGGGTTAGAACTGTAAATTTTTATATCATCAGCGAACAGAGAGATTGAGGTTTCATGGTCAATGTAGTTAACAATATCATTGATGAAAATTAGAAAAAGCAAAGGACCAGATACAGTTCCTTGAAGGACACCGGAAGTATTGAGATAAGTAAGAGAAGAACGAGATCCATCGATCAGAACATTAGAAACACGCTCAGATAAGAAGTTTTTGTACCATCGAACAACGTTTTCGTCAAGACCAAAGTTCTTGAGCTTATGAACAAGCAGAGAATGATTTACCTTATCAAAAGCCTTGGCAAAGTCAAAATAAACAACATCGACAAATTTTTTCGAGGCGATAGATTTTTGCCAAGAGGAGAGGCAAGATAGAAGGTTAAGCTTGCAAGATCGTTTGTTTAAAAAACCAAACTGAGATTCAGAAAACAATGAGGAGAATCTCCGGCGAATCATATCACAAATAATCCTTTCAAAGACCCGGGACAAAGGATGTGTCAAGGATATAGGGCGGTAGTTTGACGGATCTGAAGTTTTTCCACGTTTGAAAATAGGAATTACCGTGGTAGATTTCCAGGAGGGTGGAATGAAACCGGAATAAAAAGATTCGTTAAACAGAATAGACAGAGGAATAGAAATAGATGTAGAGCACCTTTTTAAAACAAGTTGATTGATTAAGTCAGGCGAAAAACCGCATTTGGGAGGTAAAGCTATCAGAGTTTTATAAACAAGTTCAGGAGTGAACGAAATAGAGCAGTTAGTGGCTTTTTGGGGAAGGGAAAATGGGCATCAAATCGTAAACTTCATCAGAAAAAAATTTGTGCTAAAAAAATTTGAGCAAAAAAACATCTGCTTTTGAGGAGCTTTCAGAAATAAGGGAATTGTTGTAAGTAATGTTGGGGATGGAAGAACAACATTTGAGTTTTTTGGAGATATATTTGGAAAGTTGAACATGGTTGAAATTGTTAGCAATGTAAGTTTCCTGTGCCAGGGAGATGGAGGAGGCACAAGCTTTGATTTTTTTATACAGTAGATTGAATTGGAGGCGAGTAGAATTATTGAAAAGATTAGCACGAATGAGACTGGCTCTTTTTAATATTTAGCCGGCGAATACGATTGTCATGGTTGAATGGGCGACGACTGAGGGGGGAGTTAGAAAACTAGAACAGGAATCACGAACAATTTCATTAAAAAAATTTTTTTAAAAAAAATGAGAAAATTTACTCTCAACAGAGGAAAAAAATAGCTGAACTGCCGATCCCAGTTGAAAGAAGAAATTAAGTCGTTAACTCTAGAAAAAAATTACATTTTTTTAAATTGAGCTTTCGAACGGATGATGTGTGGTTAATCGGAGAACAGACAGAAATGGAAAAATAGAATGGAAAAAGTGATCGGACCCTAAGAGTGGTTCAGAAACTGACAAATCCGAAAAAAAAGAGAAGGGTTGGTTGTTAGAAGTAAGTCCAAAATGTTAGCAGTGCTTGAAGTGCAACGAGTAGGAGAGTGAACTAATTGAGTAAGGTTAGAAGTGATAGTAAAATCGAGAAAGACTGAAGAAAGAGGGCAAGTCGAAGTCAGAGAAGACCAATCAATTTTTTTGGAAGGTTGAAATCGCCAATCAAATGGTTATTGAAAGGAAGTAAAAAAATTTGGATAAATGTTTCAACAAGCTAATAGTATAATTTTTTTGAAGTGGAAGGAGGACGGTAAGCTAAGAAAAAAACCTAGATTTGGACGGTGAATAAAAAAATCAAAGGCAAGTACCTCACAGAAATGTTCGGGATAGTGACGATCCAAGGCTAAATCCACTTCTGCGATTCCCAGGTGTTTTTTTGAAGAAAATGATGATTCCACCACCTCCACAACGAGAGGAGCTTGTAGGCCGATCTACCCGTACGAAACTGTAAAAAAATTGTTAAAAAAAGAGAATCATGACATGTTGAATCAAGAAATGTTTCAGATAAAAAAACATAAATCAATATTGTTAGTAATTAAATGGTCAAAAAAAGCAAGTTAATTTTTGGAGGGAGATCTAATAGAGCGAATATTTGCGTAAAGGCAAGACAACTTTTGACCAGATCGAGTTAGCGCGGGGGAGAGGGCGCGAAAGACCGCGAAAAAGAGTTAGAATTCAAATTATGTACAAGGTTTGACCCACCAGATGATGATAATTCACAAGTGTTAAATAGAATTAGTATCAGATATATCATTCACATTAGCCGATAAGTTGACATTAACAGGGTTAGAAATAAAAGAAATATTGTTCACAGGAGTAAAATTAGTATTAACAGAAATGTTCGTGTTGCGAGGTACAGGCAAAGGGATACATTTGGACCTTTCAACAATGGTGAGGTCTCTGAGATAAAACCGCAATTTGCCTTCGTCTTGATTGAGAACAAAGACACGATGACGAAGGCGGCGAAGGAGGACAAGTTCATGAGGAATCATATCACGACGAACGCGACAATATGGTACAATGGTGTTTTGAAAAAGCGCAGAAACGGCTCTTTTGAAACCAAAAATAAACATATTGCGAGAATGAACAGAGGAAAATTGGATTTTAACCGGTCTAAAACGAGAATTACATGGATGTCGATGGATACTAAGCGGGGCAGGAATGTTCAGATGAGAACAAACCTTATTAACTAGGATAGAATCATCAATTTCTTGTTGGGGCGTTTTGGAATCAGCAAGTTTCTCAAGAACTGCACGAAACGACTTCTCCAAAAAGGTGGTGGAAGATGAAGCACGAGCGACAGCAGCCCACAGTTCACGGTCAGAGAGAGCATCGAGACCACGTTGATCACCAGAGGCAGAGTTCACGACAGGAGGATGAGGAGTAGCAGAGGCTTGGGCGGCAGGAACATGAGCCAAAGGAAGCTGAGCCACAGGAGCATGACGAGTTGAATCAGTTTGAGGGCCGTCGAGTTTTTGAAGCCAGATCATTCAATTGTATCATGATCAACTGGACTTGAGATTTGAGAGCAGCCACTTCTCGAAGAACAAGAGAATTAGGAGGTATGGAACTCCTAGGTGTAGAACCATCATGAGCAGCTCGTTTACGAGGAGGAGGCTGAGGCGCTGGCGACATGGAAAAGGCGACTAGAGCAAATAGAGACACGACCGCACGCCACGAGAAAAGAGGGCGCGAATGAAAAGAGGGCGCGAATGAGAAAAGAGGGCGCGAATGAGAAAAGAGGGCGCGAATGATAATAGTGTTTCCTCCGACTTTCAGCCTACCCTTCTAACAAAAAATTCAGTTTGAAGCCGATTTTGGCCTAAAACAACGATTCTCAGATTTCAACGATTTTTCCTGAGCTCAGTCCTACGGAAAAGTCGGAGGAAACACTATCATCTGTGAAGTACAACCTTGCTCTATCAAATGAAAAAAACTCTAGCACCGGATCTGAAGAGAGAAGAGAGGTAGAAATCTCTAACCGTAGGCGATTTTCCCCGACAGATGCCAAGTTGAGCCTCTTCGAAGCGATTTTCCGAGATGACCGGTAGGACAGATCTCTTTCAAAGTGGTATCTATTAGTAGGTATTGCTGCGAAGAATGTTTAAGGAAAGTTACCAGCCGTGCTCTTTCTCCTAACACACAGGGTGAGGGAAAAACCGAAATCGCAGACACAAAAATTACCGTAACTCAAAAAATTTCTACAGTAACCCATGCTTGTATGTACTGAAAAAGTTCTTAAAATTGCATTCCCTATAGATTGATATTTAATATTCCTAGAAATAACGCATAGTTTCCTAAATACGAAAAGACGCACCTGCCTACCGTAACCTAGCTACGGTAGGAGGAATCGGTCTGAAAACTTGCGTCGGCATTTCTGATGACAGACTATCACAGCGGGTGAAGTTTCATCAAAATCAAAAAAAATTTTTTTATTGTACCCACTCTTTTTTTGAAAACTTTTTGAAAAATTACAGAGACAGCGTGTTAACTTGTTATTTGTTTTCTTTTTGTTTCTTCTGTTTTTTTATATTCCTGTTGTTGTTAAAGTTTGCTGCTTCTATCAATTCATTTCCAAACGTTGACCGAATAAAATGATGTCAGCATGTCTACACTCTTAAAAAGAATACTATGTACATAGGCAAAGTCGGAAGGACCCTTCACGGGCCCTTTGGGAGTCCGTTACGGATCCGTCTGTTTCCATTAATTGTTCCTAAACGGGTGGCAGAGGTTTCCTTTTTCACTGCCTTTTTTGCGTCCTTTCATCGGCCTTCATCCGCCCTTTTTTTGGACCCTTTTGTTAAATACAATTTTTTTAAAAAAATCAAGACTAATCTTTAAAAGTGACTGTGTATGAACCAAAAATATGCTACAGTAATAAAAATCGTAAAAAAATCAATAGCAGAAACTTTCAGAACCCTTTTTGCACCCTCACCCTTTCTTCACCCTTTTTTTGCGGCCTCTCCCTTTTTTTCGCCCTTTTTATGACTCTTTTTTTAGCCCACTAAAAAAATGAAAGGCTCAATAAAGGCCGTAAAAAGGGACCCTTTTAGCGGTCATTTTGCAGTCACTCCCTTTTTTTGCACCCGTTTTCCGCACTTCCGACTTTGGCAGTGTAGAATAACGTGAACATGGACTATAAAAAGGGTGGAGAAAGGCTATGAAGAGAAAATCGTGGAAATGGTGCGTAACGGGTGCATAAAGGCAGAAAAAGGGTGGAGAAAGGCTATGAAGAGAAAATCGTGGAAATGGTGCGTAACGGGTGCATAAAGGCAGAAAAAGGGTGCAGAAAGGCAGCAAAAAGGGAGCCTTCGTCACCCTGAAAGGAACATTTCTATGGAGTCTTCCAGCACCCTTTGAGGACCCTCGGAGGGTCCTCAAAGGGCCCTTCGGACTTTGCCTATGAAAGCTTTGCCTAAAGAATTCTTTATGATTTGAAAGCTTCTACTATTCAATGGAAATCATGAAAATCACAAAAAATACTCTGAATTCAATCGAAACGTCTCAGAAAAAGTCAAAAACGAATTTTTAAGACCTCTCTTGTACCTGATGTTCTACGAGCCAAATTCACAACTTCTCTGCCTAAGCCACAGCTCCTGCCGCCGTTTAAACACAGTTAAATCAATGAAAGTCGATTGCACATGTACTCTTACATTGAAGATGCAATAAACAGTAAACAAACAAACAAGAAATTATGCCGTGTTCAAAGTAATTTCCGCGAAATGCGAAATTGTCTCTGACCCTCCAAAATTTAGTTATCTTTCTCTTTCTCTGACGGCTATTTTGAATTTCGCGGAACCACTTTGAACACGGCATTATAAACTTTCAAAAAAAAAATTCTGTTGTGCAAGTACGCTCCAACGAACGCAAGGGCGCGGTAAAATGACACGCCTCATCCGCTCGCTTGCGAGTTCCCTTTTGGAACGCCGTGATGAAAATATAATGTACGTTTCAAATGATTTGGTTGATGCAGGTCGAAAAACCTCCTTCCCAAGCCTTCCAGGGTCTTATTGGATATATCCAATATAAAGCTTTATAAAGCTGAAACAAAAAAAATTCGGCAGTATGTCAATTTTCGTCGTCAGTAGCTGCACAAAAAATCTCACACTTGACGACTTTTTTTTGCCGACAGGACGTATATACGTCCTGTATAGCTCTGGGATCGCCGTGTGCACGGACATGCGTGTATAGCTGATGAACGGCTGGCTTGAGCCATCGAAAAATGGGTCCTGACACGATTAAAAGGAGACAGTTGCTGGTTGGTGGCGCAAACATATAATTTATTCGACAGAAGCGAGAATGAATGGCTTCTGTCGTATCAGTGCGTTGAAAATGCATGATTTTTGAATTGATGGATAATTTTTACCTTGCGCAGGAAAGGCTCATTCACTTTGTACAAAAACTTGAAAATTTAATTTATCTTTTCGCTTTTTTTTTTCATAACCAAGAATCTGCACAGTTCATCATTCTAACAGCGCCGGTTTAGGGAAAGAATAAGCATACAGATTGTTCCGAGGTGTGCCTAAAAATAATCCAATGTTACTCGAAAATAAAAAGAACTAAACTGTTAGTTAAGCAAGTTAAGCAACTACAGCCCATTATAATCAAATTATTTTCTGTAAAACCAAAAAAAAAAGAGAGAACAAAATGAATTCTGTTCAGAAAGGAGTCCCGACCAAACCAGAAGTTTTTCTGATTTTGTGAAAATTAGCATCGTTTTTTACTCAGATTTTGGTATCCACCACTGGAACGTGTTTTTGCAGAAACCACCGATGAATAAACCAGGAGGATGTCGTACTTTTGCACATGTGCGCGGGAATTCAAAGAAGAAGCTGGGTGGCAGGCGCAAGTGTTGCCCCGTGCCTGTCCGGCCGAGTGTCCGCCCTCCGGCTGCCTAGCCGCTGCGATTTCCGCCGCCCGCACCTCGGCCCCATGCTCCGTCTGCTCGCCTTCTTTGTCGTCGTCTTCCACCTCGTCGAAGTAGGTCTGAAGATGGGTGTCTGACACGGTGGCCGCCCTGACGGCAAAGATGAATCTGCCGCGGAAAGCGAGTCACAAAAAGAAAAGCTAGAAAAAATATGAGTTTGCGCTGCTTCATATGCGCTCTATAGATGATCCGAAAGAGCCTGGACTCACTTCATCCGATATTTTCAATCTTTTGTTGAAAACCAAAATAGAAGTTCATTGAATGTGAAAAATGTTTGAAAACCGTAAATTTTTTGAATGTAATGAAATATCCGCATTTTTGGTTGTTTAAAGTTTTTTTTCTCTTTATCTGGGTTGTAGAAAACTTTGACAGAAGTTAAACCTTTTTTTACTGTATAACTGAAAAAAACCATAGTTTGTTAAAAATTTAATTGACGAGTAATTTTTTTCTATTTTTTTCAATAGTTATGGTTTTCGTTTTCAATAGTTATCAGCGATTGATTTTTTTTTTTTTTGAAAAATTCTCACTTAGGAAGAGCATTTTTCTTGTTTTGGCCTTTTTCGAATTTCTTTCGATTTTTTTGGCGGCTTCAAATTTTGCCCTTTTTTGTCATATGTCCTTAAGGCTTGTTGTGGAGAAAAATATGTTTCTAGGGAATAGTAAGATGGTTATCTCCTTCGAGAATCAATCCAGTTTTTGTCGAAAAGGATGAAATCCGGGAATATTTCAGCCAAACTACCGACAACAGCCTTACCAACCGCAGCAACAGTCGCCCTACCATCACCACCACCAGGCTTCCAACCAACCAGCGCCGACGCCGTCCGCCGTGCAGAGCTACCACCAGAAGCAGCAGCAGCAGAGACATGAGCAGCACCAGCGACAGCAGCAAGAGCAGCAGCAGAAGTACCAGAGTCCGTCGTTCTTTCTGAAGCGTGTTCTGACGACGTCGTTTTGCAGACTCGGTGAAGGCTTACCACACGCAGTATCCGACGGTGCCGCACGCCTCCGTCGTCAATCCACCGACCCACCAAGTCTGCGACCTGCCGCCGGATCTTTGGTTCGTTTCGCTCTCTTCAAGACCTTACTGCATCATTTGTCGTGTTCCTTCGAAAAAAGAGGCTATGAAGCTTCCGGAGAATATCTCGAATTGTTTTTGCAGGTGCGACAGTGCTCAGGCGGCCCAACAATGCGGGGTTCAAAGGCAGTGCGACGCTTTGAAACACCGGCGGCAGCCTCTGAAAGTCACTCTCATTTACGAAGCTCTGTGTCCTTATTGTCAAAAGTAAGTGGTTTTCAGAAAACGAGTAATGAAAAAAAAAATGAATATCTTCTACTGCGAAAAGAAAAATTCCATTACAAACTACAAAAAGCAAAAAAAAAACTTCCGAAGCGTTTCAAAATTCAGAGGAGATAACTTATGAGAAAAATTACTCAAGAAAATATCCTCATGGAAAGTTGTTTAATTTTTGTTGTTTTTTCGGCTCGAGCCATTATTTTCAGATTTATCGCCAATCAGCTGGGCAGCGTTTTCAACCAGTTCCAAGGACAGTTCGTCCTCGAACTCGTTCCTTGGGGCAACGCCAGAATCCTGCGGGTTGGTTTTTCGTCCGAGCGGATCATGCTGTCGACGGCAGTTCATTAATAATGTCGAGCTTTTGCACGCACTATTTTTTCGCGTCTTGTCGGAGAAAAGTCGGCGCGTCAAACAGCTGCTGCGAAAAGACACGAGCTGCATCAAAGAAAAAGAAGTAAATGTTGAAAAGAAAAACTTGCAGGATTCTTCATTCCGAATCATTTTGAAGGCTAACTGAGGCTTTGAAAATGAAGATTTGAAACAGATCTGATACAAATATACAAACAAAAAAAACAAAAGAACTATCACAGTTTATTAATTGAGGCTCTATGAAAACGGTGCCAAACACTTTTTGATGCACCAGATAAAGATCCTCAAATTTTTCAAGTCCAAAAATATCTTTTCTATCTTTTTGGCAAGAGGATTCGTAATTCCTGAATGACCCATCCGACCAGTCTTTTTTTCATTTTTTTATTTTTTTATTTTTTTGTTGTTCGACTACAAAGCCTCCTTCAAACTCTTTGAGTCTTCAATTGAAATTTCCAAAATTCTTCTGGCCAATTCTCAGAAAATTCCTAATTAAAAAGTGAACTGACTATCCTTGTAAGTTACAGTCCAGACGCGCTCAGCTCTAATCACGATCTTCAGGACGGCTCATTTTCCTGCAATCACGGTCAGAAGGAATGCGACGCCAACAGAATACAATCGTGTGTCCTGGACATCCTTAAGGTTTTCCTGGCCATGCTTAAACGAGAACTTGACATCAACATGAAAGCTAGAAAGAAACTCTGTTTGCAATGAGAACGTTTGCAGGTAAAAGGAGCCCTGCCGTTCATCGTCTGCTTCGAACGCAACATCCAGCACTACAGCGTCGAACACGCGATGCAGTCATGCAGTGCTTTCATTCGCAGTCAGTACAGGCAAATCAGGTACCATGAACTCATTTTACTCGGAATCCTGGAAACAAAACCAAAATCCCAGACAATGCTACGACGGTCCGAGAGGTATTCAACTTCAGCGGGAGGCCGCTCACAAAACGATGACGACTAGGCCGAACGCTATTCTCGAGGTATACTGTGTCTATAGAGTTCGAAATTCATTTGTTACAGCTTCGTTTTCAATAATCTGCAGTATTGTGTAATTTCTCGCGCGTCAAAAATTTCAAATAGATGTCTGATCTTATATTGAGCAATAAATCAGAGGAAAAAGAGTGGAATAGAACACGACAGGTGCAAAAGAAAGAGGCGCTATAAATCACCCAATCCTAATTGTAAACATGTTTCCAAATGGTCCAAAAACTGTGGAACAAAAATAGCCTTTTTTTGTTTTTTTTTCCTCAAAACCAGACAATTTATAGGTTCCTTATCTGCTTATAAACGACTACACGCCTTCCGTTGACAACAACAATCTCAACGTAATGCTTTTGCCGCAGCTTCTCAACAAATGGACAAAAATGATCAACCGCAACTGACTGAAACCAGAGTGATAAGTCTCAAAAACCTCGGGCCCAAAAATCTTTTTTCTTCCTCCTTGTTTTGACACTGAATGAAATTTTAAAAAAAAACTCGAGTTTATTCGTGCAATTTAACAAGATGTTATCGTTGAAACTTTTAAACGGGTTCTTTGAGTGGTAAAATGGAAATTTTGACCCGAAAATGACAAATTTTCGCAAAAAAAATAAATCAAATGGTTCAAGATCAAAGGATTCGAACTCAATAATGTTCAGGAAAAGGAAACAGAGCGCAGTAGAAATACTTATTGAAGAGACGTCGTGGCCAACATGCCGGCCAAGTTTTGAACAATGTTGTCGTTCATCATTTCGGTTACCTGAAATTGCAGATCTATTAAACATAATCTTCAAAAAGTATCTACGAATCAGCCACCACAAAAGGATATAATCATCGCAAAGCGAATTGAACAAAAATAGAAACCTCTTCGCCGATGTGCCTTTTGGGGTCTTGTTTTCCAACGTTTTTGATCGCCAACTCTTCGTCGGTCATCTTTTCTTCATCTTCCAGAGCCTCAAACAGAGAGTAGGAAACAAAGAAACGCGGAAAAAACCTTCTTGTAATTTTTCGCGAGTTTCAACATGGCCTGCAGATGTTCTCTGTTCTTCTCCCCGCATTTGGTGTAGTTTTGTACGTTGACGGCGTCCATCCAAGACAATTTGTTCAGATTCAACAGCATCTATTGGAAAACAAGATGTTGAGAACTCGATATTCGAGAAAGCAAAAGAAAAAACCTTCTGCTCCAGGTCGTGAGTACGGTAAGCAATAGGAATCGAGTAATAATGACGGTTGAGGCCATGGATGAGCGCCTGAAACAAACTTTTGCACAAAATCTTTTAAAAAGTTTTTCTTTAAGAAAATAAAGACCTGGATGCTCGGCTTCTGCAAATGGCCCAAGTTGCTGGTTGTTTGTCGAGGTTCCTGGTTCAAGGCCATCGCCTGTGGATTGATCGTGCGGAAAGCGTCGATCACAACCTTCAACTCAACAAATAAGCCCTTTCAGATTTCTAAAAAATAAAAACTTTTTCAATGATATATTTTCGCTTAATTTTTTTAATCCAAAGAAAGCCAAAAATTTAAAGAATGTACATAGGCGAATCGAGAAAGGCTATCGCAAGACCCTCTGAGGTAAATCTCAGGCTCTCACGATGGTACCTCGAGGATACCTCTGAGGATTTTGAGCAAAATGAGAGGGGCTTGAGAGAAACTGTACTTTCGAGATGGCTCAGATATAGCTAAGAGGTATGTCGGAGGTCTCATGATGGACACATTATGAGGTTTTCAGGATCCATTTTGAGAGATACCTTTGTGGACACATTATGGTACCTTCTCGATTCGCCTATTTTCCAATAACCATTCTGGCCGTTCCTAACAATTCAGTAAGGTACGACAAACACTGAAATTCTGTTTTTTTATGTTCAAAGTGATTTCCTGAGAGGAAAAAAAAACAAGATCAGGATTATTATGAGGTGTTCAACGTAACTTAACATCAGTATCAGATCATTTATATATTTATTTAAATCTGAAAACAGATAAAAATTTTTTTGGTTATAGTTTAGAAAAATGAAAAAAAATTTTTGAATCAGTGAAATTCCGAACTGGTTAACTTGCAGAGCTCCGAATTTGGTGTTGCAACTTATCGGCGGTACCATTTTATTTGCAAAAAAATTGCAATTATTTGTGAAAAAAATTCTTTCATGGATGGTAAAAAAAGATAACTGAAGGACTCGTACTGTGAATATTAAAATACAAAATAAAGTAATGAAAAAAAAAATGATAAAACGTTATTGTCACACTCAAAGTTGAAAAAAAAACTATACGAGGGGAAAGAACCTTTCCATAAGAAAAAAAAAATGATAAAACGTTATTGTCACACTCAAAGTTGAAAAAAAAAACTATACGATGGGAAAGAACCTTTCCATAAGAAAATGTTTTTCCTTCGAACGATGTTTTTAAACTTCGAACACGCTTACCCAAAGAAACTGGAGAAAAAGGATGAAACCACAACAGTACGAACCTTCCCTTTGACTGACTGGATCGGATCAACGACGACGGCCACGGCGCGATCCGAAAGAGCTTCGAAAGACTGCTGCGTGTTGATGTCGACTCCTGAGAGCCAGCAACCGAAGCCCGGATGAGAGTGGTACCTGAAACAAAGACTTTAGGGACCTCATATCCTGAACGACGAACCATCCAACAACCATTTCCGGGCGGCCTGTCTGCTTCAACATGTCGAGCATTTTAGCTTGGAAAACTGGATCGACAGCTTCAACAGAAACTCCCTAACAACAAATTAAGGTTAAAAAAAACGAGAAAAATACTAACCGTTCCTGATTGAGGCATGGCGAAAACATCAATGACATTTACTGTATATTCGTCAATGAACTCTCCAAGCATCAAGCCCATAACCTAAAAATAACATTAAAACTTTTCTGAAGAAAATACATGAAAAAACTCACTTCCATTGGAACACCAGCGCGACCGTGCTTTAACATTTTTAAAAGAGCCAAGGAAGAAATGTAAACGGTTTCAGAAGTATCAACCTGATTCGAGTCTTGTGGATTACCCCCAAACTGTAAAAATTTTATCGAAAATGAACCAAAAAATAAATCATACCTGTCCAAGACCTCCTCCGAGACCGCCAAGACGCAAAAAACGTTCCATGTTCACTAAACATAAAGTTTTACTTTTCTAAAGCAACAAATTTAATTTAATAAACAGAATGATAGCCGAACTCTATTGAAAAGAAATGATGAGAATGCGGCGAAATTACGGGAGTATGCAGCACTCAGGCGCCAAAGAGCAGAAGAGTCGTGGAAAAATTACGGTCGTCAGTATTCTTCAAAATTATATGTATTGTAAACATATACCTAAATGTAGTATTATAGTTCTTATTTAGTGCTCTACGATGTATACGTGTATGATGATGAATTATAGATTTGGAGATTAGAAATTTTGTATGTTTTTATGCGCTTAATATCGAAAAAATGGTGCAATATGATAATCTTGATAATACCAAAACCTCTTCGAAAATAAGGACAAGAATTTTAATGTGATTACGCCACTTTTTTTTACGAAAGCTAATTTTAAAAAAATTGACTCACGAAAGCGTGAAAGAGAAACAAAGCATTTTTATCCGCAGCTGTTTTCTCGACTGCAGCCTTTTGGAAATGACCAATAGGATGCCAAACAAAGTAAATTAACTATAGACAGTATTCATCTTGTATTTTGAAGGGCAGTGCCGAGAAGAAATATGGGAAGCAGACGAAATCAGTTTCAGAAATAGACGACAAGACTTCCACTACAAAAACGCAAAAAACTATCCGGTTATACAGCCAGTAAAGATTTTCTTGTTGATTAATTGTTTAAGGAAAGTTGAACCGAAAAACTCAATGAAGTCACAAGCAGTGTGAGTTTTTTCCCCTTTCAAAGAGTCTTTCTCGGAGCCGAATAAATATGTTGTTTCCTAGTCTATCTGATCAAACTTTCAATCTTGCAGTGTACGGAAGAAAAGGAATGAAGAATACCCAACAAAAAACAGTCGGGAACCGTCCGAAGCAAAATCTTCAAATGTCCGACAGTAAGATTCCAGTTTTTTCAATGGAGTTAAAACAAAACAAAAAACAAAACAAAACCTGAAGGACTAAATAAATCAGGGCGTATTTTTTTAAGTTTCAGAAAAAAGAAAATATCCAAACCGTCTCATGAAAGCACAAAATCGACCACACAGTGAGTGCGAAATAAAATTTAGTTATTAAAATTTGATCGAAAAATCAAGAAAACAGAAGCCAAGCCGCGAACAGAGTCGGGACCCAAACAGCTGTCAGCAGTATGTTTCATTTGAGTATAGTGGAAAAAAAGGAGATTCCGATAAACTTTTAACACCTTTTGTGAACTTAAAAAGGAGCTTTAGGCTCTTCTTTTTAAGTTCTTTTTTAGGTCATTCGGACTTTGCCTGTGTAGAACGATTGAATACTTATTAATTTGCAAGCTTTTTTTAGGTCTTCCTCCGCCAAAAAGGCTTCATCCGAGAAAGCTGTCGAAGTTGCTAGCCAAGAGTGAGTATTTTGAATTTTCTGGAACTATTTCAATATTCCAATGTGCCGATTTCAGAAAAGAGGACAATCTGAAATCGAGTGAGTCAATTTTATACAGAAGGAAACCCTTTTGTTAGACCTTTCGGGAAGACTTCGAGAGTTCGGCAAAAACATGCGAAAGTTCGTCAACCGTCCTATCGACGCTTCTAACTTGAAGCGACTCTCAGAAAAAGCGCGAGAAAAACAGATGAACTCAGCAAAAGTTTATCCGCTCTATGGCGAAATTCTGAAAAAGTGTTCAGATTGCACCAAGAAGTGGGGAGAGCGTTTTCGTGTCTCGAAAAACCCTACCTGTTCTGGAAAGTGATGTACTCGGCTTCTTGATCACCAGATTTTGAATTTTTTTTTTGAGCCTGGTCTGGAGAAAACGGCGGAAGAAGAAGATTTTGAGCAGCCGAAAAGTGACGGAAGAAGCATCATGTTGGTCGCCAACAACTTTGACAACAACGGCAAGCTCATGATCCGAGGCATGCCTTTCTGGACTTTTCCTCGTCAACCAACGACTGAAGACCAGGCGAGTGTCGGTTTCAGTAGAGAGCTATCAGTACTCTGATATCAGAGTACTCGTGTGAATTTTTGCTCTGTGTTGGAAGTTTATTAGTTACAGAAGGGTATCGAAGAGTCTGTGGAAGTGGATGCCGACGTTATTCTACAAGTTAACGACGGCACAATAAAACTCAAGAGTATGCCTTGCATGCCGTAAGTCTTTCATTTTGTGCAGAAATTGACTTTCAGTTAGCCAATGATATTCCTTTCATTCATAACATTTTAGTTTGATTTCGGGTCTTACAAAGCGATTTAAAGTATTGAATGAAAATCAAATCTCGCCAGTACAAGGCCTGGACTCACAATGAAACTTCTAAGTGAAGGTTACTAGATGCGATAGTTCATGTTGATTCCGAATCTGAGCTCACGAGCGTCTTTGAATCCGATTAGGAGCAAAAATACTGCTTGAAGCAGAAAATACTTATGAGAAAAAATATTAGAGAATTGTCTCTTGAAGGATCTCTCTTGACCCATTGGCGGAGGTAGATGTTCTAAAAAGACGAGACAAGTCATTTTTCAACCGCGACGTCATCTTCGCCAACACACTTCGCTCGACAATCAACCTCTGCGGTAAATTTTTTCATTTTTTATCGAAAACGGTTCTCAGAAACGATAACCGTTCTCACCGACGAGAAATCACGCGCTGAGCGACCGAAGAAGCTGCTCATTTCGGAGCCCGTCAAAGCAAAAGTATATCAGAAGAACAGCGTCAGAATGCTTTCAGAGTTATCTTATAAAGTGATAAATTTTCAGAAAGATAAGTTCAAAGTTCGAGAAGAAAAGTTTGCTCCGTGCATGTTTGACAAAATGGAAAGTGAAACGCGAAGAAAAAAGAGGCGAAAAAAAGTTCCAACGGTGGAATGACAACGGGGATTTTCGTGGTTGAGAAATATTGTAATAAATTTTTTTTTTCTCGCAACGACTTTATATCGATTGGATAAATTTAATATTTCTAACTCCATTTTCGTCTATTCTAGCTTTTTCCTGTTTTTCAGAGGTTTCGAGCTGAAATCTTCACGAACCAGTTCATAAATCACAAAAAGAAGTGCGATGCTCCAAAGTTGAAGCCTGGAATGCTTCAAAAAGCCTTTTTTCACAGAACATCAACGCCCGGCTGCTCCGAACCGTTCTCAGCAACTGTTTTCAGACGCGGCTGATAATCCTAGCGTTTCTGTTCTCGTTGTGCTTCGCGTCGATCTGTTTGTTCTGCCATCGACTGCATCCGACTCCTTTGCTCGTTTCTTTTCCGCAATTTCGTCAAGGGGCCACTCTTGAGCATCCTGTACTACGCCATGTTGTTTTCAACACTTTCTCTCGCCTTTCTCGTACTTTCTCTAGATGTGTCCGTGGCGGAAGAAGTTGGTAAGCTTTTTCGGATACCGAGAGAAATCTTCAATTGATATCGTGTATCTACTTGTGTACTTCAATGGTTTTTCTAAATGGAAGTAGGTAATCGATACAATTATTTTGGCTCGTAGAAGTTAGAATCGAATAACACTCAAATTCATATAAATTTGATCGAACTCAAAACTTTTGCAGACAGTTTGTGGTGCCAGCAGGGCGAGCGAAAAACTTACAAGCCGATCCAATGTCCCGAGCAAACAGTCGAGTGCTTCAAGTTCGTGTGTTCCGGCATAGAAGGTAGTAATACTATTTAATAATTGCCTTTTTTATATTCTTTTGAAGTTGCTTTTAAAATAATTTTGTTTGTAAAATTAAAAGTTCTCTAGATCTAACAAACATTTTATTTTTTTGAAACATTTTGAAGCACGTACTTTTGTTTTAAATAGCCCTTTGAAATCTTATCAATGATAGTCCAGAACATTAAACCAACTATTTGAATATCTAGATGAAAAAATAAATGGAAACTTAAAAAGACTAAAGAAAATATTTTCTTGGTTTTTCAAGTTCAAGGACCGCAATCAAAACATTAAAACACCTGAAATTAAATTGTATGCACAGTTCGGAAGCTGAGAACTTTTAGTTTCATAAATTATTCAATCGATTTAAAATCCATCAGATAAAATCAAGTTTTTGGCAAAAATAGTTGTGCCTAAAAAGTTTAACAGAAAGCACTTCGAATAAATTTTTCCACACGGCTTTTTTTTGGATTGAGTTTGAACATTTTGAGAGGCAAAATAAAATAAAAACGTGTTCAGAAGGGTTCAACACGCGTGGCTGCGGAGTGTCGGTGCTGACGACGGCGGCGGGATTGCCCGAGGAGAGCTGCCATCAGGCTCAGTCCGTCTGCGAGCAGCTCGGCGGCAACTCCTCCTGTTCCCTTTGTCACGACAAGCATCTCTGCAACAGCTCTTTTCTTTCTGTTCCCTTCTTGGCGGCTCCGCTGCTCATGCTCATAAAGTTATTATTTTGAACTTCTTTCTTGCAGAAGCAACAGTTTCGGAAATTCTTAGATTTTCTGAGATTTCACAGATACCATCCAGAAGCGTCTTGTCCAAGTGCCAAGAAGTCGCATGAGGCCTGAAAGACTTCTCGGAGTCCGTATTTTGTTCTCAACTCTCAGATCAAATAATCAAAGACTTCTGGGCTGCTTCAAACACTAAATCACCAAATGCTTCAGTTTTTTTTTGCAAATTTTGTCGCATAAGGGCATTGAAAAATAAAAAATAATTTATATAGAAAAATATAAGATTTGGCCGCAATAGTACAAAGTTTCAAAAAAGAGGAAATTTTTCGCTCTCAGTTTCATGAAAATACGTGTTTAAGTGAAAATAAAAAGACCATCACGGATGTTTAAGTGATACAGGAAAAAAGAACACATTTTGCTTTTCAGTGATGTGCAGATGCTTCCCGTTTCGTTTTCTCGAACTCTAGTGTTAAAAAAAGGGAAATCAATTAAGCACCTCTAAATTCGAAGTCAAGCAAGCGGGTAACTACCGATAAAGTAGGAATTTGAGATGAAAAGTATGTTCGAAGGTTCAGAAGATACAAAAGAGAGAGAGAAAGGCAAAAAAAAAATCTCAAGAAGAAAAGTTGCAATCAACGGGACTATAATCGTTTGCCCTGATTGGACAATTGCGTGGGAAAATGGAGGAAAGATTCAAAGATTGTCGACGAAGAACTCGTAGGGGTGGTTCATGGCGATGCGGAAAGACTGCCGTGACGACGACATCTCCGGCGGCATCGCGTCGAGGGCGCCGCCGTGGCACGACGGATTCGGCGGCAGGATCACGTTCCGACTGCAAACGTCTTCATCAGTTTAACAACCTTTTCCAAGGTTTCGCTATCAGGAATTTTGTGACATTATAATCCAGAAAGATATAGGCTCCAATACAAAAGTTTCTAAAAAAGAATTCGGAAAAAAAGAGTATAATAATCAAAACGAGACCCATTTATTCAAAATTTCCAGTAAATACGTACAAATTTTGAAAATTTGGCTGTCGCCAGTCATGCTCATCCCATGTATGCTGCTACGATCTCTTCATTCATAAATAATTTTAGAAAAAAAATCAATATCAACTCAGCTTTCAATTTTATGACAGAAGAGGCGCCCGATTTTACTTAGAAAAAGGTATCAATCTCTAAGAAGTTTGCGCAAAAACATTTACAGCACGGCTATTTTTTCTCTCAACATTTGCTCTCATAAATTCATATTAGAAAAGGAGAGTAAGAGTTTTGAATGAGTCATGGAACCTGGAAGAAGAGACTGCAACAAAAAGAAGAAACGAACTGTCTTCGGTCGCTCCCGCTGCTGCCGTCGCCGGAAGCCCCGCTCGCCTGACTCCGCATGTCGGCAGCGCCTTCCCGTTTCAGCTGAACTGGGTACGGCGAAACGGGCATCGACGCGTAGCCGCTCACCTGCAAACGCACCTCGAAAATCAACTTTAGCATTTCAATTTCAAACTGAAGTGAGCAAATTTGGACTGTAGATATACACGAGCGGTATTTCCGAAAAAAATTCAAAAATGCTATAATCCAGCTAATCATCTTTTCTTTTTGAGTGTAGAATACCTGCTGGAAACTATTTACTACTGCCGTCTGGTGAAAAATATTTCTTTCGCTCAGTTTTTTTTGCTCAAATCAGTTGACCAATATCTAATGTTTGTGCAAGTATGAGGTTGCGACTGGAAGGTTTTCAAAGAAATATTTTATTTCAAAGCTTGCACGTGCAAATGGACAAGAACATGTGACATGGAAAAAAAGGAACTAAACAAAAACTCTTTAAAAAATGATAGAAGTTGATTCGGTTTACAAATTACGTGAGTTAGTTTCCAGAATTGTTTTTTCGATGAAACAAGTTCAACAAAATCTACAGATTAACAAAGCTCCTTTATAGCACCGGAAAGTAACTTCGGAGCAAATTAATTAAAATCCTAAGCTCATAAAAAACAAATAAATAAGAGAAAATGAGTGACATAAATAAATCGTGCAAAGCAACAATTCGACCGGCAAATTTTGGTGTGTTCAAGTGTTTCTTATAACTTTTGTACAGAGAACAAGCCTATAAATATCAAAGAGAATTTTAAAAAAAGTTGAGAAAATGATCTCTTGCCTCATGCGGAGACTCGCAAAACTCAACGAAGAAGCCGTATTGAGTGATAGGAAAAAACTGGAGGCTAGGTTAATTAAAAGTTGCCGTATGAAAAATGAATATATTTTCTAAAACATGCTGTTTCCCAATGAAAAGTCTGCAAATAATCGTGTCTACGAAACGGTAAAAATAAAACAGCTTCTGTGCCGAGATAAAAAGCGGTGAGGATTGAAGCTAAAATTTGAAAAGTGCCTAGATATGCATAACATACATGCGTGCAGCAGCATCGCTCACCATCGAGGAGGCGATCGGAGGCTTCTGGACGCCCGCGGGCAAAAAGACGTTCTGCGGGGGTCCGCCCGCGGTCCACTGCCACTTCGGCTGTCCGTCTTCGTTGCGATACCGTGCAAAGTCTGTAAAAGCAATTTTCTTTCAATACCTGAGACATTTTTCTAAGGGACATTTTTCCTGTTCGCGATGAAACCTCTGAAGAAACTCTCGTTCGAAATTGAACTTTTCATAGCAAAGTCAGAAAAAAGAAAGCCTGATTCGAAATAAACACGATTGTTCGTCATAAGTAGGTCATGGAAAAAAAAACGCACGGATAAATTAAAAGGCGCCCTAATCTCTCATATGACTGAGTTTTTTGCTAATTGTGACCGGCTTTCCCACGAAATTTCTGAGAAATCTTATATAAGTTATACAGTTAAATTCGAAAAAAACCCACTTTTTTAGTAGCTCAAGAAGTTGAAAATTTACCTGCGCAGTCGTCGCCGAGAACGTAGTAGCACTGTTCTGTGAAGGTGATCTTATTCACGACGTGGGCTATCAGTTTTTGTTTCAGCAAGTCCGAGGCGTATTTCCGAGCATCTTTTCTCTCTCGCAAGCCCTCCACATGGTCCAACAGCCATTCTACGAGGTCAGAGCCTGCAAAAAACCAAAACTCGTATTTGAAACATTGCTGAATATCAATTGCCTTTTCATAATCCCAAAGAATGATTTTGAACTCAATGATAAACGTTTTCTTCATTCTGATTCAGTTTTCATTTCGCTACAGATAGACAAAGTCTCACCAAGGAACGACATGGGTATCGGAATTTTCAACCAGGTCCGGTTCTTGATGTCGAGTCCAGACGCAGGCATCGCCATCACTTCGACGACCTCAAAATTATGCTTTGGAAAGATAAAAAACGGAAAAGGATACTTTTTTCTTGTCCGTATGGATGTCAAGCCGAATTTGCGACTGTCCAACTACCGTATTCTGCCCATTAGAGCCCGTCGACGTCACCGTCGAGCTGCTCGCTGGCCTTCCGTGAGGCCATTCTCCTGGTATCGGCGTTGGCGCCCCTTCAGATCCTGCAAATATCAAGTCTATTAATGAATATTTCAATTAAAGCTGGAAAATAAATCATCATTTGGAAAAAATACAATTTGCGGAAAATACCAAAAAAATCAAAAATTTTCATTAGTTGGGTTCATTTTTATTTCTGAAAGTGCACAAGACGGAAATCGGGGAAACGTCACTTTGCCGGCGTCGGATTCACAAAAAGAGACCTTCAATTATGCTTGGCATGCCACGCATCGCGTTGGTGTGCTGGATCCAGGCCTGGGTGTCGATCGGACGGACGGGCTCCTCGCGGCTGTTCCGCGGGATCGTGAAGCAGCTCTTCGGTCCGTTCTCGAAGCACTTGGCCACTGTCAGTTTGATCGGCCCTCTCCGACTCACAGCATCCCTGAAACAACCCTTTCATCCTTTCCAGCTGTTGACGACCACCGACATTACCCATAAACTTCAAAGTTATCTTTGATTTATTTGAAGTTAGTTATCTCCTGGAGATAACATAAAAACTTTGAGTACCTGATAGATTTATAAATAACCAAAGAAAGAACAACTAAGCTGTCAAAAAGGTACCTGAGGACGTCAACAGCCTGGTCATTGGTGAAATTCTCGAAAGAAATATCGTTGACTTGTAAGATCATGTCGCCCGCTTCTATCCGTCCATCCAAAGCAACAGCGCCGCCTCAAATTTATAACCATGGAAAAAAGCAAATCGAAATCATTAGAAAATTCTCTCAATTCTTTGCCCACAAAATATACATCGACTGCTAGAAGAACCTTTTTTTCGAAAGGAGGGTCCAAAAAAGTTGCTGAAGATCTAAGCTTAACTTATTGAAAGAAGTATTGTCATTTGAAAATCGAAAGGACCTTTCATGATGTTGGCGACGTAGATTCCATTGTCTCCACGTGTAGACGTTTGTCCGACGATCGAAATTCCCAGGAAGTTGACCGTGTCCATGTTCAGCGTCACTGTGATCACGTCCAAACTCATCGATGATTCTGAAACGTCACGTTGTCAAAGAAGAAAAGGAGTGTTCTAGAAATCGAAGTAGGGAGAAATAAATTTGACTCATAAAACTTATCACATTATTTTCATTGCCCTCAAAAAATCTTTAAAAAGAGAAGACAAAGAGTTATTTTTAGTCTATTGTTTGCATCTTTAAGGAATCACATCTGAAAAAACATTACACATTGAAGCATTATAATTTTAAAAATATTTCAAGGAGGAAAGCAATTTTTACCAGTAATGCTCGAAAAAGACGAAGCTCGCGATGGTCGTCTGAAATTACGCCGACTTCTTCTTTTTCTCGCCATTTTTTCATGTTGTCTGGAAACCGAAGTGAAGTCGGTCGTCGTCGAGCCTCTGGAAAACGGTTATTCCATTCGCTTTCTTTTTATTGGCATTGTCTATTTCAAAATTTCAGTTGATGCGTAAAAAAAAAGATGTTCAGTAGTCCAAAAAATACTCATTCAAAACTCCTTCCGTGAATCTTGTTCGGATTAATTCTTTCAAATTAAACTTACAACATGGACTTAAATATCCATTTTATAATAGAAGTAGGTCATTTCATGCCTTTTTTCAGAAAATAAAACTTTACAGCTACTCTTTCCAAATTAGTTTTTTTTTTAAAGCCAAGAAGGTCTGCTTATGTATAACTTTTCATTCATCTGAACTTCCTCGGGAAATTACAAACAGGAAAAAAAAAACAAAGGCACATTACGCGGCGTGCACTATTACACATTGAAGGACATAGAACAGGAAAAAAAAAGTGATTCGCGGCGTCCCTCATGATCCGCTCGAACAGGGTAATGTGCTGGATTTATGAGCCGGGCTTCTCCGTTCAAATTCAACGTCAATAGTTCGGGTGCACTTTTTAAAAGTATATTCCGCTTTTCCGAGATTTGGATAGTATTTAAGAAAAGTAAGAAGGATTTTTCCTAAATTGAGAAACTCATTAAGGTGTTTTTTACATATGGAAAAAAATTGAAGGACTCTTTTTTCGATTTTCCCCTACTCCTATTGTAACACTCTTTGCCTATATAGTTATTAGAAAAATTTTTGATAGAGAATAAATTGAAGAAGTTGACAAACATATTTCGCGGTTGCCGTATCGCATAATAATAATCTTCAGAGGTTGAGGTTGTAGAATAGTAATTTTTGCCATCAGAACTTCCGAATTCTCCATCGTCTGTCTGGTAACCGCTCATCTATCACTTCAAGGTTTGAAGAATATACGCAGATCACATCAATAAGACGTAATAATTCGAAGTGTTTTTAGACGGTTATAGATACAGAATACAGAAGAAATTCCAAAATAGGAGATCGACTGAAAACCACGGCAGATGGAGTCAAACAAACTCTCGAAAAGACGATCGCGGGAATTCTTCGCGTCTTCGATGACTAATCCAGGCGATGTGAAATGCTGCGACGTGAGCAAATCCAGCTCATCAGTCAAAATGCGCGGCAAATCGAAGTCAGAGAAAAGAATAGTGCAAATTTTTTGAACAATGGGGAACGTTCTGGCAAACTTTTTTTCGAAAAAAAGAAATTTTCTATTCGTTGCTAAGTTCTCACTCAAAAGACTTGAAAAGAAACCTGTCATCATCGTCAGAGAACATGCGCGCATCGCTTTCCGAGCCCAACGTTGATTCTTCCAAATGCCGTCGATGACCTGAAAAATATAAACTAAAATTTTTCTCAGAAAAACCTTCATTCCTATTTCACTTTTAAAAAATTTCGGAACTCGCCAATCAAGTAAAATGAAGCGTTTCCGCTCATCTCGCTCGTGAGTGAAAGATGAGAAGTTCTGTGCAAAAATCCGATCAGATGTCGTCGTGGCGACGCATCAGGTGCAGCGTCTTTTCGGCCTTGAAAAGTGCTGGTCGTGTGGCTTCCGCCGTAGCGTCGCAACTGTCTTCTGTCTTTCTTTTGAAGTTCTTCGTTTGCCCGTGCCGTCGTCGAGGTGGCGTCGTCGCCATTATCGTGTTCATACAGAGGTGGGAGAGTCTGAGGCGGCAAAGCCACTGTCAGAGTCCTGCTCATCGGTCTCGACCCCAACATCTTCCGCCGCTCATTTCGCATCAAAGGTCCTCCTGCGACAGTCAAAGGTCTTCTGCGGTTAATAGCAAGCCAATTTTCGTCCGCGCCGTCGACTAGAGTTTCTTCGAGCTCTTTCGGCGGCGTTGCTCGTCTTTGCAGCACCAGCGAAGGGATGGGTCTGTCGGTGCGTCTGGGCTCAAGCGGACGCAACGTGTATTCAGCGGCAAAGTCGAGGTTGGGAGACAAAAGCGAGGGCGCCGGGATATGACAACTTTTGGTCATCCGATTTGACGCTGATTTCCGCGTAGTCTTGTCCGACTCGCGACGTTCTACGCAGGATGTTCGCGTCGCTCCTCCTCCACCTCCTCCTCCGCCACCGCCCAAGCCCTTTGTCAATTTCATAAGCCCTCCGAAGATCTTGTCTCCGTCGACAATGGACAGCCGCTTCGAGTTTTTCTTCAATTGCTGCAAAGAGCTTGTGAGCACAGCCGTGGCGCCCTCAGAAAGCCTTTTTCTCAGCGGACCTCCCAAAGGTAGCTCGATATCCGGCGAGGCTTCTGTCAACGTTCGCTTTAACTTGCTCTCGTATGAACTTGGCGAAGGCTTTTCACGTAGAAGGAGTGGTACCCGAGATGCAGCTCCAGAAATAGCCACCATTCGCGCCTTATGTGGATCTTCGTCGTTGATGAGGATGGTCGGCGAGGAATCTCCTTTCTTCTTCTTCTCCTCGTCTTTCGTACTTTGCGAAAAGATATTGTGCAAAAACTTGGTGCTCGTAAGACTGCCAATATAGTTTCGCTTTTGCTTCTTTTTGATTGGCTGAGGAAGGTTTTCAGTAGGGGGTACCTCGACCACCTCAATGTGCACTTTCTCTTCCTCGGCCAATGGCGGCTTGCGAGCGGGCGTTTGATTGCCGCTATTAGCGGTCTTCGTTTTCGTCGCGGTGGGAGCAACTTTTTTCTCCATTCGATTGACCATCTGTGTGACGACGCCACGTCCACTGAGAGATAAGGCTACGAGCTTATGATGGTCGATTCGATGCGATGCGACGCCTGAAACCTTTTCTTTTTCGGCGCTCATCAACGACTTGACGAAGTCGGAACGACTGATTCCTGTAGATCGTCGAGGTCGGAGATTCTGGCTAATACTCGTCGTCTCGACAGAAGGTATACGTTGGATTGTCGAAACACTCATTCCATTGGCGTTTAGGAATATCTTAAACAGAAGATCTTCAGGCACCTCGTGAAAGAAGCAAGCGTTCGATAGCATTCAAAATTAATGTGATAAAGAAGTTTGAAAAGCAGGAGAAATCGATGGAAAGAAGAGGAGAAAGAACTTTGAAATATAGACAAAGTGAGATTTTGCTCTGCGACGGTGAAAGATTGCACCAACCGTGGCAATAAATCCAGAACAACGGGCCACTACAGCGGCAGATTTCTGCACTTTCTATCTCTATTTTTCAGCCCCATTATTTGAGAGCTGCCAATGGAACAAGGAATGCAACGTGTTGATATCTTTCGAATAAATACGTACCGATTTGATGATCTGGTCAAGGAAAATACTTGGTATGGTTTAATTTATCTCTTAACCCGAATCTAGGTAACTTGGTTACTAGTTTTATGAAATAGGACACAGCTGATGAATTTGCAAGGAAGGACGGGGAAGTGGCACGAAAGACAATGTGAGATAAGTGGAAATGTATGCAAACAAAGTGAAGCCAAACGACAGAAGAAATATCGGTACGTTCCGTCGGCTCATGAGATATCAGAAGCCAGAGGCGTCTGTTAACTCTGAGCTTTCAGGCGGTCAGTGGAACGATGTCCAACAATCAGGGACCTTGCATGGTACAATATCAAAGATTCTTCTGATTAGTTTAGAAAGAGAACCGCTGAGATTCCCTGAAATTAGAACAAAAAACAACAATAGTTTTGAAATACTTTTCCGACAGTTTTGAACGCTTTCCCTAAGAAAGGGCGGCATAGCTCAGCTGGTAAAGACTCATTTCTAGCGTCCGCGAGGTCGTAGGTTCGAGTCCCCCCCGAGGTCGACCAAGCCTTTCATCCCTCCGGGGTAGATAAAATTGAGAGCTGCATGCAGCGAAAAGGCTCAATCTCTGCCATCGGCCTTTGGAAAGCCGGACCGTACTTCTTCCTACGACCTCTCTTGTACCTGTTCTACGAACGAAATTCAAAACTTCTCTGCTTAAGCCACAGCTCCTACCGCCGTTCAAACACAGTTAAATCAATGAAAGTCGATTGCACATGTATTCTTACATTGAAGATGCGATAAACAGTTTTTTAAGATTTTTTCTAATAATTCAAAAATTTTCGTTGAGAAACGGTTTACAAAAGCAATAAAAAATTGTATCTATATTTTTGTGAATCAAATTCAAAATGGATTCTCAAATCAAAAATTTTACTAACATTACAATATATTGGCTAAATTAAGAAAATATATTGATTGAGTTTTTGATTAGCATCCCTACGAATCGAAAGCAATAAATGTACAAGAAAATCTACCACAAGAAGCAAATTATAAAAACCACGCACGGAAAACTAATTTCAAAATTAAATTTGAAACAGATCGCCAGAATTAAAACAAAACGGTGACGGAGAAGACAACGGGCGCCGATAAACGTGGAGAGGATTCGCAAACTGTCGAGCGCTTGAGAAGGCGCCGGAAAAACTCTGCGAGCCTCGCAACTCGAAAAAATCATCGAAAATCGTTTGGAGCGCAAGAGAAAGCAAGCCTTCACACGATGCACATCCTCCAAAAGTTATTTCAGTTGAATGGAAGAAATTAATCTGTCTAAGAAAAGAAAAGGCTAAAAAAGACGATAGAGAATATAATTCATGACTAATTTGAAAATGAAGTGCGTTGAAAACACGGTGATAGCCCGACAAATTGGAAATTGAAAAGAAATTAAATTTATAAGTAAACATTTTTGAATTCGTTTTTTCCCCAACTTGAAAGACGATTTGGGCAGATCGGCTAACTTCCTTCATTCGAGAAAGATTCCAGAACCCCAAAAATTATAAGTTAAATTCGAAATTATTGCTTATTTACTTTCATATAAAATATGATTTTCGATTACTGCTACAAAAAATATTTTGAAACATAAAAAATTCGGCGAAAACTTCAGTTCATGTAAGATAAGCGTACGAAAGTCTCAAGCTGAGGGGAAAAAAACAAGATGATGTGAGTTTCTGCAAACAGTGAGGGAAAGAGTGGCGAAACAGGAAAATGAGCCAATTTGAGAACAGAAGAGCAACTTCAAACAGAACCGAGTTCTTGTAGAGCGCCGTAAACACTTATGAAGGTTTTTTTTTCGGAGGGGGCCGATTGGATTGGCGGCCATCCAATCGGATGTGATAAAAGGTTTCGAAGAGAGTGTGACGTTTGCCGCGACAGGCGTTTATTTCTGTCAATTTATTTCTTCTAGCTCCTGTGTCCAGCACGGCGCACAAGATTGATATCAAACAATGAAATCTTTCTCCGCTCCTCCATTGAATCCTTCATGTCATTTTATAAGTTTGATATCTTTTGTTACACTATGAAAGTGATTTTAATCGTTAATTTTGTAGGAAAACATCTATTTTTGGATCTTACAGAAAAGAAAAACTCATTTCTGCATAAACACTGATACGGGTCCCCCCGAGAATGTCCAAGCCCTCCCTTTCTATAGTAAAGTCAGAATTAAAAGCTGAATACAGCCGAAAGGCTCGAATATCTGTCCTATTTCTTCAAGAATTCATAAATAATAGTCAAAATATTACTTTGTAATCTTGTGCAATTAATTCTTGTTTTTAAAATGATGGATCTCAACGGCATAAGTTTAAAAAGTAAAGAAGAATGAATTAAAACGAGAAATAAACTTCGGAGATCAGAAGCCGCTTATAGCTTATCAGTCATTCTAATACAAAAAATATCTTAAACGAAAACAAACTGACCGCCCATGTAGGCTTGTTGAAACTGTCGCCGGTTATTGTAACCTGGTTTGACGTAGTTGGTCATCTGCGCCGAAACCATCGACTCCGAATCCGTGCTCATCACTGAATTCCACAATCAAGCCAAAGTTCAACTTAGAAGAAGTTGATTAAAATACGAACTGGTATTGTCGAATTGGTTGGCGGCTTGTCGGTAGAGGTTGTGGTTCATTAGGTACATATTGTTGGGAGCAGGACCCGGCACCTGTGAAACCCAAATTAAATTTCAGAAGGTCCTTGGAAGCCCTAAAATCGAAGTTCGATTTTCTCAGAACAAAGAGTTTTTGACAAAAAATATCAAAGAAAAAAAAATTTCTTCAGATATATTTTGATCGAAAATAAAGAAAAATGTTCGGAAATAGATCTGGGCGTTTTCTAAGAACTGGGCTTTGATCGATCCTAAAAATTACTTTGGAAGCGACTTTATTTCCCAAAAATTTTGAATAAATTCGAAAAAAATTCTTGTATTTCCATTTTTTTGTTTCAAATAATGAAATGAATCTATTAAAGTTACGAGATAGCTTTCCTCGACAACGAAAATCAAAGAAAAGGGAAAATCCGATCAAAAAACGTTAACTTCCAGGATCATCAATTGTTTTTTAATTTCCTTTTATTTTTTCTTTGATCGTCTAAATCTAGGAAGGCGAAAAATTGTTTTAAAGGATAAAAAACAATGTTCCTCTCTTTGATTTTGAGAGAGGAAAAAAGTTTCGAGAAACTATCAAAAAATGAAACATTTGATTGATTTTAAAAGTTGAAACAGAAGAAGGAAAACGGACAATATGATGTCGAGGCATTCTGAGGCCACTGCTGCCGTCGGAATGGGTGGAGCCTTCGGTGGTGAGGAGAAAAAGTTCGAAGCGACCGTTCGGGGAACGCGACAGCTTCTGCATGTCGTCGCGCATCTCCGCCTTGACTTCGCTGTAAAATGAAGGGTTTTGGAGAATATCCGCAGAATACTTACTAGCCAGAGTCAGGATCCACGGCTTTGCAATAATATTTGAAGTTGGAGCGCATGAGAACGCGCTTGACGTCGCCCAGAGTGATGAAATCCGGCGGAACATGTACCTCCGTCAGGTAAGGCGTCGTCTCGTCATCGATGTGGTAATAGACCTTAAGAGAACAAATTCCTCAAAATATTGAAAACTTAAAATAGAAAAATGATATGTTGAGAGCATTGAAAATTCAACGAAATTCAACGAAATCCAACTGAAAACTTGATAAAACTGAGAGAAAAAGGAGAACTTTATTTCTCACAAATTTAATATTCAATTAATATCATTCAAAGCAAACTGATAACGAAAATGTAACAAAAAGAGAAAATCATTGAAACTAAAGTTTCAAATTTTGTTAAAAAATATACATTCACTAATAAGTTTTTTACAAAAGACAGTTTTTTTTTCTTGAAGTTGACGTCTGTCGTCACAAACTATCAACCAGGAACTTCAATTCCACTCAGAACAGGAAATACACAAATGCATTAAATAATACGGTTGAATCTCACCAAAGAACGTTTTTAGGAAAGATTTTATAATCATATTAAAATTCGAGGTTTTCATTCAAAAACATATTGAGAGAAAATAAAAGAATAGTTGGAGAAAAAGCTTACTTTCGTGGATGTCTGAGGAAACGGCTGCTTCACAGTCGTCGTGGCGTCGGAGGTTTGCGAAAACTGCTCACTGACGTCTGACCGCAAGTCGCAGTCGTCTGCAAATCGCATTTCAGCAAAAATAGTTTCAATTGAAATCAGTTCTAAAAGATCACCTGGCTCTCGATGGTCGTAGCCGTGATCTCCGTGGATTCGGAGTCTTTTTGTTGCGTCGATAATTGTACACGGTGTCGCGACGTCTGACGTATCCAGCTCGAGGCCGTTTGGAGGCGTAGAAGCCATCTTAATATTATAAAAAAAGATTACCAGGCAGAAATTAACGGAAAAACAAAGCTTGAACGAGCATTTGATAAGGTATTTGGCAGAAATTCACCTAAAAAGATTATTACATAAACAGTTAAATGACGAAGAATTCAGGTGTCGCTTTGGCACAAATTTCGAGATGTGCAGAGCTCTCAGAAGAATTCAAACAAACACATGTGCTGCGGCCACTCGACACGGTTCGCTTGACAGCGATAGGTTTTTTCTCCAACACTTTTACCAGCAGCAGAGGCCATCGAAAGATCAGAAAAAAATGATAAAATTAGAGAAATAATAATAATATTACCGGATTTAATGATAAAAAAATACATGCCGCTGGAAAAAAAAGCAATTTCCTGTTCCAAATGATTCTGCGGAATTCAGAAAAAGTCGTCAGAGTGAAAAAAATCTGAATTTTGGAGAGAAAGAAAAAAAGTGACACATTTATCAGTTGATTTTTTTAAAAAAATATCTCTCAACTTTGCGAAAAAAACTAAAAAAACTTTCGAGAAGGTGCTACTCGTTCCTTTTTTTCCTGTTTTTCGAAAAACAGGAGAATATCTAATAAAACAAAGAAAAAAGCCAATTTCGACATTCTTAAGAACTTCTGAATATGCAAGCAAAAGAATTTTTGAAGCAATTTGCACACAAATTTTATCTTGCAATCCAAGTGAAATTTTTCGAAAAAAAGGTCAATAAATTATTATTTTGATAATATCAAATTTTAAAACTGCTCAAAAATTTTTTTAAATTCTATGCGAACTTTCACAAGTTATTCTTCACTTTTTTTCAAACAGTGATTACGTTATTTTTTCATAGGAAGATAAATTTAAATCGAAAAAAAAAAATCAGAGAAGACGATGGAAAAAAGAAAACGATAATAAATTGAGAATTCAAAATTTATGAAAGTGATTGAAATACTCAGAATGAGTTAGAGAGGCCTAATAGAAAAGCGGAAAGGAGCAAGTAAGGAGCCGCCTCCGGACAGCCCCAAGGGATCGCGAACAAGTTCACGTGAGACATAACTATGAATAATACGCACATTGAGATGCAGCCGTGGCTTTTTGGCATCTCGTGCCCATCAAAACGAAGGAGAAGCGCAGTGCCGGCCGAAAACACATCCAACAATATCGACGACTCCTCTCCGTTGCTTGCCAGTTTGAGGAAAAGGCCCTCCACTTTCAAGCATTTATTGTTTTTCACTCCGTCGTCGATTCCAATTACCCTATGTGGTATAATTCATCATCTCTAATGTGATCGATGGAGCATAGTTCAAAGCAGGGAAATGCAAGCGATTAAAAAATACATGCGTAGTAGGTTCATTGGATAAAAAAAATTAAGTCACTAAAAATGTTGTGGTACGCATCTTCATATACATGAAATTAATTCAAAAAGATTTTGCGTCCTTTTTCTCAATAATCTTATTTCAACTAGAGAAGGAAAGCAAAAAAAATGCGAAAATAAGCCCTATTTCTCCGCCTAATTACAGAAAATATCTTTGCAGCTGAAAATAACGTTTAAAAGCCTTCAAGGAGGGCCAAAATGAAGTAAAACTTATGGATAAAAAAGTTCTATAAAACACTAATTAACAAGTGAAGGACACAAGGAACGAAAAAAAAACGAACGTCACAAGCATTGATAAGTTGAACTGCGAAAAAGAAAGAAACTCACATCTCAAAGAAATTTTCTAAGATATATGAAAATAAATAACTAACAAAATTAGATCAGATCTACAAAAAAACGACAATCGATTGAGCTAGTGAAAACAAAACGAAAAACGACGCGTTACATTTTTAAATTTTTAATACAAGTGCGCTCCATCGTGAATTTTTTCGTACTTCGAGAAATTTAAACCATTTCCTTCCCTGTTTGGACTCTATTAATAAAAAAAATTTATTTTTAATTTTTTTGAACACTCATTTTTTTCTCAACAGGATAGAAAAACTTCGACAAACTTCAAGAAAAATTCTAATATGAAAAAAAGGTATATATCGAAAATTCACGGCGTTTCTGCCAGTTGAAGAAAAATGCAAAGGAATTTGAAACCCGGCAAAGTCTGCGCACTTTTCGAAATTCGCCCGCGAAATTTGAAAAAAAGTGGCTTTATTTTTTTGATTTTTTTGTCAATTTTTTTCATATTTTTTTCACTTTTTTCTTTTCGTAGATTGCTGATAGTATTGCGGGACCACGATCGGGGTATACTCTGGGTTGTTAGACGTTTTTTTGAAAGTAGTTCTGTGAGGCTAACTTTAAAAACTCGTGATGAAGAAGCGTTTTGAAAATCTCCACCTGTTTGTATGGAACATGTTTCACCCCATTTTATGTTTTTCTTATTCTATTTTTTTGTCGATTGTTCAGATTCCTAGGTTGTGGACATCAATGAGATGAAGTTACATGAAAAAAGTCTGTGAAGTTGAGAAAGTATGTTCCGGAATTCATTTATATCCGGATATTCCGTCAACTTTTTATAATAAAAAGTACTTGCTGTAAAAACATCTTTTTATTTGTTTCTCCACAGCAATATAGTTTTATTTAATCTCTTTTAATTTCCTCGTCTTTTTTCTTCAATGTTCATTCGTTTCTCACACTTATATCATCGGTTAACCTTATTTTTCCAAATTTTTTTGTGCGTGCACTAAACACGTCCTAATTGACGGAGAAAAAGTGGGCGGGGCGTCGCAAAAAGAAACACCGTGAATTCTAATATTCTGAACGTTTTTTTAACAGTTCAAAGTGAGAAAACTGGAAACTATAATTTTTTTCAAAAAAAGAAATTTTTTTCACACTATACTTGGGTACTCATAAAAAAAATGCTGCAAAGAAATCACTGTGATAGATTAAAAAAATTTTTTTTTGCAATCTAGGGCGTGTTTTCGAGTATAGAGAAAGTCAAAACACATCAATATAACGTGCAGATCTGAACGTGGTTTTTTCTTCGAAGAAAACAGTGTTCAGCAAGGATTGAAGCGCTGTTTCAAGACGTTTGCGTTCAAAAGCTTGAGAAGAGTGTCTCGGAGGAGCAGAAAAAACGAACAGAAAAGTGCTAATAACGTGCTCAATTGCACGAAAAGTGTCAAACGGGAGGTTAGGTGACGCAGAAAAAAAAAACGGCGGATAGAATCGATATCTATACGTACAGGCGTGTCGTTGGCGTGTGTGTTGGGGCTTGTCGAGTGGCCATCCTTCCTCTATGGCACACTTGGAACCCATGTGGCCAACGTACACCCAAATCGAACCTCCGTTTCCGCATCTGTTCAACCCAGATGCTCATTTTCGCACAGCTTCGTCACCTTCCTCATTCTTGCGCGTTTCTAATTGACCGTTCTTATTACAAAAAAATGGTTTGCAATAGATTAAAAATCGTAGGTAGAGCTCAAACAAATAATTTTTTGATGAATAAAACTATAAATAATGGGAATGACTTAATGAAGCAACCGGATAGCAGGCCGCGACGCATCATCGCGATGGGAATTAGCGATTGTTTACGCCGTTGGAGGCAACCATCGCGCTCGAAATGTTTCATTTTGCTGAGAATGCTCATACTCACACTATAGATGCTTTCAGGAAATAGGCCAGTCTATATTACAGTTTGAATGAAAAAAAAATCGAGAAAATAAGTTTGCATAAAATGTTTTTTCAACCTCTCAAAGTTAGTTTGAAAATCGAAAACATAAACAAGATAAATTCATATCCAAAAAAACCAATGTTATGGGAAAAAAAATAGACAAACGAGAATAACCTTTTAAATATCGAAAAAAAATTTTTTTAGATAAAATTAGTGAAGAAAAAAGAGAAACAAAAAAACAAAAAAATAAAAAAAGTTGCATTCACTGAACAAAGTATCGAAAAAAGTTATTGTAAAACTTTCAGAGGAGATTGGTTGAACCAACCAAATAAGAATCTCGACACGGTTAAAACAGAAAAATGCTTCGTAGAGACTGAGACGACATGGGTTTTTGTTTTTAATGCCGTGTTCAAAGTGATTCCGCGAAATTCAAAATAGCCGTCAGAGAAAGAGAAAGATAACTAAATTTTGGAGGGTCAGAGACCATTTTGCATTTCGCGGAAATTACTTTGAACACGGCATAAAATCAACAGTAAACAGGCTATAATAAAATTCACCGAGTAGGAAATTTTCAAACCTGTTACAAAGAGATGTTTTCAAATTTATTATGAACTAAATAATAATAAAAAAACGAGAGGTCGACTTCAATATTTCAGTCATCTCGTCACGAAGAAAGGCTCTTTGAGTGGCGGTTTCGGCTTTCAATTACGCGCGCTGGCGACAATAATTATGCTGGTGCCATACTCTACGACGTCTTCTGCACTGGAGCATCTTTACAATGAAATCAATTTGCAGGAGTTTCCCATGCTACTAGAACAGGTCGCAACAATGAGAAAAATTTTACCGTAATGAAAAATTGTAAAATTCACAGTAATCCCGATAAATACATAAATTTTTATATCTTTTTCTGTTTTTTTTTTGAAAAAAAAATTGATTTCGACGAACGTTTCGTGCATCTGGAGAGGCGCCGAAAGACGTTTGGAATATTTAAAGGAAATTATGGGAGAAGTCTGAAACATGTGGAATTGGTTAGATGCTCGTCGAAACACGGGCGGTCGCAAAATGCTTTTGGAGAGAACAATCCAGCACACGACAATTTTCGTCGTCGTTTGGCACCTCCGAGGAACCCGCACATTGCCGCACTTTTTTCCTTTTGATTGAAATAAAAAGGCCTCGAATGCAGTTGGAATCACCACTATATCCTGCTGATTTTCCAACTTTCATTTTCTGTCTGGAGGTTTTATCCAATCAGGGAAATATTTTCTGTGACTGCATTCTCTCAATATCTTCCGCAAAAATTCAAAAAAAAACTTTATTGGTCGCGAAGGCAATTTATATTCTTTTTATGAGGTCATATCTCACGGTCCTTCAACAACTGTTTCTTTTAGAGACAGAGAGGGATGAAAACTTGAATGTTTCATTATTTCGGCGGCTGGTCGTTTCGAAACTTTATTCTCTTCATTTTCTCAGCTCGTTTATTTTTACGTTTGAAACATAATATAAAAGGCTTTTGGACTTACTCGTTTCAGATCTTTTTTTCATTTTGTCTCAGATTTTGGGAGAGCCTCAAATGAACCCGCTTTGTGTCGCAGTGGTCCTGCAAATGATCCACGAAGGTCTTCTTTTGTCTTTTGAAAGATCTCACAAGATATTTTCACAGTGACAGCTCTGCTCTGTCACCAATGCGAAGGCTGGCACGGCTACTATCCCATGGCGAACACAAAAGAAAACGCGTGTCTCAAGCTGAACAACGCCTGCGAAGTAAGAAAAACAATGTGAAATCCCAGATCTGAAAAGTGCAGACCAATCTTTTCTGCGTCAAAATATCCGAGCCTATGACGTCAGAAGCGACATACGAGCCGTACCGTTCGGAGTGTTGGTCAGTTACGTGAACTAATCCCCGCAAACGAACAAATATCCCATAATAAGGTGTCTGTTTGGCAGGTTCCAGCAGACGTTGGTCATCGGACCCGGAAACGCAACCAAAGTCGAGCCAAAGTGCTACACATTTTTCGACCAAGTCGTCCCTCCGAAAAAGTTAGATGCAACATTTTGAACAAATGTCTTTATTCGTGCAGATGGACTTACTGTTTTTGCAACAACACCGACTACTGCAACGCTTCTGCAAGAAATCTTATTTCGATCTTCATTATTTTGTTTTTGAGTGTAGTTTTATGAAGGATTTCACGCTTCTATTGTATATCATCAGTTATTAAATTAGGGAGCTGCTGAAATCTTTTTTTCCAAATACTGAAATGGTTCTTCAAAAACCGAGCAAATTTCAAATTTCTAGCTATTCAAAAATACAAAACATTGTTATCATTGGTAAGACGTGCGTCATCGAGTATACAAAATGTTTATTAACAAATTCTGCGAAAAAGGTATATTATGATTCAAATATGTGATTACCTTTGCTCTCAGTTTGTGCTCACCCGAAAAGCTGCCAACAAGAAATTTGTCTCCAAATGCTGGGTAATAAAACTTTGACTATGAAAAAATTTGAACAAAAAAGACATTGTGAATATAATAATACTTGATTTCAACAGGTGATTATTGAGAATGTAAACTTGTGAAGAATCCAATAATGATACTGAGAAAAAGCCGTTTCCGGTACAAACTGTGCAGTCGAAACTGAACTTAAACGCTTTCTTCTGGCTGCGGACTCCTGCAAAAACGTATCCATGGGAATTCTCAGAACAACATTCATGGTAATTAGAAGCTTCGCGGAGTGTTAGTAGCACATCGAACCTTTTCGAAATTTAGTTTCTGTTATTTAGCAGAAATAATAGTTAACACTTGAACCAAGACTCGGTGTTTGAAACTAATTCTACAAACATATTCACTTCCTCGTCGCTCGTTCTGTCACTGAATTCGCCATCCCTTGATACAGTCTGACCTGTCTGCGTCTTCTTTTCTCTAACCAGTAGGTTTAAATATGACAATAACACTCAAACGCGATAAAATAGCTGGAAGAGAAGAGGGTGCAGAAGATTTCTTTGCGGATGAAGCATATAATATTAGTTTCAAGCTGAATTAATGCTGATATGAATGAAATAAAATGAAGCCGCTATGATAATTTCGTTTTTAGAGAAGTGAAAAAGACCATTTTTGCTGCAATCATGGTGAAAGAAAGACATAGCCGTACCGGAAAAAGCCTATCTACAGGTGCAAGGACAGAAGTCGGAACAGTGATTACATGATGAGCGTTCCCGACGTGACGGACTCGGCGTGGGACAGCGGAGAGATGGGCGGCGAGTGGAAAGTCGACTCGAACCGTTCGAAAAGCTCCTGCTCCAGCACTGTCCTCTCACAAGACATCGACCTCTCGTACGTCTTCTAAAACTCTTTTTTTACCTTCTAATCGTATGAAACATGGTCCACGAATAGCCTAAACATTTTCTCAGCCTTTCATCAGAAAACTGGAACTTTTTTTGTTGTAACGGAAAATTAGTGTTCAAGTTCGGCGAGTTTTCTGTTTTCGCCTTTCTGAACAGTTTGTGATTTTGCATAATTTCTTTTTTTTACACATAATAATAATAATAATAATAGCTTATTCGCTGCCATTAACAGACATTATAAAAAGGACATAACGTGATACACGGCGTTTCAAAACGGGTGAGGCGCGTGAAAGGGGGTGTGGCCTATATCGCGTAAATCTATAAAAGTTAGTTACAAGATTAATCGTTTCCGAACCTATTTTTTTCCATCAACCCCAAAAAGCCAGCCAGAATGGACAAATAGGATCCTTTAATTACACCTATAATCCTACTTCCCTTCTTGGTTCGTGCTTTTTTGGAGACACGGCGTTAGGAATGTTATAAAAAATATTTAAATTGGATGGACCTTGTCTTTGAAAAATATTTCTTTTGATTTAATAAAATATTCCGTTTTCTTTCCTGTTTTCTTTCAAATTGATTTTCAGTGTTAGAAAGAAGCAAAGCAACAAAAACCAAGCACGAAAGCTTTATTATTTCAGCGAATGTTAAACACGAAAAATCTTTCAGTGCAAACAATGAATTAGTTGAATAGAAATCTACGAGAATATTAGTGACGAGAGAAATTAACCGTTCGATCGTGAAGTGTGGACTAGAAACATATTGTGGCAAGCTTTTGGGTTGGGCGTTGTGGCGAAAAACGTTGGTAGAATGACAGAACCAAATGGAAGATTGGCAGGAAGACATTTGAAAGCGGGTGGTCAATGAAGGTATCAACTGAAGCTTGAGCGTTTTTGAACTGGTTGTTTCGATGAAAAAAGAACCCTCCACCTTGTTAGGAGTTCAGCAAAAATGGCACGAAGCAACCAATAAAAAACTTCATGAGCTCTTGGATAAAAAGCAATAAAAAAACTATCCGGTTCATAACTTTTGAATATTTTAAAAGCAAGAAAATCAGAAGATGCGAAACATGCCTATTGCTCGTTATCTCATCGAAAAATCCTTTTTTTTGTTCAAAAATCAAGCGAAAGAACATAATCAAAAAAAAGAGGAAAAATTGACTAGAACACCGGACAACAGAAAACCCTAGGCTGAGACTAGCAGAACGTAAAAGAAAAAAGTAATGAGATAAAAGCTCTTAATGAAGCATTCGATGCATAAAAAGGTTAATGGAATACAAAAGCAAATGAAAAATAGAACGTTGTTTTAGAGTGCAACATACATCGGGTTAATTTGAAGCATTTGAGGTTAGCCAAAGCAAAAAAAAGTTAATATAAGTTTAAAAAAATGTAAATATAAAACTACCTGTGTTCCTAATAATATAATCTATGTATATTCAATCTTCGAAAATCATAGAAAGAGATAGATAAACTTCCCAAACTTTAATTAACCTATTGAAAAACTGAGGGAGATGTCGAGGAATCATACCCGGAAGGCAGATGACTGCTGGATGGCTCGCCGAGCTCCGGCGGCACTGTCGGCCCGGCGATGAGGGTGCTGCTCCCTCTGAGCGACCTGAAGCCGTCGCTTTCGTTCAACGTCCAGCTGTTCTCGGAGCAAAGACATCTGCGACTCCATCAGTTTGCGCTTGTGCGAAAAATTGGCGTGGCTCTGGTCGAGTAGTGCTTGTAACTGAAAGCTCCTTTTTGAACCTTTCTAGAAATGTTTCGATAGAATGGAGAAAATTGACTGAAAATTGAATAAAAGAAACTTGGATTTTAAACTTGAATTCAGTTAGTTACAGAAAGGCTTCTGTCAACTGAATCGCCTCGTAAAAACTTCTCAAACTTAATTTCAACGACTTTTAACAACTTTTTTGAAATCAACCTCGACCGACTCTCTTCTAAGAATCTAGACCTGTCTTTTTTCTTCGATCAGCATGGCGATCCTCGTTTCTAGCGCCGAGTGCTCCTTAGCAAGTTTTGCGACAGATCTGCTTCCAGCGTCCTTTTCGAGTTGAGAGATCTGAACTTTCTTTCAAAGCTTCCAAGTTTTCAAGGTGACTGACCTGAGTTTGGAGCTGCGAGCAGTTACGATAGAGCTGAGTGTTCTCTCGCTCCATCGCAGCAAGAGATTTGTCAATGGCGCGTCTTTCGTTCATCGTTTCCTTCACAGCGATTTCTGTCCTGTTTTTCTCTTCCTCCAGCTGGAATAAGTTTCTTTTGTTGATGTGAGAATACTACAAAACCGCGTCAACGTGTTTCTTCAACGCTGCGATTTCTCTCTCAAGTCTTTGCCGGATCGCGTCAACTTCTTTCTTCTCGGTCTCGTTGCGCAGCGTGCGGCGTCTCCAGTCTTCAGATTCTGACGTCAAAGTCAGTTTATCTGAAGTTTCCTTTTAAGACGTCCCCAAGGCTGGACATACCTTTGCGAAGCTGCTTGAGCTCTTCTCTCATTTCCTTCTCGAGAGCCTTCCACTCTGCTTCGAAGTTTCGCAGAGCATTTACGTTCTGCGTTAACATCGCGTTCCTGGAGACTAAGTCCTCATTGCGACGATCTGATTCGACCACCTTATCATTCGAATGAAGCTTTATGTTAACAGTTCTACAAGTCTGACCTTGAGGTTGAGATGGTTGACTTTTTGGATGAAGTCTCTGACGTCAGCCCTCAGCCGTTCACACTCCGCCGCTAGCCCTTCGTTACGGGTAGTCAGATCCAAGACAGACTGCTCGAAACGGCGCTGCTCAGAAACGAGTCTGACGTCATCGTCCACAGAGCGTTTGGCCGTCGAAGCAGCCTCTCTCCACTGTTTTTCGTTGACGCGAGCCTCGTCGAGAAGCTCCCGATTCCGTTGCGCAACTCTTCGTTCTTCTGTTAGTTCTCGAACCAAATGAGCCCTCTCACTTTCCAGTTGGTCAAGCTTCCTGGATGTGTTCTGAAATAGTCATATGTTTGATGACAGGATATGAGAGCATATCATTTCAAAAGTTATCTAAGTAAGATGTACAGTAACCAACCGATCGTCATTGCGTAAAAAGAAATTACAATGAACACATCATTCACGCCGAAAGACCATCGGTCGATTGCAGTGAAATGACCGTTCATTCAGTCCCATGATCACCCATGACAGATCGGTCATTTATATGATCGATATAGGGAAAAAAGTCAAAAAGAGCTTAAAATGACGTTTATGCTCACTTTTCTCCATCTTCTACTCTTATTTTCGTTTGAATGAACTTTGAACGAAAATATCACCAAGCTTATTTTTTTCCTTCTAAATCTGACCACTGAACGGGCGATAGTTTTGAAAAAAATTCATCAAATTAACGTGTTAACCGAAAGTTTATTTAAATAAATGATCGAATTTCAACCTTCGATCAAACGGTAATTTCTTAGAGCAATAATTCAAAAAAATACTTCCAGAAATTTTTACTTTTTGGAATACAAACAAAATCAAAAAAAGAAAATGATTTGGAAACGATTTGAGCAAAGATGTGAATGAAGAAGAAAACTAGAAAGACACATGGATAGTAGCGATTCGAAGGGTGAAACCTCGTGCTCGGCGAGCATCCGTCGATGTTTCGCTGCCGTCTCGTCGCGCTCCTTCAGAATCCTCTCGAACTCGTCTTCGTTCTCCCGGAAACGCTCCTCTCGGTTGGCCGCTGCACTCAGAGCCCTCTCCTTGGAAGCCTTGACCTCTCGCAACTCGTCTTGGAGGACCCCAAGCTCATTCTGAATGGGAAGTCAAGGCTCTCTTCAAAAGTAAAACACCAACTTTGGACTGCCCTATTTTGGCTTCCTTTTCTCTCAAATGAAGTTCGAGTGTGGCTATTCGAGCTTTCAAGTTCCTACAAAAGCTTCAGATGTGAAGGTCTTTCGTTGGGACACTACCTGAGGTCTTGGTCTTTGGAACGCGTCGACTCTTCATTGGTCAGATACATCTGCCGTTGGCTACTCATGCGCGACTCCAGTGACGTTTTGTCTGGATGAGACATTTTTCGCTCCTGGTCGGATTTTAGGCTTACCGCTCTGCAAGTCTTCAACACTTCGCCGGGTTCTTTGCAACTCGGAGATGGCGTCCTTTAGTTTCTCAGTTTTCTGCCTCATGTCTTCTCTTTGGCCCTCAATAGTTGCCGACAGCTCAGCCTGGAAATATTCTACTTTTCGTCGCAAAAAGCTTTAGTTTTAACAAAAGAGCCTTAGTCCATGGACAGTACACTCATTATTCTGGCAAGAAACATGAAAGACGATTCTGACTTCTGTGCCAATTGATACTCCGCGAATTTGTCGAACTGAAGCAGAAGCCAACCTTGTCTGCTTCCAACTGTTCGATTCGTTCCTTCAAGAACCGCAAAGTCACGCCGACAGAAGAACTGACGTCAAGGGCCCCATCGATTTCGTCGTTTTGCGTTGGTGCCGGGTTGTTTAGAGCTGTAGTTCCAGAATACATTTTCAGCTTGATGTTATCTAACTTTTTGAAACGACTCCACTCAAATGATCTTTCCGCATGTAACCCTTCCAAAAGTGGAAAAAAAAACTAAGTTTCCACCGATAAAAAAATAGGGATAAGAATCATTTGGTTTGGATCAGTTCAGATAGTCTTTTAGTAGTCTTACCGACGCTTGAGATAGATCGTGGGATTTCAACATATGGAGAGCGGTTCTTGGTCGTGTCTGGAACTACTGAATGGCCGGTAGCAAAGTGATTGGATATACGTGGGCCGTAGGCGAGAGAGTCGATGGCGGATCTCTGGAAGTTGGCGAGACGCGTCTGCGTTTCCGCGGCCTTCGCCTCGCTCTCTTTCACGCGCACGTCCAGCTCTTTCCTCGACTTCTCCGACCGTTCCAACTTGAGTCTGAAAGAAGACCGATATTGACATCCCATGTTCAGGACTTACACGATGGTGGTGTTTTCGCTTTTCACTTTTTGGTTCTCCAGGAACAGGTTGCTCGCTTTTTCTTCAGCTTTTCTAAAAACGACAAAATCCGTTGATCGATTGTCTAGAGATGAAAATGACCTGTACTGCTGCAAAAGGTCGTTTATTGCAACTTTGCTGGACTCCCGTTTCGATTCAAGCGCAGTCTTGGAGGCCTGCAACTCAGCTTCCAGCTGCCGATTTTCGTTCTCCAGTTTTTTATTTTGACGAACAATCTCATCCATCTAAATTTCGAACAAAAATGTTTTTCCACACGGATTTTGAAACTTTGGTTCTCTCATTCTGAAGTTCTTTAACCATCGACTGCGTGTCAAACTCCATCTTGCGAAGAAGATCGTTTGAAACATCGCTTTTTGACGTTTTATCAGCGAGCGAGGCTTCCAGTTGACGGACCTGTTTTTTAAACGCCTTTGCCTTGTTTGGAAAAAAAGAAAACCTTGTTGTTGAGGATGGAAACCTGCTGTTCAACATCATTTTTCTTTTCCTCACTGCTCATCAACTTCATTCGGACGCTGTGTACTGTCTTCGTGAGCTCGCGAACTTGCTCACTCAGTTCTGAAATGAATAAGATAAAATGAGACTTATCTTGATTCTGACCTTCACTTCGCTTCTTCTCCTCCAAAAGCTTGTGTGAGACGCCTTCTCTTCCGTTTTTCAGTTCGGAGTTCTGCTTGGAGAGAACTGCCAGCTGGTCTTTCGCTTCCTCTTCGATTTTCTTGTGCTCAGCGAGCCGGTCCAAAAGTTCCATAGTGTTCTGTTCGAGGGCTTGAATCGTGCTTTCTCCTGCATTCTCCAATGTTTCTTCCCTATTTTTTTTTCCACCAACTTTCGACGACCGAAACATTCAGCTTCTCAATTTCCGTTTGTAGCTGATCAATTTGTCTTTGAAGCCTCTCAACATTCGTCGACTGCTTTGCAACCTGAGTTGAATGTAGATATCCTCAGTGAAAGTTAATTTCCCTACTTCCAAATACGCATTTTCACGCTCTTCAACAAGTCTGGATTTTTCTTCGCTGTTTTGGTGATGGTTTCTTTCCATTTCTTCTCTGGAAAATATGATCACCTGGTAACCCAGTTTTGTTGTCGAACCTGAAGTCCTGTGAGTCGAGAAGATTCTTCCTGAGACCTTCTTCGGCAGTCTCAGCGATGGTCCTCAAGCTGTCCAAGTCCTTCTGCATCTGCTTCAACCTCGCGTCCTTGGCTCGAACTTCCTCTCCGAGTGCAGCCAATTGATCATTCAGATGACCTATTTCCTCGGTTCTTTGAGATTCGAGCTGAAAGTTATCGGTTCCTTGCGAAGAAATTGGAAAATAACCTTGCGTTTCTCGGCTTCCCAGTCTTCGCGGTCGCGTTCGTTTTCTGTCCGCAGTTTCTCGACGTCCCTTTTGGCGTTCCTTTGAGCTTCCTCTATCTCATTCCTGAAAAAAGACATACAAGTCGGAGTTCTAGTGTACGGACTCACTTGAAAGCCTCTGCATCGACTCTCAAATTACTCTCGACACTCATCAGTTCTTCGTGGATCCTCGTTAGATGCTCCAGACGACCTTCCGCTTCATAAACAAGTTTCTCAAGGTCTTTCTGAAGAATGACCCATATTTTCAAGAGTGACACACCAATTTGAACTTTTTCTTTCTCAGAGGAGCGGATTTTATCGTCGAAATCGGCCTGAAGAGCTTCGTCTCTTTGTCTGTCGATCTCCGCCTGTCGCCTCATCTCTTCTTTTCGGTCATCTTCCCGCTTCTTCAGCTCACTTTTCAGAGATTCTATTTCTTCTTCAAACGTTTTCAAATCATCTTCACAGTTTGATGTCACAATACCATTCAAAGCATCTATGGTTATAGCTTGTTGTTTTCCGTCGTTTGTCAACTTGTCGAAGTTCAGTCGGAAGTCTTCAAGAAGAGAACGTAACTCCGCCTCCTATTAATCTCAGGTTCGAATCAAAAAACACGGCAAGGAAACCTGTTGTTCTTTGGCAAGGGAATTTTTATGGAGTTCCTGTAGTTGTTCTCTTAAATCGTCAGCCTTGGCTTTGGAAGTCGCCACGTCATCTTGAAGAATGTCGCAGTTTCTGCAGAACCAATTTTGGTTCGAAGTCGCTCCTCCAATCCAACCTTTTGGTTTCTTCCAACTGTGAATTGACTTCAGAAATGATTTTGTTCTTTTCCTTGATCTGATCATGTAATCTTTCAAGCTCGGTTTTAAAGAGTCCGGCCTCGCCGTTGGCCTGAAACTCATCGGTTCTTAGAATAAACGGTACTCTTTTTTTACCTCATCGATACTCGAGTTGAGCTGACGAATATTGGCGTTGACGAGTTGAACTTCTTCTTCTCGTTCCACTACTGTTTTCCTCAGAGTCATCGTCTCTTGCACTTGTTCTGAAAAAAATTGAATCTTTTCCACATCTGATGCGACCGAATTGATGAACCATCGTAATCGGCCTGCAAAGTTTCGATGCGAGTCTGGAGAGCCGCCAGTTCTTCTCGGAGACGCATAGAATCTTCTTGCCGCTGCTTATCTTCATCCTGCATTGCGGACGAAACGCTCTGAGCCTGAAAGCTCTCAGTTTTGTGTTATCCGGCAGCTGAGCTGTACCTCTACAAGTTCCCTGCGCAACTCGACTTCCTTGTCAGCCATCTGCTCGGTCTTGAGCCGCAACTCCTGCATCTCAAGCTCGCGCTGGTCGATGTGCTGCTGCTCGTCGGCAAGTCGTCTTCGCTGGGCCTCGTTCTCTTCCTCGAGAAGCTCTACTCGCAGGTTTTTGTCCTCGAGCTGCGTGTCCATGGCTGCAAGCTCGGCTTTGACTTGACGCAAGGACTCCCGCAAGTCTTCGACGTCTCTCCGTGCCCTTTCTTTGTCAACGCGGTTCTTCTCTGCTCGGATTTGGTCGTCCTTGGTCTTTTGTTGCAGTTCTTCGCGGTGTTGTTCTTCTCGGGAGAAGAGCTCCTCTCTGTGTCGCTTTGTTAAGTCTTCGATGAACGCTTTATGAAGTCTTAAAAAAATCGTTCCCGTTTTTTTCGAATATTTTTTTTTCCTGACCTGTGAGCTTCGGCCAAAGCGTTTTGAGTTGACACTACTAATTTCTCCTGAGCTACTCTCTGATCTTCTAGGTGTTTGATTTTTTCAGACGACTTTTTGAGTTCATCTTCAATCGTCTTCAACTGAGTTTCCCTTAAATTTTATTGAAACTTCTGGAAATTCACAGCGAAACCGTTGCACGATGGAAGTCGCCTTGAGGGCATCTGCTTCGCGTTCCTCACGTCGACGTTTTTCCTCTTTCGCCAGATCGTTCTTGAAGCGGTCGCGGTCGGCTTCAGCTCTTCGCACAGCTTCTTGGGCCTCGTGCAGCTCCGAGTTCTTGTTGCCGAGAAGTTTTCTCATCTTTCTGGCAACTTCCATTGCTTGCTCACCTGAATGCTATTTTTAAGAGCTATTCATGATCGCTCAAAATGATTTCTCAGTTATAATATTCGTAACAAAATCAATTCATTCAGCTCTTTGGTTTAAATCGTTTCTTTCAATGATTTTATGCTACCTAGATTATTTTTTTTAGATTTGAGAAACGAAAAAGTTGTTCTATTTCTAAGAGTGTTTTCCTTGCCAGTGGCTGATGAAAATCAGAATTTGAGAAATAGGCTCAGTTTTAATTTTTAACAAAGAAAAAAAATTCGTTTCTAACAGAAGATACTTGGAGCTGATACATATTAAATAATACAGACTTTTCGTACTTGCCATAAAAAACCCGAAAGAAAAAATGCCATAAATTTTTGTCAAGGAGGACTAGAAAATTTTTTCTGGAGAATAGTTCCTATTTCAAATCATTTTTCAGTCGGGCTTTTTCATAATAATAAAGACTTCCCGGTTTCTCAGGATACAACAAACCAATGTTGGCGTTCAATTATAATGATTGAGAGCAACGAAATTTGAATAGAGGTTTCAACAAGAAAGAGATGGATCTGAAACGAACGAGAGCTGGTCGGACTTTCGCTGCGGGCGCGATTCCGGAGCGGAGTCGGCGACGCCAACCGCGATATCCGGCCGAGCGCCTCGTTGAGTTCTTCGAGTTCCTGCCGCGCCTTCTTCAGGTCGTCCTCCTTGCTACGCAGTTCACGAGAAACGCCGTTCGCCTTTTCTTCTGCCTAAAGGGTTTGGCCGTCCTTTTTCGACTTCTTGCCCCCTCACCTTCATGTAGTTCTCCGTGGCGGTGTTCAGTTGACGCAAAGTTTCGTCGAGCACCTCATCTTTCTCTTTCCGCATCTCTTCCCTCAGGTTCCGGTTCTTAAATTCTCTGCTGTGAAACTAAAACAACTCAATAGAACACCTTTTCTTCGGCATGACGTATTGCTCTTTGCATGAGAGTCGCACAACGGGTGAACTCTGTCATTTGTCGGTCCAAATCGTTAGCCGCGGTCGTTTTCAAGTCGTTCACCTCAATTTGCTCATTACAGACCTATGAACTCATGAGACTCACTTGTCGCTTGACGGTAGTGAAAGCTTTCCAAAGAGCGATCAGCTTCCGATGTTGGTTTTCCACTTGGTTGTGGTATCTCTGAAGTTTTGTTCAGAAGAGGCGGAAAATGCAGAGATCTGCGAAAAACGTAAGACAATTCTCCAAAAAACTTCAGGTCGTTTCGTATTCAGGATTTACGACCTTTCTAGTAATTCATCTCAATTGAGAAGAGAATGCGAAAATTGGGCTCTTTCTTTGATTATATGCTACGCTTTATTTTATTGCGTTGTTCATGTCCTAAATCTCAACTTCAAAACAAGGACCATCTAAGAGAAAAACATTCCGCAGCAAAAAATTTTCTGAACGTGAGAAAACATTGACCGCCATCGGAAAAAGTTTCATTCAAAGCTTTTTAAAATTGAGTTTCGCTGTAGCACTGAAAGTTCCATTACATTATTGAACAACAAAGCTATTTCTCTTAAAGTTTCCTATTAAAATAAATTCCCAGATTAATTGAAATAAAGCTAGAATCATCCATGGTTTTTTTATCTTAAAGTTCTATGATGTTGAATTTTTAAAGATTATTTTTGATTTTAGTTTCTTTATTCATGCTGGATGAAAGATATAATAAAAACTACGTTGAAAATTTAAAAAAAAAATCAGAAAGTTTTAAAGCTCAAAAAAAGTCAGATGGATTGTAAATTAAACGTTTCTAGAGAGAAAAATAAGAAAAATTATCGACACATGGTTTTTCAAAAGGTTGTGTTGTAGGCTATGACTATTTTAGGTAACTAAGTGCAAATCACAAATTGATTTGGCTTTTGTTTTTGTGACAGACCTGATGATATCTGAAAGATAGAGTTTTGAGACTGAACAAACCGTGTTTTCGGCTCTGAAACGCATGTGGTCGTTGGTTTGTTGCTTCTCGAGGGTCTGCAGCTGCTGGGAGAGCTGGAGAACGTCGACGCGAAGATTCTCGTTGGCCGCCAGGGCGGCGTCATTTTCCTCTCGCAACATTTCGTTGACCTCTTCCAGGGTATTGCTTCTGAACTCTCCAGTACGGAAGACTTCTGGTTGACGAGTCACTTGAAGAGTTCGGCCTTAAGTCGCGCGTAGACTTCTTCGACGTTTTCGGCGTCCTCGTCGCTGCTCACTCCGTAGTGCGAACTCGACAGTCGAGGCGAAGACCGGTGCATAGGCGAATAACGGATTTCATGCGGTGAGCTGCAAGGGAAGGTCTTTTATAGGCCTTGAAACTTGATACAAAAGCTGGGAATTTCCCAGATTATATCGCGACGTTCATCTTCTTTTTTTTTTGTAGAAGACTTCTTTTTTGGAAAAATCTCGTGAGCGATCACAAAAAAATGAAATTCAAACTTAAAAATTCTTATAGATTAATTTTACGCACATGAGAAAAACAAAAAATTTAAAGTAATAGAAAAATGTGTCCAGAACGGATGAAGCTCACAATGGCTCGAGACAGGTTTGCTTCACATAATATTTTTATTGAATTCTTTTTTCAAGCCTTTTTAAAATCAGTTTATATCAATCACGTTCGCAGAAAACGGGAAAAAGTTGATTTTTAACGAGAATTGAAAAAAAAACAAGCGAAGAAGAACACAAATTTACGCCCGGAACGCGCAAAGTAAATCCAAAAACGATGCTTGTTTTGCTGTTGGAACTGTTCGCTTTTTTTTTGCCAGACTTTTCGATGTATCCTTCAAAAATTCAAACTGTAAGAAGAAAACGTATAGCGGATATTAGTTAGTTTTTCGTGTGCATAATTTTCCGGGTGATCCCCTCAAAATAGATGCGTTCCACTCAAACAAGTTAATTTTTTATTGTAAACATTTTTGATTTTTTTTTCAAAAAATTTTTCATTCATTATATCATTCATTTCGTACCTGGAGCGATATCGTTCTAGACGGCCGTGGGACTTGTGCCGCATGCGACGTTCGTATCGTTCATAGCGTGGCGAGAGCGATATCGCAGGAGGCGGCTCGACGGTCAGAAGCGGCATCGTCGGCAGCGACGTCATCGAGTCCGATTCGGCTGCCCGCTTCCGATATCGTTGGAGCTGCAACTTTCTCTTATTTTCAAGCTCCTCTATCATCCGCACTAAACTGATCGGTATCGTTGATAAAATTGAAAGGATAGAAAAAAATCAAAGTTTAATTTTTGAGCTTGAACGTTGATGCTCAAGCCTAAATATTTGCATGAAGTGTCAAACTGCCGCCGAAATGAAATGGGGAAAATGGATCAGCAAATAAACAAGCAACTCGAGTCCGCAGCTCCTCACGAAACCAACCGGTAAAGCATTCCAAGAGCTAACATTATGGAACTTCGATGTGGCTTTTCCGAAGAATTAAAACGAGGAATACAAATATTATTCAAAGATAGACATCAAGGTGGACGAGAAAAATACTTTGAGAGTTCGCCTATTGCTGTCTTACGTCACCTGGGGAATTAGACCCAGATAGTCTTTTTTTAAATATTGTAACACTTTTTCACCTGAACATTGAGATCCTCGATGACCTGCCGATTCTTCTTGTTCTCTTCGACTCCAGCTTCAATTCTCGACCGGCACTGGGACAGATCTTCAGACACTTTTGCGACATCTGCAAGTCAAAAACGATGCGAAATGACTTGTTTTGCTTCTTGAAGTATGAGGAAAACGAACCTTCGGAGCTGAGGCTCGCTCTCAAAGCCATGGTGCGGATGGTTCAGCGCGATGGCATCTGACTTGTTCGCCCCGCCGGCACTCCCCTGGAACGTGGAAATTGTGGGCGGAGCTTCATTGTTTGTCGCAGCTCGCGGAGCTCAGAAGCTACTCACTTTACGTGAACTTGCGCAGTACGTTTTGCAGTAACCAACAATTGAGTCACAGATCAGATAAAAAATCAAGGAATATTGCTTTCAGGAAAAATTTCATAGAGGCATACCTGGTGAAACTGTTCAAATTCTGGATCCAGATAAATGATATGGAAGATCAGGTGTTATTCCTGATGCGAACGCGAAAGGCTGAGACCAAGTTGAAAGAAGAGGAAAAAGTTTTGACAAAAGACAGAGGGAAAGCGGCAATATGAGAGACGACGGAGAAGAACCGGCCTTTTGGGGCCATCTCCATGCGTAACAACAACAACGGCAACAACATGCCAGTTAACAACGATCCAATTTAACTTTTTTAACCTTGGGTTTTGACCGAACAGTCTTAGTTTCTGACAAAAGATAAGAAATATAATTTTTTTTAAATATACTTTTACATCGATGTATTACATCTACAAAGTCTGACCTTTCGGCGCTCTCCTTTTTTCCCAGCTGAAGTCATTCAAACGTTGAAAAATGTAGCAGTGGAAAAAAGGATATGTGCAAAAATCTCAGAATATTGAGACTCATAATGTATCTATTATTTAAAAATTTTGTGAGCGTCGTTCGTGAGCACTTTCTTAAAGTTAAAATTCACTTTTTTTCTTCGGAATATGGAGGTTATAGAAGCAAAACGAAAGCGGGTAACTCAAAAGAGAGGACAGATTGAACTGGGCAGAATGACCAGCAAACACGCCCAAAACCGGTAGTGACGGCAGTTGGAGAGTTTGAGCATAGAAAATAGGTTTAAAAAAAGAAAAGAAAAAAAACAAAAATTTGAAGGAAAACTGAAACAATACAACTTGCTCAAAGAAAAAAAAACGGGTTCACTTTCGCTTTTCATTTCACTAAAAGTATTCTTCAAAAAAAACTTCTCTTTCTCCAAAATTTTAAGATTTTTCTCAGAAAGATGTAGTGAATAGGGCGTCAAGAAAAAAAAAACTTCCAAAAGCTTTTGCCTTGCAAAGCATCGCAAAAATCGGAAGCGCCCACAATGGACGAAACGACTGCCAGGTGCAATTACCTTTTCGGCGAAATTTCAGTATAGTGCATACACTTTTTCCAGAAAAAATTCGATCTGAACCCTGAGAGCAGCTTTTTCTCTCTAGGCGACCGAGACAGCTTTTCTGAGATTTTTTGTCGGAAGCAACGAAAGTTGAGACTAAAAATAGGGTTTTAAAGTTCGAAATAGGCGGATTTATTCTGTAACTTGAGGGTTTTTTTTAAGGTTTGAGTAAAAAAAATATGAAAAAGGTTGGGAGACTATATGTGATACAATAATTTGGAAAAACTCATATCAAAAATAGGTCTTACACACAAATGTGTATTCAGAGGAAGAAGAAGAGGAGTTACAAACAAATCCAAATATTATGCCCAAAACCAAAAAAAAAAGAAGTTGATACTTCGAAATATCGAAATATCTCAAAAAGACGACTATTTTTGAAATATTTCAAACTGTTCAGAAATTCAAAAAATTGAATCAGTTCAGAATCGTTGGAGATATTTTCAAAAACGTTTGAAAAAAAATTATAGATAAAAAATGTTTGGTTTGAAAACCCACCGCCTTTTTTCTGCACCCAAAAATTGGAGCTTTTTTCAAAAAGCCGTGAAGAGCACTGTGATTTGAAACTACGAAGTAGAACTAAGCAATTAAGGTATTTCAACAGCTTATAGATAATTAGCGAGCGAGATTGGAAGGGCGTTCCTTGGTCGTCGTCTCCATGGGAACCTGTCGCGTCTTCATCTTAATCTCGACATTGAACCCCCTATCTCAGCGTGTGCTTCTTAGTGCGAAAAGTTCACGAGTAAACAAAATATAGGTTTTTTTTTTCTAAATTTCGCTGTTAAAAACAATCTTCTTCATTCTCTTTTCTATTCAAAAAATATGAAAGACACATTTTTCTTTCAACTGAAAATTAAGAACTTTTGATCAAACCACTACTTCTCAAAATGTCGAGTCTTAATCAAAAGAATAAATGAATAGAAGAAATAGAAAAGAAGAAGCCGCAGAAAGTTAAAATCAATATGGGGCTGGACGGTCGACGGCAGATGTTCCGGCGTTCATCTGGCACATCACCTTCATTTCGCATGCGCCGCCGCTTTTCCTTCTTCATAAGCAAATTAGTCCACTCAGAAAAAAAGCAAAAAAAAGTATCTTTTAGTGAAAAATACATGTTTGTTTGTCCTGGTCGGAAAACATAGCGCGAGATTAAAAGTACTTGTTGTTTGCTATGCATAGCCTATGGAACGTCGTGAAAGAAACAAACTGTTTGAGGAAAATTTCCGAAGAACAAACGCAATATCAACCTACGGATCCCAAACAAAAAATTTTTTAATGAACATATTTCTAAATTGACACCGCAAAATTAATTTGAAGGTTACCTTGAAAACAGGAATAATCCCCGAATTCGAGATCGGATTGTTTCGCATGACGTCGTCCAACTTCCAGTACTTCACAATTTGGAAGAATAGTAGAATTTCCCTTCATCGTAGTTTTTATTCAAGTGTGATGCATCTAAAACACCGATATATGACAAAAGCAACCGCGAGGTAAAAGAAAACCGGAAAAAAAAAATGTAGAAACAGGCTCAAAAGAACTGACATGCCAGAGTGTTCCCTACAGGGATGAAGAGAAAACCGGCCCCATAGGCAAAGTAGGAAGGATTCTCCGAGGGTCCATAAAGCCATTTCTCGAGCCTTTAAAATCCCAGAAAAATGGAAGGCTCGATAAAGGGACTCTCTTTGCTGCCTTTTTGCTGCCTTTCGCTGCCTTTTTGCTGCCGTTCTTTGCCTTTTTGCTGCCTGTCTGCGGCCTTTTTTTGAGCCTCTCCCTTTTAGCACCCATTATCCACCATTCCGACTTTGCCCGAGCGCTCGATAGACCTATTTTCGAACTCAAGCTAGCTTCTCGTTTTTGTTATAAAAATAATGATTTTAACATGTAGTATGCGAAAACAGAAGAGAAAAACGAAAAATATTTAGAATAAGAGGAGAAAACAATATTTAAAAGTAATCGAAAAGCAAAATTTTTTGCACTGAAAGTTTGGTTTTGCAAATTCTAATGCAATCTGCGCGCACTCTTATTTGCAAGGGCGGCACGGTTTCAGGAGCCAAAAGAGAAGGTTTTACTAGCTGTAATTCCACTTTACCATCACTTTCGTCTCAGTGACTGCACAAATACAGCCTACAGTGCTCTTTGAGTCTCGTGAAAATGTAATTTCGCCCACTTTTATTCACCTTTTTTTGTTGAAAAAAACTTTTCGGCGATCTTGAATTTTCGATTTTATTGCTTTATTTGTTTGAAAATTAAACGCTCTTATAAATGAAAAAGAAAAAAAGCGTGTCTTCGACCGGGAAACGTTTCAAAACAACTTGCGAAAAATTCTCCAGCTTTTTTTACCAACCAAAACAGTACATTTGCTTGTAGTTGTCCACAAGTATTATTTGAGCAATGTTTTTCTCAATATGAAAAAAGCATAAACATCTTCCAATACTGCATTGCAATTGAGAAAACAATTTGACTTTGCGCGCTTCTCAATTTTTTTCGGCGATCATAGAATTTTTATTTTTTTGGCTTAAAAAATTTCATTTTTTGTTTATAAGTAGTTTTCAAAAAAAGGTAAAATTTAGGTGGTCCTATAGGGGTTTAGGGTCTATCCCCTAAGCCCGTACGGCCCCGTAGAACTCGGGGTCTCTATAGGGTCCTATTAGTTTTTTGTTCAGATTGGAAAACAATCAATAAGACAAACTTGAGGGGGAGGCGAAGGGAACTCTGGAGGCTCAAACGAATCGGGCAGGGGCATCGCGATAGCACCTGTAGTCAGTCCATCGATACGTCTGAAGCCTAACGATAGTAGACTTGCAAAATTGCAGAAAAATGCGGAAGACTTGCGACATACCACTCCACACTGTCGGCACAGCTCCGGCAGTGCTGAAGCACATAATGGATGAGTAGCGAAGAACTTATTTTCATACTCTCCTTTTTCATTTTGAGCTATACCATCGGTATACTTTTGTTACCTCACCCCGATTCGTCTATTGAGGGAACCTCCAAGGACCCTGAAGTTGCCCCTATAGAGACTGCTGGGGAGTTCCCAAGTCATGACCCGCCTTTTCAATTATACATCTTTTACTACCAAAGAACGTTTCGAAGGAGCGCAGTTCAGAATAATTCAATTTTTCCCACGTTAGAAGGGAAGGCTCCATGGTGTGATCAGTGTTTCTGAAAAAGGAAAAGCTGTTTTGTGGAGGAGCGGATCCTCTGTTTGTGTCCACAAGAGCGCGACGTCTCCGTCGGCCGACAAAACCGGCGACGACGACGGGCTCTGGTTGACGCATTGTGCGCGAATCATCTTCAAACTGCCAAGTTTGGTCAGGTGGGCGGCGTTTTTCAAGTGGCCGAAACAGCGCCAAAAAGTGGACCGCCATTTCCTCTCCAATTGTGCTCCTTTCCTGTAACCGTTTCGTTTAATGAGCGTCTTTCTTTTCTTTATCATTAAATTCGTTTCAAAATATTAGAAGTAACTTACCAGTCAGCATGTCGATTTAGTGTTATAATAGAACTATTACTTTCTCATTTCGCCAGATCTTACACGCAAGGTAAACGGCGAGAGTCTTGCGATACGGCATGGTACTTGCTGACGATATCGCCTGGCTCTTGTCGCGATCTATTAGGTTGGCATGAAAAAAATGCGGCTCGATTTTGTCGGCTTCTAATTCATCCAAGAAGTAATATTATTTGGAACGGTGTTTTTAGTCGAAAAGGGCTTGTCCTTGTGCGTCATTGGATATATAATTTGCTGATGTTCATTCCGCCTTTCTTTAAGAAAAATAGCTCTGAAAACTTCTTTCAAAAACTGTATTCGCGGACCTAGTTTTCGCGTTATTTCAAAAAGTACAAATCAAATTCCGAAGCTTGGCACCTTTCAATATTATGATCACCATTGATGCTTTTTCTGATAGTTAACATTTTGAATTGCTTTAGCGCTATTCACTAGGCGAAAAGACCTTTGAAATCAAAAAACACGAAAAAATCGACGATAAAGGCGATTTTAAAATGCCATTAGACTGGATCCACAACAGACACCTGTGAAACTGGCTCATCAGTTATTACACACCCATATCTGTGAAAGAAAACAGTTTTTTTCACGCAACGGAGTGCAAAAAAGGAGAATGGAAAAATGGCCTCACGATATCGCTTTTCCGTTTTTTTGCGAAAATGGGTTAGCCTAAAATCAGAAAAACTGTTCTGCAAATTTCTGCTTTTTCCGCTACATTGCTCAGACATGGCTCTTCGCATTTATTATCTGTCCGAATCATTGGATCGCTAAACAGCCAAAAAAAATTGAAAAACTCCGATAAAGTCCAAATTTGGGGGTGCAACTTCTTTGACTCGTAGGCGGCCTAGTTTGTCAGAGAGAGTATCCATTCTCTGCGTGAGCATTGTTGTCAAGGTGCTGATACAGATAGAAATTACAGTTCGAATTGATTTGTGATAACCTTGTTTTTTTTGATAAAATTAAATGACATCAAAAACACGCATTTCTTTCCTGCCACCCTAATAGAACGGCTCTCGCCGCATTATCGTTTTTTGAAAACTTATCTGGCGCACGACTCTTTTATTCAAGAATATTTCTTTTTCATTCAAATGAATGCAATACTTTCTGTTTGAAGTTTGAAACTGTTTTTATTCGTTTTATTTTGTGCTAGATCGTGATACACGGCATCTTCAGCGAGTATCATGTCGTATCGCCAGACATTGAAAGGCAACGGGGAGCATCAAAACCGATCGAAAATTGAAAAAATGAAACTCTAAAAATTGCCATCTCGAATAAATAAGAAACAGTAAAATTGACATTGCCACCATGTCGCTCTGATGTCGCGCCAGAGGTTTTCTCGAGCGCTGCGAGATCTCTCGCCGCGATCTAGCGCCAATCTTGTCGCCATACCACACTTTTTACACGTTCAACGAGTGAATATTTTTTTTGAAATTGAAAATAGTTATTTAGAACTTTTTTGCAATACAAACGGACTCCAGCCAGATTAGGAATCTCGTTTTCCACAGTCACTCTTCTCGTCAGCAGAAACGTTTCTCGACTTCATTTACAGGGTCCAAGATGTACATATCTCTAATGTTAATGATGAACATCAGTTTTCCATCCATTCCATTATCACGATAATCTCTTTTCTTTTTTTATTCAGAAACGTTGTTTTCAATAATAGCTTTTGGGACCATTTGTGCGATGTTTTTTTTTTTAGAGAACTGACCAAAAAAAAAAAATTGAAACAACCGGGAGCTCCGCGCCTTATGTGAATGCGTTCGAAATTTTTGAAAACTGAGCTTTTTCACAGTTTGAAGAGAAACGAAACCCTGAAAAATAATTAAAGGATCGAAGGACGACTTTCCGTTACCTCTTCAACATAACACGGGGCAATTATGACAGTCAAAAATAACTCGAAGCTGAATATAATTATAATTACAGCTGTAGAAGGTGTGACCGTTTCCTGCTAATCTTACTGCTATTATTCATGCTATTCGGTTTCTGATTTTCTTTTCATAACCATGGTTTCGGTGGAAACAGTTTTAAATTAAGAAAACTTGTTCGTTTCGAGTTTTTTTTTACTAGAAACCTTAATCTATGGATGCCAACTTTTTTCTTAGAAAGATCGTTTAACTTCACACAGTGATTCTTGATGAATCACGAACCAAAAAAATATTCTAAAATTCTCCACATCAACAACATCCTAGTTTTCGACAACGCTAGAAAGTCAGGAAGGTGGAGCTTCAGGTCTTTGACATGAATCTTTCAAGAGCTTTGAAGACGATTTCCAGAAAATCCTAGAGTGCGAAGTGAGATGACGTTTTTCGTTTTGATATTTCAATAAAAAAACGGTTCCTTCACCCCCTAAACTCAGAAGGAATCAAGCTGGACTCACTCAAGGTTCACTGACAGATGCACGCATTTTGCTTTACGATTTTCAAAAGAGTCAGGTTTGGCCTGAAGACAAACGGAAGCATTAGCCGTTCCGCTTCTGTCAAATCACTTGAGACCGTTTCCAGTTGTTTATTGTAAGGAGAGGCGTGTCACCTGTGGGATTTTGTGGAGAAGGCGGCGCCAACCGGTTAATCGAAACGATTCATCCCCTCCACAAATCGCCTCGTTTTGCCTCCTGCTTCTTTCGTTTTTTTTTTCCTCGCTCGCACCGTCTTTTCATTTTGTCCCGACGTGAGGAGAATACCTTTTTGTCCAGTCCTACGCCGGATAACTGTGGCTATTTTGGGCGTAGCGGACAGGCCTCACAGAAAGCTTCACAAATGTCACCGTTAACCACATTCGTTCTTGACTTTTTCATACCTGCGAGAGCACTTCAATAAAGCCCAGATATTTAAAGAAGTTGAGTTAGTCTGATTCCGCTATTTTCAGGTGTGACTACGAATTTCTTTGAGCGAGCTTTCGGAAATAATGAGCAATTATGGTTTGGAGTCATTCTGATTGCAGGAGACGTTGAGTATCGATGAAGAATTCGGCGGCGTTCGTCGCCGTTCTGGTGACGACCGTCACGGCTCATTTGTCTTTGACGTTTCCACCGGCTCGATTTCCGCCTCTAGATTTCCTTGACACTGTCCACACCTTCAGTCCTTGTGGCGTCCCAAAGTCTTCCAGAGGTTCTCTTTCCTTTCTCTAACCAAGCTGTTCATGCTTTCTGAGCTCTCAACTAACAAGGAAGGTCGTTCTACTCACAGAGTTTTGGATTTTTCTAAAAACTGGCTGAAAACTTCTTCGGTGCACAAAATCAATATCATGAAGGTCTCAGCTGCAAAATTCTCAATAAAAAAGAAAATATTTTCATTTTATTCTTTCTCGTAGTGTCTGGAAAAGCGACTTTTGAAGCAATGGTTTTTGGGAAATAAGATTTTCTATAATATCACAGAGACTTTAAGTCGACTTCAAGAAAATATCAAAGTTTCGAGTACACCGACTTCCCTTGTTGAATGGAAAAAGAGTTTGTTAGTTGTTTTTACTCAAGTTTTGGTAGCGATCAAATAGCAGCGATTAGAAGTGAATTCGCACCTATAGAGCGATGATCCGAAATGAGATAAAAAGTGCCATAAGGAAAGCGGAACATGTTTTCTTCGAGTAGATTTAATCTCCTGCTCTCTTTCTGAACAACAAAAACAGTTAACACGGGAAATCTTATTCGGATGTTCGAAATTTCTAATAAAATAACTCAAACGATCTTTGATATTCCAGATAAAGGGTATCTCGTGTCGCAAGCTTATTTTCGTACTTTCGAAGCTTGAAAATTTTTCACCAATAAAATCATCATTATGAATGAACATTATTTTCTAAAAAGCAGATCGAAAACATGAATTTTCTTTGTTTAAACCTTCAAGACATTTTTGAGTGAGTTCTGAACTTCACACTCAAATCCACTTCTGCGCATAAACTTATATTAGGGTGGCATGAAAGAAATGCGGCTCGTTTTTGTCGGCTTCTAATTCATCCAAGAAGCAATATTATTTAGAACGGTATTTTTTGTCGAAAAGGGCTTGTCCTTGTGCGTCATTGGATATATAGTTTGCTGACTTTCATTCCGCCTTTCTATAAGAAAAATAGCTCTGAAAACTTTCTTTCAAAAACTATATTCGCGGACCTAGTTTTCGCGTTATTTCAAAAAGTACAAATCAAATTCAGAAGCTTGGCACCTTTCAATATTATGATCACCATTGATGCTTTTTTCTGATAGTTAACATTTTGAATTGCTTTAGCGCTATTCACTAGGCGAAAAGACCTTTGAAATCGAAAAACACGGAAAAATCGACGATAAAGGCGATTTTAAAAGGCCATTAGACTGGATCCACAACAGACGCCTGTGAAACTGGCTCATCAGTTATTACACACCCATATCTGTGAAAGAAAACAGTTTTATTACGCAATGGAGTGCAAAAAGGAGAAATGAAAAATGGGTTCACAATATCGCTTTTTCGCTTTTTTGCGAAAATGTGTTAGCCCAAAATCAGAAAAATTGTTCTGCAAATTTCTGCTTTTCCGCTACAATGCTCAGACATGGCTCTTCGCATTTATCATCTGTCCGAATCATTGGATCGCTAAACAGCCAAAAAAAATTGAAAAACTCCGATGAAGTCCAAATTTGGGGGTGCAACTTCTTTGACTCGTAGGCGGCCTAGTTTGTCAGAGAGAGTATCCATTCTCTGCGTGAGCATTGTTGACAAGGTGCTAATACAGATGGGAATTACAGTTCGAAGTGATTTGTGATAACCCTTGTTTTTATGATAAAATTAAATGACATCAAAAACACGCATTTCTTTCCTGCCACCCTAATATAATTGACCTTACAATCATAGCCCAATATACAAGTATCGAACTCGGGAAACCTTACAACATCACGTGGACGTCGGCCTCGCGGTCCAAGGTACTTCAAACTTGTCTTTTATAACCTCTCAAGAATGGTTGGAATGTTGAAGGGTGGCCACCGTATTCGGTTGATCGACGCGGACGGTATGACTGTCGAACAAGTCAGTCCTCTCAACGGACTCGACTTCTCGGAGCCACAAACGCAAGTCTTTCTCAGACGACTTTGTTCTCAGCCAGTTCTTCTCTCAGGTCAAATTGGGAAACCGCACGCTTCACAGTGAGTTGTGAGAACTGCGCAGTCGTCATCGAACAGCGGGATTCTGAAGACGTCCTCTTCCACTCCTGCTCTGACGTCAACATCGTCTCTTCTGTTCCGGGTGATTTTTTAAACCGAATTCCCTTTCTTCAATCTTGAAATGACATCCAACCAATTTCGTCCATTATAAATTAAAACTCAAAATTTGATCTTGATGTTTTTCCTTTAGTATCGAATTCCCACGTGATTTGTTTGATATTTACTTTGATGAGTTCTGAAGAAATCAAAACCTTCAATTTTTCAGTCGTTTTGAGTCCGGTCTTTCAGAAATGACTGAATTTTAATTCTTTTCACTTAAATCCTCTCTCCAATGTGTAGATTTTTTGTTTCACTGCTAGTTATTCACGTAAAACCCGCTTTTGGAATTTTTCCTGAAAATAGGAAATAAGAAACGTTCAAAAGACTATAGACTTGCTCACCGAGCTGTAACTTCCTTCCGTTCGAAAAAACAAAAGGATAATAGTCACTAGTCAATAAATAGTTCACTAACTCATCATTCCAAGCTACTGAAAGGGAGCAGTTCTGATTAATCTGAAAAAAGTTCAGATGAGGAGAAATGCAGTAACAGAGGTGCTCTTATCGACGGAAACTGTCAATGCGAAACTGGGTACACTGGAAATATCTGTCAGTACTACGGTATCCTCTCTTTCTGTCTTCTCGAAACTTAAAAAAAATTTCCAAGTTCAATGCGATCGGGATGAGGACTGTATGAACGACGGGAAATGCATCCAACAACCTGGTAGTTCTTCATTTTTACTTAGAACGTTTCACCAGATTTTATTGGTAGTCATAATTTTCGAAACTCTTGAAGTTTACTCGCTTCAGTTGAAAAGCCATGGTCGCATGTGGAATGTCTGCAGCCAGTTTGGCAGTCACTTGTCGTTTGTCCATTCACGTGCGACCATGTGCTTGCGATTTGAAGCGGATCCAATGCAAATGATGTCAAAAAACCCATCGAAAAGGTTTTCCTTCTCACCTATAAGTATGATCTTTGCTTCGAAAACAAGAAAAATCACAGGCTCGTTGGTGGGAAAAGTGTGCGCCTGCTCTTACTCATTCTTCGGCCATAAATGTGACCAAAGTAAGTGGACAGGAAGGAGTTAGACATTTAAATTTTTAATATTTAATCAAGGCTTTAACGAAGCCAATAGCGATTGTTTCGCCTATGAATCTTTGAACACGGCAAAATATTCAAATGCGGGATTGTTCAACGCCGATTGCTACCACAAACATCCCATTAATCTCGATGACGTGATTTATTCGCGTCTGGTGGACAAGGATGTTGAAGTAGGTTTTGGACTTCGCCACCAGCTCCTGGGTTTCCGTAGGGTGGCGCCCGGAAAAGCTCCACAACTCCTGCAGACTTTTCCCACATCTTGAAGGTATTTCTTTCGAATTTCTGCGACAACCGCGATATACAGATACGCGACCCGATACCGCAGAGGTTGATGAAGAGACTCGTCTTCACCAGGTACCGAAACAAGCCATGCCGAAAAACAACGGATTTCGTGAGTATGATACAAGAAAAAAACAACGTGAATCTTCAACTATAGTGGAAACGGCGCTGAATGCCGAGCTGCATCCGATGGACTGCCTTGATGTTATCATGGCATCTGTGACTGACGGAAGACTGAGAATTGGCGACTTCTACTCGAGGGACAGGTCGACTCCCCTAGAAGACTACTGGTAGGCGGATTCCCATTACTTCCACGAAGTATTCAGGTACGACGGGGAAATGTCGGTGGTGGCCGCCTACGGCGTGGAAGTGGACGGCAGGACCATCGTCATGTTCCGAAGACAGATAAGAGGTGATTATGATGCAGGAGAAAACTTCAACAATCTTCCAGAATTCGAACCAACTGATCATCCGCTTGGTCCCAACAGTCTTTTCGTAGCTTGGGCCAAAGGAACAGACACTTTCCAAAACGATTTCTTCCAGTACCACGGTTGATCCTCGAATCAATAGTTTCATTAAATCTAAAACTTGGACAGGCGCCAACCGCGGGAGTGCAGTCATGAGCCTCAGCAAGCCCACCAAAACTCCGCTGAAGCCAAAAAAGAAAGAAGAAAAAAACTCGACGAATTCTGCGACTGGAGAAGTCGCATTCGGTGTCAAAAATATCGCTCATGGTATGTATTTGAGTTTAAATGTTCGTTTTTATTACATGAAAAGTTTAATAACGATCGGGTTAGCCAAACTAATTACATGAACAGCCGATAGGATTAATCAGTGTTTCAGAACGCATTCAAAAAATAGAATTACACAAAACCTCGACCAACACTCCAACGACTGAACCCAAAACAGAGCCGATTACAACCACAGCTGAACCAAAAACTACTACCTCCGATCCAAGCATTTCATCAGATCTCTCACGAACTTTTTCAACATTGTTTTCTCTCATTGGTGTTTTTATATTTATTCGCATGATTATTTTTCTAAACTATTTATTTCCTCAAAAAAAGAAAGATGAATACTTTTTGAGAGTCAGGAAGGAAAAATTTACCCTATCGTGAAAATCCTTCTGGTTGATTTAAAAGTAGATGATAGATCTCCGCTAAAAAATAAACGCCTACTACCGGTACCGTGAATCATTATTTATCGCTAAAAGTCTTTTCGGATCCAAAAGTTATTATGGAAACTCGTAATAAATATCTTGAGCAATCAATAAATTTCAAGAAACTACTATGAAAAAAAAATGATGTCACAAAGAAATCGTCAAAATCAACAATGAAATACATAACTCCAGGAACACACCATTACACCTATATTATCTGCCGAGCAATTTTAAAGACTGGCTTTCAAGTTATCATAAGAAAAAAAAAATGGATGAACTAATGAGAGAAGAAATAAGAGTCATTTGTGAGTGTAGACAGGAGCCTCAGATGGCGGCAAGGGCTTTTTGAGCTGGATGAGGTCGGCGGCACGTTCGGCGAGCATCATCGTCGGGGCGTTGAGGTTGCCGCTCACGATCGACGGCATCACACTCGCGTCGACTACCTAGCATCAGTCCTTTCAACTTGAGAAAGTCTCGGGTTGACACTTTGAGGGGTTAAAAGCACAATTCTCACAGGGACGGTCTTTTTCCAGCTATGATTCTAGCTCTGTTAAGCCAGCTGGAAATCGGAAATCTCAAACTGCAAAACTATCATTTTTAGAAAAAAGTTCTAGTTTCTTGCAAAATGGCCAGAAGATTCACTTTCGAGTGGCGAGGTTTCTCGAAAAATAAGAAATTAGAAAGGTTGAGACTTCTTAACGCACTCTCCATTTTTTCTTTCGAGTTTCAAGATTTCCTTTCCAACAATAATCCAAACTTTCAAATTTCAAATAGTGAAAATATCTGTTCTCAATAAGATAGATCTTGCTACATATTAGCTGACCTTCTCTACAAATCGAGTTCACGTCTACTAACTGTCTCGCGAGTCTTTCTACACTTCATTTCTGTTTATTTTTTTCATAAAAGATCAATTTAAACACAATTGAAGCTGAAGAACTGTTCAAATTTTCAAAGAACTATCGGTGTGGGAAAAATTTGCGAGGCTATCTTACTTCTTTCTGATTTCGAAAAAGAGTTCAAACGTGAGAAAACCCAAATGAAACCTTCAAGTTTTCGGTGCCGTACACTTCCATCGTCAACGGGTTCACCACAGCCATACGGTCACTTTCGGCCCCCATTTTGCAGGTACACGAGGGATGGTAGGCCGAAGCTGATTTTTCTCTGAAAAATGAACTTCTGTACGTTTATTTCGAGATAAATCGCCGATTTTTCTCCTTTTTTGAAAACTTTGTGAACTTTGCTTTTGAAAAAAAAAAGTTAAAAAAAAACGTGACAGAATGATTTCAATTCTTTTTTGTATGACTAAGAATTTCAATCACTGCCTTGCTGAAAAGAAATTTTCCGTTCTCACCTGACAAATTTGTCGATGTCGGCATCCGACTGGACCTCGACACCTGGGGCGAGCTCCCGCCCGCGGAACTCGTCGAAGCTTTTTGAAGCGAAAAGTTCTCTGGACAAGCGGATTGCTTTCCTAGAAAACAAAACCCTAATGATCGCCGCGGACGGCAGATACAGCTTCTCATTACATTTAAAAAAGATGTAATCCGCCAATACAGAAATTCACAAACTTAACTTATCCTCATGCAATGTGTTCATTTTAAAAGTTGGAAGAACGCTACTCCTTAATTTTTTTGGTTTTTTTTGTGAAAGATATCTTGAAACATGACTAAATACCATAAAATATAGATGAAAAATTTCGAGCTTCCCTTGTTGAAATCATTTTCGTGCTATCCGAGCTCAGAAATCCAAAATACAACTTTGAATGCCCCTTTAAAACTTTTTCAAAAGATTGAAAGATCACCTGAACTCGACCCAGTCCTCGTCGCACTCCATGTACTTGGGGTTGATGATTGGAGCTCTCCGCGGATCCTTCGCCTGGAGTTTCAGGTAGCCCTTCGACTGCGACCGCATCGGACCGACGTGAACCTGTGACGTTGTCGAATGAAGAGAAGACGTGGCCCAGACCTGGTAGCCGTGGCAAGACCCTGTGACGCGGCCGTCATCGTGCACCGTCGACGGCAAAAAGTGAAACTGCAGGTCTGGATGATCTGAATTGTCCGAAGTCCGAGCGAAACCGCCGGATTCCAAGTGCGACGACGTCGCCAGTCCTTTCCGTCGGAGAAACCAATCTGAAAAAAACAAATGAAAAGATCTTTGACAAAAGGTAGAGCAAAATGTAGCTGAGTGGAGCGAGTTTAACTTTAAGTAATCATCGAAAAATCCGGCACGAAAAACGAATGCTTTTTCTAATCAGAAAGCTTTGGATTGTGTACTTATTTTTTTCGAAAAAAAACAGGTTGAAAAATGAAAAAAAAAACATATTTTGCTTAAATCCAATTTTTTTCGGCTCAAAAATCCGGCCTTCACTGCTCCACTGTTATTTCAAAAAAGCCTCTTTTTTCTAAAACTAAAGCTTCCTGGAAAACATTTGTCTCCTTGTCATCCAGTTCATTGCCTTATTTTCTTTTCTCATTAGTTTCAAACACGTTCTTAAAACCTTCGGAAACTCACCGAGACCAATGCGAATCATGCTGTGCGGGAACTTCCAGGAGCTCTTGTTGTACAGAGTGATTGGCTTGGTGCATTCCTGTTGCACGTAGATTTCCAGGTGATCCTGCGGAAAGTTGTGGCGATCCGTGCGAGAAAATTTCTCACCTGCAGATTCTGTCCGACGCCAGGCAAATCGACAACGACCGGAATATCGTGACTTCTCAGGTGATCCGCCGGCCCGACGCCACTGAGCATGAGCAACTGCGGACTGTTGATGGCGCCTTCGAATCAATGATTCAGTTCCAATGCGAAAAAGCTTCGGGGAATAAAAACAAACCGCCACTCAGGATGACGTCGCCACTACAGTAGACCTTCTCTCTACTGTAAGAATCCACATTTTCCGTCCCCAAAAAGTTGAGATTCCTAAATAAAAGTCGTTTCTAAGGCTCTCCTCGATCGCCAACCGAATGTACTCGATTCCGATCGCTTTCTTCTTGTTGAATAAAACTTTTGTACAGGTGATGCCGGAAGAAGTTATCAAGTTGGGTCTTTTCAGAACTGGATGAAGGTAGGCTTTGGAGGCGCTCCATCTATAGATTCCACAGTCGATCAAAGTTCAGAAAATGTTCTTTTGAAAATTAAAATTGGAAAATGAGGCTTTTTATTTCAAGAGAAGTAACTCAGAATTTGAAAAAAGTTTTTAAAATTGGACAAGTTTCAGAAGTACTGGATTAGAGCTTTTAAGATACAAAACTAAATAAATACCGTTTTTCAGAAAAGAAATTCGGTTTCACAGTACCTGGAAACGTGAAACTTAAGTGTTACTTTTCAAAAATTAAGAAGTTCAGCAGCATGTATTTCAGTTCCTCCACTCATCACAATTAAAAGTTTTTTTTTGACAAAAGGCTAATTTGTGAGCAGAAGATCATGTGGCAAAAATCTCTCTCAGGAGTTTTTCCGCCAAACAAGGAGAATGTCGAACCGCTCTCCGTTGTGGATGGTCATGTCCATGTGGGAGACGCCTTCTTGCTTGAAGCCGTTCATGTCGTCGCTCGAGCCGATCGCGTGGTCCTTGCCGACTTGCAGCCAGGCTCTTCAGCGCAAAGATGAAGTTGTCAAAGAAACTGAGAGACGGGCTCACTGATGCAGGGGATGGTCTGCGGGGGCTCTGATGACGTGCAGAGGTCCGTCGTGTCCGCGATAAGGGTCTTCTGTGCCCTGAAAAGAGCTTATCACGATTTCAATCAAATCAAAGAAGTTCAACATTCTCTCGACCATGTTAAAGCGATTGAAAAAAAGTGTTCCTGTTTGTAACACTTTAAATTTCTGCAGCCCCCGTGATCGCCCGCTTAAACTCTATTCGACTTCGATCATACCAAAAATTGGCCAATCATGTCTGTATCTTTTCGACTTCTTGATTTTCATCCCAATCTGGCAAATTCTAAGGTTCTATTGCGTTTAGCTCTACAAAACTTCCGTTGAATATACCTAGCTTTACTAGTGCTTTTCTAAATCATAAAAAAAGAGTAAAAGAAGCCAATCTTTTTCAATGAAAAATATACTTATCTTTTTTAATGATTTATTTCATTACTCCTTTCTCTTTCTATGTGCGTTGTCATACCAGAAATTTTTGATACACTTGAGAAAAAAAGATTTTAAAAAAATTGAGAATTCCAAAATCCGTAATTCAAAAAAAGAAAGAGATTAATGTTGATTCGAAATAATTTTTTTAAATAATCGAAAATTTCTCGATTTTTTTGCAAAAAAATGGATTCGGCTGAAAGCAAGTCAAGAAATAGCATTTCAATGACCTTCTAGCGCAGCTCCTTCAATCCTCTATTAAATGTATTAATCTCAACCATATCTTTTCAAACGAACTCCACCTACTTGAAAACCTTCCAAACTTCTCAGAAACCTTCAATTTTCTTCTTCAGACACATTATCCAAAACATATCAAGTCACCGTTTTTATACGACACAATAATGGAAAGCCAAGAAACTGACGGAAAAAGAAGAGATTCAAACGGAAATACCTTGACGTGGGAGTAGGTCTCGGACTTTTTGAAGTAGGGGAGACAGGAGGCGTAGGACCATCCTTCAGCGCCTTCTTTGCCCCACCGGTCGTAGTCTGAGGCGTGTCCCCGGACGTAGCACATGGCGTTGAGCGAAGAGCTTCCGCCCCACACTCTGCATTCCAAATGAAAATTCAACATTTTTCTAATTTATTCCGTTCTTCCTATTACAAGGAAACGCCCTTAACTAGCTCACAGTGGATCTTCAGAATTTTGAAAAAAAGAAAGGAAAAAACGTTCGAGTTTCCTTCCTTTTTGCTCATTCAAACGACCGCCTGGTACACTAAGAATAACTGCCGAAATAAACGCGAGGTCGGTGGCGGTACATTGACGAACTCGCAAACATGTCGCTTTTTTCTAGGCGCGATCTCGCATCTATCTCGGCGCAACTCTGCATTTCGGAAACTTTCAAATTGCGATATAAATGCGAGCTCGTGTCAAGAAAAATACGAGACCGGCGCAAGAAAAAAGCGAGATGTTTGTAAGTTCGTCAATTTACCGCCAGCGTCTCGCGTTTATCTCGGCAGTTATAGCTGATTCACGTCTGGCTTGAGCCCTCGAAAAATAGGTCCTGACACGATAATGGACGAGATAGCGCCTGACTCATGGAGAGCGCAGACAGGACACGCCCCTTAGAGTCCCAAGCTAGCCGTGAATGATCTATATAGTCTGTTCAGATTTAAAATGTCAAGTGCAATGACGTCATTCAAAAACACTCTGTGAATGGCTCGCTCTCTGATTGGTTTGTCGCACCATTAGGGGCGGAGCAATTTTTTAAATGATTTTTAAAGGCATAGGGGCAGTAAAAAACGGTGTTTCAGTTCAAAGCAGTACTTTGTAGAGCTTTTCATTGCGAATCGAACGGTGAACTTGAAAACGTACCGAACTTCCTAGTTTTGGAGAAAAAATAATTCAAAGTCGGAGAGAGGAAAGTTTTAGTTCCCGCCAAAAAGGGCGCTTTGCAGTAAAGTTGCTCTATGGACGCCATCTTCTCGAATGCTGAGCAGGGTAACCCAGCCGTGCTAACACGGGGTCTCCGCGGGTGCCCCCGTATTAAACCCGTATAAGTAGGGACCGCAGAGCCACGCCCACTTCGCTGTTCAAAAAAAACTTCGTCATTTTTCGTTGCATTTTGGTTCTTTTTTTATATTTTTAAAACAGTTTTTCTTGTACCGATTTGGGGAAAAAAATTGGGGAAACATACAATCGGCTATGCTTAACAATCCTACATAAAAGAAAATACTGAAAAATGAGAAATAAGAATGTACGACGACAGTTTTTAAAACGCATTTGTGGCCGAAAACGGATAAAAATCCCGTTTTTTCTTGAAAGTTTCTGGGCAACTTTTTTTATTCTTGAATATCATAAAGCAACTAAAAAAACGCATATTCTGGCAAAAAAATAAAAAAATTCTATGGTTGGCCTCAAAAAAATAACGCAATTTGAAAATCACGATTTTTCGAAATTCCTTATTTTTCGAAAAAAACGCAATCGATAATTACTGATTATATTTTTTTAAACGGTTGTTTGCAGTTGTTTGCAAATTTTAAAAAAATAGAAAACTAAGTTTTTTTCATCGATTATATAGTTTATATGAAAGCTTAAAATTTCGGTTTTTTCGTAACGCTTTGAAAACGGCCCAAAGCGTTCTGGGCAAGTTTTTTTATTTAATAATATCAAACATTAGACATTTCTCTACAACATATCAAAAAATAAAAAAATTCCTAGGATGGCCTGAAAAGTATGGTTTATTTAAACGCTCGAAAGTTATTTTTAAAACTGCGCGTCGCTGGAAATCTGCAGACACCGCGAAGGCCACGAAATTTTTCGAAAGTGTGAAGAAGGTTTTTTTTTAACTATTTATGTATTCTATTCAAGTTTTTCTCATTTTATTGTGGCTTTATAGTTGCTTTTTACTCATTTCATAATTGGAATCTTTTTTTCCTATATCATTATATCCATTATAGCAGCGAGAAAAGTATTAAATTTCGCTTTTTACTCAACTTTTTTATGAATTTTTTTCAGAATGTCAAGTAAAGAATTCTGAAAAAAATTGTCTACGATACACTCCATGTAGACGCACAAACTTTAGAGAAAAAAATAAAAAGAAGTAGAAAATCAAAAGTAAAAAAACGCTTTCGCCCTTTTTTTTTAAAAAAACTCTCTGAAAAAAAGGACTTGGTGATTATTTACATACTTTTTCAGTAAATTTCTTAGTAGACTGTTACATTTTTCAATTCGGTTTAATGCTGTTCGTCCTTCGCAGAGGTCTATTTTTGTCGGTTATTTTTCTTTTTTTACGAAATGCATTGAAACCTTCTTCAAAACTCGCTTTTTCAGCAGAGTGAGTGCTTGAAGAGTAGGCTGATATTGAAAAAGAGCAATATTCAATATGAAAACTCTAATATTTCATTTAAAAACTTCTAAAAAAACTCAAATAAATATGTTTTTCGAAACGTCTCCTGCGTGAATTAACGCACAGCAAGGAGCGCGCGGCATCTATAAACACGCCCCTTTTCCTGCGACCCTGACGAAAGTTTCTACACAAAAAGTGGTTCCCCGATTTCGCCACTTTTTTTGCTTATAACTTTTTTCATTTTTTTCATATTTTTTTCTTTTTCTGTTTTTCGCAGTTAGCTCTCAATTGCCATCAGCTTTCTTTTTCATATAGGTTTCAACTTTATATCACTGACTTTGGAAATTGGCCTGCGGTCCCTACGTATAAGCCCAGCTGATAGAACTTTTGGCACTTTTTAGCCCAACTGAGACCCCGCTTTAGCCCAGCTGGGTTACATATTTTTCTTACACCCGTTGTTCCCCCGTTTTAGCCCAACTGAGACTAAAATAACCTCAGAAACACGGGTTTAACAACATCGCGTGCACGAATACGGTAATCAGTTGTCTGCACACCGATCCAAAGCTTTTTTCAAAATTAAAGGCGGGAAAGTAAAATCGCGTTTTTCTTCTAAAGTAGTCACATCTGTAATTTTTTTGAGTGCAGCATTCGATTCCCCAAGAAAAACTATATAAGATACTGCTTTCACCTGAAACCCCATTTTTTACTGCCTCTATGCCTTTAATAGGACTTTCGCAGGTTTTCTATTCAACGGACTTAGGAGCGCTAAAGAGATCCCTAAAAGGATTAGGGAGAAAAACAGTCCCTATAGGGGGCAAAAAGTGGCGCCTATAGTGGTAAAATTAAGGTGATTCCTCTCTACAAGAAGCGTGCACTGATTTTGCACTTTTTTGCTGCACGGTGCATGTTGTCGTTTTGCACCTCGCAATTTTGGGTCTTTTCCAGTGCGCATGTGGTGCAACACCGCACGGTGCTGACACTCTGAACCACAAAACTAAACATGCTTTGCTACTCGATTTAGGCCTTTTCTTTCTCCATCATCCGACTTTTCTAACGAAAAAAATCATTACTAAAACGAAAAAAAAAAATATAAATAACATGTAGAACTTAGAGAAATGGACTGAATTGACAAGATTTCGAATACCCAATTTTCTGATTCGGAGTGTCAGCACCGTGCGGTGTTGCACCCCATGCGCACTGAAAAAGACCCAAAACTGCGAGGTGCAAAACGACAACATGCACCGTGCAACAAAGAAAGTGCGAAATCAGTGCTCGCACCGTGCACGCTTCTTGTAGAGCTATAGGGTTTTATGATCTGCCCCCTGAAACATACGCCCCTAAAATTGAAATGGTCCCCACAGGGTCTTCATTTTTTGTCCAGATTTGAAAATTGAAAAGATAAACTTGAACAATTCATCCTCTGTCGAGAAAAATCAACTAGCATGTCACCTAAAGGGGCCACTTTGCAAGCTTGAGTGGCCCCTAAGGGAAGGTAAAGAGGTCCCTATAGAGGAACCTTCGTGGGCTCCTAAGTGCCCTATGACCTCTGGAGCTCCTAAGGATGTATTTTTCTCAAACTTAGGTTACATTGTAAGATAAAAGCATTCAATGGTTAGATTTTTGTGAATACGTCAATTCCTTTCTGAAGGTAAACCTTCCACGAGGCCAATAAATGACCCGATCATTGAGATTTTGCTGGGAGGTCGTATGATAGAACCAGTTGTAGGTTTGATGACAGAGATTGTACATGAGAGCGGCGGGCATGTGGATCCGCCAGTCCCACTGGTGATCCTTCGGGCCGGCCTCTATCAGAAGAACGCGATTCGACGGGTTTTCCGTCAGACGATGTGCTGAAAAGTTTTGTCTTTCAGCCTGAAATGGCTATCTTGGATGAAAGGTTCCAGAAAAAAACAATAAGAAAAAATAGAGGGCATTTACCAAGCTATATTTTCTAATCGTTTCCAATGAGATCACAGTTTCCGCTTGTGTTAGTTCTTTCTACCGTATTTTTGACCTTCTAATGCATATATTTGAATTTTACTCGTATCCAAGTTGAAATATACCCTATCAAACTGTTACATGAAATGGAAGGAGACGTTTAAAAATATTTTCGCAACCGTTTCGCTAATTGTGTATAATCTCAACGATATTTGAGGTTTCCCCAGTCAGAGGTGAATGAGCTATGAGGTTTCTCCACAAAAGTTGCTTTTCTATATTTAAAAAAAAAAGCGATTTTCAAGAATAACGAATTTTACCTGACTTTCCGTTTGATTCGATTCGTTCTGCTGATTCATTAATTTATTCAAGAATCGTTTCGGAGAACTGTTGAACAAACGCTCACCAAGAACACATCCAGCACTTCCAGCTCCTACAATTATGTGTGTGGGTTTGACGGCGTCAACATCGCCAGAAAATTCGCCCTGACGAAAAGAATCCCGCCATTTGGTCCGACGACTCGTGTAATAGAGTATTCTTCCATCCACGAGTTTCAACATTCCAATGACTGAAAATGTCGGATCTCAGCAGAACTAACATATATTTCGAGGTCGAAAAAAAAAACAATTTCACACAATCCTGCTGTTTTTACATAAATGTAGCCCGCGAAATAACTTCGAAGCTGAACTTTTGGGTTTTTTTTTCACATAACTACAGAGATTTTTTCGTGCTTTGAACAACGATATGCAATTAAAAAAGAAAAAAAAATTCTGAATATCAATTTTCATTGAAGAAAAAAAAATGATGGTCTGCAAAATAAGGCTGAAAGACGAAATCACTCGAAAACTTAAGAGACACTCATGCATGATTGAAAAATTCCTCAAAGGCGCAATCACAACCAAAAATAAAAAATCACAAAAATGATATAGAGTAGAGTTCACCAAACCGATCGTTCGACCAATATTTTCATGACATGTTACCAAAAATATGATTGATTAACATTTCTTGCTATTGAACGATTAACATGTCTCATGATTATGATCTCTCGTTTTTTCGACATGTCAACATTTCATTTAAATGAGAGATCATTCTGAATCGATCGTTCAGTTTTCGATTGATCGAAATGTTGTATTGAAAATATTGGTCGAAAAAAATGATTGATCGAAATTTTGTTTTTGAAAAATATTGGTCGAAATAATGATTGATCGAAATTTTTATTTTTGAAAATATTGGTCGAAATAATGATTGATCGAAATGTTGTAATGAAAATTTTGTCAAAAAAATGATTGATCGAAATTTTTTTATTGGAAATTTGGTCGAAAAAAAATGATTGATCGAAATGAATTTTTTTGTTAAAAAAAGTATGTTCAAAACTACTGTTTAAAAACCGCTTCTCTTTCAAATGTTCATCATAATTTCTTTTTTGATTTTTCGTAACGAAATATCATCATCTTTTTTCTGTTTCTCTGTGTTCACTGGTCATAAAAGCAAAAATTTCTACAATGCCATATAGACTATAACAAATAAGTTCAAGAAAAATGCAAAACTTTAATTTGTCGGAAAAAAATGAAATATTTTCACCTGTTTACTAGTACTCCGAAAAACCTGCCCCGTGTGAGCGATCTGTTTTGAAAATCGATCGCTCGGAATTTCGATCGATCGAAATTTTTATGCTCAAAATATTGGTCAAAAATGATTGATCGAAATGTTGTATTGAAAAATATTGGTCGAAAAAAATGATTGATCGAAACGTTGTATTGAAAATATTGGTCGAAAAAAATGATTGATCGAAATGTTGTATTGAATATATTGGTCGAAAAAAATGAAAGATCGAAATGTTGTATTGAATATATTGGTCGAAATATCGATATATCAAAACGTTAAAATCCAATGACGGATCATTAATGTAAGAGATCAAAAACTGATCTAATAAACGATCTCTCAAAAAATGACATGTTAAAATTTGGTTGAACAGTGACATGTCAATAGTTTGATCAATTGAAATGGTTGAATGATCGGTTTGGTGAACTCTAATATAGAGTACACTTGAGGGGTAGAAAAACTGAAAAAGAGACCGAAGAAGAGCTATGTGGAGATTTAAAATACTCATTGTTATTAAATTTGAGAATCAGTTAAAAACAGTTGAGAATGCTAAAGAAGTCAAAATTCAAATGAATATACTACACTCCAAATTGAAACACTCGCTAATTCTCGACGCTGATTTTGGCTAAAGAAAAAAAAATTTAAAAAAAAATAGAAAAGCAATTAACGCGCATCAAAGAGCAAAAAGAGCAGTTTTTAGGAGCGTGGAAGTGATTTGAACGGATTTGGTGTCGACGACTTCGCCGTCGACGACGATAAAAGAGCCTTCAGACAACGTATTCAGACGAAAAGACGACACTTCAACCTTCTGAACACGTTTTTCGTTAGTGTAAAAGACGAGAGAATCTATCGATTTTCATATCGAGATGTGGGTATCAACAAAACTATCAGAAACTATGATTATAACATTACCATATTTATTTTATTTTTTTGATGAATAAATATTTTTCCTATATAATTTTTTTGTTTGAGTAATTCTGATGAAAGCTCAGAAATAGGGTAAAAATCACTAACACAGTCCATATACTGCTGGCTTAAGACAAAGAGGTTTTCCCCATTTTTAGAGAAATCTTTTAAAAAACCTATCAGTGAGTGAAGCGTATTCGTAGTTCAAAATTCAACAAAGCCTGAGCAAATTTTATTTGGCCGTGAAGTGAACTCGAAAGGTATGATGGGCCCGTTTCAAAGTTTTGAAAAATTAGTGATTTATTACATTCAATGTATTCTACTTCAATCGAAGTTTTCTATATCATAAGACAAAAAGAACTGAACTCACGTGTACATGAATTAATGAAAATTTATGATTGTGATAATTTGAATTTCATTTCAAAAAAAAGCTACATCATAACGACATGTTCAAAATGATTCCGCGAAATCCAAAATATCCGTCAGAGAAAGAAAAAGATAACTAAAGTTTGATAGTTGCAGATAACTTTGCATTTTGCGGGAACTACTTTGAAAAAAGAATAAAATAATAAAAGACTTTGAAGCTATAAAGATTCAAAAAAAGTTCAAAAAGTTTCTGATGACATAGTTTTTTTGAAAGCTATTCATGGATTAAGTAAAAACTTACAATACATCATTTATTTATGATGAAATTTTTAGAATGCCAAAAAGGAAAAATCACCCAAATGCTCGTAATCAATTTTTCACTTCGAAGAGGCCCGTTTTGAAAATATACAGGTTTTTCAAGATTTTTTTCTCAAAAAAATCTTGAATCCCGTGGAAGTAGTAATTAAAATAATGAAAAAAATTGTATCAAATGTGAAAAAAAGATTATGAGTCACTTTAAAAAAAAAAAGAAACCTTGAGAAAAGGCATATCGAGGTGCTTCTTGGATTCAATAGCAGACAAGAAATTGATGAGGTCCATGCGGCTGGAAACGTCGCGCTTCAGAATATAGGTCAGATGTATTCTGTCTTCATCGAGCTTCGCATTCGGAACGAAAGGACCGTCGGCCGAAATCCTTGATAACGTCACCTATAAGTTTGAACTCCGTTTTAATTCTTTCCAATACTCACACTTTTATCTTCTTAAACGAATTACTGAGCAACAGAGTAGTTATTATGGTGTTTTGTTAATTCACTGTGACCTTGAGCCCGCGAAATAATATCGCTAGAAGCACAGAGAAACCTTTGTTAAACTAACTATTTTTTAATGACGACTAAAAAATTTGTGCTCTCAATGACGACTCGAAAATGAAACTGACCGCATAAACACCGACGAATTCATCTTCAATGACGGTCCAATCGGGTCCAGTTTGCTCAGAAAGCGGTGGAACGAGCGTGTCGACGTGCAGTTCACTCCAATCCGTTGTCCCATTTATTGAAGATTCGTCCGAGTGGATTCCGGCTTGTTTGCGTATCTTGAAAATTCCCCTATGAGCGCTTATTTTTTATTTTTGAGCACTCTAGAATTCGGAGTCTCTGGGTAGACATTGTAAAAAGTAGACGTGGCGAAACGGATATTTTCCTCGTAGGGCTTGAACGACAAACGTCCTCTATAGGTTCGGAGATCTGGAATGAGCTTTCTGACAAAAAGAGGCGAAAAGGACGGAAAACATTTTCCAACGCTAAATTAGTTCGGAACCAAGAAAAATGATTTTAGAAACGGCTTTAAAAGTGATAAAAATTGAATACTTACTAATAGTGCGGATGAGAGCTCCTAACGTAAATCGATTAGAGCCGAGCGTCTTTCTCCACTTTTCGCTTTCGATATCTGACAAAATTCATTCGCGAGTCAGGGAGCAGTCCTCACCGATGTCGGCCATGAGACCCCAGCCGAGCGAGAGAAATGACAAAAGATGCTGGGTATCGGTTTGAACGTGAAAGAGGCTGACGGGAATCGCCTTGCTCGAGGTCGAAGTTGCCATCTCTACCGCCGACGACATGAGTTGTTTCTGTTTGAGACTCTTTCTGCAATCTCTGTCGCATGAGGAAACCTTTTCGACACTCACCCCGTGTTTTCAAGAACCGAACAGAGAAGACCGTTTCCGGAACCACTCGGAACCACGCTTAAGGGTAAGTTCGGCAGCAGAGCCACAAAGTCTTTCCTATCGACAATCCCATTCAACACCTGAAGTAGAAGCAAAAAATAATTTTCGATTTCTTTGAATGAAAAAAAAAACAAAACGTATATCATGGATGCATGTGTCTCATATTAAAAAAATAACTTTGAAAAAAAGTAGGGAAACCAAATTTTTTTCCGTTTTACCTCGAAAACAAGGCCATCTCCCGAGAGAATCATAACCCCATTGAAACAATCGAGATCTGTTCTCGTTTTCACCACGGATTTAGCATGATCTCGGCCAGCTGCAAAATTATTTAAGGTCAAAAAAAACTTATCACCTCTTGATTTCTACCTTCCTAACATTAAATACTTACTTGTAACAATGAGCTCGTACTTGATTTTGTTGCGTCTCAGAAGAGGTGCAACTCTTCTCTCGAAGGTTTTCAAGCTCTTTCCGCTGCCAGAGTTTGGATTGACGAAAACAAGAAGATTGCCACGCGTGAACTCTTGAAAAACTTATGTTGGTTTTTTATTCAATAGAAGGATTTATTTTCGAAAACATATTGAATGAAAGCGCGAAAAAAGGTATAGATTTTTTTAAATTTTAAAGTGAAGAAAATCATGGTTAGTGATTTATTGAAATTAAGATATTTACGATTAAAAAAAAGGCGGACCGAGCTCATTGGAAGTTGAAGTAACCGCCGGTACAACGACGACACTCGTTTCTTCTTCCGATTGAACCGGCGAACTGCAGCACAGGGCTCCCATGCAAATGTTCCACTGCCCGTAGACAGTGCAAGCCTGCATTTTGTTACCGCTGTGATCATCAGAAGCACAAACAACGGGAAGACGAACTTATCACAGAAAAGCTCAATTTGACAAAGTTCGCTCCACGGCTTTCATAGCTAAGTGATCCTTTTAGGTTAGTTAGTTCCTCAGTGCACTACTGTTGCTAGAGATTTTTATGTTTGCAAAGCTTTTGAGAAGTTCGTGGACACGCTTCTCACTTTCTGTATATATGAAAGATCATACAAGAGAATCAGAAGATACTTTGAAAATTGTGACGAGGCACACCCTTTATTCGCACAACTCAGAGTGGTTCAAAAAATATAGTCTCGGGCAAAAATGAAAAGCTCCCAAAAAGCTTTTCTCAAAAACTTTCCATACATTTTCCCATGAATGAGATGAAGAATATTGATGTCATAAAAATAATTAGAGAAAAGGCATTCTTTCATGTTTTGAATAATTGTTGAAACAAGGTTTAATTTCTAATTTTCTTCTTTCTTCTGTGTGTGTACAATTGATTTGAGCAAGTTTTTTTTAATTTTAAATAATAACGGGGGACGTAAAAGAAAGTGACTCGCAAAACTGAAATTAGTTCGCGCAAAGGTCTATTTTTTTCTGGTAAGAACAATATCGATTTAGAAGTTGGATATATATATAATAAATTATTGACTTGATCAAAAATACAGGAATTCACTAGGTTCCGACAAGAAAAAAATAGTTTTATGATAAGCCACGTGTAACGAGACTATCGTATTGGACAATGAAACTAGATAACATTTTAGGGTCGAAAACATTTCGTCGTGTACATACAGTGAATTTAGCAGTTCAATCAAAAACTGATATCTGTTTCCATTCAGTTTTATTAATGTCAAGAAGTGACTTAAGAAAGCGGCATCCTCTAATTCAGTTTATGAGCTGGCACAGGTCTCGGAGTTACCTGTTTCAGAGAGGTATTCAGAAAAAAAGAGGAAATGTTTGACTATAAACTATGGCAACTTGTTGACATGTCTTTGAACAAGTTTGCCTTCGCAACAACCTGAAAGACATCACTGGTAAACTTAAAAAACTTCCTCATCGCATTTGCTGTTTTCAAATTTGAGAATTCGTTTGAAGGGAATTAAACTTGAACTTTCTTCATGCGACTCTAAAATCTGTAGGTCTTCGAATTTTTTTCTTCATTGAAAAAAAAAATCATTACTAACAAAATAACTAAGGCGATGATATTCCATGTTCTGCATCGCCTCCAAAGGATAAATATCACGTTCGGCGCGGTTATGTGAAGAATAGGTTTGAGTGACATCTGCAAACCTGTGTTTAACTGCGAAACGTTCCTTAAATGCAAGGCGATCGGAGGAAAGATGAAGAAGAAGAAGAAAAGCGATGGTTCGGCGGCGAACGACTTTCACGGCGCAGCAGCTGGCAACCCTGGAGCAGTACTTCTCCGAACGACAGTACGTCTCCGCCAGTGAACGACTCCGAATCTCGGCTGCCCTCGGACTACATCCTATCCAGGTGAATCTGACGAGTTTGAAAAGTTCAGCTTGATAAAACCAAAACTTTTACATATCAAGATGAACGAAGAAGAAAAGCTTACCCATAAAAAATTCATTGGTCTCAATATTAATATGAGGTTTTTCAGATCAAAATCTGGTTCCAGAATCGACGAATTCGTTGGAGGAAAAACCAATCCTGACCTTAGCTATTCATATTTCTTGTTCATTCCTGTTCTGTAGGCTGATTGATACGAAAATATTTGTAAATAGGATTTTGATTTGAAAGAAACACGTTTAGTAAAACACTGCATTTAAAAGGTGTTATGCTTTTGTCACGATAAATAGTTTGATTGCTCTCTAGTATTTATGACATTCGCGATAAACTGTTTGAAAAGAACAGCCTCTGCAAAATGAAGTACATGAAAACCTTTGTTACCACATTACAAACCAAGACGTGACTGTACGCAAAAGCTCATTTCATATTGAGTACTCGTCTAACAGCAGCATGTTGCCTCCGCTGCTCTATGCACTGGTATGTGTAGCTTCCAAAAAACACAACAGCTCAAGTAGAGACATGGAATCCGAAGTTGGACGTTACTTGATGTTTTTGTTGAATTGAAAAAAAGAAAATTTCAGCATTCACCGCAAAGGGAAGGCCAACCGATACCTCAAGTCCAGGCTAGAAGCAATAGAACACAAAGGCCACGGCGGTCGTTTCTCCGTTTCATGTCCGATGTTTTTCTACGCGAGGTGAACGCTTAAAATTGAAACAGGAGAAATTATTGCGAACTTTTAGAACGCCTTCAAAGTTTATCTACTTCTTGCTTGGGGCATTGGTCTTTCCGGAGTTATTATCGCTCAACAGAAACATTGTAAGTCAGGCTTCTTAGACAGATCCAATGAATTCGTGAAAAACATCAAAGTCGTGTGCTTTCTAGTTGTGCTTTCTATGCTGATGCTGATTTACCTAATTTCGCAAATCCCTGGATTACTAGCTCTTGTTTCCCGATACCCGCGATACTTCATCCCGTACATTGCAGCAACAGTGAGATTATCCAACCGAAATGGTCGTGAATGATAGTTTCAGTTGGTTTCGATGGCGGTCGCGCTTGTTGGTATACTACATTTTGCGTTTCGCGAGTACTCGCCCAACTATCTAACATATACAAACAAAAAAAGTAAGTTCCATAAAAGCACTGTCACGAAATCCTCAGTTATCCTCCGTCATCTGAACGGCGTCTTCTTCTCAAATAACTCACTTTCCGTGCTGCTTTGTTGGGTAATTTTGCTGTATCTGACCGTTTGCATGTGTGCCTGTCTCAATCTCTGGCAGATATTCCTCGAAGAAGAGGTAGGAATAATGATGTATTAATATATAAAACTGAATGAAATATCAGTTTCGCGCTCGACGGTACCGGCAAGTCGAAGCTTTTCTCAGAACGCGTCTTGTTTCCTTCGAAGATCTACCAGTTGAGGTTCAGTTTGAGCCTGACAGCCCGCCTCACTATTCAGTGAGTTTTCCGTATTGCGAAAAGTCGAAAGTTTGGACTTTTTCAAATAGTAACTTATGAGGGAGAGTGAGAAGTTCAGAAGCTTCATATATCGAGGATTTTCAGCCGGGTTTAGAAAATAATAAACTTTTTAGTCAAATGAACTCTATTGTCAGACCTCTTTTGTGTTAAACTTTGGGAATTTTTTCTTTGAGTCTTTTTTGAACGTACGCATTTAAATTTTTAAATTTTAACAGCATTCTCATAGAACGAAATAAGACTTGCTCTCAAAAGCGAAATTGCTCCAAAACAAATATTAATACAGTTACGGAACAAATTTGAACTCTTTTTTTTGCGAAATTTTCCGTTTCTACGAAGAAAACGCCAAAATTTTTAACTTTTAGTTCCAAAAGCTTTCTGTAATTGATTACCGCTTGCCTTTTTTCCCGATGACATTTATTCTCAACAAGTCTATTTTCTTGTGATTTTTTCGAATCCAAAAAAGTGTTTGAAGGCGATCGACCTGGAAGGACAGCCGACGGCGCCCGAGTTCTCGCCTCCGAGGTACTCTCAGTGGGTGAAGATGAACTCACGACGCAACGACGTCGACTCGTCCAACGGCCCCATCGTCTTCTCTCTCGCAGAAAAACACGACTAATCTGACAATCGTGTATTTGCATAATAAGCTCAGAACCGTTCCGACTTCATTTTTTGTTGACAAGTGAGATCGAGTCGTAATCAGTGTATAGTAAAGTCTTGTTAATATGAAGTTTTGAAGAAGTTATGTAGAAAAGGAAAGTGAATAATTAAACTGAAACTTACTTACAAGAATCACAATTCACAAGGAAGGAGACGACTGATAAAGATATTCAAAGTTGTTTTTCACTCGCATTCCATTCCTTTTTCAATTTTGCTCTGGTGTCCATGCGTTGAGTTATAGCTTTCAATAAACTGTTGAGTCGTCCTGTCTTCTTTTCCGGCCAGAAACCTTGAAAATGCCCCATTTTCGATTATGAAAAAAACTCCAATGAATTTAAACATTGAAAGAGAGAAAAATCTTAATCGTCATTTTTTTTTTCAAGTAAAATATGGCAGATGCAAATGTGAAAAAGCAGATGACTATTCAAACTTGAAAAAAGACAAAATAAACCCGGCGATACAGAAAACCAGGCGTTGTTCGTATCTCATCAAAAAATAGAGGAGTTACCTTTCTGAAACCGGGACGTTGAGGACTTCAGGCAACATCCAAGGCTTGAGCCACCCCACGAGAGCACTTTGCCCGGCTTCGTACTGCGCTTCAGTGTAGTAAAACAGAAGGCCATCCAATAGGTCAAAGCTTAAAAGTAACAGAAGTGGAAGAGAAAGAAGGAAGATAATTTATATGTCATATTCGGAAAAAAAAAGAAAGTCGTTGAACGCACTCAAAATCGGAGCTCATCATTTCGGTCATGGCCTCCGGCGTGCACTTACAGTGAGGCAGCTTTCGAATCGAAAACCTAAACTTTGTCATCAGAAAAGGCGAAGCACTAATGAAAACTTGTTCTTCTTGGATGAAACTGCGAGCTCCGGCATTTCTTCGAGTTTTGAGTCAAGCAGAAAATGCCGTAAGTCTACAGGATTATCGGCCACGTTCATCTGGTTCCAACACAGCAAATCCAGACAATATATCGTTTTGTCCGACATTATCGCGTCCACTATAGTGTAGGAAGCTGCAAAGACAGAGACTAAAACCAAAAAAACCGATTGGCCGTTAAAAATGAGGTTATACATATGTATAAAATTAATCTTATAAAGCCTCTCTCAACTGATTCGAATAAAACTGCGTAACTATAGAAAAACAGGGATTCAAATAATACAAAAATAAAATCGGAAGGTTAACATAAAAGACAAAGATCTTAGTATTGCTTTTTCTTCGTTTTGGAAATTCTTTTTTTTTCTTACCGTAATGTTCAAACCCGAAAACAATCAAGCAAGTGAACTTTCATAGAATCATCTCAAACCTCGATTTCGGTGGACCATATGAATGTGTAACTAAAAGAGCCTCACCACTGGTAGCCGAAGATCCACCTGGGAGGCGCGACTGGAACTGGGTGACCATTCGGCCAGCCTTGTTGTAGGCGGTAGTTGTCCCCTGAACCATTCGAATCCTACACGTCTTTGACAGCACGACTCTAGGCAGTTCTTTTTTCTTTAAAGATTCGGAAAGTGTCTTATGGATGAGTCTAGAAGAGCTATCACTACGATATTATCTAATTTAAGCACAAAAAGAGCCAGATTTTTCGCAGGAAACTGTAGATAATGAGAGGACGAACTCTGGAAGCCACGACGAGGACTCTTTTGCCGACTGGCGCTGGGATCATCGTCCACTCGGCCGACAACATTTCCGGAATGTCTATCAGCCACTCGCTCAGCATCAGTTGGTCAGCGTACCTGAAAAAGAAGATAGGGTCCTCGTAAAGCATCCCTGAAAAAGTTTGGAGGCGCGAGAATCGCGAATCGCCTTGAATAACAATGAAAACTCTCATTTCGCTTATTGGTTGTTTTTTTTTTTGATTCAAACCACAGGATTGTTGGAAAGATTGTGGATTCCAGTGTGGATTGTGGATTTCTCGAGAATGAAACGTTTTCTTTACAAATGCACAATAGCGACAAGAAAGAATTGAAGCTGAACCCAAATAATGGAGAGAAAGTGTATAGCTGAAACTAGTTCATTAAATCTTTTACTTCATCAAATAAAAAAGTTGAAAAACGCAACCGGAAAATATGAGGTCGTCTTTTCCTCAAGTCGAGAGCCTGCTGCTTCTCGACTTCTTCTTCATCGTCTTCGTATTCCTCATCGAGGGCCAGTTTCCGAAGTCGGTTGAAACGGTCGGTTCTGCTGTCCCTCTGTCTCACCAGCGCCTCTTCTCGTCTCTTCGCTTGTTGCTCAGCCGCCTTCCCTTCATTTTTGAACTTGCTGAACCTCGGATGCTCTCCCTAAATTTGAAATATTCAAAATTCCTGATGAGTTTTCTTACCTAGTGCATTCGGGTCGACGTGAAACGTCTCTGTGAGCTGATCTACCAAATCATCCATACCTTCTGAAACTACTGTTGACTACTTTCTTAAGGAACAGTAAAATATGTGAAAAACTGATTGATTGATTGACTTAACAGTTGGAAATTCGAAATTAAGAAAAAAAAGTAATATTCATTCAGTTCACAACAACAACAACAAAGCAAAAAACAAGTAACAAGAAAAATCAACAAAGATTTCATGAATGAAGCGTTTCAAACATATACAGACCGAATCAAGACATTGTTTCTAATCGAAAACTGAGAGCTTGGCACTGCAAATCACGTTCGACACGATTCCTTCGCCCAAAATGGCTATCCCCTCTAAAATTTCCTCCTTGTTCAGCACCAGACGAGCTTCGTTTAGGCTTTTATGCAAGTTGCAACGAGTAATCTGAATAATTTAATTGATGCGGCTGAGAAGATGTTTTCTGGCAGACCTTGGACGGAACTTCGGCCTCCTGCGGCTTGAACATCACGCCGACCTTTGAGGAATCGTACTTGTTGTAGAAGAAGAGCGCTGCCTGAAAAACCTTTTCTGAAACAATTTATTTGATTATCACGAACATGTTGAAAGTTGGCGTTCAAGGTGTAGATCAATTCGTCAACCGGGTCGAATTCGATGACAGGAAGGACCTGACAAGTTTCAAGATGAGATCGAAAAAACAGAGGAACTTGCTTTGGCCCGCTTTTTTTTATCCACGTAGGCTGATCTCGTTCGAACTTGAGCTTTTCTGTCGATTTCGATAACGGCGTCATACATCGCAAAATTAGAGCGAAGAAGCGCGTTCTGGAAAAAGCCGGTTGGAAATTCTTTTAAAAATTCTTGCTTATTTGAACGTTTTGATCAAACTCCAAATCACTGATACTTTGAATCTAACAGAAACTTCAAGACGTTATCTGATTTTCACGATAAATGTAAACCATCAGTCTTCAAAACACAAGAGACCTTGACATCAACTGGATGCTCGTCGAAAATATTCCTTTCCAGAACTCGGAGGGTTTCTTTTGCCAATCCGATTATCCGCTTCAAAAGCATTGGCGAAGGACTTTCCTTGGTGAATCTGCATAATTTCGAAGTGATCCCTTCTCACTGTATAAAAAGTTACTTGGAGCCCACTGGGTCGACGTTCGTGATGACTACCATACAAGGCAGAACGGGCCTCATTTTGACGAAATTCGATTCCAGCTCACAAACCTCTTCTTCTGAAAGGAACTTCGCTAAACTCAAATGAACCAAGAGAACTGTTTTCCATTTAAAAAATCATACTTTTCAGCAAGAAAAGGAGTTTGAAAATCATTCATCAATATTTCAGAAATTCAGATTGTTCTTATCAGGAAATCTCAAAAGACTGACCTGTCCATGAGCTCGCAACATCGACCATAAGTGGTCTCGTGAGCCAGTTGTGTGAAGATAATAACCGCAACACTCGAACAAATGCGCTCCAAGCAGATCTAGAAAGAAAATAACCGTTTGAAGAGTAAGGTTGAAAATTTTGGAATTTATTTAGAAATTTTTTTCTTTTTATATGTTTGAAACTCATCATTTTTCCCCTTGGGCTGATTCACCGACTCATCATCATGATCATCATCAATATTTATTGGTTGTTTTAGTCAGATGGTATCGACTAGGCGGTGAAAAAATTGCTCTTTCGAGCGGCACTAACACCGCCTTTGGCGAAAAAGAAGTCAAAACGTGTATTCGAATGATTTGAAAGCATATTACGGTCCTTCTCCTCGCTCTTCCACAAGTAGATCCCTCAGTTTCGCGTGTACGGGCACGGCGGGGATGGTAGGGCTCGGGCACGGACACCGTGTACACTCTAGGGTAGCCTCGGCCGATTGAGAGAGCTACCACTTCGAGTGAAGAAAATACACGGAACTCAATGGTAATTGTATTTTTTTTTCTCGGTATGATACCAAAAGTTTAACATTGCTCTCGAAAGGAAAAAAAGACAGGATAATCAGCTTCATATCGAAAAGAAAAACCGACTTTTCCCATTTTTCACGAGATTTTCTAATACACAAAAACCTAGAAAAAGTCTTCTATCCTTTTTAATCCTCTGCGCTCTCTTCTTCCTCACACAAACTCTCTTGTTTTTGTGTTTTTGTCATGTTTTATGACATAGAAAAGGGGGAGCAGAGAGATATCATTTGTCCAAGCTGTGGCCAATGGATTCTACAGCCCTCTGTTATCAACTTTCAAATTCCTCACTCCGGCGCAAGAACTCCTTTCTGGTCGACGGCGGCCGCCACTATCAGTTCGATAACTAAATCGTGCAAAGCGCCGGACAAAAGCTTCGATCCGAGCCACCTTCAAACAAAAAAAAATTCTCTTTTCAAACTTCTCAAAGGTTCTTACGCTTTGAAAATTTGTACTGTCGTACCGAAAATGAGATGACTGGTGGAAAAAGATTGGAGCGACAGCTGCAGCAGCGGCTCCGTCACGAACCTTCAACACGACCATTTATTCAAATTACTCATTAGGAAGTTATCGAACAGGTCGGAGTCAGTTCTTTCTTTTTGTCTTGAGAATTTAGAGATCAAATAACCTTATCATCGACTATCATACACTACCATTCACTACAACGAGAAGAATTTTCATCAAGATATGTTTTTTTTGTTAGCTTCTTCTTGCCCATCAACTCACTTTTTCTTCCACGCCGCAAGGCGAAGACCCTCAAGTGAACCCTCGATTCTTGTTGCTCCAGATTCCCTCAAGCGCTCCACCTGACAATTTATCCTTCAGGAAACTGAACTCTTCATAAATCCCACCGAACTTTCCAAAACTTTGAGAATTTTGTCATGAACGATGATCACTTTGAATACGATGCCGTCCTGGAATTTGAAAGGTGTCCCGATGAAAGTTTTTAGCGACCTGTATGATAAAAAGCTGATCGACAGTCGGAACGGCCACGATTTTTTGTTTTTCTCGCAGAGACTTGGCAATCTGGAAAAAAACATTGACGAAACGGACTGATTTCGCGAAGGACCTGAATGTAAAACGAGGACGTTAGCCTGCGGATTGCTTCGATGTCCTGTCCCCACTTTCCGGAAAACTCCAGTTTTATATGCACTGGAAATCGCTTGAAATGCAAAAAGATGCTGATTCGAGCTGACCAACGACAGCAGGAGAGAGCCGTGGGACTTCAGACGTGCTGGGAACGCGATGGCCATCAACTACTTGGCCGCCAAACTGCGCAGCAAAAATTGAAGGAGAGCAAGTCTGAAACAAGGATGAATAGAAGGAAAACGTGAAGAAGTCACCTCGGTGGCTCGGATGAACGGGCTGATGCCGTGCACGTTGGTGATACTGAGTGGCAAGTTCTTCATGGAACGGAGAGTCGCTCCGAGAGAAGCGAAAGCCTTGCTGACGGCGTCGAACTGGGAGCGGTCAGACGCAAGTTGGGCCATGTCCCAGCTGCGCCACGAAATCGAGTTCATCGGCATATTGCAAATCCTCAGACAAAAATATCAATTCTGTTTTTTTTTAATTGACTCTTCATTTCGTTCGAGCTTTGGGCTTTTTATAAATAATACTTGGATAAAAAAATTGAATTAATTTTTTTGTAGATTATAAATAATACTTGGATAAAAAAATTGAATTAATTTTTTGTAGATGAAGTTGATGGTATCATGGACTTTTCCATCTACCTAACTATGCAGAACTTTTTTCTTTTTGTGAAGCCCATCTGAAAAATAAAAAGGCTTCGTACAGTGAAATTATGAATGATAGTTTGATTGGAAGCTGCTTGGTTAGCCACATATTATGAATCAAAGATCGAAAACTGACTTTTGCAAGACGAAATTTAGAATTTTCAGTGGGACCGTAGGAGAAGCTTCGTTGGACCAGACCATGCATTCACATATCCGGGTGTCGGCAAACTTCCGCAACTCCGTAGAGTTCTTCCAAAACGATTGGAACGCTAAAAAATAAAATTGAAAAAAAAATAGATAAAAACGTTTTTCGAACTTCTAATTCACCTTTTACATGAGCTAGAGGCTTGAACTTTCGATAAACTGTTAGAGAAGTGAACTTTCCAAAATTATACACATTACTTCTATACATTAAAAAAACTCATGTTATAATGTTTCCAAAGATAAAAAAAGAACGGTTTTTTCTTTTTATTTTTTTAAATTCAGAAATAAAAAAAGAGAATCAAATAAAATTATTATAGTTCCGTTTTCCTGATTCTTTTCTGGCCGACCTTTGGCTTCCTCGGTTTGGGCCTGCGGACCAACCGTCAGCGGATTTGTCCACTGCTTCGTTACGCGGAAGCAAATGACGAAGGATTGTTCTTTCAACGCCGGAGCATACTTATCAACCCTCCACTGAAACAGGATTCTCGAGAGAATTTCGCGAAGAGCGAAAAAACCAACCGACTTGGCGTGATCCCCAACGCGAGAAACTGTCATGTATTCGAATCTCTCGCCCATCGCCTTACAAGCTTTCTGGAAATCCAGAAAACTGCGAAACTTGAAGATATCGGAGAACCTTTTGGAAATCAGTCATGAAAGCTCTGATCAGATCGTCGTCGTCCGCGACATCCAAACCTATACTCCGGACTTGTGTTTGCAATTGTGAAGAAGAGATGTTCAACCTTTGATAGTTATTCAGATGGTTCTTCTTTCTTTTTTCATTCTCACCTCGCATAATGATCAAACTGCGCAAAATGAGGAACTTCGTTAATGAAAACTGTTTCGAAAGCAAAAATATCGCCCAGAAGCGGCAAACAGACGACTATTTCCGCTTTCAGCTGAACAAGAAAAAACATTTAAGAATCAGCTGAATCATCGCTTTGATATTTTCTATCAAGCATGTAGTTTTTCACCGCTCTTTGAACTTCGGGATTGAAAGAAAATACTGACCCTAGAAATGTCTGAAACAGAAAGTCTGTAGGTCACGTTCCAAAACCCAGAGTCGTCGAGAAGAACGATCGGAAAACTGGCGGCGAAAAGTTCGCGCACCTCTTCTTCCAGTACTACATTTTCAGAGAGCGTTTGGACATCGGAAATGTCCCAAGTGGCTGCAGAAAAATAATAAGTTATATTTGAACAACTGAGCCAATCGAATCGGAACAAATAAAGGGAAAAATTGCTAACCGAGGTCACGAAAAATGTTTCTAAGAACGGTGAGAATCTCTTGTTTCTCAGTTATAGAGCCAGTTCGGAAAAGTCGCAAAACTCTTGCGCCACAAATCGCACCACAGACGTTCGTCAGACCTCGCGCTTTCAGAAAGCGATTCGTGAGTCCCAACGCTTTCACTACCACTGATTTGCCCTAAACATCGGAGTGTGACCGTTTAAATTCCTTTTTTCCACTTTGAGCTCCTTTTCGATAGTTGCCCGCAACTCCGGCTCCATCATAGTAGCCAACACCCGTTGGTTGTAGAACGGCGTCGCACATTCATCTCAAAACTCGTGCTGTGTAGTTTGAAAAAGTGGCTAAAGCCGAAAAGAATCCACTAGTGAAAAACTCACTTAAATCTTTCAACTTTTCGAAAACGGTGGCAGGTCGCAGGTTTCCTATTGAAGGTAGGAAACGCTGTGGTTTTGCAATGGAACAATTATTGAAGCTGATTTGAACACCTCCTTTCTCTTTCCCTTCAAAAAATATAGTTGTGGAAAAGAAATGAAAAATGATTCACCGGTTAGAAGCAAATCAGGGAAAAGAAAGTCGTCTTCTGCGGCACCACCTGCTTTGAAGCTTATTTCCTGAAAGAAAGTCTTCGACGAAAAAAAGAGGCTCTACCTCGACGCCCTTGATGCTGACGGCCTTGAGAATGTAGGCAACGCAACAAGCGTAGTGAGCTCTTTTGGCGGCATAGGTGAGGTTGAGGTAGTCGCGGCTTCCGAAAAGTTGGTTCGGAATCTCGACGTGAACCCTCACACTCACGTCACCTTCCAAACACAACACGGTTTCGGCGACTGTCGATACCTTCGAAACAAAATTTTCTGTTTTTATTTCTGTTCATTAGGACGACTCAAACGGAGTGAACTCTCTAAAGTATCACTTAAAAATCAGATGCTTTACTCTAATGGCAACGAACACGAAACTATTTTCATTTCTATTTTCGGGAAATCAGGAAAAATAAAATATTCAACTTGAGTATCTGAATGTAGTTTAAATCTGGTTACTCTTAACTTTTTAAATCTGGGAATGTTGGATGTTATGGATTCTGAAAAAAAAGAACAAAGATATAATCATGTTTCTGGTACTACGAATATCATTTAAGTTTCATAGAAATAAATCTTCAAAATTACATTTGAGGGAGAGATCCATGTAAATTCATCAACGCTGGAGGTCGTTCTTTGAATTGCGACATCGTGATTTTCCAGTGGATACTCAACGTCTTTCGTCGTCCAAAACTTTGTGTTTTTGTACTATAAAATAAGTAAATACTCATTTAGAAAGAGCTTCGTTCTTTTTTTTTTCGAACCCCTAACTTGACGTTGACTTTGGCATCAAAGATCGTTTTGGAGACTTTTTTCGCAACGTTATTCCACTTATCGAGCAGATTCTCACGGACGATCCGTTCCTTCTCCGCGTCATCGCACTGAGATCCAGTTTCTTTATGGAAACTTCTGCTAAACTGACTTGAAGTCGGAAAGCATCGCTCATGGGTTTCTCGGCATTTTTGACCTCGTCCTCTTCCAAAACCATCCTAAAAGTTTCAATTTCAGAGAAGAACTGTTTGGCATCTCGTTTTATTGCAATGAGCACCCATTCGTGCTTTATCGGAGCCCAGGCAAAATTTTTGTGAGAGCTTATCTTATCCTCTAAAACTTAAAAATTCCTTCAATTCTCAATTATTTCAGTGTTTCGTTCAATTCTATAATCTTCACCCTTTCTAAACATTTTTCGTCGCGTTTCTCAAACCCCTTTCGTCGGATCAAATTGATAAAATAATCAAATGATTATTTTAGGTACCGGCAATAGATTTTCAACGAAAAACGAGCAAAAATAGTCTTTCGGTGCAAAAAAAACACGATGACAGCGTCGAGAAAAGAAGGCTTTAATCAGGAAAATTTATTGCTAGACGGCGGAAATCAAAATAAAATAAGACAATTAAAGAAGAAAGAAAAATAAGGAAAGAAAAACAAAGCGACCAAGTGCATTAAACCCTATTTTTTTATGCCTTTTTGATCATCAGAGAACAAAGGAAGCGTCAATATCACATAAAATCATGTTTGGAATATTTTAGGAACATGCTGGTAAGTGAAAAAAAAGAATCTAATTTCAAGTAGCTTAATTCTATAACCCTTCTTAGAAACAATGAAAAGCACCAAATGAATCGACAAAATCAGTAAGGCGCTTGAAGGATTCTCCCTTTGAATCATATGAATAGTGCAGATATGAATAAAATTTTGAGGAAACGTTTGAGAAATACCAGGCCAAGTGGAAAGAAGTATCACACCGGAAAATGTACAAACAATATGCAATGAAAACACATAAGAGACACCCGAAAAAAAAACATGAAACGAGTCGCTTGGAAAAGAAGAACACTTCGGATCGACAAACTCCCGGCCAGGAATCCCACCCCGCAAAAAGACGGCTAGCAGTGGGGTGAAGAATCGCTGCTCAGTAGTCTTGCCGTATCGGAAGACTGACGAGAGTGTGTTGGAGACCTTAAATGGAAAATGTTGTAATATCACGTCTATCTAAATAATACTCTTATCTCCTACGTGAGATGAGTATGTAAGGCCGTTTGGCTATCTATCTGTGACTTCTCCATTCTGTCAATAAACCTCAGTTACCTCGGCTACCGCGGACACAAAAACTATCTCAGCCTGGTCGCCATTTGTTGTGTCCGTGATAGCCGAAGTATCAGCAGAGGCTTATTGGCAGGATGAAGAAATCCCAGAATGATAATCAAGCCTCCTTATATACCCATCTCACTTAGGAGATAAGATCGAAGGAAAGTTAAAAAAACTGAATTTATATTCCAAATAGAAGTTATTTTTCTCGTTATTTTTTTCAAGGGAAATATTATTTTCAGTAGGTTTTCAGCATTGAGTTGTTATCATTTTTTTCTGACCCATTGAAAGAATAAGAAAAAAAAGAAAAAAAGTCTGACATACTTTCTGAAATACTTGCTCGCCGGAGGAGTGGCCGGCAGAGTGGAGTTGATCAGTAAGGCACAAAGAACCATCATCGCTCCGATGAGAAACGGTGGGCCGGGAATCAGTTGCCAATCGAAAGCTGGCCGGTCGTCCTGCAACTGGCCTATGATCACGGAAAACGACTGGCTAGGCGAACCCAAATGGATTCGTTGCGACTGGGGGACAGGATTTTCTCGTGGACTCCGGAGCGAAGGCGAGCCGCCACCACCGCCGGAAAATGAGGACCGACTCCGACGTGGCCAGCTCCGTCCTTGTCGTCTTCCAGGTCGACGTCGAACAGGTAAAAAACGAATCCGAAAAGCGCCGGTCCAAAACCTTAAATTTTCCTTTTTTCTGATGAACCTTATTCTCTTATCGATTATTATCATCACAAAGGAACGTTTTTACCCCCCGGTTGAACTTTTGATGAAAATTTGCTGAGAACAACCTGATTGCAAAACAGGAAGAAAAAATTCTCGCAATAGATCTCGTTTTCGAGTTATGAACTTTCAAAGTCCGCAAAACACGATAATTAGGCCAAAAATGCGTAATTTTTAGTTTTTTGAAGCGGTTTAACTCGAAAACAAGATCTATTGCGAGAAATTTTTTTCTTGTTTTGCAATCAGGAGGTCCTAAAGAACACTTCAGCAAAGATTCGTCAAAAGTTCAACCGGGGGGTGAAAAAACGTTCCCTAGTCAGATTCTAATTTGCACAACTTTCGAGCTCTTAGAGGAGAAGATCATGAATCTTTTAAAAATCGCTCTTTCAAATGCATACAACGATAGTACAAGTACATGTAAATTACACGTTATTCAAATAATTTTAAAAAAACAGGTAATGAAAAAAAAAACTTTCCTTGATAGTTCTGGAAGATAAAATTTAAAAAGCTTAGAATGTTGAAGGGAAATTAAAAAAATTTCGGAAAACCTGTACAGAGTCCGCGGATGCCAGTGATGACACCTTGAACAGTTCCCTGCTTATCTTTGTCCGATAAAATTGAAACGAAAGCAGAAATCGACGGGTATGTGATGCTGCTCATCGCTGCCAGAACCCCTGCCGACCACATCATCCAGTTCCTCAAAAGACACGAATAAACTAGAGTTGTTCCCGTTTAGCTGGAAATAAGTGGTGACTTACTGAGTTCCGAGACCGTACCAAGTGAGTTGAACGAGTTGAAAGACCAGCCCTAGAGTGATTGTGTGTTTTGTGCCGAAGTAGTTGCTCAGTAGAAGAAGAAGGGCCGTTTGAGCCACCACAGAGAGGATTCCAACGAGCCCGATGTACATGGCCACTGCTTCCGGCGAAAAGCCAACGACCTTGAAATGAGAAGAACACCGTGTAAAGTTTTCACTCAAAGTGGCTACTCTCTTTTGAGGCTAGCACGGACTCCAGCACAAATCCGCTACATTCTGAGCCCGTCAAGGCGCAACTGGTTGAACTAGACCATGTTTTCAGCTTGATCAACTACACCTTTGGGTTTCTAGAAGGCGTTTTTTTTCGTTATAACTTCAAAAGCTCTTTTTCACCGCCTACTCGACTACATCTATGACCAAAACAACCAAATGAATAATTTATTGTTGAGTGAGGCCACTTATCAACAGAGAAATATTTTAAAGTTATTAGATCACCAATTGAAAAAAAAAAACTTATAATATCGATCAACAGCTGATAATTTTTCTTTTAATATATAATGAAAAGATTTCTCTGAATGTGAGATAAATATTTAAAAAAAATTTTGAGGCTAAGTATTCACTGTTTTCCGAAGGTTTATTCAAATTAGAAAGGCTTTCAACTTTCGGAGCATGAGCAACCTTAAAATTTTTCTATTACCCATTTTAGTTTTGTGACATTAATAATTTCGCAAAGCTTCGTAACCATCGGTTTCCTAGTTTGTTCGCATTGAAAAAGAAAACTGCAGTTAGTTTTATGAGTAGACTTAATAGAAAGAACTCACCAACTTAAGGTAAACGAAAAAGCAAGAAAATTGGCCAGATTCGGGCAAATACGACAGGAAAACAATCAAAGCGAGTTGGAGAACCTGAAGTAAAAGGGTTAAAACGTGGAATGTTCGTTTGAATCGTACCAAACGGTCTTCCCAAACGATTCTCAAAGAGCCGAAAGGATCGGCCGAGTGCCAGTTGAAAACTTCCTGGGAGGACACCTGACCGGAAGACGGGCCACAGGGCCCGCGACGCGATGGAAGCGACTCCGGCACGAAAAGAACTATGAACACTATGTCCACCACAGCCACCGCCGTCGCCTTCAATTTCTACTCTCAATATCATTTATCAAGTTGTAGGAACTGTTTATTAACCAATATGTTTTTGAGTAAAAGTCGGCTAAAAGTGTTGTAAAGTTAAAATGGAACTATGAAAAAAAAAAGTTTCTCACAAAGAACGGGAAGGAAAAAATTTATTTCTCTGCCAGCGTAGTTCTAAGGTAATCAGAAAAATACTTTGCTCTGGGCTGATTCTTACTTTAATTAATGAACTCCGAACCAAACTTTCCCTCCTATCATCATTTTTATAGTCAAAGTTAAAATAAAGAAAAAGACGAGAAAAAGAAAAATGTTCCTCTAGAGTGTCAAAGTTAATATGTAGTACTAATATCATTATGATATTTCTCAGAAAAAGAGATAATTTTCGTTTCAAGTTTAAAACACGGTTATAAAAAACAACTCAAATCAAACAGGCGTATATCTTATTTCTTTTCTTTTTTTTTTCTTATCGGTCTGGAACACAGCTGGGCCATCAATCACGATAGAAGACTTTTCTTTGAAGCTGATAGAAACCAAGAGAGCTTACGAGAAGAACGACGACGCTGTCGCCGTGCCGCTCAGAAATGTAGGCGCCCAGAGCAGGAGAAGTGACCAGAGAAGCCGCGAAAGTCGCTGAAACGAGTCCGTAGGCCGACGATCTTTCCTGAAATTCATAATATTCAAAAAAGATTTAATTGACGAAGCTACGCGGAGATGATTCTGAGAAAAAAAAACCCAAACCTGCTTATCAGTGATATCGGCAACATAAGCGAGGATCACGCTAAATGTGACTGAAAACAAACCACTGATGCTGAAAAGCGAGAAGTACCACCTCAAAAAGATAAACCATCAGATTTAAAAGCAAGAAAATTTACCAAGGACTAATTTTGAGACAAGGAATCGGCATACAAGTGCAAAGAACCGTCAGAATGAGGAAAATCTTACGCCCCCAAACATCAGAAAGAGCTCCGACAAGTGGTGCAGATAGAAAAGACAGGATACCCTGAAGCAAAAAAAGGATGTCAGGGTAGAAAAATAACTAACCTTAACACCTAAAACAAGACCATTCATCAAAAACTTGTTCGTTGGAAACGTCTCAGCAAGCACCTGAAATAATTATTTTGGTATTCATGACTTTTTCGTTCAAGAACCCTGTTTCCTGTCTTCGAAACAATGAACTAATCATTTGACTAAAAAGAAATAGGAACGGCTGAGGAAAAAAAAAGTCAAACTGACGTTGATAACTGGCACAGTGAGTAGTCCCCAGGCGAAGTATTCCAAGAAAATGACGACGAGGGCATGGAGGACGGACGCCTACAATGATTCTGTCTGAATGAAGTCCCAGAAATCCCACACCTCTTGGTAGGGATGTCCTTTTTCCCCCCGTTCTTTCCGTTTCCCGAAAATCAATGTCATCAATGAACGGCTTTGCCGCAGCATCTTGTTCTGAAACTATGATATGTATTTCTTGAAAATTTATGAACACAAAAATTGCAGCAGACTTTTTTTCAGAAGCTATGTTCAATGATAACTTTTTGCCCACCTCGAGCTTAGAAATGAGAACTTTTGTGCTCGGCGACAGGCCCTCTGAAGTATTGACAAGAACTTTCGGCGGCTGATTTTGAGACTCGGAGACCGCGGCAGAAGACGACGTCCTGGGAGAAACGAGCGATTCTCTCATTCCAACAGACGCATATCCGGCTTCGCTCGTGGGAAGTTCTTGGGGTGGAATACTGAATACTTTTTATTTGTACGGCCTTTTAGGTAGTAACGGTGGCTTTATATACGGATACTTTCAGGTAGTAACGGTGGCTTTTATAAATTCATTTGAAATAGAAAAAAATGTTTGATTAGTTTGTAAATTATCTACGAGCAAATATCTGCTTTGAAAAAGCCTTATGGAAAACTCCGGTCAAGGTGTCAGTGTGTAAAAAAACGTTTCATTGTGAATTTTAAAAAAAGTCATTTCTTCAAATAACTCAATTAACTTTTTGGTGAATGAAGTGAAAAGGTTTTAATGAGAGCTATAAAAAAAAGAAAAGGTAACTGTTCGAGACTCCATAATAAACTTAGTCAAAATTTATTTTCCAAAACAGTTGAAAAGTTGTCGAAAAAACAGCCAGAGGGTAATAGCGGAGAAAAGACAATGAAAAAAAAGGTGCGAATATTTTTAACGCGATCTCATGGATAATCGATTGGCGAAATTTCACACAAAGCGAATAAAATCTGCGAAGTGATGTTGCGCCAAATAGGAACTGATCCATCGGGCAGCTGTCTCGGGAATTTCTCTCAAGAGAAACGCGATCCAGATAACATCGCTCTCGCCCAAAAAAAATTTTGCTTTCATTTAACTTAATGATCAAATTAAATATGAAACTTCGTCAAAATTTGAAATGCATATCATACAGCTCCGAAAAAATAAAATGGAAACCTTACCCAAAAGTTAGTTTGTTGAGGAAAGTTTGTAAAAATTGATCGAAGATGAACAGATTCTTAAATTTTTGAAGAAGAAGCATAACAACAATATTTATAAGTGTTGAAAGCTCCGCGTTGTTATAATTATTTACCAATATTTTTTTATGAAATTGCGAAACACGATTTTTAAAGTTCAGCTCGATATGAATGAAACTTATTCATTTTATGGCATTCCAAATAGAGAAGCGTAGTAGGTTAAAAAAATATTTTTATCAATAAAATATTATACTGAGAAATTTCAGAGCTTCTTAAATAAAAAAAATTAAACCTTGTGTTAAACCCGACAAGCGATTTTTTTCACTGAACAAGCGATGCAAGAAGCTCATGAAAGAAGTTTTCTCGAAAGGATGTTGCAGATTGGAAACAAAACATGAATTTAGGATGAAAAGGGCAGAAAAACAATCAGAAAAACTTCTGACCTCAAATTCCTGTACACCCCTTAAAGAACCACTTATCTTTTGTGGATAACTTTGATACGCTCCATCGCACTCAGGCGCCACTTTAGAGACTGCTGTCTTTATTTTTAAAAATATTTATTTTATTATTATAACTTTACGGCAAAACTGGGCGATAGTCGGCCCCTCAGCCAAGCGAACCCGTGGCTTTTTTTTCCTAAGCCGGCTCCGGCCTTAGAGAGGCCTCAAGCATGGCCGCCCCAAACGCACGAATTTTTCTTCAACTAAAAAAATAATTTTTTTCGGTTAAAATTTTTTTAGTTGAGTTTAAAAATTTTTTTGAAGCCTGGCCCGCCCTAAGTTTGCGCGTGATTTCTCTTAAAAATGAGGCCCAGAGCCTGGCCCGGGCCGCCCAGTCTGACGCACAAGCGCTTGTGCGTCAGACTGGGCGACCCGGGCCAGGCTGCTTTTCGGTAAGGTTCCCTATGATAAAAAAAATAATTTTTTCAATTTCAGTGGGAATACGCAGTTTTTCCAATATCTTTTTGCTTTTTCAAACCAATTTTAAAGTTGAACTTTTTTTCAAATTTTCACTGGTTCGCACTGGAATTGGAGAAAAAAAGTTTTTTTCATGTTCCAAATGTAGTTGCGTCATAGCATTAACCTGCAGCCAGCCATAAAAGCCTTCATTTCACAGATTGTAATAATGATTTCTTGATTTTTTTATAGTTCAATTTTCACCTCTATTTCCATTTTATTTTTTTGTGACATTTTTCTTATTCTAATTATCTTTAATAAATCGATATTTTTCGAGTTTGGCAATGTTTCAATGAGCTAGTTCAGAACTCGGAGCTTATAGAACAAAATGGATGATGAGCCAGAGAAGGACAACGGTGGAAAAAAGGTTTGTGTTATTCTAAAAAATAAACGGACCAAATCTCGGTTACATAACAGTAAAATGAGGTTTTGTTTCATTTTTTCAAAATTTTTTGATTTTGGATGGAATTTGGGAAAGATTGGCATCAAGTTTGAAAAAAAAAATTACCCAAGAAAATTTAAGACAATAGATAGTACTCTCTCGGTCGCAATAATTAATTTTAATGAGATGAAAAACCCTCGTAGCAATATATGCGGACAAAATAACTACACCAGGCTTGAGGAAACTAACATTAATTGAAAGTACGAAAAAAATAATTCGTCAAATGAACGTAAAAAATATATATTTGCGAAAAAGTAGATTTAATGTTGCTAAACGGTCCTGCCCACGCACACAGGTAACCAAAGCGTGTGAAAAATCAGTGGCTTGATAAAAAAAAGAGTCATGACAGTTAAAAAAGAAGTAAAGAATCAGGGAAAAGTTTCAAATTAGTTGAAACGAAATCGAGTAGGATCGAACAGCGAAAAATTGTCGCAATTTGAGGTTGATGTTAGTCAGGAAATGACGTAATAACAGTGTCTTCGCGTCGTCGCGCCTTTTTTTTTTGTAACTTTTCACGAGGCTCCCTTGGCAATTTCGCTCCAACCCAACTAGCAAACAGTAGTTTTCTGCATAATCTTTATCAGCGTCCCCAAGTTCTCAAGGTTCCTTCACCGCATTGAGATGTATATATGAAGAGCTTTAGGCCAAAGGCACATTGTTTTTAATTACTCCAAAAGAAACCAAGGAATTTGAGCGAAACTCACTTCTGAGTCGAAGTTAATTCGCATTTCTTCAGTTCGGACTCCTGCTTCAAAAGTAGCATTCAGGTTCGAGTTCATTTGCCAGACCTACCGCCTCCGTGGGAGGCGTATTTCCACAAAGTGAGGAAGAAGCTCTTCTACTTGAACCGTGAAACAAAAACCTCCGTTTGGTATTATCCAATACGTATGTTAGATAGATCTTCTTCCAACTTATTTTTTTTCAGCGTCGAGTCCTGTCTCAAATGAAAAAAACTTGGAGAAGCCAAGGTGAGCAACGTGAGCTTTTGAATTTCTGGGAAATCGAATTTTCAGCTTCACGCACTATGTTAAACCCGACAGGAAGTCGATGGCTTGTCCATATGGCCGGTCCGATTCGAAAAAGGAAAAAGACAAGAAACGGTAATTCATAGAGACTGGTCCTTCTGTATTCATCGTTTGCAGAAACTGCGAACGGCCACGAGCTTATCCGTCGACGAGTTCCGCAGATTTCAAGGTTTTTTTTTGCATTTGAAAGTAACATAAAAGCTTAAGCATTAAATTAGTGTGAAAAATTTTTTTTTAAAAATCACTCGAAACAGTTACTCGCGTCGTTTCTGAAAAAAGCTTCATTGCTCAAGAAAATTTCAATATTTCTAACTAGGGGACGTTTTTTACCCCCCGGTTGAACTTGACGAAACTTCGCTGAAGTGTACTTTAAGATCTTCTGATTCCAAAAAAAGAGGAACATTTCTCGCAATAATAACAATAATTTATTGACAGATCAGCGTGAACCCTAACGAGTTCACTTGGGTCTAGAATTTAAGAGAATACATTATACAGTTATACATCATTTGAGTCGTGGAGGAATAGACAAGAGGGCAAAAAGTTCGAACTGGGGAAAATGATCGATACCGAAAAAAATTTTATGTAGGGTGAGAATTTCAGATATAGCTCGTCTGAAGTAAAGTGGAGAGACGGAGATCTCGTTTTCAAGTTAGGACCCTTCAGAAGCTTGAAATAGCGCTTTTTTGACATAATTTGTGTGTTTGGCACAATTTGAAGCTCCAAAACTCGGAAACAAGATCTATTGCGAGAAGTTTTCTCTTTGTTTTTGCAATCAGCGGGTTCTAAAGTACACTTCAGTGAAGTTTCATCAAAAGTTCAACCGGGGAAAACGTGAAGAAAAAGTTGAAAAGGATAGACAAAAAAAAACGCTTTTCGGAGAAAAATTTCAAAACAGGTATTGATTTTAAAAGAAAAATTTTTTTTTCTCGAGTTGCAATAGGCTTTGTTGACTTCTTACATTTGCAAAGTTGAAAATGAGAATCAAAAATTACCAAATAATTTTTTTCTGCATCGCGATCTGAGCACTTCTTGAGGGTCGCGTGAGTCAGTCTTTTTTCCAAGCTACTTACGTTAAAACCAATATTTTTTCGATCTTCCCCGAAAATCTTTATAGTCGTACTCTTCTTCTTCATTCGACAAAGCTCACGAATGGCTTTACAAGCAAAATTTTTCTGCTTGTGTGGTTTTGGACACGTCCGCTCTCATGAAACAGCCTGGCCTGCTCGAAATGAACGCTTCCAGTTCGTCTTTTCCGATATTTCTCTTTGAAGGTTTCGGTTCAGAAAAAGTTCTTTCGATTGTACCGCTAAATACGATCCAAGAACTCGATCTTCTGAAGAACGCCGACACTACGAAGAAAATGAATGTTAGTTTAATGAGGCTTCAAAGTTGAAATTCAAGTTATAGTTTATGAAACTGAATTTTGAAAATCAAGATTCACGTAATTAGCAGCTCTAGCTCTTTACAAAGGATCAGGTAGCAGGTCTATTTCTCTTCAGATCTCATTTTGTTGCCAGTGTGCCACTGTTGAGAATCACCGCATAAAAAAATTTATAATCGTTTTTCGGTTTCTCAATTAATTTTTTTCCGCTGTCAAGTTTTATCAGAAAAAAATCGAAAAAAATTTAAATTTTTGTTTTTTTGTTTTTCCGGGAATTGGTTTTTGGGCGGAAATTCAAAAAGAAAAAAATATAAAAAGTTCTTCGTTGATATTTAAATCTTATAGATCGAACTTTATAGAATGCTCGAAGAGCCGGTCGCGAATTGGTGCATGAGACAACCTACAATCCTTCTTTCATCAAAATGGAATCCGAAATGGAGGTTTTTTTTTTCCTATTTTATCAGTTTTGTTTTCTTTTTTAGAAACGCACTCCGTTGCTCAATTTCAACCCCAGAACGAACGACGACTACATCATGAAGTGCGCCCTGCAGTATCGCGAAAAAGGTAATTTTTCCTCCAAAGGTAAAGTCGGTAAGGGTGTAAAAAGGCTTCATAGAAACTTTCAAATAAAGGAAATTCTCTTTTTTTTTGCTGCCTTTTTGTGCCATTTAATCGGCCCTAATGTATTGTTTTTACCGCCTCTCCCCTTTCATTTCTTAAGCCTTTGAAATCCCAGAAGAGAAATTGAAGGTTCGATAAAGGGACCCTTTTTGCTTCCTTTCTGCGGCCTTTTTGAGCCTCTTCATTTATGCAGCAGGGTTGCACGGAAGATAATTGCGGAAGAAAACTTGAATAGAATTTTCTGGAGGGTACAATTTTTTTCATCGTAAGAATTCTGATGGGAGTGAATCTAGGAGTGTTTGCAAGTTATAACAGTGAACGTGTGTCCTTTGCCTTCCAAGTCGGGAAAAACTGACTAAAAGAGGGTTTATGACTTTCAAAAAACAATGTGTGTGGTTTTTGCAGTATTACTGGCTCGTATCGTGTCGGAAAGACGTTTCCAGTTTCTTTCTAATGACAACAACTTGATATTACGAGCCAGAGGACAAGGTCTGAACGCTTTGAGCACGGACGTGAGTTCTGGAAAGCAAACTAAGGAATTGGGGGAAAAAATTAATAAATTGGGATTGCAGGAGTACCTCGAAAAGATGGGTTTTCGGTCATCAGATTTGCCGGCGTCTGACGAAGATCTCCTTGTCACTTCTCAGTATTATCGACTTCCAGTTTCTTCGTGCAGTTCTGCTCTATCGCCACCAGGTTCTTGTATTTTGCGTTTATTTTTTGAAAGGAAGAAATTGATTAATGTTGAAGGTCGGCAAACCTACAGTTCTGAGAAAATAAGTGGGCATTTTGCTAATTTTTTGAATATTTTTCAAACTTCTCTCGAACTCGTGATCAATATTTTCTCTTGCAGAAAGTTCTAAATGTGTTTTTTGATCGTGAGATATTCAGAAAGTACATGTCAAACGATTAATAATTTTTAAAAGTGGTTTTTTTTCCAGATAAGTTTACATTTTCTATAAAGAAACTATATGAAGTTGAAATATTGGTTTTCATCATTAAATATTCACCTTCTTGCCCGAAAAGGCGATTAATCGAGAGTTTATATGACTTTGGTCATCTCAGAACGTCCTGTTCGTCCTTCATCCGTTCCGTTGAGTGAGTACGAACTGGAGCGGGGGTTTGGAGAAGGTAGAAGCCGACTGCCGGAGCAAAAGAGTTCCTTGACACCGGACCGTTTGATGTCTTCTTTCGGATCGAATAAACACGACTTTTCTCAAGTAAGAGTTAGCTTTTTCGATTTATACAAACCTGCAAATAAACTGGTTATCATTTATTTTTTTCAGAAAGAGGTAGAAGCTTTGAAAATGGATACAGAACAGGTCGAAGACGTCGAAATGGAAGACGTCGCAGAATGTTCTTCTGTACAGTCTTCTCAGGAACCAACAAACGTTTTCGACCGTTTAAAAAAGGCGCTGCGGCAGAACCCCGACGCTCTTCGAAACCAACATTATCAAAGGGAGAAGCCTAGTCCGGCAAGTTGTTTTTTGCGTCTGAACTCGGTTTAAAAAGAACTCAGCAGCTGGTTTTTGGGACGAAAGGGAAACTCTTCTTCCCCTATCTATCAGCGATCTTTCAGGAACCTGCCGTCACAACGAAAAGAATAGGGTTTCCTCTGCCACATCCAAGCGAAGAAGGTCGTCGAGTCAGCTATACCACTTATTATTAGTTTCTTTTTACTTGTAAATATTCAATTTCAAAATTTATTTTTTTCTCACAGAGCTACTCTATTTCGCACTTATTTTGATGCAAGTCGCTCTGTTATTACGAAACTAGTCATCAAACAGTGTTTGTGATAGCCATTTTCATTTCCCAGAAAAATGAGTCATTTTTCAATTCAATTCAATTTGTTTATTTTTTTCGCAACATCGAGATGGTATGGTGATGTTGCAGGGAGGGAAAAAGACCACTAGGTGGATTAACTAACCCCACCTGTGAAGAAAAAGTTTTTTTGTGTAAGAAAAGAAACATAGAACCATAATAAGTAGATATTTAAAACCAAGTTGATCATGGCACAAATCTGTGAACACTTGAAAGAATATGCTCGACGCCAACATCTTCTGCATACACTAAAAAAACATGTCCTTAAATTTTTTCTTGTCTTCCTCTGCCAATAATTCATGTTCAATGTCATTCCAAACATTAGTGCGATGTGATAAGAAATTGAAGAAAACCAGTGAAGGTTTCGTTTTTATTAATTTAAAACCGTTTCCTCCGAGCTGACTGGGACGGTCAAAGATGTTATGTACCTGGATGGGAGAGTCTGACCAGCACTTATTATGCAAAAACTGATGTGATAATACCAGATCCTTAACTAAACGCCTAAACCAAAGAGGTTGAAGACCTAAAAGTTTTTAACCGTTCATTATATCCCATTCTTGGGGAAAGGCGCTTCGTGAAACGCCTCTGGACCGATTCTAATCGATCAATATCTGACTTTGTCAATGGACACATTAGTTCCGAACCATACTCTAGAATGGGAAGTACCTTGGCCTTATAGCATGTCAAGAAGTTTTTGTTTCGAGAAGCTAAAACAGCGGAATAGGTTGTTTATAATACGCATAGTTTTTTTGACGATAACTTCAATATTATTATGCATTTTGAGGTTAGATGAAAAAAAATAACTCCGAGATCTTTCACACAATCCTCGTTATTCATTGTTGTACCATTAAGCTCGTAACTCGCAACACTTCGAACTCGTTTACCATAACTAACATGGAGACTTTTATTTGCTGAAAGTATGAGTTGTCTATCTGCAAGAAAATTTTCAATGGAATGGAGATCCTCTTGTAGCTTGTTTTGATATCCTGGAACAGAACTGCTAATCATTACTTTACAATCATCCGCGTAAATCAACAGTTTACTATATTTAAGTGCTTTATCCAAATCGTTAATGTAAACAAGAAACATTAATGGACCTAAACAGCTTCCCTGTGGAACCCCAGAAATGACTTCAATATCTCCCGAAAATTTATCATTTACTTTTTACTTTTTTGAGTCCTGTTAGTCAAATAAGCTCTAATCCAGTTACCAAGTTTTCCTTTACATCCGTAGGCTTCAAGTATGGTTAAAAAGTCTACGGTGACTGACTGATGTCAAAAAGCCTTTGATATATCCAAGTAAATACAGTCAACATTGTTTTTTTATTGTAAACTTCTTCAAAAAAATATATCTTTGTTTTTTTCCAGTAACTGAGTTATTGCACTCCGATTGTTCAAAAATCCGAACTGAGTTTTAGAAAAAATTTTGCTACGCCAAAGATGATTTCTTAAAGCTCTCACTACAATTGATTCGAAAATTCGGCATGGCACACAGGTTAAAGAGACGGGCCTATAATTTTCAGCGGCGGAAGGGTTTCCTTTTTTGAATACTGGAGAAACAATAGATTTTTTCCAAAGAAGAGGTAACGAGGAGCTATCTAATGACTTTCTGAAAATCATTGAGAGCGGGCGCGCTAAAGGAACTGCTAATTTTTTACATAATTTACTCGAAAGTCCGTCTGGGCCTGAAGAGCTTAAACTTTTTAGATTTTTGTCCCACTTTGCGTCCATTACTGAAGTTTTTTCTGTATATTTTTTTCTTTTCATGTTAATTGTGGACTTCATTGAATAATTGAGAAAACTGCTGGTGAAAGGATTGCGAGTCAATCGGATAAAGGCATGAACAGGAAAAAAAAATTGCATAAGCGTCGAAAATGGGCTCTAACCTGACTTCAATTGACCGGTTCTGAATAAAGAGCTCTGTTAATTTTTTTTAGAAACGAGGTTCTCTGTTATTCTTGCTCTATCTTCGGTTGCTCAAGTTTATTTTCTGATTTTGACTGGTGCTACGACAACATTACTTTTTTCCATTTCCGCGTTTTTTTTCTCATAGCTGTTTTCCTTTTCTATTGAATTTTACAAAAATTAGTATGGATCGTTGACGTATTCTAACTTCTTCCTGTCGTTATAATGCATTTCGATAAAGTTCAAAGTCAAAAAGAAAAAAAAACACGCGGAAACCACCCTTGCCGGAGCACCTTCTGATTTCCGTTTTTTAAAATTTTTTTCTCATCAAGACTTTCAATTTTATTTTTATTTTTTTTCGCCCTTCGTCCATATCCAAAGTATTTCATTGATAATCGATGCACCCTAAATTCCCAATAAAAGTCTTTTCTTCCTCTATTTTTGCGTGTCGTATAGCTGTGATACTTAATACCTTGTAATTAGATGATTGAAAGTGTGCAAAATAGTTGGTTTTTTTCTCGTCAACTCTGAAAAACATTTCTGATAGAAAACTTACAATCTTCTATTTTTTTCGTTCTCAGGGAAAATCATTATATTGCTATTCATTTCATAATTGGGATTTGATTATGAAATTCGTTACCCGCCATCTATATATTGCTTTCCACTGTTTCAGAAATAAAAAAAGTTGATTCGAGATCTCAAAATTTCAGAATAATGAGAATGTGAAAAAGCTTATCATTTGGCTCCAGATTTTATTATATCAATTTACAATGTATGAACTTACGTCTAATATTACTATACGATTTTGAAGATAATGACAAGCATCGGGCGAAGTTAGAAGAATAAAATAGAAACTATGCGCACATAACAGAAGTTACAAGCAACAATAATAGCGGGTTGTGAGGGAAAAATTGAAAATTTGGAAGTTTCAGACGATTATTTTTGCGAATTTGAACGAAAATTAAAAGGTTTTTTTCCAGTCAAGAAGAAGTAAGAGTACAATTTTCCAAACGAGCTTTATGGCTGTGTTTCACCGCGACCTGCGGACGTGTTCAATCATGGAATGAAGTAAGGTTACGAAGGGCCAGAGTCGCGCTACGCCTCGCTGAGCATCCGGAGACGGTTGCCGTTGCACGTCTTGCAGAAGAGGTGCGAGTCGAGCGGATAGCAGCCCTGGCCCTCGAGCTGAAAGAGACCTGAGCCCGAGGTTCGTCTCGATGCAAACCTTCGACGAAAGCTGCAAGTTACAGTCCTCGCAGCGGTAGCAGTCGACGTGGAACGACTTGTCCATCGCCACGACGCGAACCGATTCCTTCTCTCCTTCCACCGGAATTATAGGCCGGCTGCAAACCGCGCACCGTGGCGCGAACTTGCTGAATAGGTTTAGATTAACTAAAGCGATTCGATTATGAACTTTGATAGAATCGTCATTGCCTGACCAGTGAGGTTTTTGAAAATTAAGTTTTTTTCCTTGCGATTCTTTTTCAACTTGGACTTTTTTTTTACAGTTTGTGAAAGCGGTTCAAGTTGTCATTTCGGCGAATGATAACCTGAGTTACTTGATAACAGAAAATACTACTTGCTAAATAAATGATACCATGACTACTGCACCAAGATGTACTGCAGCAGCTACAAAATCTTGAATACTGCCAGTTTCACCAAGAAAATGTTTTTGGAGAAATTGTTCCATGTACTGCTCGATCTTACAAGTTCGTAACTATAAGATGTTTAGCAAATACTTTTTCCTAGGGCATTCGACGAAGTTCTGATTCTATCCTTACCCATCCTTGGAAAAAAATACCGACTCGTGGAAACAGGGGACACAGTGGACGCTGTTCTCCTTGTCGAGCGTGAAGGGAACGCCGTCGAGCGACTTTCGGCACGACGAGCAGACGAAGCAGGCGACGTGATAGGTGCCGCCACAGGCCCGCAGAAGTTTGTCGCTGATCGACCTGCCGCATCCGGAGCATTTCTCAAGCGAGTCCTGCAATCTCCCTAATCCATCTCAAAATCTTCTTTTGCTTTTCAAACATCATCAAGAAGCTGAAGTTCGAACGAAAGCAATCACAATGATTGCCGTTGCGTTCAACGGACTAAACTCTCTTTCTCTGAAACTTCACTTTTTTCTTTGAAGAAATTCCGCTTGAATAGCTTTTTGCGACGGGAAATTTGAACGAGAACTCGTTTCGAATTCTCAATTCGCTAAGCGATGGGTCGTTTTTTGGCCCCTGAACATATTCGCTTCGAATGAAGTTTGGTTCTATTCTTATTTTCATGTGCCGAAAGCTGTAATTTTCTTTAGATTGGATTTCAATAGAAAAAGGCACCAGAGTTGAAAACTTCGCAACCAATTGAAGGTTTACGTCGAAGAGGAAGAAAGAGAAAACTGAAAAATGACGAGAGAAGCAAACTCTATTGAGGGCGACAAATCTTTTGAAACATCCCACTCTTAGTATTTCGCGAAGCTTTTGCGATTAAGTGATGTTTCTTCTTCTTTTTTTCCATGGTTGTATTGCGGGATAGTCGCTTTTTTTCCTTTGGAGAAAAAAAGGGAAAATTTTGCGACGATGAAAGTTTTGAATAGGGCATAGAAAACTTCCAAAAATGACATCATCGAGACTCTGTAGCCACAAGAAGAAGCTCAGAAGAAGACCGAAAGTGCGTTATTGGTCGTGCGCGAAGGCAGAAGAGAAATCGGCCGACAATCCGTCTTCTCGTCGTGATATATTTCTATTTCGAGTCGCTGCTTTTGTTGTTTGAGCTGCTCAGCATTGCTATGTCGGCAGTCTTTTGTTCGGAACCACGAAATCTGCTTGGATTTCGCCAATTCGGAAAACTCTGTTCAGAGGAGGATTCTCCAAGAATATCACACAGAATGAGGTCTTCTCAATACGATAGGAAATGGATCGGTAACAGACCTGATAGCAGCCTTCGCATGTCGGACGATCGTCGATGTTGTAGAAAGAAGACCCCGCCAAGACCTTCGTACAACGGTTGCACTTGAAGCAGTCGACGTGGAAGATCTGCAACAGTTCCAACATTGAATTGGCAAAAAGGTCAAAATTAGAGAAACTACGAAGTTGGGGGAAATACATTTTATGAAAAAGCACATAAGACATAGATCAGACTCTTTTCGAAAATCTAGGAAAAACGCTTTGAAAACGGGTTAACGTCTTCTGAATGACGTTTGTTAGCACTTATGGAACGGCAGGAGTTCAGTAAACTAATATTTTTAGAAAAAAATAATTTATTTTTGTATACTTTGGATGTAAAAAAATTCAAATTTTTTTCTAATAAACTCTATTTCTAGTTAGCTGTTCACGCCTTCTGAAACCAGTTAATAAGTTGTTAACTGCAGTCTCTCAAAGTATGATCATCAAAAGTCATCATCACTGATTTCAAAAAACTTAAATCGAATATTAACACTACTTCCGTTTGATTTTCTTTCATTCACTTCTGGTATGTTACTTGAAGAAATTAGATTTCTCAACTTTTTTTTCTCTGAACCGTTCTGAAGGCAAGAAAATAGAGGAACCTGATTGAGGGCGTTGCATCCTGGCTGGTCAGAAGTGATCTCGCCACGGCAGGCGACACAAATATCTGAAAGAAAGATTTTTTTGCTTTTTCTTTTCATTGAAGAGATGAAAGAATATATTGATATTTGTTTTTTCTATTTCTATTGAATGGCTGCGCACATAAAACTAATTTTTATCAGCTTTTCTTTTTTTGCCGCGATGTAAAAACAAATTTCTCGCCTCAAGAATATCAATGCGCACAGCCACGAGAAACAATTAAATTTGGCAAAAAACAAAAAACATTTTTTTGTTTTTTTGGGTTGAAGTTCATTTTCAACCTGGTTCTCTTCTGTTTCGAAAAGAGCTATACATAATTTGGAGTGTGTATGTGTTTATTACATAGTAAACATTTGTTGATCCGTCTTGGCAAAACACACATTTCCAACTGAAAACGTCAAAAAGAAGCCCTATTTTGCCAAAAATGAATGAAGCAGCTGAAATGAATCGTCACAATTGGTCATGGTGCCATAAATTAGGTCTAACGAAATTCAAGCGACCATGGAAATTCAGAATCTTTCTAATGTGATCTCGTGAAGCCATCAAATTGGCTTGACTCCCGCACAAACAACGGAAAAAATCCGTCATGTGGTCAGGGATGCGCCAAAATTTAGAGCAACTAGACTGCAGTGGGTTAGAAAACAAGGGGAGGATGGAATTAAGAAAAGCTCAACTAGAGAGTTGATGAGGTTGAAGAACTCCCTTCAAATGACGAATTCGTTGGAGGATTTCGGCAAACACATTACAATTTTTGCTGGTGCTGTTTCTTTTCAGGTGATTTCAGAAAATCCGTTGAAAAGAGCTTATTTCCGACAAGAGTGCAGTCAACAGAACGTTTTAACCCCGCTGATTGTGACGACGCTGTTATCAAAGGGAAACGGGAATCGAAAGTTCTAAAGATGGCTCTCCACCGACTATCAACTGAACTTCAGAAAAAACTTTTGTAACCTTCCTGTTCGGCCATGATCGATCAGGCAGTCGTCGACTCGGTAAAAGCGGCGCTAAAACTCGTTGGAAATGAAACAAAAAGAAAATTTTTGAGCGCCGAGGGTCACGTATGTATGTATATCACGACAACAAAAAAAAATCGAGAACAAATAGAAAGCCGCGGGGAAAAGAAGGAGAGAAAAGAAAAACGGAAACTTCCTGCCGAAGGCTGGAGCCTCTGGGAAATAGCGTTATCTGTGCTCCTTCTTTTTCACTGCTATTTCTAGGTGGAACGTGGGGGCAACAAAAAAAAAGGCGGAGTCGGCCCGCCTCATTCTACCCAAAAAAGCAAACAGTTTGCAGAAAATGAGCGTAAGATCGAAAACTATTGGAAAAAATAAGCAATTTAGAGTCAAAGAAAACCATTTTTTTGACCGAGAAAGATATTTTCGATCAAAGAACTCTGCTTCTTTTTGAAGTTCAGATCGAACTCCTTTCCGGCCAACGACTATGATTAATTTCTAACTCTGAAGACAAAAGGGCGGCGTACGCCCACGGCGGCTGCTCGGCGCCAACTGTCGCGGCCTCTGTTTTTCGGATTTTCTTGAATCGATCACACAGCACCTCTTCCTAACACTTCCAACAGCTTTTTTTGTTTTCTAAGAACATCCGCAACATTTCTCGGTCTCGAAATGAGAATTAGATTTGTACCTATTGAGCACGACGTATTATCGTCCCTTTTTCATGCGCAGACGGTCAGCTACACATGGGTTCAGCTTTCTTTCCGGCTTACTTCAACTGGCGTGATAGACAGGAAACTTTCGATTCTGACAGAGAAAAAGTGTCTAATCTACAACCAACACGTCTAGTTATCCTCATTGTTGTGTATACTTAGAAGTGCTTCTATTTGAAGCTTGGGCGAATCATTTTTTGAAGGCAGCAATAAGTTTTCGTTTTTCGAAAAGTAGGAAAATACTTTAATTAAACCCTTGTAAAAAATTTTTTGGACCGAAACCACATGAATTAAAATGTTAAGTAAAAATACCTTTTTCAAAAAACGCAGAATTCCAAAACAAGGCTTTCAGGGAAAAAATCAAAAAGTAAATTATCCTGGCTTCGTATCCCTAGACACATACAGATGCCAGTTTTTGAGCTCACAAAAATTATCACTGGGGATCGCAAAAAAGGAATTAGTAAATTACGTCTCTTATTGGCTCAATGCCTTTCTGAAGACAGAGTGACCCAATAAAAACAGCTCGCAAAAGAGAAATATACAAAACGTGACAATTTAAATCTAATCACACTATAGACATCCGATCAGTTTTGAAAGATTGCTTCTGTGAAAAATATGGCAAGTGGTAGCAGAGGAAACGAAACGCTTTGATATAGACATCGATAAAGTGGAGAAGACGACGGAAAGAAGTTCAGAGGGGATCGAAGCGTTCTTTCGGTGGTTCCATCCAATTCCGACTCGCTTTCTGGCGAGACGCTCCACGCACAATGAATGCATAACGAACGCGAGTTGGCCGTTTCCTTTTTTTGGCTTTGGGGATCAGAAGGAACTGCCGCCGTCTCAACTTTGAGTCATGATCACAAGCCAATTGGGACTCGAAAAAATTCATCAACAAACAGCATCTTCCTTTTTGAAATTCTATCCTCAAACTCAGCGTAGCACAACTATCGGAAAGTACTTCTGAAGCAGGCATGTTCATTGGTTCGAGTCTCGCCGAGGTCTCCCATTTTTCTCAAGGAATGTTATTTTAAGTTGTGCATTGGAGATTTTATTATTATTATCTCATTTCATCACGTCGACTGGTCGGTCTCTTTGCCGCTCTCTCATGGGATAATATTCCGACGCCCGTCAGCCCTGGACAAGCTGGGCGCTGTACTGTTCCAACATGGTGAAGTAGTTTATTCGCTGGTACTACCAACGGGCCAACATTATTTCCCAACGCTAGCTGTCACTCCGGGACGTATTGGACAACGATTGTGGACCGTCACCCGCGCCGACGACTAACTCTTCGATTATACCATGATTCAGCAGAGATTTTCTTCAACTTACTCTGAAGACTGAATAAATTGATATGAATTGAATTGAATTGATTGATATTGGAGATTTTTGGAACTTTGCCGAAAAACTCTTTTAATTTTATAGCTTCAAAGAAAGGTATCACGACTTCCATATATTCAGCCCAATTATTGACCATTTTAAAGCGATAGCCGTGTATTTTCTTCACTCGAAGTGGTAGCTCTCTCAATCGGCCGAGGCTACCCTAGAGTGTACACGGTGTCCGTGCCCGAGCCCCACCATCATCGCCGTGCCCGTACCCGCGAAACTGAGGGATCTACTTGTGGAAGAGCGAGGAGAAGGACCGTAAGATCATGCTTTCAATTCAATCGACTTCACGTTTTGACTTCTTTTTCGCCAAAGGCGGTGTTAGTGCCGCTAAAAAGAGCAAATTTTTTCACCGCCTAGTCGATTCCATCTGACTAAAACAACCAATAAATATTGATATTGATAGCTAAAAGACAGCCCTTTTGAGGAACGATCAAAACTCAATATTTGTGAAGTCATTACCTGAAGACTCTATGAAAAAAATTTCTTTCTGAATGGCTGATCAACAGTTCTGTCTTCCTTTTGATTTCAAGTCAACACAAAACTTCGATTTTTTATTACATACAGGATGTAATGAAGCTAACGATTTCCTCACTTCCTCGATTTTTTCAACTTTTTTATCAATTGAAACTTACTGGAATTCATGAAGCCACTGGTGGTAGTCCTGGTGAAGGTGTTCTTTTGGTAAGAAGAGTCGGAGAGGTCGTTGAGGGGACGTCGTCCAAAGTCTCCGCCTGGATTCGTAGAGACGCCGTGAAGATCGTTTCTCATCTGGTGCACCAGATGATCCACTTCATCTCCGTTGTACGAGTCCTGCAACTGATCTGTTCTAAGCTTCTTCGCTTCAGCTGTTTGTAAACTAATTTTTTCACGGGTTTGAAACTATTTCCTTTTTCCATAAAATATTTTTTGAAACCAAAAGTTAAAATGAAAACTTTCAAGTTTTATTTTTCTCTTAGTCGCATTATTATTCTGGTGAACCTTTTTTTTGTAAGGAGCGATTTCTCAGCGAGGCTGAAAATGCTAAACTCCCCTCTTCAATCTAAAAACATAAAGTAAGATTGGAACTTGAAAAAAAAGCAAGTAAAAAGAAAAAAAGCAAACTTGCGTCCAAAGCCGTTATTTCTTGATAATGTTAGAATTAAGAACGCAAACGTTTTTTTAAACTGTTAAGTAAGAAAAAGAGCCTATTTTTTTTTTGCGAGTGGTCGCTCACTGGCGCTCGGACGTTACGATGGAGCAAAAATTATAAGACAAGACATAAAAATGTCAATTTCTCCTTTTTTACATGTTTTTCTTTGCATGAAAAAGCTGTCCAAAATGAAATGCGGCTGACGAATCGCTCTTCCTTTTTTTGCTCTCCAAAACATACGTGGAAGAATTTTCATGCTCTACGAACACAAGTTTTCAAGTTCGCAGAACGGCAATCATTGAGCATTGAAACAAGTAATATGAGCTCTTGTGAATTAGAAGGTCGTTCGCAAGTGAAAATTTAGTTGGTTTTTCTTTGAATATTGAAATTTTTTCGGTGAAGTAACGAAATGAAGCCATAAGAACTTAGAGAAAAAAAAGAATTGACAAGTTCATTGACCTGACAAACAAGGTATAAGCTTTTCTTGTGGTTTCTGCGCTCCTGGGCACCAATCGATGTCCCACGGCACACGAAGCAAAAAAGAAATTCCCATCCTTTTTTCGCACCCACAACTCAAGTTACTCGTTTCCCAGAAGCTTTGAGACTCTTTTGCCTCGTGCAATAGTTGTTCAAGGCGCTTTCAACACCCTAATAAACATTCTGAAGTCAAGTGGCTCTCATTTTTCAAAGGAATAATGGGAAAGACGAACGGCAACGATGCGGCCGGCGTCGAAGGGAAGTCCGCTAGCGACCCGGGTGTCGACGGCGCTGAGTTGCGACTTCTGGAACTGATTGGCGTACTTCTGCGAGGGCGTGAGTCCTTCGTCTCGCAACTGCTTGGCCAGCGAGTTGGAGATGAACGAGCGGGCCGCCTCGCGAGACTGTGGCGCGGCTTTCCTCGTCTCCCCTTCTTCCACCACAAAATTACTCGTGGCGAAGTTTCGGATAAGCTCTTGAGGGTTCAGAATCGGCGAGGACGATGTTCTGTAAAAAGCAGCTTCAGAAATTGCATTTTAACACCTCTGAAATTTTTTAAATGAGTCAAAAGTTAGCACAGTTATTCTTGTCAAGCTGTTAAATGGAAGTTAAACATTTGAAAAAAGAAAAACTTCAAAAGGTTTTATGAAGGTTGTGAAAGCATTGAAAGTATATCTTCTCAAAATCATCTTGGAAAAGGACATGAATTCTCTCCAATCACCTCCTCTCGCTAGTAAATCTTTTTCATTGGCTTCAGCCTTTTATCGTTGGAGCTTTTCGTTTTTTGATTAAAAATGTTTTTGGAGAGTTCTTTTTATTAAGTCATTTTGTGAGTGCAAATGTGAGACATCCGGACAAATTTCTCGACATTGTATAATTTTTTTGGAATAAATCTAGGTGTCTTCTTTCTTTAAAAAAATCTGTTGATCAATCTTACTTAGATACTCTTCGATTACTTCTAAAAGAGACGTGAAATAATCCAAACATGATACATTCCGATGACTGTAACAATTTTGGAAATCTAAAAATAAAAATAACCTGGGCTTGTAGGGTTCGCTCCACTCGAGAACTGTCTGGGTGGTGTTTCCGTACTTCTTGACCGTGTTGTTGTTGTTTTTGTTGCTATTGATGTTATTGGGATAGTGGAAATTTTTCGCCGGCGCAGAATCGTCGTTCGAAGTCGAAGTGAAACGGTAGCTCGTGGAGGTTGATGTTGTTGGCTTGATGGTCGGTAAAACAGGGGAAATATTCGAAATGGACGATGAATATGGCGATGAGTAAGAATTAATTGATTCATTAGAATGAGAATAAATTGAAGATTGATTGGCTGGAGCACGATTTTGAATAGAAGTTGAACTCTGAAAGAAATATTTGGGAGTCGGAAGAAGGAAAAGAGGACGAGCCTGTGGGTCTCGCGAAAGGTTTAACGGATCGGTTGGTCGATGTAGGTGGCCGACCTGACGAGAGTGCACGGAACCAGAGGGCGCAGAAGGAATCTGAAGTCGCTCGCTTCGACAGAAAATTGACATATCTCAAACATTTTCAGACAAATTTTGACGCTTTTTTGTCATCTCTTCCATAAAATCAGAAGATCAAAAAAAAATCCTGTCAGAACTTCATTTTTTTCCTTCTTTTTGGTGAGGAATTATCACCATATAACCATAAAAAAATAAATTCACTTTTTTTATTGGAAGTGAGAGCCTGGCGAGCGTTCATCAATTAGTTTTTTTATTTAATATTCTATAACTTCTTCAATTGTAGCACCAAGCAAAAACATTCAAATTTTCTCAAGAGTAGCTCAGTTTTTTTTTGGCGCCTACAAGTTCTTTTCTCAAAAGTTTTTGTTAAAAAGATTTGTTCGGGACTATTCCTCCTATGAACGTATTGAAAGGGATCTCCGAAAAATCGTAGGGGAGCCTATTTTTACAGTCAACAATTCAAAAACAGTTTCGTGAGCTTTTTTCCAGCTTTTCAAGTTGAGAAGAAAACTTCTCAAGCAATGCCTGAGCCGCACCTGTTCTCGGGCTTGATGGCGTTCCAGCTGGCCGAGCTTCTCGCCGTTCGGCCGATCTCGTCCAGACAGTTGCTGATTCGGTCTGTCCACTCGTCCATCGGGTAGATCCGTGACGTCACCTCGAATCTGTTCGTTGTAGCCGGTCTTACGTAGACGAGCGGCTGCGTGCTGTAAAGCCTTCTTATTCCGCAAATCTGCTCTTTTGAGGTTCGTTAAAATGTCTCTTCAACAATCAAAAACCTTTTTTTATGATTAACTAAAAATGAATCTTCAAGGTCAACTCCCTATCTCGTTCACAACAAACCTGTAATGCCGAAGCGTCCACTGTTGGGCGGGTCGGATGGGACGACGCTGGAATTCAAAAGTGCATTGATTAAACTTTTTTTCAGATACATCATTGATAAAAATGTTCAGAAGCGGTTTATCTTCTGAAACACGTGTTCAATCGAAGTTTGGTTTAGCTCCATTATTTTTTTAGTTGTACTAAACTTCTGCGTTGAGCCCACTTAATTTGATTTTTTTTCTGGATTCATACTTATGATGTTTAATCATATTCGACAGTTCCCATTTAATCGTATCCATACTATTCAAATTTTGAACTTAAAGAAAACTGGAAGTCGAAAAGTTTTTCTGACTTTGTAATAAAAATATCTGTTTTCAATTAAGTTGAAAATGTTTTGACAGTGTATAAAGAAAAATTTCAAGATCTGATTTTGCAAGGCCGAAATTTTTGATAGCGTCAGCTTCGGTCGAATCAGAAGCGATCGCTTTCATCCTGTGAAAATGCAAGAAAAAGAATGGAATGAAAGAATTCTCACGAGGTGTGGGATTGTGGTTACGTCTTGGTGCATCCTCTGTCTTCCATTTGCGAGGTGATAGTACCGCTGCCTAAAGAGGTCACTTAGAAAGTTTACGAGTCGGTTTCAACTGACGGCTGGCTGTAGAGGGGGTGGAGGAGGCGGGGGCGGTGGTCCCATGCTTCTGCTTCGGTCAACGCGTAGTCGTTCACGCCGACCCAGGAACGCGCGCGAGTGAGTCTGAATCGGGAAGGTCAAAAAGAGACGAGATTGGCAGAATTCTATCTGAAAAGAAGCGGCCTGTATTAAAATTTGCTGTTGAAAAACGGTTTTTGATTAAAAAACTAGCGTATTGTGTCTCAAAGATCGATGCACTAAGAACCAGCAAAAAAGTCGCTTTGAATAGAAGTTTTTTTTCTACACGACTCGGAGGCAACCAACCGATCTGCGCTTTTTATTTCATTATCGGTAAGTTCATAGAAACAAGAAAAAAGCTCGTGATGCTGCTGAGAGAGAAGATAGTGCAGACAAATAAGAGCGTTTGAGAGTTTGGCGAATGGATATTTCAAAATTTTCGAAAACATCGAACGTGATTAGGCTTCAGCAGCCTGACAACTCAAGTTTTATATAATCAGAATTAAATATTTGAGCAGTTAGGTACGATTTCAGTTCCCAGTACATCAAAAAGCACATGATAACCCTACTTCTTTTCGTGATTTATGAGCTCAACTGATTCAAAAAAAATTACAGAAAAAATACATAGAAGTTGTACAAGACATGTAAAGTGTAATGTTGAAAAGCAAAGAAGCTCGATCGAAAAGCGTCTCTCTGGTCGCTCAACTTTACACTGGCGCAAAAATCGAGAAAGCTCAAAGGACAGGACGCCTTGACTGGTCCTACCTGGGCGTCGAGTAGTGCGGCAGCGGGGACAAATAGCTCATAGCGCCGTTTTGGGACAAATGAGCCGAGTCAAAATAGCAGCGAGAATCGGACACCGCCTGGACCGAGCCGTTTGCCTGAGGGCGTTTTCTGGCCGCTTTACACTCGGCTCTGTTTTTCGTTCCGAACTTTTCTCCGCTGTGCCAACGCTGTCTCTTTCCCATCATTACAATCGGTTTGAGATGAGGAAAATTTTTTTTCTTGCTGGTTTCCACAAAAAGCGGTCAAACTTTTCTACGGGGTTCCTACTCACAAGTGCACTAGAAATGATCAGAATTATTTTGAAAATTAAATTTCTGTAAAATATATTCATCGAATTTACCCTCGGAATATTTTGGTTATAAATTGAAGGTTGTGAACAAGATTCACTTTTCTTTTTCTTTTTTTTCTGCATGAAGAAAAACAACTGTCATTCGAAAAAGAAGAATATAATTGAAAAAAAGTCACTTAAATAAAAAAATTTTTTTGTTTTATTTTTTTCCGAAATGTTGAGGGTACAAAAGAGAGGAATGACGAAAAAACCGCTCTTCGAAATTCCAGTTTTCAGGGGCTTAAAAATGCCTGCGAAGTAGAAATACAAATATAGAGAATACTCTGTTCTTTTGAATGACGAAAGAAAAGAGCTAATTGAGAAAGAAATTTCATTTTAAATATTATCGACTTTTCTTTCAAAAAGCAGTCATGATCGAATGGAATTGAAATGGGAGGACGCCAAGTTTCCGTAGGGAATTTCGTTGGAAAACACGACAAAGAATGCATTAAATCGTTTTTTTATAATGCTGTAAAATTCTCGAAAAATTGAGAAGAAACTTTTTTTAAAAAAATACAATCTGTATTATACAGAAAAATTTAGACCGAATTCAAAAAAAAAATCTGAGCACATCAAAATTTTTTGGAAGAACGTCCCAACAATGGAACAGCATGGTGAGTCATTTATAGATTTATGAAAAAAAGGCGTAGGTTGTTTGTTTTTGGAAAGAATGGTACGCTTTACAAAGAAAGTAGAATTCACGGCTTTTGAAATCGGAAATTTTTTTAATTTTTTTAAGATTTTTCCTCTTGGATTCAGTTGAGATTGAATTAAAATCAGAAATGGTATGCGGCAAAAAAATTTTTTTGAGAAAAAAACTTGAATCTTTTTCTAGAAAACCTCATTCATTCATAGGTATCGAAAAAAAAACATGATATTGAATGAAAAAAAGCAAGCTTTAACGAGATTAACACGTAACTCTGCGACAGAGACGAATTGACCGAGATACAATCGAAAGACCGGATGAGGCCGAATTGGGAAGTTGGGGCGGCGAAACGTTCAGAGATGACGTCACCGATATCACCTAGGAAAACCATAACAACCACCGATGTCAATTCGATTCTCAGCAAGATCCAGTCGTCGATCATCTTGCGTGCCAGGGAAGTAGGTAACCATGTTCCGATCGCATTATCAAGGGGTCAGAAACCAGCTTTTCCAAGTCAGTGAACTACTTTCTGATTTAACGCCATTACGTGGAAGTTTGAGAATAGGTTGAGAATAAATAAATGTCGTCAAATGAAAATGATGAAAACTCCGGAAAGAACTAAAAAGGTGTACATCGGTAGCACACCGCTCAATCAGACGCATCTCCAGATTTCTCTGAAGTTTAATTAAACGCCTTTTCTTTGATGACAATTAATATATTTTGTTGAAATAGGAAAAAATTCGGGAGTACGTTATCACTTATCTCGCCATAATCTTAGAACAATTTTTATTCTTATGGGAAAACTGACATCGGTCATGATATTTTGAAAGAACTGAAAAAGACCAATTTAAGAAGTGAGCTTCAAAAATAATTTCTAATTTTTTACATCCACTAAATTATCTCAAGTCAAGACGGTCTGAGGTGTGGAGAGCGGTAGGAGGCTGCTCGTTCCTCTGAAAGTCAACAAAAACTTGAATTATGCGACTTGGTGTATTCACATTCGCGTTCCTCGTCGTGGAAAGATAACTTTAACAAACAAATATCAGAAAATAAAGTTGAACAAATGGGAAAATCAAAAAAAAAAAATTAGTTAGAAGGCAGGGTCAATTTTTTTTTTCTAACTTCCAACCGAGCTGCACTTCTTTGAAAATTAAATACAGACAAAGGGAACAAAGTGCAAAAACGTGGACTGGTCGCGAATTATTGTAATGTGCGCGGCATAGGAATATTAGAGACCGCAACAGCTGTTTCCATAGTTTTACTACTGCCTATCGAAATCAGTCTTCATTCGTCTAAAACTTTCTTACCTGTTTCGATCACGCTTCCTTTAGAAGACAGTTTCATCTCATATTGATATGCAAATAAGGACCGGGACGGCACGAGTCTGAAAAAATGTACATTAAATTTGAATATTTGGCTTTAACTAATTTTAAACTCATTACCTACTCTGAAACCGTCTGCGCCTGACCGTTTGGGACTGTGGTCAACTCATATTTAAACGAGTGATTCTATATTCCTTGAAGAAACAATTGAATTAAACTGTAATATGTCCATTCCAATACTTTAGATCTAAATGAACTCGTAATAATTCGCACTGATATTATTAAAATGTTTCCATCTCAAAAAAGACGGAGCTTTGCCGTATATTACGTTATTTTTCTTCATTTTCTCTGAGCCTAGATCTCCCCAGGCTGATTCCTTGGACCTCGGTAACACAAACCGGACGCGCCCCAAACTTTTCTGAGCTTTTGAAGTGATCCTTTTAGCGGCGTCAGCACTCTTGAGTGTCTACTGCAAAAACACGTCCGGGCGCGTCCGGTTTGAGTTACCGATGTCCGAGTCATGTTATTGAGAAAGAGCTGACTGTCGGGCAGGCTTGTGCTTCAGGCCGGGCAGCCCGGGCTTCGAGCCTCATTTTTGAGAAAAAACATGTGCATGCTTGGGCCAGGCCCGGTTTCGAAAAAAAATTTTAACTTTCTTAAAAACATGTTTACCGAAAATATATATTTACTTTTTAAATCATAGTTTCTGTTGAATTCGAAGTGAAATGAATAAGCAAAAAATGACTCTTGTCGTAAACCAAGCTGATATGTAATCCAAATAAAATTTTTTTTGGGCCGGCCATTTTTGCTTGAGGGCGACATGTCGACAGTCTGGCTCTCACACAAGCCTGCTGTCAGGGGGCGTGTCAAGGTAAACGCGCCCCAGCGCAACAATTTTATCCAAAAGTCGAACTTTTTTAAAACTTTTCTTTTTCATTTATTTTCAAAATGGTTTGTTTGCCATGTATTTTTCTTCCGGTTCTCATGGCTATCTATTTAAAATTCATTCAACCATATGTGTACAGGTCAGTTTTGAACTGCATCATAATTTATATTTCAAAGATTGATTTAAGAAACTTTATTTCTTTTTTTTTCTAGGTTACTTCCAGAAAGCTGGGTTCACTTTCTTGACCCGATACTATACCCAACCTGTCCAGCAAAGCCGCCACCATCCGATGAAAAGCAGGAATCCGAAAAAAACGGTTCTTAATTCATCTTTTTCATCCGTGGAATATATGGAAACTTTATGTTAGCTTTGAGCTACCTGAAATTTCTAGATTAAAAAAAAGATCTCCATTAATTTTAAGTATTCAATTTTGTTTTATATCAGTTAAACTTACAGGTACAAATGCAGAAGCTTGCTGTGAATCAAAAGTCTCGAAAAAGACACAATAATAATTATTCATTTTTTTTAAATCATCCCATGATCATTTCCTGTGATAATAAACAAATTATTCGAGAACAAATGTTTCAAGTGGCGTCAGGCCAATTTTCTCTCCGTTTTCGGTTATTTCGAAATGGCTTGTGTTGACGGTTATGCTGAAGAGCCAGGAACCTTCGTTTCCATATCGAATGAAATAGTACCTTCAAAGAAAAGTCGCCATCTCTCTGATTAGTTCAAAAAGAGCCTACCCAGTGAAGGGAACAGTCCATTTCCAGACGTCGATTTGTTTCAGCGCTGGTCTTTCGCATCCAACGCTAACTTCCCTCCAATTTTCGCTACTTTTCTGAACAATGTCTTTTATTATTGTACTGAGACGTTCCAGTACTGAATCATCTTCTGAAAAGAACATGAAGTAGTGAAAGCAGTTGTCATTCTGTAAGTAGAACTCGATAACGTCGCCAGCCTTCCAACAAAACTTTTGGATCGAATATTTTCCTGAAAAATTAATAAGATAAATAAAAAGTTGATGAGATTGATTGAAAAATAAAAGCTTGGATCTTGAAAGACGAACCTGCCGGAACTCTCACCGCGTTCAGGGTGACGTCGACAGGTTCTGCAGTTGGGAAAGGCGCCAGAGGCTGTGTGATGGGAGAAAGTTCATCGGTGCCGCCCAGTTCTTCGGGAAGGCAGGAAGGATGGATGTGCTTGGGAAGTGTGTTGGCAGCGTCTTCCGAAGAAATAATTATCTTCTCCTGCAAAGTGGATTTCTTCACCTGGTGACTAAGCTCTCGAAAGAACCTTGTAGTCGTTGGGGAGAAAAGGCGAAAAAGCCTGATGCAGAAGATTGACATAGGTCGGCGCGTTGACGACAATAATCTGCTGGAGGAGCTGTGGGTAATGGTCGAACAGTGTGCCCCACATGATGCGGTATGGTCCTGAATTTTTCAGTTTTGAAAAGAATATATATAACTCGATGTTGCGGCCCTGCAGCGTCCGCTGAAGATGGATTTACCTAAATTCGTGTTACCTGTCAAAACTGAGAGAAGTTTGGTGCTGAACTCAAGTCCTTGGAGGTCCATGACAAGAACGCCTCCGCCTTGTTTTCCTGTCCTTTTCTCTTCTTCAACAACTTTTTCGTGCAGACGCTCCATCATCCGGAACTTGATTTTCATGAAGTTGCTCATCTTGAAAAATTTCTAATTAACACTTTCCATTGAGCTGAAACGCACTCGAACATTATTGACCAGCCCGCCGATATCTATTTGTCCGGTTTTTTCGAACAAAACCACCTGAAAATATTCATGAATTGGTTTGAAAAAAAAACTTCGAAAACTTTGGCGTCGTCAGGATGATTTCGGCCGAGCATTGTAATGGGAACGAACTGTTCCAGCTCATCGTCGACCGGAATATTTCCTGCAGCCAGGTCCTCCACTCGTGTGCAGTCGCGTATGTTCAGATGTCGTTTCAAAACCTTAGAAGAAAAAATATCAATGAACAAATATGAAAGAAAGGCACATCTTTAAATCAACTCTGACATGGGAGGTCATTTTAGCTCGCTGCTTCTGGCTCATTTTAGCATAAAATGACCTCCCATGTGTGTACGTCATTTTCCTGAAATTTTATGAAGAAAAGCCAACCTTGACAACGAGTTCCTCGTCGTTTTCGTAAGCGACAAGCCAGCGGTGCACGTTGAACTCGTTCCTGCAATATTTGTGGTCGACCCCTCCGACAGCTTCGACGACACGTCGAACAGCTTCTCGCTGCTCCTGGCTCAGAACCATTTCTGGCTTGGTGGAAAGTTTTCTGGACAGGACAGAAGGTGTCGAGCGAAAAAGGAACAGTTATCTCGACGACGCCATCGGTGGAATCCGTCTTGCCTTTCTTGTCTATCCTCCCATTTCGTTTTCACTTTCCGGTCAGCGCAGAGGAAGTCAAAGCTGCACACAATCCCTTTTTAGTTTTTCATTTAGAGAAAAATGAATGTAAAAACGAAGTTTGAAGGAATGACAATTTTATTTACAGATAATTCTTTCATGATACAAAAAAAGAAATACATCATCACAATGAAATGTATGCAAAGAGTCTGATAATCTGCAAATCTATTGAAAAAGAAACACTTAAGGGAGCCCTTTCACAAGATTCCGTTCGTATAATACTGAAAGTTGTCGTAGAGGCGGGTTGTCAACGAGTCACGACTACTTTCGACCATCGAGTTTACCTGAGGCCTACATATTTTCGACCTGAGAGTCTGACTCTTACTAAGTCTTGGAGTTGCTCGTCGGTGTAAGATAAGTGGAACCGCTGTTTCAACGCCTTTACAGTGTCGACGCCACTTCGGAAGCAAGGCATCTTCGAACCTGGAGACGCTGTACTGATTGGAGATTCCCAAAATAAAGGTGCCTATGCTCATAATTTGGACGAGAGATAGAACCCTTTCGTGGTGTTTCCTGGCGGCGATCAGTCCGCGGAACATTATGCTCTTGAAGTACAGGAAGATGCCGGAGTCCAGACCTTCCATCACTTCAACTGCAAAAACCGCAGTCCGACAATCCTTTTCTCTCCAACCTACTCATTTCACTTGTGAGCTTGAAAGGAGATGTCTCAAAACCCAAGTTTTTCGGCGAAGAAGAAAGGAGGAATCCGAAGTCAATGTGAATCAGATGGCCGTCGGCGTCGAGCAAAATGTTGCCGTTATGTCTGAAAAGCCGCGTTGGAGTGACGTCGGAGGTCGTGAACCTGTCTTTCAATTGCAAAAAGTAGCAAATCAATGAATACGCTGCACAACTTTCAGTAAACTTTTTCTGTGCGCTAAAATAAAACTTTGCTTGAAGAAGAACACTTTGAACAGCGACTTGTCAAATTTTTCTCCATCTTTAGGTCCGAAATTTTGAAGGAAATACGAGAGTAAAGTTGGATTATCGCATCCTTGCTCTTTGAGGGAAGCTTTGATCTGAAAAACAAGTAAGAATTAAAAAAGAATCAAATTTCATTTATAGCTTACTTGATGCAAAGAACGAGTGTCTGGCAAAGGTTCAACAAGACCTGAATTGGGAGACGTCACTACAATTTGATAGGGCTTCAAAGGAAGAGGAACACTCTCTTCTTCCCATATTTTCTGAATCAACACCAAGCTCTGGTCGTCATCAGATGAGGGAGAGTACCCGAAAAACACAAAGAAGCTGGTAAGTGAAGAGCTCTTGGGCTAGATCATCACCAGTCTTGACGATTATGGGAACAAGGTCCCAGAACTCGTTGTCTCCGTAAGGACTTCCTGAGCGAATCCGTTCTCGCTTGGCCTCAAAAGGCTCGCTCAAAGTCGCCGCTGAGGGATCCTTCGAATCGCTATTTTTCTGCAAACTTCCAAAAACGATGAATCATGTATAAACCAGTTGACTAATTCAGAAAAAAAAATTGTTAATTCTTCCTCTTTTTCTCTATCGCCTTGATACAAAACAGTCTGACCTGTCTGCGCCTTTTTCCCTGAAAAAGAGGAAAATAGCACTGCGAAACGGCTAAAAGAGATTGCAGCAAAGTCCGACTGTTTAAAGTCATGGCGGATGAGACTCCAAAAGACACACCGAATTCTTGAGATGTTGGAGGATTTCTTCGACACTTTTTTCCTTCGCCCTGACCTTAACATCCCGTTTTAGATGTATCAAAAATCAAAATAAATTATGAAAGAATTGCAAAGCGTTCTCCGAAGTTACTCATGACGAGTTTGTCCAATTATACGAGAAAAAGGAAATTGAATTAAAAATTTTTCCTATTGAAAAAAATGTTCAATTTGCAAAAACTTCTTTTTGACCGCTAGACACGGTTTTTCTATCGTTTCCATGGCTTGCATCTTCCCTTTTTTCTCCGATCCTCAATATTTCGACATACATGATGAAGGGAACCTGAAAACTGTTTCTCTTGACGGGGAAGCCATGTTCGGACCTTTTCCCGACTGTTGAGCACGCAACACTCTTCGGGAGGGATGTGCAGAATGAAATGATCGCAAGAGAAAGGGATCCAGCAGCGAGCCGGCAGGTCCAAGTTCAGCAGAGCTATTTCGTGCTTCAGCCGCATCATCTGCGAAGCAAATGTCCTTTTTTCCATTTGGAAAGCAACCTTCGAATCTTTTGTTGATTCGCTGCACAACTTCGTGCCAATGTAATTGAGTCTCGAGATAAATCTTCGTTGTACCGAGAAAAATGAGTCCTTAAAAGAAAGGTGCTGTCAATCCACAGAAACGCGGTTTCAAAGAGAAAAAAGCATATTGAAAAAAAAATATTAATATCACCACGGATTATTGAATAAGGAAAAAATAGAATACTGTTGAATAGAAAAACTCACTTTCAATGGATGCAGTACGGAGTCTTCCTTAACGCGATCTTCTGAATGAAATTTCGTAATTCGTATGCCAAACTTTTCATAAATTACGATAGTTGTGGACAAGGTCAAAGATGTTTTCAGGGGAAGGCGAAATAGTCGTGCTGGCGCTTTTTCGTGGCAAATTGGACGGAAAGTGGACTTCCGAAAGATCTGGTTCTGAAAACATGAGTTTAGTTTGATTTTTATTGAATTTTGAAGCTGATAAGTTCAATAATATTTTTTTTAAATTACGTGAATGAGAATGCTGCATCGCAGTAGAAGGTTCATATAAAGGCGCGAGAAAACTGTAATTCTCACAATACAATCAATGATTTCATTTAAAATCACCCGAATTCGAAAGAAGACGGGTATTGATCCATCTCATAATATTCCTCTAATATCGTTTTTCTGAATCTTCATTATCGGAACATCGAACAAGTGCGAAGGACCTGATCATCTCACTGTGATCATAGTTTTTGGCACCATTTTTCAGGACGTTCGCAAGCCTTTCTAGAAGCCAAATACACTGAAGAGCGTAGTGGACACTCTCCTTGCACCTTGAAACAACCGTTATATTTTTTTATTGTTCATAAAACTCGTCTGCCACCTTTTTTCGATGTACGCGTGAATGGCGCAAGCGACATCGATCCGTTGTATGTACATATTGAGCAACTGTGGAAGGAAAAAGTCCATTTCTTCAACAGGTAATTGCGTCAACTTTTTACCTGAACGTATCTTCGGTAAAACTTGCAAAATAAGTGTGCTTAGCGTGCGCGTACGCGGTTCTTGGCACGAGTTCAATTCAAACGCCAGCGACTATTTGGAGAGCTCGTTTATCGCTCTATTCATTTCTTTTTAAATTATTTGTTGATTTTTTTCTGTGTTCATTAAAAATTGTAGAAAATATATAAAAAGAGCGTTGGCCGAGCTTTTTGAATAGTTGGTGCGCTTAAATTGAACTCGTACCAAGAGCCGCGAACGCACGCGCTACGCGTCCCGCCTCTGCCCCGCCTCCCTTGCCTTTCAAAAACAGTGAAAATTGACTATAAGACAAACGTTTGTCGTTTGCAAACTGATTTCGACTGAGCTTAGCCAAAATATTTTTCAATTTTTCTCTCAACATGTTTGTGTTCCAGCAAAAAAATATTTTTTAAAAAAATATATATAAATATTCTAGACCAACCTATGTAGGTGAGAACGTGCTTCTCTTCTGTCAAGTAAAGGTACTGCACTGCCATGTTAGCATCGAAGAAATTCGATTCCAACATTCTGGTCAGCCAATCTGGTGGTTCCGAACTGTTAAAGTCCTGTGAAAGTTTCCATCCAAGCTTCTCGACCATTTTTAACTCACGAAAATTCGGTTCATTCTTTTGAGAAGAACTTGATTCCTTTTCCATTTTACGAGCGCGTTTTCGAGGGGACCCGTCGACATTATCACCCATTTTGGAACTAAAGTTCGCCTGAAATGAAAATTCACGTACTCGAATATTTTCTAAACAGTTGAGAAGAAACGAATAAAAAGTTTCAATATATTAAAATGAAGAAAATCAATCAATAAGCAACAGAAAAACAATAACAGTCAAAGAATGAGGCGACTATATATCAGACTTCTTCAAAAATCAAAACAACGCGTATATACGTATGTGTAGCAAAAATTCCATTTTGATTCTGCTTTTCATACAAAAAAATGTTTCTCACGTTCTTCGCCGGGGGACTTCATACAATAGAAAGGATTTTTCTTATTCTGCCCCAGGCTTGTGCGTCAGCCCGGGCTTAGGGCCTCACTCTAAAAAAAAAGTCTAACTGGTGATATTTCTCCCCCTAGAAGGGCCACTGAGTTTTCTCCTAGGGAGTCTATTGAAAAGATTAACAACGAGAATAATATAAATGAAAAGCAAAAATTTGTGCCGTGCTCAAAGTTATTTCCGCGAAATGCAAAACGGTCTCTGACTCTCCGAAATTCAGTTATCTTTTTCTATCTTTGACGGCTTTTTTTTATTTTGCGGAATCACTTTGAACACGGCGTAAAAATGGAAGAAAAATATTAAATAGAAACTGCTACTCATGCTCGTCCAGTATGTTGTTTATGTTTCACGCCCCTTGACGCAAATCCGCATTCTTCTATGAATTTTTTTTTCCAAAAAGTTTTTTTCAAATATCCGTATTTATATATTTAAATACGACACCTTTCCTAATCCCGACGCGTGTTCAGCGAGCTAAGTTGATGAAATCTTTAGAGAAAAAAGTTGGAATATGGAAGTTTGTATATTTTTTTTTTGGATTTATACAAACTATTTTGTAGTTTTTGTTTTGTTTTACTACTGAAAATGTTCCAATTCTGGATCCTGATCTTTAAAAATTTTCACAACCAAGCGAACAAAAAAGATGTCGTTGAGAAGAAATTCAAGCGTTTTCCTGCATTCATTTGCACTCAGGCAGCTTGAAACTTAACGTTTTCTTTTGCGGACCGTCAGCAAATATTCACCTCGTTCACTCATTTTCTTATACAAATAGAACGAAGTGAAATATTGAAAATTTTTCTTGATTTTTCGTTGTAACCGCTTTCGGTGCTTGGACACGAGCGCGTTTTCCATTTCCTTTTTTTAAAAGTGTTATTTTGAAATTCATCGAAATGAGTTATAGCGACAGAAAGCGGTTAAATTGCATCAACTATCCATTCCAATTCATTCGAATAAAATTGATTTAAAAATGAGAAAAGCTATTTGAAAAAAAAAAACGTAAATGGAAAACGCGCTCGTGTCCTAACGCTAGTGCGCACTGTGCTTACTTCTCCGACATTGGTAACGCGAAACGGACGTGCTCCGAACGTTTCTGGACATTTCTAGGGATCACTAAAAAGGGCTGAAGCTTCCAAAGTGGTCACTAGAAATGCCCCGACACGTCCGCTTCGCGTTTCAAATGTCCGAGTTTCTATGTAAATTTATGATCCCAAATCATTCAGCTTATATATATTCTTCAATAAACTCGTCACAAATTTATTTTTATTTTACATTAAAAAAATTTTTATCTTCTTTCAATCTTATAATTGAAGGTGTTTTTTCATTTACTCTGCATTTTTTTCTGCGTGGAATGAATTAATTGATTTTTTTCCTCTAGTTTTTGAAAAAAATGCGTAAGAAATAGAAATAAAACCAAAAACCTTGCGGAAATCGCGGGGCCTTCTCTGAGAACATAAAACGGCCGAACGGCAGCTCATTTCCTGATATTTTAGTCTCGCTCCACTGTCTTAGGCGTGCGTTTCCCTGCTTCGAAAAACTCGGTCAATCATATTTTTCCAATAAAGGGAAAACCTTCTTTTAGCATTAATATATTCCTAAGAACCATCGTATTTCTCTAAACTCAAAAAAATTTATTTTCATAGAATAGTTAGGTTTTTTTTAATAATTTCATCAAGTTTCTAAAAAGCGTAGAAATTTCAGAGTTACTTTTTTTCTCACCGTCTTGGTCCATCCTGTTCAACCAACCTGAAAAATATATTCTCGTTGAAACTTTTTCAATGATCGTTTTTTGACATGAAACCAAAAAAGGTATTGAAGTATCTATAAATATAGCGTAATGCGTACGAGAAGAACGAAAGACGGCATTCGATCATTTTTCTACTCAACACCTCTACATTTTTCCGAAATTTTTCTGTTCTCCTTTGGAAAAATATCTTTCGTTGATTTAAATATTTTGGAGAAAAAAAAAGGTTGGCGATTGTATACTTGTTCTCATGTATGTTAGCTCGGAGTGAAGAGATGGAGGCTTACTCGAATGGCGCCGATTTTATCGCCCATCTTGCACGCGCAACTGGAAATGGAGGGAAAACGAGGGTCATCGAGAAGGCGAAGCTTGAGTCGCCGCGATTTCGATCGAAACGGGACTGCCTCGTCATGCCAATTAGCCGCGATGGTGTTCCCGTAGCGCGTAAAAGAGCCATTGCCACAATTCCAAGGCTCCGTCCCACTATTGCCAGACCATTTCTTCTTTGTCAGTGCTCGTTCGATTTTCTTATAGTTTTCATTATAAGTTCGATGTCATTTTGCACGTGTGGTTACCGTTTCGAGGGTTTAAATAACAAAAAGAGCGTGTCTCCGCCATATAAGTCTCAAAAAAAGCTCGTATAGCATCGGGAACAATTATTTTTGTGAGAACTTGAGTTTTCCAATTAAAAAAAAGCTGATATATAACAGACACACTTTCTTTTTTCGATTTCAGCTCTCTGTTGTGTATTGTATGGAAAGCTTGCCCCATGATTTTCATATTTCAAATAAGTATAAAGATGGACCAGACGGTTTAGGAAAACGAGGTACAAAAAACACATTCCTCAAAGATCTCAATAAAATTATTCGGGCATGCACATGTCAACAGCTTTTTTTTCCACAAATTTCGACTCCTAAATAACTAATATCCACAAAAAAACAAAAGAGAATATCAAAGCTCTCAAGAAATATTTAGAAAATTGTAGCTTTTCTTAAGAATTATTTTGATTACCACAATAGAAAGAAACCAACCTGTGGTTGAAAAACGACCTCCAAAGAAGGGAACGCCGTGTTTCGCCACCGATGACTCAGATCTCTCGTGTCCTCCTCCTCCGGCTTCGCCTTGGCTCTCCTCTCTTCTATTTTCTCCTCTGTCCACTTTTTTATGTTATTGCTGCAAGAAATTCCATTCATTGGGTCATCCGGGGGTAAAATTTTCGAGCTTCAAGGAAAAAAGTTTTATACTTGTTGATCTATCAAGAGATTTTTCCAAATTTATAATAATCATAGTAGAATGACTGCACTGTGACAGATATTATCGACTTCTGCTGCTCAAAAGTTCTTACAAAATCAGACTCTTTATTTTCTGTCTTATCTCATTAACCATCTACTGTCTTTTGAGTCTCAATAACTATTTCTCAAAAGTCAATTTCGACGTTTAAGAAATTGAACGGCAGTTTTTTTTTAGAAGTTTTCAGTTTTTTACCCCTGCCTTCAACAATTGGTTCCGCTCGGATGCATCTCGTTATTTCACTTCACTTAGCCATTCATTCCGCTTCGTTTTAAATTTTTATTCATTTTTTCTTCTCTTTCTTTTTCTTCTTGACTTTTTTTTTCTGGATTTTTCTATGGAGTCGTATAGAAATAAAAAAAAGAACACGATAATTTATGAGTTCTCAGTAAGACTATTGCTTAAAGATGAAATTTATAACATTTACTCGAAAATGCCATGGGCGTTGGCTCTTTGAAAGGTTATCTTCCTCAGGCTGTATCAGTAAAAAGCCGACGGCTGTTTATCGGAGTCGCGTACGCGTCGAGTGGACCGCACAAAAAGAGCGGCAGATGTGGCCGTCTCGGCTTCCCATTTGCCCGTCTAATCGACCTTTCGATCGACGGCCGGCGTTCTTCTCGCTGTATGAACGTCAGAAGGACTTCCACCAGTACCCTGAAGAAAAAACCGGCAAAAAGACGCCGTTTGTTTCCAATCTCAATTGTTTCTTGCATTTGTGAGTGCCGTTCGCGGCTGAACACGTTCTCTCTCTTTTTTTTTTTCAAAATTGGAGCCATTCTCCTCCGATTACCCTTTTCATTTCAACGATCTTTCTACGCTTTATCCTGAAGCCTTCATAAAATTTGGCATCCATAAAAAATTCGAAAAATTTACGACAGGATAGGGTCATGGTAGTTCTGATGATAGAATCAAAAAGCGAGAAGGTTTTATAAAGCGGAAAAATAGTTAAATATTTGTCAGCACTTGATTAGAGTGGCATCGGCAGCTCGGCGTTAAATGATGGGCTAACTCTTCAATTTTTCTGCTCAGTTTACTTAGTTCAACGGAATTTTCAATCTATGCGATAGATTTGAAACCTCAACGTTGATATGCTCAAATTTGAATTGGGATCATTCTTTCGTCTCAAAAGCGTGTTTTCTTTCGCGATTCTCTCATACATAAGATATTTCTTGCTCCGAATAAGCCAGTTCAATAGATTGGTTGGTGCTGGCACTTCCAGCCAGCGTTGAGATGAATTATTACAATTCAATCAGCTGCTCTTTCGTTTCTCTCACTTTCGGAGAATTATCTCTTCAAGGATATTTAGAAAAAGTTTAAAATTGAATCGTGTTACTGAGAACAAAAAAACTTTCAATCAAAAAAATAAGAACTCTACATTTTTCTTTTTTTCTGTTCTTTTTTTCGTTTCTAGAATTCTGAAATGAAAAAAACTTTCAAGTGGATTATTTAAGAAAAAAACAATCATTTGACATCACTTAATATTATAGTAAATATGTATTATACCGTGAACAATATTATATCGCTCTCTCATTTTTCCTTCGAATATACATTTTTCTTAAATTTGATTCATTTCATCGTAGAAGTCAAAAATAAAGCAGAGAGATTGTTTCTTAAATCGCTAGTTCATGAGAGAGGGTGCGACAAGGCAGTGAGACTTTGACGATGTCGCAACAAGAAGCCTCGACACATCGTCTGCGACCAGTTGTGTTGGATGACCATTAATGGTTTCTATCTTTGCCCTGCTCGTAAGTTATATCCCTAAATAGGGCGCAGGCCAAGCCTGCGCCTAATGCTCGTAGAATAAATTCTCGTAAAATATATGGTTTTGGTCGCAAGAACTACCTCACACCCAATACATTTTCTACTCCGAGCAACACCGCGTTTTTAATGCCGTGTTCAAAGTAATTTCCGCGAAATGCAAAATACCCGTTAGAGAAAGGAAAAGATCACTAAATTTTGGAGAGTCAGAGATCATTTTGCATTTCGCGGAAATTACTTTGAACACGGCATAAAAAAAGTATACTTGCTATCGATTAATCGATTATCTTCTCCCATTAACATTTAAACTGTTTTGATTTCTTTCTTTGTCAATGGAATATATGCTTAAAGTCTGTTCGTGGATATGTTCTGCAGTAGTTGTGCATTTCGCAAAAATTCTTCACTTTGTTCAACTGCGAAAAGTTCACCTTTCGGTCGGTTTTTCGTTAAAAAATTTCATTTAAAAAAAAAGTTTGAATTTTTGATTTTTGATTCAGGAGTGATTGACCTACATCTCCTTCTTTGATCCTTTTTTGTCCTCCGCTTGGATGCTTCTGAATACTACGTCGACAAATGAGTATAGAAGGGGTGTCAGGGCTGGAATGCGATAAGGAGAATGATAGCCGTTAGAAAGTGACTCATCGGAACAGTCGTTGGTGCAAAGTTATTGTCACCCGCTCCTCTATTGCGCGTCGAAAGAGTGAGTATTGATCGATTTCATTCGGCCCCCACTCCGTTAAAACCTCACGATTTTGGGTTGTTCTTCACACGTTTTCAGTGTCCTTTCTTCCCTGATACCTTTCAGCGACAAGGATAGCTATAAAATCCTTTCTAATTTTTTTTAGTTTGTTCAATACTATTCAGTTTATTTACAACGAATATGATTTAAATTTGTTGTTGGAAGTTTTCTGAAAGTTGGCAAGAAAATTTATTGCTGTACTAGATGAATATCATGAACGTCTTCGTCTGCACAACTCACTAGTTTCTGAGAAGAAGAAAAAACACTTTGGAAGGGAATAAAATCATCTTAAAAACCGCTGAAATGGTCCATTGCAGCCTTCTTTTGGGACTTTAAACCCTTGTTACTTTGAAAATAGGAAGTTTTGCTATTTGATACTTTTTTGAATTTTCACTTGGTACATGAAAAAGTATTTCGGCAAGTTTTCAGAAAATTACCAACCGTAAAATAAAAAAACTTCCTCTCTAGGTGTGTCCAAACTTACTTTCAAAAAAATTTTCATTGAGTTAGTATTCTATCAGCTGTGTTTAAAACTGTTTATTGCATCTTCAATGTAAGAATACATGTGCAATTGGCTTTCATTGATTTAACTGTGTTTTGAACGGCGACAGGAGCTTAGGCTTAGGCAGAGAAGTTGTGACTTTTTGTTGATTACCAAGATCCAGGGCCAATTTTGAGGCAAGATACTTTAAATATTAAATATTTTGCCAAAATTTGGTTCGCAACCTTTGCATATAGTTGATTCTCAGAGAGAAAAAAGGCATCAAATTGAGCAGAAATTTACGAAAGCAAAAATTTACAGTTTCGTAGGTTTCATAAGCCTAATGAACACTTTTTCGATTTTACTTATTTTCTGTTTTTTTGAACACTCATCGATCTATAGTAGTCTAACTTTTATGTTTCTCTTTCTCTCATTTTTTCTTATAATGTATGTACCATTTTAAAAGATTGGGATTTTTATAGACTGCTTTTAAACCGCTTAACGGATCTTCTGGAAGGTAATTCATAAATTTTCCCTCACATGTGTTCCTTAATTCTGTGGTTCACATCAATTATGTGAAAAGCACGAAGATAAATTAAATTAGGAAACTTTATAGCTTTTCTTTCCATTATTGTCACGATATTTTTGGTGGTACAACAGTTCTCCGTCATGTTTTTCGGCTCAATCTTTTTTTTTTGTTTCGTAGGCTTTTTTCTAGAATTCTTTCGTTGTGGTTTTTTCTTCTCCCGAGTAGTTTTTCGATCTTTCCTCCAACCCCACTTTTTTTCGAGAAAAACAATTGGTTCTTTTTGTGCCAGTTTCCATTTTTTTTTTGTTTTACGGCTTTTTTTTTCGAAAATTTCAGGTCTTCGTTCTGGTAATTTTCTTAATGCCTTTTGGCTAGTTTATCCGGTAGAGCTCAATGATTTCATATTAGAATATTTCAGCGTTTCGGGAGGCGACCTTAAACGTTTTTTTTATAATATCCGCCAGAACAAACTGCGTGGGTGCAAGATTTGAACAGAAAAAAAAAACTTGCGCGTCATCGCCTCGTGACCCGATGTCCACTACCAAGAGCTCTAAGGTAATTTTTTTATAGTATTAAAATCAAAAAAAGTTTGAGAAAACTATGTTGATTCTGCCTCCTTTTATTCATCTTTTTAGCAAGTACGAATCCGGAACTTCATTGGAAGGATTTTCTCGCCCAGCGACAAAGATAAAGACAAAGATGATGAAATGAAGCCTTCGTCTTCGGCCATGGATATCAGTCAACCCTACAACACCGTTCATAGGTTTTTCTGGCGAATTCCTTTTTTTCTTTTAATCGATTCATTCACAGAATGCACGTGGGCTATGATGGACAGAAGTTCAGTGGGCTTCCGCAGCCTTGGATGGACATTTTATTGAGAGATATTAGGTTCTTTTTTCATTTCTCAGCAATGCAGAGTTGAAATCGACCTTCTTTCAGCCTAGCTGACCAGAAAAAGAACCCAAATGCCGTCGTAACAGCGCTCAAGTACTACGCGGCGTCGATGAAAGAACATCAAGACGAGAAGTTCATGACGACGAACAGTGTGTACAACAACAGCGACGACGACGATGTTTCTCCATTTTCACCTTTTTTTTTCGTTCATTTATTTCTTACAGGTAGATGTCCAATTGACAGGTCAGGTGACAGAACATCTTCGGAAATTAAGGTGCAGTTCTGGAAATGGTGAGTTTTTTTCAAATATTTTCCGGTAGTTCGCAATTGAGTTGTTCATTTGAAATGAGTTTTTGTATAAACCGACTGACTAGCGAGGAAAATGCGCGTTGTCAAAACATTTTACTTCGACTTCTCCTTAGAGAATCGTTCTGTTCATTTTTATTTTTAAAAAAAACTCCTTTCTTACTTCTGTTTTTCGATATTCTTTCATTTTCTTTTTTTTCAACCTGATTCTCAAACAATCAATGTTTTCAAGAGAGAAAGGAAAAAAGGAAAACACGGATGTCTCTCTAATAAAGAAATACATTTTCTAATTTGAAAAACTTTAGAGTTGAACGGAATATAAATTAACTCGTTCAGGCTCAACTCTTTCTCCGACGCCTTCTTCGGCCTCAGCTCCTGCGTTGGCGTCACTAGCAGGCCAGGAGCTCTCGTCGTCATCCACCGACGCGACTTTTTGCGCTCTCCGAAAGGGTCGTGCCTTCGCCTGCGCCGGCGACGTCTCCAGGTGCTTAAGTCGAGCAAATATTTTTATTTTTTTAATTGATATAAAAAAACTCATAAATTTTTGAAATTTATACAGGAAAATCTTCATTGAGTAAAGATAAATTTTTGAGCCTTCAGAAGAATCCGGCGGAACTGACCTGCCTCCTCCGCTGCACCCTCGGCAACGTCTCGAACCTCCACCTTTGCCGCCAACCCAACCTCCGCAGAGGAACAAGGTTCATCTCACTTTTGTTTTTCATAACACTTTCTATCTTCAGACTTCTCCTGTCCTCAATGGAGCGCCGATGCCAGGAGCTCCGCCGCGGATTCCTCCGAAGGTGCCTCCAAAACCAGCGGTATGAGTTTGGATTTATTTCTTCTTGGGTGGACCGCTGCTCGTAGAAAACGCAGATTTCTGATTTTATCTAGCAAAAAAAAAAATACAGTCTCAAGAAATATGAGCTGGTAAGGCTGCAAAATTCAGTTTAGTGATCTGAATAGAGAAGTGTTTGAGATGAAAATCGCAGATCTGTTTCAAACTTCTGTTTTTGAGAACTTCTCGACGGGAGTTCTCAAAAACGTAAAGAATTATCTGCTGAGCGCCATAGGGTTCCGGAAAAAAACACAGTCGAAAGTATACAGGGAATGTTGGGAAACCGTTTTTCTTCGGAGTTTCGAATCCGAAACAAGTTTTTTCGAGGAACTTTTTTAGAAATAACTCATGATAAAACTTTTTTCCCCAACAGTTAGATGGAATTCAGTTTGATAGCATTTTCTTTTTCGACCGGATTTTTCCCGGTACCCTTTACCACTTAGCAGATAATTTTTCACAGAAGTTTGTATCAGATATGTAATATTTATCTCAGAGATTGTGATTTTGCTCAAATGACAAAACCAAGTTCAGTTTTTGACGTTCGACCGAAAGTATTTTTTTTATATCTAGTCTCCAGTAGCAACGTATCATAGGAACCTCAGTAGGGCTGTGTTCTGAACTTTAGTCAGCGCTAAAGAGAAAAAGCCGGGTTGTTCGAATTCCGAGCAACGCTTTCACAGTGAAGATGATTAATTTTATTGAAAAATTCGTGGAAAATGTTCCTTTCTCTCCCTTCCTCGTAAAGAACGTGTTAACTGTTTGTCCCATTCACAACCGCTTTATGAAACGATTCTACTTGCTTTGCAACCTTCCAAAGCTTTCTTTTCACTTCCTACTAGTCATTAATGTTTTATGAACGACGCTGCCCCAGAAAATCGCCACATAAAACACATTCACAGAAATATCTTACTGTTGTCGGCATTAATGGGTCTCTTGTGTTTTGAATATATTCCCCTATTGCGTGATTTACAACAGCTTCCATTCATTTGACAGGACCTCAGTGTAATTATTATCGTGAGGCTTCCTTTCTTTTTTTTTTGAGACCAAGGTCTGCGGACGTTTGTACTCATAACTGTCAATTATCATTATTCTGTGCGGGCCAATGCGCGCATAAACGTATCAGAGCATAATCTTTAAAAACATTTTTCATTCGATTGAACTCTGCACCAGATTTCAGTGTCTTAAAATCAAAAATTTTCTTTGTCAGTATCGTTAATCGAAAGAGAGCTCCTTTCTTTTCCAGGTAATACGGCTAAATCTCAGCCAGCCGTATTACCTGGAAAGGGGCGGCATAGCTCAGCTGGTAAAGACTCATTTCTAGCGTCCGCGAGGTCGTAGGTTCGAGTCCCCCCGAGGTCGACCAAGCCTTTCATCCCTCCAGGGTAGATAAAATTGGGAGCTGTATGCAGCGAAAAGGCTCAATCTCAGCAATCGGCCTTTGGAAAGCCGGCACCGTACTTCTTCCTACGACCTCTCTTGTGCCTGATGTTCTACGAGCGAAATTCAAAACTTCTCTGCTTAAGCCACAGCCCCTAGCGCCGTTCAAACACAGTTAAATCAATGTAAGCCGATTGCACATTCTTACATTGAAGATGCAATAAAAAAAAACGGCTAAATCTTAAATTTTTCAAAAATCGCATTTTCAATTTTAGTAAATTCATGTCATAAGTGAAAAATAATTGAAGTTGGGTGAAGGGTGTCTTTTTTTTTTTTTGAATAAGCTGTTCGTATATATATTTTTTTGTTTAATTCTATATAAAATTTTAACTCTCGTGAATTTTTGTATCGTCTAGATACGCCCATCGCTCATATAGTTATGAAACCTGTGTCTTTTGCCCTGAAAAGATGCCGAAATCTGCCAAAAAAAAACGTTCGTAATTTATGAGGGGATGCGTTTCTTTTGATGGAAAAAGCGTTAAACGGCGACGATTTGGCAAAGGCCATGCCGTGTCGTCTGCAGATGAAAGCAAGGCGAACATTTGAGCGAATGTGATCCACAACAGGTTGTACATGCCGCGGCGACTGTGTTTGAGCTGTCTTTCTTGATTCTCTCCTAGTATCGCAGGCTATCTGCCAGTGTATGTTTGTGGCTTTTCCCACGTCGCCACAGCACCCCTGTGGTGTCCCTGACTTTCGCTGACACGGAGACGTCGAAGACCGGTCAGAGGTCTCCACCAAATGGCATCTCCGTTTTTTATACGTCCTCGTCTATTTTATCTCGTTGAGGAGCGTAAAACTTTGCGACCTTCTCTCTTTGATTTCTCTTCGGATTTTTATGAGTCGTTCATCGTTTCTTCCAACAATATATATTCATGGTTTTTTTCTTGTATGCATCTGCTCTAACGAAAAAAAGCTGATCGTAGTAACTACCTCTTGGAAAGCGTTTTCGAAATTACAGAACTTTTTCATACAATATATTTCATTTTCAAACACGATTCCTATCACTAACTTCTCATTGAGAAAGTAAATCTTTCTATAAGTTTTGGTAAGTTCGGAGTTTCCCGAAAAACGATTTAAGAAAGGCAACGGCAGGCGCCAATAATCGTCGCCCATGTTAAGTCAGACGATAGATTTTTTTTTTAAAGGTTCATCGTTTTTTTTTCTTCCTGGGAAGTAGTATTTATGAAGTATTTATTTCACTTCTTTATCATCTATGTTTTTTCATTGCTTTGATTTGATTATTACAACTTGTGTGCAAAGCTTTAGGGAACTAGTTTGGAGTAATCGAATTAATCTCCTGAAAAGTGATACTTCCCCATTTGCTTCGATCTATTCATTACCAGTTTTCTTTCTTTTTTTTCTCAGGCTGTTTCGGCCATTCTGAGAGTTCAAAAGCTTGAAAAGAAATTGCTTTCTGATTTTATGAATAACTGGTTATCACATGTAGCGCATTGTTCTTATTTGAATGGGCGCACCCTCGATGAAATCAGTCTTGCGAAGGTTGGGCCGAACGCTGGCATTTGGACTGATGCGAGAGATATGGTTCCGTTAGTCCGAAATGGCCTTTTGATAGCCCTCAGTAGCAGAAGAGATCAGAACAACGACTTGGTTCTCGGTGGAGCGAAGAAGCTCCGCCCATAGAGGTTGACTGAGTGACGCGTTTTGTGTGTATGCAGGCACACCCATTCCCCGCAATGTCTACATATTTCAGCCTTTTTCGGGTTCATCAATGTTCTCACAAATTTCTTGCTGACGGGGAAGCCACACATTCCCTTGTTCAATTTCTTGATTTTTTTTTTCTTCAACACCTCTCTTTTGTGTGTTATTTTCATACTCGTTATTTTTAACAGCTTCTTTGAAATTCAGACTTCATTAATTTTTTTTTTATGTTTTGCTGTTCAAGGGCCTTTTTTATTTCAGAAAAAAAATAAACAAATCATAATTTATTATTTTGCCTAGGAGCATAAAATTCCGGCGTTTCCATTTTTGCCCTTTAAAATAAAAGATGTCCCGTTATTCTATCTTTTTCTATCGTTGCTGATCTTTTGACTGAACTCGAAAATGAGGCTCGTAGTAGGATAAAAGTTATGTAGTGAAATCTTCTGTTACAAGAATTGAGAAGTTTCTACGGTTCGAGATACAGTATGTATATGATTCGGTTTACTCGTTTCATTTTTCCTTGGTGCTGTAACTGGTTCTTTTGATCTTCGTCACGTTTTTTTTTCTCTGTTCGAAAAAGAAGATCAGTTATAGTCGAAAAGAGGCCGGCTGGGCGCTTTCGGCGCAGTCGTTTGACACCTCACCTAACGAAAGTTGGCTAGACGCCAGCCATCTGCACGGCTCCCTTTTGATATATTCCTTGGGACTGTCCTCCGCGAACTGTGGGTCGACAGAAATGATGTACGACTGGTACCTCAAGCCCAAACAGCTCAACGTCCTGTCCCCTTGGGGCGTTTACATCAATCACATCGGTAATGAGTTGATGGTTCGTTTACTCTCTCTTGAGCTTTTACATTAATTTTTATGTAAGATTCGTTACCAAGAGACTCAAGAATGCCAATGAAAAAAAATATATGCGAATGCGTTATATGACAGTGTATTGATGAAAACTTACCTTGACCTTTGTCAAGCATGTCTCTTCGAAATTCTGTCGTTCAGCATCTGAAGGTTGCGTCTGGAACGACGACGTCGTCGGGCCTTTCGTCGCCTTGTTCGCAAACGTCGTCGAGTCTGGCGCAACGTCATCAAGACAACAACAACGGCTCCTTCAACTCTATCGGCCATTCTCTTTCTAACGGTAGCGTTGCTTCCAACACGTCTTCTGACGCCGACGTTCATCTTTCTTCTAATGTGAGTAAGCATGTCTCTGTATTTTTTCATGCTTATCTGCCTGCTCCCCTTTGTTTTTCTGTGTATTCAAGTCAAGTTGTTTTTTTTTTATTGTGCATGCTTCGGTTTCGGTTCCTTTTCTGAAATGAAAAACTGAAATGGAGTTGATTTTAACAAACTTCCAATTGTAGAAAAAAAAGGGATATTTTCGAAGCTAGTAAGAACAGAAAAGAAACCAAGTAACATTTCATGAGCGTAGTAATTTTCGTGCAGAATAGTTTGGTGATACAAAAAGTCTGTTTTTATTCTTATTTCTCATTTCTTATGGAATTTTTGGTGTTGGTCTTTTTGTTTTTTGAAATAGTAACCTACCCGTTTTTTGGATTATTTGAAGGCGAACTTCAAGCAACAGAAAACAAGAAATAATCTGCAAAGGCCTTTTTGTTAAATTTATTCGATTTTCCATGAAATTTTCAAACAGGAATTTATGATTGTTGTGTTTTCAGATAACTCGGTAGTTTGTGGTAGATATTAACTGGGAGAGCTTTTGTTTGAATGAACTTTTTCGCGGAGTCTCAATTTGCCTTTCAGAAAGAGAACGCTTCGAATGAGAAGCCGCTTCCAGCGGAGCGAACACACAAAAATGTGGAGACAACGACCGAAGAGACGGTCCGAGTGAGGGCCCAAGTTCGCGAGAAAATGACTGATGCTCAGGTCTGATTATATTCTCGGTGAAAGTTGAGGAAATATTTTCATTCCTTGATATTATTCGTCAGAATTTAAAATGCTGTTTTAAATAAATCATTAAACCTCGTCTAAAGTCGGTTGGAGGGGAAATAACTTTTTCGTATTTGCATTTCCACCTTTACTGATTGTCTTGTTCAGGTTTTGGAAGAACTGAGATTGATCGTAAATCCTGGATCGCCTTTAGGAAAGTACGAGATGCGAAAACAAATCGGCGTTGGGTTCGTTTCGATTTCCTTTTTTTGAAAATTTCTATGATAATTCTTTTACTCGAAATTTTATTCGAGAACCTACAAATAAGGAAAATTTTCAGCGCTTCCGGAGCCGTTCATATTGCGATGCGATACGGTACGGGAGAAGTTGTTGCTGTGAAAAGGATGGCGTTCAAATCTCAACAGAAAAAGGAGATGCTTCTCACTGAGATAAAAGTCATGAAGAGTTTCCGACATCCGGTAGAAAAAAATTACCTTTTTTGTTCAAGAAGTACGTTAAGAACATTGTTAACTACATCGAGTCGTACCTGGTCGACACTGACGATCTTTGGGTCGTGATGGACTACCTGGAAGGCGGCAATTTGACCGATGTCGTCGTGAAAACAGAACTCGACGAGGGCCAAATTTCCGCGGTTCTTTGCGAATGTCTCAAAGCTCTTCACTTTTTACACAGGTTTATTTGAAATTGAATTTTTAGCCTTGTAAAAGCCCTGAGCTGAGCGCGTTCTATTCGAAAATTTGGTTTATTAAAAATCAGCTGAATAACGGTATTTCGTGCTAAATGGAGATCCGAGAAGTTATATCGTTATTCCACGTCTCTCGTTTTTTTTTTGAACGCACTACCTTCATTTTTTGGAAACTGGGCTGAAGAGTGGGAAATAAAAAAATTATTTTTTTCTCGAAAAAAATAAAAAAAGTTGTACCTATTCACATTTTTTTAGAAGTTCGATCTAGTACCTCAAAAACTGTTTCGGAATTCAAAAGAGGATTTTAATGTTTTAAGTTTTAAAACCTACGTATCATCTATGGCACTTTAAAATCGGTGAAGCAATAAATTATTCGAACATGTGTTCCAAAAAGAAAAGCAAATTCAAGTTTTTTTTTTGTTTTCTAGAAATTTTCTCACGCAGTTTCAACAAACTTTGTGCAACTTTTCGAACGTCCTATTGATTTGTCAAGTAAAACTTGCATAAACTTTGCTCTGGTCGCTTGTTTGTTGGTTGTTTTGATGGGATGACCACAACTGGACTTCTAATGGATTTTCCTCCGATTTGCAGCCACTCGATAGTCCATCGCGACATTAAGAGCGATAACGTGTTGCTGGGCATGAACGGCGAGGTGAAGCTGACCGATATGGGCTTCTGCGCACAGATTCAGCCTGGGTCCAAAAGGTTTGTCCTTGAACGAACACGCAAACCATTACGATTCTCCTCTCGGACCCACTGAATTAAGTGAACTGTTTGAAAAGTGCACGGCACTTTTCATTTAAACCAGTGGCAAGTCCAGAACCGGAACCTTCCAGAAAATTTTTCTTCATCAAAGTGACTCAAATGAAAAAAAATATACCATCAAAAAAAGTTTTTTTATTCCGGAAAAAAAGATAAGTTATAAAGGTTGAAAACGATAGTACATTAAATAAAAAAATGTTTTTTTCTCTTTAAGTTTTCAAAAACATTACTTTTTGTTTTTTATTCATCTCTCTAACTGGTAAGTAACAAGTCTTTGACAAATTTGAGTATAACACGTGATCAAAGTTAGCTCATGACTTCTTGTTGAAGATTCGAATTTTTTCATTTTTTTTTAAATTCATCAATGGAATTCCAAGATTATGAATCATGAGAATTTTTCCAGTTTCTCATTCAATTAACTTTTTATTATTATTCATGGAGACAACGAGACGATTTTTTTTTTTGCAGAGACACAGTTGTCGGAACCCCTTATTGGATGTCGCCGGAGATATTAAACAAGAAGAAATACAACTATAAGGTATCAGTTCGCGTTTTGAACGTTGAGAAAGATTTCGGCTCAGGTTGATATCTGGTCCCTCGGGATCATGGCGCTGGAGATGATCGACGGCGAGCCGCCTTATCTCCACGAAACCCCTCTCAAGGTGGAAATTAATGATTTTTGCTTCAATATCGGCTTTTTAGGCAATTTATCTGATCGCACAGAACGGCAAGCCAGAAATAAAACGACGCAATGAACTTTCGAAGGATTTCGTTGATTTCTTGGATCGGTGTCTCGTCGTCGACCCCGATGAAAGGTTTCCCTTTTTTAAACATTGAAAGGGCGGGGTTTTTTTTAAAATTTTTTCGACTTTGATTTTGAAAACGTATTTAAAAAAAATCAAAAATTTGTTTTTTAAAGTTCAATTGATTAGCAGAAGCGATTTTTTATTCTTTTTTGTAAATGATCGAAAAAAACTCTTTTTCATTTTTTTGAATTCAGCGCCATCGAATTAGTCTAGTTTGACCCTTTAATGTCAACTGAATAGGCTCCAGAGAGCGACTTGATACCCGAGGCTAGTTGACATTGGAGGGTCGAACTAGACTTATTCGATGGTGCTGAATTTGAAAATAACAACGAAAATGAGGTACAAAAATTAATAACTTCTCATATTTCTGGCTGTGGCTGTCGCCAGTCATGCTCATGCAATGCATGGAAAATTTCCTCTCAATTATTTCGAGTATTCTGTGTTGGTTGAGTACTCTTTTTCAATCAAAGATGTATTTTCATTCCAGCAAGCAAGATGAAACCTAGTCCTAAGAATTTTATAACTCTAGTTTCTTCGTCTTAGAAAGGGTGACTTTTCAGAAAAATTATTTCTCAATTGAAGAGGAAACTTTTTTGTTTCAGAGCAGACACAGCGGAACTTCTGAGTCACCCGTTCATTCAGAGGGCAAAGCCTCTTTCCAGCCTTGTTCCCTACATCAAGGCGGTAAAAGATCTCAAAGAGAAATCCAAGTGATTTATGAATTGTTTTTTCAATTTCATATATATGTATATTTGAAGTTTTTTCAATAAGTGGTCGTATGCTTTTTTGTGATTTATTGCGAGTCTGAGTTTCACCTGTGCTATCTGAGCTGTCCTACTTACAGCAAACCCAATGCCAGTTCAAAGTTTTTTTCTGTTCAAAATAATTTCTGACTCTTTTTTTTATAACTTCAAAATCAGTTATCACGTTCATTTTTATTTTTTCCGCCTTTTTCAAGAATAATAGAATCATATTCTAAATGTGTGAAAAATACGTGTCGTTTGCCCCTTCCTAACTATCATAGACGTCGTTTTTCTACTTTTCTTAAAGTTGTTTTTTTTCAAGTTCTTCTTTCAATTTTTTGTAAAATCGTTGCTGTGGCGGTTTTTCGTTCTAGTTTTTTAGATTTTTTTTTGCAAAAAAAAATGCTGCTAACAGCGTCGGATGCAAAATCAGTTAATGTCAAACATTCTTAACGAGCCGCGATTTCAAACTTGGCTTTGAAAGTGATCTAAACGGACAAAGACAAGTTTTATCCATTTTTAACCTTCATCATCGATGCATGTATCACTTTAAACGCTCTTTCTTCTTCTTTTTCCTTGTACATTGTGATTATATTGAATGACCATATTATGTAATTTTTTCGTGTTGACTGCGCTCAATTCTTTCGCAAGACTAAATACATATTTTGTGCTGCTTTTCTCCAGCTTCAAAGTGAATCTGATTGCAATTTTTGATTTAAAAAAAACTCAAGGCACAGGGGCAAACGGAATGTCGCTCTTGTTCATCGGTTTGAGTCATCTTATATCAAATTACATCAACGTCATTTAAAAAAAACACTTTTTCGTTTTTTTATGCGGTTTCTGTTGCCCGACTCTTTGCGCCGAGCTTTTTTTCACTTGTCAGGATAGTTCATTCAGAAAAAGAAATCACCGTATAAAGAATCTACAAAAATTTTTTTGCTAGTGTTTTATTTTTAAAGTCAAGAATTTTTTCGAATCTTAGATGAAACTTTTCTCACTCTCCTGCGGGTGGAAAATCGGCATGATGTCGGCGATTGTGAAGTGAAACTGAATAGGAGAATTTTTCTTATTGAATTGATTACTTTTTTCTTTTCTTTTGGTGAAATTCTGGATAAAAACTGCGATAAAACATGAGTTGCTTCTTTCTGTTCCATTCTTTCAAAACTAATCTGAAAGACTGAAACCTTCGAATGAGACTTACGATGTGAGAAAGGTTTTTTCACGTTCGCATATACATACAGTACCGTCCAAAAAGTTGTGAACTTTTGGTTTTTCAGGCCTAGCGCGCTGAAAAAACAACCGATCTTCAGGAAATTGTTTTTGGATTTTTGAAACACTATTTAATGAGTTAGTGTACGGCATGTTCTAAAACACGAGCGGTTGTGGGGCACGAGCGGCACGACCGTTACTAAATCACGAGCGGTTTCATTTTCGCTCCTTCGCGAACGCTTCTAAATCACGAGCGTTTTTTTGGCTTATCGTTCTGTTCGGCGTTTCTAAACCGCGAGCGTTTCATTTTAATCATTTTCTTTATTACCATCCAAGTGTGTGTTTTTCATATTTCTACCTTCTTTTTTTCTCCTTGAATAAAAAAATTTTGACGATCTTATATGCACATTTTTTTCGCTCGTGGCATCAATTCGAATATGAGATTCTATTACCAGAAAAAAATTTTTGAGAGAAAATATTAGAAAAATTTGCTATACGCAAAATTTGAGAAATATTGACTTTCATGCGAGACGTCTGTGAAATATTAGTTTATCATACGCAAAAATCTGTGAAATATTGAATATGAAAAATCAGAAGAAATTATTAGAAAAAATTCGCCATACGCAGAATCTGTGAAATTATAGAGACCGCAAAAAAACTTAGAAAAAAATCCATTATATGAACCTCAAATGTGAATCAATCAACAAATTGAGCGAAAAAAATGTGCATATAAGATCGTCAAAATTTTTTTATTCAAGGAGAAAAAGAAGGTAGAAATATGAAAAAACACACACTTGGATGGTAATAAAGAAAAATGATTAAAATGAAACGCTCGCGGTTTAGAAACGCTCGAACAGAACGATAAGCCAAAAAAACGCTCGTGATTTAGAAGCGTTCGCGAAGGAGCGAAAAATGAAACCGCTCGTGATTTAGTAACGGTCGTGCCGCTCGTGCCCCACAACCGCTCGTGTTTTTAGAACATGCCGTTAGTGTACTGGGATAAGTTTTTAGGGGGCCCTATAGAGGGTCGCTTTTAGGGGGCCCCTATAGGGGGTCTGCAAGTGGCCTTTTTAGGGGAAATCTCTAGGGCCCCCTATAGGGGGTCCTAAATCGCTCCCTAAAAATTGCAAGACTCTCAAGGGGTCGCAAAGACCCCTTTGGAACGAAAGTGGTTTTTTTAAAAAAATATCTTTCTCATTTTTCTAAGTTTTGAGTTGACTCAGTCGACCCAGTTTTAGTTTAACTTTATAACTTGTATTTATATTTCATCAATTTCTGTGGTGCTTAAGGAAGTAATACGTTATTCACGAACGAGTTGTCAGTAGGATTTTTTTCGTTATGGTTTCAAATTGTATTATAATGCACGGTGTTCCGCGCAATGAAAAAAATGCGAAATTTTTGGGTCCCAGCGGCATATTATCCGTGGCGCATTATTGCGCCCTTCTCATGGTTTCTGATGCAAAAAAATTGAATTTCTTCACTTTTTTTCATTGGTTTTTTTACTTTTTTTCTATTTCTTGCATTTATGTGATCCGCCTTTCTATGGGTACATTTTGTGAAGCTTCAAATTGCGCATTTTTTTCTAAACCGGTTTCAGATCTTTAACTTTTTTTCTCAAAAGAGCTGAAGATTTTTTTCTAAGAGTCCTAATTTTTTTCAAAAATTTTTGAAATCAGTTTCGCGACATGAAAATAATCACTCTATTTCGGAAACTATAGTTTTTTTAATTCAATCAGTTAATAATAAAAAGTTATTATCTAGTTCCTTTGACGTAGTTTAAAACCGGTTTCGCGTAAATTAGAGCCAAATTGAATTTGCTGAGGCAGTTTAATGATTTTTGATATATGAATCATCTAAATTATATATTTTCTCTAGTTTTTTTGATGGTTTTTCGGATTTAAACAAAAAAATTTCGCCATACGAGGTTTTTTCTAAAATTTCTGCTTTCTATCCATTATTTGTTTTTTTCTGAAGCTAGGTTTTTCGAGGTATACAAAATGTTTTTCATTTGCTCCTCGAATTTTCCTCATTACAATATTTTTTTCGTATTTATAAATGCTTATTCAATAGGAGCTGATTCATTTTCATAATATTTTTTTGTTTTTTTATTTTTGTAATCAGTAATTTAGAGTTTTTCCCTTTTCGAAATCGTTCCTAAATGTTTTTTTAACGTAAGTGAATGTTTTTTTCACATCATATTCTTCAAAATGACAAATTTAGAACATTTCAGGAGCTATTATCCTGAAATCGCAAATTCTAAAATTGAAAAAAAGTATTTTTGAGTATGCGATAGTGCGTCTCGGTGTGCTTACACCCTAAGCATCATAATTCACGAAAAGTCTTGACCTTGCGTAATTAAAAAAACACCGTGAATGGTTTGTGCGTTTTTGTGCTCCGTAAAAGTTAACACGGCAATCTGTACATTGGTTCAGTATTTTCAGTGTTTCGTTTATGTACAATTGATATATTGGTTTATGTAAATATGTTCAGAGTATTTTTTTATTTTTGGTATTTTCAGAGTTTTGTCTATGTATAATTGGTCTACTGGATTGTGTGAAACCGTCAGAAATTCACCGGTAGATGATGTTTGTTGGAGGTTTTTTTGATGTAAATGCGTGTTTATATATTCTATTTGATTATTGCTCGTTAAAGAAGACTTAATTTTTTTATTAAGATGCCGCGGAGTCGCGATTTTATTGATGCGCATTGGTTCTACAGCAGCGATGAAGATTCTGAAAGGTATATCGAAAAATGTTGATAATGATAAATGATCGTAGAAGCACGGAATCAGCCGACGGAAATTTTTGAGCCGCCACATGAACCAGAATCAACGGAAGATTACCGCGGGCCGAGCAATTCAATAAGTTGCTTTCAAATGTCAACGTTGGTTGTTTTTTTGCTCACTGTTCAATTGTTCTTTTTTTATATGTGCCAAACTTTTTTTGCCCCTTATGTAAGTAGTTTCAACCGTTTCCGTGTCGGAAGTCCCAACGTTTTTTTATTGAAAGTTGCCCAACCATTTGCCTTGACACAACGCGTTTTTTTCTTCTATTTTTTTCGCAAGTAGCGCTTATATCAATATGCTTTTAGGCGTATCTTTATTGTCTTGAAGAGCTTCTATTAGATTGATCAATACGGTTTCCTTTGGCAGTGATTTAGACGTGTCAAATATTTATACGGGTCTTTTACGGCCAAAAGTTTTTTTGCTTCCTCGAATATCCTGTTACGTATACATATCTTCAGTTTTTTGCTCGTTGTTTTGTTACTTATGTCTATCTGTTTCCATTGATGATCCTGATTGCTTTTAATGTTTTCAATTCCTTTCAATAAATTTGGAAACAGTTTCAAACGCAATGAGATGAGTTTACGTGTTAACGATTCGCATTCAATAAGGGGTTTTCTCTATTTCCTCCCGGAGCTATTTCAGAAATTTTTCCGTGCCCCCCCCTAAAGGGACCCCTAAAAATTCGTAGGGGTCCCTATAGGGTTTCATTTAGGGGCCCCCTTCAAGGGGCCCTAATTTACCCCCTATAGGGCCCCCTAAAACTTATCCCAGTAGTTTTGAGTGGAGAGTGGGAGAAAATACCGATGTCGGTTATCGATACTTTGATGGACTCTATGCCTCGTCGGTGCCAAGCTGTGATGAGTTCTCGGGGTTGCGCGACCAAGTACTAGACTTGTCACAGCGTTCTAAAGCGGCGTTCCCGCCCCTTTTCTGAAAAGCATGCGGACGCTGCATGAGTGGGCGTAGCTAACTATCTGAGAAAAGTTTAGGGGGCCCCCATAGGGATTTGGCCATTTCGGGGCCCCGATAGGGGTTGAGTTAGGGGCCCCACCGGGGGCCTTCCCAAGGGACCACATTTGTCCCCCTATAGGGGCTCCCTAAACTTTTCTCAGATCGGCTTTTTCGCGTCGTAATGAAAAGTCCTGATTTTTTGATTATTTCACGACTAACATTTTTTTTCGGGCATTTATAGTTCCCAAGCGTTGCTAATCATTTCCTATTACTCTCTTAAAATTTCGCAGTTTATTTTTCTTGTGGTTTTAATTGGTTTAAAGGACTACATAATTTTTTTCTGTTCACGAAAGTCGAAATTTTTTTACTCAGGTTTCATTTTGTATTGTTTTTTTTTTCCATTTCCTGTTTAGGTAATTGAAAACTGATATTGTGATCGATTCCTGCAGTTGAAATTTTGATTTTCAGTTTTGTCTCTTGGATACAGTAGTTTCTGTATTTCCTTACGGCTTCTTTTATAAAAAGTTTATAAACTCATGATGGCAAGTAATATAGGTGGTATGAAAAAAAAGCCTTTCCGAAGGATCCCATTCCGACTTTTTTCCTTTAATCAAAAAAATCTATTAACATTTTTTTCCTTTTTTTGTGTTTTAATCATGAACCAATTACCTATTGTATATAGGAAGATTCAAAAAAAAGAGTTTATCGAGAAAAAAAAGTCGGAAAAAGATTCGTCGGAAAGGTGGCCGTCGGAAAGTTCCCTAATGATATGAAAAAATCGGAAAAGTCGCCGTTTGAATTTTCGCTGGTCTTTTTTTTTCATACCACCGTAACACATGTAACTTTTTTAATTTTTTTACGTTCATTTTTTTCGATTCTGCCCTGTAATGATTTAGAAAATATACTTCTACGTTTTTTTCCGATGTTTTTTTAAAATTGTTTCTAACGGTAAGCTTTGTTTTGCTTTCTTTGCAATGAGTATAATTTGAACATCGGCGAATTGGAAAGGCAAAAGACCGAACCTCCAAAAGGCCTGAAAACGAAATGCCTAAAGCTCCTTTTTGAATTTCTAAAAAGGTCAAAGACCTTTGATATGTAACATGTAAAGCTAAAAGGTATGCTGGAGCTCTTACTATGGACTATATATGCATATTATGGAACATTCACCATCCATCTTGAGAGGTATATTTGTGGACACATTATACTATAATGATTATAGTACCTTCTTCGGCAAAGATGGCGCACGGTGCATTCTGCTTTTTTGCACTCTGGTGCGAAACTGGAGTCTGCGCCGTGCAGTTTTGGTGCTTTTTTGGTGTCGCACTGGTGCAGCACGCTAAAAGCACTGATTTGACACCTTTGCGCCAAAAAGTCACCAAAATCGCACGGTGCAGACCCCAATTACCCACCAGAGTGCAAAAAAGCAGAATGCACCGTGCGGCATCCGTGCTGAGTCCCGATTCGCCTGCGGAAGTTGTTTAAATCTTAATGGCTCGTGAATGTTGAAATAAATTTTAATTTGGTCACAAAAAACCCCTTCCTCATTTTTTTCAGTGTTTCGAAACTTTTGATGATTAACCAATCATGTTTTCTTTAAGATATCCATTTTTTTAACTGTTCGTTTCGAGTTTTCGTTTTATTATTATCAATTAAAATTTAGCAGTTGATTCATGATTATATAGCCGATTCACGTCTAGCTTGAAACGCAAAAAAGCGTTCATAGGCGAATAGAGAAAGGGTATCGCGATACTCCCTGGGGTTTATCTGAAGTCTAAAGATGATACCACGAGTATAACTCTGAGGGTTCGAGCAAAATGAGATAGACTTGAGGTAGACTCTCGAGGACCTCCGGTATAGCTCAGATAGAGCTAAAAAGTATACGGAAGGTCTCACGAGGGACATATTATGGGATATTCACGGTCCATTTTGAGAGGTGTATTTGTGGACACGTTATGGTACCCTCCCGATTCGCCTGGGTGGCCTATCTGCGTTCTCCATCAACCAGGCACTGTCTCTCTATTATGGTGTCAGGAACCTTTTTCGGTGTCTCAAGCCAATCGTGAATCAGCTATACAAACTCGAGTCTATCTTCTCAGTTTGCTCAATCGTCAAAAAAACGTTTGCCGAATTGTCTCAGAATACATTACCTATTTCTCAGAACGAAATTTCTCGAATTGAATTTCAGAACATTATATTCAAGTTTTGAGTTTTCGAATTTTCTTTCTTTAAAAAAAATGATGGTGGACGACTTTGAAGACTTCAATCCTGATCCGACCGATCATTCCTATGGATTTTCAAAGTAAGTTTTTTAGAGAACACTTTTTTTTCATATTTGCAGCGGACTTATTCAGGAGCCACTGCATAATGGAGTCATTCAGTTCAGTAGAAGGCTCAATTGCCAAGCAAGCTAGTTTTTTTGTTGGTTCACCTCCGGAAAAACTCAAGGTTTTTTTAAATTAACATTTTTTTAAAATTCATATTTTTCGCCGGGGAGGTAAGATTTATTTAGAGCGATGTTTCGACTTTTAATTACAAATTCAAGCCAGAAACTTTTCTCGGAAGACCTCCAAATGAAGCTCCGCAGTCCCAAGGTTTCTATTTTTTTTTGTGAATTCCAAGTTCAAATGATTTTTTTCCAGCGGCTGAAGTTGTTCGTCGTGCAAACTGCTCGCCCGGTTTCCTGAAGAAAGTTCAAAACGAGCAAATTTCAGTAGCAGATCTATTTGATGTTCTGAGCGAAAAAAATCGAAACGGATTTTGTTTGGATCAACAAGATTTTGAGAAATTAAAGTTTACGTTGGAAAAAGAGTCTTTGGAGCCTTGGAACACAGGAACTTTGTTTGCGGGAGCTGGTGTTAATAATAATGTGGAGTGAGTTTTTTTTTCGAAACGGTCAAATTTTTCAAAATCGAGATGAGTTTATAATATAAGTTCAAAATGATAGTTAGGCGCAAACGTGTTCTGTGCCATTCGAGTTTAAGCCAATTTGAGCACAAGAGTCGATTTTATGGTTCGTCTCACATTCTATTTAATGTTTTCTAACCTCGCAGATAAAAGAAAAGAGAGAGAAAACGAGTCAGATACGAGTTGGAAAGAATGAATCTTATATTAAAATATTATAGTCGCGGAATTACAGGGTTAGTTCTCTTTGCCTCATTCGGTTCTGTGATTTATTGGCCAACATTGAACAACAGCTTCTTGTCATTCAAAAAGAACTTATTTCGTATGGGTCCGTTCAAAATATCGTTTTCCTCACTACTTTTATGAGTTTTTAGAAGAAGAATGGACGAAATAAAAGATAGTAAAAAATGGAACGAATTAGGATTTGAGGTGAGTTTTTTTTAATACCTCTTTATAGATTTTTTTTTTTCTGAATATTTTTTTCAAGGATGATCACAATTCGCGAATAATGTCCCAGTTTCTGAAATCGGTGCGGTACTCTGTAAAAAATATTTTCGATGAAGTTTGAAGCTTATATTGTCCGATTTGGAGACTTTTTTGTTCAGATAAGCGTCTTGGAAGATATTTTGAACAAAAAAACGCTCAGAAAACGTCGTTCACGTCTTGCTCTTGTCTTCTCTTGTCTTGCGGGTGTTGCAATCGGATCGTTGACTTACCTTCTTCACAGAAAATTTTGATACGTTTTATTTGTTTACTGATTGATGTGAATATATATTCTACAATTTTTTTCTTTTGGTTACTGTTTTTCGAAAGAGTTGAGTTGTTCTCCGTGTCTTGAAAAAGCAATGATAATTGACCTAATCGTTAGTCGATTACAAACAGCAGGCTTTTGCGTCAGGCGGCTCGGGCCGAGAAAAATTTGAGAAAAATCTTGCGCGGGCTAAAAGTTTATTTTACTTGTTAAATCATAGTTTCTGTTACCTCTAAGCTCAAAAATAAGCGAACACAAGACTTTTGCCGTAAAAAATCTTGGTATTCGACTGGAAGAAAATTTGAGCTCTAGGGGCTGGGCCGGCTATCTTTGCTTAAGGCCGGACTGGGGGCCGACAGGGTGACGGGCCGGCCTTCGCAAGTTTGCTCCAGCGTTAAACTTTTTCAGTTCTTGAAATGTTGTTTTTCGTATGTCGCAGATGTTTCTTTTTTCTTTATTCAGTGAGACTCTAATAAACTAATCTCTCAGATGGGTTATATCAGAAGAGAAGGCTTTTCAAAGGGAGAATCTCGAGGAGGGCGAAATCTTTCTCATCGTGGAAGATTTTCTCAATCAGGAAACTCTGATTTTGAGAGAAATTATGGATACCAAAACACCAACAGTAACTACGAAAAGCGAAATCGTTTTTATTTTTCAGAAGAAAATGGAGAAGGTTTTTTTTTTCTGATAGTTGTTTCAAATTAAAAATAAACTTTTTCAGAGGCCCACTCGTCACACGAGTTTCCGGCGACCAAAAAGTTCAAAGATGACGAACCCGAAGAAGAAGATGAAGAAGCCATGGAAATCGACGAGAGTCTGAAAGAAGTTGAAGTATTTTTGTTTCGAATGATTTTTTTCAGAAGAATCGTCGGATTCCTCTAAAAAAGTGGACTACAAGAGCGCTCATTTGAAAGCTTGGCGACTAATCGTACGCAATCTCCCATGGAAGGTAAAGTTCACTAACCTTTATGAATGGAAAAATTAATTCTCATAAGGATATTTCTTCTCTTTGTGTCCTCGCGTTGTTTGGATGGGATTTTCTGCGGTTTACTTATCCAACTAACTTTTTTTCTTACAGACAAAAAAAGAAGATATGCAAAACGTGTGCTCAAACTTTGGCCCCTTCACGGAAATAGTTTTGCCGCCATCTAAAAAGGTTTTTTGATTATATATTGTTGTATGAAAGACTATCTTTTGCAGGTGGAAGGAACGTGTGCTGGCTTCGGATTTGTTCAGTTCAAAAAGAAAAGTGACGCAGAAAAAGCTCGCGAACATTTCAACTCTAACAAGTTTTTAGTGAGCGGTTTTAATTAAATAGTTTTTTTTTGAAATTTCTTCAAAACGTAAAAAATATCGACACAAAGAGATCCGGGAGGCCGCTGAATAATCTCTCAGATGGGTTATACGCTTCAAAAACTTGTGAAAGGTTTATTACATAAACTAGAAAAAAAAAGTTGAAACGACCAAATAGGAAGTTTGTTAATTACCTTTCTGTAGAATCTTTTCTCAATGCTAGCTGTTTGAGAAACTCTTCAGAGGGCTTCTCTACTGCGTTCGGTTATCACAAAAAAAAATGGATAAATTGTTCAGGGGAGAATGGTTGCTGCCGATTGGGCCTTAGATAAAGATACCTACGAGACAAGTGCACATGAAGAGAAGCAGAAAATGAAAGATTTGGTCAAGAAGGAAAAAGAAGAGGCTGACGTCAAGGCGGCGAAGAAAAACACGAAAAAACCCAAAGTGACTAAAACTCTGGCTGAAGACGACGAAAACAGTGAAATTGATGGGTTCGCTTGATTGATTCATTCTTTGATTTATAGATATATATATCCGCACGTTACAAATTTTGAACGAGTTTTCATGGTTTTAATTATATTTGATGAAGTTTTAAAGCTTATAATATTAGAGGGCTGCGATTTGAAGGAGGCGAAAATCACAAATTCATGTCGTGTTCAAAGTAATATCCGCGAAATGCAAAATTATCTGTAACCATCCAAAATTTAGTTATCTTTTTCTTTCTCTGACGACCATTTTGAATTTTGCGCAATTACTTTAAACACGTCAAAACGTTCGGAGAGAAAAATTTTTTGGGTTTTTTCTCTCGTCTGAAATTAATTTTTAGGTTTTAATTTTTGTTGAGAAACGCTTGAAATTTCCACTACACTCTATTTCTGTTGCTCACTTCTCATCCTTTTTAAATCGCAGTTTTTTTCTATAAATAGGTTTTTTTGCATTTTTCAAAAAAATCTTTCGAAATTTTTCTCATGGCTAAAAACATAGTGAAAAACGTTTTTTTCGCCTCGTTCAGTATCTCAAAAGTCTGCGCTGATTGAGAAACCTAAGCAATGTTTTTTCCAATTACAATTTTTCAAAATATATAAAACTTTTTTTGCAGTATTATTCTAATCTGAAATTTTCTTCAGGGGCGGAGAAGAAGAAGAAGGCGATGAAGACCTGTCAGAAGAAGAAGAGGAGAAGCCAGTGAAAGGCAAAAAAGGAAGACAAGAGAAAAAAATTCAGAACAAAAAAACGGATAAAGCCGTAGAAGAAGGTCGCGTCCTTTTTTTAAGGTAGGGGTAAAAATGAAAAAATTCAGTTTGCATATATCCTTTCTAGCCTTTTTTAGTAAAATAACTTGATTTTGAGGAACTTGTCTTTCGAAACCACCGAGGAGCGCGTTAAGGAAGAGATGGAAAGATTTGGGAAGGTCGAACTCACTGTTATCTGTAAATTCAAAGAAAGTGGCCACTCGAAAGGTCTTTCATCCAAACCAAGTTTTTCCGTAAGGTTCATTTCCAGGAACGGCTTTTGTCTACTTTTCAACAGCCGACGAAGCTGCGGCGTGTGTTTCTTCCGCTGAAAATGGCCTCATTATCGGTTTGAACTCCATTTCCTCCTTTTTTTTTGGACTTTGAGTGGTTCAGACGATCGTCTCATCGGGGTGAACCCAGCGATTCCAAGAGACCAAGCCGCTGAGCTGGAAAAGGAAAAATTGACTAAGGCTTGTTTTTTTTAAATTTATTCAGAAACTTTGTTCTCTTTCAGGTGCCGAAAGACAACAGGAACTTGCGTTTGTTGCGTTTCGGCCTTATTCGAGATGGAACGGCTTCAGCCAAGGGAATGAGCAAGGAGGACGCTGCAAAAAGAGAGCGGCTCGCCGAAGCCGCGAGGAAAAAACTTGAGAACTCCAACATGTACGTCTTCTTTAAAAGGATGAATGTGGCAGAAAATGTACCTATTCCGGAATTTCGCGAGCTTTTTCTTCAATCATTGATTCTTTTCTTTTTTTCGATAATGCGTTGTGAATAACATAATGAATAGTCGTTCATACTATCGATAGAACATTTCTTTTTTTGTAAAGATAATATTTTTCTTAGAGCTGAAAACAATTTCTGGAAATTTTTGAAAAGGCAGTTTTCATGCATCTGAGTTTCCCATCGGGTTAATTCGCTCGTTTTTTTTTTTGATAGATTATTCAAGTCAATCGATTAGTTCAACTTTTTTTAGAGCATTTAAGAGGCGATAGTGATCGGAAGTAATAGTGCTTTCCGAATATATTATGTTCGTTTAAGTTAGAAACTCTTAAAATACCTGACGTCGTAGCTAAAAAATTTCACCTTTCTTGTTATGATCTGCACCTATCGGTATTTTGCAAAAATTATCACTTTTTTTGATCTACATGACTTTACTTTCTATGAAAAAGTTTTATGAAATGAAAAAAAAAACAATGAAATTCGTGCAGGTTCGTGTCTCCGACGCGGCTGTGCATCCACAACATGCCACAGAGGATCGACAACGCCGAATTGTTGAAGCTCGTCAAAGCGGCGGCGTCATCCGACGGCCACGTCACCGAATGTCGTGTCTGGCTCGACAAAAATCGCCTCACCCCGGCTGTCAGTTTATTTCTACCGTTTGATTTTTTTTATCCTTTTTTATTTATACTTTTTTTTCTCACCAACAAGGCTCAATATTTAGCTTAAACAAAGTTGTATTGAAGGGAAAGCCCAAGTCAACTGGATTCGGGTTTATCGCCTTCGCCGAACACAAACACGCGATGGAATGCCTCCAGGCGCTGAACAACAACGCCGAAACGTTCAGCAACGAACGACGGCCGATTGTCGAGTTCTCGATCGAAAATCTGTGCGCACTTCAGGCCAAGGTCAGCTCAGAACGAAAATTAATACCTATTTCCGAAATTTTCTCGGGTTGTTTTAAGTTTTTCTGTCTGACTGTTGACCGCGAATTTTTTTTTTCTGAGTCAACGTTTTTGTGGTTTTTTCTCGCACTTCATTGAGTTGCTTATCAAGCCTTTTTTGAAATATATCGGCGGTTTAGTTAATTACTTTGTTTAAAAAAAACTGATAATAATTTCGATCGACGAATATTTATCTTCAAGGCACGTCGTGCAACAAAATCCAAAGGCGAATCGCTCACCGATCGGCAACTGAACGATAAAATCAAGCAACAGGTAGTTTTCCCATCAACGGAGAAGTCAACAGTGCACAACCTTGACAGGTCAAAAAGTCGATTGGCGAAGTTCATGCGGCCGGAATGAAGTTCCTCCCTAAATTCCTGGGCAAAAAGAATCGACATCGCGACATGACAGGGAAAGCCAAAAAACGGGTGCAGGCACGAGCAAAAGCCGTGAGTTTTCTGCGTCTTTTTCCATGTAATAAAGTAGAAAAGGTTCTTTATAGTTCTTTTAGAAGGCTTTTTTCGAGCTCAAAATTAAGTTCGCATTAAAATTTTTGAGATTGTAAATTTAAGCCGTGTTTAAAGCTAATTTGACGGGCGCAGCCAATTTTTTTTTTGTGTTGTGAAGGATAGAGCCGAAACACTGCGGATTCCTACTCCGTTGGATAGCACTGCTTTTTTGGCGATTCTTCAGCGTTTGTCCCGATCGGTAACGGGGTCCACTCTTCTGAATTTATCACGCCACTTTGCTTTGTCAGCCCCCTGGTCCGGATGAAGGCCTGCAATTTTGAGGTCATTGTGAAGAACATCCGTCCACCGCTTCTTTGGTTTCCCTGTTGGTCGTTTTCCGTCCACAGGCATTTGTTGACTCAGTTTCGCTCTCGATGTGTTTTCGGCACGTAAGGTATGCCCGTACAGCGGAGCCTGCTCTCACTTTCGGCTATGGGGACTGCTCTGGTCGATCTCCATTTGAACCACCACCATTATTGCGTGAGGTGACCTATTTCGTGATGGTTCCATCTTCTGCGGTGTTAGATCCGAGGTACTTGAAACAGCTAGTTCAATGGAGGTCGTCGCCTGCGGTTCTTATTGTGCCGGGTTCCACTTGATCTGTTATGTGGTACTCTGTTTTAGCCAGGTTGCTTCTCATTCCGAACTTTGTGGGTTCATCGTGCTATGTGCCCAGTGGTGTTCGTAAGTCTGCTTTAGATTTTGATGCGAGTAGAACGCGCGTAAAGAATTTTCCTTGGTGGCGTGATCTGGAACTTTCTTGTTAGGTTGTTCATCACCGTTATGAATACATGTGTGGAGAGTGCCGATCCTCGATGTCTCCCTACAGTTTATTCAAACTTCTTCGAGGTTCCTGTGGCTGCCTGAACTTTACTCTTTGCGTTGTTGTATAGGACTTTGCTTTTTTGGCAACTGTCCGATATAATTCTCCTTTCGAATTTATTTTTTTCTGTCAGATGAGCGTGACCGACCAATAATGCTGTGGGAATCTACCGTGTCCTGCGATTCGGCGTGTGCTTTCGAACAAGAAAAAATTGTTTGCCTCACGGATCCAATTAGCTTTGATCGCGAATATAAGAACTTTTTAATTTTTTCTTCTAACGCTGAACAAAAAATCTTAAGGAATTGTTTATTAGGATCGTAATACTTTTCAGACGTGAAAATTCCAAACGAGCAAATATCGATCTTTGCTGTCCTGAAAAAGGAGAGATTGTAAACAAACCAAAGTGTAGCTTTTAGCTGCCTTTTCACCTTTTGTCATCAAAATTTTCATTTTCGAATTTAATAGGACGTTTATCTCAGTTCAGTTTCCGTATAAATTATGTGTGATCATGAAAATTGACGTGTCTCTTTCAGAAGGCGCTCAAATTCAACAAAGAGGCGTCCAAGCAAATGGACGGATCGAAGAAGAAAAAGACGAAAAAAGATGTTGCGAAATATCTTTCTTTGTCAACCTAATATTTTTTCTTCTGCTTTTTTCCTGTTATTTTCTCATTATCGTTGTTTTTTCCCGTTTACGCCGCGTTCAAAATGTTGTGTAGTGGAGCGAATTCGGAAAGTGAGCGCTTTAGGAGTTATGTAAAATCCTCGCCCATTCAACATTTTGGACGTCGCGCGCGATTTTGTTGTTTGCAATTGGTTTTTGATCACTTCGCCTCTCTTGTTATTTGTTAGTTGTTATCGCCTCCAGTTCTGCATATTTGTTCAAAATCGATAAAATTTATATTCTAAAAGTTTTTTTTTTCAAAAAGATGCAATTGCGCATTTTTTAGTTTTTGTGCAGTAATGCTGTGTGTCCTTTTTTTTGTTGTTTACGACTGGTTGATCTTTGAGTTCTCGCGGAGTCGCTTGTTTACCGCCTCACTTCTCCTGTTGTAAGAACTCCGTCGAAGTTTCGCTGTTCTTTTTGTAACTTCCTAAAGATGCTTGCAGCTCGTCGATTCATCCACAAGACCATTTCCGCAATGACTGCCGCTTCTGTTTACGATTTCAAGATGAAAGACGCCGATGGCAAGGAGGTCGGGCTCGACAAGTACAAGTTCGTTTCAAATTTCCGTTTCTCCCTGAGTTGATTGATATCTTGTGTGAGGGATTTCCGCTTAAGAGAGATCTTTTCTAAACTTGAATTCGGTTTCTAGAGGCAAAGTGCTGATTATCGTTAATGTTGCTTCACAGTGCGGACTCACGAACTCCAACTACACACAATTCAAAGAACTTCTGGACAAGTTTAATATTCTTTTGTTTTTTGTAAACTCTACCTTTAGGTATAAATCGGAGGGTCTGGAGATCGCCGCTTTCCCATGCAATCAATTCGGAAACCAGGTTTGATTTCACATGTTTTCAGAAAATTCTTACGTGAATTGCATTTTATTCCATGGTTTACGGTCGGAAAAATCACTAAAAAGGCGGAGAACAAATTGAAAAGAATAAAAATAAAGAAAATATTCTGTCTATTTTTCAATTATTCCATGAAAACGGAAAAAGGAGATTCAATTTCGCTATGAGAGATGAACACACATTTAGATTCAATTTGAGGATATCTGTTCAAAAACGTAAAAAAGTACACTTTTTCTCAATGTTGATTCCAGGAACCATCATGTGAGATTGACATCAAATCGTTCGTCAACGACAAATTCAAGTTCGAGCCGGACCTTTTTTCGAAGATCGACGTGAACGGCGACAAGGCTGATCCACTGTACAAGTTTCTCAAAAGCCAGAAGGTTTTCAGTCTCTTCAATACGTGTTTACTTTTGTCTTCTTTCAGGGAGGCACTCTTATCGACGCCATCAAGTGGAACTTCACCAAGTTCCTCGTCGACCGTGATGGAAACGTAATCAAACGGTTTTTCCCTCATATTTTCGATTATATTGTTTTGCGGAGTTTTTTCCATTACTAGTATACAGTTTTGAACTGGTCACTTCCGAAATTTCAGCTTCGGCCCGACTACCGAGCCCAAAGACATGCTGAAAGACATTGAAGCGGCTCTGAAATCACCTGCCAAAATGTAAATACCCCAATTATTTTATTCTCTCATTCGTTGTGATCCAACTCCTTTTTCTAAATGTATATACGAGCTCTGGAATAAATAAAGCATTAGTTTCGAAAAAAAAATTTTGAGTCACAAATGTCCGTTGATACGCAAGGGTTGGCTTATTTTGATGAATAAAAATCACAAATTTTTTTCCAGGGTACCAGGTGTATGGAACGTTTTTTTAGGGAATGACTCCAGATTTTGAGGAGAAAGTTCAAGAGTTCTTTGAGAAAATTGGAGATTTTGATGAGCTCCCGCACAGTTTTGATGACACTCTAATCGAGAGGCTCAAAATTTGCTTTGATAGAAACAAGCTCCGGCGAAGGTTCGCGCATTTTTCACAAATAAATATTTAAATTTGTCTTGTTTCGATAAACGACGGGAAGCATGTTACTCAAAAAGGAACATAATTTCTTTTGCGGTTGGAAATTTTCTACTTGACTCGGATGCGTAAAATGAATATACTTGAAAAATTTTTCTAGAATAGTAAGTTTTAGTTTTTCAGATTTTGCAGATCTTTATTTCAAGTTAAAGAATATTCTGGCAAGCTTTTCCCCATCGCAAAGTAAAAAAAAAACTTTTTAACATTTGATTCGACCAAATGTGTCGATGAGACCTAGCTGGCATTGAAAGCGTTTTCAAAATCTCAGATGTCAGAATGGAGTCAGTGATAGAACAAGAGATGAGGAAACTGAACTCCGGGTCGAACTGCATGCCTCTGAGGTTCTGGCTGGAGCTGGTCAACTGCATGCTCGCAAAAAAGGTTGACTTCATGCGGTTGTGAAGGAAGACATCTTGTTCTAGTGTATTTCGAACCCGAGGAAAGTCAGCGAATTCGTCGTCGACTCGCTGCAGGAGCTTCTCTCGCAAGGACGACCGCCCATCGTACTCGGAAACCTCGTCGAGCTTCTCAGTCACGTCCTTCCTGAGCGCGAAATCTCCGACTGGGCGGGTGCGTCGTTCTCGAATATAATTAATGTTAGACGTCTGAAAGACTCTTTATTCCAAAGATTATAGTCTTTTCAGGTTTTGAATGTCAAGCCATCGCTGAAACTCCGCCCCTTATGCGTAGGTCAAACCAATCAGAGAGGGAGCCATCCACAGAGCGTTGTTGGGGACGAATTTTGCTGCTTGACATTCAAAATCTGAACACACTATAGCTGATTTTTGTCTATTAATATGATTTTTGATAGTTTACACGGAACCAAGGCCAAACTACTTATTGAATGTAGATAAAAAATGCTATCGAAACTCCGTTTCTTTTGTTAAGAGGTCACCGACTGGGCGGTGGAAACTTTGAACACGCCGTCCTCCAGCCTCTTTCTGCTGAAAGGCGTCGTGAATTATTTGAAAAAGATGGCCGCCAACGGGGATTCTTCTCACGTTTCCCGAGTCGTCGACATTTGCTGTCAAAGGGCACGTCGAATATTTCAATGTAGTCCATCGAGTGAACTTCAGATGACCCAAGTGACTCCTCCGCCTATGGCTTATGTTAATTTGCTGACGGAATTCCTCAAAGACTACGCCGTCGGCGGTTTTTTCAACTTGGAAACGAGCCAAAAAGTCGTGAACTCGATTCAGCGTTACAAAAGAAAAATAAACGACAGCATGCTTGAAATCCTCGTCGAAACTATAAGGTATAAATAATGCCAGAATCGAAAAAATCGGTAATGTATGTGCCCTCCTTCCCCTCACCTGCTCTTTGCATTGCTTTCTGATCGCGTCGGTGAGGGAAAAGAGATCGCAGACAGGTCAGACTGTTTGAGGTCGTGGCGAATGTGTTATGCCACGTCCGGACGCGTCCTAGGGATTCTGAGGCCTCCAGACTATTACACATCAAAAAATTGAATTTTCCCTACAGAAAGTATCCAGCTATCGAGTTGAACTTTTGGCCGGAAAACTGGGAAAACGAGTCAAATCGCATCGAAAGTTTTGTTTTATTTTTTGCCAGGTTTGTCTTCGAGGACTTTTTTTTAAAAATAAAACCTGTTTAAATTTTATTTCTCGATTTCCAGCGACCTTTTGAGCGACCAAGAAGCTCCATACGTTGCAGAAGTCGTTTCTTCCAAGTTTATGACTGCATTATTCTTCAGTTCCCTAATTTCCAAACTCGATGAGAAGGTGAGTGATATAGATTTTTTAGAAATTGAATAAAACAAACATTTTCTTGTTAGTCATAGTCTCTTACTGGGAAGCTTATTTCATATTCTACTTTTTTAATATTTTTTCTGCATTCTTCAAATTAAAAGCACAATGCCAATCTAATATTTCTGAACGAATCAAATAAACTGAAAAGCAAGGAAAAAATAAATAGATTTTAGGCTTTGGAAAAATATCTGGATGTGATTCTGAACAATACGCCGTCCATAAAGGAGTCGGACTACGGATACGAGTTATTAGTGAGGTAATTGAATATCAAAGAAGAGAGGATTTCGATTTTTTCAGTGAGCTTGACAAACGATCTTTGCCGTTTGCCGCGCATTTCTTGCGAAAATCGCCTCGAAAATTATGGGTAACTCAGTTACCCAACAAATTCAATTAAAGGAAAATCTTATAGAAAAACAAGAACATTTTGAAAAATTTGAAAACGCGTCACGGCGAGGAAGTTCTTGAGCAGTTTGATATGAACGACTTGAAGCTCAAAATAGCCGACTTCGTCTCTAAATGCTACTTTATTTGCTGGAATGACATTCTTATGATTACTTTCAGGTTTGGAAAGTTCGGAGTGGGAAGAAAAAGACACGGGATTAGAAATCGGCAGTATTTTTTCCTGTTTCTTGCCTTCTCGTGGTGATATTTATTCTCACTTTTTCGAGAATTTTTGAATCTGTACAGAAACTCTTCTCGAGTTTGTCAAGGACAATCAATCGCCGTACGTACAGCAAACGGCCATGAAAACCTTAAGAGATCACTTTGGCGGGGTTCCAATTGAGGCGGCAAAAGAGATACTTTTGACGAGCTCCGAGCCAACGGCAAGGTATTTCGTGAGCTACGAATCTGTTTCAGCGCAAATAAACGAAAAAAAGCAAAATTTCGGAATTTAGTTTTTGAAAACTTCACCTGCCCCTTTTTTTCAAAGCTATCGCTTTTTTTCGCACAAATTTTCTCCTGCCTACTTCGGCATATTTCACATGACGATCTTAAGAGAGGAAGCTATGAAATCTCTTGCTGAGTGTGACGCTCTGGAAGAAGATGACGTGATCGAAATTTTGAGCACATGCCTGGAAGAGGACAACCATTTTCTCAAGTTCAAGGCCGTTGAGGTCGCAGAAAGACTTCTGAACGGAAAGTTCCGCAATTCGGAACATCTCAAAGCACTGCTTCTGGAAAAAACAAATGTCTGTTATTCTTTCAAATCTTTTATTTATGGGGAAACGCTCAAAGATTACAGGACGCTGAGGTAGGCAACGTCGTCCGTGGGATCCTCGGAATGTCGTCACTTGAAGTCGTTCAGATGGAGACGCCTCTGCAGATCATCACCCAAATGGTCGACTCCCTTACATTGAGACGTCCAGCCGACGATACAATGGACTGCTACTGATTCTCTTCCGTCTTTTCCTCACTCGCTGCTTTTCTTGATCTCAAATTCTCTGAGTTCTCTCAATCGCTTGATCGCTTACTTTGAACGGCGTATGCTTTGTCGCAACTGGAATATAATAAGTTTCAATTTGAAAATTATATTCAACCTTCATGAATCTGTCCTTGTAACGTCCAATAATGTTCTTGTTTTTCTCTTGATCCATTTTCCTGAAATTTTTTCAACTTTTCTCTCCAGACTTCGAAACTGTCAAATTTTTTTTATAAGAAGGACTCACAAACTTTTGGGTTCCAGAACTGGTTTTGTCAGTCGCTTTCAGGCTTCCTGTACGTTTATTCAAGTCAAGATCTTCCGCCTGAACGTTGATACACAAATAAATAAAATTATTACAAATAAACTTCAATTTTCTCGACATTACTGGTAACTGATCCATTTGTGAAGAATCTGTGAAGTTGAGAGAAGCTTGGCCGCTCATGCGGTTCATTTTTCTGATGAAAGAGTTGAGAAACATTTAGGAAACTTCCAAACCAAGCAACTTTTGACAACTTCAACTGATCCTAACGGTAGAAACTTCAAGTCATCAGAAGAGGGCAACGAGAAGGTCGGTGAGAGGCTTTCCAACTTCTGCAGCCTGTTTTATTCAGGCTATAGACTTTTTCTTTCTAATTGTTTGCCGAACTCGAGTTTGATAAAACCTTACTTACTTACTTAGATACTTAGATGGTCCATTTTCGCTTTTGACATTTTATTGCCTTTTATTAATCGAAGCGTGGACCACACGTTTTCCAGGAGGTTTTATGCAATCGGTCATCCAGTGTTGTCGTCCTGGTTGACTGGTATTCTTGCGAAAAAGTTCCATCCGTGGTGTTAAACGTGTTATAGCATAATTGTGGTCTTATTATCCTTTTTGCCTTGCCAGGGTTAAAAAAGACCGCCCATTCTGTTAGCAGAAGCAAGCCGAACTGCGTGACCGGTGTACCTTTAGCCGCCATAAATGGCGTTGCCTCCCTATCACCGCGTAGAGGTGGTACTTGATAAAACCGGGTATAATAAAAAGACCCACATGGAAAAAGCTATTTGTTTATGTTCTGAGATGCTCTAGAATACGCTGATCACAGCAAAGTTTTTTAAAATTTCTTCTTTGCGCTTTCAATTTGCAAAACTGTAACCTAACGCTCTTTGCGCTGTCCAACTCGTCGACTACGAAACTGAAGTTTCATCAAATTCTCGGTCGATTCTTTTTGCTCTTGCGTCCTAATTTTTTTATATTCAAAAAATTTACTTTTGTTAGGTATCTCATTTTTAGAATTAACAGAGAAAAACCGTTTTTTTTTGTGAAGAAAATCCTCGATAAAAATAATCAACGACCTGGCAGACTTTGTCGATCTCCATGACCATGCAGCCGTACGCGTAGACATCTGATTTCTCCGAACATTTCTTCTCATTTTTCACCTCAGGAGCCATGAAACTTTCGGTCCCAGAGATTTCTTTCCTTGAATTGAATATTTAACTGACTAGTGAGTTTTATTTCAGGGAACTCATTGTTCTACTAACCGTGTTTCACCTGCTCTAGAAGCAGGAAAAGCAGTGCCAAAGTCACAAATTTTCAGCGTCAAAAAGGCGAGAGAGCATTTCTGGCATAAAGGACAGACTGGCTCAGTCCAGAGTGAAAAATCATCAGGGCAATCTTCGGTATGCGAATCCAACGACAAAAAACAGAAGCAGACTTCTTCTTTTACCAAGACTGAAACTCTGAGATTGATAGAAAAAGAGTTGATTTAAAAGTTTTGCAAGAAAGTGAAATCTCGGTTTTAAATAAATCTTGTGTTATGCCAACATATTCCAAACTAAAGAACTGTTATTTTTCTGTCGACGAAGGAGTAGCTTCTTGTTTCGTTTTCACCTAGGCCAACAAAAACCAATTCTCTTTTCAGTTAGAAAATTGGAAAAAAGTGAAAAACAAACCGTTATCCGCTTTGAGATCGCCGTGGACGTGCGTATGTGAGATGAATTCCATGGCGGCCGTGACCTGCCGACACCAGGAGTAAGCGACCCTCAGTGGAACCACGGCTGACTCCTCGAGGAGAAGAAGTTTGCGCGTGATTTGGCCCAGAGAGGAACCTGCCGAAATCGCCGACATGACTACATTATTGGAATTACCTACCCAGACAAATTTCCATCACTATACCTGGGTGAACGCGGTCGTAGCAGATCCCGTGGAATTTCACGACGTTTCTATGTTCCAAGGCAGCCATAATTGAAGCTTCGCGTTGAAGTTCTACCAATGGTTTGAATGATACAAAAATGTTTCGTGGTAAACCTTGCAGAACTTCATGAAACTTTGAAATTTCGCAGTTGTGTGCTCGAGGAACTTTCATAGCAACGTGCTGTATTTTGTTCGTAAAATCCTTTCTAATATCAAACCAGATTGTCGTAAACGGCGCCGTAGATATCAGAGAAGCCTCCCCTGCCGATGGAACTTTCGATGTCCAGAGAACCGCCGAAGAGCTCCAGCTCGTCCGCATACAGCTGCATTAGAAAGCTACAGGGATGACCCTTACTGAATTCAAGAATGAGAGATGAAAAAATATTGGAAAAATTACGCCGATAGGCGTAAAATTCTGGAACTCACTGAATACAACAACGTTCTCAATAGAGAAAGGGACAGTGATAAGGAATATTGATCGATTTTTTGTTCGAGTCAAAAAGAGCGCCCACGTACTTACAGAACAATTACTTGAAGATCAAGCTTCAAAGCTTAATAAAAATTACTGAAATTTTTTCCAGACCTTTCTAAAAACACATAAAAGGAAAATTTTCCTTCGAGCCGACCTATGACGCTTCTAAGAATTCATTTCACTACACGGCTTTGCACGGTAGAATTTCTGTCGACTTCCAGTCATCTCTTCGGTCAGAAACCTTTTATATTCATGTTCTCTTCCCTTGTAAGCGTTCAGGAATCTGCTCTTTTTCAATCAATCCACTTAAAACCCACGTAAAATTTTTCAGTTAACTTTTTTTATATTGAGATTATTGAGCTGCCTTTTCTATTGAAAGTGATCCATTAAGATATTTTTTTAGTCAATGACGCGAAGTTCATTTTTTTTCAAAAATATAAGTCTTAATTTGGATCCAATCGATATATGTATGGTTATTAAAAGGCTGATTATGTTAAAACTGCTGCAATATTTTGTAGAAAGTAGTACGTTGTTGAAGGGCAATTATGTTCAAAAAATTTTCAACAAAAAAGTTCATTAAAATCAATTCATAGCACAAGTATTTGTTTAAAAAACGGCGGAACCTTTTTGACGTATCGCGAAAAAAACTACAAAAAAAAATTAGATTGCGAGTATTCAAACAGAAGAACCGCCTTTTTTAAACGTCGTTCATGGAACATTATCACGACGAAAAGGACTCGTAAGGTTGACTCAATAAGTGGGGCACGGAAATAGGAATTGCAAAAAGTTATTCGACTTTAGAGCTGGGCTTCGGTCGACGCACAAGGTATGCCTTGTTGAAGAAATTGGAGAATAGAACCAGGAACGACGTGTAAATGGCGAAGCAAATCGCCAAGTTGTCGTAAGACTGCTGGCACAGCTGAAAGTTCGAAACTCAGGAGGATCTCTACCTATTTTATACGCGAATTTTTTTTATATCATTTCATAGTTTCGTCTTGAAATGGGAACACGGGTTTAACAGTGGAGGAGATGAAAATAAAATATTATGCTTTGACTGCGATTCCCAATTGAAAGCAGGAAGGAGAGCAATAAAATTACCTGTCCGTTGAGCTTCAAGTAAAGGACGATGACCGAAATGGCAACTCCTATCAACATCTGCGTCGTTTGCAAAGCTGTCACCGTCCTGAAAAGATCAATGTGAGGCTAGTTTGAGAAAGGAAAAGCATGAGATTTGAATCAGAAATGAAAATTAGTAGAAATCTGACGAATTTATCAATTGTTTTAGCGAAAACAGGGGCCAATAGTATCTGTTTTCAAATGGGTAAACGGTAATAATCTAATATTTTCGGAGCTTTCCAACCGAGAACACATCTCAATGGTGCTCAGAAAAAATTTATATGAAACGCGATATCGGACTCACATAGATATAAGCTTGGGAAGTCTGTAGCCGATGCTGGTGACCGCGTAGTAAGTGTACATGATCGAATGCACCAGATAGTTCATGAAAATGAACCAGCGACCGGCCGCCGTCAATTCTACTGCTGAAAAGAAGGAAAACGTTAGAATTCCTGATTCGTTTTCAAATTTTTTGGTCGTAATTGCTTTTCAGTCGTTTCCTGAAATACTTCATTCTATTTCCGTTTGGAAGCCAAGACCACAAGGGCATTTCGGTGAGCGCTATGACAACCGGCAAAGTTTCCATGGTACGTATTTTTCTGCTATTTTGGGACTCTTTGTGACATCAACGCGAAGCCACTAGTGAAAGAAGGCTTCCAATTCTCTTCCTTGATGAATCTCAGCTGAATGAGATTCGAAGAAGACGTTCTGGCTGTAATTCGCCCGAAACGATGTTCCTAGCGCTGTATATCTCAGCGGGAATTGCATTTAAATGAAGAAAAAAACTATAATTTCGTTCCGTGAATCAGATGAATGGTTTCAACAAGAAGTCCTTTCTGTTGGCTAAGCGTTCAAAATTATTTCGTACTAACCTGGTAAGTAGAAATAAAGCTGATATTACGGAAAAAGAAAAAGAGATAACGTGTTGTTTTTCTGAATTTTGAACTGCTAACCAGTTAGTTTGGAGTATGTGAAGAAACCATTCACATATTTCAGTCACCATCCTGACAGTGTCAACAAAGGGCACATTTTCGTATTTCAGTACAAAACATAAATTTTGACGGGATGATGTGGATTCATACAGCAAACACAAAAAAAGTTGGCCACTGAATGCATGCAAAAATATCATTCCGATACTCGAAATACGTTCGGAAGCTATACTCAAGCTTCACAACAATACAACTTTTATTCTTGAGCTTGAGGATAACTTCAAACATTTATCTGTTATAAATATGCTCGAAGTCTAATCAGTGTGAACTTGTAATTTAAAAGTGCAGCTTCGTACCGAAACGATTTCTTTGACTAAACTTTAAAAAAAAAGTTAATATAATTTGCGAAAATAATTTAGAATCTGAAGTTTTGAGAGTTTTGTAAGTTTCGACGAAAACTTTTGAAGATCTTTTTTAATTGATAAATGTTCTACTTCCTACAATTCGTTGTTTTGAACTTTGTAGACCAAGGTGAATTCTTTACTGACAAGGGAAGTGTTTTTGGTGGCCGGTTGAACTTTTGTTGGAACTTTGCTGAAAGGTACTATAAGACCTCCTCTTTCCAGAACACAAATAAAATTTCTCGCAATAGATCTCATTTTTGAGTTATGGAGCTTCAAAGTTTGCACTCTGAATAAGTGCTGCAAGGCAAGAGGGAATCTGGCTCGCGTACGATCCCTCCACTCCAGTTGGCAGCGTAGTGTAGTGGCTAGCGTCCCTGCACTGCGGTGTCTATGACCGGGGTTCGAAACTTTTTGAAGAAATTCGTTTTTGCCAAAACTTTCCTAGGAGGAATCTATCGACATTGTTAAAATCGATCAAAATTTTTTCTCCGAATTAACATATTTTTTCATTTTGATTCGGTATACCAATTGAAAAGCTTTCTTCCGCTTATAAACATGGTTAATAGTCTTTTTTTTTTTGGCCTCAAAAGTTCAACATGCCTATTAATCAGCGTTTCAGTCCAGTTGATAATTTTAAAGGAATTAAATGAAAGCTTACGCCACAGCAAGATGAGTAAGTCTCCTCTAGATTTAAAAAAAAATACAGAAAGTGATCTATTGATCATGCCCATGGGCTGAAGGAAAATGTTCGTCGAAAGTCTTGGTAAATCGAATGAAATGAGAATCTATGTTATTTTGGAAAGAAAGTTTTGGTCTATTTCCTCAATGACGATAAACTCCTCCTACGAAAGTTTTGGCAAAAACGAATTTCTTCAAAAAGTTTCGAACCACGGTCATGGACACCCCAGTGCGAGGACGCTAGCCACTACACCACGCTGCCAACTGGAGTAGAGGGATCGTACGCGAGCCAGATTCCCTCTTGCCTTGCAGCACTCATTCAGCGGGCGAACTTTGAAGCTTCATAACTCGAAAACGAGATCTATTGCGAAAAATTTTATTTGTGTTCTGGAAAGAGGAGGTCTTATAGTACCTTTCAGCAAAGTTTCAACAAAAGTTCAACCGGCCACCAAAAACACTTCCCTTGTGAAACATCTAGCTGAATTGCACTACAGCCAACCGGAATTTCTTCCTAGCGTGTTTTCGACGAGGCCGTCCTACAGCTAAGGCATAGCCAATCGAATAATGGAAAAATTCAGAATCGCTCCGATTTAGCACGTTTCAAGTTAGATTAAACAACATTCCTTTTTAAGAAAGAAAACCTCAAACTAAATTTAGAGCACCCTCTCAAGGTCAAAAAGACCAAAGAGAGTCTAGGAAACGATTGATAACGCTCAAGTCTTGATCCTTTGATAGAACAACAAGTTTTCAACCCGGCCGCTTTGGAGACTTTTGACTGGGGCTAGCCCGTAAGAGGGCCATTTCTATTTTTTTGATAATTTCATAGACTCATATATGAAATCTTTCTACCGTCGCTCTTTTTCGTCAAGATAATAGAAAAGTGAGTGCGAACCGGAGTGCCAGCTAAGAACGAGGACAACGGCGTGATGATACCAGTGGAGAAAAATGACGGGTCTCTTGCGAAGGACGAGGAACATTGTGTCTCCGAACTCGGCGATTTTCGAAAAAGCGAACATGCAGGCCCAGAAGGCCGCCGGTTGGTAGGGATCCACCGAGAAACAGATCGAATCCGGCCAAGGCCTCAAAACATTATCTCTTCCATCGCAGCAAAAAAAGAACGAGCAAAGAAACACACTCCAAAGTTTTACATCTCAGTTTTTGATTGTTACTTTTTTTCCAAGAAAGCTCACGACGGAAACCGGCGAGAACGCGAAAAATGGAACAAAGATTCTTACCTATTGAAAATCAGATGAAAGAATTCAGTTCCGAATCGCCAGGTTCCCAGGATGCTGAAAACTGCCAGCGATCCATTCCACAAGATGAGAAGGGGCCGGATACTGAACAAAACTTTGTAAATGAGCAAAATAATTCTAGCAAACAAACACCTAAACATGAGAGGGCTATGAAAACATTTTTAATTTTCTTTTTAAATTTTTTTTTTCAAAAAATACATCATTTCCATCAGAGATATTATTGGGAATCACCAATAGTTATCTGCTCAACTGATATATTTAATCACGATTGGAAGCTTAATGTGTTTCTGAGTGTTTGGAAGAAGGTCCAAAATAAAAAAAGCTTAATTTAAAATATATTGGTTTGATTATATCCGTTCTCGGCGAATTTAATGCCGTGTTCAATTTGATTCCGCGAAATGCAAAGTGATCTTTGACTCTCCAAAATTTAGTGATTTTTTCCTTTCTCTAACGCGTATTTTGAATTTCGCGGAATCAAATTGAACACGGCATAAACTTTCTGTCTGTCTGCGTCTTTATGTTCTCTCAGCGGCGGTGTCAGAGAAAAATGAAAACAGCACGTAAACGTGAGACGGTCGCCGAGAGAAGAGGAGAGCGCAGAAGAATTTTGCAGTTTCAAGGAGCGAAAAACGGAATATATATTTGTTTAGAAAAAAGTGTTTCTTTCGTTTTCAAAGCCACCATAACAAGATTCAGTCTTTGCTTTTAGAAATAGTTTAAGCTGAAGAGATTTTTGAGTGAGTGAAGGGCGTTCTTCGAAAAAGGCTGACTTCAAAGGCTTGCGGTTTTCCATAAACCGCTGGAGTACGTTGGTCACGATGACGTAGGCGATGGCCAGGTACACGGATTTGAACCAATGACGCGAAAAGAAAGTGTGCATGGTGATGTCATCGAGCTGGCCTTCGAAAAAGTAGATGTTCTCGTACTTATAAGGCGCGTAGAGGATCGTCTCTCCGTTGCCTTTCCAAACCTCGTACCTCGGCTCCATTCTACAAAACCTCCATCACCAAGAGTTTGCAGGGAAGCCGTGATCATATGATTTTGCGGAAATTAAGAATACAAGGTAAGAAAAAAAATTCTTTCTGTAATTCCTAGGACTAGATCGACTTTAAAAGTTCATATTATGGGGTTCTAGGCGCGTCTGAAATCACTGAGAGCGCAGAATCTTTTTCCAAAAACCATGATTGGGAGAGAAAAAAAAACGGAAATGGGGACAACGTTCCTAAAATTTAGTAGAGGCTTCCAATATAGTTATAAACGTTTTCGTTTTACAATAAATATGTAGTATTCACATCGAGTTTTTTTCTTTCTCAAGAATAATTTCGATCGAATTTAAATAAATAAAAAGAATGAGCCATAGTGATCTCACTGTAGTTTTTGTCGTGGTCGCAATAGGAGTCGCCAAGTCGGATTGGAATGAACTGCCAATCTTTGCAATAATCATTTCACGGAAACGTGAATTAATTATTTTCCCGACATGTGAGTTTAAATAATTTGTAAGGAATGTCAGAAGAGGTTTTGAAAATGGAAATTTGAAGTTTTTTTTTAACTGAAAAAGAAATTTCTACCTATCAGAACTCTGAGCCAGATCTCATGCCAAGAAAACATAAACGATTTTTTTCCAAACGGGGTTCCAAATTTAAAGGGTGCGATTACCGCTGGGAAAATCTCCTTCTCTTCTGAAAATATGAAGTCAGAAAAAATTTCGGACTTTTTTGTCGAAAGATTGAAAGAAAACTTCTAAGAAAAGTTTCGAGTCACAAGGCGAAAACCAGAAGCTTGAAAAGGACAGAAGGAAAAGCTGGAAAAGGAGGCGATTCCCCCGAGGTCCGTCCTCCAGGCCCCGCCCCGCCTGTGTTTCTCTGGTGTCCTCCTCACCGTCCGTTCTCACCCAATATGTGCTTTCGAATCGATAACGTATCAAGGCACAGTATTTGAGAACTCGCGGCCCACCTGTATTTGCCAAACGTTCGAGCTCCGAAACATGCTCGACAATGCGAGTTTTAGAACCGGAGAAACCATTGCCGCCAACTTCACACAATCGACCAGCTTCCTCCACTCTGAAAGAATCTCAACGCTTTAAACGGAGTCCGATGGAAGGACTAGAAATATCCCCTCATTATTTCTAAAATCAAAGCCGTAAAGAGTTTTCACGACTTCTCGTTTCTAAAAGTGAATCAGTAGATACCTAAGATACCTGTCACACCAGTTCAACCCTACAGGATCCGTCCGGTTTGCACTACGCCGTCTCCGCTGGCCATGATAGACCATTTTTCGATCATCTTTTTCTGTTTATTAAAATGAACAAGGCTATTTCCGACAATAATATCTAGGAATTACAGAAAAAAAATTTTTTTACTCACTAAAAAAACGCATTCCCCAAATTAAGCCATTTTTTAAGGCTTGCTAGCGTTTGCAAAAACTTTTTTGTTAAAACAATTTATATCATTGAATGTTCTAAATGTGTTTTACTTCAAATTAGTTCCTTTTTTGTACAAAAAACTCGTTATTAACGAAAATATCGCCCAAAAACCGCGATTGGTGAATGCACATTTTAAACCTACAGTGTGCCAAACCGGATGGGCTGAACAGATGAGCTGTTTTTACATTTATTGTTAACGAGAAAGTCCAGAGAGAAAATGTAAAATTTTATTACAACAGCTGAGATCTCTCGAGAGATTTTCGGCCTTTTTTAATAAATTTAAATCTTCACTCATTGACTTATAAAAAACTTTTCGAACAACGATAATTTAACTAAAATGATTAAATAAGCAGAATATAGAAAATTCAGATCAAAAAGCCTCTATCAATTTCCAACCAATTTGACATATAAAGTTCAAAAAGAACAACTGTAAAAGACTTGAGCTTCTAGAAGAACAACTGTCAAAGACTTGAGCTTCTTCGAACCAAACTTATGAAAAACCTTCAACAAAAAATTTTCACGAAAAAAGAAACAAAAATTTTCGCGTTTACTGTTCGGAACAGGTTGGCAACAAAAAAAACAAAAAGATCACAAAGAAATTTCAATTTCCAAGCTTTCATCCTTTACACTAAGAATAACTGACGAGATAAACGCGAGGTCGGTGCGGTACATTGACGAACTCGCAAACATCTCGCTTTTTTCGAGGCGCGATCTCGCATTTCTCTCGGCGCGACCTCGCATTTTTCTCGGCGCTATCTCGCATTTATCTTGCATTTCGGAATGTTTCAAATTGCGAGAGAAATGCGAGCTCGCGCCCAGACAAATGCGAAACCGGCGCGAGAAAAAAAGCGAGATGTTTGCGAGCTCGTCAATGTACCGCCAGTGTCTCGCGTTTATCTCGGCAGTTATTCTTAGTGTTAGTGTAAAAAATTGAAAAATTCTAAATAATGAAATTTCAAACGGACCTATAATATACTTATCATCATTTCAGACTTTTAAGTTTTTGAATTTAAATTTCGCCCAATCACATGAACACAGAAACCCCAAAAAAATATAACCGGCTCAGATTTTGAATTTCAAGCCATCGCTCAAACACCCCTTATGCGTATGTCAAACCAATCAGAGAGCGAGCTATCCACAGGGATTTGTTGAGGGCGGAGCTTGCTGCGTTTCTAGACAGGTCGAGCGACCCCTCGAGGGGTCTCAGAAAGTCTATATTCGGCGTCGGTCTCGACGTCGAGGCAGCAGCGTAATATAAAATGTTTTGTCTGCAGTAAACGTGATGCATCAAACACGACGCGCAGAAAAACTGTAATTTTATTAATTATTAATAATTTTTTTAATATCTCTCCCTTATTTATATATATATTTTTAATGCTTCTTCAATTTAATTTGCCTCGTTTTCATAAATTTCACAACATAGATGTCAATTCCATAGGGGTTGCTAAATCTAAAATTATCTCTGGCTCTCCACAATTTTCCTTATATATTTTTTTCTTTGGCGGAAAAAAAAATTTATTTTTGATTATCCGAAGTTTAGTTATCTATTTTACTCTCGGACGGTTATTTTAAAATTTGCGCAATTTCTGCGAACCCGACGCCCTGTGGTGTTCATCGGAGCAGCAGAACATTTCAAACGCAAAAGAGTGTCGGTGTTTCAAATTTTCTTCGAAACAAAACTAATTAATTTTTTGTGCAATTTTTTTTGCGCTTAGGAGCAAATTGTGTTCGATGCAATGCTCGTTATAGTCTGTTCAGATTTCGAATGTTCAGAATGTCAAGTCGTCGCTCAAGCTCCGCCCCTAATGGTGCGAAAAAGCAATCGGAGAGTGAGCCATCCACAGAGTGTTTTCGAATGACGTCATTGCACTTGACATTCAAAATCTGAACAGACTATATAACGATTTATAGATTTTACATTTGCAACATTTGCGCCATTTCTCACTATAACGCAATTTGCGTCAACGAGAATTTTACTGGCGCGTTTTCGGCTAAATTTCGGGTGTTATTTTCCAAATAAACATAACATTTTTCTTTTGTAAAAAAATCATCTCTCTCTTGTTCGTACATGTATATTACGTATTTCCAAAAAATAAACGAAAGTTTTTTCTGAGATTAATCATTTTTCAAGTTTTTTTTTATTTCGATTATCATTGATAGGTTTAACTTATTGAAAATATGTTGCTACATATCTCGGCTTGGTTTTTTTTCAAAATCATGTTAAGTATGTTGAAATTATCTTTTTTTATAAGTTAATTTTTAGATGTCAACAGATGAACTCTACTATGAAGTAGCGGAAATCATTCGTAGCGTTTTTGGCGAAAGAGAAAAGCGTTAGAAATGCAGTTTATGGGTGTCGATACAAAGTCAGTTTCTTATTTAAATCAAAATTTTATATTATTTATCAGTACTCAATGTCTCTTTCTTCTTTTCTCCTCATAGTATATATTTTATTAATGTTTCACCGTTTTTAAAAATATAGTTGTAAAAAAAGGGATCATTTCTAACCAATTTTTTTATGAACCAAATATATTTTTTTTTCCTTTGTCTCATTTGATACTATTTGTATCCAGTAGCATCCGTTTTTTTTCGGTGTTCGGATGTTTCTCGGGAGATAGATGGTGATAATCTATTGCTATTTTTCGCAGAACCTAAGAATGCGCGATGAACCGATATTTGCATGCGCCGAGGCGAATCCAACTCAGCAGCCGAGATGCAACCCTTTTGGAACCAGGTTTCTGAAGGATGAGTCTCGCGTTTTCGATCACAACGCGTGGGACGACGTGGAGTGGAGTGAAGAGCAACAGCAAGAAGCTCTGAAAATTGTGGAGAAGCAGAAGGAAGTGAAAGTCGACGAGGAAAAAGCTAGCAAACTGCTAGAGAAGCCTGCCGATCAGTGGGACGCCTTCTACGCCAACAACGAGAATCGATTTTTCAAGGATCGCAACTGGCTGCTGAAGGAGTTTCCTGAATTGGACGTCAATTCTTCGCGCAACTTGGAGGTTCTGTTATTTTTATTGCTTGCTGCTTGAAATTCTCGCGAATTAGTAGAGTTTTCAGTATGTGGAAATGACTACTCAATAAAAGGGATCACATGGAATATTAGTCCACGAAAAGAGTATAAGGGCCGACATTCCCAGAAGATCATGGAACAAGTCGACAACAGCCTCCCCGACTGCCGCTGATTACCAGATTTTCTTCCTATACTTACAGAAAATAAAGAAAGTCTAGTTCTGGAACCATTTCTTACTTGTAAGAAGAGGACGACGCTGGAATAGTCGTCTTTAGCGGCAGTCGCGGAGGCAATCGTCGGAGGCGGGAAACGATATGTCAAAGAAGAATAAAATATATCTGCGTCATTTAAATTTTTTCCAATAATTGATTCATTTTGCTCATTTTCGGCCGCTGTGACAGTTTTAAATGTTTCCAGACATTTAAATACACGCTTCTCTGCGTCTTTCTCTTCATTATTTTTTAGTTCCCATTGAATAAAAGCTCTAAAGGTAACTGATTTTCAAAAAGTCTTATTCAGAATTCCTGCGTTTCGATATTGGAAGTTGGTTGCGGCGTGGGAAACACGACGTTTCCACTGGCGGAGGCGAACAACCGCGAGCGTATTTTTTTGCACAGCTGCGACTATTCGGCCAACGCTGTCAAGGTGCTCAAAGCGAACGAGAAGTACGACGGGAACTTGATGAACGCCTTTGTCTGGGATATCACGGAGGAGCCGCCAGCAGATGCTCCAGCTCGCGGCTCGCTGGACTACGTCGTCTGCGTCTACGTCCTGTCGGCCATCCATCCTACGCGAGTTCACCTCGCAATCGCAAACCTCACTTCACTGCTCAAGCCGGGCGGAATGCTCCTTCTGAAGGACTACGGCCGCCACGATCTCACTCAGCTCCGTTTCAAAAAAGACCGCATGATTGAGGAGAATTTGTACTGTCGGGGAGATGGCACTTTAGTCTATTATTTCACTATGGATGAGCTCGAATCTTTGTTCTCTGACCAGGGCCTCGTCAAAGATGTTATGCATGTTGATCGTCGTTTAATCGTAAATCGAGCTAGACAGATCAAAATGTATCGGCAATGGATTCAAGCAAAATTTCACAAACCTTGCATTCTACTCCATTGAAGTATTTTGTTTTTCTTTGTGAAATCGCCGGGAAAATGTTCTATCTGACTTTATTTCCTAACTTTCCGTCTCCTTTTTCTTAAATTTTTTATGTACTTTTTTATTGCTTGATTTCTTTATGTTGAGTTGTTTAACGAAAAATAAAGCCATTTTTTTATTCTATTTAGTGAAAAGTGACTGAAAGAAAAATATGTGAAGAGATTGCAGAACAAAAAAGCGTTGTTGCGGCTGACATGCGAGTCGCTGAAGTTCCGGCCGGTATTCGATGAGCTGCTACTGGTGATTTTTGTTTCGTATTAAGTATGGGTTAACAAGGGAATTGCAAAACTCTAGGAGTTGAACTTTTAAATTTTGCAAAGGGAAATCATCACGAAACATTTCTTATTACAGGACAAAGAATGCCGAACAATAAAACAAGATCTGGCTCTCGAAGGATCTTTGGAGCTTCTTTACGTGCTTTTGTACGAGTTTTTGGTTGGCTCCGGTCTTAATCGATGTTCATCGAAGTTGAAAGCTGTTATTTCGAGGAAATCGAAGCAACTGAAAGATGCGGTGAGTTTTTTGAAGGGTCTGGGCTCTTTTAACTGATTTCTTACAGGAAAGCGCGTTAGAAACAAAAAATCGCGGGATCAACTCTGTAAAGAACGCGGAAAAAGATACTACAAAGGCAAGAAAGTGGACAGGAGATATTTTGACTGATACACTTTGAAGGTCGAGATTCCCCGGTATGCTCGGATAAACACTTTGCGTTGGAGTCGGGAGGACGCTCTCAAGACACTTTCAGACGAAAAGTGGAAGGTTTTTTGTTATTTTACTGGTGGCTTATTTCAATTTATCTTATTTCAATGAATTCAAAAATAAATATTTTCAAAAAAAAAAGCTCAAGCGTTGTGAAGTTTAGTGACCCGCTCTGTTTTTCAGATTAGCGAAGTCTCTAGCGATACAACTTTCGCCGAACGCGTCGCCGCTTTGAAAGAAGACGAGGTTTTCTCCCGCTCGATTTTATCCTTCTTTCAAAAATTGATTACAGGTTTTGATTGACCCGCATATTGAAAACCTTCTAATTTTTCCTCAGTCCGGAAACTTTCACGAGTACTGGATGGTCGAAGAGCGGTACCTCATTCTACAGGACAAAGTTAGTTCCCGTGAGCTGCAATTTTTTTTTGGTTCAGCCTTTTCAACATGATTCACTTCAAGTTTTGAAGCACGGTTCAGAGAGTTCATCTTTTAATTTTTTAAAAATACATTCTCAAAACTAAGAAACTTTCATCGAGAAGAAATATTTATTTATTGCTCACCCAGCGCTTAGTTCAGACGGTATTCAATCAGGATCTCAATACGAATAGGGAAAATTTCTGAGAAGAAAAGGGTGAAACCTCTCTGTAGGGTGCTTTCACTAAGAATAACTGACGAGATAAACGCGAGGTCGGTGGCGGTGCATTGACGAACTCGCAGACATGTCGCTTTTTTCTAGGCGCGATCTCGCATTTATCTCGGCGCGACCTCGCAATTTTCTCGGCGCGACCTCGCAATTTATCTTGCATTTCAGAAATTTTCCAAATTGCGAGAGAAATGCGAGCTCGCGCCCAAAAAATGCGAGACCGGCGCGAGAAAAAAAAGCGAGATGTTTGCGAGCTCGTCAATGTACCGCCAGCGGTTCGCGTTTATCTCGGCAGTTATTCTTAGTGTTGTTCCTAGCGGTGAATATAGTTAACTAGTTGGAATTTTCTTTTTGTTTTTTAAACTTTAAAAGAATAGTAACGCTCTGATTTCGCCGTATTTTAATAGTAAGTTAATCATGAATAATGAATTTTCAGCCTATTTCAATAGTTTGTTTGATTTGTATTCATGAAAGTTTCGGCGAAATTCTAATGGATGCGTTAGTTCCAGAAATGTAATCATCACCAGTTTTGATTTTATTCGGCCCATCAATTGATTTTTGATATTCAGGCGTCTTGCTTGCCCGCGTTTCTCCTCGAAGCGACTCCGGGCTCTCATATTTTTGACACTTGTGCCGCTCCTGGCATGAAAACCAGTCATTCGGCTGCGATACTCAACAATAAGGGGTTGGGTTCAAACGAAAGTTTATTATTTTCCATTTTTTTTTTTTGAGAAAAGTGTGGGCGATGGACCGTGCGGCAGACCGTATCGAAACCATGAAAAGTCTTCTGGAAGCGTCTGGAGTCACCTGTGCGGCTGTTTTCTGTGGAGATTTCCTCAAGACCGACGTCAATAACAAGAAATTCAACAAGGTTTTTTTTGCTCCAACGATATCGATTGTGAAGGAAAACATTTTTTAAAGAGTTGTGTTTTTTTCACAAGGTTTTTCAAGATAAAAAGTTTAAAAATTATATTCATAATTTTTCAAAACTTTGTATTGGAAGGAGAGATATTGATTTTTTGATAAGCTTTTATGGTAGCGTTTGAGTCTGAAAATGACGCTTTTCAGGTGGAATATGCGGTTGTCGATCCTCCTTGTTCGGGGTCTGGAATTGTGAAAAGAATGGACGAAATCATTGGAGGCGAAGTCGACAAAGGTCGTTTAGAGAAGTTGAAAAACCTCCAGGTCATTTCCATCCTTATTCTTTCATATATGACTTGTTGAGTATGTAAAAAAGGCGTGACTAAGAAATAGATCACGTGGAAGATTAGACCACTATATAACGGTCTAACTCCACTGATCATCAATTCTATATTCACTCTCACTCTTGCCTCAATCGTTTCGCCTACTACGTCGTGCCCCGCCGTCGACAACGCCGCAGACGACGCCGACTGACTCGACTACCTCTTTTTATACCCAGTTACATAAAAGTTTTGGGTGTAATCTATTCCGTCCATATACACGCACACACATTAACTTGAAATGATTAACTTGAAACAAATACATGGAGGTAGTTCAGTCAATCAGTCAATCAATCAATCATTTTATTTATTTTTCGCAACATCGGGATGGTATGGTGATGTAGCAGGGAGGGGAAAAGACCAGTTGTGAGTGTTTGCAAGGCGAATCGTAGCGCAAAAGCTTTTATCCAATAGTTTACTAAATTTTTATGTTCAGGCCATGATTTTGAAACATGCGCTCAAGTTTCCAAATTTGAAGCGGGCTGTCTATTCGACGTGTTCAGTACACGAAGAAGAGAACGAACAGGTCGTTGACGAGGTTTGTTTTTCATTATTATTTTTCTGGTTCAATTTTTCTATCTCCAGAGAGACGAAAACGTCTGGTTCTGATTATTTATATCATTTTTTGTTTCAATTGAAGGTATTGCTGGACACTTACGTGCGTCAAAACTTCGAGCTGAAAAAGGAGGTGCTGCCGAATTGGAAGCACCGCGGCCTCGGAACCTTCGACTTCGGACAGAGCTGTCTGAGGGCGGACCCCAAAATAACACTCACAAATGGATTTTTTGTCGCCGTCTTTGAGCGGATTCCAAAGGAAGCACAAGACGAAGATGAAACCTGACATCCGTTGCTTTTCACAGCAGGTTCATACTCAATTTCAATCAAACATGTCCTTTCAGTCTTTTTGATGACCATCGTTTAACAAAAAGCTTGTAAAAAAATTTTTTTATCGCAAAAATTTATTCTATTTTTTTCACTGTTACCATCGTTGTTGCTGTTGTTGTTGACTGTTTCGTCATAAAATAACCATTTATTTTCGTTTGTGACAGTTTCAAATAATAGAGTTCCAATCAAAATCGTCGTCCGAGTCATCGTTCATTTTTTCCTAAATTGATTTTTATTGGTAATTCTTTTTCCGGATCACCTGACACCGGAAGACATCGTCTTCAAACGGTTGCGCTGCTTTACCATTGTGCTCTTCGTAGTAAGTCCCATCTGGTGGGCCTTAAAATATGAATATATCAACTCTAATTACTTCCAATTTCAACGTTCGTGAGTGTTAAAGGTCCTGGGCGTGGATGCCTCCGATTGAAAGTCGGGAAAGCCGTGCTCGATATATTCTGTGATAATTGTACTTTGTGATACTTTTGGTTCGAACCTTGGAAACGTTCGGTGTCCACACTACTTAGCTCTTCTTCATCCCTGTAGTCAACTCCGGCCGTCTCGAGGCTGATCTTCAGCCAGTCTATTTGCGCTTCCTATAACTTCATTTTTGGATTAGCTTCAGGAGCTTTTTTTAAAAAAAAGGAGCTCTATCCCAACTGTGTTCAAAACCTCACAAAAAAATGTGCAGTTTCGAAGGTTTGGACAGTTAGAATATTATGAAACAGTATTGATAAGAGCCTTTTCATGCAGGTCTTTTTGTTTCGAGGTTTGGAAAATCTGGTTGTAGACGTCTCGGAAAGAAGAGGACAAGTCGTGAGACGCAAACAAGTTGAGATCCGTCATATCGTCGTCTTCCGCCTATGAAAAAAAAAAGAAGAACTAGCTGATATCAGTGCATCATTTACGGACCTGATAGTCGGTCACGTTGTTTGGCTGTTCTTGGAAGTCGTGCCGATGAACGTAGTTTGAAGAGAGAGTCTCTCCTTCAGATAAACAGCTGAAATAAGTATGCTGGTAGGACTGCGGAGCGACGATTAGAGATTCTTCTCTCGACGGTGGACCCGCTTCTGACTCGCTGCTCTGCTGTCGTCCTGAAGACTTTTTTTGCTTGAAAGATGGGAGAATCACCTTTTTCGAAGAACCTCCGTACCGCTGGGTTGATTCTTGGCGGGGAGCCAGCCATCACTTGAGTCTTTTTTTCTGGCGGCTCGACACAAATCCAGAAACATCCTAACCAAAATAAAGTGTCAACAGTAAACCATTCGTCTATGAAAACCTTTTTCGCCTTCTCTTTTATCCAACCTCTTGAACTGTCTGTTTAAGGACAGATTGTGGCGGATGGAGTTCTTTAATTTTCATCATTTTAGTTGTTTTCATTTCGATAACTTTAGACTCACTCTCCAACTGGCGTTTCTATTTTCTCTGTAGTAGGCGTAACTGTCAGATATATACCTGTAGATGCCGTTGAGGGTGCATCTAAACCATATGTATAGTACACAATCAAGTTTTTGAGAAAACTGTTGGTTAGGAGAGCTCTGAATGGCCATTCGTATGAGTTGGGTGTAAGAGAATGGCGGTTTGTCGGTCAAGACCTTGGGCGACACCGTTTTCGAACTCTTCCTCGACGTCGTCGCCGTGTTTTCCTTAAGTTCAAATCCTATTGTGAATATGACTATTTCATCCAATCATTCTGAGATTTTTACCTCTGCAGCCGGCGGACCGCCTTTGGCAATCAGCCAGTTTAATTGACACAAGCTTGAGTTGAGTTCAGTCATTTCCTTCAAATCATAATTTTATCACTCAAAAACCATTAGATGTACGACTTCACCTCGAACAAATCCACTCTTAAAATCATGAAAAGTGAGAAATTACAGAAAAAAAAAATATAAAGTGACCCAAATTGAATTCCAGTTAAAATATATCCCTTCCGGAAAAAGTTGAATGGCTAATAAGAGAATGCCGCTAAGAGATGAAGAGTGAACAGAGAGGCCAGAATGTTTCGAGTAGTGCGTATGGAAAACAAGTTTCTTATTTTGCGAGATTAAGGTTTCAACCTGAAATTAAAACTCTAATCTAACAAGGAAGATGGGGAGGAAGATACAAGTGGCTACCGAATTAGAGCTCAATCGGCGTTAGCTAATGAGTGGTCGTCTATTAGCTAACGATTACCATTGAGATACCATAAAAATGTTCCTGTTCTACCGGACACTTGCGATTGCTACCAACTAGTCCGGTCTACTTGGTAGATGGGTTCCAGCGTAATCAATAAAGGACCACCACTAGGCTGACGTTGATTGACGAAAGTTGGGAATTTCCTCAAATGTGTCCAGAAAACTCCTCGATGTACCAGAAGAAAAGTCTGAAAATCTCAAGCAGTATAACTTCCTGGTTTTCGAGAAAGAAGAGCTCAAGGCTTTGAAAACAGTCTATTTCGACGGGTTTTGAGGATTTACTTTGAATTCGAATTGTCTTTTTGCGAAAACTAGAAATTTTAGCAGATTCCTCATCCGGCACATTAAAAATGTTCTGGGCGATTTTAAGGGTGTTTTTTACCGCGAAGACCTTCCTGGTAGGAGTCCGCAAAATCCATTTTTAAATGCATGCTTGAAAAGAAAAGATGTTTTAGAAGCAGAAGAAGCACATAACATTGAAAAATATCTGGTCTGAAGAGGGAATACCTGGAGAGAACGGGGGAATCGATACACGGCAGGCCAAGTTGCGTTGCCGAGTGAATGATTTCGCACCTGCTTTTCATTTTGAATCCCCACGGCTTCCGTCTGAGACTAGTCATCGGCCTTGATTCGATAACACTCAATGTCACAATGAGCTTTTATGAACTCTTCATATTATCGCAAAGAAAATGAAGACGAGTGAAAGAAAAAAAGTTATTTTCCTGATTTGTGATTGAAAAAGAAAGAAGAGCTTTCGGTGAATGCAAGAACGCGATTTTTTATTCATGTGCAAAACTTTTCTGAAAAAATTTTTTTTACTTCAATTGGGTATTCAAGTTAGCAGACGGATTGTGACCCTCGAAAATTCAAAAAATTTTAATCTTTAAAAAGATCATCAACAGACTGAAAAAAGAGAAGGTCTTGGGTAAATAAATTGATAGCAAAAGTCGTGTGAGTTCACAATTAGAATGACCTCTCTTCAAAATAAATCCCATTTGCGGAAAAATAATAACGAGATCTACGTGTGTTCAGGCGTCATTTTCTTGTGTTTCTTTCGACGATCGTCGACGAACAACGAATCGTGGGTCGCGACCTTTGAAGCTCTCCAGGAGCCGTCGCTTTTCAGATGTCGAAACCAAAAAGAGGCTTTTTGTCGTTGGTCGATGACGACTTCTGGGGCACCGGTGATGGATCTGCGGTCAGTTCCTTCCGAGCATTTGTTTTCCATTCATCAACAATCGAATATTAGTTGAGATAAAACGAAAGGATGGGTGAAGGAATATTATCGTAGATCATAACGCTAACTGGAAATCTAAATATTCAGTTGTCAACTTGGAGACTTCTTGAACCCTTTAAAAAATTCGCTTCATTACCCGTCTCACGAGAAAGTACAGAGTGAGAAGCAGAAACCAGCTGGCCGGCGCAAAAGCGAGTCGAGTGCTGCGAACGGCGACCGCGCGGACGACGACCGCTTCCCCCAGGATCAGAATTCGTCTGACGCCCTCGACTTGAGTCAACTTCACACCCAATATTACAATCAAGTTCGTATTCCGCAACTTCATAACCAATGAGCTTCCTTGAAGACGGTTCAGAATAAAAAATCATGCGACGGCGACAATGACGATGAAGATGATGTTAATGACAAAGACAAAAATAGAGAGGACGGCGTTGAAGGAGGTGAAGACGTCAAGGCGACAGAAAGTTTCGAATTAGATGAGGATGATGTGAGATAACTTGGGAGTGGAGAGAAAAGGAATCTCGGATTCAGGAAGAGGAATGGTGCAGTGTTAAGGGATCCAGCCACGGACGCAAACGTGACAAAATATGCGATGAGCTCGACGAAAACTTGCGGAAAAAGAAGGATAAACTCGACTTCTCGGATGGTACTTTTTCTTTTGCGGTTCTTGCTGAACAAACTTGTTCACTGTCCCAATAACTGGAACAAAAAGCGAAACGGTAGTTCTACAAGTTATAAAAGATCCAGAAGAGTGATTTGGAATTTGAGAGGCGCGCGCTATGAAAATGACTGAATTCCTGCTGAACTTTCTGAAAAATCTTTGAAAACGATCTCGTTTCGAAGGAATTTTTCAAGCTCCGCCTTGGACCGCTTAAAACCTTTTCACCCGTTTCATGACAAAATAAAAGCTTCTTCCGAAATATTCCGACAAAAAACTTGTTCCGTAGATGACGAGAAGGATCTCAAGGACTCGGGCCGCGAATCGGCCGCGTCCGTCGACGCTTATCATGTTGGTTACCGTAATTTTTTGCAAACACATACCGACGCCGAAGTACGTGTTTTTTGGTTTTCAGAAAGTCGCGAAATCTGCCCGGTGGTTGCAAGTTTCATTGATTGTTTTTCAAGGAGCAGAACCACTTGACAGAACTCGCGTCCTGGCTGGATGGTTCTCTCCGAGTAGCAAGACTTTAAAAACTTTACATTCAAAACTGAAACAATAGCATGAGTATCAGCTGAAGTAGGACCATTATTTTTGGAATTCTTAAAAAAAAGAAGATTATTAATTAATTTTCAGAGGAAATATAATTTATTTTTTTCGAATATGTTTTTCTCAAAAGCCATCCCAGTTTTTCACAAAAGTTTGCACAGTACAGGAAAAATTTTTATGCAAGCCAAAATTCACGTAGTACGCCAATGGACTAGTTCATACTAAGGAACTATGATTTTCTGCGAATGGCGCTCTTTCCAAGTTGAGGAATTCCGATAAATAGCTCTCCCTCAGCTGAAGCTCAACTTTTCCTCACACCTTCACCGGCGAACCATCCCGCCAGATCTCACCAATGCATTTAAACATTTTATCAATAAACAAAGCTTCTCAAAAAGCAGATCCGCGCTTTCCTCGAAGGTCCTTTCGACGTTCTGGATGAAAAGTTCTTCGATCACTATGAACAAGTCCGGAGAGGGTGCCAAAAACTTGAAAGAAAGATTCATTGGTGGAATTCAGGCTAGAAGAACCGTGTGCCTCGAAGGTCGTGCAACAACTGAAGCGACCGCCGCCTTCCAGTGAGCCCCGTTATCGCGACAAGTCGATCGTCGTCGTGCCGCACTTCCGAGAGCCTGACCGCAGGTTTCCGTCGTTTTCCCTTTTTGAAACGGTTTTCGGAGAGCAAGTCTCTTGAGCGGTATTATAGAATGGGACGTTACTCCAAGTACTACTACCATCACAATATCGGTCCCGAAGTTTATAGCCGCAAGGTGTTTGTAGGAGGTCTCCCCGCTTGTGTTACAGAAGGTAGGCTTGATCTGATCTGTCAGTGATTTTTTAAAAAAAGATGAAATCACGATGTTTTTCTCGCGATATGGTCGTCTGCACGTGGACTGGCCCAGCAAGCACTACCCAAGCAACTTGGATACCTCCTCCAGCTCTCAAGGTGCACACAGTCGCCGTCATTCAGTTTATGGAAGTGTTTCAGAGCAACTGGAGCCGAAACGACGTCATCAGCATCTTGGTTACGTCTTCTTGTTGTTCGAACGTGAGCGCTCGGTAAGAGAGCTCGTCAGCGACTGCTTCGAAGAGGAAGAAGGGCTCTTCATCAACTTGCTCAATTGCGGAGGCTGCGACACGATAGTTCGTATTCAACCTGTGTTGAACAGGCAAGGAAAACCTTCGGGATACTTCAGCGCGTTCAAATTCGTCCCTGGCTTCTGGCAGACGCCGAGTTTCTGATGGATATCAACGTGCAGGTTAACTCAAAACTGGTTGCCTTCATCGGTGGTGTGCCGAGACCCCTGAAAGCTGGTGAAAGACATTTTTGGGATGGGAGAAACTGTCCGATTTCAGTGGAACTAGCACATTTCTTCGAACAAACGTATGGTAATGTGGTATGTGTGGGCATCGACATCGATAACAAATTCAAGTATCCTCGAGGTAGTGGCGAAGGCAAATTTCAGGACGTTTTGGTTTGGAAATTCAGGATCGGGCAGAGTCGCCTTCTCCAACTATGAAGCCTACGTTCAGGCGATTACTGATCGCTACATTGTACTCGACCACGAGGACATTCACAAGCGGGTTAGTGAATTTTCAGAGCAAAAGCATTTATATGGGGCAAAGAATTGACGTAAATTCTCCAATTTACTGTCACTACCAAAAAGCATTCAATTGAGTTCAAAACTTGAAAAACTCAAATTCAACTCAAGTTATTCGCCGAGCAGCTCAATGTTTCAAAGAATGTTCAGGTGGAGATCAAACCCTACTTTTTCCACAACCAATCTTGCGAGGAATGCAGCGGCCGCTATCATCGCCAACACGCTCCCTACTTTTGCCCATCGCTAGAATGTTTCCAGGCATAGTTTTCATTCTATTTTGGAGTATATCCTTCATTTTTCATAGATTGCGGCATTGCAGTTTCAAATTTAAAATGCGCTCCTCGTTATACTTTCAATTCGTCATTTTAACGGCTCATCATCGACTGTGTACAATGTAGAGCTAGTATCCAAACTGCATTCTCATGAATAACTTGAACCCACAAGCGCTTTTATTGTGTCAAGACTGTAAATGCCGTATCAGAACTTTTTAAATCGTGGCACACGGGGTATAGTTATGAAATAATTTTCCAAATAGAGATGAACCCGTTTCAGTACTACTGCGAGGCTTGCTGGCACAAAATGCACTCGCTGCCGAGCCGCTTCCATCATATGCCCGTTGTCAAAGGCGTCTGATTACACTTTCTGCCTCAATCCGCCTTCCGATAAAAGTGAAACTCCGCTAATTTTGTGAAAAAAGTAACAGAATAGTCATATTTCATTTCTGATGCCCGAGATCCAAAAACAAAAAACAATATGTACATGAAAACCAGAAAAGGGTCATTTCCTGTACCTCGACGATACGTAGTGTTCTTCGGGTCCCCAAGCCTCGGTCGTCTCTCCACGTGCTGCTTTTTCCGCCTTCTCTCTGTTTCGAACCTCTTGCCAAATAGCGATTGTTCGGTAATCGGCCTAAGTTGTTTAATAAGGTCAACCATGGTCAATCCGTACAAATATTTGTAAAAACTACAAACTTTCTCGAAGTCTGGACGTTGGTTGAAGGGATTTTCCTTGGATTCGATCTTCTTGCCGAAGTTGAAGTGCTCATTGACCCCGTACATATCTTCGTCCTGAAAATCAGACTTTTCACAACTTTTTTCAAAGTAATTCCTCGCTTTGATTTTGGTGTCGTAAAGCTTGGCTTGTTCTTTCCAGTCGCCTTCTGGATCTTCCTGCGCCTTCTTCAACAGTTTCTTCATTTTCTTTTCGCGTTTCTTCTCTTTTTTTTTCTCTTTTTTCGCCTTTTTCTTGTCTTTTTTCATTTTTTTGAGAAGTAAGGGGTCAAGGTCCTGAAAAAGTACATTTGAAAGCTATATAGAAAAAGCAAGAAACTAACCACTAAAGGTGCAATTTTCTCGCTTTCTTTCTTAATCCTAGCCTCTTGTTCCTCAACGGGCGCTGTAATTTTTCCGATGTAAAAATGACCAAAAGATATTGTGCTGTTCAACCTACCGACATATCTTTTGATAGGTTTCGGAGCACAGCCTTCTTCCCACAACCGCTTTGTTTCTTCGTCCGCATCTTCCTTATATTTCGGAACTTTATACTCGTCAACGTGGTCTACTCGGATCATTCTTTTAGCTATCTGAAAATTTCAATGGGAAAGAATAGCCTATTGATACGAACCGTGGCTCCATTGAAGTTGTCAACTGCCAGAATTGTGCTACGCTGGTCTTGATAGCACAAGAAACAAAACCCTTTCGATTTTCCTGTTTTTCTATCGCGTATCAAGTTTATATTCATTACTTCACCATACCTTGAATAATGATTGATTGAAGAACAATTAAGGGAACTTACTGTGAAAAAACTGTTATGACATCTCCTTCAGTCAGATCGTAACTTAAACCGCCAATGTAGACCCATGCGGAATCTTTGTATTTTTGATGCCAAGATTTGTTGACATCTCCGGCGTAACCCATGGCGAGTTCTCGTTCATTCAGAGCATTTTGATTCTTGATGTTTGTTATAGGATTCATTTTCTGAAAAAAAAATTTCAAAACAACTCAATTTTTTGAACTGAAATAAAAACAAGCACATTTCGAAACAATATTATGAAGACATTTCAGGGTATCGATCAAGCTTCTTCGGTTAAAGAAAAAATATAAAGTTTGAGAGACAAAAGAGATACATTCTTTCAGCAAACAGCTTTAAACAGGGTTGAAGTTTTATTGAAAATTTAGAAATATATATTTTATTAACTTTTTCGTTCAAACTTTTTAAGTTGCATGTACGGTAGTTTCATTTGTTCCTACACACTATCTTAACTTTGCATTCGCTCAAAATCGGACAAAAAAAGTTTTTTT